GTTAGGAATGGAGGATGGAATTGATAGGGAACTGTGTAGGAAATGAGAGTGAGTTCCCAGTTCTGTAAGGAATTGATTAGTTTTTGCTGTATTTTTTAGGAACTCTAGGAATTCCTAAAGTATGGTACCTTGGACATTGCTGACTTGAATTAACTACTGAAGTAAGAAAAGGAACATTGCTGACTGATTGTCTTATAGGAGCATTAGTGGGAATAAACAAAAGAACAAAGGTGAGTATTAAAAATTGTATTTGCACGTGCATCTACTTTTCATAATATATTATATCGTTTAGACAACAGATGCTGTCTTCTATACAACATCACGTAAATCCTCTTCTTTCATTCTTATGGTCCAGAATCTATCAAGAGAAAAAAATTTCGATGTTGACATTGATATTACCGAAGGAAGAAATATTTTTCACTCTCGCTGTTCCAAGCTACCTGGTACCATGCATGATTCTATTCCACCGAGGCACAGTCAACTACTGTTTCTTACTGAATGGTCAGATAAACAACGTTCAGCGTGTGCTTTCAATTATTCATATTCGTACAAACATACTAACAGAGCGAGTTCGCCAAGACCAACAATTGACAGAAACAGGGGTGATCTTCATTCACCACGAAGAATCTCTTAATTTCCTATACGTCTTTTATTTACCAGAGACAAAAAAGACTAGAGATATTTATTTAAATGTGCCTTTTATAATTATCAATACTTCTGAGATCATCATTGAAGTGAACGATCGAAGCTTGTGCACAATTAACGCGAAGGAAAGAGATACACCTTTACTTCTCTTGAATTTGTTTTATGTATGTAAAATAGATAACGGCGTTGTCGTTATTTTCTTGCACTGCATGCACAGTGTATTTCGTGACTCAAACAAGTAATGATTGATAAGAACGAAGAAATGATAGAAAAAATAACAAATCAATAGTATTCACATGGAATCGTTTTAGTCAGATTTGACGAATCCATAATCTTTTTTTTAAATTTTTTTCATAAAACTGCTTTTCATCTATGTACACAAGGATATCTTTCTTTTTTTTTAACATCAATAGATGGCACTTTAAAATATCGTGTATAGTTATGTTTAATGATATTGAGTGAATGTCCTTGATCCTTCTCTTATAACGGCTGCATCGGGTAGTCGTGGTTGATCGATTTTCAATCGTTACTGTTTTTCTCTAACTATAACAGCACTTTTCTTGTTTTTTTATTATTGCAATTTACCATATCTGTTATTCACTACGGTGATAAACAGCTCACATAGATGTTATTACTACTGATTATCATTCGATATTTCGTCTCACGAACAGACAGTATGTTTAACATCGAGAATGAGTATAATCTTTTTATGACAGTATAACAAAGTAACAGAATGCTCGTCTTCGTTTGTCTAAATATCATTTCTATTAACTTAAGAGATCATCTTGAGAAACTTTGCTTTCACCATCAGTCAGTGGAAACACGCACAGAAATGATATGACGCTTGTTTAGGATTACTAGTCATAATTCATTGATTCGTCTACTATGATCAGGTGTAAGTCTCATGGAAGCTTTTCAATCCAAAACACTTTTTCTTCATGCTTCTACACGCTAAAAAAACTGCGTCGAATAAACATAGTCTTGTTTATTATTTTTCTGGCTTTAATTTCTTCCACCAAAACAGCAATAAATTACTAAATTTTATATGCATGAAATAAAACCGATCAACTGACATTCTGTATGCTTTTTCGTAGCGAATCTACCTTATCCAACTTGTTTTTAGAGGTTCATTTGTAGCTTTTTACAAATTGTGTTTCTTAGGAAGTATTCCTCGTCGATATAGTATCGGTTGTGTCATTCATAAATAATGAGCGAGTGCGATAATCTACAAATCGGTAAAGAATTTCTCGCTAGTCAAAATTGGCCTTTCACGTTATGTAATCCTTCCTATGATCGATGCTATTGCAACAAATGTTATCTAGCAACTTATAAAGACGTGTATAATGTCGCCGGTCAATTGTATATTATTCCGCGAGGATGGACTCGCTTTGGCATACGCGCCGATGAGCCCTTTGCGAAACACCATGACGTCTGGAAAACATGGGCAAATTGTTATCACGGAACGAGTATTGAACGTGCGAAATCGATTGTCGAACACCGACAACTACTGTTACCTCGGGATATCACATTGGATGGCAAAACATTAGAAATACGTGCTGGACATATTCCAGAAGAATGTTATCTATTTACGACACCTACAATAAAGTATGCTGCTCTTAGTTGTTATACTGAGACATACACATTTACGTCAGCAAAAACAAATAAACGGTATAAGATCAAAGTCGTGCTTCAGTGTAAACAAAAACAAGATTCATNGATATCACATTGGATGGCAAAACATTAGAAATACGTGCTGGACATATTCCAGAAGAATGTTATCTATTTACGACACCTACAATAAAGTATGCTGCTCTTAGTTGTTATACTGAGACATACACATTTACGTCAGCAAAAACAAATAAACGGTATAAGATCAAAGTCGTGCTTCAGTGTAAACAAAAACAAGATTCATTCGTCGTTCAAGGTGAAACAGTGGGCGCGCGTCGACGACAAGTTACGATATGCCCACATGTACCAAACGAGCAGATTGAATGGAAAACAAAGCAACGATCGGCTGTGATGCCATACGGACTGTTACTACAAATACTTCCCGATGTTGGCAAAACCAATCCACCGGCACCTCCAGCACAGACTCAAGTACAAGCTCCAGCTCCACCTCCACCTCCTAGTGAAGAACCAACTGGGAAAGGAAAGACACGCGAGATTACTTGTCCTAATTGTTCACAAGTGCACGTGCTCGACGATAGTAATTTCAAAGACGGAAACTTCATTACGTGGGCGTGTAAAGCTTGTAAGACAGTATTCAAACAATTTAACTGTCCACATTGTTCCGGTGTGAACATCTGGAAAGATTCCGACTACAAAGAAGGTAGAGTTTATAATTGTTCACATAAGAATTGTAGGAAGAAATTTCAACAAATTAATTGTCCGCATTGTACCGGTACTATTTTGTGGAGTGATGTTGATTACAAACAAGGCAAACTATTTACATGTCCGTATGAAAATTGTAAGAAAACGTTTCAGCAAGTCAACTGTCCACATTGTCATGGCTCAAATACATGGAATAATGGCACTTATAAAGAAGGACGAATCAATACTTGCGCATACAGCAATTGCAAGAAGACATTTCAACAAGTTAATTGTCCACATTGTGCGCGTTCGATTGTATGGAAAGATACGAATTATACATTAGGAACACCTGCAGTGTGCCCATATGAAGACTGTAAAAAAACATTTACAATAAATCCTCAATAAGTTCTTTTCTAACTCTCGTTAAATTATTTATACTGTACATACATAGCGGACAAAGTGTAATTCGAACTTTTGATACATGTTTAACACTTACTCAAACGCCCTATTTTATAACAACTTCTCGTATCTTAATCAATAAAATTCACAACGTCTGTTATAACAAATCATTCTCTAGATACGACTGTTTCAGAATGGAAAGAAGAAAAAAATTTAGTTTGAAGTAATTGTTCTAAAATAATTATTTAGTGGAGTTCCTTTCTCATTGATGAGGAGTATTTTACCCATGAAAAAAAAACATGATTAAAAATAGACAAAATTACAGTTGAGTGGCTCAGTTGGAAGTTTCCTTACAAAAACAGACCGATGTATAGTGTGTTTCTGCTATGCAAGAGGGAAAGAGAAGTTTTTTTTAGAGCCGTTCGATAGTTAAATTCTTTGAAACAATTCTATTATTTATCAAGAAGTGAAGAGTATTATACCTTGTTCTTGACCTAAATCTCAAGAATAAATGCTTTAGAAAAGTTCAAAAACTGTAGGTATAATATGTGATTCTCCTCTATTCATTTCATATCGTTTGACATTTCGCACAGCTTGATACTGTTACAATGACCATGATTAAATGCGAAAGAATACGGATAGGTCAAGAGTTTCTTACTAGTCAGGAATGGCCCGCTCTATTTCGTGAGTCTACTCATGATCGTTGCTATTGCGATAATTGTTATCCAGCATCCAGCCAGGGCGTATTCTTTGCTGCTGGTTTCACCTATGTAATTCCCCGCGGATGGACTCGTTTTGGTATATATATTGATGAAAGATGGACTGCTCACCATAATGCATGGAAGACATGGGCAAACTGCTATCATGGAACAAGTATCGAGTCTGCGAAGTCCATTGTTGAGCATCGGCAATTTCTTCTGCCTAATGATATAACAAAAGATGGGAAAAGGCTCAACATACGTGGTGGTCACATTCCCGACGAAGTCTTTGTCTTTACCACACCGACAATAAAATACGCTGCTCTTGATTGCTATGCTGAAACATACACATTTACATCCACGAAGACGAATAAACACTATAAAATCAAAGTTGCGCTTCAGTGCAAACAAAAACCGGATTCTATCACAGTTCAAGCCGAAACAGTAGGCGCGCGGCAAAGACAAGAGACCATATGTCCATACGTACCAAACGAAATAATTGAATGGAAGACAGCACAACGTTCAGTCATTTTAACATATGGGTTATTACTTGAGATAGTTCCTGATAAAAGCGATCTGAATGTTTATATGTTTGTCGGGTGGAAAAAAATATGCTGTCCGCATTGTTCGCAAACGAATACATGGCAGAATGGTGATTATATCGATGGAAAAGCTGTTGTTTGTGCTCAGAAGACTTTTATGAAAGTATTTCAACAGTTAAACTGCCCTCACTGCTCCGGATCAATTGTGTGGAAAGATCGAAGTTACAAAGAAGGTCAAATTATTACGTGCCCGTATGAGAACTGCCAGAAGACGTTTCAACAACTAAACTGTCCTCATTGTTCTCAATCGAATGTATGGAAAGATGCCAGCTACAAACCGGGACTACGAATTAAATGTCAGCATAAAACGTGTCAGAAAATCTTTCAACAGCTGAATTGTCCGCACTGTCTCGGATCGAATAAATGGAAAGACGCTAATTATAAACAAGGATTAATTACTACGTGTTCATATGAAAACTGCAAAAAGATGTTCCAACATTTGAGTTGCGCACATTGCATGAACTCAATTATGTGGAAGAATGCCAATTATCGAGAAGGAACTATTGTTACTTGTCCACATGCAAAGTGTAAGAAAAAATTTCAGCAAATCGAATGCCCTCATTGTTCCGGTTCGAATATATGGCGAAATGCTGATCACGAAGAAGGTGCAGTTAGTGTCTGTGGTCATGAAAATTGCAAGAAAACATTTCAGCAGTTGATCTGTCCACATTGCTATCAGTCAATGCGGTGGACAGATGCCAAGTATCGAATGGGATCCATCACTGTATGTCCTCAAAACGATTGTAAGAAATCATTTCAAAAATTGTGCTGTGCTCACTGCGCTCAAACGATATCGTGGAAAGATGCGACTTATAAAGAAGGAACAATTGTGAATTGTCCGTACGATAACTGCAAGAAACCATTTCAACGGGTATATTGTCCTTGCTGCTTTGGTTCCGTTTTATGGAAGAATGCGGATTACAAACTGGGCTCTTTAACTACGTGTCCCCATCTGCATTGCCAGAAAACATTCATTGTAAATCCATAAGACACCACTTTTGAGTCGTTTATTTTCTCATACATGATCGACAGCTACTGAAAGCACGCTGTTCGGTTAATTTTGCTTTTACTATGATTATTCTTTCTAGCTCAATAGAAATAAAACAAAAGAAAATAAATTTTTAAGAAAAAGTATCAAAACAGGGTCAAGTCTACCTTGAATTTTAGTACTTTATTAAACTTACCTGATTCTTCATCAAGCACTCGCTATTTCTCTTGTTCGAGACATACTTATTAGACGTACATAGATGCTGCTAGTCGGCGAAGTTCTCATTCGCTCTGTCGGAAGTAAGTAAGTCAACCAAAAGAATCTTAACTGAGTGATACATTTACAAAGTTATCATATAAAAATCGATTAGATCTTCTCCACACAACCCACACCCACCCACCCTTCAAGTGATAAACTGTACGGTATACTATTAGTAGGGTAAACTTGGTCTGACGGAATACTTTTACATCTCACTCATGACTTTGAACAAACTACTCACGTTTGTAGTCATCGACGGCAAATGTACACAGAATACGATTAATAATTTTTTAAATTTCGTTATAAAATAATTCGCTTGTAAACATAAAAAATGGATTAATAATTACAAAAATTAATCACTAGTGATAAAATAAAACTGATTAGCACTTATTAGACACAACCAAATAAGAGACAGAACAGAAGAATGACGATTACTCCGATGTTACTGCACAATGAATTATTGGCGGTGCTAGAAGGCAGTTCGGTAGTAGAAATAACAACCTCTCCAGCAAATTTGTTCATATCGAAATTAAGTTCATACAACGATTTAATTTCGTCTTGTTTTTTTTCTGTATTGCAGTATGGTAACGTACAAGTATACCAAAAGCTAAAGGTAATATTTCGAGTGTTTATCCAGAAGATTTTTTGATGTTCAAACGCGGCCAATACGTGCTCCTCTATTGGTTTGGCCCAATAACACGCTCCACATTTATAAATTCCACAGGTTCGGGCTTCCGCTTTTATGCATGTTGTTATCGGTTCAGAACTATTACTAGATGTATGACATGGCATGCAAAACGGCACCACAAATGTTGATCCCGCATTTTTTATGTAACTATCATATGGTATTGGATTATCTATTGTGACACTTTCATTAGCAGCAAGTTGCGAAATAACGCGACTGTAATCAAAATTCACTGTCGTTGCATTGATGACTCTCTTCATATTGTCCAATGTGTTACATAGATCGGTGGAACAGAAGTAATACATAAAAGTTGATTGAATACTTACATCGGTATGTTTTAATGCGGATATTTTTAACTCAATTCGCTCGTCTTTCAAAGTAGATGGCGATGTATCTACTGTACTAAGACTTAAAGATGCTTTATTTTCCCAAATTGGTACTGTTGATGATGGTTGACTGAGAGTATATTTCTTCGATTGAATCCATATTTGAAACGTACACACGGCGGACTCATTCTTGGTGAATGTATTCGTCTTACAGTTAGAAGGTGTCAGTGATTCTAGACCGTTCATCGTTAGTGGCAGAGATATTGAGTCTGTACTTTCATAATTACACGAGTAGCATTTAAGTGCTTGAGTATTTGACGCCAACAATAACGCAAGCAATAGTATCAACACAGAACAGAAGCGGCCAATAAAAAACATCGTGTGATTTTTCTTCTTGTTTGAAAAATCTGAAATTCTTAACAAAATGAAAACATATATACGCACATTCCCTATTTATTCAATGACTGGTAAGTTATTGAACTTATCTAACCGACTGTCATTCTTCTACCTTAAATTTCTCATGATTCATGAAATCGCAAACACTTGCTGTGACGATCTTTTTATCATCCGTTGTATGCCTACCATTTGTCATCACGTCAGTGCATTATCTGTATTCTGATATCACCTTTCGTTCTCTTCTATCGGTCTGTGAGTATATATACGTGTGTTTTGTATCAGATCGATGCGATTGTTGAGAAGAAAAAATAAATATAGGTGCACTACCATCAGCGCACGCATCTCTTCCATCATAAATCGCCACACGTGCTCGATATGTTATCTTTGAGTCATAGAGATGAATAGACACCTATGATGATAGTTGACATTGAAACTTTATTTTTTAAACGGTGTTACACATAGAACGATTATTTCTTCATGTCAGCTCGAGAAAAACAATCTATCGACGGTGATACGATAACTGGAATGTTTTTATATTCGTTGCAGCAGCACTTGTAGTCGTGTCTGCTGCTGTTATCCTTTACATCGGATGAAAATTTACAGACTAACGTGTATCAGTCACGTTTCTCCTCACAGATGCCGAGAGATGTTATTATGTATTTTCAGATACTATATTTAACTAAACATGTTTATTGATAAAAGAATTTGATTACATGTCGCACTAGAAAACAATAATAATTATAGCGTGTAATCTTCCGTTTTACCTTCTCTTTTCCAAGAATAAACTCTATTTGTAAAAAGCTCATCAAATTCGTATTCATATCGATAGAATATGTCTCTAATTCAATTGAAATACCTCATTAATATACGATCTTTAATGAATTACTTATCGTATATATATAGCATTGCTCCCAATCTCATATTAGTTAAACTGTCTCAATCTGAAAATGTCGAGTACTAGCGCAACTACCGCTTATATATCTTCATTGCAGTACACATCGGGAGAAATAACTTTGTCGATGTCAATTGTGATTCTTATCTCTGGTATTGTTGGCAACGTTTTGAATTGTTTCGTATTTACGCAACGATGTATACGTTCCAAACCGTGTGTGCTCTGTTTTCTTCTGGCTAGTATATTCAATTTGATTGCAATTGTGTCGGGTGTTCCACCACGTGCGCTTCAGAGTTGGTTTATGATATCTGATCAAACGGAGACAGTATCCGTACTTTGCAAACTACGAATATTTGTCCTATTTACAAGTCGAACAATTGCTTCATGGCTTCTCAGTCTTGCTACCATCGATCGTTACTTGATTTCAAGCCGAAATCTTCGTCGACGTCAACTCAGCAATAGAAGAAATGTTTTTCTGTCAATGTTGATCATTAGCATCCTATCTTTACTTTTTTGGGCTGAAACTATCTACTGTTTCGATGCTAATCTCGTTGGCACTCCTCAAAAATGTTATGCAAAGTCCGATACTTGCCGCGTATTCAATGATTTAAGTCAGTCGCTTATTACCACGGTGATACCAGTCATCGTAATACTCATATTTGGTTTGTTTACAATTTCTCACGTTCGAGATAGCCGACAAATTCAAGCATCTCAAATCACCACAACCAACAGCAGTACTCGACGCAATAGGAAAGACGAACGTAGTCTAACTTTGATGTTAGTGGCCCAATGTCTTCTTCTGGCGATATTTACTTTTCCCCAAGCAGTACAGAAATGTTATCTAACTTATACATTCTATCAAACAAAATCATCAACTCAAAAAGCATTAGAAAGTTTACTTTTCAATTTTGTTCTTCTGCTCACCTACATTCCAAGTTGCATGCCGTTCTATTTATATACAATCACGGGCACTGTGTTCCGAAAAACTCTAGTTACACTAGTGAAAAAGATTACTTGTTTTATTTAGAAAATAAGTAAATGTAGCATCTCAAATTGAAATAAATAGAACAATGAGCAGACACACACTGTGGTGCATACCGAGTCAACAATGAAAGGATTTTTACGACGCTATGTCACGATGGACGGACGATTTTCGATGGAATCCTCATTTATACCTTCAAAAAGTGTCTTTCGAGTAAGACTATATGTTTAAAAAAGTCTAAAACACATTTTTTCCAATCATTTTAAGAGGTTTTCTTTTTGGAAAATGAACAAATTTTTATCCTTTTTTCAAAAAATACTGTACATGGTAGGGTCTATTGTGTGTCGACTTGAACATTCTTCGACGATTCAACAAGTTGCCAAAGGCTACGTATTTGGTCTTCTAGGCAGGTTATTCTTTCATTTGCTTCTTGCTGATGTTTTGTATGGTTATCTTGAAGTTGACGTAACTGAATACGTAAGCATACTGTGACATCATGTTCACCTTCATACTGGCGTTGATAACTAGTGTTACATTCAGAACACGTTAGTAAAAACAATGGACATTGGCCACAATGTTCGTCGAATTTCATCTTGATGATTTCTGTTCGACACCCAGGACATGTCTTCAGTCTGTAACTGCACGATTCTTCGTGAGTTTCCAGACTATTGTATGGTAAAGTTTCGTTGCATCCATTATTTTTGTTCAGACAGGTTAATTTTAATTCTGATAAAGCATACAGGTAGCCGGCTGGACATTTTCGTTCGATGAATTCGAGACAGTTCTCTGGACAAGGTATGGGCTCGGTCTTTTCCGCTTTCCAGTTCTTTATACAGGATTTACAAAAGGGTGTTTCACATGTGGTGCAAGCTATTGGACGCCATAGAAAGCCGTGACACAATGGGCATATAACAAGTCTGGGCATTGCTATATCAGATGCACGCTCCTTTGCTAAATATGGTCGATCACGTATGAAAGACGTTGACATATTGCTACAATGATAAAAGAAAATGAATGAGTGGTACACCGTTTAGTTGATTCTTTATAAACTCCTAATATATCTTTATCTACTTTCGAAGTTTACAAAGGGGAGATCCATAGCACATGACTTTTACTGACTGATAAAAAATTTCCATGATGATTCATTATGTGCAGGCAGACACGACAAACGATAAGATACAAAAGATGAAGAAAAAATTGATGCAAGTTCTTGTTTAGTAGCAAATGAAAACAAATTGTCATCTGGTATCTGAGGGGTAAAAATCTGAAGCGCAAATATCTTTCGTATTAAACAAGACCATGATGACCATTCACTGATCCTTTCGCTTTCCTTTGTAGATATTCGTTTGCATCATTTTGTCGTAAGAAAGGAAGTATGGACATAAAAATCTTCGAATCATGGGAGTATATTTTCAGCGAACTTATTCAACGAAATTCTAAACTAACTGAAAAGGTCAGTCAACTTGAAAAACAAGTCCATCAATTAGCTGAGCAAAATGTACAAATCCAAGATTTACAGAAGACGAACAAGGAATTACAGCAAAAGTTTGATGAGCATATTCTGCAATGTTCGGACGAAAAGTCTAAGCACGACAAATCCGATAGCATAAAGAAGTTAGAAGAAAGTGCTACTCATTTCAATAATTGTGTTATTCAACTAGCTTCTCGAATGAACAGCAACTCATTTCAAATCAAGACACTGGAAACTGAAAATAAGCTATTAAAGCAGCATTCTCAAATGTTAACAGAACAATTCAATGAGTTACGTGAGAAATCAGATTCATCGGCAAGTTCAAATGATAAACAGCCACAAACTTCTGCGGAAGATTCAGTGGATGAAGGTAAGTCAAGTAATGCTAAAGAATCTCCAACTTTGAGCATAAATCTCCTTCTCTTCAATAGATAACGTAACAACTACTGACAGTGGATCGGTCAAGAAATACTCTCAGCTAGAAGGAGTCGACGAGAGTCTTCATGATAGATTAAGTAGAAGCACCGCCTGAAGAAATACAAAGAAAATTAAAAAAAACTCTTTGCTTGTAATTTCAGATATGATCGAAGAGGAAGATTATGCAAATTTAGAAATCACACGAAGAAGCGACAACAGCTCAATCTTGAATCTAGATGGATGGATACTGTCTGATGAAGATATGAGAGCCAATATTTACCAATTATGGAATATGGACGATTTATACACAGGACTTGTTCTTGATCATAATCACATTACGCAAAGTGGTGCTTTACTATTAGCGGAAATCTTATCCGTCAAGAATAGATTAACACTATTGTCTTTATCTTACAATAACATATCCGATGAAGGTGTGCATGCTCTGGCTAAAACTCTCTCAAACGAGAGAAGTTCTCTGTCAGAATTGTATCTTGGTTATAATGGAATTACTGACATAGGTGCAAATCATCTTGCTCAAATGCTGATGAAAAATAAATCGATAACACATCTGTATCTGTCTGGAAATCGTATCACTGATAGCGGTCTGCAAATACTAGCTGAGGCAATTGAAAAACACAATTCAACAATTCAAGTTTTATCTTTAGATTCTCAGAAGTGTATAACTAATAAGAGTGTCGATTATCTTCTACAGATGATACGAAATCATCCATCGCTGGAGAAACTCTATTTAACTAATTGTAATCTATCTCAAAAGGATAAAGAGAGACTTTCGAAAGTACAGCAGTACAATGCAAATTTTCAAATAATTCTGTAAATAACTGAATCTTTTTGGCAAATAAAATTTATCATTCGAATGAAAATGTACGTAAGGAAAGAATGAGTGTTTAAATGCATGCTTCAGTCAACAGTTTACTATTATTACCTATGCTTAGAAAGAAAAACTCGATATTCTTTGTTGTCTCAATGTTCTGCACAGATGATGACTTTTTAAGCGTCATAGAGTATTCGACCAATGGTTTTTCTTCTTTTTCAGTGAAGTTGGAAAGAAAACGTCGAGTGTCTAAAGAAGAAGACTGTTCTTGCAAGTATTATCAACAAATGTATTGGAAGAAGCCATCTTACAGCAAAGAGAATTATTCGTAAAGCGCATTATTGTCGGTATATCTCGACCAGTAGATGTTTTTAAATCACTTGCGTTGACGTCTTTTTTCACAGGTGTGCTTTTTAACTCACGATAGTATTACAATGTAGAAAATGTCTAGTAATAATGATATTGAACAAGATGCCGAGATTCAACTTTGTTGTTTGTGTCTGTGGGATGATTTTGATGGATTTGACCTTCGATTTAATACCAATTCGCACTCACCGTGCTATGTGTTGATTATCGAATGAAATAGTCCAGCTGCAGCTGGTGGTCTTAAACTACACGATATCATTCTAGCTGTAGGCAGTCGAGACACGAGAAAAGTGAATCTCAGTATAGTAGAAGCAGCTATAGAAGAATCGAAAAGTGAAACTAACGGGTTGATCATGAAACAAAGCAGCTAGAAAACTTCAACGACTAAACATCTACCGTTATCATACAATTGTGTTCCTATCATTACTTTGCATCAAGCATGTCGGCGGAATTTGTCAAATTTCGCAAGAACACTCCACCGGCTGTGTAAGATATATTTGGGGAAGGGTAATTAGTCGTTCGGTTTCGTCATCGCTCATGGAGTTAGTAGTATTAGTATTTATATTTGTAGAATTTATGCGAATTCGCTAGCTAGTCTCACCGATTTCACGAGAAGGTGATCGAGTAATTGAAATCAATGATCAAAATGTCGATAAAGACTCAAGTGCATCATCAAAGATCTGCATCAATTGTTGCTTTATGTGACTTCACAGAAAAATCCAGTATTTCCAGTAGGATGAGTTAGCCTTATCAACACTAAATAGTAAAAAAATGCATACATATTTCTAGTGGATAATTGCATTTGCAATCCTTTTATAGATCGGAGAAAATACTCATCGACTGAATGTGCTAATGATGCTGGTAGTCGGGCAGCGATTGATATTAATCTTGCCCTCCCGTAGGACGCTTCTAGTTCAGGATAAAACTATGAAAGATAAATTAATACATATTATATCTCAACTATATCAATATTTTGTAATGTTATTGTCATAAAATTATACTGATAAAGAGTTGCCTAATAAAATGATACGATATACTCGATCATCTGCGTCTAGTTTTGAAAGAACTAGAAAGCTTTGCATGAGAACAACATTACAATTTGTATGCCTTGCTAGCATGTATAAAGATCTGTGATGAAACAATTGAATTTGACCAGGGAAGCTTGATAGAACAATCTTGAGATAGGAATTCTTTAACCGTACGATTTCTGTAAGTAGATGCGATTACAGTGACATCCACATATTATCGACTAATAGCTACTGATCTTCGACATGCAGGTAGATCTGTCTGAGTGACGTACGAAGACGGAAGGAGGAAGACGCGTCGACAGTCATCTACCGTGTGAAGAAATTTATTTTGTGGCATATTTTAACATGTCAAAAGACGCTAATAACTAGATATTCCGAGATTTTGCTCATAACACATTTACTATGACAATCAATGATCATACAACAACGAATGAGTCGCATATATGTGTGTCATCTATCACGATGCCCAATCGTTTGGTCAATGCCTTTTTACCTACAAATAGTAAAATATGATCTCGTCTATTTTAAACTAGAACTCATTCATTACTGATAAGATGGTTGTATATTATCTTTTTTTACATAGTATAAACGCTATCACAACATAGATGTGCGCGAAAGAGAAAAAAGCTAATGTTTTTTCTTTTCATCCAGTATAATTTTATCTTACATGTCAGCATCCGCCCAGCAATCATCGTTGGACGAGTTTAATATTCGACCATGTACAATCGCAGACGAAGATGGAGCTGTAGCTGTATGTTTGCATACAGGAGATTCAGGCAATGATGCTTGTTCGTTTTTTAATGATCCGAAAGTCTTAGGATATCGATTCGTTTCACCATACATTCATTTATCTCCCGATCTATCATTTGTTTTGAAAGATTCGAAGGAGGAGGTTTCTGGATATGTATTAGCAGCACTTGATTCTGAACTATTTTACCAACGATATGTGGATGAATGGCTTCCGAAAATGAAACAAATCTATGTTAGTATTCCATTAGGTTTGTAGGATGTAAACGGAAGACGGTCATTTTTCATCGTTGTTTTTCTTTTGCAAAAGAAGATAGAGTGAAACGTGATTGGGAAGTTATACAAGGTTTTCATTCGAATAATATTGAATCGTTCAAACTCTTTGAAGGCTATCCATCGCATCTGCATATTGATTTACTGCCGAAGGCGCAAGGTCAGTTATTATAATGATTCAAATGATGAAAACCTATTGATCTTCGTTTAGGAAAAGGTTACGGTACCAAGATGATCTGTCATATTGAAAATGAGTTAAAACAACGCGGATCAAAAGGCGTTCATTTAGGTAAATTCAGTTTCGTGTCTTTACGAACACAAAATCGTATGTTTAGGAATGGCACCGAATAATACACGAGCATTCAAGTTCTACACCAAACTTGGCTTTTCTATCCTCGCTAGTGATGAAGACACTCTTTGGTTAGGCAAAAATTTATGTTGATTTTTGTATTTGATAGCAATCGATATCAGTAAAGAAAAGTATCCTTTCTTCAGAGGAAAGAGAACTTAAGTTTGCACGCTTGTATGTACATTTAACAATGCTTGTAGAATCGTTTCATCACTTTGATGAAGCATTTTCTTCGGAGGGTGGTCCATAAAGTGTCCAAAGGCGTAGTTTGAAAGGAATTGTCCGAAACGTTGATCGGGAACAAGTGGCCAAAGTTTTGCAATTTGTTCGAGAACATTTTTCTGTAATTGTGAAAGTTCTGTAGGATTTGACTTTGATTCAGCTCGTTGGAGTGCTTCTTTCAGACGTTGTTCAGTTTGACTATCTTCAGGATGAAAAATATCACCGCGTGATGCCATCCAATCCGTCCAAATCCATTTTTCTAACAGACCTCCCAGTGTTAGCGTTTGATCGTATGCCCACAGGCGAGTAACAAGATCCATAATTCGTTGAATGCGTTCAAATTCTCTCATTTTTCAACCTAAACAAATAGTATCTCGATGTAAAATGTAACAATGCCGTTTATTTGCATTCATTGACATACCGATGACGGTTAAATTTCATACCATGTGCGAATAGAAGGAGAAAAAGGTATTTTTATATCATATGTTTCATCACGAGGTGGAGTAATTTTGCAAGAGCCAATAAGCTTTCGGAGTCATGTGAATGAATGACATTTATTTCGTCATAAAAATAATTAAATACACACACAAAGTCGTTCTTCTCTTTATCTGATCCCTTTTCATCGATAAGGGTACCTTTCGATATTCTAGGTTCACATCATCGTGTACTTTGCACTTCGATCAAAAAGAAAAGTGCACAACGTCTTTATCAAATATTCGTATTTTATTTGAAAAGAGAGAATTCGAAGTAAAGTGTAAGTTCTTCAAACAGATTATTCCACCGTAACTTGGAAAGTTTTGATCTGCATGGGATTTAACGTCACCATTGTCGTCTGAAAGAATCTCGAATCTAAAACGAACAATTTTCAATTGAGTGAGGAAGAGATTCTTTTACAAACCCGTTGACTTCCAATAGGACGATTCATTTCGATCTGTTCTCCATGTTAAACGTTTCATATTGGTCAATGGCAAATTAGCTACTAAAGTTAGTTCAGTCAAATCAGTAATTTTTCCCAGGACATGAAATACGCTTTGTAAATCAATTTCCACTGATTTCGAGTAAACGGCATCTTCGTCCGTTTCAAAATAATGTTCAACGCGTAGAAGAAAAACTTTCGCAGATAATTGATCCAAAGTCAATAAATGAACATTGACAGGTAACGATTGATTCAAACTCGTCCATGTCTGATGATAATTATGTGAATAAACTTCATAAGATACATTCGGCAGAGCAAACGTCATCGTAGGACTCATGAAAAGCTTTTGACTTGCCATACGATGATACGATGCGCTCGATTCTACTGGTTCGATGATCAAATAATGTTTACCACGAACAACAAGACCTCGACCATATGCCGTTTCGTTGATTGGTTCACCTACACCTTGAGAATCATCGTATAACGTCCGTCGATGAATCATCAGTTCGACGGAACCATCGTGCATACTTGAGCCGCCTTGTGAACGATCTAGAATGGTACAAAAGACAAAACAAAATCGTCTAATCAGTCGGAAAAGAAAGTCAGCACCTGTAAGTACAGTTAGTTGTCTTTGACTATCTTTAACCCAAATACGACTGGCAACTGGATAATAGTTACCGCTAACACCTTCATAGACAGTGTAATTATAGGACGATCGATAATCTCTTTTACGCTGTAAGACTTGTCGTCCGTTAGCATCGGTGTAGAAAAGTCCATCACTCGGAATATCTGTGTCATAACGCATGATAATTTCTTTCCCACGATCATCTTCAATCGGTATTGGTCCAACAATCCATTCAACTTCAACAATATGTCCTTCACCATAGATACTTATCTCTTGGCTAGCCCAATTATTATAGACAATCGATGCTTTGTTAACTTGATGTGTATAGGTGCACGTTCTGAAAACAGCCATTAGAAAGCTTCCTAATACTGAATTGAACGCTTACATGTTTCGAGTGTTGCTCGCTGGTATTGGATACGGTGTTAATGGACGGAAAAAATATGCACCGGAAGCTTGAAATTCTGGCATTGAACTATTTCCTGGAAAACCTGAAAATCATGAAAAATACAGCAAGATTCTTTGTCTTCCACGACGATGAAAGCTTTTTTTACTTGTATACCAATATAAACCTTGACCGGAGAATGCAACATCGAAATTTCTATCGAGATTTCTTATCTTGATTAAATTTCCTTTCTCATCAAATTCAATTCGAAGATGCTATGTTAAAAATCAGACAGATCCTTGATACAAATATTTTTCTCTGTTACTTTGTTTTGAAGTATACAAGCTTGATCTCGTATTACTTTCATAGTTTGTTTTACCGATTGATCTGTTTTTTATAAGAAGTCATATAGAGAATAAATGCAACAATGCATTACTTTTAGTTTCGAAATAATAAGTACTGAAACCAAGGCCAGGTACGGATGCTGTAAACAGTAGTTCGTAGTCAGCTCGACTCATTCGACCTGGTATAGTTTTGACAGACAGAGCAATTGGCAGCATCTATATAGTTCAATGTGAACTAATTGAAGAAATAAGATATTGTAGATCAGCTTTACGTCGGCTACAATTCCTTGGCCCGTTGCATTTCGAATCGTATACATTTTTGTCACTGGTACACGAACAATTTGTTCAATTGGTTGAATTGTTGGATTCCAGATAGTGATTGTAAACTATTTTAATGGCCAATCATTAAGTGAACTCCCACGAATTACTTCACTTACATTATTTTGATCTTCAATTGGTAGACATTCACTAATGTTCAAAAAATGACAAAAAAACTGATTTGGAACCGGCAATGAATGATCTCCCTTTGATAACAACTTTTTCAATGCTTGATCGACGACATACTGAAGATAAATGTTAACTATTGTACCTTGAATTAGACATTCCTCTTCTTACTTCTGCAGAATCAATACCCTGTGCCAAACGTTGTGCATAATCATTTGCTACATGCTGTTTTTCAGTTCCACTCACTGCGTCATGATGCTGAACAATCCCCATCGCTTCACCTATGCATGAAGTTATCTGTAAAGACAAGAACAAATTCGTTTGTTTATCAATGTTACTTAGAGGAAAAAATGCATGACGCAGTGTAAGATTTGAAAATGCATTCAATTGCTTTGTCACTTGAAGAATATTATTTGCATATCGTTCATATCGTTTTAATGCTGGCCGTGATGTAAAATAGCCAGTCCACAAACCATGTGTATTCCATGAAATGGGGAAAAAATCGTCAGTTTTCGTTGGCCAAGTTTTATTAACTTGATTCAATGCATATAGATAACATGTTGGAGTCGAATAGAATAGATTGACATCACTTCCATTCGCTTGCTAAGCAGATTTAAATCAATAGAAAGTTAGTTCGAGAATAAGAGATACTACCTGTGCGTTAACATATTTCATTAGTTTTTCTAAGTTTTTAAACCATTCGTTAGAATTTTCATAATGAAAATCACTTCCCATAGTCATCATTATGTGATTAGTTGTATAACTACGTGCCTAAAAAAAGCCTTTACTCAACGTAAGTCCACCTGAAACGATCTAACTTGTATGTGTGCTGCGTCAATGAATGCTTGTACACGCTCTGGTACATTATAGTCATGCAATTGTGGATCATCCTATAGATACACGATGGTATCGCATGGCTCTCCAAAAGAAACTTACTCGAATTGGTTCATCATGACACCGATAATCAAAACAAAATGATTGTGGTGCTGTATATACTCTTGGAATGACACCAGTGAAAAGCCAACTTGGTTCACCAAGGTCGTAACTACCTTTCCAAATCATTTCCATCGTTTTTGATTGGTTCCGTTGAGTATAATCTTGAAAGTCGATTCTTCCGAAGAACAATCCGTCGAAACCCATCTTAATTGTAAAGGAAAACCATTTTTTCTTTTTCTCCGTCAAGAGTCTCATCTTCGTTTATTCAATCACCTGTGCAAACAATGAAGCTACTTCTTTCGAATGACCGAATGGATCAATTTGCCAGCCAAGTTTCGGTCTACCACATTCACCAAATTGATCACGCAAAAACTCAGCCCCTAAACTATGTTGATCTATAATGGAATTGTAATGCGTCACACCTTCATCGTTCATTGACCATCCGCCAGAAATAAATTCTAGATGTCCTATTTCGAATTGCAATGAATAAACTTCAACGTTTTTTCGTCGATGATCAGATATTTCTTTACTTTCATTGACAAGTTTTCTCACTGTATTTTGCATGTCTTCGGTTTGTTGGATCCACCAGCGCCAGAAGAAAGCGATTTCAACATAAACGAAACGACGATCAGGATTTTCGATTAGCGCTGGAATGACCGAGTCGAGAATATATTGCACTGCAGCATGTTGAATATCATTTCGTGCTGAAAACAAGCTCACTCTGATTGTACAATGCATATGATCTCGGCTACTTACCACCATAGAAGTACTGATCAACAGTTTTTAACCAACCAACATCATTATGAGTGTGTGGAACAATGTGCACATTTAATTTATTCGGATCGCCTAAATTACACACCTACCAAAATCAGTAACAGATGACATATCTATATCTTAGAGCAAAGTATCTTGTTTACATCGTAACCGCAACCATCAGATGCTTTCACGGATATTCCTGAACATGCAGAAATCAAGAAAGACAATATACAATAGATTGAAATGTACATTGCTGAATAGGAGATCTTCGAAATGAAAAGATTCAGGAATGCTATCTCGATAAACGTCGTGATAGAAAAAAGATGTAGTTTGTGTTTTTGATAAAGATAAAATTCGAGAAGATAAGATTTTATTTTGGACAAAATTTGAAGGCAGAGTAAAATATGTTGAGATACACATCTGAGTAAATGTATCGTGTTTGACCAGTCACATTCGAATAAATCGTTAGTACATAAACATTGTGCCCCATTCTTGAACGATCAGTCCACTATTTGATAAATTCTCATTGATGAAAACTTTGGGAATTTCCTTTTCCAAATCGTCGAATGATGAAATTTCATCATTAACATCTCCAAAACCGAAAACAAGAAATATTCGCACGAATTGTTCAGGTAACGGACGAATTGTCAGTTGGGCTGATCGAGAATAGATTTGAGAAGGAATGAACTGGAAGATGATGTTTTCATTTTCATGCTCAGGGTCGACTTCGTCCAATTGAGAAAGCACATAGGTTATTAAATCCTTTAAAAGAAACGTTTAGAAAAACCTATCTGATGACGAAATATTTCTACGTACATCTCGATCCTCAGTGGATAAGGTCATTTTCTTTAGAAGATAATTGAGAATTCGACTGAAATCATCGTGTGGAACGCATATGCTCTTTTCTTGAAGAAAACTTGGTATTGAACTGACCGACGTTGCTTCCCAAAATAACATTCGATGTTCAATTTCATCATCAATCTGCGAGTATAATCGATGCACTGGGTGAGCATCTCTTTTCTTCTGATCAAAAATGATCTTTCCATCATAATATACATTCAAATCATTCCATTGCACATGAGATTTCTTATCAGTCAATGATGGATTCGGATACAGACTTGAGAAAATCCATACATTCGGATCGAGTTCAACTGAAACATTGACATGCTGAATAACCCGATCATTTATTGTTGATTTTAACCGAATCACTGGTTTACGTAATCTTAGTATGAGATGTACACAACTTTCATTCACAATACCATATTGTGACAAGAGCAAATTATCTTCAAGTTGTTTACCGTTAAAGATAAGTCGTTGTTGATCAGTTGGGATGCCTTCTTGAATGTTTATACGTTCTTTAGCCGAAGCGACACTATCTGTCTTCAAACAGACGTTAATCTGGAGATTTTTTCCAGTCAAAGTTTTGACAAAAATATGATCCAAAGGTGATGGCGAAGGCAACTTTTGCTGAATTAGAAAACGAGAAGTGTCTTTTAGATTGGCGAATGTTTGAGAAAGATCAAGTGAAGTTTGATGATCATTCTCTTTCGCCAGTTGATATGAATCGATATCTGATAGTTGGAATAGATTCAAGCCTACTAGTTTACGAAAGATATCACCAACAGTAACACCTTCATTAAGACTAGAAACCAAAACATACCAACTTCATCTTGCCGTGACTTTATTTCATAAGTTAACTTACCGAACATCATATTCCTTGTTACTATGAACCAGTACAATAGTAAATGATTGAGGTACAGCCGATGGATTTTCGCAAGGATCGACATGTTCATCAGCTAAATTAATTGTACATTTCGAAAGTTCATCTAGATTCGTGCAAGCAGCAGCGATTTGCTGAGAGTTTGTCGAAGACGCCATAGAGTAAAAAAAGAAATATAAGCAGCAGATATCGTCATAGGACAAAAATATTTATATAAAGACGAAGCGAGAAAAAACAACAACATAATGCACGATGTGTATTACACAACCAAAAACAAATCCATGATGTTAACGTTCTGATGAATAAGTATGAGTTTAATAAAAGCAGAGAAAAATCCTCGAGCGCCAGTATGATTCATAACGAATCATCAACTTTTTCGATGCTTTTCGAGATTAATTTCGATAACTTAAATGAGAATAGAATGATTATTAACTAAAATAAACCAAATCTTTTTCAACCATTATTTCAATCGAATATTTACCTGTAAAACTAACGTTATTATGCACAAAACAACTGAAATCACGGATGCAACTATAATATGAGTTTCGATCATATGAAAATACAGCATTGTTTGAAAGATCGCCAGAAGAGCAACGATGAGAAATACTCCAAATATGCATAATAAGATTGTACTCAGCCATGCGAACTAAATTTCACGCAAAACAAATATTCACCATTGAATCTGTAAAGAAACATACGAATAATAATCCTTTTACATGAGAACGGAAAGTGACTATAAGCCAAAGGGTATCGTAGATAAGCGAGACTAATGCCCAGCTGAATTCGTATCGTCGATTGAAATGTTCACAATACCATGAGTTGATATACTTCATACAGGGCAAGCTGACGAAAAGCAAGTAGAAGAGAGAGAAAGCCTAAAGTTGACAAGAAATGCAAAGGAGAAGTTTAGGAGAGATTTTGTGAGGTTTACGATCATGATTGAAAGTAAAACAAGAAGATATTTTCGTAATCGACCGATGCTCATTCTTTTGGAAAGCAAGTGCGCCGAACCATTGCTGATGTCGTCATCGTTGTTCACATCTGCTCGAATATTTCCTTCGTTTTCCATTATGTGTCTTCATATATTGACAGGCCGAATGATTTGATAGAATAGGAAGCAAACTAATACTTTTCTATATCACTAACGTAGTAATCTGTCATCCTATTGGGCGTGTTTTCTTTCTCGGAAACGGCATAACAGAAAAAAGAGTGTTCATCGAAGTAAAAGAAGAAGAGATCTACTAGTAGTAGGAGAATCGTCTTCCTATTTACAAAAAGAAAAACACATGGCGATACAGTTCATTAAATCGTTTACACAGTATCGGATCTTAATTTTGTCACAGTTTGCGTGACTGGGAAAACGATCACACTATCTTATGTCTGAGTTCCGTTCGACCAGGATGTTCATAAAAAAAATTAGACTCAAATTTATTGCTTATATGTGAATTGAAAGAACAAGACGAACGGAACGTCTCTGGAGTATTCTATAACATCGTATGTAAAATGAAATGTACCGTAATGAGTAGTGTTTACTGGTGTATCTTTCATTGAATGAAATCGTTAATCGATGACATCTGTATGAGCACATTCGAGGACGTCGTGTTCTATTTGAGAAATCAATTTTGTTAAATAGAACGATAATCGAACAGTGGTTAACTAATAAGAAAATAAAAAAAGTGATGGATGTCCGTAAAATTTCAATATAATTTACTCGAAGAGTCAACATAGTGAGCCAGAAAATAATGAGAATAATGTAGCGAGGTGTATAAAACAACGTACCATTCGAAACGAGTGTATCCCTACTCAATGGTAAAAATAGCATAATCCCAAGTGCAATAACATTACAAATAAAGAAGAATATTCCAATCCAGGCGTACTAAAAGTAAATGATTATAACGGATGGAATAGAATAAGCCGGGTGAATTTAATACCACAAGCAAACACGTTCGATAGCATAGACATGACACGATTAGCCCATAAATATCATAAATAGTCGAGCTGAGAATCCAGAATAACGGGAAGTAGATTTGAACATTTCCTTTCATCCACGAATCAACGGTATATAAATGTATACAAGCAATGAGAATAACGAGATCGAATGTCTAAAAGAGTGATTACTCAGGAGATTGATGATAGTTTTATTTTATGACTTACGAATAGAATATCGATGAGAACAAACAGAAACTTCTGTCGTCGATATACTTCATTTTCTTGGGCAATGACTTCAGGCTTGAGAGCTGCATGCGAATGATCAATCATGATGATACGTTATTGAAACAAATGACTACTAGTATCTTTTCTTTCTGATGAAAATTTCAAGAATAAAGTTAGGAGCGAGGAGAAAAACGCTTTGGAATGTTATACTTTAGAATTAGTATGTCGAGAAAAAAAAATGCTATGATTTATACATAAACAAAAAATTGGTGCCAGAGGAAACGAAAGGCGAAAGAGAATCATTGTTTGTTCTTTCACCGTGATTGCAGAGCACAAAAGAACGAAGAGTTATACTGTTCGAATGATCGGGCGTCGATTCATGGTGAGTAGATTGGACAATTTAAATGATAAACATACAATGATGAACTATAAAGGAAAGATATGACAAAATACAATACGTTCGATGAGTTAAGTCGAGTATTTACAAGGACAACGAATGATATCTTTGCAGCAATTGTGTAAATTACAGAGTAGAAGATATCGGCATCGGTTTCATAAGAAAAAAAACGTTGTTTTCTATAAAATGCCGTAATATAGATCGTTGCAAAAGTGGCACTCAATATAATTAAGATAAAGCTTCCAATCGAGGCAAACTTAAAGATAAAATAAAAACCAAAACCTGAACAATCTAATAGATTATGACATTATATTACCACGCATAAGCCTTTTCGAAAGTATTGAATTGTTGCAATTAATCCAAATGCATAATAGAAGACTGAAAATACACGCCAAAGTAATTCACGTTTGATATTAAGTTTCGAACTCGGTTTTGAACCGTGAACATGGAAATGAACAAATAAAACTAAACCAACGAGATCGGACATCTACAAGAATTGCAGATAGTTCGCCTAAGCAATTCCTCTCTAGGGTGTCTTACCAATAAAAATCCGAGCAAAATAAGCAGAGTAGTTCGAATGCGGCGCATCATTATTTGTTCAGGTAATAATCGTGATATGACAGTCTGATTTGGATCTTCGATTATACCGATCCTTTCAATAATTCTCTCGTCTTTCATAGTTAAATCTTTCCGTCGTTGTACTGATATGGTTCGATCGAACTATGACTAGAAACGTAGTCGAAAAACACCAGCTGACACTCATTTTCTATTTTATGCCATCCACTGGAATGAATGAAAGAAAAGACGTGACACTATTTTCATCAAAACCGAATGAAGAAACGGTTTTTTTTCTCGATGAAATTGTCAGACAGAATTCAATGAATGTTATTTCAATATGAATTTATTACTAAAGCGAATACGAGTATTTTTATTGACAATCGTTTGATTATTCATTTCTACATAAAATGAAATAAAACTACTGTTGAATAATAGAAAATGTTTGATTATTATCGTTGGGTATTAGTTCGTTGGCTTGTGTGATTGTTTTGAATGATGTGGTCGCCTTGAATAATACGAAGACAATCATACTAGAAGTCTATTCACATTTTCTTCGAAGTACAAACCGTAAATACTTAGTTCTCGGTGTCTTATCTTGTTCAGTTAACGGTTCTTCATGTGTTCCTTTGGCTTCATTGTGTTCTTTCGGATGAGATTAAAACGAGAATAAACTTTCTGTGCATAGAGAAAAAAGAGCGTTTACCCTTTCCAGCGTCTTTGAAATGAGCTTTCTTTCGAGTTGATATGCATACCAGAAGTTTAGTATTCCATTGGGGAATATGTTTTTCTATGAAGTTCAAAGAATTCGGTATGAAATTATTTTTTATATATTCGGCAAAATCGACTTACGATCGTATTCTCCAATAGCTGCAGAAGCTGATTCTTTATCAACATAAGTTACTTTTGCAGCACATGGCCCATTCGCGTTGTTTGGATTTTTGAAGATAAATAAACTGGCTTTTTGAGTTTTTGGATCGTACTGGGAAAGTATAGATACATTAATATCACCTACATAAAAAACTACATTAAATTTACCTTGATACGTCCAATTTTCGAAAAAAAATCAAACACATCGTTGAATTTGACATTAGCTGGAAGATTTCTAACAAATATTGCATTTTCTTCCTTTTGATTTGTATCGTCGGTACACATCTCTGACGTTGATGAAATTATACTTTCAGCATCAGAGTCATCATCAACTGCTACTGCTGCTGCTGCTGCGGCTATGAGAAAGCGAAGTAGTATAGATAGTTTCTGATTGGAATGTTATTCATCTGTATACGACACTTACTACCGATTTTCTCAGGTGTTTCGCCCCGTAGTTTTTTAATTTCATTAGCTTGTTGTTCGATTTTCTTCTTAAGTTGATTATTTTCAGCAATCAAGTAACCTAGTATAGGTCGTAATGGTTCAAAAATGCACGTCGGTAGATGTGCCGGTAACTCTTCTCTTGTTCCTTTCCAAGGACATTTTATATCAGCAGCTTGGCATCCAGTTGTAGTTTTCGGACAGATCTTATCAATATGATCGAGGAAATTTCCACGTTGTAGATCCGCTTGTTCACATAAAACACATCGAACTCGAAGTTGATCAATCATATTACGTAACGGACGACTAGCTTGTACAAGTTCCTTTGTTGATAATGGTTGTTTCATACAAGTAGGACACGATTTAGTCTTGTTCGATGTTAACCAACGTGTAATACATTGTTTACAGTATGTATGATCACATGATGTGCATACAGGTTCCTTGAAAGGTTTCTGACAAATACTACATATCAAATTGGAATCAATGGAGTCTTCGTTGATATATTCCATAGATGTAAAGATATCGTCGGATGCCATTCGTTCGAAAAGCTTATGTGTCTAGAAATGAGTCTAGAAATATTCCAAGAGGTATGTGTTTGATATGAAATCAATGGCATAAATGCAATGAGTGATCACTACACCTTCTTTCTCAAAGGATTAATGTAAAAAAATGACATGTTTGACATGGCAAGTGGAAAATAGTCACCGGCTCACTTTTATTAAAAATATTTTGTGCGAAATATTGCTGTTTGTGTATAAATGAAACTACGGACATAATATTTACTAGCTTCGAAATAAAAGTGACACGCAACGAATAGAAAAAGGTAAGTAAGGAAACTACATAGTCATTAAACAAGAGTAAAGCGTGACGTCGTCTTGATTGGAAATAAAATTATTGAGAGTAAGGGTGTTACTTTACTTCATCTTTACTTTATAAAATAAAGATAAAGTAACACTTCTAATTGAGAGTATAGTAGTGAGTCGAATGTAGTTTTTATATCGAGGAAGCGCATCGATGTATAAGAAAAGTGAATGAAAATTGTAAATTTTACTTTATATTTGCTTCACATTTATTCTTGTATACAAAAGATATAAACATTCTTTAGACTGAAAGAATGTTAAGTCGCGAATGCATGCGCAGAAGAGTTGATGCAAAAAAACACAGAATGCAAGAAATGACAGAAAAACTTCCATAAGTTCCAGGACATGAAGAACAAAAATATGAGGAACCAGCAATACTACGTCGGATTCTTCGGAATATAAATTTTGCGTTCTGTGTATAACATTATAGAACGAAAAAAAAACAGAGCGCTTCTTCTCTTGAATAGAGCAGGGTTAACAAGCAGGAACGATCCATTTTGCTTTTTCTTTGTGGAATACGACTGCTGTTGAATTTAACCTCGGAAAACGAGTAGTTGCTATACGCCGAATGATTTCTAGTTATAAATATATCAATGCACTATTTTATCTTCTCAGTATCATTCTGCAAATGACTACTCAGAAAATCGTCTCTGACTAAGTAGTATTGTGACGATTTTTGATGGAAGAGATGTATATTCTGATGTAACCACGTCTTTCTTTATTCTTCCTATTAGAAATCGCATCGTTCTGATACAATACACGCGTTTATATACTCATCCATACAGAAGAGAACGCAAAAAAACATCATATCAAAGTACATCACAATATACCAGATAAGGAAAATCTACTAGATGAGAATAATCATATAACGCATACAGCGCACGTCAGAGAGATTGTCACAAGTATCATCCCGTATAAATTATATGTGCACCTTCCCTGTTTGTCGCTACATAGTGTACCTTATTCAAAAGATCTTTATCCGGTTGACATCGCCTTCTGCATATGCATTCGACTCTGAAGGAGTTTCTGCGCTATCTGAGTAAGCAATTGACATGTAAATATGACTATACCTAAACAAGCGATGTGCGTCTTATTTATTCCTAATAATTACCATTTTATTGTATTCCATTCCTTTGTCAAACACTTGCAGAACAGCCCATACAAGTCATTGTCGTCATGTGAGTCCTCCACCGCGTTAAACGAATTATTTAGAATATAACTGGAGGTTTGAAAATTCAGTGAGAATTTGTAGGAAATAATCAAATTCTTTAAACTGAAAAAGAACTCTCACATCCATTTCATTGATACACCTATATGTAATTTTGTATTTTCATTATTGCTTTTTTTTCTACAACTTTTATTTTTCTCCCAAAATATATTCATATTTCTACATTTCAGACGAATGTCGAGCTGTCTTCCATTTACTACTATGTCAACTATGTGCTTCGATCATCTAACAAACGCCACCGCCGCTCTTCAGCGATTGGTATTATTATTTTGATATTTCTTCTCTTGAACTAGATGAACTGTACATGAAGTTTGACCCGATGAAAGCTCATTCGATTGATACATCTCTTATGGAAGTTGATGCTTATTGAATCTCGTGTTCAACAGTGGCAGACTTCAAAGGGCATTACTTTTCAAATTGATCATCTTAACCCTTTCAGACCCAAATTATTTTTTGCCGATTTGCATCATAATAAACTCGTAAATTAGCTTATTTTAGGCACATGAAAGTATCCCATAAACACTCTGAATGTTTTCGTACGTGATATCAATAAAAGTTTGATTCCTGATGTTTATTAAGTGTAAAGCTCATAAAATATTCTCGTGAAATAACAAAAAACAATGTTTGTGTTGTTTTACACACAAAGAAATGTCACAAAAACTACACTTTATATTACTATATATTGGACGAGCTTTTGTACTACAATATCCGCATCTTCCTTTAGGTTCAGTAACAGGCAAATGTCCCAATGATGGAAATCTAGTGCTGTTTTAATTATATACTAATGTTTGTAGAGTAGACTAACCGCAACGATCACCTTATATAGTCTCTTTGAAGAACAGTTAGAACCTTTCGAGAACTTTCCCAATGAATAGTTTTATTTTTCTTACAGATTATACGACGTTGTGTTTATTAGAAGTTTTCTTTACTTATAGAACAAAAAAGAAGTGTACTGATGTATACCTTAGATCATATATACGAAAAAGAAAACACGTACATCTATATATATATATGGCCTATGCAGGATTATGTAAAAAATGAGAATATCAAAAACAGATTACATGTATTCACATGTTATACCTCCGAAGTAAGGAAGAATAGTATCATATATGAAGAAAGAAAAGAAAAAAGACAAACATATAGAGTGAATATCTACGATACACATCTCTGAACCGTCATATGACACTAGACTAATTTTTATTAATTATGTGGTAAAAAAATTATATAAACAGGTATTGCTTTTTTTATACTATGGGTCTGAAATGGTTAAAATATTTTCGTTTCTATTCTCGAAAAGCGTCACGAATAAACAATGTCCATAATTAAAATCTTATCCACATTTCTTCATTCCATTAAAGTCAATATATCGAAATTAAAAGTCATCAGATTCGTATAGTCGTATGATTTATGACATGATGCTGAAACTGCGCTTCGAAACCAAATTGAAAATATCAACATAGTATTGAATAAAGATAAGACAGTCAGCCTTGAGCAGATGTCAGTGGGAAGCTTTGGCAATCTTCTCTCAAATACTAAACGTTTGATGGTAGCCAGTTTTGTTTTGCCAATGAAAGGATGCCAATTAGCTGATTTTCTAAGCAAGCAAATTCGACAGTTAGATATTGTTACTCGTTATGAAATGCAGAATTTAGCGAAACTACAATATGGCTACTTTGATCGTTTGAAAGAATTACATCTGTTACTAAGTTACGGTGGTTTCAGTGAAATATCAAGTACTCTTTCGAAATTTATTATGAACTTGTTTATAAATTTCCTAAGTCTGGAACTTCTTTCACTCCATACTATTCCTTGCAGGCGTTGTGTTTTTTATGCCGCTGATGACGCATTTCAACTGGTCATTGAATATATAGATCTAAGTGAAATTGCGAATGTATTCGAAATTAAACCCTGCGGTCAATATTTTCATTTCGCAAAAAAAATGAACTTTTGAGTTATCTGATGTTAATGTCGCTGCCAATAAAGTTTCTTGTTCGATAGAAAATGCTTTATCGACGTTTGACTGTCTAGATAAATCCACCCAATTACATCCGTTCGCATTTCAATTCTCTTGAATTGCCAGTTTAATGAGCAAATGGTGGAATTCACTATATTCGATATGTTGAATATTGTAGGTTGGCAAAATGTGTCACACTGCGTTCGATAAGCTCTGCTGATGCTTTCATAAAAAACATCATCTCTACTCTCTACTATCATTGTGTCAACACAAGATTGTTGTGCCCAATAACAAGTGCTCTATTACAAAAGCACATACTTTATTTACGTACGTTCTACTGTATCCGACAATCTTTCATTTACTACTATGTCAACTATGCGCTTCGATCATCTTCCAAACGAGATCATTCTCATCATCACTCACTATTTGTCACACAACGACATACTCCATTCTTTCTTTCTCTTAAATTCACGATTTCGTCAACTTATTCTCAACCATCACTCTTGCACCTCCTTACAACTACCAACAACAAACTCGTCTACTTGGCAACGCATCCTGTCGCTTCTTGCGTCACATATTCATTCATTAACCATCGTCAATCATCATCTCATTTTCCCACTAGATCATTTTCCTAATCTAACATCACTCGTTCTCTCCTCGCCTCATGGCTTTTCCAACAAGCAGCTCACTCGCATCATAGAAAGTGACTGTTTTTCCCGACTGCGCTCGTTGCATGTCGAAGATACAGTGGTACGGAAACGATCATACAAGTACGAAGAACTCGATAGTGAGCAAATATTATTTGAGAAAGTGTTTAACGATGGAAACAAGTTGGAAATGTTTGAATATGTGAATGAAGTGGAGAGTTTGGAACGGCGAAGGTTTGCTGGTTTGACATGGAATGTTCACATTCGATCATTGAAAATCCGCTTAGAAGTACTCCAAAATGTGTTTTGTTTTCTCCCGTATACTCCAAATTTACGTTCCTTACATATACGGGCTCCATTTCCGTCTGAGACAACATTACCAAACAACTCGGAAGAGTTTTCTGAAATTGCACTGGAAGAATTCTTATTCTATACCGACAGTACGCTCTCGCCCAGAAACGCGACAGTTTTCGATCGCATTCACTTACATGTGCTTATGCATATAATTCAGATCTTTTCGTCCACACTTGTTACTTTATCATTAAGATGTTCGTATTGTGCTTTGGTTAACATCGCTGAACACGAGAAACACCTTCTTTTGAACGGTTACGAACTCGAAAACGAATTGTTAAAATCAATGATTGAATTAAAAAACTTTCATCTCTACGTAGAAACATATAAAAACGAATATTCTCTCCCAACCGTTATATCAACATTTCGAAGCCAATTTTGGCTGGATCATAATTGGATAATTAACGGTCATCTTGTTGACAACGCTATCTGCTTATATTCATTACCGTTCCCATTTAGTGAACTCCCAGCTGTCCAAAACTTTGATAAGATTATAATAAATCATTATGAAAAATTAACATTCGGGTCACGTTTGTGGTCTAATATTACTTCGCTTGGAATATACGTCGTTAATCAGACGAATACTACGAGATTGTTTCGATTTCTGAAATTGAATTTACCGAAAGTGAAATCACTTCAATTCTTTGGCTTGAGAAGACTCGAGAGTTGCACGGAAAGTGATCATTTGATCTTTGCCGAGAAACTAAACGCTATTGATGTCACATTATATCATGTCACAACTATCCAATTTGAACTTATCCAAATAGAACACTTAAAAGCAAAGTTTTTTCACAAATTTCCACGTTTCAACCGTTTGATATTAAAAGCCACTGATTTACCACCGATAGATCATGAGTTAACTGAAGTATTCAACAAACAGCTGCAACGTTTGGAAGTGACTGAATCAGTCAATTTAGCCACAATTAATCATCAGTGCCTTCCAAATTTAGAATATCTACAACTCACGTTGACGTATGCACGTGGCTCACAAAAAGTTGAACAGCTATGTACGAAAATCGACAACTTTTTACGAAATCTTCCAAAACTGCAATGCTTAACGCTCTTCTCACTATTTGTTGGTTATGAACCGTTGCTAACTTTGCAATTATCAATAGCTGACCTACTGCAAACAGAAATAGCGGATAAATTTGAAGTCCAACAAAGCTCGTGTTACCAACGATTTGTACGGAAAACAAACCAGATATGACAAGTGATACAGTTTACAACATCTCAAATGAACTCATGCAGAACTTGATTGATTTGTATATTCAAATTATTTTCTTTTCTTCCAACTACTCGAATAAATTTCTTTAACAATCATTCATTCCATCGCATTGAAGCAAACGAGCATTTTCGAGAAGATATTTTTCTTTGCTCAACATTCCTGTGCACATGTAGAAGCTGTTTTTTTAAAAGAAGACCGAAGCGTCAACAAAGAAAATGTTACACATTAAATCTTTTAGGTCATTCTAGTTGGTGAATGGCTTCGGTGAAGACTTACAATGATCAGTAGAATAAGAAAGGTGATGGATTGGAATAACACTTCAGTCGATTTTATGTTCAACAAGGACACGTTCCTCTGTTTTGAAACGGTTTATTGATTCAATATCACATACAAGCGGAAAACTGCCCAAATGTTCTTATGCAGTTTGTTGTATCGATGTGAATCGTTCGTTAATGAACAAAAGCAAAGTTTATTTTTGAAATGTTCACTGTCGCACTATTCAAGAAAAGAAGCAGAAGAAGATAGAGAAGTGAGAAAGCAAAAACCATAATATTAATAAAATACTGTCGAAAAGAAAAAGAAAAATCTTCTACAAGAGAAAAAAGAGAAAGAAACACATTTCCTCGCGTCTAGTCTAATCTTGATTAAAAACCAAAGAAAAAACAGAATGAATGAACGCACGTTCATCTTATTATTATTATTCAAGCATAGTGTACAAACAAACACGTGAGTAAGGAGATAATGTCATTGTTCGGTGAACGAAAGATCTAATAACCTTGATAGAGTATAACCGCGATAACAAGAATAATAACGACAATTAAAGTGACAAATAAATAAATGCCAAGAAGTGCTGGTTTCCACGAATCACCCTATTCAAATCAAAACGTAATCGACACTTTTCGATTTCGATGAAATACTTACAGGAGCACGTTCACGTCTAATACGTTGATCGGGATTCTTTTCCGAATAATATTCTCCATCTTCAAAGCCTACAGTAGAAGAGAAATTAGACTGAAAAGATGAACCGCATTGAGTCGATCTTACGTTCGTATTCTTGTCTAGCATAGCAACAAGCATGAATTTCGAAAATCAATTGAACAATAAAATGGAATATACACCAGCCAAATAATAACCATGAGCACCATGTCCACAAATCTAATCGTCGATTATCCATACCCAGAAAGATGACAGGAATGGCAAGGCAATGAGCTAAGGAAACAACAAGCCAATGAATCCAATACCAAACGCAATAACGTTTTGTACGGGCAGTGGGTCGCATGACGCCAACAATTGGCTATAACAAGAAAACGAAAAGATATAAGAACGTCTTCTGCAGAGATATACGATTAGAGAGAACATACAGCCAAGAATGCACAAACAAGAACAATAACACCAAGAATTGAATGCCACATATGATGCGTTCCATAAGTCCATTTCCAATTAAGTTCAAAAAGAATACACAAGAATGCTATCCATGTCAGAATTGCAACAATACACATTAGAGGTGGAAGAATCTATATGATGATAAGAGAGAGAGAGAGAGAATTCATGATTATCTTCGAAAAGATTTCAGTCAGTTCAATTACAGTAAAGTAAGAAACGCGTCTTCGTCGTTGAAGTTTTTCTCCTGTGACAGTTCCACTGCCATCAACAACAACGCGTCGTTCATAGTCTGGCCAAACAGAATCAAAATAACGAGCAACCATCACACCGGCTGATGCAAGAAGAACCCAAGCAATGATATTCAAAATTGCTATTAAAAAGAAGGAAAATGAACAATAAGTAACATATGTCTTCTCTCATTTATTTACCATGAACTTTAGCCAAGAGTGACCCTGCTTGTGGATGTGATTTTGGCCAGATGCGACGTTCGAAATTTACAGGATGATTGTTAACAATTGGAATATCTTGAAAGGGAACACGCATTCCTAAAATCGCATTTTTCAGTCTTTATTTTCACATTTCGCTTCTCCATCGTATACAAACCTTGTGCAGTCATAAGATCTTCGTTTGAATAGATCGGATACAAATAATGAGCTTGCTTTAAGTCTACCAATTTGTCTCGATCGACTCCATCACGAACTCGTCCGTCATTTTCAGCGAATGATTCTGTGTAGGGCGACAGAGTACGTGTGAATTTACAGAAGATATGTGTAGCATTTGAAGAGCCATCGACATCTTGTAAACCGTAAGCTGGTCGACCGCGTAAAATGTACTGAGCAGTTTGAACAGCGACAAACATGTTATGTACGTAAACATGTCCTTGAGCATCTTTTGTGCAGAGTACAACTTGATCACCACCCTTGAATTAAACCGTAACATATGTGTTTTGAATAGTTGATAGGAAAAGAAGCTACTGGCAATATAGTTTCTGCACTCGATAGACGTGCAGACTACCATTAAGAAATAGATAGTATTATGTCATCGGGCGATAAGTAATTTGTTAAGTCGGAAGAGATGACAGTTGCTCAACGTTTGACAGCTGGTGAAACAATATCGAATTTTAATGAGATATGAAAAATGTTAAACAGATCGACTCGAGTTGGTGTAAGCACTACAACTGATCATGATTTCGACTCAAATTGTTGTTTTAATCTCAGAAAGACTTCTGGCAGAATATAAGAAATCGTATGCTTTTAAAATATTGATAAAGACGCTTCTAGGTCACACGAGGAATTCTCACACGTTCTCACGTGCCATATTTGAATAAATTCTTACCCGATTTTCATCTTTAGAAAATCCTACACCAGCAAAACCTTGTGCTCGCGCGACAATACGAAAAGTGGCTTTATCTTCACTGATAACTTGCCAGGAAAGTGTATATTCACATTTGGCATCATTATTACATTGTTGTGGAACAATTAAGCATCCCTGTGATTCACCACAGTAATCGATATTAATTGATTGATCTGCATTGTACGCGATCAGTCCAGATGCCAGACGCTGAACATGAGAAAAATGTACATTGATCGCAGAGATTAGCAGGCAAAACTGATACTCACTCGTCTTAAAGGCGCTGATTTCACTCGATATAGTTGTCGATTGGAAACAATGTCAGCGCTAGAAACAACGAAAAGCATTGCAGATACAAGATTATTAGTTTTCGCTCTGAACTAACTGGAAAATGATTTCATCTAAATTCGGACTAATACCAGTTGCTCGCCATTGTAATGGGATTTCTCGATATCCACGAGCTTCTGCTCGATCGAGATAAATAACCTATCGGAAATGTCCAAAATAAAAGCTACATAAACCCAGAACGAATGTCATTCTTACGCTAGCACCGTTTGGACATGTATGATGTCTTAAAGCTAAATTCCCCGTTTGATGATCGTCAAATCGACCAACGATGTTTCCATCGTAATCAACAGCACGTAGAGCAAATTCGCTGATACCGTAATTCTGTCGTTTTTGTCTTATTGCCACTGGAAGGAAAGCAGAGCATTTAGTTTATTTCGACGACAAAAAATATTCTTACGTAAAATCGTATCATCCGATAGAAATCGCCCTTCGTACAGATCGATTTCAAATTCGTCGTTGCCATCAAGAGATGACATTCCGGCAACTTCGACATCGTGCGAGCATAATGATTCAAATGTGACTTGACTATGAATAGTTCCAAATAATAGGACAAATAAGAACAAATGACGATTCATGATCATCTGAAAGTTCAAAGAATATACATATGTGATACAAAAGAAATGAAAGGTAAAATGTTATCATTATAACTCGGTCTATATCGTCAAAACGAATAAAGATGCGTTTCTCGTATCTCTCAGGGTCTTTCTTCTTCCCACATTCGATGCAAACGCAAACTCCCACCATCACTACAGAAGATGTATGTGTACACATACATATACACGTACTTAGATTCTTTTTCTCTCTCTTCTCTTGGCCAACATTGCCTTGTATGTATAAATGCGACGACAGGAGAGAAAGAATAGAAATAAAAAAGAAAAACTAAGTAAGAGAGGACAGACAGACGACACATCTGAGTAACCATCGTGTGGTTTTTTTTCTTTCTCTTATAAAGTTGATGTCGGTGAATATATACAATGAGTAAACCGTCGACATTGTTGTCATGTCCTACGCTTGTATGCACTGATTTATATATATATACATGTATGCATACTTGATAGGCAAATGCTCAACCCACACATACACTTTCTTGAGATAAAATATATATATTTTTACGAATCATACGACTGAAAGAAGAAAAAGAGAAGCTTGTTTTTGGGGATGAATCAGAACTGATGAGTAATAGTGTTTAAAGGCATGAATTACTATCTCGATAGGTTGTTAATAAGAAAACCAAGTTTGATTCGAAAGAAAAATGAATACCATAAAACATACGAAGTATTATGATAAACTAGTGAATATGCGTAGACGAGTGTAAGACGAAAAATTCTTATATTTGTTGTCGGATTATTCTCTGTCATACGTGTAAATTTCACTTTGCGATGTGCTTCTTTCTCTATAACCTTAAAATTCATAATAGGAATCGTATTGAAAATAGAAACCGTATATGTGACATGTCAATGATCATTTATTTATCTATTAAACACCTTGTAGGAACGTTTCACCCTCGATACAATGAAAATTTCTTTTTCAAGTAGTCTCTCCGCCAATGAACATCGATGTACGATAGAGGTGCATGTCGAGCATTTTGATTGGATATGATTTCGTTTCTAAGAAAGACAAAAATAAATAGAAAAAATCAAATAAAGAAAATAAGAAAGAGCATACCTCGGTCGATCGAATCGAATTCGAATGGGTTGTAAACAATGGACATTAGCGACTGCCACATTTCTCCTTTTGATTTTATCCTTCTGGTCATTTATTAACGCAATTTTACTTTGTATTAGTAAATATTTGGTAAGTGCACTTTCGAAAAAAATACTCAGGAAAAACGACGATTTTTTTAAATAATATTGTAGTATACTGATATTCATCTTTTTATACCACATACACGTGATCGTTCTTTTCAAGCTATAAAAGCGACTACTCAAAATACCATAACTGTTGTGAATACTTCGCTATTTGTTTATTAATATACAGCAAATAATAATGTTTTTTTTTCGTTTTCTCCTTGTTTGTTGTGGATTAGTGCATTTGTGATATATGATTTGATTCTGTTTCCATAATCAAATCATTAAAGAGAAATGCGAAATCAATCGAATATTTATATATGTTATTTGTTTACATCATTTCGAAGGAAAGTTTCTAAAATTCCTACAGAAGCTAAACATTTGTTCACTGTGATGCATTCCAGCTAGTAGAGAACAAATCTATTTTGTATATTATGAAAGAAAACAACAACACGATCTTGTCAATGGTAATCAATCGAGTTATTGACGTCTGATTTCCTTCATAAATCGATTTGTACAGTATATATTAGCAATAATTCTTGAAAGAATCTCCAGTAGATGTATGTATATTGACTTGTCAATTATGGATCATTGGAAATCAAAGGAAATTAATAGCTCATTGATACTGAATGTATCGTACGCGATTCTGATCGATTTGAGAGGTACATTTTGTACTTGTAGAACTTCTGATTGATCGTGTTCGTTCAAAGAAATCAATTAAAGGCAGTTGACAAGCTGAATGGTGGATGGATGTAGTTGATGTCCTTGGTCACCGCAGTGTATCAGAAAACATTTACATATGACGTTGATCCAGCTGTTACTCATTTGGTGAACGGATAAATTAGATGATCAGATGTTTGTATTGATAATGAGTACATTAAAACCAAACGATCGTATATTCGTTGTTCCGATAGATTAAATGTGTATTCGAAGACGGACCTTTCACATTTGATCTGTACTAAACAGTGACAGAAATGATTCTTTTTATTATACATCTACAGTCAAAATAGCAAAGTGGATGAACGCATCAATGGTGTTTCGTTCGCACAAAAACTGTCTGTCCGCCTCCTGCAGTTATTGTCATTGGACCAATCATTCTTCGACCTCGTTGACTCCAACAGAGTAATCTCGGCCATAATTCTGGCAGACATCCAAGTGAAACGAACGGTAATAATAAAATAACATAGCCAGTCAAATAGAAAAAGTATGGTTCAACGCTACTGCCGAAATCATGTAAATCTGGATGGATTTGCTGTATAAGAGTAATTAATGATTGAGGAAGATTAATACACAAGGAAAGTGTCGATATTGAGAGTAATTGAATGGTCATTTTGCGGTATTTCCTCCATTGAAAACGACTTTGGGCATAGCATTTTTTCCAAACTGTTCTTCCCAGCAAGGATACACTGAAAATGGCTTCTAGAATATTACATAAAATTCCATTGACAAAATAGTCCCATGTATTTAACCATGAAATATCTTGATAACATGGAGATGAGCCACATGCTATATAATTGAAATAGAAAACATTCTGACATGGAGGGAACACGAGTACACCGATATAGAACCCAAGAAGGTAGACAGAAAGTAAAATCAATGGTAGGTAATGAACGTAGAACACTTTTCGTTGTGTACCAAGAAGTTGTCGTCGATGAAAGATAAGTATATGTCTCTCTAATGATGCCCAAACAAGAAACACAGATACAGCACCGTAGAAGCCATAGTCAATGAACCACCAGAGCAAGCAAAAGCTAGGCGTTGATAATCTCATATTTCCATGACCTAATCGCCATCCATCAAGATAGAATGAATTGTCAATAGCTAAGATAAAAAGAGAGAGAAAAAGTAAAACAATGATTACATGATTATGAATCTGTTGACGTAAACGACGATCAAAGATTAAATAATACAGGAGAAATATTGTGCAGAAAAGCGATGGAATCTGTAGGATTAAGTATGTCCAAAACTGGATTGCAGCTGAAGGAATGAACACTTCACTCTCATCTTGATAATCATAATCGTAGTCAGTGTCATTTGAACTGGTTTCATTCTTGCTCATGCCAAACGTAACTGTTTAGTTAATCGTCGAATATTCAGCGCAGATTTCTTTTGCCGATCAAATCAATCGATGCACGGAGATAATACTAAATCAAAATGTAGATGAAAGAAAGAGAACAAAATTTCCGCACTGCATATCCTCTATGTGTTTAGCATAAAGAACCGACACGACTCAAATCTTGTTTTCATACAAAGAGAACACAGAATTATTCCAAGCTTCTCAAAGGATTGAATTGTAGATAACGTCAGATCTATCAATCGAGAAAAGATTGATCGCTACTGATCAGTATTTACAGATTTACTCAAGAAGAAAGTCTGTCTACAGTTCATCGCTGAAAAAGTATTTATCAGACATTCATGTTTCTCTCGAGACTATGCCCATGTAACTTCTGTTTTGTCGTCTCTTTATACTCGCACCCATCCTGTGCAAGCAATCATAAAGCTCAAAATAGACTTCTGACGTGTCATATCCGGAAATATCTATTCGGTAGATTATCAATTTAATTAAGTTTTCAATCTTCGCCTGTAATTATTATAAGACGCTTTGTCAGAGACCAATCGACGTTATAAGCGTGAAATAAAACTTTCCTAAGCAAATTATATAATTAAACACGATTTCTTATCGTAAAGATGAAACAGTAAAGTAATAATTTACATCAAGGTTTTTCAATTAACGATTTTTTGGTTTTTATTGAATTTTACTTGTCTAAATAGAACCCATCTCGCTGTTTCAATCAGGTACATTCAAGTTCAATAGAATGGTAGACGTAAAACAAATATGCGGATACTTGAACATCTGCGAACTTCTAGCTGATGAAAATTCAGTTATAATTCGTCATCAAGAATGGAAATTTTCCTTGTTTTATAATTGAAACTGTAATTGAAATGTCCAAAATCATTGAATTGAATCTCTCAAGAAAAGAATATGATCGTTATTACGTCGTTTATGCTTCCTTTCTGTAATACTTTACATTGTTTCATATTTAAGTCAGTATTCGATCTATTTTCTACTACTGATGGGGAGAAATGCGCTCTCTTTCGCATGTAATGTGAGATAAAAATGCTCCTGGAAGGATGCGCATTCTGCTTTTAAGTTATAAATACATTGCACTAAGCTTTTTTTCCATCCGAGTGATCATCAATGCTCAAATTGAAACGAATACCCTATGTCTGGAAAATTCTGTTATGTTTTCTTCTTGTCGCTCGGACCAATGGAGTTTCCGTGAAGAAAGTCTCATCGATGGACGACGATGCGAATGAACTAGCGCGACTAGTAGAGATGTTCTGGTCACTGAAGCCTGATGTACTTCAAAGACAAGGACCGTTAGTATTATGTGAATTTATCGATCAATACTGTGCAACGGCAACAAGTCGAATGCGAGCAATATCGGTGATGATATCTTCAATTGTAAATGATTATCATAGCAGGAAACCTTACAATCAAGTATTAAACGTCTGTGTGAATTCAACGGGATTGGAAAGTATTGAAAAATCTTCTTCGTTGTTACAACGGTTGATTTCACCAATGATTACAAACGATGATAAACTGAATATTCGACAGTACCGACGAGTTATTTTGAACTATACCTCAGAGCTCAATGATTTAATTAGTTACATGAACAAATCATGCAATGCTGAAGAGATCCACGCACTAGTATGCTTGTCAAATACAGAATTGATAAAAAGATGTACTCTGAAGATGCTTCGAGACATGCACGATCAAAGTACTTTGGATATTTATGAAGATTATATACAAAAAACTAAAGATATTTTCACTGATATCAACATACAGTTATCTATGGCGGATAAAGAATTTGAATAAACTAACTTTTTTTTCTATAAAAATCAACAGATTTCTTTAGTATAAGACTTCCGGTTGAAGTTCACGAATAAAAATAATACCATTCTATTCACTAGCTCCTCCTTCAAACTGAATATTCTGCATTCTCTTTTCCGTATGAATAAAATTTGTTCTTACCAATTACACAATTATAACTTCGACATGTATCTCATAGTACACCACATTCCAACACCAACACGCGTGTCTGGAAATACGATCTAAGCTCTGTACATTTGCATACTATTCTCTTATCGGGCCACATATTTCCTTAGTTATCTTCAATCCTAACGCTTACGCCAACGTATTTAGCTGGTGATCGACATCTGGCAACTTCTATGATATTAAACTTTTTGATTGTGACATTCGTTCGATTAGTCTGATTTTGAAAAAAACATTTCTGCAAGTAACTGAATAAACAATGATTAGAATTGATCAAACATTATTCGAAGAACTTATGTAAACTGTAATGACCATTTTATTTCTTTATGTACAGTCTCAAAAAACATTTCGATAGAAAGATGAATTTAACTCAGAGAGCCTACAAAATTTAAAAAAAAAAACAACATTTTCACCAAAGATAAACATTGTCTAAAATACTCGACAGGGTGGAATGTTTTCAGAATCTTCATTATGATGCAAATAAGACATCCTTGATTGTCAATGAAGAACTACTTGACGATCGATTCATTATTCTTCTGAGTATCGCGATTGTTGATTTAGTCAATGCCTAGATTTTTGTGTTTATGCAACAAATACGAAAGCTCTTTGTTATTTTTCTATATTTTCCTCCATCGATGTTTATTATAATGAAAAAAAATCGAAAAATTGATGCTATGTGATTTTTGTCTCTGGTGTTTCGGTGGAAAATTGTTATTCAGTTTTGCAATATAAAGATATGAGAAGACATTGTACATAAAAAATAAGACGAGACAAATGATGGTACAGACGAAAAAAAAACTAGAGAAAGAGATTCAAAGGAATGTTTGATGATAAAAAGAAAAGAATTTCATAATCGGTGATGGAATTGAAAAAATGTCTTTTTTTGTTTTCTTCATTGGCTGATTTAGGCACCTTCTTGTTCACCTTCTTCTTCACCACCTTCACCTTCTTCTGCAAAAAAGAAACAAAAGTCGAATGTTTATACGAATCAACAAAGTATATGAGTGATAGCGTACCTTCAGCCGTGGCATCTTGGTATTGTTGGTATTCGCTTACAAGATCGTTCATGTTCGATTCGGCTTCAGTGAATTCCTAGAAGGGAATAACGTACAAGGTACAACTCAGTCTAATCGTTAAAATAGGACACATACCATTTCATCCATACCTTCACCTGTATACCAGTGAAGAAAAGCTTTACGACGGAACATAGCTGTAAATTGTTCCGAGACACGTTTGAATAATTCTTGAATGGCAGTGCTGTTACCTAAAGAATGAAAAACGAAATTAGTTAACTGCGTACTGCTATTGCATGAGAGCTAGCTTACCGATGAAGGTAGCTGACATTTTAAGACCACGTGGTGGAATATCACAAACGGCTGTTTTGACGTTGTTGGGGATCCATTCGACGAAGTATGACGAGTTCTTGTTTTGAACGTTGAGCATTTGTTCGTCGACTTCTTTCATCGACATACGACCACGGAAGATGGCAGCAACTGTAAGGTAGCGACCATGGCGAGGATCGCATGCAGCCATCATGTTCTTAGCATCGAACATTTGTTGTGTAAGTTCTGGTACAGTCAAGGCACGATATTGTTGTGAACCACGTGATGTGAGTGGAGCAAAGCCAGGCATGAAGAAGTGAAGACGTGGAAAAGGTACCATGTTGACAGCCAATTTACGTAAATCAGCATTTAATTGACCTTTAGGAAAGGAAAGGGACAATTTAGTTTTTCGTTCGTATACTTCGCTTATATCTATATCATACCAGGAAATCGAAGGCAAGTTGTAACACCTGACATAGTAGCCGAGACAAGGTGGTTCAAGTCACCATATGTTGGTGTTGTAAGTTTCAATGTACGAAAGCAAATATCGTACAAGGCTTCATTGTCGATACAATATGTTTCATCGGTGTTTTCAACCAATTGATGGACTGATAATGTGGCATTGTACGGTTCAACGACTGTATCCGAGACTTTTGGTGATGGGACGACACTGAATGTGTTCATGATTCCTAAAGAATTCAATTCAAATTATAAATAGGTACATGTCGTCTTTATAGAAATACATACGGTCTGGATATTCTTCACGAATTTTTGAGATAAGTAAAGTACCCATACCAGATCCAGTACCACCACCTAATGAGTGTGTTAGTTGAAAGCCTTGGAGGCAATCGCAGGATTCGGCCTCTTTACGAACAACGTCCAAAACAGAGTCGACAAGTTCGGCACCTTCTGTGTAATGTCCTTTAGCCCAGTTGTTACCAGCTCCTGATTGACCAAAAACGAAGTTATCCGGTCGGAAGAGTTGACCGAATGGACCTGAACGAACAGAGTCCATGGTACCTGGTTCCAAATCAACGAGAACAGCACGTGGTACATATTTACCACCTACAAGTAAATGAATCATATGGGTATATTAATAGTTGCAATTCGATGTTATACGGTACCTGCAGCTTCATTGTAGTAAACGTTGATACGTTCAAGTTGAAGATCTGAGTCACCATGATATGTACCTGTTGGATCAATACCATGTTCGTCTGAGATAACTTCCCAGAACTAAGATAAGAAAAAAAGCACAATTGTTTGCTGTCATCTAGCAAAATAGTTTTTCTCTCGTACTTTGGCACCAATTTGGTTACCACATTGACCAGCTTGCACTATAATTACATATATATGCTAGATTTTAGTTCAATTGCATTGTCTTTCAACTTACTATGTACGATTTCACGCATATTTGATGTTTTTTATTATAACGATTGAAGAGTGAAGAAAAGAAATGCTGTTGAAGAAAACGATAGAGAGGCGAACGACTAATAACGAACTCTCACATAGCTTTATATATGATATTATTTCTCTCGTTTCTCTCTCTCTCTCTCACTTTTTCTCTCTAACTTTCGAATACACACTTTTGCTCTTGATGTGTTGCTGACAACCAACAAAGGAACATGTTTCTACGACAACACACAGTATGCAATTCTTTCATTCTCTCTCGCTTTTGCTCTTTTCTTCTTTAACGTTCGTTGTCGAGCGATGAACAAATAATACAATATAATATAACGACGAAGACGTCGACGACGACGACGAACGTTTTGTTTGTTTCGTTGCCACGAATCGCAACAAAGTTTCAAGTGTTGGTGGTGATGATGGTCGTGATGAGTGCGAGAAGGGAGGAAGCAGCAACGGCAGAATGAACTTAAATATAGTTTGAGAAAAAAGAAATTAAAGAATGAATCACACAAAAACGTAACGATTCCTGCTGAGAATCATGATCAGCATGACAACTCAAGACGAATTTGTTTGTCTATTTCATATGCAGTTGTTTATTCTATTTCTTTCGATAATCTAGCACTTTGAAAGAGAAAATAGGGCGAGAAAGACGTGTTTATATTATAAATTTTGCTATACGCCTATCCTAGTTACATTTGTTTTATTAAAAATTGTCCGAACAAAAAATCTATCTGTCGTTTCAAAATCTATTTGAATAATGGAACAAATTGCTTAATTGATTTGATTTAAAAAGTATATTTTGTACACCATCATGTGCGTCCGATATATTCGCAAAAGTTTCATCGAGAGATAAATCGTCGAAACAATTCATTAGGCAATTTTAAGAACTTCTTGAGGTGTAAAAAGCTGTTACAACATGAGAAAAAGGACATTGACTTTGTTCTAGGATGATTCATTCTTTGTGTGCATTTCGTAACTAACAATCATACAAACTCCAGACAATTCTTCTGTTAATGAGTAAAAAGAAAGTTTATTCTTTTTAAAACCTTAATAATCATGAAATCATAGTAAATCTAACACAAACTAAACGCGAAAAAACAGATCAAAATAGACTGAAAATGGAATGTGATTGCTATGGCGAATACTTCAAGGGAATAGTATTGGTAACTCCTTTAGGTATATGTGCGGTTGACGCAGCATTATATTTATTATTGGCAATAATAGAGTTCAATAGTATCGTGGTGAACATATCACCAATAACATTTTCATATGATATTATTTTGCTTTTTTCGGATAATTGCCAGTTTTGAAATTGATAATGGTGATCGTATGTATGGACATATTAACTCATGAAGTATATGACGATACTTGCAGCAAATACGTTTTTTCAGCAGAGAGATCATATGATTTACATACTATGTAAAATAGATTGAACTGATGTGATGGGCATATTAATACCATGAATAGATTCTCATTAAATTAATATCAATTCTAATAACTACATGCAACACCATCGATGTGATATGAGCATCAAAAGACGTCACCTAGCATATTTCGTTCTCTATAACCAATAGTGAACGAGCCTGAAATTTTGTAATAATTAAAGAACTTTCAAATGTCATCAAGTAGAATAAAAGCTGAATCCTAATTCAGGTGCAATACGTATACGTAAACTTATCTGAACGATTAGAATTACTAATAGTAAGAAAGAAGAAAAGTTTGTTAGTATAAACACGTGATTATTGCACATAAACATTTATTCTTCTATACGAGTGTTATTAGATGCGTTCTAGCAGGAAACGTACTACTAATGTTTATATCTAACAGAATAGTTAATTGAAAACAAATAGTGTTGACAATAGATAAACAACGAAATGGTAGTAGTAAAATTTTGCGTCTCTACAAAAGATGTATTAGAAGACTAGTAGAAATTATTGTTTTGGTTCTTTATTATCGGTAGAAGATTGTGTATTATTCGATGGTGGTGCAGTAGGGTTCTCATGTTTATTCAATGCACTGCCCTGCTGTGGTTTAAGTTCGACATCACCACGTTCGTTCAAAACCGGTATTTTAACATCATCATTGATTGTAGGATCGGGTTGATTAGGTATTAGTTCATTGTCACCACGATGGCTTACATCTTTAGTCTCACTCTTCTGAATTTCTGTGACAGCTGGAGTTGTTTCGTGTTTTTTGTGTTCTTGTACTTCGCGATCTTTCTCTTTTTCTTCCTCGTTAATTCTGCGTTTTGTATTAGGTGAGGGTGATTTTGGACGTAGCTTATTAAGTTCCTGATCGATTTCTTCAATAGTATGTTCGCCTTCTTTCTTCTTCTCATCTTTATTTTCGTCGTTGGTTTTCACCATAGTTGTTGACTGAAGTTTTGGAATATCATCATCTTTTTCTGTAGTTGTGACCTTCGTTTTCTCTTCGGCTTCTTTTGCAGACATAGATGAATTCTTTCGAAATGACTAGCTATAAGTAAAAACTTTGAAACATTAAATACATGCACTATGTATATATAGTTCGTGATCGGTCATGTGACTAAGTACGAATTGAAGAAGATGAGTCAAACTCAGTCATTTGTGACCACCCCACCTGTCATGTACTATACTTTCTCCATTCTTCTCCTCTATTTGATGTACAGCGTACGAAAACTCATTTCTATTTTGTTCTTTCCAATAATATTTCTCGAATGAATACATAGAGAGTTGTTTAGTATTATTACTCATTGACTCTGACGAAGTAGTTAGTATTCCAATTTGTATACACTTCACATAGCTTTGGTTGTTAATTTCTGCAACAGAGAATATTCTAATCATACTATTCGCATGCCTCGTTGTTCAGCAATATACTCGTAACATTTCAATATAAGATGTTTACATCTCGGAACATATTAGATGTCAAAGACCATACACTATTTGTTTTAGTTTACTATTCTCTTACTAATATATTTACATTAGGCTGTCGTCATTTATTCAAAGCTGATTAAACGTCTGATGAGATAACATTGTATGGCTCGATGTGTGTCTATAGTATTTCTCGAAGATATATTGATATATACATATAATGGAATGTAAGCAACCTTTCAATTAGAAAATTTTGCGACTTGTTTAGTGTAGATTGGATAAACATGCTACAAATAAATTGGTAAGTTCATAATCAGTATGGATCGATTATGGACACGATTATTTGTAAGGTTGTGATAATTATTAGTGATAGAATTGGTTGGTCTAAACTATTGACTGGATAAAATACTCTACAACAATCTATTTATAACGCGTGATAGAAGATAACAGATGATAGGCGACTTGAGATGAAAAAATGTTGCGTGTGGGATCAATAACATTGCACATAACAGTAGCCGAGTGGTACGAGCAGTGCAAAAAAAGAAACTGATAGAAAGCAGTCTTTGCTGAGAGCATCAATATCCAACACTTTCTCCAACTTTCGATGATTTACATAGCCTTGATTTTTATGTAATAGAAACAATTGTTAAACACTTAGGCACAGTTTATTTGACACAACTGTCATACAAAATATGAAATATACTCATTGGCATTACGTACGCATTTCCTGAGAAGAGCAGACACAGTTTTTTTTTTCATATAAAAGAATTGCTGTGATAGGCATTTTGATAATATTAGAAATCTCGAGAGTCTACTAAACATTGATCAAATATAGAATGAAAAAAAGAAGAAGAAAAGTCTTATCTGATACGATCTTCCCAGATGATTTTGAATGTTTCATAGAAGTGCTTGTCTACGAATAAGAAGCGTTCAACCGAACGTCTACGCTTGTATTTTTTAAATAGTCAGAAAGAAATTTGCAATTTTCTATCACTGTATTATCGCGAGCATGTTTTCTTTTGTTTCGAAGATTGATCCTTCGATAAAGCTCTCGTTTTTGTTTGACTGACAAATGATTCTTTCTATCTGCGAACAGAAATCTTCGTTATAATTATTATTTATGAAAGATATATCAACTGCATGTGTGAGAGAGAAACAATTTTCCTATTCATTGACCTTTTTATTTGTGCTGTCACCTGTTCTTTCCAAGAAAATAGTAATGATGGACTGTACTATTTCTTTTCTTCTTTTTATCTTTTTTCTCTCATTTTTCATCTAGACCAATTGTTTTCCGTCAAACAACAGCATCGAAGTGGATGTGTACAATGTCGATCCATGATGACAGCTGCTGATAACGCAAAAAAGAAGAAGAAGAAGGCGAACGAGAGAGAGAGTGTCGATGCATTTAAGTAATGTAGAAATAGACGATAGAGAAGTACACAATGAAACGAAGCTTCGGTTGACAATAAACAGAAAAAACTGTACTTAAAAGAACCATATTAGTGTTAACATATGGATAACAGACAAACGTTATCCATGTTCGCTCAGGGAACTAATGCTCACAGATCGAGCCGCGTCAGTAGTACGATGACATCGATGAATGACGATCATCAGGATCTAGAAATCAATGGCTTCAACAATTTCGGACAAGAAGATCTACACCGGCAATACCGTTCAAGTCGAGTAAGTTATCTTTTGATAAGTAAACAATTGGATATTTGATCACAGCGTTTATTTTTAGCTGAATTCTCTTCGTTTTCTACCCGATAACATCTTATTAGCTGTGTTTTCCTATTTAACACCATTAGATCTTATTCATTGCACACATGTCTGCCATCGATGGCATCAACTTGTTTCCCATCATTCAAATTTATGGCAACGTCTTTACTTACGACCTGACTCGAGTAATGGTAATTCAGGTGCTGTCCATGTTCGTCGTTTAGATATATTTCTTCATGCGATTGCTACGCGTTTTAATCTGTCACTACTCTACATTGACCTACCGATTGAATTGATTACAACTGAAGTCTTACGTGAATTGGCAAATCGTTGTCCAAATTTAGAATATTTAACATTAGATTTTTCTTCTGCAATGCAACTGCATGATTTCAGTGATCTAAATGAGTTTCCTTGTAACCTTAAGCGATTATGTATCTGTTTATCGGAAGTTATCTTTCTCGAAGGTTTCATGCGGCGAATCTACTCATTTCTGTCATCATTACATACGTTACATATTGTTGGTACACTTGAAAAATCTTCACTGACGTCAACAACAGCGCCCGAAGAAACCGATAACTATGAAACAATCAATATTAGTAAAATTAAAGCAAATGCGCCGAATTTACGTATTATTAATCTTTATGGTGTTGCTTTCGTTGATGATAATCATATTGAAGCAATAGCATCCGGCTGTATACATCTTGAGTGTCTTGCTTTAAATTTTTGTACCAAAGTAATTGGAACAAGTTTTAAAAACTTAATGAATCGATGTCGAAAATTAACCTGTTTATTGCTACAGAATACTGGTAAATAAATATATACATAAGAAAGACAATTTCCAAAGAGTTCCGTCAATAAGAGACAGAGCTTAATTGATGCTATGAAATATATCACTATATCATCTTAATTAATATTTATAGGCATTCAAGATGAGCCCATAATGGCTGTGAATTGGTCAACAACACAGCTTACAGAATTAGATATATCATCAACAGATCTAAACGAACAAGCTCTTCTACATTTCTTTTCATCAGTACCGAATCTAACTTATCTGGCTGTTCCTTACTGTGATGGTTTTACCGATGAAGTAAAATCACATGCTTGATTTTTAACAGAAAATGACGTGTTTCATTCTAGGTGTTGGATCTATTGATCACTCGTGGTGTATTGAATACTTGTCGTGCACTTGATTTTAGCAATACCGTTAATTTAAGTCTTGAAAGTGTTCACCGATTTTTAACATCATACACGAATATATCTAACAGACTAGAAGCGTTGAGTTACACCGGCAATGTTGGCATCAATGAACAATTTTGGACTGACGCTATTCGATTTCTTCGTCGAATTAAGTGAGAGAGATACGGTGTGAACGAAAATGATTGTGTTTTTTCTTCATTTTCATCACGAAGGATATTAATCATCGGTACAGCTCATAGTTGGTTCAAGCAAGTAACACGTCGTATTCATATCGATCAAATATTAGAATCTTGTGCAGTGAATTGTCCACATTTACGACGTCTTGAAATTCAATGGGATCCTGAAACATTACGATTAAGTGAAAATTCTTCAAAGTTTATCGATCATCTTCGGTAATTAGATTGTTAGAGAATGTTCCATCTGAAATACTTCTGTTTACTAATTGTAGCATACGTTGTACACATCTGACATCGTTTGTTCTTTCCGATGGGCCGTATTACGAAGGAGCAAAAGCTAATTTTGAACGTGCCGAACGGCACGGAGTCGTACGAACGATAACTATGTATCAAACAAGTATTGTTGGTGCTCTTAATTTTTACAATGAATTGAGATTTAATTAACAGAAACAGACTTGATTAAAATAAAAAAAAGCAGTATAGTACAGTTCGATCTGCGTCTTGGTCGCTACAAGAAACAGATTTGAGTATGTGTGTGTTTGTTCTTTTGACATTGTAAAAGAAAATATAGAAGACCTAAGGTAAAGAAAAGAAAATATTCTATTTTATGAGAATGAAAAGACGATCCGAACGGCAATACTATTCTGCCAAAAAGACGTAACATCTTCATTATTTAAATCTTTAACAGCAGACATTGAAAGATACTTGAAACATTCCATTGATTTGTACATTCACTCGAAATAGATAAACCTCTTCAATTTTCATTTGCTGATTGTGAACAACTTCAATCTGTATATCATATAGCATTGTCAAATTTGCATATCACACCGTCACTGTGTACTTTCCATGCGAATGTACATAGATGTCGGCAGATTATCAAATTAATTACTATCTCCAAAACAATGAAGAATCGATGACTATTCGACTTTTTATCTATCTTCATTGTTCTACGATGCCATGCAATAAGACAAAAATCATCAATCGAAATACTTCTCTCGACAGCCTTGATGGCTGTCAATCAGCAGATGAATCGTATTTCTATTCATTCCATATCTATTTCGATCCCTTTCAAACACGCCCGTAATGAATATCATACTAATCTTCAACATCAAATGACGAACGTATGTACTTCTTTCGCCAACGTTCAACCTGAAGAACTCTCATTTATGTCAAAATGTTAGCGTGTAGCAACGCCGAGACTCGAGTACATTCTTTATTGCTCTCATCTCCAAAACTTGTCGAGTAATAGTTCCTGCTCTACAGTGAGTCTATCTTTGGAAAACTAGTAGCTATATAAAACAAAGATGATTTATGAAATGACACATGTTTTGTTCATCTTTTGTAGTAGCGTCAAATGAAAGCGACTTTGTTCGTTGTTTTCATTGATAAATGTTGTTTTCCTTCAATAGCACTCTATTTGCTATCAATAGTGAAAAAGATTAATAGTATTGTTTTTGCTTTGAATCAATTTGATGATGTTACTTTAATCAGCGAATAGTCACGACAATTTAGCAAATTTATACCCATATAGTAATTCTTTTTTATTAATAAAACAGGAACATTTTTCAGCACGGCATCCTGTTGTGCAATAAGCTCGGCTTTCATCGCATTTTTTCATCAAAACAAGATACTTGTTAGACAAATTTTTTCTTTGCAAGCAATCGGAAGATGTCTGAAAGAATTAGTTTTCGCTCGATCTGGTTATGCTTACCTAACAATTATATGATTATTTCTACACGCTAAGCTATCACAAACTAATGTTGTTTACGTCAATAAATAGAATGAATAAAGGGAAACAGATGGCACCGTTCTCTTTTTCTATGGATTACCACGTACACTCTATATTGTGATCTTCTTATCTACTGCAATGAAGATATGTTTGCGATAGAAGTCATCAACACAACCAACTGATGTAAGCAAGTGTATGCTTATTTTTGAAAGAATATTAATATTTTGAGGTATGACGGATTGATAGGAATGTCTCATTTCGGCTTCGTGTGTGTGGTGTGCAATCATAAATGTCAATCTCATCTGGCACTTCAATTAAATAAGTGTGATTATAACGTACAATCGAAGTAAGTTATCAAGAAAGAGGGTTCAATTATTTCGAAAAGACATAAGTTGTTTTGTCGATCTAATATTGTGACATTTCTAGTTAGATTTACTCGATCGAATTATCATTTACTTTGACAGATCAACAAGTTTAAGAAAACTTCACAATTGCCGCCGACCATTTTTTCATAAATATATTTCTGTCCTCATTAGTCACAAGAATACCTACTGGCAATCGTAATCACTCATATCAGAGGATCGTTAGTGACAAAAAACAGCGGGTAAGAATGTCATCCATAAACTCGTTATCTTTACAACTCTAAACAAAAGAACAGTCACATTAGAGAATCGATGAAATGTTTATTTGATGATATATAAGAAATATTATTAACATTTCTATCTGAAGATATAGTTATCGATGAAAAAGACGTTCGTCAAGTGACATTATGTTGAAGAGAAATTGCATTGATCGATGCCTCCGAGAGACGTGCATTGATCAATAGGAATGAATAACTAGTGAGACAAACGTTTCGTGACACCCTCACTTTTTGGGAATATTTAATTAAAAACGCGACGTTCAGTGTCGCTTTTTCTTCATCGGATTATACAGAAATAAATGTTTCACGGGTTAACGATTAAGTGAATATTATATCTTTGTCTGATACAAATTTTAGTACCACCTTCTTTTGGATTTCCGTAGATATTAGAGAACCTCAAGCAATGTCTTTCACTGTCCTTCTAATACAATACTCATTCACAGTTCAACGCGTATTGGAAAGTGTACTCTATGGATTTTGAATTGCTTTCTTTAGAGCGCAGCGAAATACTGTCTAATACCTGAATGAGTACAAGATAAATTTAAATATCTTAAATTAATTCATATTAAACCGGGAGCGTGAGAGGACACAGCTTGTTTTTCTCCCCGGCAGTTTTGTAGGAGAAAAGATAGTATTTATTTAGTTTTGTTTCAAACATGCTCATCTTTTCTCATTTCGTCGTTTCAAAATTAGCAATGCATTGTATTGTAAAAAATTCATTTGTGTAGTTTCTGGTGCGGAATCTAGCACGTCGCGTCGCATCCTTAATCAGATGTTTTTCAAAAGCAGAATGTAGTAGAACGTTTGTTTCATTCAATGTTGTTACTGATGTAATTAAAATTTCCACTATTTTCTGTATGAAACAAGTTAATCAGTGTAGTACAAAAGCAAAAGGAGATGATTATCTATCATGTTTTTTTGAGCAGATAAACAAAAAAGTCACTCATATTAAAAGCTCAAAGGTGTAAGTAGATAGACACGGAGAGAAAATCGTGTTGTTTGGTGTTGAATATAAAGTAACTCGAGCAAGTCAAAAAATATCTGTTACAAAAGAAGTAAGAAAACGCGGGTTGAAAGTGTAATTGATAAATAGAAGAGATGCGTTCCTCGTAGGGAAGAGAGAAGAAATGTCTTTGTCGAATCGATCAGATCGAGATTGTTTTCAATGTGAAAGAAAACAAAAAAAGCTTTTCATCTCTATCGCTTTTGATATTCTTATCAATGTATTGCTTTTTTTCTCGTTCTCATTTCTTTCTAACATAGATCATATTCCAATTTCTTTTAACATCTGTCACGCTTTCCATCAAAGCTATTTGCTTAAAAAAATTAGTAATATGAATACATCAACAAGCGACTCGGCATTATTCTTACCTCCAATATTTCAAGTAACCAGTATGGACTACCTCTTCGAAAAAGATCTCACGCTCAACACAAGCAACATCCCAACGTCGAGAGATTATTCATCGTTCTATCGAATTGTTATACGCTGCTTAAGTTTCTATGCTCTTATACTCGTGATTATTGGTACATTAGGAAATTTCCTAACGATAATTGTTCTTTGCCGGAGAAACTTAAGACGGTTCGTCACAATGAGATATTTAATTGCGGTTAGCGTTTGTGATATTATTTCGTTATATGGTTGGAATTTAAATAATTTCTACAAGTTTACTATTAGCTCGAATGGTACAAATTTAGAAGAGAAATCTCTGGTACATTGTCGAGTGATGTCGTATTTGACATTTGTTGGCTTACAATTGTCAAGTTGGTGTTTAACAGCTGTTAGTTTAGGTAAATTTTTCATTCAGAAGCTTTTCACTCAGAAAGCCCAAATGGTGTCAAATTGATAGGACCTTGTCAAAAATTTAATTAGTATGATTAAAGTAAGAAACGCATATTTTAAGAAGAGATTTTACCGAAAACGCGAACTTGAGGCAGCCGATGTCTACTCGTCTGTTATATGACAATCTCTATTTTCAGCATATCTTCTTTGTGGTGATAATCCTTAAGATCTTATTTCCTTGATGAAAAGAGTTTCCGTATGATACTAATTTGAGAAATTGCTTTTTTTAATTTATAGATCGCTGTTTGAGCCTATACTTCCTTACCTGGAAACACAAATATGGCAAGTTAGCACGAACTAAATATCATATCGCATTTCTAGCCATCATTTGTTTACTTTTGAATTCGCATATTCTCTTTGTCAACGGTTTTCGCACTGGCCCTCCGGAAAATACAATCCGATGCTATCGAACTCGTTCGAACAAATTCTACATATATCCACAATGGGAACGTGTACATCTGGTGGTCTACAATCTTTGCCCATTTATTATCATGCTCTCTTGCAATACTTATATTATACATGCCACTATACGTTCGGCACGTATTCGTACGATAAGACGAGCGGCAAACGGCTCGTCGAAAGGTGTTTTTTCGGGTGCATCGCGACATCGACAACTATCGATTATGCTAATGTTAGTCACATTTGCATTTGTAATCTTGACATTACCGTCGTGTATCTACTTTGTTTTCTTTCGTCATCGAATGCCAGCGAATAAGAATTCCCGTGCTTTTCGTCATATGGTACAAATCTGTCTTGGAAGTGTACAGTTTACATCCCATGCAATCAACTTTTTCTTATATTGCTTTTCGGCGACGAACTTTCGTGACGAGTTGCGTGATTTACTACGAGATCTGTGTTTACATCGTTCAACAGACTCGAAATTTCGCCAATCGAGAACAACAACAGTGAGATTGACAACATTTCATAAGTCGAGACGAGTGAAACAACAGCTCGATTCCGGATCAACATCCGACAATTCACATGTTGAACGTAATCATATTCTCAAGTCACCAGATACTGAAAAAGTTTTCGTGAAAATTCTTCCCAAAGTGGATGACTACCGTGATATCGAAAATACCCCAAACTAAACTGTTCGATCGTGTATATAAATAATAAATTACAAAAAATATTTTTGATGTGATTTGTGAATATGAGAAATTCGAGGTGATTGTCTCTATATGTAATTAACACGTTTGCGACAATAAATATTTGTTGATATTGAACTAAACGCGATAATTGAACGGTTTGTCGGTCGACAAATAGACTAAGAATAATAGCGATGGATAGAAAGACATTCTTGTCTGAAAGAAGAATAGAGTGATCGTTTTGATGAGATCGCAATGGAGTGGGTCATTGAATTGTTTATTATGCAAACAAAAATATTATCCTTGATACACTTTTTCGTATGCCTTTCGATAAAAACGTACAAAAAAAGAACGAAAAGCAAGGGGTAAAAAAAAACTGCATTCGCAGAAAAAAAAGGTCTTAAGATATGAATAAAAAATATCATTGAAAAACTCGATAATTAAAATAAAATGGTGTCGTTGTGATTAGAGAAAATTCCTATCAGCGTTTCAACTATAAATCTATTGAGGTGTATGTTGTCTTCTAATGGTCGAACTGATAGGTTAAACATTCAATGACTCAAGAAATCCAAAAAGTATTGCATTCACCGGTCAATTGGGAAAAAGTTATACACAAAGCACTTAAATTTTATCGCTTTTTTTTCGATCAAATTTAAATGCTTTGTGTATAACTTTTTCCATGGATTCGTAGCATGATTTGATAGCAGTCTACGGTTGAATACTATTAATAGAAGCCAAGGCATCCATATTGGAACCATCGCTATCGGCGCAGTTCCCGTCATCCGGTTGCATGGCCGTGCTACAAGCAATGTATGATATAGCACTTGGAGGTTCAGTAATAAAATCGACGAAAACTTTGATAAACATCGTATCGTCGCGGACGTATTGATTGCCGTCTTGTTCAAGTAAACGAAGAGGCAGGAAGTTTGAAATGCCACAGACAATGTTCGAACTAGTTGATGGACGTTGGGAGCCATTTGATGCAGTATCAGGCCAGACTGATTTTGACGATGCGTTTTCAAATGATGTTCCATCAAAAACCGAAAACGTAACTCGATATTTAAATGGCCAGTGAAGGATGGCATCATATTCACCTTGTATTAAGACTAGGTATAGAGACATATTTGCACCACGTGGAGAGATGTCGGCATTGAAATGTAACATTAAGCACATTTTATAACCAGCTGCAGATGAGCAAAATAGAGGAGATCTGATTGACTCTTGTCCATTCACCAAGGCATTTCCTAAACAAACGAAAAGAAAAATAAGCATATCCTCAAGACATACATACTACTCTTTTCATTCCAGCCAGTAATTTTCCAAACATACGAGCCATCAACAGAAATAGGGCATCGATTTTCTAATGCTTTTTTGATAAATGAAATATCCTGAGCTAACTTATCTTGAGCACTAATCATTTTTATGATAGCATCGTAGGTTAATTGTGCGCGTTTGCGTTCGATAAGGTTATCTAAGCGAGCTATTTCTTGTTGGAGTTCGATGAGTTCATATTTGCGTTTGATAGTGTTATAAGTGTTCAATAATCGAACGCTTGACGTCAAAATTGAGCTAGAAGACAGGCGATCTATTATCATCTGACTAGGCTAAAAGTTCGCATTCGTTTATATTTAAAAACATCATCAACTTTTTCCTTACTCCATTGTTGTAGATAGAAGCAATCGTGCGATTTCGATCGAGCTGATTCTAAGCAATAACATTATTATGCAAAATAAAAAAATAAAAATTCCGTGTACTCGACTGAGATTCAATGGCGCGGTCGGTTGATCGATAACTGAGATTTTAGACACTGTTCCTGTTTGACTAAGGCAAGTTTGATTTGATCGGGCCTAAACGAGGAGATCAATATTGTCTCGAAAAGAAATGTTTAATCGCTATACTTGTTGTCTGGTCGGCGCTGTAGGACATTTCAAACATCTAGAACAGAGAAAACAAGATTTTATTATTAGTACAATAAAAGATAACAACACTACCTGCTTTGACTATTAACACATAATTTACAAAAATGATGGCCACAGGAAAGTGGGCGTAGTTCCTGAACCTTCAACTTACAATATGCACAAATCGATCCTTCATCGACGTTTGCGGTATCTTCTCGTTGAGATGCACCAGGAACTCGTTTAGCTGTTGGAAAGTCACAATCAGGAGTATCTGGACGCTTAGCACCGATTCGTTCCATAGCAGCAGCTGTAACATCGTGTATTAGTCTACGATCAATCGAACGTGACGGGTCAACCGCTAAGCTTGTTTGAGCATTGGACAAGTGTTTCTCCAAGTCTCGTTCATGGTGAAGCTTTAATTTGCCAGGTATAGCTTTTGAAGGAACTTGACAATCGGTTAAACTTCTAGTATCATCGTAATATAAATGAATGCAACGAACTTGACTTAAGCGGCATATGTCATTTTGTACCAGTCGATCGTAATATTCACCGGGTAAATGAATGTCAAGTGTATCCGTTTTCGTGCACTTTTCGTATACATAACTTATTAAATTCGTTAGTTGCATAAACCAAATGACATTTCCAGCTGATACACGTTGTGCTGCTGATTTTGGCCAATAAACAAGCACTTCTTTCACTTCACCACGGGAAGCTGAAGTAGTCATGATTCAATTTAGCTTTAGAATGAAAGCTATTTCTATAATATGATAGAATTCGACGTAATATAACAATACTAAAATAAAAATGTATTTAGTTTATTGTGAGGTTAATGTAACTTCTTTTGTGGATAAATATAAATCCAAGCAAATTCATAAAGAATTGAATAACCAAAAGCGGTGCTTAATTATACAATTTTTAAAAAGTATTATAGATTTCTTCAGTTGGATATCCGCTTAGATTCCTAACCGTTACATGTACAAGATAAGAAAAAACTGAAGCAGGAGAAACGAACGGTGCATTAAATCCAACGTATATAAGTTGTTTAAAAAAAGAAGCGAACAAGCAGTAGTAGAAACCTTTTCGGTCGGTCGACGCCTATGATCTATTCATGGCTCTCCATGGTATTTAAAATGTAGCAGATTTGTTTTGCGTAATGGTTAGATACTGAGTGCAGGGAGAAGCGAATCGACTAGATGTATATACGGGCGACTGAGATTTTCTTGATTCTAGTCGGGGTTAAAATAAGTGGTGAGGAGAGCAAAATGAAAATATGATTAATATATATGACGCTAACAAAAAAAAGTTATATAGTGCATGGACTCACACAGAAGAATGATAGTAAAACCATCTAACCACTAAAACTCGGTCTAGACTATATATCCATTTTTCGCGGCTACTTGTACGCGAGCTCACGTTCTTCCTTCTTTCTAAAGTTCTCTCGCGAACGCGCAGAATCTGAGTGCACGGGCATAATGTATTTGTGCCTCTAATTCGTTGTTTTCGTCTTCCCTTTTCTGATCACCTAACTCCTCTGAAAAGAGCGCAATGTCGATGGATATTTTGATTAACAGTCGGGTGTCATCAGCAAACACGCCATCGATTTTCGCGTACGATCTAGCGAAACGTTGCGTTCTCAATAGATCGTTGTTTGTACATCGAACTACGATTGAACGAACATTTCTGTACGAATGACTATGCTTCACGACTTCTTGCAAGTTGGTCTTCACTTCAATTGTTAGCGAAGCTAATGTTACTGATGGATTCATTTTCAGCCAGTGCCACAACTGTTCAGGCATAGAATAAGATAATAAAGTCACATCTTCTGCAGTTAGATGGGCTTCGAGGATGGTTCTTAATGACGAAATTTGTTCGCCTAACCAAATTATTACAATACTACCAGGCCGTACTAGAAATAGAATAATAAAAAATGTCAGACGATCTTAGTGAAATTTCAGATTAGTCCTAAATGACATCTATTTTCTATCTCATACTAAAACTATCTGTTCGTACCATTACTATGAATCGAAATAGTTTTGTTAGAAAGTTGCTCGTCATTTTGTACGACGGGATTGCTGCTCTTACACACTGCTTCTGAATTATCATTAATTGGCAATGTTTGAGTCAGTGCAATCAATTGTGTCAATGACATCATATGAAATACAACAAGTGTAGCTTGGAAAAAACCCACTGGTTGTATATTTATGAACAAGATGAGAAAGTTTTTTAAATCTGAAATATAAATATAAGGTATGCATCGCAGTCGACGCAAAAAAGGTAGGAATGATAGAACATTGCCAGTGATAATAAGATAAACATAAGCGTTTAAAAGACATGGACTGGGAAAAACCCACTAAAGGGATTCAATGTAAAATTGTGTCGAGAAGTAGAAAAGAGAGCGAGTCACCTGACGCAAAGAAATAAATTGCAATCTTTTTTGTTTGCCGACAACCATAAAATGAACTTTCTATGCGATCTGTTTTCAATATGAAACAACTTACTTTCAGCACGACAGACGTTAATACGAGTAACGATACTCAACGCAATGTAGTAGACTGTGCACTTTGTGGGTAAATTTTAAGCAGCGGGAATATTCCAGGTGAGTAGAGAATTGAGTAAAACACGACAGAGTTTTCTTCCATATATATAGGTGACGCACTTAGACTCATTCTTCAAGAATAATACTTATGGGGTAATTAATATTTAATTAAATGATTGAGTATCATTGTACTTCATTCATTTTTTAGATATATAAATGCGCAGAAAGCAGCGAACGCGTCGATCAAATACCTGGTGAGAAGCGTCCTCCATCGCAGCTTTACTCTATTGGTGATAAAGATAATTGAAATTTCTGTTGATCAACAGCCAATAATACCCGTCGACAAACGACAGGAGCGTGCACATCTTGGAAAAAGTCCCACACAATATCTTAAATGTGGCTTTATATTTAATTTTTCACTCTGAAAACTAATGAACTGCATAGTGGTCAAATATAATTCATTCATTCATTCAGATTCAGATAGGACATATAGATATATAAATTCATATGTAAATTGTACAAAACTTTGCCCAAATACATTGGGGGTAGTTTTCTGACGGTCGAAATATTTTAAAAAGCTTCTTTTATCTTCACTTTCCATATCATGTGTCCTAATATTTATCGGTAAAATTAATTTATGTCACTCACTTTGTCGTATTTTCATCACCATTATAATTCCATCATTTTCAAGAAAACGCCGTTGTGTCGAATGCTCTGCTGGGTCGTCGTCACAAACAAATCCAAGAGCTTCACGAAATGTTTTTCGTTAAAATGAAATCTTAAATCCACACAGACCCGATAGGATACGTTTTCCACAGGCTCATTGCTTATGGATGGATTCTCCCTATTTATTTCTTAACAGCTTTCTTTTCTTCAGCTAGCGCCGGATCACGTTCGATGAGTAATGTTGTTATCAACACATAAAATCAAGACATATACGTATTACCTTGGAATTTTCCAACCTATACGTTCTATACCCATTGGCGGCGCACCATGTAGGCGAAGGGAGGCAATTGCCTCACCTAACTACTACATCGTTTGATAATTCTTATTGTCGTCTCTTATATACACATTTTTTGATAGCTTTTATTTAAAAAAAACATGTAGCCATTGTGGGACTTCCCTTCTTTTCTGCAAATTGTGTTGATAGATGCCACACCAGCATTATAATGAACAGTAATTAATCTCTTTAATTATTGACGCTTTACTATGAGAACATATGGTTACAAAAGCAAAAAGCGATTTGCACCGATAGCTAACTCGAAATTTTATTTTATTTTTTCGAAAGGATAATTTTTCAATTAAAACACATACACTAATTTGATTCGAATTTAACGCGCTATTAAATGAATTGATATTCAAGAATTATAGATATCATACCTTCAAGAAAAGAAGGTTATACAGACAATTTTGCTATGTGGTCGTCAATGATCAGAAGTGAACGTGGAGGAATAAAAAGAAGGGTAATCGGCTTTTCTCAAAATAGGAACGTTTTGATAGAAAAGTTTTTAAAAAGTATTGCAGTTCTTCGAAAGCTGGCTTTAAAATTTTTAGATTTTTTATGAGAGCGTAAAAAATTTCCACAAATTTTCAAGAATTCATCAGGTTTTCATAAAATTTGTGGAGATTTCGCAAAAGATTCCTGAAAATTTTTCTAGAATACCTCAATACCTTTCTAGAAACTTGCGAAGATTTGCGCCAACATTTTTAGAAGATGAGTAAATTAATACGGCAAAGTCGAAATGTCTATGTATTTTTGTGGGTGGAGATAGGAGGGGTAAATGATGTCACTGAATTCTCTATCAACAAAGGTATCTTTGCCTGGAAAATTGATTGCTTCCCCTAAAATGTTGGCCTTGCGCCGCCCATGTCTATACCTATGTGTCAGATATAAACTGAGCAGAGTTCATCATAAAGAAAGAAGAATATATTTTTATCTTTATTTGTCTCTTATTTACAAATACTAAAGCAATTGTACAGCAACAAAAATACGAATAAAACCATGGGTGGCATGAAAAAGATTATCACTTGTCAGTTTGAAAATTGAGAAAGCCACATGCGCTAGCAGATTCACTGTTTGTTTACTGAAAATTCACGGAAAACTCAAACATCGGAAAGACACGGGACTATCACTGTAAAAATCTTGACTGGAAATCGTATTGATTCGAAAAAAAAGTTCACTATTAATAATCAAAGAGAGTCATTCATTCCGTTTTTACAGATATATATTGCCGCCCACCCTCCAAACCAAAGGCAATAAACATCATTCGACCGAATGAGCTCAACTTTCTTTGATTACTATTGAACAGCTGCGTTCCTAAGTAGCTTTACATATGGCATTGACTTCCAGTTATGTATCAGTCTCAAGAACACTGCTGTTCTATTATCTACGCCTCGCAATTAAACAAACGAGAGGCTTATCTTCTCTGGCTAAAGAATTTTCAAACTGACAATTATCAGCCACCAGAACCGGTGGATTATGCGGAAATCAATGTGTCGATATCTTCACCGGCGTCATCGGCTACATGTTCTTGATCTCGTGCTCTTTGACCGGTGCCATGTGACGGTATAGCATCTGAAACGGCAATCATCAGAGAAAATTTTCGCTAATAGAAGTATTCTTACTTGTTTCTTTGGCTGACGCTTCAAATCGCACCTGGATCAACATTGTATCATTCTGGACAAATCCAGAGTCCGCTTTCAAAACACCAACTTGACAAAATTGTGGGAAGCCATATGCCTCGTTCATATCACACCATGGGCAAGAGAAACACGGCAAATTTTCATCAGGCCAACAAGATTCGACGACATGACCATTTTCATTATCGATACTTGACTGATTAATTAATGTGAATGTAGCCTGTAAGTTGAATGGCCACTTTAGTGTATCATCATATTCACCGCGTTTAATTACATAGAATAACGATATATACGCATCTTTTCCTGTTAAATCGCCATTCACGTACAGCCGCAGACAGATTTTATATCCCTTTGGATGAGTGTAAAACGCAGGCGAGTAGATCGATGCTTGTTTCTTCAGTACAGCATTATCTAATCAATCAGTAAGGAATAGTAGAACATCTATTTCGGCAAGAGCCGCTTTTTAATCCTCACGTTTGATGAATTCAACGCCTGATATTTTCCAAATGCAAGTACCATTTCGCGATATTTGTATTGTATTACAGTCTAGGTTCTAAAATTATCGATGACATACACGCTGAACTGAAAAATAATATCTCGTAGCCATAGACTTACTGGTTGATCCTCAATAACAGGAGTAAGCAATAAAGGGTGCTTACTGGACAGATGTGAGCTATACTCTTTAGTTAGCCCATCCCATTCGCAAGCAACGCATACAACAGCTGAAGTCTGAATTGCAAGGGTCTTATCTTCGTCGTGTGACGCCTTAAGAAAATGGACAGTGTATGAAAAGATGAATAGAAGATATGTCATCTATGAATACATACCACTTCAAACGAAATATCTTTGTTACAGGCTTGACATCTAAAAATAGTATCGTAAAGGCATATACAAAATAGATGCAGATAACAAGATTTACTTTATTTTAGTTTGCGAACATAACGTGCAAACGAAATGATCACACTCCAAGTGAAAAGTTTGTTGGACGATTAATTCACACGAAGAACACAATGATTCTGGTATAATATTAGCTGATCTCTTCACTGGAAAGCCGAAGGGCGAGGTACAGCGTAGCTTTTCAATAATAGCCGACTTTTCCGATTGACAATGTTCTTCATAAACACGACGGATTTCTTCTTCTGTATGTTGATTGAACTTATTTGATGTTCGCAATAGCTCATCTAATGTTACGAATTCTGTCTTATTGACCGCTTGTGGAAAGCGAAATTTCATTACTAGCACCTGATGGTCATTACTGCACACTACAGTTACGTTTTTAACTTGTGAAAACTGGTAAACTGGATCATCATGTAATATCTCAAAATCTGTTGGGAGCATCGTCAGACGAAATAGGCCTTTTTTCAAAAGTCTCTTCGATACATAACCCACCGTTAGCGGTACGTTTTGACAGATAGTCCCAAACAGGTGTTGAACAGTATGGGAAACGTGCCTTGGCCACGTGAGGACTTCTTCGCATTCATATTCGACAGGTTCACCGGGAGTACGAGACATTTTGACTGGCAAATATACTGAAAAGGAAACGTTTCTAATCTTTGATATCCGGTTAAAAAAAGAAGCAGAAAATAAACAGAAACAAAATGAAAGTAAATCGTAAGTACATCAGTAGTAATCGATAAAAAATGCAGATGATATATCAGACATGACAGTAAATGATTTAAAACTCACTGGCGGTTATTCGATAAAACGTACGAATAACTGCTCTTGCGCAAAGATTATTGGCACACTGATCAAAATCCAAAGATGCGTGTCTCTAACGCCAGTACGATGATACTGACTGTTGCTCAATGAAATTATGTTGAAATTCGTCAGATCTCTTATAGGTCAGTTTCGAACCAACTGTATGTACATATAGATGTCATATATGTTTAGAAATTGAACTAGCTTTTAACCATTTTCATGATTTTAATAGAATGATTTCTTATAACTTTGATTTTCAAATTAAATAATTCCCATCGTACTCTGGCAGATTCCTTTATCGATTACAAAATAGATTATACGACAATTTTCATTACCATTTCCACACGGACATGCAATTTTAAAGTTTATTAAGGTAGAAGTTCACATCCATTTTTTGATGTATAAAAACACGATTGATTATCTTTGAAAATGTATGAGTTTTCCGCTTGGTTGTATTGGTGATTACAGCTTCATTTGCATTCCAAGCATCAGCCGATGAAAATGCTGTTGAGATTATTGAATTGTTTCGATATTCTTTTCGACTGCGAAAACTACTACCGACTATTTTGAAACGAACGGAACTTCTAATGTGTTGCAAAGTTATTGAAAGACGTCGTCACGATGTGTATCGCTGACAATGAACACCATTGCATAAATCAGCTATAGTTGTTCGTACAGATGAAAAAGTTCATTTTCGAATCGTTGTTGATTGATTTCTATGGTTGCTTTCAATATTTGATTGAAAAGTAACATCGCAAATATAATTCGAGAATTCTCTCATATATTTTTGCTCTTTTCATCAACGAGAACATTATATTACTGATAAAAAGTAATTTGATCATTTGTTCCAAATGAATCAAAGTACTTTCTGAATAAAGTGAAACAGTACATTAACTGATGTTTTGATGAATAATCATTGGCTCGTATAAAAGCAAATTTACCGACGTCGTTTTAAAAACTCTCATGAATAAAATAGGTTTGATTGCTTTCTTGTTGTTCTTCATTTATGTGATCGGTATGTGAAGATCTGTTTGCACACAACTATCTTTCCTTTGTTATTAAAGATAGTCTTGATGCAATTCGATGTTACAGTTGTCTTCAAGGCTGTCCTGATCCATTCAATAAAGCGAATCGGCATGTTAATCGAACGAATTCAGCCAGTGGATGGTGTATGGTGCGTATCCTCACGAGAGAAAGCTTCCTTACTTCGTTTATCTTTCGTTGTAGAAGTTGAAAACTTCGAGAGATCACAAGTTGATGGTTATTCGCACTTCAGCACTAGCTGATATTTGTAAAAAAGACAAATGTAAATCATCCTTTCATGCCGGTACAAAAGCAATCGGATGTTGTTGTAACACAGATCTATGCAACCATTCACCGGTAATCATTTCGTCACTGAATATCTGGCTGATTAGCATTGCAACGAAGTTTGCTCTTCCTTAGTAAAGTCTTTTGATTTATTTGTTTTCGTTTTGATAAAAGGCATACTTGCTCTAGTTTTTCTTCATTCGTTACACCTAATAAAACTCCAGATAATATAAATTACGTCGCATTATTTTTTTCGAGAAACTATGCTGGCCTTAACTCTTTTCGTGTTCTTAACTATTGGAGTATCCATGGCGAACAGCCATGCATGTACCTGTTGTTTCCCTAACATGGCAGATGTGTGTCAAACAATGGCAATTGATCTTGTATCTTGTGATGAGTGTACAAATGTCTTCTGCGCAAACCATGTCAAAGGTTGTCAAGGTTTAAACTGCAAAGCGATATGTCAACCGGACACGAGTTCGAGTTCTACGACATTACCATCATCAAGTTTTAGCTCGAAAACGTCGTCACCATCATCAAGCACGTTCTCTAGTGGATCGCGAATACAATGGGAACCATGCACTATTTCGATTAGTTCAGTCGTGTTAGTTTTTCTTCGAGCCTATATCATTTTGGAATAAACGACGTAAATAGCACGAAAGTAATCTTATCTTTAGCGATAGTCAGAGAAAGAAGAAAAGAAAAAACTTATCCACGTGATTATTCATCATGTTTATTTTCACAAAACAACAAAAATAACACGGTAATCACAATATTTGATTCTTCACTTCATTGTGTTGTAGAAGAAAATATGGCTGAAAAGTCTCCGACAACTGTTGCCATATTAAGTCCTGGTGATATGGTAGGGAATATTTAGTCGAATATCTTGAAAGAATCACTAACGTTCTTTTTCTAGGGTCACTCTATCGGCCGAGCACTGTTACTTCCCTCGAATGACAGTCGATTTCGTATCATAACGAATTTAACCGGACGGAGTAAACGTACACAAAAGTTATCCGAATCTGTTGGCATCATAGATGTTCACACAGATGAAGAGCTTGTTCGGCAAGCAGATTTCATTTTTTCAATCCTCGTTCCATCCGAAGCAGCGGCACTTGCTCAACGCCTTTCGCCGCTACTTTCAACCCATCAACACGTCATCTATGTCGATATGAACGCTATCGCACCACAAACAGTTCAAACCATATCTACGTTATTTCCGCAGGGAAATTTTGTTGACGCTTGTGTCATTGGCTTACCACCCGGTTCTCTCGAGCACATGCCAACACTCTATCTGTCTGGTACTCATGCTCAGAAAGTAGCTGATCTATTTCAGTACACCGATCTTATCAAGACACGTATTATTGGAAATGAAATCGGTTCAGCAAGTGCTTTCAAAATGTGCTATGCTTCATTGAGTAAGGGTATCACCGCCATTACTATTCAAGCATGTGTTACGGCGAAGTCATACGAATTAGAACAAGTTTTCTTTGACGAATTGAAAGAAAGTATGCCGGACATATTCAAGAAATTAAGTAGAGCCATTCCACACATGGCACCGAAAGCACACCGATGGGTTGGCGAAATGGAAGAAATTGCTAAAACCTATGAAGATGTAGGTTTATCTGGAAAATTGTTTCAAGGTGCCGCGGAAACATATCGATTTGTTGCTGAAGAAACACTATTAGGAAAAGAAATTATCGAAGACAGAAAAAGAGGAGAAAGTCTTGATGATGCACTACAAATTTTAACCGAATCACTTCGTAAAAAACACCAAGATTCTTGATACTTGTCCTTGACGATGATTCAGTTGATTCAAAATGAAAAGATCAAATCAAAATGTCATTTTTTTTTCAAAGTCTTTATTTCAAGTTCATGATGATTAAGTCTTGCATGCGTAAAAAGAGAATAAATAATTACAATAAAGATTGATTTTACTTAACTTAATGAATAATATCGAGACTGAAAATACTTATTCAAATTAAGGTGAAAAGAGAATGACGACTGGTCGTATATACATTTTACATTTAGCCCTGGAAATGGCTTTCAATATGTTCATGTTTAGCATTGACAACCATATCCGCTGGAAACTGCCAATAGCACATCGGACATACACGTATTTCTCCATCAACATCGGAAACTGAGCCGGATAATGATTGATTGTTTTCTTCTGTTTGATTTACAGCAGTATTACACAAAGTTGGAACGAACTTCTCCTGCTCGTCAGAGACTGCTCCAGTTACTGGTTGTTGTTGTTGTTGTTCTTTCTCTTCCTCTTCTGTCATTGGTGTTGTGACAGGTGTGGGTGATTGAACAATTTCTTCCAAGGAAGAAATGCCACCTAATTTTTGTTCAAGCATGGCACATTTGCGGAATAATGTTTTGTATTCTTCAGCACCGTGCGCCAAACGTTCGATGAGTTCTTGTTTTTCATTTTGTAAGTCACTCTGAAAAAAAAAGGAACGTCGATGAACCGCTAGCAGAAAAGATATTGAATGACTTACGATGAAGCTCTTGTGAGCAACCAATTGTCGTTTGACTTCGATTTCACTCTTTTGATGTTTAACGCAACGTTTTTTGATTTCGTCAAACGAATTAGTTAATGTAATCATTGCTTGTTGTTTCGATTGGAATTCATCCAGTTCATTTTGAACAACTTCCCGTTGACTTTTAAGCTAAAAAATACAATGAAAAGTACATTTAATGCCATCAACATGTGTATTCTTACTGCTTCATTTTCTGCATGTTGTCGATCTAATTGTTCTGCTAAATCTTTAATTGTTGCTTTGTCAGCTTCAGATTGTTCTGTTAAACGTCCGTTATCAGCGCGAAGGGAATCGACTTCTTCTCTTAATGAATTATTATCTTTTTCCAATGTTTCAATCTGATTTGTGTTTTGTTCAATAAGCGTCTTATATTCGTTTAACTGTCCTTTAGTCGACAGCTGATGCTTTTCTGACGTTAAACGTAAATCGCGTAATTGCTGTTCTAAGGATAGTTGACGTTGATTCGATCCTTTAGCTAATTCGTTGGATTGCATCAATTGTCGCTCTAATCCAATAATTTGTGTCGCTTGATCTTTTGCCAATTGTGAAGTAACAGCCAATTGTGAACGAAGTTGGTTAGCATCATTAGAAACTTGAGCGTGTGCATCTTCAAGTGTTCGGCTACGTTCAGCATGTCGAAGTGAATCGCTTTGGTATTGTTCACATAATTTTTGGCAAGCGTCAAACTGAGCACGTAGATTTGATTCCAATTGTTGTCGAGATGATAACTCAGCAATAGCTGTTTTATGTGACGTCGCGAGTGCCTAAATATAAATTGTTTACTTAGGTAAAAAATGAGTCATTGTCAACGTGAATCATTGATAGCAGAACGTATGACGTACTTGCATATTATGTTGGAATTTTTCCATGTCTTCCTTTGTTTTTGTGTTCAAGAGTTCAAGTTTTGCTTGACATTCGTCGCGTTGTGATTCCAAGTGACGATTCATCTCTAATAGGTGGCGATTTTCTTTGCGAAGTTTTTCTTCGGTTAACATTCGTTTCGTATGAATAATAACAACGTCGTCGTTGTCTTGATCAGCTAGAGCAATCAGACCATCCGGTTTTGATCTACTGACTGGTGCATTTGATAGAAGATCGACGTCATCTAATGCACAATTCAGTTGGAATGGAATCGATGAGGCGATATTTTTCGTTTTATTAGTAATGTAACAAAATTGATAGAATTCATCATCAGTAACTGGCAACGATGATGAAGGAAACGTTGCTGTGCCATGAAAAGTCGAGCCGGATGCTGTCGAAGGATTGAATTGAACAGGAGCAAATGCTACACATTCTTTGATATTTGTTGAGCCGACCTACGAACAAAACATCCAGTAGGTAGATGATGCAATTGAAAGAAATTACGTACGCGTAATAGACCGATTTGATCTTCATTCGTATTGATTTTAACATCTGGTAAAACCGTAAAAAATGCTGTGACATCTTCGCCCTTTACATACTGATCGGCCACATTTTCGAAGACGACGCGGTCAGGAGCTATCATACGATCCATTGTATGATCGACTGGCCAATTTAATTCCGAACTTGTATCCGACGATTGATCGTTAATTTCTGACATTGAAGTACAGACGTACGAAGAAACAAAAAAACACCTAAAAACAAAAAAGTGCGTATATAAATATGTACGCGTGTAAAGGTATGAGATGTACTATGGACTGAAAAACACGCAGTGGTGTATGCCTGCTGGGTGGTATATTATATAATACCTACCTAGCGAGGAGTAAAAAAGGGGGTGCGTGAATAAACCTTTTTTGAAAAAAAAATGAATTGACAAACACATTCGTCCCCTGTTTAAATAGAAAGTCTTGTTAAATTTCCACTGATAAACGAAACTTCTCTCCATTCTCCATTTCATGTAATACGTGGAAGCTTCGTGAAGAATCAAATGAGCGACCTCTTTCGATAGAAAATGATTTCACCCGATGATATTCAATCGAATAGAGGTCTATGTTAGCAAGAAAGAAAATGACAGATCATTTCTAGACTGTTACTTTCATCTTTAGAAACAAACACAACGTCAAACATATACACCAACTGACTGATATTAGTTTAAATTAAAAAAAAACATCATCATGGTACGTATAGAAATATCCGTTGAATTTGAAATACATGGAACGAATCAATCTGTTTCAGGGGAATATGACGTCAATACCTGTTGAGCTATGTGCTACATGTAAATTTGACTGATTTGGATGAGAAAATTCTATTTATTTGTTATTCTGTAGTCGACGCAGATGAAATACGTCGATTAGGAAAACGTTTTAAAAAGTTAGATATTGATGGCAGTGGATCTCTAAGTGTGCAAGAGTTCATGTCGATACCTGAACTACAACAAAATCCGCTTGTGCAACGTGTTATTGATATATTCGATACAGATGGAAATGGAGAAATTGATTTCAAGGGTAAAATCAAATCGATGACGGAAATTGAATGAATTTGTTGAATTGTATTTTAGAATTCATTGGCGGCATCTCACAATTCAGTGTTAAAGGAGATAAAGAATCAAAATTAAGATGTACGAAGATGATTGACAGTGAAAAAGAAATAATTAATTTTCATTGTTTGTTTTTAGTTGCATTCAAAATCTACGATATGGATAAAGATGGATTTATTTCAAACGGTAAGAAAAAAAAAACTTTTCTAAGTTCCAAGAGCGTCTCATCTGTGTTGTTCTTGTCCCATTTATATCCGATTAAAGCAGAGAAAATTGAAGAATTCTCATTTCCGTTGATTACCTATGACATTGTCAGCGCTCATTCGCTCTTTCATTTATAGGAGAATTATTTCAAGTGCTGAAAATGATGGTCGGATCCAATTTGAAAGATTCTCAATTGCAGCAGATTGTTGATAAAGTAGATTTTCTGTTCTGAGATAATGTGAAGAATCACTTTCATTCGATAGACAATTGTCAATGCGGATAAAGATGGCGATGGTAAAATCAGTTTCGATGAATTCTGTGCCGTAAGTATCTTTTTTCCGCTCATCTGGAATCTTCTCATTCCAGTTTCGTTGTTCTCCTTCTTCTTTCTCGATAAACTTCATTTCACTTGCCCTTTTCATATTTTTCATTTCTCCTCCACATATCCTTCTTCTAGTTTATCCCTACTTACGAGCTCAACATAAGTTTGCCGAGTAACATCAAAATCTAATTCATCAGAGGTAATTTGTCTATTGTTTTGTCACATCTAGTTTTAGTATCCTAGTTCTTGTTGTTTTGTTAACTTTAAATGTGTTGCTGTTGATACGATTAGCTTTTCTTTGTGTCAAATTTTGCTATTCTTATCATTCTAGTGCGTTGGAGATTCATTAATCGACGATATACAAAAGAAAATGACGGTAGCTGTATGAAAAATTCGAACACGAACTATATTTCTCTTTTCCCCCAACAACAAAATCATGCTCAGTGCACGCTCACATATACATTGATTGTTTCTTTGTTTTGTTTTTCTAAACTCCTAACATATACACGCATATACTTTGTACTGATATGAACTTTGATGAATTTCCTCTCTCACAGCTATGATCGTTTAAATCTCGTCATATCCTATTTTCTTTTGCTGTGTCTCTTTTCGTTCGCGTGTGTTTAGGACATTAACAGTGAGAGTTCTTCTTAATATCGTTTTATTCTTCTATTTTATTGTATATTGTCATTGTGGCTTAGTTTTTCTTTTGACTATCGTGAAATGATTTGTTTTATCTTTGTATTTGTCGTCTTGTATACGTGACCGAATGAAACAGAATAGAAAATCTTTTTTCTTACTGTAATAACAATGGAAAATAATCGAATATCGCAATAAACAAATAATGAACAGCGTTGTTAATCAATATCAGTCAAAGATAAGATATTTTCGTGAAGATCGAGATGTTTTTTCAGCATGATGATATATTCACATGCTGTCAAATAGCTTTCTGAGTATCAAGTGAGTAATTCCATGAAGATACTAAAAATAACAAATCTGATGTGTCTCATTTTGTATCGAATTACACTCAGATACACGAAAGTCACGATTTACAAGCATATCTTGATAATATTACTACTATGGATTTATTTTATGACTAATTCAAATTGTCAAGTGTTCATTAGGAAAATACACGTATAATTAGTGTTAGTTACAAAACATCTACTGGTAAATCTAATCGCCACACGGTTTCTTGCGCGAGAATAACAACAGTATTCTTTGTCAATGCAAAATTACTGATCACACCTGCCAAGCTCAAACCATGACTTAATATTACTCCTAATAATGCACCAGTACGATCTCGAACATTAATGCCATCACCTTCCGCGATCCATACTCGGTCGTTTCGATCAACTCGAATGCCATCTGGTAATCCGATTGAACTCACAGAAAACACTCGACGATTGATTGGTAATCCGTCTTTATTCACATCGTATGCGTATACAATTGCTGTATCTGTGTCGGGCGATGTATCAGTGACGTATAAAACATTTTCCTCTTGATTGAACGCTATACCATTTGGTATAATAATATCAGTAATTACCGGACGCAATTCGGATGTCATCATATCGTAGCGAAATACGGTACTTCGGTATTGTGGCACACCGGAAAACTTTTGCATAAACGCAATTTGAGGATCGGTAAACCACATGAATTTCTTTCCGAGAACTTTCGTTGTAAAAGTAACATCATTAGGTGAGTTAAGGCGATAGCCAAACCATGAGTTAACCACTATTCTACTGGAATGAGTTGTCGGATTGACTGCATAAATAGCTGCTGGCGTTGTTGTATTTCCTTGAGAACATACATAGACATAACCTTTGAAATAATTGACTCCATTTGGTGTAATGATTGGTGGTTGAATATTCAATTGCGTGATTTGATTGGTTTTCAAATTGATGCTATATATGTTGGTATTCTGTTTTGGTAGTTGGTTTGCAGTAAACCAAACTTCGTTCGTTTCAGGAATATATGCACCACCTTCATGTGCAAATTGTGTTTCTGCCGATGCGGGTTGTTCTTGGATTAGTTTCAGATCTGGATTCGAACCAATGATTGATAAGAATTCTGCAGAATACGATAGGAACGAAGCATCCTGAGCTATGGCCAATTCATTTTGATCCGAACTGTCGTTTTTTGAATTGGCTGTATCAGTAAAAGTTGTAAAACAAAATGATTGGTTCTTATACCGATAGAAACTGGCTGAGTCTAAACGAGACGTTATGGAAAATGGAAATGTAACGATCTTATTCAAAGCATTTGCATTGGTTAAAACAAATGTAATCACAATTAATTGTAAGAACATATTTTGGCTAGCTAACAAGCAATCTATTTTCGAACAGTGAAGTGTAATGCTAGAATTGTGAGTGTATATATATGTCATTCATGCGCGACTATAGGTCCTGGAGTATACCTTCGGCGATGTTAACACTAATTGTACAGGTACGGATCGTATGTCAGGCTGTGTAAAAAAGCGCGACGTCGTAATAATGAGGGAAAAGCAATAATGGATAATTTTATCAAATACACATTATTAGTGACCTGCGGGAGTTGAAAACAAAGTATAAAAGAGTGAGAAATTTCGAATAAGATTCGAGTTCGATTTGCATCTTTGACGATTTTATATAGTTAATCTTTAATATAACTTACTTTTGCTGCTTGTGTGGATTCGAAGATTAAGATTCAAAATTTAGTTTGGGATTTGATGACAGATACAATCTTGACAGAAGGCACACATTGGTAACACTCATCCTTCAATGAAAAGAAAAACAGATTTAATGTCTCAAAACCAAATCTGAAAAACTTCGAGCTTGCTACATTTGTCAGCACCACATAATAGACAATATAACGATGCGATAAAATAAACTGATAGATAAACAATTGCCAATAATATTAGCTGAGAAAATGACCGTTTATTTGTATCCCTAAGGACTTGAAAACAAGGTATAAAAATAAATTGCGTCATGAATCAGATGACGTAAAAATATATCCGTACAAATGCATTTGCTTCATCAATCATAACAAATGAAAATCAACCGGAGTCCAAATGATGACATTTCTCTTGAAAAAAGATAAACGCTCGTTGCTGTATTTCCCAATGAAACAGGATATTTCCACCTGACAATTTTCATAACTAATCAGAGTCCTATTGAAGAAGGACACGATGAAAAAAAAAATCAATAAAAGTATCCAGACTATATAGAAAATGAATAGATATGTGATGGTTTAATTAGATTCCTCGCTTAACTTCTGGTAATACTTGGCCAGGAGAAGAGCGTATTCTCGATGTTTTTGCGCAAATAAATTTGCAATGCCTCTCGCACCTTGATCATTACCAAGCCTAATGTCAGCTTCAGCTTTCCTGCGTTTTTGCTCGTAAAAAGACAAATATCTCTGACAAACACATGCGCACATCTCCCTTACATCACGAGACAGCTCGGTTGTCAGAGGCCGACACCAGTACAACTGTGATTGTAACATGTTTGTCAGCTGCGCATTGCATCGGACTTCATCTCGAAGTATCAAATATATCGAATGTAACTGAGAACGATTGAGAACGTGCCGCGTGACAAACGTTGTGATTTGTATCTCGGTTTGGTGAGGGAATATTAGCAGGATGCTCCAACTTCTCTCTGTTGCAATATTCAACGCATTAGTCCATTCTTTCTCGTTGTGAAATATATCTAATATGGATTCGAATGGAGCCAGATCTTTCCGTCTAATTTGAACACGTTTACCAGGATCGTATACGATTATATATGGTTCACCATCAAACAAACACAAAGGTGCAGTGCAACCAAAAGCAACTCTCTATTAATGTAGTAACAGAGCTGTTTACTATTCAACTAATATTTCTTTATTGCACTTACATCACTCATGATGTGACTCAATCAGGTACGGCCATAGCGGTTGATAGATCTGAAAATAAACAGATGGTCAAAGTTCGAGAAAAACGTTAACCGTTGCAATAAAAGAAAAATCCTTTTCAAAATTTAATCAGTCATCGATTGTTATTCGTTTTTTCTTTTCTTCTTCTTCTTCCCGGTTGTAGCGTTGAATTATTTTTTCAGTCTCGTCGGCCAATGCTTGGTAACACCTTGCTGTCTTCATGTGTAATCTTCGTATTATAGTTTGGTATTGTACATCATCGGGAAACGTTTTTATTTGCTTCGGATAGAACATGCCCAGATCATGAAGCATATCACTAATTAATCGTTCAAACAATTTGACTTTCTGATTGGAAATCTGATTGTCTTCAGACGGATCGAATTTGTAGAATTTCACCCGTGGACAATCTTTAATATATTCAGGTAAGTCAGATGCGATGTAATATATCAAATAGAATTCATCCAGAAGGGCACTGGCCTGTGCTACGGTGAGACATGTGTTTGTAAATCGACGATATTGCAATGAAAATATTCGAGAAAAATTCTCTTGCTCTTGTTGTATCAACTCATCAGGTAAAGAAAAGTAAAGCACAGGTTCGAATCTTGCTAATGATGGTTCGTAAGATGTTGAGTGTTTGATGGCTTTTTTACCGGTATGTTTTTTAACTTTATCTGTATTCTCTATAGAAAACGGAAGTATAAAATGAACCATTTCTTATAAGCTTTCAGTTAACTTACCGAATATATATTTCTTGGCCAGACTTGCAATCTTTTGAATGTAGGGTTCTAAAATATCGTTATATTTGTCATAAGTTCCGTACCAGATATGATTAAACGAGGAACCGAATATGGAGAATTTGTATGAAGCATCGCCGTGTGTTTTCAGTGGACTTGATGGTTGGGTTTGAAAGTTTAATAACTTACCGATGAGAGATTTCTGTCCAAAAGTATTAGTTCGTTCATTAAGTTGCTCTTTCGCTGATGCGACAAATTTCTCAATCGAATTATACTCATCTTGTGTGGCAATGTTCAAACAGATTGTATACATTTTTGTCTGCTCGTCTTGTGTAATGTTTTGAAGAGAGAAAACTGCTCCCGTGCTAAACAGGACTTCGCCTTCTTCGGGAAATGTGCTCAAATGGCTGATATCAGCGAAGACGACTGGCGATTTAGTGACATTCAGATTGATTTCGAATAGAACTCGATGCAACGGTTGACGGACACTGTTCTGTTTTTTACTTGCAAAAGCTATAGCAACATCTTGACTTCGGCTTGTCGATAGAAACCCGTTTGATGACAATAAAGATCCTGTTGGTATTACCTCGATGCGATTGATATCATTCTGTGTCATCGCCAATCCATGATAGACTGGCTGAAAGTTCTTAGTATCAGTCGTTGAATGTATCTGTGATATTTGTTTTATTAAATCTCGGATATAAAAAGCAATCGCATGGAGATTATTTTGATCAAACGATCTCAGTGTACGATTCACTAATTTATGGACAAATGAATCACGAGTGTACCACTTAATCGCGTCTGTTTCGGTGTAAGTTAATTCGAATTGTAAAATATGTTCTAATTCGCATTGCCGTTGACCATAATATGCGCGACTGACATTTAACATATTCTGTTTATAGTTTGTATATGCATCCAAATAAACCGTTGACATTAGAATATAATTAGCAAGAAAAATAGCTCTTTGCTGAGTTAACCGATACTCAGTGTCGGTCACCTGGTTATCCCATATATATAAATGTGTTTGACACTTTAAATTGATCCAAGAATGGACCGATTGGATGAGTTCAGGTTCAGTTGCAATGCAAGATAAGACTTTAACGTACGCTCCCTGGGTTAAATCTTGATATTTTTCAGGAGAAGCACAAAAAATAATGACAGCATCGATTGCAGAGAAAGAATGGATTAAGTCGAGATATTGTGCTGCAAATTTGCCAGATATTATCAAAAGACTTGTCTCTCGACGGTAACGAATTATTTCCAAAAACCTTCCGATGTCATTGTGTATTTCTACGCGATCACAAAGTTGATTGAGAAATTTCTGTGTGCGTTCATTAGTCGAATCTATTTTTGGATCTAACCAGAGGACACACACATCGTGACGATTAAACGGCGTAGATTGTAAATCCATTAAACGCTGGGTTGGTAGTTCAACTAAAACGAAAACAAACGTTCGTGTATGAAACGAAACTTATACAGTCTTCGATAACATTTGTCAAAGAATATTTATTTGTGTATTCTATGACTTCATTGGTTCAAGTTCATCTTCTTTCTTACCGGGTGATGTCATGGATTCCACTCTGTTTGTATCATTTTGAAGAATCGGATCCATCACTATTGAGTATCGATGAGTTTATACAGCTGATGTGTTTAGTGAAAGGAAGTAAGACAGAATCGAGTCGTTTTAAATATGTTGTAATAACCCGGAGAAAATGAAGAAAGAAAACATAAATACCTTTTTTTCTAGTAAAAACGTAGGCAAGAAAGAAAAAACCTGTAACATGCATCATAAGTAATTTTGTGTTACTTTTATTTGCGCATAATCGTAAGTTGGAAAAAACCAAGCAGAAGACTATAAAAGTTTCTTTCTATGAAAAAATATCATGATTCAAGTTTTGTTACCTTGCTACATCAAAAGATGCATAGTCCGATATCTTCCTTTTCCAACCACATCGAAAGAATTTAGAAATCTTACTGAAAAGCTTATGAGTTTTTCAAGTTGTAATAAACTAATCGCGAAGTAGACTTGTACGGAGAGATTCTCGCGAGTTACCGTTTCAAATCGCATACTAAAGAACATAAGAGATTATCAGTTCACAACAAAGAAATATCCATTCCGTGAGTGCTAACATTTCAAATTATACTACAAAGTCATCAAGCGCATTTGAATATCTCTCTGCACAACGTAAACTAGTTTATTGTATTCTTCAGAGTGTGAGATCTAAACTTCGGTTTATATCGACATTTTTCTGAGTGATGATAGATTTCGATCTTCAACATATTTCATTCCGATTAGAATAACAGGCAATGATGTTATCATTTAAATTCTATATGTTACTAGAAGTAACAGATAAATCAATACTAAAACATTTATATTTTCATGAGAGAATACTTGTGTGACACATTATGATGATATGCACTAACTGATTGTATACCTTTTTGAAAAGTTATTGTAAATGTCATACTTGTATCACACATCCATGTGTAATCTTCCCATATAAAAATCATTTGCTATGACATAATATTCAAACTCAAATTGACAGGTGAACGAGTGACATCCAACAAAAAATTTGTTCATATTTTCTCCCTTATAAACACGAACGTAGAAGCTTCTGAGCACATTGTTCAATGAAATCGACAATTAATTGCAATATATTTTCTTCCCTGCAAAAAAATCATATTTAATCATTTCAGTGTCTCTGTTCGTAATCAACATTCTTTTTGCGTATTTTTTCTTATTTCGAACCATCGAGTGCAACTATTTTCACATCTCATTGTGCTTATTGTCCTCGCACACAGTCACACTTCGTTGATTGTCAATGTAAATATTCATATACACGTGTAATTCAATACTATACCGAACGAAATGTCTGCAATCACCCCGATACCATGTGAAAACGTTGAAATCGAATCGAATTCATTAGAAACAACCGCCGCTCGTCTCGTGTGTTCAATTAAACCCAGATGGGCATTGAAAAAATTAGTTTTCAAAAAGCTAACCAACGATTCCCATCTTATCTATTACCTTATCTTTTTGAAAGATACCAATGATGAACAAAACAGCGTTATTCTAAAACTTTATCCAACGAATTCGGACGTATATGCTGACCAAGAAGAACAATTTCACTTGCTTAGCCATTTAATACAACAGAAAGTCGCAGCACATGTTTTATTAAGATTCAATAATGGATATATCTGTACTCCCATTCCAGGAAAAGCACTGGACGTCAAAGAACAGCCTATCGGGTACGTACTATGTCCTTTCAATCGATTTGCCATAATAGTCTTCACTTCTAGCGAACTGGTTGCACGAAAATTGGCCGAATTCCATTCGATTCCATCGCGCTTTCATGGCACACGCTTGGCAGATAAGTTGAAACAATATATCGATTTGTTTACTGATAAGAACAAAACATTACACGATCGACTGGTGACAATACAAAATCAACGAGAAAAATCCATCAATAATACAAAGAATCTGTTCACCTCATTCAAATCAGTCATTGGATTTCATACAACTCCAGCATATCCATTAACCTTTGCTCAGCTTCAAACACAACTGAAAGACGTCTCATGGACCGAACTTTCCAATGATATCGATTGCATTCAGTCGACTTTGGAGAAAAACGGTTCGTTATTTGACATACCGATTGTTTTATGTTTGAATAATCTTCGATTGGGAAATTTTCGTTATGATTCAACGAATCATTCATTAGCAATCATCGATTTCGATCATTGTTTGCATGATTATTATCTGTTCGATATCGTGTCTTTTTTTCTTGAACTATCGACAGACGATTATGAGAAAAAATACCCGGAGCGGCCGGTTCAAAAACAATTTCTCACCGACTATCTGAAGAACTCCAGATTGAATATGTCCAATTCGGTTTACGATCATCGAAAAGTGGCAGAATATGAGCTGGAACATCTGTGCGACTTATGTGGATTATTAATCGCACCTGTTCATCTCTATTGGGCGTTATGGGCGTTTCTTCAAGCCTTACTGACTAAACCAACAAATACATTTGATTACGTTAACTATGGGCGAATCCGTCTAGCCCAGTATTATCGACACAAGAGTAATTTTTTCCTTCCGATGAACCAATCACGGAAACCTCGACCGAAATTTTAAATAAGTTTTGTGTTTTGGAAAACAGTTCGAAATTTATAGTTTAAGAGATAGAAATAAATGGCGATTATGTTTTTTCGAACCTTTCTTTGTAATTCGTTTCGAATTTTGTCTCTCTCGCCAGACGCCAATCAAAACGAGGACGAACAATTCAATGTATTTCTTGTACTTTACTTCGTCTATCAGCATCGTTGTTTTGCGATTCCGACCTTGCATACATTCGTATATTTTGTTTATTAAGAAAAAATAGTCGTTTTCGATAGTATGGCATTCAAAAGTAACAGTGAAATGAACAATGTGGAAATGTAATGTGAACATGAACTCATGTGTTATTTATTCGGCAAAAAGTGAATCATCGCCAAAAGTAAAATAAAATAGATGAAAAACAAAAAACCAGCTAGGTTAACATTATGTGTACATAGATAACAACAAATAGGAAACTATCTTATTTATAAAAGTCCTTTGTATCGGTCTGTTCATCTCTTTTATGTTTGAGCTGTTTGACGTTGTGGCAATCCCTGGTTGTTGTTGTTATTGTTAGTTGATTGTTGATTCTTATTGGGTGTTTCGTGTTCTTCTTCTTCGTCATCAACTTCGTCGTAGTCACCTTCGTCTTCCTGATGTTCATTATTATCGTCCTGTTGATCTCCCTGATTTGGTTGACGGCCACCTTGTCCACGACCTCGGCCTTGAATAGAGCATAAATACAAAATCGAAGATACTACAATCTACCAAATCTTACCTCGACCCCTGCCACGTCCTCTACCAGCTAGTGAAAACATTGCATATGTAATATAGAAAGTTTTTCAGTAGACATCAACGTACCTCCACGAGATGGTAACCCCATACTTGCTTGCTGTGCATACATGGCAGCTTGTTGATTTAACTGACTGGCAGCTGCTTGTGCTTCGATAGCAGCTGAAAATAAACATATTACTATGGGATAAATTGTCAGTAAAAGCTGAAAACTGTACCGGCTTCCAATTGATTTGCATATTGGTAAGCTGATTGAGCTTCTTGATGAAAAGCGGCTGCTTCACGGCTAGCTTCGACGGCGACAAGACGTTCCTGATGACCTGCATATCGTGGATTATTCGGATTTAATTGATTAGCATGATTGTCTAAATCAGCCTTGGTATGCGCAACTACGAAAAAAGAAAAAAGAACGTAAAAATCGATCATACACGAGGTGAACAACATGTACCGTTTGGATTGAGAGTGCTTTGTGGACCAGTACCAACCGTGCCGGCTGGAATAACTTGGTTTGAATCACCGGCTGGAATCACGCCAGCTTGATTATTATTCGAATTTTGTCCTCCGGACGACATCGCAACAAGAAAATCGTTGTGTTCGTTAAATGTTTTGAAATAGAAATGACTCTTTTTTGCCAGCGTATATTCTCTCTTTCCATTTTCTCTATGGCATGTAGTACAAAATCATACGGACGTAGTTTCGTTATTTCTATCGTGTGCCATTGTCGTAAAAGACACAGAAAGATAGAAGAAAGAGAAATAGAATACATTTTACTGCGAAGCCGTTTTTCAGAGGTTAACTGAGTGTGAAATGGAAAGAGAGAATCGCCGACGATGTCTATCAAGTGATAGACACAACACGTGAATCCCTTAGTTCAAAAGTCGATGCGGTATAGTCCTGCAAGTGCAAAACGAAAAACTAGATAAGCTGAAGCTAGAAATGAACTTAAGGGATATAGAAGTCGATGAAACTCTTACACAGATTGTTGACAAGATAAATTCAAACAAAAGTTTTTTTGTTTCGCCTCTAAAGATTGATAAGATATGAAGAGCATCATTAGAATAAAGAAAAGGCTTTCTATATGATACAGGCAACACAACAATTCAGCGCAAATGACTTGTCAATCAAGCTTTGAAAGTTGTCCAAGTGAAATTTTCTTCGAAGTATGGGATTATTTATCTTATCGGGATGTCTATCGAAGTTTTTCGAACCTTAACCAGCATTTTAAATTAATGCTAGCATCGTATAACAACGTTCCTGCAAGGATAACTTCGTATCAAGATGTTGATGTGGCTGCTCTCGAATTCTTCTCGTCTCGCATCACTCGACTGAGTACTAGTTTTCGTTATTTCACCGGTCTTTCATCGCTTTCATCACTTCGTTCTTTACGAATTGTTGATAAACCATTGAGTTACTCTCATTACTATTCATTTCGGTTCTTAGTCAATCTTGAGCATATATGCATCGTTCAAACTGCACAGTGGAACAACAAATATCTACTTCGGCTTTCCGATGATGTGATGTCCAACTATTTTCCGCGTCTTCGTCTCTGTCAAATTGGTGAAGTTACACGCACTTTTCATTCTCTTTGGCAACCTCTTCTATACCTCCGTTCATTAACTATTTCCACTAAAGATCCGAATATTTATCATCAAATTCTCTATTATTGCCCATCTTTAACTCGTCTCAAATTAACAATCGACTTTCTAACAAGGCCCACGTCATTGGAATACTCTCAGCATTTATCTCTTCGTAAATTCGAACTCTGTTTGATCCTTCGTAGTATATCAATATGTCAAATACTCGGGTATTTACTGACTCCTCTCCCAAACCTGACACATATGACTGTGCACGGTCCCGAACATCATTCAAAGCAACTGGATATCCATCTTCTCAGGCATCTTTTACGGAAACACGTTTCGAAACTTGAGCAATTCCATCTACAAATGCTAGTTGACAAGACACTCGCTTTAAAACTTCGCAATGAAGACTATCGAATTCATCCACTCTTTCGCCGAATGATAATAGATCAAAAGACTTCTCATCTTTCGTTAGCGAAAATAACTCTATCAACATCGTAATGATGCCTATTGCATGATAGAAAGAGAAAGTTGCTGAAAAGATATTTTCAAAGCAAATTCTATCAGGAGAATCTTTGTTTTAATCATCCATACAAAGCACATGAACTATGATCTTTCTATTCATCGAATCACTTTTTATCTCTGGCAAGTGACGTCCCCATACGTCCTTTTATGCATCAAAGGAATTTGTTAGACTTAAGATTAGAAAAACATTTTCGTCGAATGCTTTGTTCACCATGTGAAGTATGTCAATGAGCGCAATGTTATTTATTGAATTCAAGTTATTGTCGATTAGAATAAAATTAAACGTGCTCGAACGGTCTTAGTAGTACACATGATAGAGGTCACCTGTTCGAATCTATCTGACGGCAAATATGTGCATTCTATTCTGTAGTCAACATGATCACATATGCTGATTTACTGGAAACGGATGCGATATCAAACAGTCGGAAAGTATCTCACTGAGTTTATCCAGATTTATAGATGAACTTTCAACAACAGTCTTTCCTACAAAAAATCGAAAAGTAATCTTTTCTTGTTAGACGATTGTTGTGAAGTCATTTTTGTTTGCTTTATATCTGGTTAAATGATTGCGTCTGAAACCTGTAGGGAAATTTTTCTTTCGTTGACGTTCGTCGTGAGGTAAAGTTTGCCTTGAAAACAAAATTCGAAAAGAAAATAAACTTTGAAATCGTAGATCATTGTTGAATGATTAGTTTGTTCAATATATCGATAGTAACATTGACAGTTCTTTGTTGAAGTTGAGACAACAGAAAGCAAAAAATAACAGATGAATACGAGGACATAAACGAGAAAGGATCCATTTTCAGTAAGAACTAATGGCTATTGTGGTGATGTAAGCTGTATCGGACAATACAAAAGAGAAAGGGAGAAAGAAATATCGTTCGTTTTAATTACTCTTCTTTGGTCCCGATCGCGCAATATTTACCTATGTTTTTTCTCTCCTTGCTTGCTCATTAAACGGTCCTTCTCTTCGTTTCATAAGCCAATGTATTCGTTCATTTTCTCTAAATCACATCGAAAAAAGCGTGTGAAATAACACATGTTTTACTTTTCATTATTTTCAATGAACTATCATCAATTCCAAGTACATTCATCATCGTATTGCATTGCAACTTTCTTACTTCTCTTTCTAGGATAATTCATGTAGCAGATGTTCCATACTTTCCTCAATACAAAATTATGTTGGTGCTTCTATGTCGTGATTATGTCAACAGTTTCGGTTCAAACTCAGAGTTCTGTAGTTGGTGGAGGATTTCTTTCGGATCCTTTTCTCGAATTAACAGGAATTGTAACAACTCCTGCTATTCCGAAGTCTAATCGAACCGATCTAACATGTGTGTCAAATGGAGCATTGGTTGGTTCGATCATTGGTACGCTATTATTGTCATTATTAGTGGGATTTTTAACATGGTTAGTTTATTTACGACCGAAATTTCGAGGTTTGTTTGTGTTTTGTGATGACTGGACGTTGATTAATTCATTATTCCGCAGAATTGCATGAGAAATATTCACACCAAGATTCGAAATCAGCACATGCACAACTTCAACCATTTATTGTATCATCTTCGTTAACTCTGAAAAGAAAGAAGACAACTGATGATGGTTTGTTGTGTTAAAATCATTCTTGACACATGTTTATTCCTTTTCTTGTTAAGAATATAAAGTTAATCCTTTCCCGCTTGATAGTACTGCTCAGAAAGTAAAAAATCCACGGTTTCTCCCGTACAATCAGATCATCTATATGCGATTATTTTAGTTTGGAACATTTCCATTCCGTCATTCTCAAGCTTCCAGCTTGAATAGTCACTATTATCGCATCGATGGGTTAAATCGAAATTCAGCATCATTCCATTCAGTAAACATCGATAAAGTTTGTGACAAGAAAAAGATGGCTACAATGAATTAACAAACTACTCTTCAATCGTTCTAGGACTTTGAAATGATCGATGTGGAATTGTTAGATCCAAAATTTGGCGGTCTCAATTTTAGTATCACGGGAAATATGCGTGCAGGAATCTATATAAAAGAGATGCTGGACAAAAATTCATTTGAAGTGCAAACCAAAGCGAATACATTAAGAATAGGTCTTTTGATTTCATTCGATGAGTCAATCAAGAATTATTTTCTCTTGTTTTTTATGAATAGGTGATCGAATAATGGCGTTGACTGTATGTTTCGATTCGATTGTTTATGAAGATGCATTAACCATTCTGAGCTATGCATCGCCCTATCCAGTATTTTGAATATTTTAACCATAAAAGTATGAAGAGCTATGTGTTGTTCTTCGATTAGGTTATTCTTCGCATCCAGCGACCATCGAATGAAACAAAAGTGAACGTCATCACAGAAAATCGATCAATGGCACCAAACACACCAAGCAAAGTTAAATGGCAAGATGATTTTGACCATTACGATAACGACAGTAGATAAACAAGATATATATATTTAACTCTTTCTGTTTCTCTTCTTCAGCTCCACTTAATCGTTCCGCGGTTCACAAGGATCCACCGCTACCGATGCCAATAACTGTCCTACCATCAACTCCTAAACAATATAGACCTCCTTTGACGCCACAGACTCGTTCATCATCAAAAAAAGTCCGTCGAAATGCGAATACCCAGCCACGCATGGGCAACAAATTGTCACCGTCAAATAAAGGTAATAGAACAAAAACGTCGTCTAATAGTGTGTTTGCAGCATCGGGCGCCACAACAAAACGTTCGAATAATAATCTCAGAAAGTATCGATCGAAAATTCAGGATAATCAATGTACATTACCTAATCAAATGATGTTAATGTCAACTGGATTAACAGGAAAATTACCACGAAAAACTAGTTCAACAACGCCATTGACAAATAAAAGATCAGTAAAAACAGTTTCCGATGCCGTGAATACATATCTTCGACATAAAAATGATACTCCTGGAGTGATAGAACCTCCGACAGGTAGATTACATATGGGGACATCTTTGTAAAGCATGATATTGCATGAACAAATTTCAGCAGGATTCGATGAAATTTATATTTCGATCGTTTTTTTCCTTTTTAGAATTGAATGAGAATCCTGAAACAACGAACACGGTATGCATTACTTTTCTTCTTTGAATGCATTCACTCGATGCGATCTCTTCTAATAGCAAATAGTACTTTGTATTCCTCTTCGGCACAGAAACACGAAATGCGTTTTTGTTCATTCTATCTCTTTCAAAACTAGACAGGACAACCAATTTTCTAATTTTAGCCATACTATGACTCACCGTACGATTACTTCCATGAGGATCCTGTTCTGCAATATCAATATCTTCATCAATCACATTTAAAACAGGCCAATCATGCATTGGGAACCGAATCTCTAACAGCTATAACCCCTAACTAAAACAATCACCTATGTCAACTTGATTTTTACAACTCAATATCGTCTTTCAATAGCTGTTCTCATTTGAAGTACAAAAAAAAACACTAAACATTCGACACACATGCATATTCATGTTTTTTGTTTGATTCATTGTTATTTGCGTTAAATATCTATCTATTTCTATAGAAATATTCATCTACTCTTCATCATATCTACACAGTTTACTGAAAAGGTAAAGAGAGTCTCTTTTGTCAAACAGACTGATCAATACATTTGATTACGTAGAAGAGGAAAACTTCAATTACCAATGCATCTAAGTACGAACAGACTTTTTATAAGAAACAAATGAAATCGAGTTCTGTTTCATTTGAAAACTCTTTGAAAATGCAATTCGTCGATAAAACATTCTGAAGACGCTCAGAGTACACTCATTGATATACTTTTCTCTAGTAAAACTCAATCAAAAGCGTAATCATATTGATACTTAAGGCGATACGATAAATTCGTAAAGATTCGCCAGTGTAATACGACCGTCGACAGTAGTTTAAATACATTGCGAATTTCGGTGATAAATTCGTACAAAGATTGAGAATTGATACCGACATTTTTAATTCGCAAATTTTTTCATATTTCTGTTATCTATTCAATGCTTTGATCCCTTGTCACGGGAGAGTACCACTAGGAAAAAACAGATTGTCGAACACTATCAGAACAAACGAATTCCAACCGATTGAAATAGATGAGAATATAGGCAAGTGCTTCCATGTCATCTCGACGTGATTGTTCAATTCCGAGATGCGTTGAAATCTCATAAACACAAACGTTTTCCTCACAAATCTCAAATGCAATACATACAGATGTGTAACGAGGTGTACCAGTTAGACTCTTTCCTTCGCGGTAGAGAATATGCTTTTGTAATCGATGATCGTAGAATTTCTTGGCAAGACCAAAGTCAACGAGAAAGTTCTCTGATTTAATACTAAAATATAACTCCATTGCACGTAAACGTTGCAGATTGCTCACTCTTGATGAAGATAATATTTCCGGTGGATATACTCAATTCGTAAAATCATTTGATCAGCCAACATAAGAATTGTTTTTAGGGAAAATTGTCGTTTACACAAGTGAAACAAATCTTCCAGAGATGCTCCCAATAATTCCATGACCAAGCATTTATAATCATTCTCTTCTCGAAACCTACAACGAATTGAACATTCTCCTGAACAACACAATGTCTTGCACTTTACCAAAATATCTTCGGTATTCCTTGTATGCCTTGCAACAATCGCTAAATTTTCGCTTCGAATGCTAATTGAGACAACGATTTTGGATTTGTTTTCAATTTAATTGCAACACGTTCTCTCGTTTGAATATTCAATGCTCGATAAACGTCACCAAATGACCCTGAACCTAGTCTACGCTCTAATTGCTGTTGATTAGCAATCAATATATTATTCTGATGATTATTATTGATAATATGTTTTCATATTTACTTTTCATTTAAATCAAAATGTTTAACTAAGGAAAATCATATGTGAGAATGAGAGAATTTTAAACAAATAGTTCGGATTCACATGGTAAATCGAATGAGACTGGCGATTACCTTTGTATGATAAAGTGATGTCAATGGAATATCTTCCCTCTATAGATGTTATTATTGTCTTACTTTTCTTGGAAATATCCTGCAGGAATATTCCATATAGTTAAAGTCCTTATGATATGTTCTCATGATATTTCCTCCTTCTGATAGTTAACTTAGTTGGAGGTTTTTCTATACTGTTGTTCAGTTTTCGTTTATTTCCAAATAAAAATTTCATTCGCTTCAAGATGGTGACAATCTCGACTGAATGAGTTGGAAACTATCAACTAGTGACATGTTGTTGCTTTGAAAAAAAAACATGTTTTTGTTGTACTGTGATTCTGTTTTTTATTCTTTCATACTAGAAGGGGCAAAAAGTAACGCGCGTGGTACAAAACGCGAGTAATCGACTGGAGCAAATAAATGAATGACTCACGCTATTTGTTTTTCTTCATTTACCCCGTAGGCGAGCGTGTCGTTTATACCCACTTTTTTCTTCTTCTATCAGAGACATGTCCGAGTTAGCAGTAAATGCTCTCGAGCAACTTCCATCAGAAATATTCGTTGAAATCTTTCGTTTCATCGATAGTTATCATCTGCATAAGGCGTTTTATGGTCTTAATCGTCGTTTTTCGTCTTTGGTGCGAGCTTACGGCATGCGATATTTGGATTTAGCCGAATTAGACATGAAACAATGTCGAACGGTAAGATTATCTTTTCTTTGGAATTTATCGATGATTTGTTTTGTTTCCAGATGCTTTCCGATACCGATTGTTCCGAGGTGAGAACATTGAAATTATCGAATAAGTACACCACGGATCAAATCGATCAGATTCTATGCAAAGACTCTTATCCATTGATTAAATTCCAATCGTTGTATTCATTATCACTTGAGTCAATTGGTTTGTTCACTCTTCATTCGATTATTGATGATATGATTTATTTAAATCATCTTCAAGTGTTAATCATACATTTTCGTTCGAATTTATGTGAAGAAAAACTTATCGATACCTATCGATGGCTTCTCAATCGTTATTCTTTACAGATGAAATCGCTGAAAGTTTTATATCTCTATACATCAGAGAGTAGCACGTCAGTTCTCGAAAATCAATACATTTCGACAGTAAAATCGTCTTCGATAAATCCAAATACATCTCTGAAATATTTAGTTTTAAATCAGATACCAATCCAAGATATTGAATCTATTCTAATCCGTTTTCCTAATCTTTCTCAATTAGGTGCGCTTGTTCGATTGGATCCCAACATAGCTGATTATCCTTCAGCGTCGAGTTTGAAATGTTGTTATCTCTATATATTCGATTCGGACTTCTTTTCCGTTGTTAACTTATTCCGACAATGTCCAAATTTAGAACAATTAACGATCGATTTTGATCTTATTGATGTCGATGCATTGGATGGCGAGGAATGGCAAAATCTACTTGAGAGTTACTTGCCAAAGTTAAAACAATTTAAATTATATATGAGTCTGGTTTCGGGAACATTGAATGAAATTGAAGAACTGATTCAAGTAACTTTTTCTCAAAATAAATTTTGGATAGAGAAAAAAGCGTTGATTGACGTAAAAAAACCCAACACATCTGCTGGTGTAGAAATGGAAATTGGTGTTACAATTGAATTCTTGATATAAATAATGACTTTTGCTTTCTCATGGGTGATTGTTCAATGTTTGTATACACGAGTTTCGGACCGAACCAGCTAAGCAAGAAAACAAGTCCGATGTGCCAGCTTTATATGTGAAGAGTGTTTTGCTACTAAACTGTTTATTGTATTTATCTGATTAATTATTTAAAAAATACGAATTGTTTATGCTTATATTTGACATTTTCTTATAGAATTCATTGGAAGAGATCGATTAGATATTTGTTGGTAGCGAAAGATCGATTGTTCGTTGACATTTGTTGTAGGCCATTACACCATTGATGACGATATGTTGCTGTTTGGTTTGCATATCAAGAGTGATTTCGAATTTGGATGCACCAACAACAACTAGGATGTGTTCATCTTGGTAGAATAAAGTACTTGTAAGAGAAATTCTATAGGGCGATGTTTGCTCTAGAAGAATCAACAGTGATGAAGAAGAAAAAAATTACAGAAATTGCTGTGTTTACCTTGAAGCAATGGAAGTTTTCTTATACAAATCTCGGCGTTATCTAATTTGAAACGAAATCGAAAATATCAGATGTATGATTCTGAACAATGACATACGTTGAGTGTTATTCGAGGTAGTATTAGGAAGTATGATTGTTGTTTCGGTATTGAAAACTGTACTCATTCTTGACACTTGAGAAGTTGTGAAGTTTAATGTTGTCATAGTGGATTCGGCAGTCGTGAACATTTGTGTGGTTGCTGTTGTTGTTTGAGGAACAGTTGTCAATGTTGTTGTAGATGGCATTGCTGTTTGTTTGATGCTTGTGAATGATTGTGTAGTTATCGTTGTTTCTTCAACGAAATCATCGGCTGAAAGAATAAGCGTGAAAAATATCAATAAAGAACCATTCAATTACCTGTCACTGGCAACGAGCCAACTGAACATAATCGTAATCTTGTTTGTTGATTTTTTGAATTAATTATCAATGATCGAATATTGCGAAAGTTTTTATAAATTTCTGATAAGATTTTGCTAATGCAAGTTTGATTTTGGCATGACGGATCATTTGGCTTGATTAAATTGAAATCGAACGACAATGCAGGTCCACTCATTCCATTGACATCTTGATCACATTGTATCCTATCGAACGTAAAACAACAGTGAGGAAACTATTCAACATAGATCACATACGATCGTTTGCGTCGAGATGTAGATTTATTTCCCATTGCGGTCGTGTAGATAATATCACGAATTTCTAAGACATTTCTCGTGCTTAAGTTAAGATTCGATTCGAACTAAAGAGCGAAAGAAGGATTATAGTTATTAGAACATGCATTTTTCATAAATACATCACGGGCAATCTGTGAACGTTCGTCTGGACTAAATTTGAGCTGATTCGATGAATTCGTTAATGAATCACTCAACAGATACGTGATATTGAAGGGAGGAGCTGCAATAATTCAACAAATGAATAAGTAACTAAGCAAAGAGAAAAGTCGATAGAATTTACCAATCGATCTTTGAACGTTATCAGGTGTTGGAGAATTCGATGAAGACTTAGATTTAATAACAACCACTATAATAGCTACAGTTACTCCAATAACTACCAGAATTCCACTGGCTAACAGAAAAAAACGTAGTCGCTTCGATCTATAAAGTAAAAAGCTAACGGAATTGACTTGAGAGAAAGTTTGTAAAAATCTACTTTTGATTGGAAGCACAGCCTTTGAACCAAGTCATGTGAATATTTCAATTGCTTATATCACAGAGTGTAAAGAAATGGATTATATCTTTTCATATGTCTTTGTTTTATATACTGAATTAAAGTTACAAAACAATGGTTATTGTTGTCGATTAGATGTTTCTACGTCATTATTCGATTAATCTATTTATATCATCCCATGACGTCTCAATTAAAAGAGAACTCAAGGCTTACAAATTCTTTTTTCATTTGGATATCATTAATCAATTCTACATATATTCATTGATTGAGGGATAAAACGTATATTTAATTGCATAAATATACGTTCATAACGTGTGACAAAAGAACCAGAATTTACAATACACGTGTGTTATTGTTCGAGACAGGTGAATTAGTAGAAAACCTTTTGATATTGCACATGAATCATTAATTAAAATGTACCGTAAGCATATGTTGTGAATACAATAGCTCCCAAACAGGAAAGGACATCGTCATCGGCTGTTGATATGCTTACTTTATGCAATCTTTTGAAATTTCTAGTGATATTGATTCGTGATACTGATGGAATGCTATCTTCAAGATGTATCTAAAGTTATGTAGCAGCATTTCGTTCTCGGAAACGAACTTGATTAGTTAGACAATCGAAGTTGCAATTTGATTAACTTTTATTATTATCTTAAACTGAAGACATCTCTGTAGATGTCTTGACTCTTATAGATATGTCGAATAGTCTAGATTATCGTGAAATAGTCTATGAAAACAAAAATAGTAGGGAAAAAAATTCGTCTTCCTGTTTCACTGAAGATTTCAAAAATAACACCTTAAATGACGACTATATCGCATATCTTCAACGAATGACCAAGTCTTCGCAATCCAAACAATACGTCGTTGATTTGCATCACATTCATAGAAAATCGATGCATTAGTTATAGATAAACCAGTCACTTGGCGACAAAATTCTAAAGGATCCCATTGTGATGCAATTGCTGTACTCCATTGGGATAAACAACCGACATCATTCGGAAAATAATAACCATCAATTCGAAGCTCGATGCAGTCTGTATATGCTGGATTTGAATTATTAACAGCATTACATGTAACTGTCTTGCCATCAATCGACTGATTCCATGTAAACGACGTAGCAGTTGTGGTAGTTTGTGCTATATAAATACAACATATAGTCATGTATCTTGAACTCGAAGGTCGTTTACTCGAGTCGATTAAGGCCGCCATTATTGTTGTAGTTGCTTAAATGTAAAGGTATTCATTCATCGTTATGTAGAAAGAGAATTTCGGTGTTCACGAAAAAAGATCTTACAAGTGCTCATATGTACTAAAATAACAATAGGAACTAATGTCGCAATCAAGATGATTAATATGAGTAATAATAGAAGACAAATCCATACACCGATTTTTAAACGTTGACTACTATGTTAGACAAACATGCCAATTGTTTTTCTACGAAAAAGATTTGTTTTCTTACGATGAAGGTGAAATTTGATTAGTTCTCTTCGAGTTTGTATTGATAGAATTCATCATATCAGACTGTAGATGGTCCGTAAAGAATTAAGATGGATATCAATACTGACAACCTCATTTGGTAGTGTTTGGTACGGTCAGATCAAATGAAGTCACATGACGGCGAACATATGTCTTACGACAGCAAAGCAAAAACGCAAATCTGGATAATACAACATCTATGTGATATGCTTTAGGAAATCATTAGATATGTAAAGATCATTGTAGAGAATTATCTTTTCGATCGAATTAGGTGGATAGATTTGCACAGTTATACTGTTTTATTCATCCGGGAGAAACTGAAAATCTTTCTGAGAAACGTAAGTTGTAAGTGGATTTCGTTACCACGAGCAACAGACACAATCAAGCTGCACACACTCTCATATGTCATAAAATCATACTTGAGTACGCATAGATTAAAAAAAACAGAAGGGGACAGCTTTTTCATAAATCACTATATTCAGTATGGATTTGTTTTGCCATGTAAAGAACTGGCGCTGGTATTTTGATCTACTCCTGCCTCATAATACTGATACAATCGCTGTGTGAAAGGAGTCAAGCCGACTGTGCATTAATACAGTGTACCAACGTAATTCTAGTAACCTTTAGTTAATACGTAATTATATTCTATCGTAGTTTATATCGATGTAAAACCTACAAAAATTCCAAGGTTGTCGGTTTCACGACACTTTCAATAAAACATATTCAAGGCCTCATGTAGTAAATTTGTCAGAATGGAGAAAAATACGCTGATGTCTCGTCGAGAAAAGAATACATTTCTTTGTGGAATAGTTTACAGGTTTGATTTCCATGAATTCTTAAATATTTTTCCCGTCTGCAAACAAGACGTCTGGTAAATAAAGTAAGCGTTGACAAGAGAGGTATTTCAATACTTTTACGTCGATGTTTTTCTCAAGTAATCATCAACGTACTCATAATTGTTCAACACGAGTCATGCATTTGTGTGATTAAACGTGTGTAGACATATGAGACGCAAATTTTGCAACTTCAATATTAGCGTTTACAAAAAAACCGAACAGAATTTATTTACTAATAACAAAACTATATTAAGATTTTGAAAAGCCACAATATCACCACTGAAATGTTACTCCAATACATTTGCATATCTAGCCGCAGATTAGTTACTATTAATAGAAACACAATTTGTTTTGTATGATTTGATCGATTGAGATCTTTTTGAGTCCATTGTGGTGAAGTAACACAACAAGTATCGAAATCAATTCTCAGTTTGTACACAAAACCTTATATTGAAAATCTCTCTGTACCATTGTTGTTCTCATCGACGGGCGACTTTCTCAAGGTTTCCGATGAGAATTGAAAGGTGTAACGAGTGTTGGTTTTCTGCATGATATTCGACTTGTAGTACCACCGTATTGCTCGAGCAAATTTATCGTAGGTCATCTTTTGATTCGATTGTCGACTTTTGACTGCTTGCCAGAGTGCAGCTACTTTCTCAGGTTGATGTATCTGAAAGATTCCTTTGCTTCGATCAGTGAATGAAGCATAGGATTCATAATGTGGTTTTGCAACGAGAAGCAACAAGAATTCGAATAAACGAGGAGATCTAAGACGTGATGATGATGCGTCTGAAATCAACCATTCTTTTCTATTCGTCGGAATTTCACATACTTCCAGTGAAGCCCTATACAACCAATTATGGATATCGTCTACAGCAGATTTCGAGTCAGGATCCGAAACCATGTCAGCGAACTCATATTCAGTTATGGTATCATATGGGAAGAGCTCCATAGTGTCATCCGAGTAATTCTCCATTGTTAGATTGTCGATCAATTGAATTGGATTATTTAGTTGAAGAAGATCGTACTGGCACTCTCTTGATTTAATTTAGATAATAAATTTTGTAAAATAATGTGAGTTTGGATGAAACCGGAGTTGTAAGCACTAATGTTTTTTTGTTGACGGTCAATATTAGAGAAAAAATAGACGTAAAATAGAAGTGCTTGTGAGAGGAAAGAAAAAAGAATTTCGCCGAAATATATGCACCTTTCTATTCTTATGCTCGCGTCTACACATGTAATCATTGTCTTTTATAGACTGCGACGTCGGTTGGAATATTCCGTTTTAACCGTTCCTAAGAGATTGTAGAATGTTTAGTCGACTATTTTTCACGTAGTATGTTCGAATGACGACACTCGAAAACCTAGAATAGCGTTTTTCGGTATTTCTCTGAATTTAATCCCATGTATGTGTCACATAATGTTGGAAAGCAAATAAGTTATTTGTCATTATTTTTTTATATCGATGACGATTTCAATCGAAAAAAAAAAATCGACGAATTTTCGTATGATGAGATAAGAGATTATTTCGTAAAATGTATTAGTTCGATTTAATGAAATGTCCTTCTGAGTAATCATTTCATAAACAGTCTCAGAAGAAATACAAGTAGCGACTTTGCAGCAAAAAACGAATTCAACTTTTTTGTTCTTCCAAACATGTGATTACATCTGTTGTTTTCTTTTTCACTCTGATAAAGTGAAATAATAAGAATGGCTGCTGGCATACTTGACAACAAATGTATTCTTAGATAAGAGAGTTGAGTAGTTATTTTCTTTCCAAATATCGAAATGCATGTGAAAATACTCAAAGGTCCTCATTCATCATCGCATCATATAAGTTTAGAGATTTTCGTAGAAATTCATTTTCGACATGATGTCAGTAGTGTTGTTCGTGATGTGTCCAAAACGGAAAAAACCAAGTTGATGTATCGCTGAGACGCGAAGGAATGACATGTCTGTTATTTTATCCGTGTGCCTGACTAGATTGCACCGTAAATGTGACGAACATACGGTTTCATTAAAAAAAAAGTCACAATTCATCCACTTCCAAAAATTTCTCGACACGGTATAAATATTATTTAATCAAGAAGCTATTGGAAACGAGATTATGTTCTTGATAATATTACTTTCTTTTAAATATTTAAGGAACTCGATTGAGATCATGTTTTTTTCTACTCAAGTGGAACATAAAAGTTAGAAAGTACTCTGATAGTGTCATAAAATCCACTTGAAAAAACGAAAGTTCATTGTTATAAGAGTACTGCTCGTTATCACAAGTAACATATGATTTGCATCTAAAATTCAAACGATGTCTTACTCGATCGTCCTCGTACAATTTTTCAATCTTGACTTACTCGTGTCGATTCCGTCACTTTCAAAGTGTGATCGTAGACATTCGGTTAAATTTACATTACACTTGTTTGTCATACAATAGCATCGATTATAAATCATCGTATAATTATCTGCGTTCTCAAGGACTTCTGTCCATCGAATGTAAAATGTCGCGGACGTTTCATTATAATACTGTTGAACATTCGTTTTAGTATTCATTCGCTGCATTTTATCGATCTCATCGGCTAATACGTATTCATAATCTTCATCCGGTATTGCCACTAATGTTAAATAACTTCCGTGATCCATTTCTAAATACATACAAACCACAGTATGGGTTCGTACGTATTCTTCACATTGTGTCATATTGATATAGGGTGTCGAGTCCCTTACACAATAATATGTCGAGTTTAGTACACCGAGTGGCGTATCTTGGCAAGAAATAGCTGATTTGTTCGCCGAGAGGGTCGGTATGGGCGAAGGAAGTGCTGGTAAACGAGGATTGGAATCTACAGAATGTTTACACATGGTTAGGTTTTCGTTACATAAATTCGTTGCACAAATACAGAGTAGATCAACATCGAAATATTCGAATGGTAACGGCGAACAAAGACCGTAACCTATATCACTATCACTGGTGAAGCCGGAACAACGCTGTGTGACGAGACGGTAAGAATTCGTTATGTAAATACAATCGTGCGAGATAGTGGAATCGGTACCATTATTGAAAAACTCGTAGACACAATACTCACAATTGGTAAATACATCTGTATCGCCAAAATCAGTTGCACATGTAAGATTTCGACGACGAGTGATACTACTCAATTGTAACGGTGAATGCTTGAAGAAACTTTCACAGTAATAAGTAAACATTGTCAAGACGAAGAAAATTCCATACAGCATGTTATCAATATCCATATATAGCGAAATAATGACGAATTATACTTTCTCTCCTTTTACTTCAGCTGTCCTATAGAAAATCAATGAAAGGTTGATGGAGTGCACACCCGATGAAAAAAAATCCGGCATACAATCGAATAGAACTTGCCCATTAAGAATAAATCAAGAAGAAAAATGTACAATACTTGATACATGAATCATACTTGGGACAGAAAATGTGTACAAAGCAATGAGATTCTTGTATTTATTATTTATTTTACTGAAAAATATACTCTTACGAAGGAAGACAAAGTCAATACCTCAGAAAAGAACGCTGGCAGTGTACAAAACTATCTGGAGAAGAAAGATCTATAAAGGTATGTCTTTCACAGCATACACTGAAAAAAATCTGTTCACAAATCTATACAAAATGTATCACAAAATAGTTCTTTTTGAATTTAATTCAGCTCAGAATTTGGTAACAAGAGAAGAGGAGCATAGGCTCGTTTTAATTCATTGAAATCATAGAAATACGAATCTGGCGCGATGGATTGACAATTATCTTTAAATCGAACTTCCATTTCATTATATAACATTCGGACTAAAATTTGATGCGGATCGTTTTCATTCTGATAAATTTCCCATTGAATATTCGCAGCCATGGGTGAGATATGAGCACCACGCCAAGAATTATTGTCGTACCTGTATATCTCGTTTAGATCGACTGCTTGATCAGAAAAACAAGGAATTTGTAAGAGTGAAGCAAATGGAATGATCGTTTCAGCATGTGCGAAGCGAAGACACCCCACCATCGCTTTACTCGAATCTTCGATGCATTTGTGTATCGAAGAAAAGAAATCGATCAACAATGGCCTGGCCATATCAAAAGTCGCTGTTGTTCCTTTGATCGACGGACCTTTGATGTAGTACTCCTTTGAAAAGAAAGCAGAAAATGCTTGGCAAAATCATTTCAGTGAAAGGTTTACTTGAGCATCACTTATGTAAGCAAACCAATTGGATTCTTCTCGGTTGAAATACTTGGCTAACATATTCCTAAGATGAGATTCTTTGTGTGCAGGTGCAACTGAAAACATGGCATATAGCCAAAGAACGGCATCGACTTCATTTGGACGAGTCGTTCCGTTGATAGAATCGATGTTTTCCATGGAGAGATTCGCGTGATTTTCATTGGCTAATAATTGAAGAAATTCATCTTGATAAATTCTTTGCAGGACTTGTCGAGCGAGGAGTCTTGTTTGTTCTAGATTTTTGATTTCTTTGATTTTCTTTCGAATATGTGGATCAGTTTGTTTGAAATTTTGATAGGTTGAACAGGATTTATGGAAATAAAGTAACGTTTTGTTAGGAACTTCATGTTTTATTTGAAAACTCGATTGAGATCTCGTTAAGCCAGATAGAAAACATTGACAACTGTCTACAACACGTTTCTTTCCGCTTGTCACGACTTCAATTGTACTTGACGAAGAAAATAGCATTGGCAATCGTGAAACTAAACGTGCTCCCATATCACTGTGTTCTTTTCTTCCTAATTCAGTTAATTGTCCAACTCTAAATAGAGTTCAATGATCCTCACCATGTCAAGAAGAACATCTGAACTTACCCAATCTGATTATTCTCTTTCATAAACCGTTCGATATCCTCCTTCAATTGCTCGCCTAAGTGTGTTAACATATTCCTTTCCTTGGCTAATTGCCAGACTTTTAATGTTTGAATATCATAACTATGGCTTGTCAATGTTCGACTTCCGTGTCTGGCAAGAAATTGCACACAGATTGGTTTAAAACCAGAAGGTGGTGAACTTAATGTGTAATCTTTCGTGGGCGATTTATACGATGTTTTTGTTGAGTAAAAACGATCACTATCGTCCTTTTCGGTAATTGGGCTGAAGTCCAGTTCATTTTCATTCTTGGATGAGTCTAGGTCATTGTGGCCTTCTTCTTGAATGCCTAAACTTTGTGTGCGACAATCTGGCCAGTAATGATATGACGTTGGACTGGAATGCGGAATGCTGATACTTCGATTGCGTCTATTGACAAAACGTACTTGGCCAATATTATCTACCGAGAACATGGGACGTAAAGCTGAGTCGTAGAGATGATGAAGTCTATATTGGTACAAATAAGACTGATTGGATGACTCAGGATAATTTGAATTAAAGGTGGTAACTAGAGCCATATGAAATGATTTTTACAAGTGATATCTGCAAAATAAAACGAAAGTCGTTCTTATCTTTGTTCTATAAATAATATTTTATCTCTGAACTTCAAGTGTAGATTCTCTTTGAAAATAGTGGTGGTTAAATATCATACACGGTAGAATGTATATGTCGAACCGATCAATAATGACGTTAGTAATTTCACCTTTTTTATATGATGATGCAATAATTCTATAGGACAAATGATAATTGCGTCGTTTTCCGTTTGATTTATTTAACTTACTATTTGAGAGGCAAAACAAACATATTTTCGGGTTCGCCTAGGTATTCTGTTCTCTTACATGCCCATTAAAAAAAATTAAAAAGAAAAATGAGAGGCGTGGATAAGATCTGACATTTCATTGAGTTGCATCTATCTTAAAGTACAACGCGCTCTTTGAAGATTCATTATTAATAGAAGGTTTCAACTTACTTTTGAATATAAGATTTATAAACTATAGAACTATTGACTTGCTCTTTGTAGATACTGATGAACAAGCTCCTCTACTGTCAAGTCGACATTTCTCCTATATTTGAAATAGTTGTTTTTCTACTCTCTTTGTGGAAAAAAAAACATTTTCATGATAGAAAATAGAAGTTTGTTATTTAACAAATCGAATGCTAATGAATTCCAACACGCAACGTGTGTCAAACATACTTTTCTTCTAAATCTCAATCTCGATGAGCTTTCTATCACTGTGAATTCTTGGTATATTGTAAATAAAATCAAAGTCGATTGTCTGCTGTTAAGCAAACAGCTGTGTTATTACCTTTTCTTTATTCTTTTAACTTGTATAACTGCAACACGTGTATCGTGTATGTTGTCTTTAACGAGTAACCATATGCGACAAAGTTGTGGGAGAAAATGAGCAGCGTCCAACGCAACTCACTGTTTTCTTTTTTTGAAAGACGTCACTGAGTAACAAATTGGTAAAGTTACGCACGTTACTTCCCAAATGAAATAATTTCGCGAAAGAAAAGAAGAAGAAAGAAAAAGAGATGACGTAAATTGGTGGTGTCAGAGACAGAGAAAAACCGTTCGATATAATAAATTCACTTTTGTCACAAGCAATATACATAACAGAACTTTCTCAAGAATATACGACGATATTCGGCGAAAAAGTACGGGTGCCAATATGTTGAAGTATAAGGCCTAGGCGAAGAAAGAAGGAAAAGAAATCTACGGAGAAAAGAGAGAAAAGAAAAGAACGAGTTTCTAACGATAATATACATCACAACATCTATCTTGTGACATATCATACGTGTGTGTGGATATCGCACAATGGCTGTTTATCGGTTGCATTAGATTTCCATATTTTACTCGATGAATTGTCATTAGTGGATATCTGCGTCAGTTCGAAAGAACGTCATCTTTTTCTTTTGTACCAAGGGAACTAATGAATTCGAAGAAGATTCATTCGAACGGGTTATGAATAATTTAGTAGTTCATGAGAAATGGAACATTGGAGACGATTTTTCTCAGTAGATGTTGGATTTATTCCTTTTTTTCCAAACGTATCTATCAAGAACATTGTACTTATCGCTTTTTCTCATCTATAAATCACATGATCGATAGACGATATTTCTTCTCCAGGTCGTAGTCATTACATTTGGAAGACTGTGTGTTCTGAGAACACGCGATATTCATAGGAAAAAAAAGAAGAATTTTTGTATGACATTGCTCAGTTACAAAGAAAGAAAAACCTGACACTGATGTAGTACTCATTCAAATTTCTTTTCTATTCTCTACATAATATTAAAAAATCATACTTCAGTAGTTAAAACAAACTAAAACCTAAATGAATCTCGTGTCTCTGCCCCTCCTTTCATGTTTTTCTTTCTCTATAGAACATAAGTATTCATTCACAAAACATCGGAACGTGTTGATTAAATCTGATGAAAAGATGTATTTATCTGCAATCGAAATTTTCTTTTACAAGGTGAATTATATCAAACATGCGCATCGATGGTCAAATACAAAAGGAACACATCAAGACGTATTACGATCATATCCGTTGACATAGAAAGTCGACGACAACGGAAATCGTTTCTTTTTAAAAAGATTTGTTCATCAACTGTTGTCGGCAAACATTGAACCTGGAAGTTGGGATAATTTGTCATGAAATGCGAATTGAGAGCATTTATACATGAGTTCACAAATGTGACAAAAGGAGAAAAGGTTTTCTTGAGATTGTTCAAAGTAATGAGAAATCATTATCGTTATTCATTGACAAGTTTTCGTGTTTGTTATTACTTCTCATTAAGATAATTACTGATATTTTCAATAATCAATATCAACAATAAGAAGTGCCTCTAACGATGAAAATCAACGTCAACATGTTTTGTATTTTGATTCATTATCGAGAGAAAAACGCAGTAAGAATATCCTTGACGTATGAGGCATCGCATCTATCATGAGAAAAATATACCTTTCGTTCTTGTCTTCCCGATAATTTATCTAAAAAAAACGAAGAAAAAAACAGTGAGCAATATCGATTCGAGCGGTTATTATTTTGCTTGAGCAGGCGAGGCACAGGTGAAAATACCAAAATAAAAACGTCACACAACCGTGCTTGTTTTAACCCAATAAGCTAGGCACTAATATCCGCATAATCAAAACAATATATCAGTTTCGCGTAAGTAATATCCAACGCTAATCAACCTATTGACATAATTGAAATTGATCTGCTGTTTTGCAGAAGATGATGCCAAGACGTGTGACTACGCGAAAGGCTGGTACTGGTTGTAATGTCTTCAGTCGTAAATGTTCACCGAAGCGTCGGAATGACACGTACGAGCCTGATTTGCAATTTAGTCCGGATAATACTTGGAAGAAAAAAGTTCAAATTCAAGTGAAAGTGAATAATGCATTGAAATATCCGGAAATTGAACCGGCGATAAATCATTCGCAATCGATTTCCTTTCGATTGAATCCCACGAATGGCAAGTCTTTATCATCGTTGGATATGAAGAAGAAAAACGTCGAAGTCGAACTCTATTACAATGCGAAACTTCAAGACAAAATCGATCATTGCGAACCAAAACTTCATGTTGATCTGTCCTATTGTCAAATAGTCGATCGAGACATGGTGATCATTGTTAATCAAATCATACTCGAAAGAAAATGTACAGAACTTTGGCTATATGGCAATCATATCACTTCTCAAGGTATTGCTATTCTAGCACAAAGTTTAGTTCACAATTCTACGTTGAAAAGCCTGGACCTGTCATTCAATCAAGTATCCGACGCCGGTGTACGTTTTCTTGCTCTTTCACTTTTACCAGATCAATATTCGGCACTGAAAATTCTTTATTTAAGTAAAAATGGTATTTGCGATGATGGCGCAATGTATTTATCTGAAATGTTACAGAGAAACCGAACAATAACAGAATTATGGTTATCGAATAATGAAATCAGTAATCGGGGCGTGAAACAACTGGCGAATGTGTTAGCGTATCATAATGAAACATTAAAAATCTTATCACTTTCCGCGAATGTATTCATAACGGATTTATGTATCGAAGATTTGTTGAAAATCTTTGAGCATAATGAAACGTTGAAGAAAATTTGGTTCAACGATTGTAATTTCTCGGAATATGGAAAAATGAAACTTCGAGAGCGAGCCAAACGAAAAAGTCATATTCATATTGAATTATAACACCTACACATGCGTATATATTTGTTTTGTATGTTTAATTAAGAAATAAAACTTTTCAGAAATTCTACTTCGACCTAGTCTAGTCTATTTTCGATATTATGTCTGCGTATGACGACGAAAAAGAAGTAGAAGTCAAACATTCGACGATCATACCATACTGTTCTTATCAAAAGAAATATTTCATAAAGATACGACTATCATCAACAAAATCTTTTTTTTGAGTCTTTCATTTCGACGACAACAATGGAATATTCATGGTATATTTACTGTTCAATTGAAATGCTTCTTATGACCATTCCATACTATGGAATTAATCTTTATGATTATCTTACGAAATCGAAACCATGGAGACGTGAAATACAAAAACGCAAGCCGCAAGGTATTGAATTAAAGGAAGCATCTGTTCTCTCGCATTCAATCACTCATTTGCTCATTCGTTCATCGGTATGGTACTTTCATCTTCATCATTCAACAATGTCCAACATGAATTCGATCTCATTGGTCTCGTTTGTATTGAAAATGATTCTCTATGATGGTTTAGGAACAGTTTTCCATCAATATCAACATTCGTCCTACGGTCGAGTATTCAATCATTTAAAACATCATCAACTACGTACACCCACATTAGCAAGTTCCGCATATTTGTCATTAGGAGAATTAGTTTTGAGTAACCATATCGGCTGGATCATCATTGGTTTTATTCCAGGCTCGTTTTGGGATCATTGTTTATTTTTAGTTATTTCATCATTAATTAAACGGTTGTGTCACAGTAATCATGATCATCCATGGGAAAACACAAAAGTGTATCGTTGGCTGAGATTAGTTGGTTCACATGAACACCATGTACATCATTTACATCCGAATAAAAACTTTGCTGATTTGTTTATTTTCTGGGATAAACTATTCGGCACTTTTCTCGACCCGAAATATGTCAATGGAATTTATAAATATGATCAAGTCAAAGCAAACTAAGCTTTTCTGTCTGTAATTATATAATACAGTTCAGATTTTGTTTTCTGAAATCTTTACCTTGAAAAGAATCGCATGTAGTTCTAACCTGATCTGTAACAATGTTTTGAACTTCTTCGTTCTGTGACATGAACTTTGTAGGACGATGTTTTCCGATGATAATTACTAATTGTCGACCTTGAAATCGCAGAAACACTTCACACATTCTATAATATACACATTATCTTATCATTTTCTATCGATCAAGGACATAGCATCTAATTAATTGAATAATTATCTGTTTGTTGTTCTGCAGGTGAAATGGATATCTCAAGGTTAATCCGTCACCTTTCGAATGAGTTCAATACCTAAACAGAATATGAAACTTTTGTGTCTTATCAGGAAATGTAACACAAATAATCTTCCTCGAGCCGAATAACATACTTCTTCGATTCTACAACACTGATTAAATAATTACAATCAATTTTCAAACCTATACGTTCACAAAATCGAGCCTCAAAGGCAGGCCAGCGACGTTTTCTTTTACGAACATATTAAAATCTGAAATGTGCTCAAATAGATTTTCTCATTTTATTAATTAGTCTACATCTCTTGTTACGCCTGCAGATAATATACCTGTCGGATCTTAGTGTTAATTAATAGAATATATGAATCGAACTTTCTGGTTATGCCTCTCATGGAAAACAACATAACGTCATTGTCTATTCTCACTAATATTACAAGGTGAGTGCAGTTCAAGGTCAGCTGGAAACAAAACGCATGATTTTTCCTCAAAATTCTTCGTCGAATCGGTATGACGATGTTTCGCTGAGTATCAATCGTTATATCGCGCCGATTGTACTTTGTTTTGGTACTGTTGGAAATACTCTGAATATTTTTCTTTTATCTCAACGAACTCTGCGTACAAATTCATGTGCGTGGCTTTTTCTAACATCGTCCATCTCAAATTTGGTTTGTATTATGTTTGGTATGATCACACGCATTGGAGATGGATGGAATTTCGATTTGACGAGAACAAATCGATTGCTATGTCAGCTTCGCGTTTTTCTGGTCTTCTCGTCCAGAACTATTGGCTTTTGGTTAATTGCATTAGCAACTATTGACCGATGGCTTTTGTCATCGATCGATGCTAATTATCGTAAGAAAAGTTCGTTAAAAAATGCTCAAAAAGGTGTGATTATCATAACTTGTATCTCGATCATCCTCTATGCTCAAGTATTCTACTGTTACGATGCAAATCTGCTCACTGCTCCATTACGATGTTACAGCAGAACAATGGAATGTCGTTTAGCAAATGATTTAATTTATGTACTGATGACAATTATGATTCCTCTAACGGCTACGCTTGTCTTTGGATTGAAGACCATTTCAAATGTACGACAAAGCCAGCGACGTATACGTCATCTTGCTGTTCAAAATTTGTCACAAACGCCTACATTATCAAGCGCAGATAATCCACAGAATCGGTTGAAGAAGAAAACTGATCGGCAAATGCGTCAAGCGCTGTTTGTTCAAGTTATTATTTTAATCATCTTAGCGTTTCCACAGGCTATTCAAAAAATTTATACGACAGCAACTGAATATCGGTATTCGGATACTTATAGCGACAATCGCTCGTTTGATACCTTGATTTATAACTGTTCTGTTACACTCTCGTTTTTGGCTAGCGGAATGCCCTTCTATATTTACACATTATGTGGTGGAGATATCTTTCGGAATGCTTTATATGAACTATTCCAAACAGTAAAAACAAAAATTGCTCACGTAATAGAATAACAGATGAAAGGCAAAACGGTTTCTCTCCTGCTTTATTCATTCGTGTGTTATGAAAGTTGAACTGTTTTATCTTTTCTGATTAAACTCATTCAATTTTCCATAACATGCAAATAACTCCGTCGGCGAGACATTCTGCTCTTTCAATATCGAGAAACGGTTGAGCTCGAGAGATCTTTTAGGATAAAATGTAAATGTCATTGTCATTAGAAGTAAACTATTCAACTTGGTTAGACGATGTAACGGTTCAACTGAATCGTTATTTAGGATTGTTTATTTTTGTCTTTGGAATTATTGGAAATATTTTTAATATCTTTGTTTTATCGGAGAAAACTCTGCGATTCAATCCATGCTCACGATTGTTTCGTTGCTCGTCGGTCGCAAGCATTCTAGCGTCGAGTTTCGGCCTCACAACCCGAATTTTATCAAGTTGGAACATTGACCTTAGCGGAACGAATTCGTACTTATGTAAATTTCGTGGTTTAATGGCTTTTTCTTCATCGACTGTCACCTTCTGGTTGGTTGCTTCTGCCACTATTGATCGCTGGCTAGCTTCAAGTATTCTTCCATCGCGTCGACGACATAGTACAATCCAGAATGCTCAACGAACAACATTTGCTATTGTCTGTTTATCAACTGCACTTTATTTTCATCTGATTTTCTGTTACGATGCAAATCTAGTTGGTACGCCCATGAAATGCTACAGTAAATCACCGGAATGTCGTTTCTTAACCGATCTCTCGTTTGGATTAATCACTATTCTATGTCCTCTGGTGATTATGATCATCTTTGGCTTAATGACAATATCAAATATTCGTCAAGCACATTATCGAGCAGTTCGACAGTCCGTTTATTTTCCAGCAAAACAACGCAAACAAGTCGATCGACAATTGTTAACGATGTTACTTCTTCAAGTAACTCTGCTGTTAATCCTGTCGCTTCCATTACCGATTCAGAGATTCTATTCGACATTCACCAGTTCCGATTCGAAAAGTATTCAGCAGAAATCCGTCGACAACTTTTTATACAACTCATCATTACTTCTGATTTACGTAGCCAACAGTGTCCCATTTTATATCTACACAATCAGCGGAGGCAGCACTTTCCGAAAAGCATTGAAAAATGTTTTCAAAAGATGTCGACAAGTGATCATTTGGTGTTAGATACACAAACGACGCTCAATATTCGTCACATACATTGTAATACAAATAGGAAAATTTGCATTTGAATACTGTTGTATTATCATATGTTGGATCGATGAATATGCGAAAAAAAGATTAACCTTTATCTGCATGATAGTTCCGGTTTTCTATATTGTTTTTCTCGTTCTGCTGGCAACAAATTCTCCTTTTGATCACATTAATCAAAAGAGAGATATTCTGTCTGTTTTCTCCAAGCGCTAATCCACAATGACAGAGAAAGGGGAAACTAGAATAAATATGTATTCTATTTTAAAAGAAAGATGAATTCTCTTTTGAAGGATTCTCTCGAACAAACAAGTAAAACGTAAGGACATCCTACAAGTAGATTCGCTTGGTTGGAAAGAATCGCGAAGCTCTGCGAATAAATTCTTTTTCCTAGTTTCTATTTCGGGAAAGAACTGCTTGTCGTATTTATTCTTCATTTATTTGTGTTCGAGCGGAACAGTTGCTTTCAGCGCATTCTTTTTTATTAATGGAAAGGTATTATGATTTTCTTTGTTCGAAGAAAAACAAATATTGATATCTCGCGTTCTTCTGCTAACTGAACAGTAATTCTACAAAAAAACAAAAAGTTTCATTTATATTAAACAAATATTAATGTCGTTAGTTCGCTATAGAAATGTTCGCAAGTGCTACGTTATCAATTACTTGATTAGAACGAATCGAACTTGGAGGAACAGCAAATAAACATCGATCGACAAACAGTGGCAGATAGTGTACGTGCTAGATTTAATTGAGCGTGGTCGATTAGTTAGAAAAATCTTCTCTCAAATCTCTTTCTCGTCGAGATTTGATCGAATAGAACAGCGAATCAAATGAGTCATACGAGCTGTCAACCGTCGGGAAGTTGAGCGTATTGTCGGTAGTTTTAAAGTATCAGATGCTTGATTATGAGCAAATAACTTCTGAAAACAGAAGTCATACTTGCGTAGACTAGATTCCTTTGTCTTTCAGCTACATGCATGACTAGATTATATAATTACTTTAGCTTCTGGGTTCACTTGAATATCCAAGCGCGTTTTTTTTAGAATTGCTCTTATTCATTCTTGTCATTTCCCAGAAAAGCGCGACCAAGACTATGAAAACTCATATCCCTTTTATTTATTTATTCGTCGATGATAGCTATTAATACTTAAGGGCTCTTGTTTTAATGAAATTTAATGCACGTAACGGTCGCTATACGTGATCCCGAGGTCCGTTACTTCGATACATATAAGTACAATAACTAATTACATGTTCTACTTTTTTCTGTCAATGACAACAGAACCGCGCCCACGCAGATATATGTGTAACCATGTCCATCAATTTTCATTAGGAATAAAATTCTGGAATAGTCTAAACTCCGTCGAATAAAAATATTTAAATGCGAAAAGGTGAATGTACTAGCTAATAAAAGACTAGCATCAACAACAGTGACATGCAACTGAAATAGAGTTATTTCCTTGCTGTTCATTGTCATCATCAATATAAAAATAAAGTAGGTAGTATATGTCAATGATGACGAATATGAGAAATTTACTTGATGTTTGCAGAAGAAGAGTATCGAGATTGAATGAAGAAATTAGATTGAAGTTAATCTTCTCAGATGAACTTTCAGCTGGATTTTAGATAATTATATGGCATAGTTCTAATAATAAAGCAACCTTTTGTATCGAGGAAACTTTCGACCGCATTATATAGAGTACTTTTTTACCTTGTTTTGATTCATTCTTTTTCAAGGACTGTACACAAGTAGATGAATCTTCTATTTAAAATCTATCTCATGAGAACCGACTATCATCTGTCATAAACATTTGTTCTTTTTTCGTTCATGTCTTCATTTTGCTCTATCCTGTGCTTTGAGCTTTCTAATTAATAATAGAATCGACGGATACGGCGATCACAACGTTCTTCATCCAGAATTTGTTGAGTGACATAAGTTGATATGAAATTATTCCATTTCTGTGCTCTTTCCTTACTCGATCAAGATAACAACTGACTGTTACTAATTTTGTTCTCTCCGTCGTTTCTCTATTGCAGAAGCAGAAGAAGATACCGAGGTTTTTTTCAACACATATGTATCGTCTCAATTAGCAATAGCAATATGCTATCACCCACACTGACAACAACAGACACGCATCCTATTCAAGCATGCCAATATGTTTCGTCACAAATCAACTATTATTTTTCGATATTCTTATTTATCTTTGGAATAGTGGGTAATGTATTGAATATCTTTGTTTTGTCTCAACGTTCATTGCGATCCAATCCATGTGCTTGGCTATTTTTGATTTCATCCATAGCAAATCTCATTGTGATATTATCCGGTTTGACAACAAGAATTGTTTCCTATTGGACTGTTGATATTACCGATACGACAGGATGGATTTGTAAAACTCGCGTTTATGTCTTATATGTATCAAGAACAATTGCTTCGTGGTTAATCATATTAGCGACTATTGACCGGTGGTTGTTATCCTCGTTGAGTGCACATCGTCGAAGACTTAGCACATTAAAATATGCGCAACACGGAACGATACTCGTTGTTTGTTTGACTCTTATGATTTTTTCTCCACTACTTTATTGTTACGAAGCGAATCTTAGGAACACTCCACTTAAATGTTACACAAGATCAATCGTTTGTCGAATTTTTGCAGATCAAACATATATAACTATTACTATTGTCTTACCATTGATACTGATGTTTCTCTTCGGATTCATGACTATGTCTAATGTACGTCGATCAAAATATCGCGTGCAGACGCCGTTGCTTGTACGAACAAGGCATACGTTAAACGAAAACGATATACGACTACATCGTTTTCGATTCATTGATCGACATTTATTGGTTATGCTTCTTGTACAAATTAGTTTTTTCGCTCTATTAACTGTCCCACAAGCATTCCAACAAATCTACTCGACAATGACAAGAAATAATAGGAAATCATCACTGCAAATAACGATCGAAAACGCCATGTTCTCTTTCGTTATTTTATTATCTTATTTAGCAAGTGGGATTCCATTTTATATTTATACGTTATGTGGTGGACGAGTTTTTCGCGAAGCATTTTTTGTCTTTCTCCGGCGCATCAAACAGATATTTATATGTCAACAAAAATAAAATTGTTTTTGTTTTGTTCATAATTTCGACTGAAATAGATCTTAAGAAATTGGTGATGATTCACGATCACCTGAAGAGCAACATGCAGAATAAAATTTCGTAAGAACGAACGTGAATATAATAGCAAGAAGGAAAAATACATCGACTGGCACACATCGTGTTTTTTCTTCTTGTATCATTGTTGTTCCATCACGTATCGCACATTTTATAATCTTGTCTGGAAATGCATATTGAATCGTTTGCTAATGAGTTACTTCTGGAAATATTTCAATATCTGACTACATCGAACATTTACTATGGAGTGGGCTTAGCGAACGTTTTGACACGGTAATTCTCGAATATTTCCGAACGTGTGATATTGATTTTCGGTCAGTATCTCGATGTGATTTCGATTTCATTTGTCAACATTATCTTCCGCAAACAGTCAATCGAATTAGTTCATTGTGTCTGTCCGATGGTGATGATACGCCTGGTCAAATTGAACGATTCTTTTCTTTCGGTTTCAAACCGAACCAATTCCATCAGTAGAGAATCAAGAGTATGCAGAGAAGACGACCAACATTATTTGGAGTCTACCTAAACTTGTTCAACTATGTTTCAAATCGAAATACAAATATCGGCAGTCGCATCATTTTGTTAATAAACATCGACGAGATCAGAGTATTTCTCTTCGGCCAACAGTCATTTCGACGACACTCCAGCGTGTACTAATCATTGGACTGCAACCATGTCGTGTACCTTTAGATCAGTTATTCTCACATACACCATGTCTTCAACAGTTGATACTCGACAAATATTGCGATTCCTATGATCCTCATAAAATTAGACTAACGTCTCTAACTAATTTAGTAATCGGAGATTTCGCACACTTTTAGCACATTTGCCTAATTTGAGACGTCTTAAAATGGATAGTACACAAAGAAACATATCCGTAAGACCCATTGAGGAATATATTACTCGTTATGTCCCAACATTACAACAATTACAATTTCTTACGACGCGTAATCTTCAAAACTGAGAATACAACGAAGGAACAATGTATTGCACGCTTGATGAATGCCGCAGTGACTTTTGGCTCGTACAACACCGCTGGTTTGTTCAATGACACTATTGTCCTGATCGATTTTTGCATACTTATAGCCTACCTTACGCGTTCGATAGTTACCAAATGTTATTTCCTATGAGAACCAGAATCGTCTTATCCCGATATTAAGATCGCAGTCAAGGAGCTGTTTGACCAATCTCTTAACAGCGATGAGCTAAATCTACAAGTATATGACGAAGTACATAGTTTGATGTATAAACTTCGCTTTTCGGAAATCTCATCTGCGCCTCATGTTCAGTTTCACAAGATTCAACATTTATCGATTGATTTTCCAATCAACGATCATTTTTGGAAAGTCGTACCAAGTCTCGATCATCTAGTTTCACTTGATATTCTATCAGAAGGCCATGACAATTTATGTCAAAATCAATTACAAACGTTACTTGAACGATCTCCTCGTCTATCGTCAATTCGTATTTATTGGAAAACGTTAACAAGTTCTTTGCGACCACTGTTCGATAGTCGAAACATATCCGTGTACCATTTAGAACTACTATGTTACAACGAACGTTTGAAACGTGAAGCATGCCAAATGTTAAACACCATTATTCCAGGTATCGATTGTAAAGTATTGACTCTAATGGTATTCGATCGCTGGTGTATTCTTGATCTTGTCAATACATTGAACCATCTTACATCATTGAAAATTGATTGTCACAAGGAGAAAGCTGTTCGATGTGGTCAACCGATAAATACGGATACAGTCGAGTGGTTAAAACAACAACTTTTAGCGGCATTTCCTGATATTCAAATATCAAAGCAAGACGATAGTATTCGTTTGTGAATACGCTAATCACACAAGTGTAGGCATGCGACATTCGGCTTACACTATATTAAAAGATGAACTAAAACAATTTTTGAACGTAGCTTATGACAGTAATGTCTTTCACACAGAGGTAACATTTGCAGCCTGGACAAATGTCGACATGGCACGAGAAAAATAGATGAAAGTTGGCATTTTTCCACAAAACTACACCCTTGACGTTTATCTGACACGAAAAAGTTCGGTATCAATATTGAAATATGCGCTTAAATTAATCTTTGTTTGTAGCTTTAGGCTCAATGTTAATAGCCTAACGATATAAAAAGATTAAACACTACTGAGTCTATAGACAACGAAATAGGTTTAATTAAAATCCAGATTTTTATAAGCTAGTACGCTGCTCACACTTTTTATGCTCTTAAATTTCAAAATTGAATAATTATTATCACATGCGCATCTGCGTTTTATTTCGGTATAAGCTCATTCGCTTGAAACTTTTCTCAGTCTATCTGAGAGAAAATCTTTTTCTTTTCAAATACAAAAATATCATTGAAATCAGAATGTTCTAAGTAACCTGAGCATGGAGTGGATCGCTCTTATATTCGATGAAGATATGTCTTCCTCTATGTATTGTTCGACTTTATTGTGAGCTTCGGCTAACATTAATAATTAAACCGTTTTATTGTACCCAGGTGGATTTGATAGAACGCAGCTGCACTTTGTATCAAAAACTTCTCTTCTAATAAGGAAAGTCAATTTTTTTCATCCTGTAGAAAATGTCGTCGATGAATTAAGCGCTTCACATGCCCTGGAGGGTTCTCTCATCCTGTCGTTTTGAAAGAGCTGAGCCATTCGATAAACGTGTTCGAGATGTTCAATACATCATTGTATGCGTCGGAAGCTGAACTGTTTGATTATCTATCTATTCAAATGGATCGGTACTTCGCTTTATTTATATTCTTCTTCGCGGTTATTGGAAATACGCTTAATATTCTTGTTTTGTCGCAGCCAACTCTTCGATCAAATCCCTGCGCATGGCTTTTTCTCACATCGTCAATAGCCAATTTGATCACAGTCTTGTTCGCTCTTACAACGCGAATCATGGCAGGCTGGGGTACAGATCCAACTGATACTCAAGGATGGATATGCAAACTACGTGCATTCATCTTATTCTCTTCGCGAACAATCGCATTTTGGTTAATCGCACTAGCAACTGTTGATCGGTGCATGGCATCGAGTCCAAATGCAGCTCATCGACGAATGAATACCTTGAAAAATATACAAAAAATTTTTCTTCTTGTCGTTATCGTTTCCATTCTACTCTATAGTCAAATATTTTACTGCTACGAAGCAAATCTGATTCTCACACCATTGAAATGCTATGGAAAATCACCTGCGTGTCGATTGTTTACTGATGTGGCTTATGGATGTGTTAGTATATTACTTCCCTTGCTTTGCATGATCGTTTTCGGAATGCGAACTATCTATCACATTCACCAGGTTCAATCTCGAGTACAACCAGTGCATGTGACAAACGCTGACCATCATCAACCGACAACGGCTGGATCACGTGAACACTCGCATAATCCATGGAAAAAACACGATCGTCATCTTTTTCTCATGTTGATCGTACAAGTAATTATACAGAGTATATTGACCATTCCTCAAGTTATCGCGAAATTTTACATATCAGCGACGATGGGTGACGAGCAAACGCCATTAAAGTTATCGATCGATCACTTTCTTTACAATTTCGCTTTACTTTTATCTTTTCTTGCAAATGGAATGCCATTTTATATCTATACTCTATGTGGTGGAAATATTTTTCGTCAGCCGTTGTTGAATTTAACTAACATGATCATTGCAGCACTAAGGCAACGCAGATGAATAGAACATGTTGCGAAGTTAAATAGTTTATAAATATATTCTAGCGTATTCTTTAAAATTTTTATCAGATCGATATTCTTCCAATTTGTGCAAACGTCGTTCTCGCAAGGAGACTTCTAAAAAGTTCGATAACATCAAGTTAAAATTGTCCTTAGAACACTGCAAACTTTGATCGCGTTCTTCAAGAACTTGTATCTCGAAGAAAATTCATCGGGACTATTCATGAGATAACGAGAAGTTGAGAAAATTAATATGCAATTAGCATTTAAAAGATGAACATTTAGTTTATTGAACCATGATAACACAAAAACGTATGGTACTATTAATTTGAATTTAAAAATATCATAGTACAAATTGCAACTATTTAATCCATCGTATTATGATACGGTCATAAGCTTCAGATTAATTTCCCGTTTCTTTCTTCTGTAATAAAGAAACGAGATATAACGATGCAATCTGAATGATGTGTTAGGTCAATTGTTGCATAAAGTTGAAATGTAGAGCGACACTGATACACTCTTTTTCATATGTTTCATTGTGTTGTAGTTCGGAAGCCAATTTGATGAAACTTTCTTTGTAAGTGTAATCTCAAAACATGGATTACACGTCCGTGAGCACGTCAACTTTCTCTATGCTATGACACTGGAAATGACAGATTGACATTGACTTATCGAGCAATGCATTTGGGGTTAATGTCCTTAGTTCATCAGCTGCTGCAATGTCATTTTATTTACTTGTGAAAAAAAATACCATGATTTATTTTGAATAAGTTCATTCATAGACATCAAAACAATGCCGACCGAAATACTTTTTACAAAATATAGATTAACAAACTGAGAAAAACAAAACCAGACGTTCATAATAATACTATCAATCAGTATCAGTATAGAGAACACAGACATCATCTGCTGTTATTTCTCTACTAAATATGTGCCAGTCGTCGACTAAGCCTACGAACGGACCAGGAGAACTAACTGACCCGCTGGGACACGCCGTGCAACCAGATAAACAATTGCCCAATGTGAAGTAATTCGGTATTGTTTCACTAGCTAAAAACGTTGAAGCTTCCGCTGAACTGACCAGTTCGTCGTTAACATATAATCGCAATCCGTTTGCTGAACTCCATGTCAGAACAACGAGTGTCCATGATGATGGATTTCCAGCAACCAGATCAACCGCTGATACTAATGTATTACTACTCGTTAAAACTTGACCAACAATGGCACCAGTGGAGGAAAATCCCAATAATGGAAAACATGTCGAACCCGTACCCGAAGCAGTTGAAGATAGATGAACTAATGTACCAGTTAAAGTTCGCGGCTGAATCCATAATGCAATGGAAAATGGATGATCAGTAATACCAAATGATGTATAGCCCCATGTTTGGAAGTACGAAGACGACGTGCCAGTAAATGACACGGATTGACTTTTATTTCCAGCAACAATCGATGTCGCTGAAGACGTAGTTGCTACTCGATTGGGTCCTGAATCAGAATAAGGTGCAGACGTATCGAATTTGAAGTAAGCTGCTAATGTTGCTCGTTCAACTATTTCACATAGAGACTTTGCTCGCTGAGTAATTGTTAGTTCATCAATATAACCCTAAATGAAAGTCATGATTCGGATAACAATCGACCTATTATTCGATGTGATTACTTGGAAAAAGTTATTAGGGTAACTGACACGTTCATTAGTGGCAATGGTGAAAGCACCTGAGGAAACTTGTAGCATATTTACGGTTGGTTTTGCTGCATCAGGGTAGCCATTTAAATAGATGGTTTGCATATTTGTTGTGTTATCAAATACAAAGGCGACGTGTATCCATCGATTCAGCGAAATGTAAGTTCCACCCCGAACGTCGTCATAGTAGAAACCAAAGTACAGCACACCGTATCGAATATTTATATGCAAACAATGATCTATAACTTCCGACGGACATAGACCGACTATGCTGTGATCGGCAGGATTTGGATAAGCAGTTGGTTTAATCCATGCTTCAATGGTAAAACTAACCGAGTTTATCGGAATATGTGAGATGTATAGTGCTTGTTGGGCAGATGCATTGAATAGAGCTGCTTGACCGAGATAACCAGTAACCAATGATGGAAGATTGGATGATGTTGTTCTATTATAAATACCAGTTTTGTCATCGTATGTATCATCAAAAGACCAATAAGCAAGTAAACTTGAATCATTAATCCAAGACTGCTTGAGACATGATGGACCACAAGGAACAGGTGTAGTTGAGTCTAAGAAAGTGATCATCGTTGTATTTAATAAATTTATCAAGTTGTACTAACTTAGTGTTGTACTTGTAGATAGCGTTGTTTCATAAGTTGTTTCCTGATAGGTATCATTTGCTATATATATAGATAATAAATCATTTTATAAGCACTTGTCAGTAAATAGCAACTCACTCATATTAGCTGCTGCTGCTGCTGCTACTATGAAATGACGATTTCGAGCGAGCAGATACGTAAGGAGAGCGGCCAGAAGTAGACTCAAAAGCGATAGCAACAGGCAAGGAAAGAGTGGAAATCCGCAGATTCTATATGAAAATGAAAACATATTTTGAGAATACTATTTCGCCCGCTAGTTATTCATATGCGTATACCTGCGATGTTTTTTCTTTTTTTCTTCTTTTTGTTTTTGTTTTTGTTCAAGTGCCATTGTTTCGATATTGACGGGCCATGCAATATCTTCCTGGAAGACAAGAATAATTCATTAGCAGTAGTGTTGTATGTCAAACTTACGACAATTCCATTATCCATATTACTGGTCGTCGTCATGAAGCTTCAAGTGAAGGACAAGAAGAATTATGAGAGGAAAAATAAAGAATACGTGACTAGTTAGTGTTTTTTTATCAGAAGGTAGGTGGAATTTTATGCTAATATCACAGATAATATATTCAAAACCGTACGGGCATCAGCTTTACACTTTTCACGTCCGCTTTCATTTTTTATTATCAAAGAAACTATTTCGAATTAGTAATACATTCTGGGCAACATTTGTTGTCGACGTTTCCAGTCGATTGTCCCCCGTTCCTACGTATTAAGATGACGTGAACGGCGAAACTATTAGAAAGCTATGATCAAATTTATTTTCGTAAAATAGAAATCAAAATCATTCCGATTCTGTGTGATTTAATGGACCTCTCACTTCTTCTCGTTCTCGTGGCGGCCATGTACACAGAGCTCGAACGAATTCTGTCGTTCCACAGTTACCCCAGCAGATCCAGCCCCATCCGCTCTTTTCGTCCATCATTGCCCGACGGACATGACGACGGAATTCTTTTGCTTCGTTTTCGTTTTCCCATGCACTTGAGATCTTCAATAGGCGATATATTTCATCTCTGACAACAACTGGTAGTCGCCCGGCATTCCATTTTTGAAGTGTGTCAACAATGACATCTTTCGGTGCACAGATGATACTGTTCGATGACACTGGAATAGGTTCGTTGGGATCAACGATGAAAAAGTTGAGAAATGTCCGGCGGCGACCATCATCTGAAGTTAAGTTTCGAATTTGTTGAAAGCGGTGTGGAATGGAATTCGAAAATACAATAGCTGCACCTGTTTGTACAGATGATATGCAGTGATCTGTTTGAATACCGTCATAATAATCTTGAGGTGCGTATCTAGGACGAAACTTAAGTGCACCACCTTCGAGTTGATCATCGACATGAAGATAATAAACACCAACAGCAATAATATTTTCTGTGTGACCTTCAGTATGCCATCGACCTGAATATTTCATACCTAGAAAGAAATAAACATATTGTTTTTCTGTGCAGAGACACATTTGTGATTGTCTTACCAGCTTTGAGATTGTAACTCTGGGCTTTAACTATAACTTGCAATCGCTGTTGTTCTTGAATATTATTCAACTTGATAAGTTTAAGTTTTTCGAACATAGGCAACATCGCGTGAAATATACGAGCAATGTCGCCATATGCATGTTTATATTCGGTTAATACAGGTAGATGATGAATTGGTGTTACAATATCTACTTTACCATCTTTGTCAATCACAAACTCTGATGGCACCCACTGATAACAATTACGTATTTGTTCATGTTCAGATAGGTCATTGTAATCACCACGGCTTAAATCCCGTTTGAAATTTCGCAGAACTCGGTCAGATTTTTTCAATTGTTTTAATCGTCGCTCAATCCATCGGTCTCGATTGAACACTGGCGATGGTTTATACGGTAACAAATCTGGATCAATGATATCTTCAACAGGCGACGGCGACGGATGATGATCTTGTCGTTTTTCATTTAGTTCATAAAGAGTATTTGTTAAACGTTGTCGACGGGAATCACTGACTGGAAGTTGCTCATGAATCCAAACAGGATACGCGAGAAATGCACTCCCACCATCTCCGAATTGTACATATCGATCACCATGCAAACGGTAAAAATCAGGTTTTGGAGTTGTTGTCTCATTATTCACTTCTTCCGCATCGATCATCCAATTTTTATCGACGTCGAGCCATTTACATACCCAACATGGTTCCATTCGGTTCGTATCATTTGTATCATACATGTAATCGGAACATGTATCTACTTGTGCTTCTTGTTCCTTGAGCCATACACGGATACGCAGATCATGCTCATGATCGACTAGGAAGACACGACAGGGATAATCTTCGATTTGAGGAGTTTGACGATGTCGACGATCTGAACGAAGTGTTCTCAATATTTCCTCATCAAAAACTTCAAGTGTGATCCATTTGAATAAAAACTCGGTTGGATGAAAATGATTAAATGGCAGGAATTTCGAAGAGTTCTCTTCGCTGGACGTCGTTGTAGCAGCCATAACAAAAAAAAGAAATGGATATCGATGTTTATGAAACAAAACTAAGCATATTTTAAGGATCAGTTGTGAAATTACAGCTGCGAACCGCCAATAAGGAAACTATCAAGATCATTACGTTTCAGGTAGCGCCGTGTAGTTATGTTCTTGCAGAAGATAAACAACCTGAATTTCGACTAAGAAATTAGTGAACCGATGTATCGAAATCATCTCGTACAATAGTTTTGTAATAATCAAACGATCACAATACTTTGAATCTTGCAAAGTTATTCCTCTTAATGAAGAAAGATAAGATCGACTTGATTTGTTTTACATCCATATACAACGGTCGCATGGCCCAATGGTTAAGGCACCCGCCTACGGAGCGGGGGATTCCAGGTTCGAATCCTGGTGTGATCGAAGAATATTTTTTCTTCTGCGTTCTTTTTCTTTTGCCGCGCGGATAAACAAGAGAACAGAAAGAAAGAAAAAACAACAACCACCATTGACTGTCGTAAATGATAAGCAGCGCATGGATTCTTCATTGTTGAAAATACCTGTTCGTTTAGGTCTGCTGAGTTTATTATTGAGTAAACTTTTGCCTGTTTAGTACACTGGATTTTGTAGCTTTTCAAAACTGTTTAAATATTTATTTTGAAGCAAAAATGGCTTCAGTCTTTTATGCTCATGAACACATTGTTCACGACAGTACTCATTTGAAATGACGTGAGTATAGTGACTTTCTAAATCGAAACAACTTGCAATTTGATTTTAAAAAGTCGATCGACTGAAATGGATTTTATTCAAAGTAAGCTATTATTACATATTGAATGAACTAACACTGTTCATCACATAGTTGAACATAAAACATCAGAAAAGTGTTTTCGTTCGCAATTAGTTTGAATAAAAAGCTCATCGATGGATAACTGAAATCTTTCACAAGAAAAACGATCAGAATCACTTCAAACTCGTTCATAATTGACTATTGTTTACATGAATTCTACATTTTCTAGCATTTCTCGATGATTTATTTCATTGAAAAATACAACAACTTTTGCACTATGAGCTAATTCTAAAAATATTTTACTAAACAAACAAACAAAAAGTTTTCTTTCTCCGAAATTTCTGTTTAAGAAAACACTGTTTTCTGAATGCCATTAGATAACTATCCTCTTCTCACAACGGTCGCATGGCCCAATGGTTAAGGCACCCGCCTACGGAGCGGGGGATTCCAGGTTCGAATCCTGGTGTGATCGATTAAACTTTTTTTTCATTCAGATTATTCTCTGTTACAAAAGTTCAATTCTAATGCTCAACTCCAATTGAAATTCAGTTTTTTTTCAATTTTCTCCACGGTTGAAATTACACTCCAGGCAATGCAGATTAGCGACAAAATGACCACAGTAATTCTACCTTAAACTCGAACTGTATCGATGCATCATTATTTCATTAGCTAAGACAGTACATTGTCTTTTTGTTTTATTTACGACTGAAAATAGTTTTGATGGCTTTTCATGAATCAAGTTCGAACTGAGCCTATCGAATGAACCGCACGTCGTGAACGGTACTTCTCTGTCATACTAGTATTGAACATTCGTATGTGATAGATAGTAGTACCATTACAGATGAAAAAATGATCGTAGGCTGTTTGGTTCGGCACAAAGATGTTGATCAATGGTGAACTTTCTAGTCAAATCGTTCATTTCGGTGTCATAATACTTAGCAACGTAGTTGTCATTCGCTAATAGAAAACAGAATAGACGATTATTTCCATAGAATTATTCCATTTGAACGTAGATCGATTCTTTCTGGAATATGTTTCACGCAACAATAATTAAAGATGACGCTAATTACTAAGCAATGAGAAACAAACCGTCAAGGTTGACCGTTTTTATAGGCTACTACCGTTGTCAAAATCGATAGATGAGTATTTCCTCTGAATTTTGTACTCTCCTTCTCGCACGTTTCCTATTTTAGCCGTTTTAAAATGTACTTGAGTCTTGATCTTACTTCCACAGAGTGCAATATACAAAAAACGTATCGATAAAGTCAATTGTATAGCTTTTTCTTCCTGCGCCATCTTTGCTTTTACCTTCAGTTCATATAGAAAAAGAGTAAACATTTGATTTTTCATTCTCTCTTATTGTGAAGGTGAAATTAGGCAGCTAGTAGATTGTATACTTCGAATGAAACCAATAGAAATGTTTTTCAACAGCATGTCAATCATATATTTTCTCGTATTTCCAATGATTATTCAATCTTCTCCACTTCTGAACATTTCTCAAGCTATCAGTAATACTCAAACAGTCATAATGTGTGGATTATCCATTGATATTTATGAATCATTCAATCAAACTCAAGTTACCATTTGTCCATATGTATTCATTGATCGTAATAATATTAAAATATTCAATATAAGTATCTGTAAGATCGTTTTCCGTCATTTATCAAAAAAAAAACTTTTCGTTTCTCGTAGCTATCGATAGTTTCAATCAATTAATTATTCAATCCTATCCTTCGATAACTGTACCACCAAAGATTTCAGTCAAGCATACTAATGAAACATTCATTTCTCCGTCAATCATCACAACCAATTCCACTTATTATCTTACATTTTCGTCGGAATTGACCTGTCGATATTCACCACAATACAATGAAACAACATGTTTCTATTATCCCCAAACATCGAGTTTTATCCATATTGAATACGATTATGATGGAATTCATGATGGTACTTTTGATTTATTCGAAACAGCACGAAATAACATCTCTCGGATTTTCCTTGTTCTTGCCGTTTTGACTCTCGTCATCTGTCTAATTCTTGTCTGGTGGGTGATATGTGCACGTCAAATCATACTTCGTCAAAATAATCAATTCGATGATGTCGCCCATTCGCAGATGGATAAGCAAGAAACAACGAAACAGTCCAAAGTGGAATCATAGGGGTATCACAAACGGTCATGTATACCAAATAGAATAGAAATACTTGTTTTGTTTTTTACTAGGAAACTTTTGTATCAATAAAATTTTGCTTGTTTGATTGAAATATGTTATTTTCGAAGATCACAAATCTAACAACAGTTTGTTTTCAAAAAAAAACTAAGATTTAGTATTTCGATGGTAGAATTTTAGTTGTTCTTTCTACTGATCGACTCTGATAATGGAACAGTAAAGTAATCGATGTCTTCAATTTCAAAGCATAAATATTCGTTTTTCTATATTATACATTAACATCAATAGTCTTTGTTTTCTTTGGGATTAGGGGTTTTCAATAGGTCTCTTTTCTTTCGATATTCAATTGAAATATCAATGACAAATATTCGTGCCTATTAGTAGTATGAGCAATGTGAAGACAAATGCAGATCTTTTGCATTGAATGACAAGATAATCTCAATCATATCTCGTGTATAATTATTCTTGAAAGAAAACGAAAAGAGAAAAAAGAGCAAAGTTCCATTTTTACACAAAACAAAAAAGAAAGGAAAAGAAAACATGAACATGCCGAGACAAGCAAAAACGAAATGGAATGTAATCGATAGATAGAGATGATACCGGGCTTTTCCATTTTTTTTTTCATTTCGGTGAGATCTCTATCGAATTCATTGATTGCCTTCGTAGACAAGCGACTTTCATTATCGATGATCATCTGATGAACCGTTCTTCGCGGCAGCAGCTGCTGCTGCAGCAGCAAGATGTAAATAATATCGATCAGAAATCGACGATCGAGGAGTTGATGATTGTGAAAGGTATTGATAATGTTGATTATTATTGTCCCATGAATGTTCATCATCATTCTTATTTGTTATATCAGATGTATCGGATTGATTTTGTTGATTGGGATCATGTTCGATTGATTCATCTTGTTGCTCGTCGTCGTTGATATCGTTTGAACTATTATTTCCGTCTTCCGATTTCAATCGTTTGTGTTTTGTACGACGATTTTGATACCATACTTTCACCTGAAAAATAGCAAATCGGTTTTTTTTTCTGTCGGAGTTTCATCAATCAATTTGAAGTTGTTATTTTTACTAATCTATCAGTTTTTCTTTCTCTTTTATCGCAAGGAACCGTCATCATTTTAGTGTATTTCCTTGAGCAAATACCGGAATTTCTTTACTTTAACATTTCCGTCGTGCTAATTGATGACTAAACTTACTTGAGTTTCGGTTAAATTTAAATGTCGCGCTAATTCTTTGCGTTCTTGTCCGACAACATAATGATTTTTTTCAAATGCATTTTCAAGTTTCAGTAATTGGGCTGGTGTAAACGCTGTGCGTACGCGCTTCGGCTTACGAAACGAATGTAGGATAAGTGCTGCAGCTGCTTCTGGACCTGGAAAAGAAAAATCGATGAATGAAAACTGTTCATTCAACCTTTTCTCCCTTCTCTCTCTCTCTTTCTACTTACTAGCAAATCTTCCGTCAAATAATCGACCACTATGTCGAAGATATTGTAATTGGTATTGAACGATTGGATCGAGGCTAGTTGGCGGTGGTATCCACGATGTTGGAGGTAAATATGATGGTAATGGCGGAGGATTATCACGAGGAGAAATCTTCGCTGAATCATCGTTTTTAATAATATCATTGATTGAAAATCCAGTTGATTTGCGGGAGTTAGATGTCGATGCGATAGGACGAGATGGACGATGGACAGGCATAATAGATTTGTTTTCGTATTCTGAAAATCGGTATGAAGAAGAGGGCGAGAGAGAGAGAGACTCACACATACATACACACTCTCTTATACTTAATTCAATTATGTTCGATCTTCCGTTAGAATGTTTTATCAATTTCTTTTCTCTCGTCTAATATTGACTCGCTGATTTAGTAGAATAACAACAGCAAAAGCAATAGAAAAATATCTTTTCTTCTCTCTCCCTCTCCTTTTCTCGTTTCTATCTGGTGCACATATAACGAGAGGGAGAGAGAACGAGAGGAATATATATGAATTAATTTGCGCTGAATTACCTTCTTCTTCTTCGTCCTATCAAATGACACCTGAGGCAATAGACAATGTATCAAGCTGTACAATGATTGGATATACAGGCAAAAGAGACATAGAAACGATTTAAAGGCAATTATAGTGCTCTCTTTCTCTTCGTGAACGATTATGATTATAGTCGAAAAAAAAGAAACATGATCTATCATCAATTGGGTAGTTGCCCTATTTGATTGACCAATAGTATTCAGTCGGATGAATAATATTTCAAATGTAGTAAATTTGGATACATGATGAACAGACTCGAAAGAGAACGAGAATCTTGCTAAGCAATGAATTTCTCCAATTGATTGGCGTCAGTTTTCAAATTAATGATCTCTTTCATTAGCATATTTTCTTTCTACACGCGTCTCGATCTAGTGCGTCATGCTGTTTAGAACAAAATGAAAAAATAATTTTCGTGCGCTTATCATCATCATCATCATCACCATCATTGAGTTGTATTTATTTTCAAACAACATGTGTTGCCCTTTGAAGCAAGTTCTCTCCGTCTTTCTTTCTTTTTTTGTCTTAACATGTCATCGAAGTCAACAGCTGGACGAGGATGTGAAATAACGAGAAGAATAAGAAATTGGATTCGAAACTATGCAAATGAGAATGCGATTTCTCAGGGTATCATTCATCCGTAAGGGTACATTGATTCGATTAATTTTAATTATGTCATCACACTAAGTGAGAGGAGAAGAGGTGTTATTCTTGAAACATCGTTTTCGAACCTCTCGACACATGTATCAATGGCCGATGGCAAAGAAGAGCACTAATCATAACAACAACAATTGATGATGTGTCGTCGATCGATCGATGATCAACTCGGGCAAAACGATAATTGCACGAAAGATTCAAATCAAATTAATCCGATTCTGATTTGTCATTTCGAACATTTCGTTTTGCCCATCGATCTTTGGAATAATCATTGAAAAATCTCCTTCTCAATAGGGGATTATTATTTCATATCTTTCTAAATATCAATTTTTTTCTTCGCTCTCTCTCTCTTAGAGTACAATTGAAGATAGGATATTTGTACATGATTGGTTGTGTATATTTACACAGAGCTTCTGTCCTATGTCACTTCACTTCATCAACACCCTTCGTGCTTGTCCAGACGTCAATATATTTCTTCAATCAATTGTTGATTTACTTGAGGGCTAATTCCAATTACAACAAGATATTGTATAGACCAACGAAAAGTTTTCGAAAAAACATTCACTGTCTGTATGATTGTCGATTTTATGAATGAAATAAATGAATTTATACTTGAATTGATTTGAGTTTTTATCGTTGTTATCTCAATTGCACATCATNCTTTCTCCGAGCATTTCTCTAACAACCATGCTTGTATTTGCTTGTTATGCTGTTGGTCAAAACGAAGAATCGAACAGATGCCTAGGACAGGATTATCGTCATCATCGTCATCGGTTTCATCCATTGTTGAATCCAATGGTTGATAGAATACACTACCACAGGATTGTTGAGTAACCAATTGAGTTGTTAGTTGCTTTAGATCAAGTACGGATTTTTTTATTGTATTACCAAATGATTGCTCGAGAAAATAAAGAATCGCGTCATGATCGGTGTCAATGGGAGCACGAGCTTCTAGATCGATTTGAATATTTTCTTGAGGATTACTTTCCATCATTTCATCTTGATCGTCATCATTGTCAGATCCTGATCCTGAAGACGATTCAGTCGGTTCGTTGTTAGGTCGGCTCTTTTTCGATGAACGAGGCATATCTTTTGGTTATTGTCTGGATCTGGAATGCTTACAAAATTAAATGGTATATTTATATAGAAGAAATTTCACTGATTATCAAAAATATAATCTATCTATCTCTCCGATGGAAAATCATAAACCAGTTTTTGATAGGACAATGGATCTCAACGATCGATAGGAAGAAATCGCAAGTATTTTTACAAAGTAATTCATTTAAAAGGATTTTCCAAGAAAATACAGATATTTTTCAATATTCATTTGTCAAGAAATTACGTTATACTAATTTGATATAGATGTCAGCAGGAAGCAGCTGTGTGTTTAAAATGCACACATTTATTAAAACTCAGTGTGACATTAAATGATCAACACTATACTCTGAAAACTAAAATAACAAGACCAAAAAGTTCTACGTGTTTACACTTAAAATACAACTGGAATCACAATCGACTATTACTGTCGAAAATGACGAATTCGATAGTCTTCGTTGTTGTTGAATTCGTGGCTTATGCAGCTGTTGTAGCCTCCATCGTTGAATAAATGCGAGTGTATATTTTCGTTCAATCGTTATACAAAGAACTGTCGAAGCGATCATGATAATTGTTATCGTACTCAGTATAATATGCCCATAGATGACTATTTTGTTGACCGAGAGCCGAGCGAGAATTAACGATAAGCGAACGAGAAATTCCGAGAGATATCCTAAAGACCAAATACTGGTGATCACTTTACACGAGTAACGAAACGATGAACAATATGTAAAGAGCCATTCGTAAACTTGAGTAACTTCTTGCTTGTGAGAGATACGTTGTACGACAACATCTTCGTTCAATTCAACATATCTCATATCGACATTTTCACCTTCATCAGGAAAGATATGATCAGGTAGGCCAACATCAACACGTCGAGTTGGAACTAGATCATGATAGAAATAATAAGCCATTGGTCGCCATCGACAACGATGTTTACAACATCGAAATGGGATTAGTGTAACGCCGAAAATGAAAGATAAAACACCGGTTATCAAAGACTTTTCCAATAATAATATAATTGGACTGCGTGATATCACGGCGACTAACGCAGTCACAACGAATGAGAAGAAAACAAGAAATCCAAGTGCATCGAATGTACATAACCATATCGCTTTGAAAATCACCATAAAAAGTGGTGGACTACCAGCAGCCAGAAGTGCGTAAACAGGTCTCATATATCTTTGAAAATGAACATAGATTACCAATGGTGCAATAACATCAATGAGAATAGTGAGAAAGAATCGTGGAATGTGATGTTTAAATGTATGCCATACAGAGAATTTAATGTTCATCGGTTCTTGCTGCTGTTGTTTATCAATTTGTTCTGGTAACTGAGCATCCGGAGATGCTGATAGAATAGCAATATCGTGAGCGGAATACATAGGTAAATGTGAGTGGAAATGAAAAATCTAGATTCAAACAAATAATACGTCAATATTGAGAAAGTGATAAACACAAAGGGAGATGATATTGATGAAAACAAGTAGGCGGCTGTCTAATAAGTGAATTACCTTTTGCGTCAAGAAAAAAAACACCTACCTATATGTTCGAGATTCGAATCATTTCGAATAGAAGAAGGTCGACTCGACACAAAAAAGCCAGAGCTATTCTATCATATGATCGAATCAGACTATTTCATATCCCGATATGTTGATATATTTCAACAATCATAAAAAAAGTTTTCTCGAAGATCAAATCTCCATCAATTGTGTGACATGCAATTGATTTATATATATTTTTTTTTCGCATTTACATATATATATCGATTTGAAAAAAAAATATAGAGAAAATTATGCTCCGGTTGCTGACGACAACGAGTAATGCCGACTCATTTCATCCTCATGCGCAACAAAAGAAAGGTATTTCTATTACTTGGCTGCGCTTTCACGTATTCCAATATGTTTTTTACATTCTTTAGCATTACTTTATGCACATTTACCTTGAAGAAAAGCATTTTCTTTCTCTTCTTTCTCGTTACTGCGACAGAGCAAGCTGAATGAGAACATTTAAAATAAATTTAACTGATCGCTATCGATCGGTTGCTATTACTATGGCGCAATTCTTGTTTTTCTTTTTATTTACAAATGTAAAAACGAAAATGGTGTCACGTTATAATATTTATATTTAAATTATGCACAACTAATGGTGATTGATGGAGAATCAAATGATGTTTTTTCCATTGCTCAATCAATTTCAGCGTCTGTTTCCGTTCTTTTGTTATACAAAGAACAGTCAAGATAATTAATAAACTAGTCATTAAACTTAAAATGATGTGACCGTATATGAAAATTTGCTCGACGGATAGATGAATGAGAATGAGAAATAATCGCGCGAAGAATTCCAATAGAAGACCCAGCGCCCATATGCTCGTTATTAAATAGCACGAACGACGAAATGATGAACAATGTGCATAGATCCATTCGTAAACTTGGGCAACTTCTTGCTTTTGAGTTAAACGGGGCAATGTACTCTCTTCAAGTAATTCGATTTCTTGCTCCTCGGATGTACCTGGTTCATTTTCGAATATAATATCAGGTAGACCGACATCAGCACGTTTGGTCGGAACTAAATCTTGATAGAAGTAATAAGCAAGGGGACGCATGTAACACCGACGATGACAACAATGAAGTGGAATCAAGGTAATTGCGAAAACTATCGAAATCATGCCGGTAACAAGAGATTTTTCTAAGAGTAAGATCACTGGATTATGTGTAATGACAGCTGCGACAGCCGATGCAGAAAATGCGATGAAGACAAGAAAGCCAAGCGCGTCAAATGTTCGAGTTAGAACACCTTTAATTAAAACCATGATCAGCGGAGGAATACCAGCAGCCAAAAGCGCATGAACTGGATTCGTACGTTTTTGTAGAAGAAGGTATACTATCATCGGAAGGACAAGATCAACCAGAACTGTGACAAGAAGACGTGGCAGATGTTGTTTTGCGGTGTTCCAAAGAGAAAATCGTGTTTGTTGAGTAGACGCTGGCGAATCTTGTTGTAAATCCGTTTCCAAATTTAATAGTAAACTATCCGAATCGGAATCCGATGTCATTGGAGTAGTTTTTTTTTCTGTAGTTTAAAGCAACCTATGTATAACAATCTCTAAAGACCATCGATCAATAGAATTAAATTTTCATACGAGAATTTTTCTTTCTCTCTTCGACACACTCAAAACATTGATGTTTTTCTTGTTATGCAAATTCAGATGGGAATCGGACGATACTTACTTAAAACATTGACTCATCGTCGAGTTGATTTATCCGCTTGTTTTTCATGATAATTCAGCTAAACAGTGGGAATCGTTGATGCATATAGACACGTGAAAAAAAACTAATTACACCGAGCATCTTTTTTTTCCTCTTTTTCTTCTTCTTTTCTTTCTTTAATAACTACGCCGCTGTTTTTTTCACATATTCAATATGAATATTACAAACACGTTTTCTTTGCTTTTATAGCTGCTGACGATAGAATGTGATTTTATATTTTATAAAAGAAAGAAGCAACATGTTTTTTCTCTTTTGTGTTAATTCTCACCAAGTGTAGGTTTTTATCGTTTGGCAAGGAATAGCTGATGCGTAATTTTATCGATCGAATAACGGAAAGCATTGGAAAAAGAATCAAATGGGTTTTGAAAGACGAGATGAAGGAAAAGATTGAATGTCTAGACATCTTCATCAACGACCTTTGCTATGGTTGTTCAATTTTCATGTTTCATCATGTACGAGAAATCGAATATGCAATAAATAAAGGAAGTCTTTGTGTGACGAAAAGAAGTCGGTCTTTTGAAGATGTGTCTTCAAGTGAATGAAATATCAAAGTTAGAAGATAATGTAACAAGTCAAACTCTAATGAATTTCATGTTTGATAACAGCTTATCTTTGAAAAAATGCAAAAGAGCAACATTTTCTTTGTGTTTCGTACGATGTCTTCCAAGATGACTCGTTTTAATTCTTGAAACATTACTCATATGCTCGTTTTCGAAGAATGTCGCTTTTGTAAACTTGCATCATGCAACTGATACTCAACTTTTGAAAATCGTGTCTATCCCACGCATATCTTTTCGAAATCATATTCATTTTCTTCCTTATCTACGATGACGAAGAGTTAAAGGATGTATACAAATGATCAACATAAACTTATGAGTTATATTTCATAATGAAATAAGAGAAGTTTATGAAAGATTTTACAAGTCAGATAACGTTTTATGTGTTGAAAATTTTTAAAGAGAATTCTATTATGTTATCTGGAGAATTATCTGAGTAACTGCGAAGTGTAAGAATTTTGCATTTTATCAGTGCTTGTTGTTGTTACATTTCGTAGTGAAGATGCAAAACAATAATATTTTCAGTGTTTAGAATGAGAAGAAGAAGAACTTGAAGAGTTCTTTTTCTCTTCTCTCTACAAATTCTTATCTTTTTCCCGAGATATTTTCAAGGAGGCGTATAAACTGTTTATATTTATGAGACTAGTGTCGTGAGAAATTTATACGAATATATCTCCATTTCTAGAAGGTTATATCTCTAGTTGTTCCTGTGACACTGCATGAACATGTACAAGCTAGGTACGACAAAGATTTCTTGTATACTTATTCGACATTCGAATGTCATTTGTATTATAGTAATTCTTCTCGTTCTCGGGCTCGTCATAATCCCATACGTGAGAGGTGATTTGGACGATTCAAGAACTGCTGCAAGTGGAAGTTCAACCGCTCCTTCTACAGCTCCAGCACAAACATCTGCTAGTATTGTCGATTCTACTCAGTAAGATATATACTCATGTGTATATTTGTATGGACAACATATCTCTGAATGCATTTATAAATGCATCCAATTGCTATAGTATTAAATTTCTTTTCAGTTTTAAACATATAGTCACTAACATTTGAAACATCAAATTCATTCTTTTGGCTTGTGTCAAAATTGAGTTGTTCTAGCGTGCGTGTTAAAATGGCAATGTAAAAAAATTTCAGATAGATAGATGACTCATAGCATTATTCAAGATAAATTCAACAGAAAACTAAGAGAAAACTTCGATTCCTATCTACTTACCATATGAATAATCCAAAATACGGTGTCATATCGATATTAAGCATTCGTTATTTTTAGAGCAGCAACTATAGCACCAACAACGACCCGACCTGCCCCTACAACAGCCGCTCCAACAACTCAACCGGTAATTCCTCATATAATCTAATTGCGATAGTATTGATTATTAGAACGGAATCGTACTGTCGTCAATAAAGTTGTTTTCATTACAGCCAAAGTGACAGTTTTGCCCTTCTACTAATTCATGCATATTTTTCTATGGATAAAAGACACGTCTTCATTCTTGTGTTTATTTAGCCAATGACAACAATCGTCACTGTTACGACACAAAAACCTGTAACAGTGCCGCCCACCGTCTCGTCCGCCGAGCCAGTTCAAACAACAATGACCACACCAATCGAACCTACAGGGCAATCTGGTGCAACTGTTTCTACTACTCCAATTAATACCGATGCTACCAGTACAACTAGACTCACAACCACACCACCTGCACTTTTACCTATATTCAAATGTGATTTCAATGGACCTTGCTTTGGCGCTGGTATCTTTGATGTTGTTACTGGACTACAATTTTCGCCGCCATCTCCTCTCACAGCAGATTCAGAACCACCACGAGGACCCATATCGGATGCACTTGCCACTAGTAACTATTCTCTCTTCTTCTTTTTCTTCTTCAATCATCATCTTTTCTTCTTCTCCATCATTATCATCTAGCCAATCCAACAGACAACAATGAGAAATGTGAACTACCTTTCCGACCACAGATCAACAATACCACTCAAACATCTTGGGATATGTGGTTTTGCTACAACGAAGCATGTCCCACTGCCAGTTCACCAAGCGCTGCTTGTGTATTAGGTAGGTGTCCCACACTCGTCTCTAACTTCTCCATTACACATCAGTCTCAAATGTTTATTATGATTGTTCACAGGTGAATATGGTCTCATTACTCTTCCTCCATCACGAAGCAACGTGACAGTCACCGATTCGCTCACTCCAAATGTACCACCAAAGCCGCGAGATGCATCTGGTGCTCAGTGTCTTCGATTCTACTACTATTTCACTGTTTACGATGGAGAAGACTGGGGTCAACAGATTCAACTATGGACCAGACCGAGCAATGGTGGCGATCGAGTTGAAGTGGGAATATTGACAGTCAATGACATGAAGGAGAATAAGTGGACCCGTGGTCAGGTTCCGTTGGAACGCACATCGACGAACACTGTGGTAAGATATGATGATGAATGAACAGAAATACTGAATGTTTGTTGTAGTTGGAAATCGACTTTAAGATTGTGAACGACGATCGACCAACAAACGCTGCCAAAAATCGATCAGTCAACTTTGCCATGGATGTAGTTGAATTATATGACTACAACTGTTCATGTGAGTAGAAGAGTTCTGAGTGCAAGAGAGGATGTTCGGGATGCGCTTATTTAGATGTGGAAGAAGTTCTGGATGGAGTAATTCGTCCTGTTGCATCAACTCCTAAGCCTGGTAAGTTGAAACTGGTGTGATGAAATGTTGAAGAAATTTCGATGTATTTGTAAAAGACGAACCAGATCTAGCACTGATTCTCGGTCTTTCTTTGGGTCTTGGTATTCCAGTTTTGTTGCTTGCCATTGGCGGTACGGTTTTCTTTGTGAAAAAACAAAAAGGGAAAAGTAAAGATCGTGACGATATATCAATGGATTCTCATCCAAATGCGACAAATTACAATGACAATTCATCCGATAATCCTTTTTCATTTTAATTTATTTATTTTAATGCATTCTTTTGTTGTTATCTTTTTCGTACTTTTGTCTACGACTGCATTTATGTGAAGGATAAACGCCTGATATATCGGTCAGTAGATTCTTCTGATCAAGGCGAAGAAATTGTAAAAAATTCTACTTTTTTCAAATGTTTCCTATTGACACTACACAATAATAGAAAAACAAATACAACAGTTCAACTTTGTCTATCAACCCATCGAAATTCTCTTTATTTTCACGAAATTTTATTTATATTTTCACAGAAAAGAAAAATAGTGCTGAATATTTCACATTGAACATAATATCGAAGTATTGTTTTCTTCTACATTAAATTTCCAAATTAGTCTTTTTCCATTGTCGAATAAATCTTAGTGTTATCTTTCTTTCTTTTGCTATACAAACAATTGTTAATGTAATACATATAATTGTTACAGAAGTTAAGATCACATGCCCGTAAATAACGATTTTATCCAGTTTCAAACGCATTAAAATTAACATCAATCGTCCAAGGAATTCTAGTAGGAACCCGATTGACCAGATGCTTGTTATCAGATAGCACGCTGAACGAAACGACGAACAATGAGAATAGATCCAAGAGTAGACTTGAGCGACTTCTTGTTTGGGTGTTAAGTCTGCGATTGTCAGTTCTCCATCGACACATTCATCGAATGTTTCATGTTCGTTTTCGAATAAACTATTCGGCAAGTCAACTTCAGTTCGTTTCGTTGGTATTAAGTCTTGATAAAAGTAATAAGCAAGTGGACGGATATAAAACCGATGCCGAAAACATCGCAACGGTATCAAGGTTAAACCGAATATAATCGATAAAATGCCTGTCACCACTGATTTTTCCAGGAGAAGTACAATTGGATTACGTGTGATCACAGCAACAACAGCCGATATGAGAAAAGCAATAAAAACCAGAAAACCTAGAGCGTCGAACGTTCGTGCGTAAATACCTTTGATCATCACCATGAGTAGTGGCGGAGCACCAGCAACTAATAAAGCATAGACAGGTTTTATCAATTTTTGCAGGCTAAAATAAATAACAACTGGTAGAATGACATCAACAAGCATGGTGAGCAAGAAGCGAGGAATATGATGTTTGAATGTATCCCATATTGAAAATTGGATTTGTTCGGAGGAGATTGGATGTTTCTGTTTATTTACTGGTGGAGGCGATTTCGAAGTCATTTGACAATTGTCGATTCTAAATAAATGATGTGCATTTATTATGCGAAATAATATATCAAGGGTAAAAATTACAGTCTAACAAGTACGAAATAGATGCATCATGTGTAGATGATTTGTATATATCATTCCGTTCCTAGTTGATTCAGTTTCAGTCACAAGGTTAGTAGGACATGTATATACAAATACAAACTTTTGTATGTTCTGCCATTTTTTCTTTTTCTTTTCTGTACAATGCATGCATCATTAGTAACCAAAGTGCGTACTAGCGATAACTATCGGCATTCATCGTATAGCTTCTGTTTTTCTCATACAGTACTCTGAAAGAGTGTACTTACTAAGAAAATTTTACATATGTGTTTGAAATATTTGTTCAGTCATAAAGCAGAAAAGTAATTTTGTGAAAGCATTCATGAAAAATCGTATACTTTTTAACAGGATGGCATGTGTTAGCTTTACTTGTTGTGCTAGCATCAACAGAACGAAGAAATGTAGCGTGGCGACGATAAAAGAAATGCAAATGAACAAAAAGAAAGGAAAAGATTGATATGCACCACATACTCCATGGGAAATATTCATATAGATGTAGTCTGTTGCCGATGATTCTTGAAGAGGAGAATACAGCTATGAAGTGAATTATATGGATGAACACACGGCAAGTTTATAAAAATGCAACAGGAGCATATGAGTTAATGACGAAAAGTATTATGATTAGGTTTATTGAGTTCAACTAGCAGACAGAATGTCTGATTAATTCATTTGTGTCGGAAGTATATGTGAATTGGTGAAACTTATGCAGTGAATTTGACAATGTGAATACTATGAATTTGGTTAGAAGCATCATTTAGACGTGTTTTGCTGTGATACGTCTTATTAAACAAAAACAGAATAATGTGATGTTGATGTTTTTCTAATTTCTAAAGACAACTCTTCGTTCTTATCTTCATTGCGAAACGTCGCTTTTGTTGACGACGCAATAACGTTACTCATATTTACCTGTTACTTAGAATATCACATTGAGATAAAACATTAACTAGTTTGACACAACTCCTCTAACAGACAGATAGACGCATGATGCTCAGTGCAGGTAGAATTCATGTTACATTCATTGAAAATATAGATCTTTATGATTGATAGAGGTGATTTTGATTGTAATTTTACTGGCAATTTGTGTTATTCAATGCCAAAAGTATCTCGATTGTACATTTGACCAAGGTGATTTGCCATGCAAATTGTCTCCTGTTGGAACGTCTCCGGAGCTACAAGTTATGAGTATTGTGTCGATAGATAATCCATCGGCAGTTACAGTGATACCATTGTCCGATGTGACATCGATCAGCAAGTGACTAGAAATTTGTGATATAATTAATTCGTTCGTGATATTTAGCTAAACCAACAATTGGAAATAATCTTCAATGTCAAATACCTTACAAATTTAGTAATGATTCAGAAGATATGTACTTTTGTGCTGCACTCAAAAGCTCACCCAATGCATCACATTGTATAACAACAGATTCGACGAGTCAAGAGTGCATACTCGGTAAAATTCTTACATCAAGAAGTTCGATTCACTCTATCCGTTTACTAAATAGGTCAGTATGTACTGGCACAACTTGATTCGGGAGAAAACTTTACCTATCATGTCGAAGTGATAGGTACCACAGGTCCATCTTGTCTAAGTTTATATTATTATATAACGAGACCCAATGTTGGTCAAATTGTTGTTCGGTCTACTGACATCGTCGATGACACAGTTCAACAAATTGGTACAATTTCTGATGTGCCAAACAATGGATGGCATCGTGTTAGCTTCAGTTTTCAACCAAATGTAACCAATTATTACGTAAGCTGATGCTTTTCAAAAAAAATTTATTAATACGAAATAGTAATGTATGTTTTATTTTTCCTGCGCAGATAAATTTTGATTTAGAAAGATTGACAAGTTCACAAGAATTAGTATTTATTGCACTCGATCAAATTAAGATTATTGATGGTCATTGTGGTATAGAATATTGAACAACTGTGGATTTGTAATTATTTTTTCTTTTCTTTTCAGAAAATGTTGATGAAACGACTACTGTAACTATGATTATTATTTCTTTTCAAACTAACCAGAAGTTTTATTCTGAATTTAGAAAGCCGACCAAACATCACCAATAACCACAGCAGAGATTGTTACTACTACTGTAATTAAATCATTTTTTTAATTTGAAATCTTGATAATATCTATTCGTTATTCAAATCTTTTTTACATTTAGAATAGAATTCTTACTACACAACAGACTATCCTACCATCAACACAAGCATCGAGTACACCTACTCCGTAAGATATTAAACTTTTCTTACACTGTATTTGTATTGATAATGCAGCGTAGTTTTGGCGACTATTTGAACTAATTTTTTACAACAGGTTACAAACTACCGAGATTACAGCACCATTATCTACCCAAACTGCATTCGATACTACTCTGCAAACGACTACGACACCAATTGTCACTACGGGACACCCTTTTCTTCCAATATTTCAGTGTGACTTTACAACATCATGTTTTGGAAGCGATGCTTTTCGTATTACTAATGGCACTGAATTCAATCCAACCAATCTATCGAGCATCTCTCAACCTCCTGAAGCACCAACGTCAGATGTATCTTCCATCTGTAAATAGCTCCTTTTACTTCAGTTCTAAGCTCTTGCATATTTTGATCGATAAACTGTAGCTAATCCAACAGACAACAATGAGAAATGTGAACTACCTTTCCGACCACAGATCAACAATACTACTCAAACATCTTGGGATATGTGGTTTTGCTACAACGAAGCCTGTCCCACAGCTAGCTCAACAAGCGCTTCTTGTGTACTAGGTAGGTGTCCGACATTCGTCTCTCACTTCTCCACTACACATCAATCTCAAATGTTCATAGGTGAATATGGTCTCATTACTCTTCCTCCATCACAAAGCAACGTGACAGTCACCGATTCGCTCACTCCAAACGTGCCACCAAAGCCGCGAGATGCATCTGGTGCTCAATGTCTTCGATTCTACTACTATTTCACTGTTTATGATGGACAAGACTGGGGTCAACAGATCCAACTATGGATCAAACCCAACGATGGTGGTGATCGAGTTGAAGTGGGAACATTGACAGTCAATGACATGCAGAGAAACAAATGGGAATCTGCCCAATTCGAATTGGAACGCATATCATCGAATGATATGGTAAGATGTGATGAAGAATGAACAAAGATGCTGAATGTATGTTGTAGTTGGAAATCAACTTTGTGATAGTCAACGACACTCAAGAAAAGAATATAACAAGAAGTCAATTAATAAACTTCGCCATGGATAATATTGAGTTATATGATTACAACTGTTCATGTAAGTTAAAAGTAGAAGGATGTTCTCCTAAGGCAAACTAGTAAGAGTTTCAATTACTTAGATGTCGACGAACAATTAGGTATATTGACAACAACACGGCCAATAAAGACGTCTACTTCGATTGCCACAAACACAACAACCGAACCAGAGGCAACTCCTCGAAATAAAAGTCAGTTGAATACTAACTAGCAATTGTTATAATAGTTTTTATATTTATTGTTATAGATAAACGAAATTTAGACTTGATCCTCGGGCTTTCATTAGGTATTGGAGGTGCTTTGAGTATTATTATCATTGGATACCTAGCTCTCAGATGCAAAGCGAAAGGAAAGGCTCGCAGGAAGAGTGCATATGAATATGATAAATATTTTCCATTAGAGTCACCTCTCTACAAACGAAATACCAAGTAGCACACAACGATGGCGAAACTACATTCGTGTACTACAATTCAAATTTGACTTTATTTTGTCACGCATATTACATATATTGCAAAAAATAAATTCTATTCGAGAATTACGACTAATGAAGAATTGATTTGTCTATTCTTTCAAAACATTTCTAATACATATACCGCTTCAATTTGTAACATTCGTAATCAAGTATACTGTACAATAGAGAGTTCGTTAAGAGAACAAATCTGTATGTCCTCGTCGTAGTATCAACTGGAAGGAGTACTCAGTTCGTTAACTGATGCTATTGAGAAAAATGAGCGAAAGATAAGAGATGCATTATTTTACACTCTTACATACTATGTTATCTTATTCTAACTCAAGTCTACTATGACGTTGTCCTCATTTCGACGACGAGTTCCGTCACAGGTAGCAACTGATATATTTCATAAACCTAACACTAATGATTGTCTTGGTAACAATGGAAAAAGTCTTCTTCTTTATGTCCTCTAGAATGTTAGGTAAGAAAAATAAGATATCGTGACTATGAGTCATCGATATACAATCTTTGACTACATCCTACACATAACTGTTGTGGCAACGTATACATAGATACTGCTCGGAATCTTATATATATAACTACATAACAGGTGCTGCAGTTTGTGTTTTGTTTCAATTTATTCAGACAAACAATGAGATCGAAATCGAGTATGTTGGAAAACGTTTTTATATTAATTAATCACGTTTTATCGCGTATTGTACTTTTTTTTGAAGTTGCTATCTTGCTTCTTGGATTGCTCACAATTAACTGCTCTGCCGCGCAGAGTACTCCGGAATTAGAGACAAGTGTTACCTCCACTGGAACAAGATCTCCGTAAGACATTACAGCTTATTTTGTATTTTAATTGAACTCGACGGCCTTTTTCTCTGAGGACATTTTTCTAAGCATTTATATATGCATATCTTTTAAACACTTCACACTGGCTTCAACACCAATTTATGTTTATTTAGACTGACATCAATCATCATTATTACGACAGAAAAAACCATAACAGTCACGACTACCACGCCAAGTCAGACAACCACGGCGGCGCTCGTCGAGTCCACAACAGCCACGATCACAACACCAGCCCAGGCAACCGTGACAATACCTGACGAACCCACCACAGAATTCACTAGTATCTTTGCCACTATCAATGATACTACCACTCCTATTAGTTATACCGACACTGCTACTACTATCATTACCAGTACGGCTAGACTGACAACCACACCACCTGCGCTTTTACCTATATTCAAATGTGATTTCAATGGACCTTGCTTTGGTGCTGGTATCTTTGAAGTTGTTAGTGGACTCCAATTTTCGCCGCCTTCTCCTCTCACAACAGATTCAGAACCGCCACGAGGACCAACATCAGATGCACTTGCCACCAGTAACTATTCTCTCTTGTTCTTCAATCATCATCTTTTCCTCTTCTCCATAATTATCCTCTAGTCAATCCAACAGACAACAATGAGAAATGTGAACTACCTTTCCGACCACAGATCAACAATACTACTCAAACATCTTGGGATATGTGGTTTTGCTACAACGAAGCCTGTCCCACAGCCAGCTCAACAAGCGCTTCTTGTGTACTAGGTAGGTGTCCAACACTCGTCTCTCACTTCTCCATTACACATCAATCTCAAATGTTCATAGGTGAATATGGTCTCATTACTCTTCCTCCATCACAAAGCAACGTGACAGTCACCGATTCACTCACTCCAAACGTGCCACCAAAGCCGCGAGATGCATCTGGTGCTCAATGTCTTCGATTCTACTACTATTTCACTGTTTATGATGGACAAGACTGGGGTCAACAGATCCAACTGTGGATCAAACCCAACGATGGTGGTGATCGAGTTGAAGTAGGAACATTGACAGTCAATGACATGAAGGAGAATAAGTGGAACCGTGGTCAGATTCCGTTGGAACGCACATCGACGAACAGCGTGGTAAGATATGATGATGATAATGAATGAACAGAAATACTGAATGTATGTTGTAGTTGCAAATCGATTTTAAGATTGTGAATGACGATCGACCAACAAATGCTGCCAAAAATCGATCAATCAACTTTGCCATGGATGTAGTTGAATTATATGACTACAACTGTTCATGTAAGTAGAAGAATTCTGAGTGAAAGAGAGGATGTTGAGAATGTGCTTATTTAGATGTGGAAGAAGTGCTGGATGGAGTAGTTCGTCCTGTTACACCATCTCCTAAGCCTGGTAAGTTCAGAGTGGTGTGATGATGTGTTGAAGAAGTTGTGATCTATTTGTAGAAGACAAACCAGATCTCGGGCTAATTCTTGGCCTTTCTTTGGGTATTGGTATTCCACTGCTCTTATTCATCGCTGCTGGTCTTATTTATTGTTGTAAAGCATCAAAACCTAAAACAGCGGTTTCACCAACATCTACAACCAGAGCGTTAGCTGAAAATATCCCTATGTCACCGAAAAAGAAAGCAAATGAAAACAGGGATGTAGAAGCGGGGTCGTTTTAATATAATATCTTTTTTTACTGTTTTGTTCTTCCAAATATGTGTACAACAGATCTACATGAATTTATTTGAGTAAAATGGCGCTAATCTTTAACAGAAAAAAAATCATTTATCCGTAGCTAGTGTTCTAGGATTATTTTCAATTCATGCACGCATAACACACCGTGTGATACTACTTCTGTCTTTTCCATCAAGGGTTAGTTGTTCGGTATGATGTATATGAAATTATTGATCTCCTCACGATGAAATGTAATTGTTGAATTATTTATTCGCTGCGTTGCATGTTTTTTAAAACAATTCTGTAGATAATAAATCAATTGTCAACGTCTCACTAAGCTGTGATAACGCCGAAATAGGATTCTAATGAAACAGAAAATAAGTAGAATAATAACGACGCGTGGAGATATACTCAGTGAATGATAGTTTCATTATGTGTCACAGCGACAATGTTATTCAGAAATAACAAATTGAACTACGTCAGCCACCTCCATAAAAGAAAATCTCTCTCATACTGGCTATAATTCACAAATGAGTACCATCGGTAAAAAAATAGAGCGAAAGAAAAAGAATATAAAGAAGATATTCTTCATTATAAAAGTGAATCCGATGTCTAATATCGATTCATATAGTTGACGAGAGGTGTGTGAAATGTGTTGATGCTCATCAATGACCGTGAAATAATTGACCTGTTTTTGCATATAAAATTGCTATTTTTTCTTTCCTTTTTTTTCTAATTTTTAAGGTTCAGTTCCCGTCCAAAGAAAACTTTATTTTTGTCAATTTAATCAATTTTTTTTCTAATAGCGCATTTCATAGAACATCACAGCCACTATTGAATGTATTGTAGTATATTTTTTCCAATCGGCTTTCATGGTTTTGAAGGGGTTTTCTCGAAAATCACCACCAAAGACCAATAATTTTCAAAAACAACTTTATCCTTTATCCATTTGAAATTGTGATGGAAAATATGTTTTCTACGATTTTGCAAAATTCAAATTTCTCGCAGCTATTTTGCGTTTTTCTCAAAGTCCAATGTCTTGTTTTTACATTTTCATGCATTCTAGATTTCTTCGCCATTTTGAGCGCTAGAAAACTCGGATTCGTTTTAAATCATAGTTAAAATGCACTTCGACAACAAAGTAAAGCCTGATGTTTTAATTTCATGATTGATGTAACATAGAGAGAAGCTTTTTAAGAATTTTACGTCATGATGTAGAATTTATTTTAAATAAAATCCGAGCTTTCTTGTTCTGAGAATGGCGGAGAAAGCTGGGATCCATGGCAATCTAATTTTTGACCCTTAGGCTTAGATAATTTCTTGAGGGGCTCAAGATTTCAAGCTGACATTTTTACCATGTGATACCAAACTTAGACACATGTACTGTGAAAGTTTCGTTAAGATGAGATGTTCGACGAAAAAAATAGATTTTTGGCTGGAGGCCGGGCCTAACAATGTCTCCATGGTTGTTTTTAGAAAGATGATGACAGACGCTCCTGCAGATAGGATTATGTTCACCGTTGAACGCTGTTTAGTTTCAACTGAGCAGAGTTCTCGAAAATAATCAGTTTTTACTTCCAGATCATCGGATCAGAATATACTTATAATCAAATCTAATAATTTATCAACTACTCAGCTCGAACATATTCATACTAAGATTTAGACGCATCAGTGTCGTTATATTAACGAAATGAGTATGTGACGTTCTTTGTCTAAAAAAAAGCTTTTCTTTTGCGGCGACTTTATTAGTATAGTTATACGTAGAATTCTTGAATAGATTTCCTTTTAATTAATGATAGAATAGATGATTCGAAGAATACTTTTGAGTAGTTAAAAGAACATTTTCTTTGATGATATTTTAAACCCAAAAAAATTATAGGACAACTCCTGATCCCATTTGTTTTTTTTGTTTCAAGCGGGTACGAAGACTCTGGTTGGTAGTTGTCCATTAATTAAGCTAATAAAATTTAGTAAAGTATAACTCTTAGTACAATATCAGGTAGAAAAAGTAGTTCGCATGTCAACAGAAAAGTTTCATCTGAGACTTTGCTTTGCAATATAATAAATTCCACTTTTCTTCATGTTATTAATAAACAGATATTTCGAGAATATGGCATCCTTGCTTGTTTCATCTCTCCTCAAATGAAGTTATATTTCGTAATTATCTAATGAACGTCCATTAGACTTTTTCAATCCGATAATATATTCCAGTATTTTTAGTTTTAATGAAGTATGCATCGTTTGTTCTCTTAGATAATCAGCATACTCTAACATGTGACTTTGAAAGTAAATGTAAATCGCAGACTCACTTATCGTGTTTTTCTCTCGATAGATAATGTTCCTAAAGCGACATTATTTTTACTTGCAAGCTGATTGAAGTGTACATCCGGCAACTGATGTATTATAGACTATAATGTATGGAAAATATCTGATTGTTTCTATGAATATTCACCAATTGTAATTTTCCTTTTCAATAACAGAGCAACTAGTAAATTTTGTTCTTTCTTATCCTCTTAGTTTTTCAACTTGAATGTCGACATCGATCGTTACGACACTCACGCTTCTTGGTCAACAAATAATGATTTACTGTGGTACACCACTATTTATTACAGGAATGGCTGGTGGACTCTTACTTACCACAGTTTTACTTAGTTTGAAAACCTTCCGCCAAAGCTCTTGCGCGTTCTATCTGACGATTATGTCAATTGTTAACGTCGGACAACTATTGACTGGTCTGTTAACGCGTTTAATGATCAGTGGTTTTGCTATCGATTGGACAGAAACAGTATTATTCTATTGTAAAATTCGTTTGTTTACTACAACCATCTGCGCGCAAACATCGCTAACATGTTTATGTTTAGCTGTTGTTGATCAATATCTCGCGACGTGTTCTCGTCCACAATGGCAACGATGGAGTAACATCAAACTCGCCCGTATTCTAACAACATGCTTTGTTATCTTTTGGATTCTAATTGACATTCCCTATATTACCTTCTTCAACCAAGTCTATTCTCCTACTACGAATAAAATGACTTGCATGGTCACTAATCCGACTTTTATTGCATATCGAATCTATTTCGTCGCACCTGTCGTCTTAGGATTTCTGCCGATTTTGATCTCGTCAACTTTCGGTATTATGGCTTATTGTAATGTTCAAAGTTTAGCTTATCGTACAGTGCCGCTTGTTCGACGAGAATTAGACAAACAACTAACAAATATTGTTCTTGTGCAAATCCCATTTCTTATTCTTTCGATTTTACCTTACACAGTTACGAATATTCTGACATCACGTCAAGAATGGGCTAGTGATAAAATTCTATGGGCATATATACAATTTAGTTCAACAATATCTCTCGTTTTATTTTATGTCTTTTACTCCGTGAGTTGTGAATCTGATGAAAGATTTTCATGAGCAAGAAAATGAATTTTTATTTTTCAGAGTCCATTTTATGTTTGTATTTCGGCTTCAGAACGGTTTCGTCGACAATTTTTATTCGTTATAAAAAGACCTTTCTGTTTGAAAATAGCTCCAATGAATGGACCGCCAACTAGTCAGATTGCACCTGAACAATAGAGTTCTGCGCATTATTGAACTCTTTAAGTTTCTAATCGGCTACATCTGACAGTTAAATTAATAAATTGAAATAAAAGAAAAATGATGACATACTTATTCAGTTCGATAATCAATATGTCGGAATAGTTTTCCACAAAGAAAATAAGAAATTTAGAAGGCTTTTACATATTCAGAAGATGAATCGTTTGTTAATCAATTCGTTCATATCCAATGAGCCGTCTCAAATGAACTTTCGAGATATTTTTAACAGTAGAAGTAACACTGGTATCGAAGAGAATGTTTGAAATATGTTATCAAAATTGAAGCAATACGGATCCTTCTCGTTGTAATTAAGCCTGTAGAAAATGCTGGAGCCGCATTACCAACTCTTCATGATGTTGACGTATGAACGGTTTTCTTTCATAAGAACACTTTGTATAAAGTGCGTTTTTCTGGAGAATTTGGAAGTGCAATGTTCCTTATTAATTTGAAATCAAACAAAGTCGAGCAGAAATAATTCCGTGTTGCCACTTCCAGCATCTTGAAATTTTCTGACAAGTTACAAAATCTCAAGAATTAAGAAGTCTTTTATTTGACAAGTGTCATTCTAGAAGAAAACTAACAAGAGTTTCAGAATAATTATCGTGCCATCCGGTTACAATTCAATTTCACCAATTGAAACAAAAGATCATTCCGTTGGTGTTCATATTTGAATAGTTCCTGTGACCTTCTCTCTTCCCTCTCCATAAAGATCAAAGATAATCGTTTGCTTCTTTAAACAAGTGATCGTTTGGTCATTCTGTTTGTTTATATAGAGAACGATTTTTATGGCAATAAATGCCAACAACACGCCTCTTCACTTGTTATTTGTCACATCATCTCATATCATAGTTTGCTGTTCTTTTTGCTTTCTTTTCTCCTTCGCACGTACAATGAGAAAGAAATATGTGCGGTTCACATCATCACGTGAAAATCTTTTGATTCACTCGCGGTAAATTGGACAAATAGATTTATTTGATCATAGTGATGACAATGATGATGACGATGATGCATCTCAAAACAAATACAAACATAATAAAATCGCATAGCGATCTGCACCTGTCTTTGACCTTTTTTCGTTTAGTTCATTGATTGTTAATCTCTAATCTTTTGTTTTTCACATCTGACTACCAAGACAAATGTCGAAGCTTCTTGTCAATAGAAAATTACACGGCAATAATAGTAAATACTTTTCACATTTCGATTTTATTTCGTTCGTTAAATAAACACGCACACAATGAGAAAAGCAAAACTAATGAACAAAGTTAGGAAAATGAAGAGCATGAAAAAGAACGAAAATGTTAATATTGTCCAACATCACCAGTCGCCAACAGACTCTCATGTTCTTTCGGTGGCGATGATGATGATGTTGAATGATTACTTAAGTTCGGTACGATTGCAACTGGTTGCTGTAAATGTATAAAAGATGGACTTAATGGTGATGAAGATGATGTTCCATTATTCATTGGACATGTTAATGGTGCCATAAATGGATGATGCGATGCTGGTGACGGAGTTGTTGTATAAGGAAAGTAGTATGAAGCAGGACTTGGATAATATGTGTTGGAATAGTAAGCTGCAGCGGCGGCGGTGTTGGGCGACAATGGTGATGATGATGAACATGGAATACCTGCAGGTGTTGTTGGTGTATAGAATAACGTTGGATCGAACGGTGAAGTTGATGATGATGGATATGGATCAAGTTTAGTTTGAAAAACTAAAAAGAGAACGAAGAGGAAAAGTGAAATGGTCGTTGTGCTTTTCTCTAATGTGTCATCATTCCGGAATAGCACATTAGTAGTTTAGTGTTAGTTTCTTTGATGAAAAGTCGTGTGATGTTTAAATAGTTGTTTTTCGCTTTATGAAATTAAATACCGGAAATGAAGAAAAAAGAACAAATCTTTACCATCCGTTGGCGACGATTTTCGTTGTGCTGGAGAGTAATGATAAGGCGATGTACGATAGGATTGAAATTTAAATCGTTCGTGGCCATTGCTATGCATTGGTGATGATTGATGGGGAAAAAACATCGAATGATGTGTAAATGGTGAAACATAATTATTGCCATTTGTCGTTTGTTCTTCTAACATCATCATTTCACGATCTTCTCTATAGAAAAGAAGACATTCTTTTCAACATAAAATCAACACCTCATCGCATTTGCTTACCGTTTATTATTTCCAGTATCTTGGAATGCCTTAGCAAATGGATTGTACTTAATTTTCAATGATGTTACCTGAAAGCATAAAAATTCCTGTCAACGATCAAAGTCAGAACGAAATACGAAAGACATTACCTCTTCGTTTTGATATGCAGTTACAGCGATGAATTCAGTTTCGGGAAAACTCGTCTCGTAGATCTTTGTTTTTAACATAACATCAATAATTGAGATTTTCGGTTTGTATTTATGAAGTGAATTAAGAACAACCTAAAGGATTCGATTAAGGACATGTTCAGAATCTATCATGAGTCGACTTCTTACTTGACATGGGCCCGTCTGATTGGTTTTGTTGGTCAATTTAACTTTGGTAAAAGAGACTGTATCGCGCATCCATGTTTCACCATAATTTGGCGAATCAGGATGTTGATACGGTGCTCGTTGAATAGCTGGATCAGGTTTTGTACCTGGTTGCCATTGACCACTGACATAACGCCAACGGTGCGAGTCCATTTGCTCGAATGACAACTCGACCGTATACATCTTTTCGGGTTCTAAACCGCGAATACTGATGGAAACGATTGGGAACATCCGACGGCCAGCTTTTGTCACACTTAAGACACAAAACTCTCTCCAATAATGTCCTTATATTTTCTCTTGAATATCTTACATCATTTCATTGGTCAAATTATGAAATCGTTTCCATAGTTCGATATTCTGTAAGCTGACGCTAATGTTTTCTCGGTTGTATTCTGGCTTCATAAGATATTGAATTTGTGGATGTTGGTACTATAATCGAGTAAGTGCGAAATTTAACAAAGAAAGACAAGAAAAAGAAAAAAGAATGCTACCTTTCCATGTTGATGAGCGGGATGTTGCTGTGCTTGCTGCATTGAGTGAATATATTCTTCGATTTTCAAGTCACACAAAAGTGAGAGATTCGAATTCTGACTTCCGACAAATGTATGCGACATTTTTCTCTCTTCAACTGATTTTTTTTCTTTCATTCGACCAATGAGAGGCATTTCGTCTTCACCTTTTCTCTTTCGAACGAAGAAAAAGGAGAAAACGACCAACCAATCACAATTTATCTACTTCTATATAATCCGTTTCACTAGTCGAACACAAAAATGAAAGTATCTCGCAGAAACTTTCTGTTTTGTTTTTCAATAAAAAACCTCTCACTCCATGACATAACATCATCTTTCACACTTATCAATTATCATTCATCTCCAAACAAGATATCACTGCAATTACACACATTCGAACTCGCACAGTGGTCGAGATTGTTATTCGTCACACATACTAATTAGACTATACATTCGATGTCAATTTTATGACTACGAACAAAGGTAGTAAAACAAGAGAAAGACAAGTTCAAGCTGAGATTTTTCTGTCTCTCATGCATATGTCAATTGATCTACTGTAGTCATGAGCCCATCATCACTAACAACATTTCAATTAGAATATGAGATATCCTCTCACTTTGATGCTCACTTTCTCTTACTGAGAAATCGAGGTGTTACAACGCCTACACACATATACAGATCAAATTCAAGCATCATTCGTCTTTTCGTCTTCTTTTTACAACAGCGACTGGTTGAATCAACATTTCATCAAAGTTGTAAATCGATTATTTGCTACCAGTACCTCTCGTTAACCTTTCTTACATGTTCTAATATTTGTTTTTATTTCTTTTCGGGTATTGAAAGATGACACACACGCACACAGTGCACTTGACTTCAAAAGACGAAAGATGAAGCTTTTCTCTTCTTCGTTCGCTTCAAAGACTAAGTGGCATGAAGTCACTTATCGAGAAGAGATGAGAAAAAAAGATTCGTTTGTTAATTTAAAGAATTTAGACAACATCCGGACTTTCTAATACCCCGGAAAATCAAGTGATTAACATCGATTGATATCATGACGGAATGTCTATTGATTTTTCTTTCCTTTCGCTTCGTAATGTTAAATAAATAAGACGTAAGCTTCTCTTGTATAAAAGAGGATCAGCGATGCTGATGAACTTTCACAAATCGTGATAATTTGTCAATAGAAATTGTAAATATTCGGAGGAGCTCAACAAACTACTGCAAGATTTCACACGAGTAAAAGTGAGTGAGATTTATTGGTAAAATTCAAATCGAATGAAGAAGAAAAATGTTTCTAAATATGATGTGGATGGTTATTGTCAATCGATGCTTGCAATTGAAATGTCGGCCAATTAGCCATAGCTGATGGATGATGATGTGGAAACGTTGGCGAAGAATTTGCATAGTCAAACATATTCGGCGTTGGTTGATCAACGAGAAGCAACGGTGGTGCTAAAGAAGACATTAAATACATCATAAAATAGAAGAAGAATCGTTCTCTTTAGTCAACGTACAGTTTGATGACATTAAAGAATGATTGTGATGATGGTAGTAAGGACGTGAACGATGAATGTGAGCCGACGAACGGTGTCGAAGAACTTGTGACGATGACGATGCTGCCGAATCATCGGTAGGAAATGGCAGCATATCTGTGAAGAGATCAATAAAAAAAACAAGTTCGGTGTTTAGGAAATCGAAGATCAAAAGATGAAAATAAAAGTGTTAGTCAATGTTTGACTTACAGTAAGGAAGAGATGAAAAATGTTGAGTTCGATAATCTGTCTCGCTTATTTGTCCTTCGTAATCAGTTCTACAAATGACAAATACGAAGAAGAATGAATCGGAGATAAATTCGTTCTTCTCTACCGATCTCTTGGCTCTTGGAAAGCTTTTGCAAATGGATTATGGCGAATTTTTAATGCCGTTATCTACATATAGGAGGAAAACATTTACTTAATGGACTAAGAAAGTCTTACTTCTTCATTTTGATAAGCAGTAACAGCAATGAATGATGTCAAGGGAAATGTGAACGTTTCCAGTAAAATATTCGGTTGCCCATTCGATACTGATTGCAAAATATGTATTCTCGGTTTATATTTATGCAAAGAATTCAAAATAATCTAGGAGAAATGTTTTAGAAGATCCATGAGTGGACATGATGCGTTACTTACATGATCATCTTTAACTGGATTCGGTCGATTTGTTAGTTTGACATTTTTGAATTCGACAACATCCGACATCCAAAATCGACCATAGTTTGGTGATTTCGGATGTGAATATGGTTCACCTTTAACCGTAACTCCGTACCGACGATCTTGGTTGAGATTCGTAATATCCTGTTTACCGTTTGTTTGCCATTGTCCTGTGACATATCTCCAACGAAAATTGTCGCATGGGGCAAAATCGAGTTTGAAATCATATAGAGTTTCAGGATCCAAGCCGCGAACCGCAACACGAAGAACAGGAAACATTCTGCGACCACCTTTGGTCAAACTAAAACATATTATAAAACTCGCTGTGACTATCGGAATCATTTTGCGTTCGACTTTTACATCATTTCTGTACTTAAAGCTTCGAAACGTGACCATAATTCAGTATCTTGTAAATCCAAATGTATAGATGTTGCTTCTGCTGCTCTTGGATACACTTTAAAAAAGCCGAAATAATAATAATTAAAAAACTCTCCAAGAATACGAAAAGAATTCACCTGATTGAAGCATTTCTTCTTTTTTTTGTAGTATATGTAATAGCAACAGATCACGCCCAAGTGTGGAAAATGGAATAAACTTGTGAGATGATGAAGAAAGGGAGAAATGAAGAGAAAAAAATCGAACTTATCAACCAATCACAATACAATCCGGGAGATGAAAAAGAACGAACGGACGCAAAGAAGAGAGAAAGAGAAAGAAACAGAAGGTAGCATACCGCTCGTTACACCTTTCACATAGGAAAAGTTTAAAAACAAAAAAGAATTTATTACAAGATAGGCAAAGACGTGAACTTTACTTTGATTTGCGTGAATAATCGATTAATCATTTTGTTTGCTTCCAATCGAATCAATATTTCCTCTCATAGTTTTCGAAATGTTGTATGATATTACATCTACTTATTTGAAGTTCTTTTGTAAGTAGTTATGAATGAGTACACAGGTTTCGACTTTCCAAGGCTATCCTATTAGGTTAGCATCTGAGGAACACTTTAAGTTAAAATATTATGTAATAGAAAAGAGGTTTTGCATCAGCATTCTTTTATTAGATCACAGAACAATAAAATCTTACGTTTTTGAGGAAATATCGTTTACGAGTTTCTCAATCTGTAGAACCTGATGATGTGTTGGTGAACACACTTGACGATAGATGCTTTCTGCCTTTTTCATATGAACTAATGCTTGTTGAAAATCACCTTTATCTCTGTAAACAAGTCCAATATTTCGATAAATGACGCCCATGTCCAAATAATGCGACCCAAGAGTTTTCTTCCAAATTTCTATTGATGAATTATAATGGTCCAACGCCAAATCATACCGTCGCAGTTGATAATTCACATTTCCGATACAAGCATGTAATTGACCTAAACTCGGATGATCTGATGATAGGCACTTCTGACGAATATTCCATGCTTTATGATAACATTCTAATGCATCTGTGTATTTTGCTTCTTCTTGATTAATAATTCCAATATTATTCCAACACATGGCTACATCAGGATGATCTTCACCAAGTACACTGCTCCAAATATTTAACGCTTTATTGAAAAATTTCAATGCGAGTTTATAATCACGTTTCTTGGAATAAACAATCGCCATGCTATTGTAACTCATAGCAGTACCTGATTCATCTGATTTGTATGCTTCTAATGCTTTGTTATACCATGTGAGACATGAATCATACTCGCCTTTCTTTTGCATAACTTCGCCTAATGCATGATAGCAACGTGAAAGATCTTCTTGATCTTTTGATAGTTGATCGAGCAGGTGTAGGTAATATTTTTCTGCCTGATCGAACTTTTCCATGTCTTGTAAAAGAAATCCAATTGAAAGGAGATCAGTTTCCTCAATATCCAATTCGTTTCTCTTCTGTTCAATAACTGTTTGTAGTTGATGTTGTTTTCTTGAACATAACATCAAATGAATATTCCATATACCGTCATGATCACGCTCAATATAAGTCATACGAAATATTGAACCGATTAGAAATAACACTTCTTCTTTAGACGAACAAAGTGCATGGCTAACATCGTGCATTCGAGGATTACTATGGATTTCCAGGAGAACTTTTTCTGTTTGGTCATACGTTGGTAATGATAACAGAAATGATCGTGTTTGTTCACGACTGGTATTAGCTAATAGGAAGATGTTCATTGAGAGAAATTCACCGGTCCGTTTTTGCAAGAGATCTAATTCAGTTTTAGATAATAATTGAGCTCGGTAAACACGCTGTGACGGCAAAGATTTGTTTGATTTGAATTGTTCGACTAGATCTTGAATGAGGAATCGAAAAAGTAAGAGAATTTCGATATTTTGTACTTGAAGAGCTTTCTTCAATATTCGATCAAGAAATCTACACCGAGTGTACCATTGCAAACATCGTTCCGGCCTATAGTCTTTTTCAAATTCTTCGAGTATAGTTGCTTCATTGGATTTTTGTCTGTATTGTTGTTTACAGCGACTGATCAAGTCTTTTTTATCATTCGGAGACGATTTTATGCAAATTAAACAATCAATCAAGATTTGAAAATGTATGAAATTCGTATTCATACTAACAGATTGATTGGTGTTGGCAGTGAAAATGCTGTACACAAATGGTTCGTCCAATTTCTGCAATGATCGTTCTGTGTAATCGGCTTGAATCCGTTGAAACAATTGATCCCGTTGAGAAAATACATCTCTAATCTAAACATAATTCAAAATTCAACAGTGAAGTTCAATAGAAGTACTCATTTTACTTTTTTCGAATTTTTCGTCAATTGTTCACTGGATTTCTTCGTGTAAATGTAAATAAAGACGATTTGTCGCAGTGTTACAAGTTGCGAAACAAATTGAGACGAGGAGTTATCTTTGATAATTACGAAAATACGATCATCTTTAGTCAATGATTGTATGTATTGAAGACACTGTTCTTCGTCATCAAATAAGACGACATAGTTAATAATCGTTTGTAGTTGTTCGTACAATTCGGAATCGATTAGATTGCGAAATGAAATCAGATAAAATGTTTCTAAATTTTCTGTATTTGTCGACATCATATTCAGAATTATACCAATAGTTGTTGTTTTTTATTGGACTTGATGATTAACATGGCAGACACGTCATCTGATTGTTCGAAATGATTTCTGTTCTTTTCCTCTTACTTCAATCTGAATAAAAATGTGCACTAAGGATAAGAATGATGCAGAACCGACGTGAAAAATTGGGTATGTTATGTCGGAGAAGAAGAAAAAGAAAAAGAAACAAAACAAAAAGCCATTTATGTCAATATGAATCAAGATAGAAAAATACTTCAATATTCGTTGTGTTTTATCTCATTGTAAATCGATCGAATTCTAAAGATAAGAATCTTTTCGAGTTTATAACCAATTAACTGATACTCATTACAAACGATTATGAAGTTGTTTTGCGTCGTGTTAGAAGACGCAGAATGAGCGATACGAGATTTTTAGCTTTTGTTAATGTGTAAACAGGCCGAATAACGGTTTCGTTGAGATTTTTTTTGTTCAGTCATTTATTTCTTCTTTTTATTTATTTTTCTTTCTTGTTGTTTTTTTTATGTTTGTGATAAAAATTCAACAACAAGTACATCAAATCGGTGATGATGATGATGAAAACAAACAAAACGGAAACGAAACGAGTGGCACTCGTTGTTTTGTTTACGATGATTTTGTTGTTACAGTTGTTTTGGTTGTTACTGTTGTTGTCTTCTTAGTAGAGGCATCTTTTTGTGTTTTCGTTTTTTTGACTAAGTTAACACCTGACAAGCGTTTAGCTCTTATTGATTCGTGTGAACGTGCTTTACGGGCAGCAGCCTATAGAATTCAAATCGAGGTCAGTGATATGATTGAAGAATGAAAGAAGGAAGACTTTACCTTTGTTTCGGCTGTTGTGCCTGTTCGTCGTCCTTTGAGTTGTTTTAAAAGTGTTTGACGTTTTTGTACAGCGGCATATGGGTTAAGTCGTGACATTAAACCAATATTCTTCAATGGGTTCTTCTTAACTTTACGACGAACTTGACGTTTACTATGAAATTTCGTTCAGAGAAATGTATTTTTATCATTAAATGGAAAATTTCTACATACATTGGTGCACGAAGAACACTTTGAATTTCAAAAGCTTTGAGTAAACGTCCCAAATCACTGTTGGTCATGATTGGTTGTGGAAGGCTAAAAAGATACGTATATATATAATGTTGAAGAAGTATATTTGATGAATAATATGAAAAGAGATCGATTCAACCAAGTGTGATTTCTTCGTAATTCTATTGCATTTTCTTTTATCGGTATGAATTACTTATGAACAGCAAACCGTAGATCGAAATGCAAAAATCCCAATTTTGAGAAAATCTTCTCGTGAGAATGTTGAGAGTTGACTTACTTGAAGTCCACTTTGCTTTGTGATTTCTTGCTCCATGTTCCATAGAGAGCATCGAGTTTTTTGAATGCTGATTCTGTCCAAATGACGAATCGACCAACATGACCACCCGGTGTCAAACGAAGTAAATTGAGTCGTTCCACGCTCAATAATGATACACCTAGAAAACATTCAGATATACACATATTCATAGTTAAGTAAATCAAATGATGTTTGTTCAAAATGAAGAAGATATATTTCATAGAGAAAAATATCCGAAGACGTAAACAATTCTTTTTGATTTTCCTCTCAGTTTTTGGAGATTCATTTTATTGTTAACAAGACGATCTCCCAAGATAAGAGGATGAATGTTTCTCGAAGATTCTTTGGCAAAAGAACTTACCGGGAATGTTACGAAAAGCTTTCTTAATACCATTATCTTTGTCGTAGACAATGACTGGACCACGTTTCATAACTGTTCGTCGATTACGCATTTTACCTACACCAGCACGTGTATGTTTGGATGCATATACTTTAAGAATATCGGACCAAGCACCGACTTTACGTAATACAGCGACTGCTTCTTTGGTTTTCTTGATATCTTGAACTTTATCGGCTAAAACCAATGGGATTTCTGGTACAGCTTCAATGCTATGGCCTGATAAAGAAAAAATCATTTTCTTTAGATTAGGAAAAAACTTGTTCATCAATAGAAAAAGTACCTTTAGCTAGAACAAGTGATGGAACACCAGAAGCAGCAATGGCACTGACAAGAGCATATCGTCGTTGTTTTAAATTGATTTTACGGTGCCATTTACGCCAAACTTTCAATGGTGCGTACATTCGACCACCACGACACATATTACCGAAAGCACCTTGGCCTGATCGGTGAGTACCACCACCACGCACACGTGGAATACGAGCTACGGCTCGACCAGTACCCCACGATTGAGCTGAGGTTTGTTCACCTGAAAGCGAAAGTCAGAATCTTTGTGTGTAGAAAAGTATAATCGAGTTTGAAATGTACCAGCTTTTGTGCTAACTGCGTGAGCTTGTCGTTTATTTCGTCGCATTTGATCATGAACAAAGTTGACAATATCAGTTCGAATTGGAGCACGAAAAACGGCAGGTAAGAGGACTGATTTTTTTGTTGATTGACCCTTTTCATCGTAAACAGTAACAAGAGGTCGCGAGGCGGCCTAAATAGAACTAAAGTTCAATTGAAAATCCAATTCAAACAACAAACAAACCATTTCCAATAAGTCTTGTTGATTTTAAGTTGAATTCAAAAGCAAATGGATACAGGAGAATATCGTCGACCCCCACAGAAAAAAATGGACTCTTTCCGGTAAACCTTGGAGCAAATGTTTATTTATATTTACACTAAAACTATCTTTTTCAATTTGCCGAAGAAATACAAATTTTCTCGGATTTGCTTCTTCATGAAATCATTTTTCCAGTTATGCATTACTGTTTTGAAAACGGAGGCTATTTTCAAGATGTCAGTAGTTCATAGAATGAACCAATGGTAAAACATATAATCAGCAAATTCAATATGAATGCATGTATGTACATTGTATATGTCAAATCATGTTCTTAATAAGTTCGTCGTTCGTGTTTTTATATATGTGTGTTCAACATTATTATCAAATGTAATTGAAAACTAAAACAAGATTTTTTTGTCAGATATGTCGAATCAACTGGATGTTAATAGTAACATAACGTAAGTAGAGAATCTTATTGTTTTCAATTGAAAAGGAACTTTTAAAAGATCGATTGCCTGATCAAACTATGTTAGTTCATTGTTTACTTTGTTTTAGTGTATTGTCGACGTCCACATCGACTTCAGATGATTCATCATCGTTCTGGTTGATATTTCGTCTAAAACTTATGTTCCTAATTCCGTTTATACTCGCATGTATTATATTATTTTTACTGGTACTCTCTTTGTTGAAACATCTGATTGACTATTGTCGAAAGTCTCGTCGAAAATTAACAATTACTGATTGTACAATTCAAGATGAAAAATAATCTACATTTTTTGTCCTTTGGCTTCCGGTGATTTTCACATTTTGTGTATATAATTTAAAATAGACGTAGAATGAACAATTAATAATCCACAATAAAATGAGGAGCCATACTTAACTCTCATCATAAATGAACTAGGACTATTCACTCAAGCATAAAAAAATGTTCGTTTATCACTTGCTGTATAACGAACAGCTCGTTTTCATACGAACTTCTTTCTACACAATGCATTTATTCAATGCCATACTATTACTGCGAATCGAGGAAAAAGAGAAAAATCTCGAATCGCGCGATTCGTTCGTTCTTAGTAGCGATTATCTTCAATCTCTAAATGGAAAGATATTTCCGTAGTCAATTTGAGTATTTACGTAAACACTCTTACTCCTTTTTTTAACATAATCACCGAAGGGGTTAATAAAATCATCTCGGATCATATAAACTTAATCAAAAGGTAAAACGAACTGGGCATATCGGGTACGTTGTCTTTTTGTTTGATCTCATATCTCAAATAACTGATGTAGAGGCAAAAAACACAAGCTCATCAGAGTTCTTTTTATGTCAACGTAGATCTGAAATACATGAAATGTCGAACACTTCAATAATGACAACTACGACTATATCACCGGACTTACTGCGGGCAGCTATCGTTCTTCCCATTTTCGACAAATATATGATTATTATAATCTACACGTGCGGTTCTTTTGGTTCCTTATTAAACATTCTGATTTTCCTTCAAAAACGTCTTCGAGTCAAATCCTGTTCAGTCTATTTTCTTCTCAATTCGCTGGTAGATTTTTCTTTCTTGAATTCTTTTATTCTGATGACTTTAATCAGTCTATTCAACTCGAAACTTTTTGCTTCGATCAACTCGACGAATGCGTGGTGTAAACTCGGAAATTATTTCTACTTTATTCTACCTTGTCTCGCGTCGACTTATCTCATCTTCGCATCAATTGATCGATTTTGTGCAAGTTCATCATCTAATAGACTGCATAAGATCAATCAATTAAAGATTAGTTATCTTCTCGCTTTTCTAATCTTGTTCGTTTGGACTGGTTTTGCTTTACATACTGTCATTGAATATGATTTTCGATTGAATTCAGTCAATCGCATTCAATGTACTCCTCGCATCTATAATGAACAATTATTCGTAATCATCGATGGATATTTCTTTGCTTCATTCAATGGAATTGTCAGCCCGTTGTTCTTAATTCTTTTCGGTTTGCTCATTGTTCGTAATATAAACCAAATTCATCGACGAACTCATCCTCAATCGTCATCCGCAATGCTATCCGCCGGCAATCGTCAGTCGAACGTTCGTTATACTCAAGGAAACCAACATTTGATTCGCATGCTTCTCTCCCAAAACTGTTTGACCGTCTTTTTAAATATTCCCTTTGTTACTCTTTATCTGTATGGGATTTACAATTCCAAACCACAGTATTGGTTATCTTTATTACTTTATAGAATATTCACATACATTGCACGATGGTTCTGGTTTATGAATTTTAGCAAATCATTTTATGTGAATATTCTATGTAGTCAAACATTCCGGAATGTCTTGGTACGACGACTATTGCATGTGTTCTCCACTCAACAGAATCGAATGAGAATAGATCGATCAATTCCACGTCTTCAAGTTCAAATTCAGACAAGTTATAATTCAGATTATGATTTAGAACTAACACGTCGATAGTCTTCGCTTTTTATATCAACAATTGAAAATTCTTTTTACATTTGATTACGTCACAAAATCGACTTTTACCCGATCTAGATATTTTACAAGTTTTAAGATCAAGCATTTTCAATGATTGATTATCATTTAACATATCCATTAACGCGCCGATACTCAAATCATTGATTTGTTTGTTCCATCCAAGCGATAAGCCTTGTAAAGTTCGATTCTGGCATTGAAGAACTGTTGCTAAGGTTTGTATTCCTCGATCATCAATAGAATTTTGTGATAACCAAAGACCTTTCAACGTTTGATTCGTTATTAACATTTGAGCAAGGTACTCAGCGCCTTGACATGTTATTAAATTACATCCCAAGCTGAGCTCTTCAAGTGTCTGATTTTTGTTGAAAGAAAGCGCCATGGCTAATGCTTGCACGCCTGAATCACCAATCTGATTGTTGAAGAGATACAAACCTTTCAATGTAGTATTATGATGTAGAATATTGGCGAGTATTAATGCACATCGAGATGTTAAATCTGATTCTTTTAAATACAAATGTGTACATTGACAATCGATAATTTCTTGTTGAACGATCATGTTCAGATCCTTTTCTTTTAACGATTTTCCAAATCGAAAAACATCGCGTCGTGTTTCTAATTGTTTCATTTGACTTTCAGCAGACGGAACAGAACTCGGCGAGATCGATTCAATTTCTTTCAATTGTATTGTATAGAAGTCATGACCATGGTCAAGAAATGAAATAACTTGAAAGCATGTTCCCGGCATGAGAAGTATTTCATTTTCAGATTTGAAATACGAATGTTTACTAATATTTTTTCCGTTGATACATTCAATGATAAACTGTGTTCTTTCGCCTTTTTTACCGAGAAACTTATTCGATTGTAAAACGTTGATTGTACTTGTACACGAAGTAAATCCCCACCAAATGATAAGATCACCACGAGAATATTCGCCGTGTAAATCCAATTTGACACCACGGAAAACAGTTTGAAATTTGGATGGTAAACGATTGAGAGCTGTGAGAAGAAGCTTCATGAAGAGAATCCATGGTTTCATTTGCTCGTGTTCTCGTTCACGTAGTGCAGCATTCAATAGGAAATAAATACTTTGCTGATATGGTGTCCATTCCATCGAATAGAGACAAATAGCTGCTGATTCATCGATGGATAGATGCTCTGCAGGATTTTGACATTTTGTTTTTGCTACTAGTGTTCGTTGTTCTATATGAGGAACGATGGGTACGAGAGATTCAATTGCTCTCTCTAGTGAAACTATTGGTACTGTTTCATAAGCTTCAATTGACGAGAGAAATCGATTTGGATGATTGTTCGTGTTGGTCACAGATTCATTTGAAAGCATATTTTCGTTGGACGTAAAATAACGAATGTGAATAAGAACTGAAAATTATGTGCGTAATAGTCGGCCGACATCTCAATTGATATGACTAATCTGCTGCTCTCGTGCGGAATAATGTATGCAAAGTGCCTTCCCTTTAGAAAATTTCAAGTATGGTTTTTTTTTATCGTATGAAAACGGCGCGGAGCAGTACAATGTAAAGATTGACTATGCTTCTGATCCAAGGTAACTTGAAAATTGCCGATGGGTGTGTCTTAACTGTAAGAGTAGGCGAGTTGTCTTTTTTTCTGTTATAAAAATGTTTGTCAATCAGATTCATTGTTTAGAACAGTGGGTTTTTTTTGTAAGAGAAGCGATCTTTGATATGCAGCCTGTTTTTGAGTGAATTGTGATCTTATTTTCATGCTTTCTATAAGAACAATATCATCGAATTCTAACAATAAAGAATTGTTCTTTAAGGCAAAGAAAATGTGCTAAATGTTGCTATAGGTATTAATATAAAGAAGTGCTGAGTAAATTGGAATCATCACCATATTAGTATAGGGAAAACAACATCAAACAAAATTGAAAAATGATTGGATAGGTTTGTTGTTTTTATATCACCGGATGATACTGATAGGTATGTGGTGGTGGATTTAATTCGTTGGTACGATTTGGTTAATGACAATCTGTGGACGTTTACGTCGATTGAAATGCATACCATATATCACATAGATAAACTGACGACGGAATCGTTCAGAGACACACAGATAAATATAAAATGGACTCTAAACAAGATCAAACTCATATTATACATTCAATTGAATAAATGCTCTGTTTTACTCACAGTAAAATTCAAATAATACCACAAGATGGATAAACTCTGTGCGAATTGAACCCTTGCTGCTACTACCGGATTACTTATGGCGGAACTATTTCTCAGTACTGCTGTCAAGACGTTGCTGGGTAGCAATGTTAAAGCATTCACTACTACTTGCACTAAAACCATCATAGTCAATTGTCTGTCTAATTCCCGATGAAATATTGGCACATTTTGATGTATCGATCGTCGTATGTTATAAAATGCCAATAATGCAAACAGAATCGTTATGCCAATGGGCAAGAAACCACTTAGAATAAGGAAATATCCGTATGAATGATATAATAGGAATGTAGCGTCGGTGACACCACATGTGATTTTACCAAGATCAGGTGAGTAAATCTGAACGAAAAATACGAGATATAGAATACCATGTAACGCCCAGACAATAGTAAACAGAAGTATCAAACGATGTGCTATTTTGAGATTATTCCATCGTTTCCAACGAGGCGACAAACTAGTTGTAAAACATTGATCAATTGTTGCCAAAGATATGCTAGTTAATGATAAAAGTGTACAAAATTGGAGAAGAAAATATCGAAGTTTACAGTAGAATACTGAAGTAGTTGTTGAATCGCTGCCATATCCATTAATCATAATACGTGATAATAAGCCTGTTATGAGCTGACCAAGATTGACTATGGACATAACCGTTAGATAGAACGCACATGAACTTTGCCGAAAGGTTTTCAGACTCAGAAAAACAATACTGCTGAGAGTTCCACCGACCAAACCAGCAGCTAGAACGGGTATACCATAATAGATTGTAATTTGTTGCAAGATGTATGAGAATGATGACATAATTGGTGCAAATACTTGTGTTTCGATCTTGATATCTATAATCAAAGTTACACATGCCAAAAATGATAGAAAAGACACCCGTGACAGGTAAAAGGCCTGAAATACACATTTGAAATATTACATAAAACTAGAGAATAGCAATACTAAAACATCTGTGTTCTCATTTTGTTCGGTCTGGTGGTGAAATGTTAATACATTTTAAAGAAGCAATGCTAGGGAAGTGAAGACCAGCAGTTATCGAATGTGATCACGAAAGATTTAATTGGCGCGAATACCTTTTCTATTCATCTACAACTATGCCTGGATAAGACATTTTTAGGTTCATCAGCGTAATTTTTAATTATTACTAATGGAATAAATGTTTTTCTGCGAAGATGAGTGCACTGGAATAGTCATGCTCGACAATTTTCAAAAAATGTTAACTTACTTGAATGAATTTTTCCACCGTATGATGTGATGCGTCAAGGAGATTAATCGAGAATCTCAAAATGACTCTCAACTCATTCGCCTTCGTTTAGAAGACTCTTCGTTATCACTCCAAAAACTGTCTTAATAGATTTCATGCTTGAAAATTTATCGCTGATGATGACTTATTACTTTTTAAACATATCATGTGTGTGGAGAAAAACGTGATGAAGCTTTATTGTGAATAAAAAGAAACGATAGAGTAAACGGATTATTCAAATTATATTTATGACAAAGACAGAGCTCTTCAGTCGTCATAGCTTTATCAATACATAAAAACTAAGTATTCTAATTGTAGTTTCCTAATACCGTTCATTCTTGCATAATCATGTAGGAACTATTAAAAGTAAATACAAGCGCATTTGTCTGATTCTGTTATATCGATGGATAAAACTATAGTTTTTATTTATTTTTAGTAAAGAATGACTTTTCCTTGAAAGCGACTACTTATCTGCATCTAGTCTCATTCCATTTTGACTAAGCTCAGTATCATTGCTATTTTAATACAGAATCTAGTGTCTGGAAGGTAAAAAAAGAAATATCCCTCCTTCCAACATTACTCAATTAATCTCAGCCAGAGATAAAACAATGTAATCAGTAGTTAAATTATCACTTAAAAAAACAATGCTAGGGGGAAGATTGAAAATTGCGTTGAAATTCTTAAAAATTAATTACTTTTTAAATAGTTACATCGCAGTACAAATCAGGCAGGCTTCAAGGACATATTGTTTTATTTATAAACATATTTAATCATCTTCAAAAGTATAGTAACAAACTGAATAAAAACAGATCAACTAAACATTCATTGAATATCCAAACTTTTAGTTCGTATTATTGTAGAATGCACCAATGTAAAATGTCTTCATATTCTATTTGAGAAATTTAGTAATTAGAAATGCGTAGTTCATACATATTCATTATTAATTAATTATAAAGTTCACACAGATCATATGTCATCAATAATACATGATAGTTAAACTTTGTACAAACCGATAACTATTCTTACAGAGAGGAGAATTCTATAATCTAAAAGAGTTTTTCTAACAGAGCATCTTCGTTAAGAATCAGGCGCCATCTACAAAAACCTACTTATTTTGTTGTTCCTATTATACCATTCAACTAATACGCTTGCCATATTTCTCTCCTCTCCTGTCAACTACAAGTACATTTTTTGTTGATCTGAATAAAAAATGAATCGACGTTCATTAAGTGCTGAATCATTACATTCACCACCCTCATCTGATTCAACTTCTTCGAAGCATGTAATACTTAAAACTAGAACACATGATCGGTGGACAGTTATATGTTCAATCATTGGTTTAGTTGGTATTCTACATGCTTCGTGGATGCTGATCGCCCCGGAGCACTGGTATCATAATCTACCTGCTGGCGTGCCTGAATACGGTCCATTAAACGTTCATTTTATTCGTGATATTGGATGTATATTTTTGCTTGTTGGTTGTGGAATGATCGTTGCTGCATTTTATCTTCCCTATCGACTTCCATTATTTACAATGCATACAGCTTTTTACTTATTACATATGTTCGTCCACGTCTATGAAGTGGTCAGTGGACGAATCCGTTTAAGTATGTTTTGGACTGATTTACCTGGTGTCTATGTTCCCGCTATGATATTTTTTATACTAAATGTGTTTTTGATCAAACAAGTTCGAAGTCAAGGGACCGTTCTTTATCATCGAGTTCGGAAATGATGTACGAACAAATAAACAAACGAACTTTTATTTATTTTTGCCTCTTTTTTTTTGAATAAACTGCTTATCTTTTCCTGAGATTTTCACTTCAATTGACACATTTTAAAAAATAACTTATCTAATCAGTTTCACTTTCTCTGATAGATCGAAGCCGTTTTATGAAAATATGTTGACATATTTCGATCATTTACCCGTGGAAATACTTCATATGGTCTTTCAATACATGTCGAACAGTGATGTTTTCTATTCATTTGACGCTTTAAGCCCATATATAAATGCTGTGTTAAATGAATATTGTTCGCGAACAATCGATCTACGATGCATTTCGAAATCTCGTTTTGATTTTATTTGTAACCATTTAGACTTATCGAGAATTATCTCGTTGACTTTATCCAATGATGATCACACACCTCAACAGGTGCAGTTATTTTTTACTCGTTTTCGTCTGGAAGATTTTCTCAATCTTCAATCGCTGACACTTTTATCTATTACCAATGAAGAAATTCGTCTGATTCTTTCCGATCTATCAAAGCTAAGACATCTTTCATCGTTATTGACTACCTCTCGATCCGCTGAACCGTTATTACTTGGCCAAACGTTGACTCACATGTTTGCTCTGAAAAATCTTTCGATACCCTACGGAGATATATTTGATCACAATGTGGCATTTCCATTACATGGCCTCAATGTACTGGATGCTGGAATCTGTAATTTCTTAGAACTACGTCGATTACAACGAATCGTACCATCGTTGGTTTCATTGAAAATCATCCTAAAAGCAAATCATCAGTTGCAATTGTTAGCAGATGTAAATATTTGGGCACAATTAGAACGATTGGATCTCACGTTGCAGAGTAGGAGATTGTTTGCTTTAGAGAATTGGAGGATATACTTTAGTGTTCTTAGATAAAATGACAACAAGATTTGATGAAATCGATGGACTTCTTCGTCGCTTTGGCAATTTAAAGCATTTATCATTGAATATTCGTGGATCGTCGAATGAATTGGCCAATGGAACTCGTTGGGAAACGTGTCCAACAATCGTTTCATTAACAAAGTTTGCATTTAGTTTCGAATTCGTACCCTCACTCGTCGATTCACCGGAACGAATTCACGACATTTTCGTTAGTTTCTGCAGTTACTTTTGGCGTGAATTTAAAAAATGGTATGTCATCGTTACTGTAGATAAAATCTATACCATAACTTCTTTCGATAACCATGAATTTCTCGAATGCTCGTGTCCGCCACTGTCCACAGCACCCAATGATCAGTGGTTTTATTCCAAAGTAAAACGAATAAAACTTGACAAACAGATACCATTCAATAATCTTAATCTTTTTTCAAAACTTGAAATACTCGATGTTCCCAACGAATCAACACTTTCATTACTTCTAAATGTTAATCAATTTGCTTATCTTCGTCATCTGATATTACGTCAATCATTTTTAAACGAAACCGCTCAGATATTTCTGACAAGAAATTCACATATCGACCGTCTGACACTGTTGCAATTCGACTACACTGAACTCTTTGTCTTTCCAACTATTCGATATTTATATCTCGAAGAATCAATCCGAATTCTCACTCGAACACAAATCAAAATCCTCTCCCGAACATTTCCATCACTCACATCTCTAGTCATACATTTGAATGACTTTCAATTGGTATATACAATCATTGATCGTTTTCTTCATCTCCAAAATGGAATCTTTCATTTTTACAAATTGACCAAACCAATATCACAACAGTCACTCAAACAACATACACACCTTGAATATACAGCGTCTTCGTTTATATGTCGAACCGAATCAAAAAAATTCGTATTATGGATTAACAATTCTGTGAGTAACATCTGGAAGATTATTTCATTTTCTAAACTTTTCGTTATTTCTATAGAATTTACCGAGAGAACTGACAAAGCCAATTGAGATGATAAATTCTATAGCAGAACAACGATCCGATAAATGTTTATTGCAATAATTTTTTGTTTTTTCAAAGGAAAATAAATAAATTTCAATCAATGTAATTTATTTCGAAGAAAAGAAAACCTTCAGACAGAGACATAATTTGACAAAAGAAATTTCTCTCGATTATGTTGTAAATGTCAAACTTGAAGGTGAAAATATCAAGTCCTGAATTACATGATTTACCTGTTTGTGAAGGTTATGCTCTCTGTCTTCGAACAAGGACATAACTCGTTGTTTCCTGCGTCCGTCAATTATTATTTCAATCAATGATTTCGACTGGAATGTTTTTCTTTTCTTTCAGAACTTCAAGACGAAACAATTATCACGAACGAGTAGAGAAGGTGAAAGAAATAGTCTCAATGCCTTTCGATCCATGAAGATCGTTAAGAACTTTTCAAAGACTAACAAATATACTTCACTGTTAGTTTAAGGTAACACGATCGACTCATCTTCGTTAATCAAACAACAGAAATAATGTGATCGATTTCGATCCTCATTGTTCCCCTCCGATTGATCACGTTGGTAAGTGAACCGTACCTTGTTCGATCGTGATATGTTCGACCGAACACACACGACGTTGCACCAGCTAATCCATCCGCTAAAGTACCTATTTCTTCCTTGAAATACTCACCATCCTTGACAGGTGTTAAACGCATGAGAGAATTATGCACATGTGTTGTGGCATAAATCGTTCCCATGCAATCAATAGTGAAATCATCGCAAACTATATTTCGTACGATTGTTTCCAATTGTCCTCGAGGACGATAATCAAATGGATCAACAGCTAAACGAAATATCAATGCACGATCTGTATTGGTTAGATAGAGATAACCATCAACTGAACATCGACGTATACCATTGATACCAGGCATTAATATAGCATGTGATCGATTCTTTAATAAATCATTTTCATACCATAATTCGACGTGTTTTGTGTGAACGTTAATTTTAAATATTTTCCCAAGCATTGAGTCAACAGAAAGAAGTGTTCCATGCTCGTACGATAGAACACAAAGACCATTTAGAAACAGAGCTGAATCGACATTGACAACTTGTTTAATTGCTGTCGTTGGTGTCAATCCAGGATGAGTTGTTAGACTGCAAATATTCCAAGTATTTCGTTCACCAATTGTACCGACATTGACATAAAAATGGTTGAAACTTAGTTCAGTTATGCCTGTTGGACCTGCCGGAAATGTCGCTACTAATGTTCGATTTGCTGTGGAAAGATTAGGATTGACTTCGTAGATTTCATTCGACGAATGAACGGTAACTAACAGATGACCATCGTGTTTAGCAACAAGATTTTCAACAAATGAACCTTGTGGCCATTCTGCAATCAATGTCATGCCAGGTAAACGATGAAGAATGCCACGTTCATGTTCACCACTAGTCGAAGTGAGATCAACAGTATCAGCTGTTGGATGCAAAGCAGTTGCTAGAGTAGAAAGTGTAATACCCGATGATATCATCGTATTTATCAAATAGAAGAAAGAAATAAAAACATGTCAAATTTATTGTTTGAATTGGATATAGTCAAAACGTCAACGATACACTTGAATAAATTCACCTTGAAATATCTTTTTATGTACAAAAGAAACGTCGATGAGTACTTCAAAAAGAACAAAAAGAAATCCTTTTCTTATATTTTTTATAAAAAAAACAAATAAAAAATAACGCTGGATTGAATACAAAAATAAATCAATGTTCAATTACGTGCTTGATGATGATGTGCTTTGAACAACTCTTGTTGGATATGATAATTCAACAAATATTGATTGTTCGCACTTGGTAATAACGATTTAAATGGTTTTATATGAGTTACATCAAATATTTGTTTCGAAGCAGTATAGGGCTCATGTTCAATAAAACGTTGTGCTTGTTTCAGATCGCTTGTTGCTAATAGAATAACCATTGTTGATGAATCTTGATGTGTCAGATTTGACGTATCCGTAAATAATGTTGATCCACTAAAGACAATCAGATGTTGGTGTCGTTGAATGTATTCGAGATGAGCTAATTTCAATCGCGATAATAAACTCGGATTGCTGTTGGTAAGTGCAACATGACTTGTTATGATTGTCTTCGGTAGGGATGAAGTTAGATTGACTTGTTGATAGTTCTGAGCAGCACATTGCTCAATCAATTCACTAAAACGATGGGCTAATTGTTTAGTACTTGTTGGGTTTTGTCCGGTCAGTAGTAGGCCATCTTGAATGACATGTTCTTTATTCGGACTTGCTTTGATATAAATGGCACCGTGATCTTTAAGTTTTGTTTCCAAGATGAATGGATTCTTTTCTACAAGATTTTCGCCTTCATTGGTCGAAAGCAATTCTTCTTCTAACGAAAAGCCGGTCAGGACTCGACCTTGAATAAATGAATGCGTATCATTTATTCGACGAACGTTGATTAGTGCAACAACACCGTGACATATCGCAGCAATAGGTTTCATTTGCATATCGAAATCTAGTAATAATTGTTTTAAATGAGGATGATCGACTAAATCAAACATTGGCGCATGTCCTCCAGGCAAATAAACAGCGTCATAATCATGAGCATGCTGATCATCTAGAAGATGATGCGATGGTTGTGAAAGCAGACGTATCGCTGATGACCACTCTTCGCGTTGAATTTCGGCACGTGGATGAGATGTCGGATCAATCGGAATCTCAAGATCATCAGAACGCATATAGTCATGCAAAAAAGAATTTCAAACAAAATTACTTACAGATCCTCCTTTCGGTGAAGCAATGACAAATTCAACACCTTCTTTACCTTGAAATTTTCTTCGTAGTATATTGTACAACTCAGCGAATTCACTTAAATATACACCTCGTGAATGGCTGGAACAAACAACAAGTATACGTTTTGGCGGTTCATATAAACCAGTAGTGAAACCAACGTCAAGTCTTAGCAATTTTCCCGTCGATGGTGTCAGATTTTGTCGTCTATTAGTAATCAACTCTGTCAATACTTGTGGCTCATCGCGATGAGTGTGCGCAACACCGCCTGTCGTGGTTATATATATGGATTAGGTAGGTTCGCTTATGATTGAGATTAGTCGAGAGGGGTTAATATCAACGTTAAATGATGACATTATTGCCAAATGAAATATGAAATATATTTGTAAGCTCTATGCACAAAAGTACAAAAAAATCTTGTAGAGAAATTGAATATAAACAACAACAACAGCGAAAACAGAGATTATTATGCAGAAAGACACGAAAAACGAAAAGAAAAATTATTGTTGGTTACATTTGCGGAGATGAAGGTACAAGTATAAAATTCATATCATCATAAGCTGATGTATAACTATTCATTGTCGCTAGCGATGGCGATGGAAGGATAGTTTTCGAATTTGGTGCAATATCTTTTTCAGTTTTGAATTCAATCACATCTTCATGTTCAATCATATCTTTGATTAAATTTTTCAATTCGAATAATATACTGATTAAACAACCATTTTGAAGACGATCGTAAACTTTATCTACAGTATCGCTGATCGAAGAAGATGTTGTCGATATATTATTCGAATAGGTATGAGTATGAATATAAATTAACTCCAAACAAAGAGAGCGTAATTGCTTGTAGACAAGAACAATTTCACGTTTGAACTAGAACAAATCAAAAGATGAACTTTGACATTGACAATAAGTTGATTTATCGGAAATATCCTTGATCTCTCATTCTGCATGATCTTGTATCCGTCTATCATTCAGGAAATTCGAATGAATACACCACCAGAGAAAGAGAGAGAGAGTCCTTCCTTTTACCTCTTCTGTTTGGAGAAGTTCGTCTAGCAGACATTTTTCATTAATGAATGAATTGCTTTGTACTTGCGATGTTTCAACTGCATGATGATGATCATCATCATCAGCGTGTTCTCCTTGTTCCATTGGACTATCTTCAATAACATTATCGTCTTCATCAATGACCGTTGAATTCAGCCGAGTAGCTGGATGTGGATAGATACCGAAATCATCTTGTAATTCTTGCATAAATGATGTCGGTACACGATTTTCTGGATTATATTGCGACAGACGATGGATTAATTCATGTGCATCGTTTAGTTCTTTTTCATTTTGGAATTTCTATTTGAAAAGTACGGATAAACAAGAAGAAAAGATCTTGATAAATTCACTGACTGTTTCTTGTAAAGAACGATATTCATCTTCGATAGCAACATATTTTCGATGACATTCGTCCAGTTTATGTGCTAACGTATCACGTTCTTCGAGTAGTAGATGATGATCAAGTTCCAGTTGAAGATGTTGACTATGAAGATTATCGAACTAGAAAATAAAGTTGTTCTATTGATATTAAAGATTGTTTCGATGTTTAACTTGAAAATCGATATGAGATCTGTCTACTTCTATGTTTGAAAAACAAATCTGTTCATCAAAATGAAAAATTTTTCTTATTGATGATAATTTTATTGCGATGAAAATATACTTTCCTCCACCGGACAAAACTGGATGCACTTCAGACACTATTTTGGTGCAAATCTTAATGGAACTATGCTTATCTTTGTTATTACTTGAAATACTTAAGGAGAAAACGATTGTTTTTACCTGTTGTTTTACGGTATACAATTGATGTGTTTGTTCTGTATTCGTTTGACATACGGTATCAGATTGTTGTCGTAATATTCTCAATTGTTCTTGCAATCTCGATTCGGTTGTGCGACTCTACATGATAACGAAAACAATTCGACTTGAACTTTCCTATGTTCAAGTAAAAATAGCACGTACAGTTTGTAATTCTTGTGATAGTTTATAATTAATTTCAGTTATTTCTTGAATTGTGTGCGTCTGTTGTTCATCGTGAAGACGCTGTTCGCGACGAAAATCATCCAATTGCCGACATAATTCGTATTTGTCTTCGTTCGATTCAATGATTTTCGTTTCACATTCACTTTGCACTTGTTCAACGAGTAGACGTAATTCATGTCGTTCTTGTTCCAGTGACTAGAAGATACAACAAACATGAATTTCTATGTTTCCGTCCAATTCGACATTGCATACGTCGATTCTTTGTTGATAATCTCGAGTGATTATATCGATTTGTCGTTCGAGTTCTTCTTTTTGTTCTAACAAAACTTTACCACATTTCGCTGCCAAGATCAACTGCCGATCTTTAATTGCTAATTGATTAATCAATGCATTATCCTACACAAAATCAAATCTTATTTCATTCGTAAGCTACTTATCCAACTAAACTTACTTGTCCATCTTCGTTACAGCAAATGTCGTTATTAGTCACATCATCGAGGTATTTAACAGATGTAAAATTTTCGATTTCATTCAAAAGATTTTCTTCCATAGAGATTTGTCTATCTGAAGTAGACAAAGACCAACTGACGTCTGTTCTTACTCTCACCGTTTTACAATTGCATTACTGACACACCAAATACTACTATCAGCAGAAAAGTAGACAGTAGAAAAGAAAGAGAAACGATGAAGAAGAAAAAAAATGAACGGCACACATGCGCATTAGTTTGCCTTCGTTTTTTCTTCTTCTTCTTCTTTCTTTCTTTTCTCTATTTCATTCCATCATCACCTTCGTTATGCTGTATGTACACATATATATTGGCTTGTTCGAAGGAGAAGGAGAGAAGCGTCGCTAAATTAATTACCTATGAAACAGAATGGCAGCAGACTGAGAAAAAGAAAATCTTTTTTTTTCTCTTCTGCTTTGCATAGGTAAAATAGCACAATGGGTAGTAGGACGGTATAAACTTCTTTACGTGAGTGGAATAATTATTGCCAGAAGGAAAAAAAGAAACCCGAAGAAAAGCTCATCAAAAGTTAGATAGACCAGACAGTTTGGATTTGTGTCCAATAGCATCAAACAATAGAAACAATCATCGATAACCTTGACAACGATTGACGTACGGAAATTGAATGAGAAAAATGTTCTATTGTGACTAACAGTTACCGTTATCAAAATCATGATGTAATCGAACAATAAGATCGTTGCTTAACCATTACCTACTGCCGTGATCAAACGGTAAAGATTGACAACGGTTGTGTAATTGAAAGACAATAATTCTTTTGAGAATTTCTTTGCGTTTAATCCTGGCAACTGCAAATGTCCTCGGCGAAAGTACTCATTTCGGGCGTGCATATACCTGTAACGTTTATAAAACGATTATAGTGTTGGAAATAAAAATTCCTATAAGAATATCCAATGATTTATTAATGATAGGGAAAAGAAACGAAGCAATCTATTAATTTGAATGTCGAATCTTGTTGATTACACGACAATGAAGATGATATATTGATCGTAAGCTCTTTTGTCATTATATATGTCATTAATATTATTCTTGTCATGTTAAGATATATGACAGACAAGGTAAGAATTGTTAACAATTAGAAAACAACTTAGGATAATATTGAATAAGTCAATGTTAAAAAGAAAAACGTTTCAGTGTCAATTGACACAACACAAAAATGATTCTTTTCGAGAAGTCAGCTCTTTTCTTTTCGACAATCGATCGATTGTGTGATGTCAATGGTATACTTGAATTTCTTCTAACTTACAAAACATTGCCATTATTTTTCTATCGAGACACATTAATATTAACGATCTCGATGTAAATAGTAATGTTATTTTTCAATTTGCTAACGAATACGTTGCCTAGATAATCGAACTTCTTGCATAGAGAGTTGTCCGAACATGATCTCAATCGACATTTCTATCGAATCAGTTAGTCGATGAAACAATAGAGCATATGTGAATGTTTGAATTTTCGTTGTACTAAGGAATAAGAATATTTGTACTCAACCTTCATTCTAGCAACTAAAAAATTAGAATTTTAAACAGTTTTGATCAATTCATATTCAAACAAAAACCTAAATGTATTTAAATTGATTCTCATTTCTTCTACTTCATTGAATATCTGAACAGTTTTTCTTTGCTCATGATTAAAACAGTCTCGGAACTGTTCAAAGTGAAGAAGATGAATCTCTCCTTTATTTACCATTTGGTTTACTTTGTAGGAAATAATTTAAACGATGAATTCTTTACAGGAGAAATAACCATCAATCAGTAGGAAAAACAGATACCAAAAAAATTATTGAGCACGTCTATGTAAATTTCGTCATTCTTTTCATCTCTAAAGAAGATGTGTACTTAAAAACTGTATTGTTTATTGCTTTGGTAATGCTAGAAAACTATTTGGAATACAAGGCAATGATCAAACAGGCAGATAAGATATAATGCGAACGAATTATTTTGCGAATATTGTCAAATTCGCATCTTGGTTAAGGAACAGAAGCAATGTGAACTTGTGAAAGAAGGGCAAAAATGGAAAAGAAGATTTTGAAATTTCAATACAACAAATCTGTTCTAGAGTATTCGTGAAGAATTACTTCAAGAATAAATCATTATTCAAATTATCCATTTCGGTTGGTATTAGATGGAGATATAGAAAAAAATAAATACTTCATTAGTAATTCAGTTATAGTATTTCATTGGTTAGATAATCAAAAGAGTTGGTCAAACTAATGCATATCTTCGTTGTAGTGACTTTGTCGATATTCTACTTAGTACAAGGGTCATCTCAATGTTTTATTATTCTATTGAACGAACTCCAGAGCAATTGTTTCTATCATTTACTATTGCTAATGAGAATCTATCATGAATTTATAATTTGATGAACATTATGCTAGACATGCAAACTCGATAGTATATATTTCCTACTCCACTCATACATGCTTCTTCCTGTGATGAATTACGAAAGATTTGGAAACTTACACATTGGAAGTAGGTATTCATTCATGTTAATACACTTACTCAAGGTTTTCTAATAGAAACAGATTAGTGACGAGAGGCTGATCGTGTCTTATTGTATGTGTCTGCAATCGAAAATTTCATGAATCTATCGTCGATACATATTGCTTTCGCACGATATCACATTCATTAGTACAGATCGACGAAAAAAATCACATATAACCTGTCGGCTGCAGTCAGAGTTCGCTTGAAACTTCTCAAATTGAATCACAATAGTTCTTAAATGGATATTCATTGTGTACTAATGAATAAAAACTTCGTTTTCTTGTTTTGCTACTTCGCATTTAATGGATAAATTTATTGAAACAATCGTCATCGGCAGATGTCTCTGGTTCTATACTTTTGATTTTCTCGAAAGGAAGGAAACATCATCCTTCACTTCACATCTTATCTTCTCGTGAATAAGCTATAGTCGAAGGCTTCGTCTATATCTGCTAAATCTAAGATTGACGTTGTTTGTTTACACTTTGGATTACAAAATGCATCCTAGAGCGATCATTGGTTCAATTTTTCGATCATTTTTACTAATAAATAGAACATCCTTCATAGTTGAACGATTAATCGTACATATTGATAATGACCACAACATCGAATCAAAATTCCGGATGTTTTCGTGGTTATTCAAATGAACAGAAAACTTTACGTGCAAAACTCGATCATCTACTAAAATGGACACGAGATTTAAAAAGTAATATTCTTAAACAATCATGCAAAGTAACACAAAATAAAAATAGTAATTCTTCTAACGGTCATCGTCAGATAATTGATCAAATTCACGATGATCTCGATGAATATAAACGAAAATTTGATCGCGAACTAGGACGTATACATGACATCTGTGATGCATTAATGAATAATTCGACACAAAACGACAAAGTGAATCTTCACGATGAAATTCTTCAAGCATTGCGTCTTTCACCAACTTATTCCTCGCTTGAACAACATATCGATGGTGACAATGGCAGCCGATTACGTATTCGTATGAAACCACGTGAAAATCATCATCCGGGACAAAATCGAATCCGTCAAAGTTCACCAATATTTACAAAAAAACTGAAGGGTAAAGCATCACGACCGATTACTTTGGATATCATTGATACATCGACAGTCCCAGGTGGAAAACAACGATCGCGAAATAATCCGTTTAAACGTTCAAGATCGTATACAAATGTTGAACATACGGAAACACAATTAGGTATGGAGTACATTGAAGAAGATGAATGTGATCTGTCATGGAAACCTTTTGGACCAAAACGACCCATTTTAGAAGTGAGCGCGTCATTAAATAACCATGAACGACCCACAACAAGGTAATATGATTTTAGAACGAAAGATTAAGTTTATGCTGAAATGTTAAACTTTAGTTCAATCCGAACAAATCAATCATTGCTAACAATGTCGACAGGAAAACTTACGACATCCGGTGTTGATGACGATTCGTCTGATGAAGAGTTCGATATAGCATGGGAACGTCGTGTAAAGCGAAAAGCTCGAAAAGAGGCAACTAACACTGCAGTTGAAGTACTATCGAAACGAACTGTACGCTTCTCACCATCCACCTATGATCCAACTGAACGTCGTACTAGTCTTGATCTTGATGAAACCACACAAAATGGGTCTCTACAGACAAGAGATCAAAATAATAATCACAAAACCCTACAAACTGAAATCATCAGCATCGATGACGATGAAAATGATGAAACGATATCCAAACAGAATCAAACGACATCATCATCATCACTTCGACAAGACAACGGACAGAACGGTAACACTGTTCTGGACGATGATGAAATAATCGCTTTGAGCGATGAAGACATTTCGAGAACGGTAAACATTCCGAAAAGAAAACTTCCCTGGACGACATCGGATATTCAAGTAACATATGGAAATTCTCAATCTCAACCCTCACATAATCCGTATCGTATTGGTATTACTGATCCAAGTATACGCTCTGTATTTTTACCTCTACCTAATTCTCAGTTGACGACAAACTTGAGTAGCAGAAATCGAAAAGCAGTATCATCGAAACGAACAACTAGTAGTAAATTGTGATTGTGCTTAGTCTATTTTACTCAGATATTTTACTATTCTCATTCTTTTCGAGTTAGTTTGTAGTAGATGAAAACCTTTTGGTTGGAGAAAAACTCTATGAGACCAATGTAATCTTACTATACTATTTTATCGGTGGTACATATCATAACGTTCATCAGAGTGTAAAATCCTCTAGACTAATGGATAGAAAGTTATCAATTTGAATTATCTTTCATGAAGAAGTATTCTATTCATTCTTGTTTCCGACTACAAACAAACGATATGGATGCTCTTTCTTTACTTCCCTATTTCAAATTTTGGACATACATATTCTTTCTCATTCCATCAAGTCTATGTTCATTTCTTGTTCTTTATTATCTACTTTTCAATAAACATCAACGTCATGCTCTTCATAATCATATGATTATTCTTCTTCTTTGCATTTGTCTCATATGTCAACTAACTATTTATCCGTGGATGCTCTTTTTCTACACTCATCATGGATATTGGCAAAGATCATGGATATTCTGCAGTATATGGACATTCATCGATTGGGGATTGTTTATCATGCAAGCCGTGCTCTTCGCTTGGACTTCTATAGAGCGACATATTCTAATTTTTCATGATCGGTGGCTCACAACAAGAAGCAATCGTTTTCTAATTCACTATCTCCCACCGATTTGTCTGACACTTTATTGTTTCATTTGGTATGGTTTTACTTATTTATTTCCACTTTGTGGCAACAGCGTCGTTAATTATTATACAACAGCATGTATGAATAGTTGTCTGTATGATAGCAATATATTCAGTCTTTGGGAAACGATTGTAAATCAACTGTTAATGAACTTGATTATAATTTTATTCAGTCTCGCTTTGATTCTACGCATTCTTTGGCAACATCATCGTGTACGTCGACGAGTTCAATGGCGAAAGCATCGAAAGATGACTGTTCAATTGTTATCCATTTCATTTTTATATTTGATCTTCTCTTTTCCGAACTCGGTCCTGATTTTACTAATGCTTTGCGGTTTCGCATTGACTGTTCATATCGAAATAAAAAAATATGCAGAATTTTGCAGTTATTTGGTCATTCTATTCTTTCCATTCGTTTGTATCTTACCATTATCGAATCTACGAAAGAAAATTATAAAGTTCTTTACACTGACACAGCATCGACATGCCGCGCGTATTCATCCGACAACTCAACATCGTCAGTAATCACGATGACGAGAATGAAAACAATAGTTGATGTTTTTCTTGTGTAAAATTTATAAAGGAGAACTAATAAAATTTTTCGAAGAATGCCATCGATGTGATGCAGATCATATCTAATTTATTATTTTATATTTCATTGGAATATTCCTGTTCAGCATTCGTAGAATTTTATTCTTTATCAATGGACAAAAAATCGTTATATTAAATCGTACATTCTCGTTCTCTGCCTAGTTTAACGGTCAAGTGTGGTAAAATTGTCGAGATTTCTGATGTTAATTCAATAAAATCTTTATTTACAATAATCCCACGTAAGTCAAGGATTTGAAGTTGTGAATTTGGATGCTTCATTAACGAACGTAGAACAGCATAACATCCACTTGATTCGAGAGGATTGCCATTCAGTGTTAATACTTTTACGGTTTCATTATGCGCTAAACCTTGTCCGATGTACGTAGCACATTCTGTATTCAATTGATTGTTGTCCAATCGAAATATTTCTAACGTTGAATTGATTTTGAAGAATTCTAGTATGGCCTTAGCAGTTAACACACCAGCTCCATTCCATGACAGATCGAATGTTGTCAAACATGCATTCGATGCGAGAGATTTGATCAAATATGTACATGATTTTGAACGTAGACGATTCCATGCAAGGGAGAATTCTTCCATGGTCTGATTTTCCGCTAATGCTTGACCAAATAAACGACCAGTTGTTTCATTCTCGAAGTAGTTCTTATTTAAATTTAGATATTTTATATAGTCATTGTGCACGAAGAGTTCAGCAAAGTGCGGTGCACATTCATCGTGAAAACGATTTCCATCAAGATACAGCGTTCGCACTGTTCGATTCGAACGTAGAACTGAACACAATGCTATGCATCCTAGAGAAGAAGAAGAAGAAGAGCCGTGTGTTTAGCGAAGATTTGATTTCAATTGCAAAAAATTTCGCTTATTTATTTACAGATCGATTACTTTTGATCCTCCGAAGCCGTAAAAGTGTCAAATATAAATATGAATTCTATGCGTATGTCCTCAACTATTTCATGAATCGATAATCAAATTCATTCAAACTCAAGTTTGTTGTTTTCTTTTACTCCTACCTTGCAAACCGATATCATTGTCAGCAAGATTTAATTCTGTGATAAATCCATTATCCTCAATTAATTGCGCAATATAAGTTGCACCGTTGGATCCTAAACCATTATCTCTCAAATCTAATTTTGTAATATTGGCATTCATTTTCAACGACGGTATCATCACTTTAATATTGATTGGTTTTAAACCTGAGTAACGAATAGTTAAGCTTTTATTATCAATATGTCGCAAGAAATATGTGGATGGAATGACACCATGACGATGACATTGATCTAAATACAAACCTTTGCAGGAAAAGTCTTTTTTAGGCTCTTCCTCTTGTTCGATATCTGTGTCGTAATTAAGAGTATTTTGAACCGAAAGTTGCATATCTTCATGGCTATCATCATTGATCTCTGGTGTGAAAGAGGAAGCCATAGGTAGGTCTGAATCAAAATGTGTACTGGAGGGTCCTGCTGAACGCGTTGCACTACGTACAAGTCGTTTTGGTTTAACATGAGCGGAGAGAATCAATCGAGTTTGATTATCAAGTAGTTCTGGTCGATCGAATACATTTGTTGTTGCCGATGTCATGTTTTGCTTAGCTATGATCGGTAGTTTCAATTGAGTAGAAATGTTCACGTGAGTTTTTCCCGTTCATTCAAATCATGCATATAGATATAAAGTTAAAAAAGTAGAAGAAAATGGAAATGAAACGGATATAGAATTTTATTGACATAGAAATGGTCCGAGAGAAGTGAGAAGAAGAAGAAAGAAATAGGAGGAATGTCGAAGGTGCTCAAACGTCAACAACATCTAGATGAAATTAAATCGAATAGAGGTGCGTGTGCATTAAATCGAGAATAATAACATGCATTAATAAGCAAAAGAGAAAGGAAACGATGGCATGCCAATGATTATTCTGACAAAAGAGAAAATACATCAGAAAAAAAATAGGTCACGTTAGAAAAACTTCTCTGATAGTATAAAAGAGAATCTATTGGATCAAATTTTGGTTTGAGAAATCTTATCTCGAAACGATCATGTCAAATGTTAATTAATTTAATGAAAATCAACGAATTCCTGGAATCCATCAAGTTCAAGACAAACTGAATATGTAAATATGAACCAGAACACTATTATTAGGATTGATTTTATATTTTAAACATCATTCAAAGTATCTCCTACTTACAAATATAATTCACTAATGTATGCATGTCAACTTGTACTACAAATTAGTTATTCTACTGATGTTTTCCATCACTAATGTGAAGTTCCGTCATATAACTCTCTATTTTCTGATACAAGCATGCGGGAAAGTATTTGAAGTATTTTAACTAGTTATTTTTTGCAATTAAAGCTCAAGACGTGAAAACGAGTGTAATCTTGATAAAAAATCTTCTTCGTATTAAAATTATTGGCCTCATAGAAATCGTACATTAGAAGGTACGAGAAACATCAATTATGAATTGATATGTCTGTTTAAGAAAAATATTTAAATGAATCGTTTATGAGCAAAATAACTTTTCGTTTCGTCGATATGCTTTGATTTCTTTACTAAAAAAACACATAAGAAAAACAAATAACATATTTGCAATATATATTATGTTCGAAGCACTGATGGTGATGTCGCTACCGTGTGCAATTTATATTTGACTTTCGTTGATGCTGTTGGTTGTTGCAATCGTTTGATGATAAATTTCAATGGTTCTTTCTTGATAATTGTCGTTGATGAACAAGACAATGAAGGAGTTGTTTTCAGTGAAGGTAATATAATGATATCAGGTGGTGTGGACATTTGTTCGATTATTTGAATATCTTCAGATGATTTTATTTTCTCATTCGTACCATCGTCGTCATCTGTATCCCATTGATTATCGTCATCATCAATATCAAATGATGGCTATAAAAGAAACGTAAAAAAATAAGGTTAAAATTATCGTTGAAGAACAACATTAATAATTATGATGCAACTGATGAAAGAAAGAAATGAATCTAGGTTGAATGAGGAAAGTTTTTTCATAAATACAAATCATTTTCTTCTGTTCTTTTGCAAAAGTGTAATTGACTTACCTTCGCTGCTTCAATGTAACGTCTTTTGACAAAATGTATATTCATCATTGTATTATCTGGATAGACATCAATGAGTAAGTATTTTAATTCATTTAAACCTCGTTCGATATCGTTTAATTTCATTTTCATTTCATTGAAATCATCGATATTAACTTGTTTTTGTTTTAAAACTTTCTGTAGTTGTTTCAATAAGTTTTCTTTTAATTGTTTATTCTTCTTGTCTTTATACATTTCAAATTCAGTATACGCTTGTGTACATAGCATGTGTAATTCCTGCTTTTTTTCCGAATAAAGTCTATTTACATAATCAATGCGTTCACGATACCATTGATCCAGTTGTTCAAATAATTCTTGTCGATAATTAGTTGAGTCAAATATAAGATTGTTCAGATTGCAATGAACTTCATCAATTTGATCAGTAAGATCCAAGAGATCTGAACGAAGTAATTCTTGATGGTAATTCAAATGTTTAAGACACAATTGTAATTGACAATGTGGACATGAGATATAGTCGTTTGATGTGCATTGTGTACCATCGATATCTGAATGTTGGCAAAGATTTCGTGCTGTAGCCATTTGATTGAAAAATGGTAGAGATACGTCACATCGAAGAACAAGGAATTGTCATTGAATGTAAAACAAAGCTAGGCCAGTGTGCGAGGAAGTATAATGTAAAGGATGAAGACGAGAGAACGAGCAGAACGAGAAAAAAAAAAGAGAAAAAAGAAGAAAAATCATGTGTATGAATAACGAGAGAACGACTATATCATACGCATCTTAATGTACTGGAGAGAAAGAATGGGAGCAAAAGATGCTGTTTTTCTTCTTCTAAATATTTCATATAATAAAAGTGCAAAATATTCGAATATTTTATGCCATTCATTGTCAATTAATCAAATCAAAAACAAGAAAAGATTGAATGTATTTCGATACGATCTATGTTTCATGTAGTTTATTAAAAAAAGATATATACGGGTGAGATAAGCTAACTAAATGATCAGTATTGAAGATCTTTATATGAGAAAATTGATATCATATGAGTGCTTTATCTTGTCGGAATTTTTCTTGAGTGGGCAAGAGGAAACCATGGGAAAGCATGATAAAAAAAACAAGAATGGTTGTTTTCGAATTTCAACTGTTATTTAATTTACATTTAAGATGTTTTTTTTTCTTATTTATTCAATTGTGATGGCGCATAATTGTCAATTGAGAAATGCAATTAACAAGTTATTCGATAAAGATAATCTGATGTCAAAAACCGACTGAACTAACTCGTGTGATTTTGAATAGATCAAAGGAATGACTACTCGACATAATCAAAAGACAAATCGTACAGCTATGTGATTGATTATAAAGTGTTTGTCAAGAGAAAATACTTATTTATTTGCATATTCTTTTAGACCGTTAGATTCTACTACTAAGCTATATGAAAGTAATTTTTTGTTTTTTTCTACATGAGGAATTAATTATAAGTTATTAGCTTTTCGAAAGAAAAGAAAAATCAAGGGTACTGAGGCATTCATCAGCTCAAGTTTTTTTTTTGTGATCGGAATATCCCTATAGATTATAGACCTATATTTAGAAGAAATAAAAATGTCGGAGAATGCAAAGCATATGATGAGTAATGACTTGCACGAGTAATAGACGAAATGTCACAGAAAATTTTGAAATATCTATCTCCGTAAGATATTGTTCAGAGATTCGTGTGTAAAATGATATTATTGTTCAACAATATAAATGACACAGAAGATTACAGTAAGACGACATGAAATTCATAGCTCACGAGGAATAGGTAATTATGTGTACAGTTGGTAAGATTCTTTGAAAGAAAGTAAAGACAAATATTTATTGACAAATTACAGTGTTTTCGTCATTATTGTAGTTTATGACAACTATTACGACAAATAACTTTTCATGTCTGCATATAACTTTTCAACTGAAATATTTTGTATTGATTCAATTATGAATGTAAATAAACAGTCTAGATTCTCAACTTAGGACAGTTACTTCAGCCGAGATATTTGTTTTTGGTGGGACCGATGTTCGAAAATTACGACGCACTTAACTTTAGGACACATTTACTTATAAACGACTTCATGATGAGATCTTTAATTTTTCAAAATGACATTCGTTTTCTATGTATTTTTATACGTGGCATGTGTGCGATTATCGTCAATCTTTAATCATGTTCATAATAAACATTCTCTTTAGTTACCTAAAATTACAGTAGAGTTTCAATTTCACTCTGGCCAGCTTCGCGCCAAGAAAAATAACGTGCGGTCCTTTTTGCCACGCGTCCGTCGCACGATAAACAAAGCATTTATACACACCGACATGGCTTCATACTTCTAAATCATTGACGGCTAGTGGACAACGTTAAGATGGAATTTTCACTCATACACAAAAAACAGTACAGAAAATGGATAGTTCACAGGATTGTTTCTTACAAGTGTACTCGTACCGCCTTTTAACAGTTACCAACTTCAGATGCTGCGTTGTGATAAATTTACAACTGAATCTATTTCTTCTGTTAGATGAAAAAGTGTGTTCTAATCGAGAAATCTTCTTTTTTCTACCCTAATACAGTTTCTCTTTGGATGTTTAATCTTCATTCAAAAAAACTTCTGGCTGTATCTCCTAGAATCTACCTAAAGCATGATATTTGTTCCGTTTTGTTAATCTATATGTAAAAACGAACTTTTATCACTAGAAGTTCATGTTGAAATATACGATCTGACAGAAATCTATTATAAGATCAAACATTTTCGATCTTTCAAAGTAGATTAATTGAAGCAATACACTCATTCATTTTTTCAAGTAAAGTGTAATTCAAATGATCAAATAATACATTTGAAAAGTACTACATAACTTAGATGGTAGACAAGGAGAAGAACTTAAATGCAAGACAATACATAGAACTATTTTTCAAATTGTACGGCTAGAATTTTTATTCGAATAATGTGGTTAAATACATTAAAATGATGTTTTCATAAAAGTTCAAGAAAAATGAAGTAGCTGAATTCGATTGTTCGCATCTAAGCGCACGTATATTCTGTTGAGCTGATACCACTTGAACATGAACCAGCATCCCATGCATATTTCACTTTACTGCCTTTAATTGTTTTACCACATCCAGTACTTGCATATGATTCTACTGCACTCTTACAAGCTTGTTCGCAATTTGCCATGGCTGCATCTTTACATGAGCAAAAGGTGCACGAGGATATATCCCATGAGTGAAATGTAAAGTGAACTGTATTAGAAACTGCTTTACATTTACAGCTAAGTAGAAAAAAAAAGCTTTCTTCGAGGTTTATTTCAATAAATTTCAACTAACCTTCGATACACTGGATTCGCATTAATTGCAATAATAAGTGCAAGTAGAGTAAAAAGGACGAATTTCATGTTGAAACTGTATAAAAGAGGTAAATATATCAAAACTCGTTAATACGTTTCGTATTTATATATCCACTTTTCCTGATGATTCATGGTTATTCGTATATATTTTTCTCTCGTCTTTTTTTTATCGTTTTGTTGGTACTCATGTTGTGATTTGCGCCAAATATGTATGAGAAAGTATGAATCAAAATGACGCCACAAACGATGGCAGTAAAAATGCTACAGTTAATAATGGAGATTAATCCACGAAATGATTCGAGAAGAGGAGGAGGAGGAGGAAACTGTATACATTCGATTGATTCGCACTCATTTCAAGGACTACGTGAGAGGGAGAGAGACAAAGTAGTGAGTAGACATACTCATATATTCAAGTATTACTTTTCATACTTGATGTTTTTCTATTTACTTTGAAATCCTGGATACTATTCACAGCATGTGAGATTTATTACTAATGTAAAAAAAAACAAATTAAAATGTTTCATTTCAGTATGTTGGAAACTAAACACACACGTGTGCAATTCACGTATAGAGAAATTCACTTGATACTAGACATCTCAATAGACTGGCTCACTTTGAAAGCAAATCAATCTTATCTCCCACGAGATATTTCGCTTTTTATCCAAACCATTTTCTTTACTCCGCAAGATAAATCATTGTGAGTGTAATAACATTAAATCATCTCTCAGTAATCAACAGAATCATACCATTAATAGAACTTTCAATTGAATAATGTCTAACATCCGACAAGTTCATAGATTACACCCAAAGAAATGATATGTTTCTATTCAGTTTCAATCTAAATACATTCTTTATTGAAAAATAGTTCATAGAATCAATAAAAGAAACAATCACAAGAAAGGAAAAACAATACATTAAATACAGTTCCCAACTTGTTTTTCTTTTCATATTGTCATTCATTAATAAGATTGTCATGAAATCTTTGCTAGCCATTAAGACCATGGCTCATTTCAGAAGATCGATATGTACAATTGAACTTGTCTGTGAGTTCTCGTATAGTCCGAGTTTCTATGTATCTATTTTGTTTTTATAATTCAGAAGTAATATATCGACACGAGACAACCATTGTCATATGCAAACATAGTTAAATATTTATAAGTAGAATTGTTAAAACGATGGAATAATTTATGGCTGAAAAACGGTTTTATTTGGAGAACGAACAGGTCTGTTGTTTCTTCCAAATCAGAATTTTGAGTGTTTATCGTTAAAATATCTCCCAATGTGAAAAGAGAAGAGAAAAGCTAAATAGAAAGTATTGAATTCGTTGGACAAGAATGAAGGATGAAGAAGCTGGAACTAAACGAATAGAAAATATTCTCCATACAATTGAAAGAATTCATTCGAGAAAAGAATTACCTGACGTCGGAGTCTTCTTTCGTTCTGTCAGATTCGACGGTAAATTTGTCAGAACATCAATCGGTGACGAACGAAATGATACAGATGAATAATCACTTGTGACTATCGCTAACTGATCATTGTTCATTGTTGTCGAACATCTGACATGTTTATTTACAAATGATTCCTGTCGGTTGGAAATTTTACATTGGATTTCGAATGGGATTGGTTCGCGAAGAATATTATATAGATAGAAAGAATAGTGAAATGTAGATAAAGAATTCATTTCCGATGACAAATGGATCACAGTTGGATCAGCAGAACAACTAATAAGTAGAAATATTTCCTTTTTTTTCTTCAAGAAAACTTCTCATATCGACAGAAGTTTGTTTACCTTCCAGAGATCAATCGACGTGTTTGTAGGTAATCTGTGTACGGATATAGAGCTACGAAATCACATGAATCGATGAAAAATGACGATGATAATGAAGCAACATCGTCAAAGGAGACATAGATCAATGAGTAGAGCGAAATTGAACATATAGGTGGACAGATATATGTTTGATTATGTAAAATCCATCGTAATAGTATTCTAGAAAAGAATTCTTCGTTTTCAGTATTACATATCATTCGACATTCTCTTACTTATAATCTTTTGAAATTGATTTTTCATCGTCATTATCATTATCATCCTCATCATCATTCTCACCTACGGGTAAAGGCAGACGTGATGGAGTAGTGCTTGGCAATGGAGTAGTTTTTGGCAATAAGGCACCTATTGTTGATGATGTTCGATGTGCTAAACGTATCTGTTGAATATCACTTGGACAAAGAAAGAATCGACCATAGTGTCGCGCTTCATTCGTGTCTGTTGCGATGCCTTCCCAACGAAGTTTTCCAACAATAGACGCATCATTTAATATCTAAATATAATCAAAATAAAATGCTTTTTCCCTCCAGACATCGTATCAATTGAAATATGTTAATCAAAGATGAAAAGAATTTGTTTCGAAGCAATCTATGACATGAAATACTTTCGCATACCAATGAACAATTATCGATGTGTGTAACGAATTGTGCATGTGTTTCATTCGACCAAAAAGGTTTACAATCACTATCACCAAGTAGAACATAATTCGGATCGATACCGTTCAAACTAACGAGAATGTTTAAATGATCACCTGGACAGCTGATCGTCTGCAATCGTACAGCTAAAAGAGCAATTTGTTGAGAAGAATTTCGATGGCAACAACGAAAATCAAACCTTTCGTATCTTTTCGACAATCAACTTCATAGTAATCTACAAGAAGATTAACCCTCGTGGCTAATGGTCGATCACGTAGAGAAGTATTTGCGTGTACACATAAACCAGCTTGTTTCGAATGCCAATGCTCGAATGACCGACATTTTTGAGATTTTAATTTCAAACAGCGATCTAAACAATCTAATTCTGATACCCACCGGCCATGTAAGTCATTGTAATCATGTAAAGATGTATGAATACGTTTTTCGTAAAAACAATCTAAGAGTAGAGCAGGGTGTTTTCATTTCTGTCTTTAGGCGAATTTCCGTTCTTTTTACCTTCAATAAGATTTAATGACGAAGACAATATCATGAATTTAGATTTCAACCGAACAATAATGAATATGAGCATTACCAATAAGCAACGGCTCATGATAAATAAACATGTTCATCATAGAATACCTTCATCTAACATTAACAACAACAGACTATCAAAGTTGTTGTTGATGTTCTGATAGCCATGAAAAAAGTCATCTATAAATATTAAACCAAAGAAAAAGAGATTAATTTACTGAACAAGTGTTCAATTAGAAAAAGAAATTCTTCTTCTCGTCTTTGTATGTACGACACTCAATCTTTCAGCCATTTTCCCATCGATCGATCATAATCTCGTTGATGATCAACTACCTTTTGCCTCATAAAAGTGTCGTCTTTTATGGATTTCAATTAGTCATTCGACTTATTGCTCCATTCTTCCTCTTTTGAGTTATGTTGATTTGCCCATACTCAAGGTGCAACATTCTCTCCCCCCCCCTCCCCCCATCTCTCTCGCTCTCTCTCTTGTAGAAATGAAATACTAATTTCCCTAGTTTGTCGATGAAGCAGAAAATCGACTAGCAATGTTCGTTGATGCAATAGCAATTGTTGAAACCTTGTTCTCTTCTTTTTTTTTGAAATGAAGGAAAGGCTTAAAGGCATTCTGACAGGGCGCTGTATATTGCATGTGAGAGTCAAAAAATCACCGGCACTCTCGCTCGTTCAGTTTTAATTAAACAACATCAAATATAAGAAAAAAAACCGTGAAAGAGAACTTTGAAGGTAGGAGAAAAAAAAGTAGAAGTAGAAAAAAAAAATAACGGAGACAATTTCCCTCTTTCGTTCTGCTACTGTAAAACGACAATCGTGTGCAAATCCCCAAGGGCCTAATGAATGTCACACGGTGTTAGATTCGGACTCTGCTTGTCAATGTTAAGCAAATTACACTTTGAAATAGAAAAGAAAAAAGAAATAGATACATACGTATGATATAATGATGTCTTTGTTTCTTGGTCAAAGAGAAAGAAAATGATCATTTGTAGAATTCTCTTCCGCTCTTTTCTTACAAGAAAAACTACTCATCATTTACAGACAACCATGCATTTATTATTGTAGCACGTCCAACAGTGAAAAACGATTAATTCTCGGAAAAGTGTTATGTGTATTTAAACGACTGTTTTATTTTATTAAAAACGATTGAGCAAAAAATGAACGGAAGTCAAAAGAGGAGAATGGATAATAAAATTTATCTGGAGTGTTTCGTTTGCTCATATGAAGGAACGTTTATTATACTCATTTAATTATTCTCTCTCTCTCTCTTACTCCCTCGTTCTCGTTATTTCCAGCATTCTTCTAAATAATAAATAGAGTTGTGATTGACACAATGTCTCACATTCTTATTGACTAACATACAAAATACAATAGGTTTAAATAGAAAATACTCAACGAATACTTTTTCTGCTTTATATAACATGATTTTTTTTCTACTTAGGATAAATAGAATCTTTTCTAAAGGAATAATTAGATTCCTACACAAAAAGAAAGCAAAAATAGATTTATGTTGAACTGTTCGGAACGATTTTTTTCTTCTTCTTCTCCTCTTTTTCAACAACACTTACTGCAATCGAACGTAGATTGTGTCACGTAGAAATTTCAAGTGCATGAGGTTCTGTTTAAGAAATCTACTATGTACGGTTAGAAGTGTAGACAAAAACTCGGCTCTTCTCGCCGCTTTTTTTCTCTTCTTCGTGCATCCATCGTTTAATAAAAATATATAGCTTCTTTTCTCCTCTTCTTCTCTTCACTAAATAGAACGAGAAAGAAGAAACAGGATGGAAAATGTTATGATAGAAATCCGATTAGAAAGTAAAGAAACATACATAATATAAAGTAAAGCCGAAAAATCTTCATAATTTCTAGCTCAACGTTGATTACATTGCATGTTCATTTGATTCTTGCCAGTAGTTGTCCATCGAGGTGAATGATGGACTCAATTTATGAATGATCTATATTATCTTAAAAGAGAACAGTAAACAAAAGAAGCATAAAGAGAGACAAAGATGTTTAATCGTACTTGTCATCTACCTTAAAACAAATTTCCTCTATGGTATTGTTCTTCATTGCATGTAGAAAGTTACGGTCATGCAATACTTTAGATTGGAACATAAAAAATGCAGTGAACAGATACACAAATGATGAACGACATTAGGTATATTGATAAAATTAGTTTATTCCATATCAGGAAAACATCTAATGACAGAAACGCTATCTTATTATGAATCGAATCTGGTAATTCAATCAGTTTTATTACATAAAGTCATTGACACAAATAGATAGACGTGCGACGCATCAGAGTAGATTTTGTTTCTAAGTACCTTGACAAATAAAATATATCCATCCTCTAGTAAAACCTGTCAAAAACTCTTCTAAAAATGACATACATCGACGTGACAATAAAATAATTACTTGTGAGTCTTCTGTGCTTACAAGACTTGACTGACATCGAATTGCAATTCTTAAAACGACAATGTAAATCTTTTGTTAGCTATTCAGTAAGACGATCATGCCAACGTTGTTTGATTTCTTTTCGATGATCATTTTCGTTTAGAATAATTAAGTTATGGTAGTTGAAAGTGTATGTAAAAAGTTTCCGTTCATCAACTCTACGCACTCTAATGTATCTCTTCAATGATTTATTTGATCAGCAAGATAATTTGGTTGTTATATATATAAAATAAACACTAATTCTCAAAGAATAAGTAAAATCAATCTCCGGCAAGGCGTTGTTCTTCCGGCGAATACAAAAGGTACTTAGATGAAGATGATGATAATTGACCATTGATCAATGAAGCACTAGAACTCATCGATGATAGACACTTTACATATGTTAAGATGTCTTTCAATGATTGGAGACATGATTTAGCTAGAAATAGAACAACAACGACTAGTTTTGTTTGACATCTTGAAGATGTGTTCAAACATGTCCGAAGAAAATGATTTTTTTTTGTTCAATTGCGTTATTTTGCACGATTTGAGATGAAGCTTTAGATGGCTATAATCTAAATCGTATTTTTATAAGAAGAAACGGAGACAAAGGCATAAATATAAGGGCATTATGTGCGAAAAATAGTTAAGAAAATCCAATGTTTATGTTACCTTCGCTCCAAGGTAAAACGGAAAAGTGTCGTTGTAAAATAAACTTAACTATACACCGATTTGTGTTGATTAAAGTAAATACGGCAAATGACTTCCCAGAGAGATTTAATTGTTACAAATGTCAATATATAAATAGAGAATTCAAAGAAATTCTTTTTCTCCGAATAAAATATTTCTATCCTCGACAGAATGTAAAAAGTAACGTGTCAATCGATTTTCATCGATGACAGACTTATTGAAATAATCGTTATGTTTGGAAAACTGAGCTGCTCTAAGTGCTTTTCGATCGTGTAATGTTACGCGAAAAACAGCCATAATTCTCATTAAACGATACGTGATCAGTTTTCATCATAATTATCATCTAATTTATGAAATCATCTGCTAAAAGCATTTCGGATCGTATCTGATTCTTTGAAAAACGTTAACAAACTCCTACCGATTACATTTGATCGGATGATTCATACACATTCGAGATGTATGTCATGCTAGGATGAGAGAACTTTCCGAAAAGAAAGATTCTCATTCCGTTATAAATCAACTAGTTGATAACAGAAGATGTTTCCGACAATTCAAGTTGTTTTTGTCGTCTAGTTTTATTTGTCTGTACTTCATAATATACTAGCGGGGGTACTCGATGAGAAATATCTATGTCAAACGTCTGACGTGTTGAAAAGCTGCAGCAAATAGAAAAATCAATAGATTTCACGTTTGTACGCTTGTGGTTCTAATCTTTCTCGACGTGCATTGAACAAAACGACAATTTCAGTTATAGCTCCTTATACAAAAGAGTTACCGACGCTAATTTTTGCCTTAGAAATTATTCGAATTTCCTCTCTCTCTCTGATATTCATTATACACTCCAGCTATTCATTCATCGACCTCTTTCTCACTCTTACGCCATTTCACACCTTACATCCTTCGCATTCATCCACCCTCAACATTTATCTTAATCTTTCTAAATCATTTAATACTATTGGCTAGTTACGTAGGTAACCTGCAGCATGCGCAGGACTATCATGGGCGTAGACAATACGTGGAATATTGTCTATGAGCGCTCAGATGGCCTTTGGCCGCATTCGCTAGTAACTCGCTGCAATCCTATTGGTCAGTTTCATGAATCGCCTGTAGCAAGCGTAGGATTGGGTTTTTCCCGGAACAAAGTACGTGTCGACCTTCGCCTGGACCTCGGGAAGTATCGTGGAAAGTTTGGTGGCGATAGCTATTACGAGGACTGAATGCATAGCGAACAGAAAGACAAACAAACATTCTTCTTTATATATATATCGAAGATAGACAATAGATGAGTATAGGTTTGAAAAGTATATTATTTTCGAGAGTCGACTTAGTAGGACAGGTGGAGACGATCGTCATTCTACGGTTTTGTCATTTATTTGTTGATAATAACGTCAGTAAGATTTTAATCTTCAATCTTTTTCGTAAATTGATTTTTCTGTTTTTTTTCCTACGTCAATCAAAACTTATTGGAATTAAGAATGGGATCACAATAGAAAAAAACGCAATATTTATATGACTATGTAAAATCAGATATTCATCTGTTAGTATTCTATCAGAAACATGGTCTCTACTATGATGAGTAAGTAGAAAAACGTTCACTGTGGTTAGAATTATATTCATTGTAATTTAGGTGTTATTGGGTTACTTGTTTTCATGACTGTATGCAGCAGATTAGATGCAGCTAGTATCAAAGATCGATGTCCTTTGCCATCAAACTTGAAGAATAATTATGATTACGACTGGAAATCAAAATCACACGAATGGCAAAATACCAAAGCTATGCCCACTTTTCTTCAACTTGTTCTTTCTTGGTAAGATCTTCTCAAAACAAAGTCTTCTATTTCCTCTTATATTATCTATACATGTTCATATGCTTAGGACACAAACATTTTGTGAATCTCTTCCTCAGTATGCTCAGAATACAGAATTTCAATGTCGTAACCGTAAACACTTTGGTTTGGTTGTCCATGGTTTATGGCCACAAGCTTCAAAAGCAAATTCTGTTCGAGCACATCCTCGTAATTGTCGAAATGAAAAACAACTGAATGCAACACTGGTCAAACGATATTACTGTATGATGCCTGATGAAGATCTTATCCAATCGCAATGGGAAAAACACGGTAAAATCCCATTGTAAGAGTTGATTTTTACTTTGAGTTTCTTTGCTAGGTACTTGCTATTTTAAAACAGCAACTGAGTATTACCAAACAATTGAGAACTTGTATGGTTCATTGAATATTCCTGACATTGCGTCAATGAAGAATGTTACAGCAGCAAATATTAAAAGTACATTTTTGACATTGAATCCCACATTATTCGCATCAGCTATTCAAGTGTCAATGGATTATGAAAATCGCTTGAAAGAAATCAAGATATGTTACGATTTAAAACAAAAATTTGTTCGCTGTTCTCTGTAGATCAAATATAATTGACTGCGCTGAAATACAGTTGAGAAAGATAATTTCTTTTAATATAGTTTATTTTCGTCACTCTGTTCTACAACGTATAAAAAAATCGTGCACTAAACCAGAATACTTGATATAAATCTCAAAATCGGTTTCATATAGAAAAATAGATAGAAAAGTAAATTCACAGCACGCTTTATACACTTCGTTCGGAGATATGTAAGTTTGTTCTTAGTAACTATTGTTCATGATATTATTTGTGAGGATTTCTATCATCTCTGTTGCCATGAGTAGTCTTGGCATATGGCTCCGATCCTGGTGTACCACTCATGTCTAGAACATGATATCGATCTTTGTTGAGAACTTCTGCGTTGATTAGATGGTGTTGCACGAGGAGACCAACTGTGGTTAATGCAAGCTTTTCTTCTACAGCTGGTCCTCGATTTTGCCAATATTCACCGAATACACCGTGTGAATCTGCTGGATTCAATTCAGACACAATATAGCCACGTCGAGCAATGGCAACAGTTAGCCGATGCATGTCTTGATCAGCAATTAATACCGGAATACGACCATTATAGTTCGATGTTCGAAATTCGTTTACGAAATCGTCATAAGTATCAGGCACACGTTCATGAGATCTGCCTTGACTGAATACGGGTAGAGCAAAGACAACAGCGCGAATGCTTTTGTATGATGGACCATCTTCTTCGAGTACTTCTCGAGCAGCGCGTGCAGACAATCGTCGAACTTTCTGATCAATTCCAAGTTGTTTGCCGGAGAACACTCCTAAGCCAATGCCTGTCTCAACGACAATGTGTACACCTTCTTCGTCACACGCTCGTAATCGCAATCTGACCATAAGTGTAAGACTATCTCGAAGACGTTTCTCATCGAGTATAGCTGAAGGTCCACGACTCACCGGACAGAAGTCTCTTCCATTATGAACCACCGGTAAGCCTGTTTTTGGATCCAAGTGAAACAGTTTCTGCCAATTTAACAGGTAGTGTTGAATATCACCGATGTCATGTTTTCGACCAGCGAAATCAATCCCAGTGACAGATACAAGCTTTATTCGATTAGGCCATTCGTCTGTCAATCGACGAGGAATAACTTTGGCATCGAATTCCATGAGGATGGGACATGTAGAAATGCGTACGACAAATTTCATGCGAAAAGCATCTGAACCATCTTCACTCTTACCCTGTAACGCTTTATGCAACGTCTCTTTACTCATCCCGTTGACATTTTTGGCTGCGTATACTCTATAGGAACGCTGCCAATTTTTGATTTCTTGTGTAGTCATTGCAAACGAATTGGCACACTTGTGAGGAAAGTAAATGACTGCATCCGGCTGCATTTGATGTGGATACTGCTGTAAAGAGAATGATTTGACGCCCGGAACAATATAATGTTGAGGAATATTTGTGAAACCGAATGCTTGATTCAGAAACTGTTCCATTTGCTCTGTTTCACGACTACAGCGACCGTTCATCGGCCCGTTTTTATCCATTGGAGGTAAACACTGAAGATGTCTTAAGAATGCAAGTAAATTTTGATCGCGACATTGTCTATATCCAAATAATTGACTTTCATATGTCGGTTGGTGATACATTACAGACATTTGAATAAATAATTCTCTTCACAAAAAAGAAAACGAAGAAAACTTTTCAGCGAAAAGAAAATGCAAGAAAAAAAAACAGTCAAACGGAATTGTGGATGTTGTTTACGACTATTTACGATTTATAAAAATCAACCCATACACAGACAGAAAGGAAGAAAAAAAAAGATTTTTCTGCCGATAGTAATGCACATGTTATGAAAAATGCTTTCTTTTTCAGTCGTCTTTTTTTCCAACATTAATAAACTGTGAAGCACATCATTCGATCAAAATCGACCGTGTTACTGCGTTTGAGTTTCACAACGTCTACGTTTTAGTAAGCAATTTTCGATATAGACTAGATGTTCAAGAGTATATTCGATCGCCAAGTTATTCAAACTAACTAGAATGTCATTTATTCATGACTTCCTCTAAAAAACGCCGTATCTCTGAAATACAATGAAAACAACACGTTTGAGATTTAGTGAACTGACAGAAATATAACCTTAAACCTTGATAATTTCGTTTCATTTTCTATCTATTTGTGTAAAAGTTAAACAGTGATATCAGAATATTTACGCGCATTTCCATGACGACAGTATTCATATAGATGGTTGATTAATTCCAACTTTGAGATATACTACCTTTTAGAATAAATTACGAAATTATGTGCATACTTCATTACGCACAAATTGGATGCACAGAAATAAAACTGTACTATAGTTAGCACAGGTCAGTGAGTAATCAAAGAATTTAAAAGTATATGGCAACGAACAGATGCTTAATAATGGGGGATTTGAAAGGAAGAAGATTCGTTCTTCCTCAAACATTAAATATTTTTTCTATTTTATATTGTTGGCTTTTGTCCATCTCGTGGCGAAAGTAAAATAAAAAGAAGAAATCTTGCCAGTTTATTTTCATGTTCTTATCGTTTGGAGAAAATTTGCAGACTCTTAATCGTACACAGTGACAAACAATTCGTTCTCTTTCGGTGAAAACGACAACGACGCAACTGTAATAACAATCGTCAGCTATTAATTATTAACAAATCAACACGTAGGTGGATTGAAGAAATATGAGCAACAAAAGTGCTCCAGAAGGTCCTTGCTCAGTGTGCAACAAACCGAAGCAGCCGCGTGTATGCAGAGGATGCGAGAAGCTGTTTTGCGTTGCAGATTTGGAGAAACATAAAGAATCTTTACGCAACCAAGTAGAAAGTATTGAACAGCAATTCAATGACTATGAAAATCAACTTCACCCGCAGCAGACAAGAGAGAAACTTCCTAGAGAAATCAAACAATCGGAAGCGGAATTCATTAAGAAGATTCAAGCCGTTGATAAAATTGCACTAAGCAATGTAGAACGAGCAGTGCAACAACGTGAAGAACGACTACAGTATTTAAGCATGAAATTTAAAAAAGAAGCTAAATCGGCAAAAGAAGATGACCACTTAACCGAACAAAACATTCGCTCTTTAAAATCTCAGCTGGACGACTTCCAGAAGTATCGTAACGAACTTCTTCAAATGCAACTAATTAAACCTAACCCTGACGTCGTCTCTCCTATTGGAATTAAAATGCCTGATATGCAAGTACAACATGCAACACATGGTTCCACTCCGAGCAGAATAGAATCATCATCAGCATATCTTAGCATGATATTTGGTGTCAACGAGGATACTGATCAAAGGATAAAATCTCTATTTGACAAGCTTAGGTTACTTCCTCCAATGGATAAACGTGGATCAATGAGTGGTAACTGTGACTATGAGACAACTCAAATGGAGCAATTTCTTGCGCACAACTTTGGGTTTCAAAATTCACGCGGAAAACACATAGTCCATGGTGTTCGTTCCTTTGTATTAGAAAAATCTATGAGATCTATGACACCAAGCAAAGTGCTGTCTTTCCCTAATAATTGGGAAAATTCCTTCCAGATGCAAGTGGCAGAAATTCAAAGGTGGCAATCTTCCTATAGGGTTTATGCGGACAAATATGCTCCAGGTATGAGTCTCGACTTTCTGCAACGAGCTCTACAAGGTAAAAGCAATGATGGAGAAGAAGCTTTTTGCATGAAGTTTGTCGTACGCATTTCTACATGTCCCATCCTCATGGAATTCGATGGCAAAGTTATTCCTCGAGAATTAAAGGACGAATGGCCTGATCGAATAAAACTTGTATCTGTCACTGGGATTGATTTTGCTGGTAGAAAACATGATGTGAACGACATTAAATGCTATATACCAAACTGGAGAGAAGTATTTGAAGTTGACCACAAGAAAGATATGCCCGCATTAATGAATGAGAGAGATTTTGCACTAAGAAGATCGGGAAAACAAGCTGAATTACATCAAAAGCGTGTATTCGACGACCTGAAGCGTATGACTAGACTTAGACTTCGTGCATGCGATGAAGAAGGCGTTCAGATCGTCGTTGAAACAGGCATTGGCTTAGGGGTATTTTCTGGTAGACAACTTGGAATTGATTCTATAGTACGACAATTATCTGCACGTGCTGTTCAAGAAGTACTTGAAAAAGATGGTCCGTCGTACAAAAACATTCAGGCTGTTGTATTTGCTCTGCCTGTATTCGAAATAGCTACACCAAGCGGATTTATCTATGATACTTTTCAAAGTTTTACTGATCAGTTCACAAACTATCCATACCAAGGTCGTATTCCAGTATTCATTGCTGATCAGGACATGCATCGGCTAACTGTTGCCATTGCTCGACGTGGCTATATTGTGTCTGAATTGAATCCAGCAGATTCACACGGTGTATTCGGTGAATATTGGCAAAATCGAGGACCAGCTGTAGAAGAAAAGCTCGCATTAACCACAGTTGGTCTCCTCGTGCAACATCACTTGATTAATGAAGAAGTCATGAATACAAAACTTTACAAATTAATTGATATTCATACGCAATATTAGTTTAAACTGTCGTGCTTCTTTTAAATATAAATTGAATTAACAGCTTCACGTGGAAGTATAATACTTATATACATGTACGAAATTTTTATAGCACCACATTTACCAGTCCGGAACTGACCGAAATAAAACTATATATCTAGTTGAGAGAATGAAGAGATAATAAAAGATTCCTAATTTTAAAAAAAATTGGATATTGTTTTCGAACATTTTTTTCTAATTTTGATATCTCGTTAAATATATAATCTGCCAGCAGAGAAACGACAAAGTACGATAATTAATCTGTGCATCTACCATTGATACATTTTGAAACAGTTTAAAAATGAACAAACTTTTTTGTATAGCTTTTTCCATGAAACAGTTAAATTAGCAATGCGGTATCTGGCGCCATCTATGTTTGATAACCTTCGCAAAGCTTTTCACTGATCACACGTCACGTATATTGTTTAAGGTGAACTCGATTTCCTCAAAATGATCTCGCTTTTCTCTTCTAATTAATTTATCCGTTGAAAAGAAATTTCCAACCAATCACCAATCAATTTCTGAATCATAATTCTGAATTGAGATCCTTACACAAATAAAGGATTGGCTCTGTTCTGTTATGGAGTACTCGATTATTTTACAGATCCAGTCTCGTTGTATGCCATACTATTGACAGATAAAAAACAAACAACAAAATGCATTGAGAGGATGACTCGCGCAGACTCTATTTGATAGAACCAATGACGTATTCGTTCTTTGACAACAACAAGATAAGACGCAAAAACTTTTCTTCTCAGTAATAGAGCAACGACTAACCAATCCTCATCAATAGAATATCATTCAACGATGAACTCGCTTCTCGGGAACTTTCTATCATTGAACTTAATGATTATTTATTTAGATCGGTAACAACTATGAGCCTTGGCGGTGGCGATCTACAAGTCATCTTAAGACGCATACGTCATGGTAAATTCATTATTATTCGAGAATCCGTATAATTTTATTCATAATTCTCTATAAGGTTTCATAATCTGTGACGACACAGAGTTATGCGATAAGATTATTAGTCAAGATGTCGATACTGAACAACGACGAAGAAATTTAGCCAAATCGTGAGTTGATGTTTTTCTTTTCTCAAAAAAAGATCTTAACTGAACTCTCTTGTCTTCAAAGGAAAGCAATTGATATTGAAAAAACAGATTTATTAACATTACTTCGAACTGAACCCGATTTTATCCTCGATGAATTATCTCATTCACCTGAATGGACAGCAACTAACGTTCAAGGTACGTTGCACTCGTGATTGCTTTCCTTTGATCACATTCAGATGAAGATTGAGATCATCATTCCCAACTCTCCTATCCGTTGATCAGTCTAATCTATTTTGAAGATTATCCAGCTGATGAATATCTTGATCATCGTAAGCTGTTTATTTTATTTCTTATTTCTAAGCTGCTCAATTGTCATTTAACAACAACCATCAAACGCTTCGTTAGGAGAACGATTAAAATCTACTTTCAATATCTGCTTACTAAAATCTTGCACAAATGTTTCGTTTCCATTCGGAATGAAACCGATTGAACAATAGAGATATCCTATTTCTTATTACCTAGGAAAGACATGTGCAAAATCTGTAGCAAGTTGTTGTAAGAGACTTTTCTGCACTTGCCGTTCTGTTGCATGTCATCAATACAACACTGTTTTCATCCGTTGATCATACATAAAGCAATGATTCTATCCATTGAAGGAGAATTAGTTTCTCAACATTCTATGACGATACTCATACGCACTACATAATGAATTTTCTTTACACATGAAAAAGATTTTGCTACTTACGCTTGACAGATGTACTGGTTCAACACAAGTGTGAAAGACACTCATTCTTCGATGTGATTGCATGTAGATTGACGAAGAAGCAAACAAAGCTTTCTTCTACAGGAGACTGTCGTTTTTGTTTCTTTAATGTGAATTCCAAATGTATTTATCACATAAACGTGTTGTTTTTTCAGTTCGACGAGTTCGCTGCGAAACATTGGGTCGACTTGATGAAATCAAAACGGAAAACGAAGCAAAACGCAAGGTTCAAGTTATTTCATGGCAAGATCCATCTCGAGCTCAAAGTAACCGGAATTGATCTACAGTAAAACTTCTATTCGTGAGCAGCGATCACTAGTTTTTAGTCCCAAAACTAATCGTCATCTCCTTAAGATGAACGATCTATAATACAATATCTTTACAAAGAGTGAAAATAGAAGGTGTTGTGCACATTAGACTATGACAAATAATCAAACGACAGCAAGATATCTAATTTAATTGTTTTGAGAAAGGATTAATCCTAGTGCTACTACTATCCTCGGTTTTTATGATCATTATGACCATAAATCAGTTTCTAAAAAAAAGCGTTGTTCATCGCTGTCTACAGGATAAACATGCTGATTGGGAAGGCACTTTTGATCGCTCCGATTAGCGCCTACATTAGAAATGTTTTACTGTATTTTCAATTCGCTTTTACCTATCAATCTCATAGATGCAGATGAACCGATGCATTCCAAAGACGATGATGACGACGACGACGACTCTTCCTCATTTTTGTTTCAACGCCGTACAGAACCACTTGCACCTCTAATACGACCATCACCTCTAACCGCTCTACTTCAGTCAGTAAATAATCAGCAAAATCCATTTACACAATATGCCAAATTCGATGGAACGGTAAATCGAAGCAATACTTTTGTGTCATCAAACATTAATGTTTTCCATTCTAGCCAAATATCGGTGCAAACCAGTCGAAGAAGTTTACTGTTCATTTTCAAACTCGAAAACAAAAGTTACTAATCATCGTCGCTTCTCATGCTACCGTCGGAGAAACTGTTGGATTCATTTGTTACAAATACACCATCGAAAATCGCGAACCGGCTCTAACGTAATTGTTTCGCGATCGTGTTTATTTTCCTCATAAGCTTGTATTTTTTTTCAGCCAGAAAGATCCGTCCAAATATTCCCTTTACATTGCTGATGACGATGGACAAGCAGAAGATGATTTACCCACATTGGCACATGCACGACCAATTGGCGAATACGAATTTCCTCATTTAGCATTAGTTGAACAACAAGAATCTTCAGCTTCCAAGTTATCGAATGAAGAGGAGTATGTAACCGATGATGACGATGATATCAGCGAATCGTTTGATGACTCGTCTCAATCAGCAACGCCGCCACCGAGTGAACCTCGACATTCAATTTGTTCGAGTGGAAAACCTGTATCGATGATTGCTGTTCAAGATAATCAATCAGAAGATGATCCGATCCATAATTGGAATCGCTTATACGAAAGTCTCAATCAAAAATCGTATCCTTTCGAGTATTATGTTAAATCCGGTAGTAGTAAACATGTCAAAGCCCGTATTGATGTGTCCGGTGAACAAATCCGTATAGAATTATTAGAAAAAACCAGTCGCGTACCGGGTCAAGATATGCTCTTTACTACCCAACGTTTAATTAATTGCACTTTATCCAACAAAGAAATCAGTAAAAAACGAGGTATGTTTCGATTTCCAAGTTTTTTCTCAAGTAAAAGTTCAACCGTTATGATAGATCGCACGCGTGTTTATCTAACTGTCGAAAGTCAGCAAGGATCCGATGGTTCACGTGCATTTCAAACGTATGAATTCGAATCCACAGTCGAGTCAGCCGAACAGTTCCGTGATCAAATAAGTAATATCATTAAATTAAAAAATCCTCAAGGACGAGATACATACGAAGAACAACAACAATTGAAACGAGATAATACGAAGAAACGACGTTCGATCTTTAATCTTATTGGAGCTGGTATCGGTAGTACAAGCGGATCATCAACTAAGTCTTAAAATATGTGTTTTTCTTTTTGTTTTCTTTTGTCTTGAGTTTTGTTTTTTTTCCTATATGTATCAGTAAATAAAACAGAAACAGTCAATCTTTACGGAAGAACTTCACGGGTGGTGTCTGCGAGGCGTGCTTGAATTTCGTCAATCTAATTTGTTTATTTGTTTTAGTTATAAAAAAAATAATTTTTTCTTAAGATAGAAAGAAACGAAAGTTGCACGAGACAATGTAGCTTAGTTTTCTAAACATATAAACAAACACTGAGAAGGAAAGTTGAGGCGTAATTATTCTTAGTTCTGGATGATCAATGATGTTGAAAAACTGAAAAAGAGAGAAAGTTATTTTTCGGCATTCAATGCTTCGATAAATTCTTCAAGTTTCTCTTGAACTTGTCGAACACGTTCTAAACAAATCAAGTCACACAAAAGTTAGAAAATTGAACAAACAAAACGTCTTACTCAAATCTTCTGCCAAGTCAACACGTTTGCCTTTGAGAAGATTTGATTTCAATGTTTCATCCGCACTGAAATCATCTAAAACTTCTTTCACCTCTCGCTCCAATCGACGAGCTAAAACGAACTCTTCCAGATGAGAAAACAATCGTTGGAAGATAAAACAACACTTTACTTTCAATGTTTGAGATTTGCTGTCGAATAGCATTACTTGTTATATCAATCATACGTTTTAAACGCCAGAAAAAGACTATTTCACGGCAGTCGAGCTAGAATAGAAACCTACGAATCTTAGTTAAAGAACAACGAGGGATTTACGTACACCCTGATCAGAAAAACCTTTTTGATAGTAATAGAAAAATCGACGACATTCGAGACAAGTGGATAAATTTCGTTTGAGAAAATGAATTTTATATACACGTTGCCATAGATCGCTTATCTAATCACAGAAAAACATACGAACGAAATGTATAATATGTAACTTACAAAATTATTAGAGACATCGATTTTTTGTGTTTGAAGATTTTTCTTGACTGTCGTTAATTCATCAAAATCAAGAACAGAACGAATCTAAGCATTCGATAAACTTTTGAGAGGCATTCTTCTATATCCGAAGTCTTACTGAATAATTATTTTTCGTTGTTCTATCTAACTGTTGTCTACTGAGTAGAACTTTTTCTAGTTCTTTTACGCATTGCTGTCGATTCTTCTCTTCCAGAGTTGTGCCTTGAAAAGGATTCAATCGTCGCCATGCACCCTGATTGGCTTTTGAATTTAATTCTAATTCTTGATGTTCCAATTCCTGTCGGATGATAGCTTCCATGAATTTCGCTGCTGTTTCCCAGTGCTGCTTATCCGGAACATTGCGATCTTGTAAAGCTTGAGTTTGAATGACTCTCTACAAAACATAGATCACCAATGCGTGTAAATCAAAGCGATTTTCATCATTACTAGAGAATCTAATGCTTTGCTATCCCATTGATGCCTTGTGCGACACGCTTCTACCACGTGCATTTTTAGATCATTGGTAATTGGATCGGAGGATCGACTTTTTTGTTCGCGTTCAATTAGATTTTGAAATTCATCAAGTAGAACCTGATGAGCTATACTGACACATTGACGTGGTAAGTCTTTCTCTGCCCACTGTTGTAATTTAACATCAACTGTCGTATTAAAACCTCTGTAATAATACGAAGCAGAGTTTACTTTAAATATTTGTTCATAAACATTCTTACCCTATTGAATCAGCTTGTGCAGCTGGGAGGAAAACGTCATCAAAGATAAAATTCGACATTTTTGACCAGATATATTTCGATAAATTATCTTCCCTGTAAAACCAAAGAAAAGTCTATGAACTAAACGAGCAACTGACCTACCATTGTTGACTAGGAATTAAGCTAAGATTAACAACTTCGTCGAGAATTTCGCCACGAGCTTTTTCGAATAATTCATCCTATGAAAGACACAGTTTGATCAATGGTCAAGTCATCTCATTCAACAGACTCGATCTTGTTCTCGAAGTTTAGTGAAACTATTTTTCCATTCGGTTTCTAAATTAAACTTCGTTGCTTTGAATGTATCCGCTTGTTGTTCAACACTCTCTTTAACCATTTTCCAAAAGCAATCACTGACAGCATAACTTAAGTTACGTGTTGTAGTTTGATTAGCTTTGAAAATACCATCACTGGAAAAAGAAATCGAATTGAGAGTAAATTAGAAAAATAAAATTTGCTTTATACCGAAATAATTTCGAATCACGAAAGAAATCTTCTTCGTATTTCTGTATAAGATCAATTGGATCATCAGCATTGCCTAGTAAGATAGTTTTCAATCAAATATTTCATGCAATAGTACAGCAGACTAACCTTTGCCAGTAACAACTGCGAAATAACCCAACGCTTTCATTGGAAACAATTTTCCTTCGAGAATCTTTTTGATCTAGACAAGATCATCATTAATATCCATCATACAATTGATTGTTGTCTACTTACTCGACCAGAATCATGTAGATTTGCTTCGGCCATATCGACTTTGGTTAAAACAAATATAGTTCTTTTACCATGTGGATCCATTTTCGATACAAGTTCAGTGACATTACTACGTTCTGCATCAACACTTCCATCTAGAATATTTGAATCATTGATCATCAGTGCCGCTCGATGCTCAAAATTTACCTTGGATGCACAAAATAATTGCATTCGGATTGGACATATAACTATTAGCGAGACGAGTGATGGAACTCTTCGTATCCGACGCCATACCGATGGTTTCCGTCTAAAGATAAGATTAGAGAAGAATCATTTTCATTTGTAAACTTACACTGATAATTCCAGGTAAATCAACTAGTACCATACGTTGTAGACCAGGTCCTTTAACAGACAATGAAATGACCTAGAATAGGATAGATTCGATCACACTTGTTCATTCGTGTTAAGAAAACGAACTTCACTACTGATTGTTTGTCCATCTTTAACTGATGCACGCATCCGAAGTTCGATTTCTTTTCGGAGAGCAGCTAGCTAAACACAAGAGAAACAAATAGATTTTGCAATTCTTCTAAACAATATCATTTATATACATCTGCTTCCTTCGTTAAATCATATTCTTTTGGACTATCTTTAAATGTTGCTATGTGATAGGGACCTTCGCTTAAGGTAACTTTGACTGGACTACGTGTCATCATTTCACCAGCACCTCTACAAATTTCAAATAGACAAAAGTAGAAAAACAATCAGTGACACAAGTAAAACTTTATGAACTAACCGAGGAAATATACGTGCTTGTGTTATCATTTCCAATACACTTGTTTTACCCGAACTTTGATCACCGATAACGACAACCTAAATCAAAATAATAATGAAGTTCTTTATATCCCTATTGATTCGATCAGTCTTTACTCGTGGTAGATGATCTTGAATGTTATAATTGGTATCATAGTCGTTTAATTCATCTAGAACTTCACTGTACATATCAATCAATGATTTCTAGAAGAAAAACCGTAAGTAAATAGATTCAAATCAATGATGATCAAACTGACTTTGATTCTACGTTGTTTTTTCCCTTGGAAATTTCTTTCTTGTCTTAGTAATATCTGCTTCTTCATCGCTTTGATTTCTTTTTCTAATCGATCGATTTCACGTTGATATTTTATTTGTATACCCATCATTTCTTGATGAATTCTCTCTTGACGTTCATGTTCTTGTAACTGAGCAGTCTACAACAAGCATTGTAATAACAAACAAATCAACACAAATACAAACTTTTCTCAAATGTTCTTGTTCTTCACTTGTTAACTGAACATTTTTATATGATTTCGTCCATGCGAAAAGGCCATCTAAATGAATGGAACATAAGTGAGATAGACTGAATGAATATCTTCGTACCTGATTGTTTTTGTTCGTTTCCATCGGCATTTGGGTCTTCTGGTGTATTTTCGGATAGTGTAGAAAAGTAATTTGAAAATCTTTCTTGCAGAAGTCTGACTCGATCTTGTAAATTGGTCTAACAAATCAACAGCAAATCTAGTGTCTGCTACAAAAGAGGTGACAGGATAAGGATATTTACTGTATCGGGCAATGAAACTGAATTAGCTAAATCAGACAAATGTTTGCTAAGAGCATTGACCGTCTCTTCTGGCATATATTCTTTCATCCAGGAAATATCTGGTAGTGCATCTTGTATTTCCTTATATTTCTAGATGAAAAAGCGAGTGAGTCGATTTAGATTACATGGAAAAGAAGTCAGATTTGTCACATACTTTGCGAGCAGCATAACCGCCACCAACGGCCGTGCCGAAAATTAGATAACGAAGTCGAAGAAGACGGAGTAAAAAGGCCATTTCTAAGTATTAAATAAGGAAAATAAAGTTTGAGAGAATTCGATCAGCAAAACGAGACATTGCACTAGAAAAGAATCTTATTGAATCTTTCCTTCGAACCAATCGGATTACTGATGAAGATATGAAGGACATCTACCGTCCGGGCGATCTTATACTATGTATCGACTATAGTTTTTCGAAACGTTTACTTACAAGCATACTTCTCAAGTCGGAATCAACTTGAATCAGAACTTGCTGCTCAAAATTTACGAACGTTACGCACTTTCTTACTAAAACATTTAGATTTGTGTGATACTAGACGTTTGGAATCTAGAAAATAAAGTATTCTTCACTGTCAAATAGAACAAACGAAGCGAATAGATGATGACAAAGCGTGTTTGCTTTGTTGATAAGCAGTTGGCTGTTGAACAAGCATCGAAAAAGATAAGATATATATATATATATATACGAACACATTCGATATTTAGTAGAGAAAAGAAAAAAGAACGACGGTCTTAATTCTACGTGAATAATATTGTACATTTGTAAGACATGTCGTCCTTGACGGTTCCAACGATTGATGAAGTTTACGCCGCTAAATCACGTCTACAAGGTATTATCATTCGTACTCCGCTTTTGAAATTGAATTATGACATTCCCAATGCTGAAATTTATTTGAAATGTGAACAATTTCAACCGATATCATCATTTAAATTACGTGCAGCTGCTAATGCCGTTCAAATTCTATCGGCTGAAGAAAAACAAAACGGAGTAGTGACAGCTTCGTCAGGTAATATGGCTCAAGGTCTAGCTTGGATTGCTCGAAAGGAAAATTTGCTATGTCAAATCTTAGTACCAGATACAGCAAACGAAGTTAAAGTACAAGCAATTGAGAGATTAGGAGGAAAGGTGACGAGATGTACATTTGAACAATGGTGGCAAGCCATTGTCACACATCAGAGTCCGCTGTTAAAAGGGCATTTTGTTCATCCAGTATGTGATCGAAATGTAATGGCAGGAAATGGGACAATTGCATTGGAGATTTTAGATGAATTACCAGATTGTGATGCGATACTAGGTAATTCAGTCAAACTTAGATAATTATTATTAGTTCTCTTTGTATTTAGTTCCATATGGGGGCGGTGCTCTCACAACCAGTATTGCATGCGTTGCTAAACATTTAAAACCATCGATTGATGTATTAGCTTGTGAAATCGAAACCGCTGCACCGCTTGCTGCTGCATTTCATCATAACCAAGTCACTAAAATCGCCATGAAAAAATCCTGGGTCGACGGTATTGGTAGTTCAGGCGTATTAGATGAAATGTGGCCATTAGTCAAGACATACGTGAACAATTCTATTGTTGTATCATTGAAAGAAACCGCAAGAGCATTGAAACTTTTAATCGAAAGAAATCATCTCATTTGTGAAGGTGCAAGTGCGACAGCCATCGCCGCTGCACTATGGCATTATACGGATTATGTACAAAATGGAAAGGCTGGCTTGAGACGGCAAGATTCAACCAAGCCATTAAAGATAGTGGCAGTTTTAACGGGAGCTGGAATCGATAATGAAACTATTATCAAATGTTTGAACGAAACTTTATAATTAATTTGTCTAAAATATCGATAACGTTGTTTCACTCGAGATAATAAAAATCTTATTTTATTCTGTTAATATTATTACGTAGAAATGAATCATTTGATTTCATACAAAAGAAATACACTACGTAACTTTTAATAGACAATAAATAATATATGCTATCGAGATTTATGTTTTTGCTGATAGTGAAATAAAATTGTTTCATCATTGATTATGATGAATGGCGATGATTTTGTAAGAGAAGAACCTAATCGATCTAGCAACGACTTCAATTAACGTTCTTGATGGAGAGCAATCAACGCAAATGAATAATCTTCGAGACGAAAAGCAATTGAAAACCTATAATCATTCGTTCAGTATCAAAAGTATAAAATCAAACGATCGAATATAGTCATTAGAATCATCATATAGGTACATCGAGCTAATTGATCATCAAGGATATTCTTATTCGGGATATAAATATATTCAAGACGAAAAAAAAAAAGAGAAAAGTGAGTGGGTTGATATCATACACACATTCATATGTATGTATTAACCCATGTGATACGCTAAATTGACTTTCTTTTCTCTCCTTACCGACACATTGATGGATATATAAATCCCGTCTATGCTTGAATGAGTGTTACCTTCTTATGATTTCAATGCAGGACTACAGATTAACATATACGGTATATTCTTGTAGTTGAAAATATTCTACATCTATCAAGAACAATTTTCTCACAAGCAACGTCAGATTAATTGATTAGCAATATGTCTCGTTCAAGAAAACAATCCATTGTATCACGTATTCTTCATTTGTAAGTCAACAATTTCCATATGCATGCGTATAATTGATAATAAAAGTCATGTTATTACTTGTTTTTTCTCTCTCTCTCTCTCGTATATACTGGGAGAAGAAGAATATCGAATTGCGATAGAGAACGAAAAGATTTTTTGTAGTAAATGTTTTTTTTTCATTTGAAAAAATTCGAGAAAATATAATAAAGCGACAGGATTTCTTGTTCTTTGGATATATCAATTTTTATTTGTACGAAAAAGTAACAAGAAGAAAGGAAAAAACGATTTGTTGTAGAAACGCATTAAAGTTGAAGACAGAACAAAGAAATAATGAAAATTGAAACCAAATGATGCTTTGCTTCTCATCTTACTTATTCATACCTTGTTCTGTTGTGTAAGTCCATCGAAGCGACGATCTCTCTCCCCTCTCTCTCAATCATTATCTACTAAATCAGCAAGCATGCGATTTACATGTTCTCTGCCGAAATCATTTCGAATACAAGAGGGATAGTTCCAAAGACGATTAAACATGGCGTCAGATTCGCCATAGAAATCTATCGAGCAGGATGAGAGAAATTAATCTTTGACAACAATAGGATAATATTTGGATAAGACAGTATTTCAGATTAAAGAAATCAAAGAATTCTTTTCATTTCTTCGTGTTTGATATCACTATGAGAACAGCAGGCAATATTTCTTGTCATCCAATATCATTCATCGGAGTCTACAGCTGAGCCATACATCACTTATTTATCTTTCAGACAAAAACATACAACCAAACACCAAACCATTTCGTCAATATGCCTCGACGTTCATTGCGACAACGCCGGTAGATATCTCTCAGTTTTTTTCACCTGTCAAGTAACAACCAAAGTTGATTTATTTTATTTTTATTGACGTTTTGCGCTATGCGCCATTTTTTTGTCATAGATATTGTCGAAGTGCATATACACCTGAAAGATATAGTTACGTGTTGATAATGCTTTATCATGCGTAATACTGATTGAATTATTTGATTAGAATGACGTATAATCGATTTCTTTGTCAGAATAGTTCAAATCAGTTTCGAAACGGATTAAAATTGATTCGACTTTTTATTTTCGAGTAACTTGTAATTAAAACATAATGATGATGTCTGTACACCGTTGCCTTAGTGAACTCGTTGTCTTTTTTTAGTTTAATTTACCAACTAAGATAAGATGATATCACTTTCATCGCGTTGTCTGTGCATTATATGTATATTAATTGTGAAATGGTCATAAAGTATATGTAAATGAATCAGTAGATCGTTAATAATCTGATCGGTCATCTTGATACATATGTTTTGTTATTCGATAAGTTAACAGAAAGCAAAAATTTGCGCTGCTCTAATACAAGATGACTTTTCTTCTTGCATTATTGAGTTAATCATCAGTGTCGCATAGTTTCAAGATCGAACGTCATTTGCGAAGAAGTACAAACTACTTTTATCTTTTAGGCATTCTATTCATCCATCGAATAACAATGAAAATAATAATTCAGCATCGAATCAAAGTCTTCTTCCACGTGAGTCACAAATGAATATTACTAATAATCCGTTAACAACATCAACAGTAGCGCCTGAAGCTTCATCTCATGTATCTTCAATACAATCGGTTACATCAGCTAATAATGATGACGACAGTATTACGAGCAATCAAAATACAACAACAAGTCAATTATTAATCCCTTTAGCATTACCACCAAACCGTGTTTCAAGTTCGTTTCTATCGAAATTAACCGATGCAAAGAAAACTTTATTCGGACGAATAAATGCTCCCGATCCGACATTCTCAGCAGCGAATGAGAACAGAGCATTGTTGAGCTATATCCTATCCGAACCACATCCCGAACTAAGCATTATACAAGAACATGAAAACAACGGTGCACAATTAAATGCAGTTACCGATGATGGAAACACCGTCATACATCTATTAGCACGAGCAGAGCACAGTTCAGCAGCATGTATTAATATTGTGGATTATGTTATCAAACGTGGATGCGATCCCAATCGACAAAATGACTATGGATGGACCGCAGGTATTGCTCTGAACGAGATTAACAAGAATAAAATACATCATTTTCATTGTAGCTCATTATGCATTTGCAACACATAATATTGATTTAGCGATTTACTTACTGAAAGTGATGATTGATGTGAATCTCGTCACTAATGATACACATGATGGTGAGCAAAGTTTTCTTTTTCATTCGATCTTATATTTCGCGGAAGCTTTTCTTTAGGATATCCAAGTCAAACCCATCTTCTTCATATTGCTGCACGGAAAAACGATAGCGTTCTTATTCGTTTACTTGTTCGAACCTATCGGGCACGCGTAAACGTATTTGATGAAGATGGCTGTACCCCATTGCATATCTGTTGTTATGAAAACAACATTGAAGCATTCAAAGCTTTGCTTGAAAGTGAAGCTGACTTTCAAAAAGGTACTCGTTTAAATCCTCATGAAACACCTGTGAGTATCTGTGTTCGGTATCAACATGATGAATGTTTAAAAGCTTTATTTGAATTAACAACAAATTTCAATTGGAAACGGTATTTCTCTCAATTGCCACGTTCACCATTATTATGCGATTTTCCGAGTATAAATGCAATTGAATTACTAGTGAAACATGAACTTGATATTAATGCATGTGACGAACGTGGAAATACGTTTTTACATTATTTAGTTATGAAGAAGGATGTTGACTATGAAGCATATATTGTAACATTAATAGAAAATTCCGCCGATTTTAATCGACAAAATCGCCTTGGACGGACGGCATTTCTCGAAGCACTCGAACAAAAGAATTTCGAATTAATCGCTGTTTTTCTTCAACATATGAACGTGACAAATATTAATACAGTCGATTCACTATCGAACACAGCACTACATTACTGCAAGTATCTCAATGCCATCATCGTTTTCGATACTGTTCTACAAGCAAATCCATTGTCATTGAATGCTCAAAATCGAGATGGTCAAACACCTCTGCATGAAGCTATTGCGTATAACAATCTTGGTTTTGCACAGTATCTCCTTCGACATGGTGCAGATTTAACTTTAGCGAATAAAGAAGGCAACACACCGCTTCATTTAGTTGCACGCGATGATAATGTGATCATGTGTCGATTGTTAATGAAATATCCTCAACTGGACTTAATTGCAATGAATAAAATGGACAAAACACCGTTACATTTAGCTTGTGCTCATGAGAAACCTAATGTGGCAGAATTGTTGATTAATAAGTTGAAAATCGAAGAAATCAATCTCCTAGATAAACAAGGACGTACACCACTGCATGAATGTGCAGACAATATTAACGGTTCCTTAGCAAAACATTTAATACGACATGGTGCTGATGAAAATGCCGTTGATATTCGGAAGAATACTGTGCTACATTTAGCAACGGAAAAAGGTAGAGATATTCGCCTTTCGAATTCTCGATAGTTCAACATACGTTCTCTCTTCGTTAGGTAATCTTGAATTCGTACGTACATTGATAAAAGAATCATCGATTGATATCAATCAACTGAATGCTGATGGTCAATCTCTACTTGGTCTTGCGATATTGTACAACCACGACGAAGTTAGTAAACTCTTACTTGAACAAGAAACTATTCGTGTTCAATCAAGTGATTTGAATATGGCCATGCAGATGAATAACTTTGAAATGGTGCAACTATTGAGCGAAAAAGATCGAAATTGTCTCCGTGTGCGATCGTCGACGCACGGAGATATGATTATACATATATTTATGAGGAAAAATTTCAACAATTTAGTTTGTTTAGAAACCTTACTTTCATTTATATCAGATAATGAATTGTTAACTTATTTATCTGAAAATAGTTTAGCCTATGGAGACAATTTACTTCATATTGCCGGTAAGAGAGCGAGAGCGAATGTGATGTAGAGACTGACTCGTTCGATTTGTTTTCTTTTAGCTCGTGAAGATACTCCGAATGCACTGACATGTTTTCTGAATTTATCGCGCGTGAAATTCTGGTTTTGGGCGAATATGATGTTAACAAAAAACAATGATAACAAAACTCCATTAGAACTAGCGAATGAATTTAAACATTATGCTATTATTAAACTGATCAATTCCAAATGGAAAGAATCTTATGAGTATTTGTCGCATTCATTGCGCGATGGTCATTGTGGCGTATCACCAACAGGTGTAACACAATCGAAACGGCAATGTTTTAACTGTAATCAAACGGGTTTTATTGAATTGAGCAATGGAAATGCTACACGACCATGTCCCAAATGCAATGTTTGCTTGTATAAATCTCATGACAATAGTATGCAAGTGTTTTTAGCATTGCTATTCAGTGATGAATCAAGTACGATTGCACTTGATATAATGGATTCACTAATTGTTGTCAATGAAGTACAAAAGGCGATTCATCTGTATCTTGATCATATTGAACCATGGTATGATAATGACGTTAACGGAATTTCATTTAAAACGAATGATTTGTTTTAGGGAAGAATTCGATAAAGTTGATTTAAGTGATTCAACAAGTCTTTTAAATCAATTGGTATATACTACTGATAGCCACAAGGTTTGCTATCCATTCTGTTCAAAGTCATATGTGAATATGATTGAATTTTTAGCAACCAACTAGAAATCAATCGCGCAATCCATCGGTATCTATTCCAGCAACTTCGAATGCGTCAGGATTACCAATGGCAACAAATAAAATATCAGTTTCATCTCAACCTAATAATCCTACTTCAAATCCAAACCTACTGAACGTACCAGGAACAACAATAAATCCTCCGTACGAATCTCGACCATCGATAGCAAAAGCAAAATATCGTCCAGATGGTACTCAGTATCGTCCGATAGCACCTCTAGAAGCTATCTATTACCATGAACGTCTAGATCTGGTAACTCATCCGCTTATTAAAGGTAACAGATTTTGTTTTGACGAATATAATGGCCATTGTTTTTTTTTAAACTAAAGGTTTAATAACGTGGAAATGGGATAACTATGCTGCGAAACATTTCTATCTTGGTCTGTTGTTAGAAACGTTGTTTCTTATTTCATGGACTTGCATTTCATTGATTGTACCATTTCCAATTCGGTACGTCTATCGCTTTCCTCTCGATATTTGGCGTTGTCTACTGTGGGCAATCAGTATTGGCCTGTTAATTTGGGAAATTATTCGTGAAATGTTTGATATATCGTATGCAAGAAAACGCTATGAAGATTATCTCATCTGGGAACGTGAACGAACAAAGAATCGATTAGATTTGATCTCGAAAAATAAATATAAATCCAACACAGGAATACAAACAACGACGACACCGTTTGGTAAAACAGAAAGTGTGATCAAAAATGGAAATGAGGCGGGCGAAACAGAACATGTGACCATCAATGAAACAGCGAACACCAATATGTCATCAAGTATTAGTTTAACACCGATGCGTTCTCATCATTCTCAACATCATCCATTGCCACCGCTATTACCGACAATAATAAAAGGCAAAGCTAGTGAACCAGCACCGAATCAACAGCAACCAATTGATGCTCCTTTGAGTGTATCTGATCCATCGAATATTTTACTTAATGGTACGCAGAAGAAGAATACGTTAGGTACACAAGTTAACCAAGATGTTATCGTGTCCGGACCTTCGTCGCGATTTGTTCAATTCTGTCAACGTCTGAAAATTCGAATCAAAACACGTTTTCGAGCATATTACATGTACTATTCACTGAATAATTTATTCGATTGGATTATCTTTATATTGTGTCTAATCACCATCATTACACATTTTATCGATGTTGCTTCTCATACTGTTGTCCGTGCACGCATTCACATGTACATAGCGTCAGTAACAGTTTTAGCTATTTGGTTTCGATTTATGGTCTTCTTTCGGACAATATCAATCACCGTGAAAACACTAAGATCAAAAATAGTGGAAATCAAACTAGGCGAATTAGTTATCATGGTAAGTAGTGACAGACGAGAACAGAAAATGGCCATATTCAGACATGGCATGTATACATTCTGAACGTACAATGATTTGTATTATGTTTGCATAGGTGCGGATGATGTTCGATGATATCATACGTTTTCTCTTCGTATTCATCTTCCTTCTGGCTCCGTATGCGTTAGTTTTCTTTTTTGTCTTTGGCGGTCGACAAATTCGTCATAGTGACTATGAACAACGACCTCAACTTTGCGAATCAGCTCTACTTTACTGTCCAATGGTCGAGACATACACATCTGATGATGATAATTCTCAAGGAGCTGAAGGTCGAAGTCGATACAAATTTAATGGTACATCACCCATTGTCGGAGATTTATGTTACAATGCGACAAATTCTTGCGAAATTGTTGAGCAAAGTGGCTTCGAAAACTTCTATTCCTTACTTTTCTCCATCTTTCGTATTGCTTTAGTCGACGATAGTAAGTACAAAATTATAGAAACCTCATTTTTATACACTTTGTTGTTTTGCTGTTAGTTCCAATTGATGGTTTCAATCAAATCGATAGATACTTTGCTGCCTTTGTTTGTGGTACATATCTATTGTTTACTGCTATACTGTCAATCAACATCTTTATTGGTCTTATTTCCAACGCACTACAAACAGAAGCATTTTCAACAGTTGAGGCACGTTTTCTTCTCGAACGTGTCGAAGTGATCTTGAACTATGAATGGCGTTTATCAGATCGGAGACGTTTGCAATTGCAAGAAATCATTCATCGTCAATGTGCACCGTTGCAATTAAGTTGGAAGGAAATAAATTTCAATGCATTCGGACAATCACGTGAAGAACAGCAAGCAAAAGCATTTAGCACTTTTCGGCAGACGATCGAAAAGCATAATATTCAGTTTGATACCTTTCGAATTCATATACAACAAAAATTAAATGATATTGACTCGGCATTAATGAAATTACAAACAACCACGCATCGATTATCATCAGCATCGGATAGTCATTTGCGGAAAGGTAAAACAGATACGTCTGCATTCGATCCCGTGTCGAAACATCGAGAGAGTGAAGAAATGATTTCAGCAGCATCATCATCAACAGATTCAAACAAAGCTATATTTAACGAATTAACTCGAATGAGAGAATTACTAGAAGAAACACTTGCTGGACAAACCGATCGAAATTTGCTTCAACATGGTCGAACATTACCTGGTTCAACCAGTAGTATAACCACCGGTCGTCGATCGAATGTAGGTTTGCCACTACCATCGGTGACAACTGGTGCAACTGCAGGAGCTGGAACACATCACGATACTCAAATTCAATCGTTTTCAAACCATATCAATGAACGTGTTACTGATCTACAATTAGCTGTTAATCGTCTTCACCAAGAAATAGTTTCAATTCGGCAACTGGTCGAACGCATGTCACCATTATCAGCTAGTCTTATTCTTGGAAGAACAGCTGGACGACGATAGGAATTTGCAATTTCTTCTATGCATTTTTTTGTGTCTGTTCTATACAGTCTTAATACGCTTGAAATTTTCTTTTGATATTGCACACAAACAAGCCAAAAATATATACTTAAAATGATGAACTTCGCTAAGAGAGATTTATTTAAGAAATACTGTCCAATGCAATGAGGGTAATTAGTAGGTGAAAACATATTGCAATAACAAAACAATCCACGTGTCTATACTTTGTATATCAAATCACTATAGACGGGAAAATGATCCGAAGGAAAAGAACCGTATTCGTTGTGATAATCGTCTACTTTCGTTTCACCTGCGACAGAAAACACACTCTTCGATGATATCCAGATAAAATCAATTTTCGGACCATAACCTTCTTTTCGAAAACCATTGAACGTTGGCGTCTCACCATGTTGGTATGTATCAACGAACCCAGCAGTTTTCATCTGTTTAATTTCTGAGGCATTTTGTCCTAAAACAATGAGCTTATCGAGAGGAGTTATGCCTTCGATTTCTTCCGGCCAATTATTGAAATCACCAGTGACGATGACTTGATCAATATGATCACCGTTTTGTTGTATTTGGGAAAGAAGCACAGGTATGGAATGATGTCGAGCATTTTGAGATGGATAATCGATGTGGAGATTGTAGACAATGAAGGGATGTCGTGTAACTTTATGCTGAAAATGAGCACGAGTACAACCGCGCGAATTTTTCGCGCCCCAAGCTGCGCCCGGTGTTGATGGATGTTCGTTGAACCAAAATGTCTTCGTCGAAATCAGTGAGAATAGGTCATGTCGATAGTAGATAGCGTTTGTTGTATGCCAGGGATCTTGCAATTCGTCACCAGTGTATGACCAAACTTGTGCACTTCTACAAAATAGAACATTATCTGTCAAATAAACAAGAATTGAAAGAAAAACAGTTTACTGATTGAGATCAACTAGAATGTCATTGTGATATTGTGGAATGCCTTCTTGTGTTCCAATGATAGTTGGTTGCATATTCCGAAGACACTGGTGAACAATTGGTCGTCGTTGTTCCCATGCATTTCGTGTGTTATGATCCATGTCATCATGGCGTAAATTAAACGTGCAGATTCGCACAACAGATTGATCATTTTCATCATTCTTAACTACATTCATGTTGTTTATCTACTAACTATCGTTTATACAATGATGTATATAGGGTCTCACGAACCTTTTTTGTTCTATTCTATATTATCAGAAGAAAGAGAAAAATATCTTTCATAGAAGCGAAAGACGGTTGACACGTGGTTACAAACAAGAATAGAAAGAAAAATATTATTGATTCGAATGCTATTAATAAAGAAATTCGTTCACCTACTAACCGATCTTCGTTGCACTTTCACGTTTGTTTTTATTAAAAAATCTTGACATAATTATTTATGTTCGTTCTTTTATTAAAACTCATTAATTCAAAGTGCATAATTTCGATATATAGTAACTTCGATATAAAGCGCAAAAGTAAAGTTTAAATTAAAATAGGATTAAGTAGAAAAATAAAGGATCGATATGTGTTGCTATCCGTTCGATCATCTCAAAGTTTGAGTATGGAATCACTAAGACCGAGCCATGTCTTATAAGTTCCAGTTGTCATTGGTTTACCTGAAAAAAGACTTAAGCATGTCATTGATTCGATTTGTAACAACTTACAGCGTGGCTTTTTGTATTCAGTATCTGTTGGCCAATAGGCGAAACCATCTTTTGCATGACGTTCGTAGCGATTCGAATATTGTGATAACGAAGGTCGACGATTTAATTGTGCAGTTGCTGACCATGTCACTGGATCGGTCGATTGTACTGCTGAATTCATTGTTGAATATGATAGATCTTGACTTGATGAGGTCGGATTCACTTGTTGTGATTGGCTCACCGGTGGATAGCCATAACGAGGTATTGGATATTTGAATGTATCATCAACTCGAACAGTGCCTAAATGTAAATGCTAAGCATAACAGATAAATGAGAGTTTTATTCAGAAGTAAACCATCAACAAAGGCAAGATTTGAGCCGGAGTATGTATTTGTTTGTTTGATATGACGCCAGAAACCTCCGGCACGGCCTAAACGCATTCTAAAAGCAGCAGATCACAGTCTTTCTCTTTACATTATCTTGTTAAATTTGATTATTACTTTGGAAGACTACTTCCTCCGGCTTTGTAAGGCGTTGTTAGATTTTGCTTCAGAGCATCGCGATAGATCATCAATGAGCCTAATTGTCCATCATCAAGACCATCCCAATTGGCACTTTGTGATGCTGGATTGAATTGAAAATTGTTTCCAACAACATTTCTTTTAGAAGAAAAAAGCCAAGGAAATATATCGGCCTATCCTCTAGGAAATCTTGATATCATACTTTTGAGTACAAGGTAATGGTGGATTATTATTAAATGGTTTTATTGTTGTCGAAGTAAACTCATCTGAATTCTCATAATTTTCATAGTTCTTTTGTTCATTATTATAACCACTTTGGTAAAGAGAATCAGCGTTGCCTAGATTACCTTGCCTGTTAGATTCTGTCGGACACGAGCATTTTCCTTTGCATCCATGCACCGGACAATTCTGCATAGAATCAGTCAAAGAAACAGATCAATTAGGAATCAAACAAACCTCATCGACAAGTAAGACGACAGTCGGCTGTCGCTTAAGTTTTGTTTGAGAACTAACTACTGGTGGTTTAAATCGGAATGTAGGTAATGATGACCTAAACATCAAAACTAATACACTCATCGTCGATTATTTAGCTATACTTTGACCGTCGAAGAAGATATGTTGGACCAGATGCTGAAGTTGGAATTGTGTCAGCCATCTATGAAGTAAAAAAGAATTCCATTGTATCAGCAAACTTGCTGGATAGTTTTACTCACTTTTATCTACAAAATACACTTGCAAGGAGAAAATGAATGAAGTTAAATGCTCAGACACAATAACTGTTCTTATTTATTCAGCAATGCAAAAGTGTTTCAGGACAACAATAGTTTTCACATATATTTCTGTTGTGCTCTTCTGTCGATGAAGAAAAATAATTTCCATATTTCTATTAAGAACACTTGGTTACGTATTTTCTAACATCAAATAAATCTTGTGTCAGCGTCAAAAGCAAACAGCAAGCGACCAGTTAAAATAAATAGTAACGTCAGTCAAAATTCGAATTATTGTAAGTAGTTAATGCATTGACAGTGTTTATTTTTGTCGTTATTAACAAGAAAAACAAAGTTACTGAGAGAAAAATGAACAGAACAACAAGGCAATGTGCTGCTTGTTTTCAATCCCATAAATACCTACAGTTTTGAAAAACGTAATATTCAACATACAGATGTTTATTGTCAAAGAATATATTCAATTGTCTTCAATAAATTAACAAGATTATGAAAGCACGAAGTTGCTTCCATCGCAGAAAATTGATGCTGATAGAGAAACCTCGCAATGGCACATTATTTTGTTATTAGAGCGTTCTTTCTTAACTGTATGATCGAGATGTTATTCGTCTTGAAAAAGACATCATTATAAATTATAACTCAATTTGCATATTTGTCACAAAACAAGCCAACCTTTCCTTCAGGATTAAAGCTTTTCAATTTTCTTCTCAAAACAAAACTATTTTGAATGAATCCTGTAAGACAAATAAGAGTTGCTCTATTCGTTCTTTTCAATTTACAAATGAAGAAGAAAAAAACAAAAACAGAGAAAAAAGGAAAAATGAAAATTTCAATGCTTTCTCAATCATCTTTGTCTACTCTGCTTGTATTCACACTAGTATAAACAAAATTTTAGAAGACTTTCAGCGAATCCAAATGCCTGTCAAAACTCATCGAGTATTTTCGTTGAAAAGTTTGTTCACTCCATAGGTATCGTCTGTTTGTGTATAGCAAAACTCATCGGATCATAGTCCTGCACGAAGTCGGTCACATTCAATAAGAACAATTGCATCAAAATCAGCAGCGTTCACTACAAAACGAACATCGGGCGCTGGGAGTGGCATCCGTCGGAACCGCTCGAAAACAAATAATATCGAAACAAAATCCAATGTTGAACCAACAGCGAATAGTAACGATGAGATTCAGCAAGAATTTGATTTTCCAAAACTGGTAAAACGAATCGCAGAAGTTACGGGTATGTGTTGAAAATAGATTTAATCAATTTTGTCTATTCGTTTGGTTCTAGATAAAAATATTGATGAAGTATTGAAATTACCAGATTTATCATTGTTGCCACAAGCATTTCTGACGGAAATCGAACATGATGAAGTTTATGCCACCATTTTACAAGAACTTCAAAAGAAACAAGCAAATGTCATTGCAACGAAAACGACTCCCGGATCAGATGAGGATCACCACCAATCGTCTACAGCGCCATATTTTACAGTTGATGATGGTGATCCTATAGATACAATCGAAGAAATGTCAGGCATCGTATTCGATGATCACTCTCGTGGACAAGAAAAGGATGGTTATGATACAGATATTGAAATAGGTCAAATAAATAACTTATTCTAATTTCTTTCTCAACTAATGATTGTTTATGTTAATGCAGAACCTGATGAACATGAAACTGCTAAGGTACCTGACAAAGACAAGTATCGTGAGCTGTGTGCAGATTCAAAAATAGTACCCTGTTCGTATTTTATGGCACACATCAAAGATGATAAAATGCTTCTACGTTATCATCAATTTAACACAGCAGATATTCAAGCGATTACGAAAACACTCATTGTAACTTGTTTTCTATTCGTGTACTATAGAGGAAGTTCTTTTGTTGTTCTTCATAGACGAACTATACAATCGAACAATTATCATTGGATGGGAATTTTCTACAACGAGAAGCGGCAAAGTATATCACACAATTGATCGCCGTGAATGAATTTATCACTGAATTGGTAAGTGTGAATGTGTTAATGTAGAATTGCAATGTATAATCTAGAGTAGTCTTTGGTTGATAATCGATTGGGTGGTGGCGAAGGAACGAAGGAAATCTGTCGAATGCTGACGACAAGTCAAAATCTAAGAAAAATCAATTTATCAGGTATAAGATCATTTTTATATGATAATTGTAATTGAGAATTTTTAGGAAATAAGTTCGACGAATTGGATGTTACGCATTTGATCGAAGCATTTGAAGTAAATAGATGAATTTTACTTGACATGTTGAATAGATCATCGTTGTAGCACAATACAGCACTTCGTGAACTTGATTTAAGTCACAATTGTTTTGGTGAAAAATGTGGCCAAGAACTCGGCGCATTTATTAGTAAGATAAAATAGATTTTTGTTTACTTCATACCTGTAGCAAATCGATTTATTGACAGGTGCGAATGATTCACTAGAATCACTCAATCTCGGTTGGAATAATTTCCGTGGCGAAAGTGCTATTGCTATGATCGATGGGATTAGAGTATGACTGATCTCGTCGTTAACCAATTCTCATTCTTTCTTCGTAGGAAAATACTCGTTTAAGACGCTGTAATCTAGAAATGAATGGTTTTGGACCGGATGGTGGACCACCTCTAGCTGAATGTATTAAGAAAAACACTGTTTTGGAAGAATTGAATATTAGCGGGAATCGTCTCAATACACAAAATGCTTTCGCAATAGGGCAAGCGTTATCAGTCAATGATACGCTTCAAGTTCTTAGAGTATTACCGATATTTTATACGAAAAATTCTAAAATGAACTTTATTTTTTTCCAGATTGCTGGCAACCAAATAAACTCGGATGGTGCACTTGCTGTTTTTCTTTGTATCAAAGCGAGTGAAACAAGTCGAATGCGTGAAGTCGATTTTTCAGTAAGAAAAATCACTATTTCGCAAGCAAGAATGAATCACTTTTGATCCGTTTTGTTTAGCGCACGGTTGTCACTCAAGAAAGCATCGATGTTTGCGAAGATATCGTTAAATTAAAGAATGGCGATTTCCAGTATCGTGTCGGTAAAGTGACACCAAGTGAGTCGATAATAGAAGTACTGTGAATCAACGAATTTATTTGTGTCTTCTCTTTTCAGAAATGCTGCAATCGAATGCGACGAGCATATGTTATGTTAAAACGAATGAAACCCTATTGAAGAAACTACGCGCAAATGCCAAGAAAAGGATGCCAAATGAAAATTGACAAAATTTTCACTATCACTATGTTATTGTTAAAAATTTCATGAACGATTTGCTGTAATCGTGCATAAATATATCACATGTGACGCACAACAGAAGTGTTTTGTTCTATAATTGATATATCTATTCAGTTGTGATTAACGATCCTTTTTGGACATCTTTGCTCTTCTTCTCTGTACACATATATCGTGCTATACAAACGATGACGTCATTTATGATTACCATATTGCGTCGAATCAGCTGTTTTTTCTTCTTTCTATTATAGCCAGAAGGCGAGACTTACACACATATGTATTCAGTCGTTTTATTTTTCGTAGATGTACACGATGACTATGGATTATGAAAATGTAAATAAAAGCTATTCCACACTTTGATACCACGCTTAGATTCTCATGTCTAGAAAACACCGATGAACGAAGAAGTGGTCCTACCCAATTTGGAAAATAACCAGTCTACCGCCGTCGAAATTCTACGATATTCAATCAATGAACTGCAACGCAAACAAACTGATATTCATCGTCATATTGGTCAACTCTCAGCGGTAAAACATGATTTTCTGTATTGATTTATTCTACTTTCGAATAGGTAATGTCTGATTTTGAATATCATATGGCTCGAGTGCGTGATATATGTTCAACATCCAAAGATGACAACAATGAGTTATGTCATTCGTTACTCTCCCATTTGAATTCCGTCATACTCGATACACGGTCTGCCCTAGCTGCATCAACAACAAACTCGAATGATGCTCAGCAAGTTCATGATCTTGTTGATCGCCTCTATGAAGAAAACCAACAAATAGCTCAACATGTTGACAATTTATTGAAACAAGATCAATTCGATATCGACATAAAAGATGAGGAATGTATTGGAGAGAAAGATCACGACCAGGAGGATCATTTACAAAAAGCAATTGAGCAAATCGAACTTGCTCTGGAACAAAATCTTCGCGAGAAGCAACTTATTGACAAGGAGCAAGAACACTTCGAACAAAATCAGAAAACAATCGAAACATTTATTCAAACAACCGACAAATTACACGAAGAAGCACTTAACAAACTACGAGAACATATTCGAGTGTTACGTGAACATAATCAATCATTGAAACATTACAACGAACAAATCGACACATTGGCAAAACGATTACCCGAAACTTTATTTTTATCTGTTTAATAATAAAAACCATTTACGTTCAACTTTCATCTAATTCTGTACGAATCGTCCCACTGACCCAAACATTTACCCGATCGTTAGTGTTGATTTCTCCCATTGCACAGTGTTTTCTATAAAAATCTCGAAAATAATCATCCCATTCCAATACGCATATGATGATAATACAAATAATTCCAAGAAAAAATCCGATCGATGCCCAACCATGCAGAGGACCAATCGCTTTTTGTACATGAAAAAGTCCATAGAGTAACCATAATGCTGCTAATTCAAGGATAAATGATGTACATAGCCGAACAATTGCCATGGAATTTGTGAAACATCCGCTTTGAATGCAAATGGAAATGATAATAAATAAAACGAATGAACCTATGCCAATCCAAATAAGAACATAATCGAATGATTCGTCATTGATACTGCATTCATGAGTACTGACTGATTGTTTTCCATTCATTTTCGTCGATAAGCATCTCCATAGTGGACCAATATAAAGTTTAAATGTTTTATTGGCGTGATTACAATTGTATCGTGACGTATCGTATCGAAATGGTGAGTAGAAATGAGAGATCATTCTTGCATCACCCGTTTCAATAGTTCTCCATGATGGCGAAACGAAACAGATCACTAATAAGACACTAATGAACGAAGAAACTACGGCTAAAATTTGGTATCGACGAATAAATAATGCCTTTACCATACTGCTTTCATGTACGGACTTGAACTGTATATGCTATGGAAGGTATTATGTACAAGATCACATGCGAAATGTACGTGAGTATGTCAAGATGTCAAATATAAGATAAGGCAGATAATGTGAAATGCAACAGATTAGTTTTGTAATCTCGAAGATATTAATTGATACTACAATGTCATTTTAGCCCAAAGAATCCGATGAGACACTAGACAGTTTTTATATTAATTGATGCAAACGAGTTTTTCTTTTCTCATCAGGTACGTTATCACGAAGATAATGTTTGCAATTTATATTGAGTTCATTGGGAAGATCAGTCATGACGTCTAGTGCATAATATGAGAATATGCGAAGATGTAATTCTTTTCTGTTTGTATATTTAATATTGATCTCGCCTGAAAAGTTTGCACTGGAGCATCGTAGCCATTTTATTTATTGGCATGTGCATTCTTTTTCCGAAGACATTGTTTATTTAAGCAGACTGGATAGTGATGTTGATTAGAAAAGTACTAGCATCTTAATATTGACGGATTTCCTCTTCTCTTGTTTTTCTTCATAAATACATTTCATTTTTGTCATGAACAAATCAGTACTCAGATTTTCATTTCCACTCTCAGTTGAACACTATGATGCGACATATCAAGAGTGACAATATAAGCAACGGGGAAACAGATTCTACAACTGATGCTGAAGAATCTGAATTACAGCCTACTATTCCACCAAGTGCAGTACAATTTTGGACATTTCTCATCTTCGAAATACCTTCACTCGCTTGCACCATCTTCCTTCTTTATCATCTTATTCTTAATAAGCGCCTACGTACTGCATTACATAATCATATCGTCATGATTTTACTTTTTCTTACTCTGATCATCGAGATATTCGATAATCCACTGTATATAGATGCCTATCGTCTCGGTGGGAATATGAACTCTTTCGCTTTAACCCCTGGTATTTGTTTGATGTGGTGGTTTATTGACGTTGGATTCTATGGTGCCATATCTGTACTTCTTGCATGGGGAGCACTCGAACGACACATTCTCGTGTTCCATCACCATCAGCTGCTTCGAACACGAAAACAACGTCTTTGGATTCATTATTTTCCGTTGAGTATTATTTCTCTCTATATACTAGTGTTCTATATCATTGTTATATTTTTCCCACCGTGTACAAACGTATTTAATCTCGAGTCGTTAGCATGTGGAATCACTCCATGCTACGAGCAAGTACCGCTTTTGAATTCGTGGGATTATTTGGGAAATGGTATTCTGTGCACATTCATTGAAACTGTATGTAGTGTTGCACTTATTGTACGAGTTCTTTGGCAGAAACGTCGCTTACATCAGCCGATGAATTGGCGAAAACATCGGAAAATGGCAGTTCAGATTCTCTCGATTTCTTGTATATCGTTAACAATCGTTTTCCCTCAATCGTTAATCATCGTTATTCAACAAGTTGGCGGACCGAGTATGAGTAACTTCGGAGCAGGAGCGATGCCATACTTTTTTTATTTGTACACCTTTGTCGTCTTTCTACTACCGTTCATATCACTCGGCTGTTTACCGGAACTATGGCCAAAACTACTCTTCTTTTGGCCGAATCGACCGTCTACAGTAGATATAATAACACCGCCACAAGGAGCACTAGGCCCGTCGACAATAGTGCGATCGCGACGAACATAATGATTGGCTTTTGAACTAGTCAAATTAAAAGATAGCGCCAGAGTATGATACTAACTTTCCCGAATCATATGTAGCATATTTAATTAATTGTACTTTTACTTTTGGCGTTGTTTTTTGTCATGTTGAGACTTGTACTTCCGAACTTAGAAAATGATTTAACCGCGAGTAATCTTGGAATAAACCGGTACTATCTGACAGACATTATCTGTCAAAAACGTTTACCATAATTAGTAGGCAATGCTTCGTGAATCTTCTGATTTCCGACTGTATCATTTGGCATCATTACTAATCTTGTCACATTTATCCTTGGTGTATGAAAAAGTAGGACTATGTTTGATGTACTTTTTAACGTTGTGCACAGAATAAGAATGAATTAATTAGATTGCCTCTCGAATGAGTGCATGTTTAACAGTGCTTGCTTGAATTTCAAAACACTCGTTGTCAAATAGATGTTCAATTATGAAGAAAAACAAGATGAAAACAACGTTTTCTACCAACTGACTATGTCTTTCATGTAAAAGATAATAGCTACTAGAATATATTTCAAAGTTTACTTCATACCAAGAGGGAAACGGTCTAATTAGTGCTGAAGATGTTCCAGCTCTCGTTGTAGAGAAAAGGCAGATGTGAGTAGCTAGAGAATGAAAATCTCTGTGCGTTCTTAACTGTTTCTCTTTCGAAGAAGAAAAACCGTGATACAGATGGAAAACTATTTTTTTAGTATTAACAGACAAATACATTTTATTTTCAACCTGTTGTCGAAGTACATCCCACCTTTATTAAATTTTAACGTAGATTCAAAATGAATAAGATATGACATTTGCAACCCGGTGAATATTCATATTCATTTCACCAGAATATGAATGAAGTCTAAATCTAGGAACCGGTCTCATACATATTTCAAAGAATGTGAATATTTGTTCATATATGTGTACTTGGAGAATTCGTACTTTCGTCTAGAATAGTCTCTATCTGTGAATTTTTCCTTCTTCGGAGCACGTCGGATGTTTTCCAACAAAAAAAATCCTAGTTAATTCAAAACGCTCTATGTGTTCTCACTATGTGACGGTTCCTTAAAGATTGTATCATTTTTCTATTAATATAGTTTCTCCCTTTAAAATGAACCTAATTCCAACGACTTCTATATTTTATCCCATTAAATAATCTTTTCAATATTTTTTATTTAGAATGCCATCTGTCGTCATTCTACTTCGTATTTTCACCGAAGATAGCTACTAATGATAGTTAATACAAGTGTTACCAAGTCTATTATATCGAACGAAAGCGACGCAGAAACAGGAGACGAGGATTTAAACCAACTGGTTCCACCAAGTGCAGTACAATTTTGGACATTTCTTATCTTCGAAATACCTTCACTCGCTTGCACCATCTTCCTTCTCTATCATTTTATAACAACTGAAAAGTTACGGAATGCATTGCATAATCATATTGTCATCATTCTTCTCATTATTGTTCTATGTATTGAGATTTTCGACGATCCACTATACATCGATGCGTACCGCTTCGGTGGAGGAAAGAACTCTTTTACGATGACGCCTAGTATTTGTTTGATGTGGTGGTTCATTGACTATGGATTCTATGGTGCCATGTCTGTACTTCTTGCGTGGGGATCATTCGAGCGGCATATTCTCGTGTTTCATCACCATCAGTTGCTTCGGACAAGGAAGCAACGGTTTCTCGTTCATTATCTTCCATTAATTATCATTATCACGTACACGTTGGTATTCTATATTATTGTGATCTTTTTTCCGCCTTGTGAAAATGTTTTTGATTTTGAGTCGTTAGCATGTGGTCTATCACCATGCTATGAAGATATTTCGTATTTGAATGTATGGGATTATCTGGGAAATGGTATTTTGTGTGCATTCATTGAAACTATATGTAGTGTTGCGCTTCTTGTGCGCATTCTTTGGCAAAAACGGCGCTTACGTCAGCCAGTAAATTGGCGGAAACATCGGAAGATGGCAATTCAGATTTTGTCGATTTCTTGTTTATCATTAACTATTGTTTTCCCTCAATCATTAATCACTGTCGTTCAACAAATTGGCGGACCAAGTCTGAGTGATTTTGCATCCGGAGTGAATCCATATTTGTTCTATTTGTACACTTTCGTTGTTTATCTACTGCCATTCATATGCTTCGGTAATCAGCCTGAACTTTGGAAAAAATTAGGGAAAAGGGACCGAAACCGTCGCCGAGATGTTGGACCTATGACAGTCAATCCTGTACACGTTCAATCAATAGCAGTGAAACCTCTAGCAAGTTTGTAGTAGTAAACGCCGAAAGAAGAACTAATACGTTTTATGGTCTTGATATTGTTAATAAAAATCAAAAATCAAATGATGTTGCATAAGTTCAGTCTATTCAGAGAAGAGCAGAGAAAATGATGGACTTGCTTGAATATGATAGACTTCGCTTGCCGTTATTGTCCATAGACGTTATGGTACATTGTTTTTAAAACATACGAAGTAAATACTTTTGTAGCTCACGTTTAGATGATGTCAAAAAAATCGATTTGTTGTTTGTGTAATCGTTTTATAAAACGCTAAAGAAACTTGTATCTTGGAAAAGTATCTCATAAAAATCAACTGTGGAATGCTTACAATCGATTTTTAGGTATGAATAGTTTATAAGAATCACGAATCTTAGTTTTTTAGATTGACATCATAGAGTCCATTTCTGTGGCGAAACTAGCATTCAATCTATCTTGTTCCATCAATTATCGACATGTACTAAGAAATCACTCATAATCCGGTAATATCGAATAATGCCTGCTGGAGTTATACAAACTAGTACGACTAATTAAAACGGTTGTCGAAGAAATCAGTTGACAAATTTTGTTGGTTCCAACACAGATTTTCTTCTAGCAAAGTAAGGATATTTATAGTGAGATACATATATCTTAATGAATCTGATTCAGCAGCGTACACTATTTTCCCTATTGTATTCCAGATTAATATGAACATTAAACTGAACAGTGGATAATTGCTAATTGTACATGTCACATATACCTACCTCTTTGAAATTCACGTCTACATCGTTAGAAATTTCTTTGTTTTTATTGAATAGCACGTAATTAATAAGTAAAATATACATCAATATTTTACATTATGAAACTTTATTGCTCATTTATCAAATAGTTATCATTTTTAATTTTAGGTTCATTTTAGTGTACCTGAACCTTGAGTTTCGAACAATTCTCAATATTGCTATGAAGGTTAAGAAACTGTTGTCTTGTTTCCCATCGTTTAATCCTTGGAATTCCATCGGTGTGCGGACATTTATTTCTTAAGGCAAGTTTTGAGATCAGCACTCTCAATCAATCAAGCTCAAGTCAGGATATACAAAATTCCAAGCCTTGCCGAGATCTCTACTTCTTTTCGTTTCATCTAGCTTGTATAGTCGGTGAAATATATGTGATTTAAAACGAGTTTCAATCAAACTAATTAATAATTCCAAATATGAGTTTTTCTCTTCTCCAACATGAGACATAAACTTATTTTATACTTAATTCTATTTGAATCACATTTTTAAACTGAGCATCTCACACTAGTGTATTCTCTTATACTTTGAAGAGTTCTAATTAAGTAAGTATTCCTTCAAGTCAACAGTTTTCGAAGGAGAAATACGACATGAAGATTCATGATACTGGCAGCGATTGTTGGTCTCATCACATAGCAACAATACATCCATTTCATTTTGTTGGTTTTCAAAGTAATTTTATATATATAGGTTCTTAATCAAAATTTTGTCGACAAACCATTGCGATCTATATCCGTTTAATATACTTTGTTAGCTATGTCACATAGCAAAGTAGTTTACAATAAACCGGACGTTATGGTATCGCATTCATTACCAGTCTGTAAACAAACCGTTATGTAAAACCGTGACAGTCATTAGACTGTGTATCGAAGGTTATTTAATCATAGAAGTGATCTTGCTTTGTGAGAACATGTCAGACCTGCCATATGTACCCTATTTAAACAATTTGTTCTCCGTAGAAGATTGAAAATCATGTTCTCTTCGGAATCAATACACTTATTGGTTTTTACTGACATCTTCAGAGTGATTTGTATTTCCGAAAACGTCTATAGATTGAGTGCAAAATACTGAGAAAATTATGAAAGATTTTGATTAGGGATCAAATGAACAAAAAAAACTCTGTTGAACCAGATGCTGAATTCATTAAAGAAGAAAATTATTCTACAGCAGACGAATTCGAAAAAGCAAAAGCACGAAGAGAAACGTCAAGTTCTATCGCTAAATTATCTGTTGATTTAGAAATAAAATCGAAATTAACTGCTCTCTTTGAAACAAGAGAAAGTTAGGAAACGATCTCTTTACGTTAGAAGCCTTTTTTAGAATTGGTTTATCAATGGCAGCATTTTTTACTGAGAAAAAAAACTGTATACCCCATTGGTACATTCCATTCGACACAGTGCTGTATCTCACATATACCCCATCTCAGAATTTTTGCATCCCATTTCGTACCTGAATGAATGACGCTCCTGGAACATTCTAAAGTTGATTTTTTTATTAAGACAGAAACAGTATGATTTCTATGGAAAGTTTCCTGTTTCTCACTGTGAGAAGAAGAAAGATTTCTCTCATTAGAAAAAATATTTCTCGTGCGTTCTTTCTTGTGTTTTTCACGGAAGCAGAATTTATGTAATTAAAATACAAAACTATTTTCTTACTAAATACAAATAAATGTAAAAAAGCGGTATCTCCTAAGAGAACTTTGTGTTGAAAACAGATTCATTCATCTTTGGTTCTTGATTAATGCAGTACATATCGTATTTATCAAATTTTACCGTGGATAAACAACAAATAAGCAATGATAGTCCCATTCAAACGAAAAACGTCCGCATTCATTTCAGCGAATTATCAATAAAGCATGACATGTGAAGGTCATCAAGTCACATATTTCTTGGAATATAAAGATTATGTCATATTTGTCAACTTGGAAAATGCATGCCTTTGTTGGGATTTTCTAAACGAGTTTTCCGTTCTTCGCATGTAATAAGTCCTGCGAACAGGAAATCCCGACTGCCTCGAAACTCCATGTGTTCTTAGTGTTTGAAGACCACTCGTAGATTTTATACACATATAGGTCATTAGAGACTCTTCGAAACTTCTAATTCGGAAGTGGGTCGGTTAGATGTCGCGAAGATTTTTCTGGAACATTCAGACATTCAGATGTTTGCAGCTTTCTGAAAGACCGATCACCATATCTCAACAGTTCATGACCTTTCGTGTCAAAAACTCTCCCTTGCTGTATCCTCACAGTGGAAAACCAATAGAAGTTCTCGGAAAAGCACTCGGACACCTTTCCAGACAGACGTTCTTTCGACGTGACTATTAAATTAAACGGCTAAACGAGAGCTTCTAAACTCCAAAGAGCGTTCTATTGTGTGAAAAAGTTTATCTTTTTCTCAGATTTCTTTTTTCTATTGTAATTAACCTAATTAAATCGACACCCATGTATCAGCGCATAAGATACCATACTTTAATATTCTTATATAAAGGCTTGTTCATCGTCAGTACTTATGACTTAACTTCAGCACGGTTACTAATGGAAGTCGTCACAAACTTTAACAATTCTATTTCGTGCAATGAACCCAATGACAATACAGCAGATCAAAGCTTCGAAAAATTCATTATACCAAGCGCAGTACAATTTTGGACATTTCTTATCTTCGAAATACCTTCACTAGCTTGCACCATCTTCCTTCTCTACAATTACCTGGCAAGTTCAAAGCTACGAAATGCATTGCATAATCATATTGTCATCATTCTTCTCATTATTGTTCTATGTATTGAGATTTTCGACGATCCACTATACATCGATGCGTACCGCTTCGGTGGAGGAAAGAACTCTTTTACGATGACGCCTAGTATTTGTTTGATGTGGTGGTTCATTGACTATGGATTCTATGGTGCCATGTCTGTACTTCTTGCGTGGGGATCATTCGAGCGGCATATTCTCGTGTTTCATCACCATCAGTTGCTTCGGACAAGGAAGCAACGGTTTCTCGTTCATTATCTTCCATTAATTATCATTATCACGTACACGTTGGTATTCTATATTATTGTAATCTTTTTTCCGCCTTGTGAAAATACCTTCCAGTTTCAGTGGTTAGGATGTGGCTTTTCGCCGTGCTACGAAGCGGTATGGTATTTGAATGTATGGGATTATCTGGGGAATGGTATTTTGTGTACATTCATTGAAACTATATGTAGTGTTACACTTCTCGTTCGAGTTCTTTCTAAGAAGCGTCGTTTGCACCGACCAATGTATTGGCGGAAACATCGGAAGATGGCAATTCAAATTCTGTCGATTTCATTTTTGTCGTTAATAATCGTTTTCCCACAGTCGTTAATCACTGTCATTCAGCAAATCGACGAGCCACGTCTGGGTGACTTCGGAGCGGCACTGAACGCATATTTATTCTATTTGTACAGTTTTGTCGTTTTCCTACTACCATTTATCTGTCTTAGCAATCAATCTGAAATTTGGAAAAAGTTGCGCCGATTTTATCGCAAGCATCGTCGAGTGATTGGACCTGCAACATTGGATGTAGCACGTGTACGATCAATAGCGATAAAAGCGCTACGAAATATACAATAATGAACAGAGAAACCATGAACTAATGTGCAGTAACCTATATATTTTAAATAACAAAAGCAAATAAAAAAAGACAGAAAGATTCAAATAGAACTGTAAGTTTCAACTATCCTTTTAGACAAAAGCACAGAAAACAACGACGGCAAGAAGAGAGAACGATGCACATGTATTTAATCGTGTTGCTTTGCTAACTGAGAATGGATAGAAGAAGTTGGCCGGTAAACGAGTATTCGGCGCAGGTACTTGACCTTGTATGACAGTTGGTGATGCGGATATGTCTTGAAAAGTAACACTTTGTGTTACAAATTGTACAGTGGAACTTGAAGAACTCTAGAATGAGATAGTAAATGATATGAACGTATTTTCTGGATAGAAGAGTCGCATGTTTACATATTGATAGTGAAAAATGACAGCACTCAAGACAGATTGTGGATTACTCAGATAACCAATATTACTGTACGCGATTTGAATATCCAATCTTGAATAACATGAACTAGACGACGTGGAATTTAAAATTCCTTTGTTGCATTGACGGATATTTGGAGATCCCAACTGTGATGTACAATAGATAACAGGTAACCAATCACTGGTTACATTATTTGTGTCTGAATCACTATAAGCAGCTACGTAAAGGTCTGATGAACCAATTGCTGGAAATAAATCAAAAGAATTAGGACATGTAGAGCTAAACAAATGAGCGGATGAATATAATGATTAGAGTAAACGAAGTTGATTACGTTAGCTGACATGTTGATTGAATATTTTCGCCAAAACGAATAGGTGTACGTAGGCTACTATCGCAAAAACCATTCGACCCAGCTTGTATAACAGAAAATTGTGAAGAACTCAATACACTGTAAAGAAAACAGTTGATTACATTCTCTTCTATCAACTATTGAATTAAATGAAATCATACGTAATCGATGTTCCATTGATAGTGCTACTGGCTAAAGCAGCACCTGGAAGGTATCCTGGATTACTTGTCGTACTCGACACACTTGAACCATTCTGAAAAAATACGCACTATTGAAATATAGTTTACAAACGAAAATCAAGATTCACTTGAACGAAATTAACAGTAAATGTTTGTGTAAATGGTGTGGATGATAGTGCAGTTCCAGTTGTGCTACTCACAACGACATTCACGATCCCAGTTGGATTTGTGTAATAGATCGTTACAGTCAACTGAAAAGAAGGGAAATTGTTTTTTTTTCAAAAGAAATTCGATCGATCATACACTTTGCAAAGCGTTTGCACAAGAACCTGTCGAATAATTTGAATTAGAACCAGTCATAGTACTACAAACACGCGCTGAACTATCTGTAGAAAATAAATACTATTATTTGGGTGAATATTTCGAAATAGAATACCGGTGAGGTTCGCTGGCGACTAAAACAACGCAAATATTACAAAAAAGTAATTCATCGAAAGAATAGTATTATCTTTACTCGAAGGAGACATAATGGACTGATATATGTTAAAGGATTTAATGCTCCAGTGCAAGTTGTTTGATCAATCAACTGCTGATTGCATGTCGATGTAAAATCGTTCATATAAGCTATATCGAAGCGAAAGACAAGAAATCGTGAATTCCCATTTATTCAAATCAAGAAGATTCAACATACTGATTGTTTGTGATCCTGAACACAATGAATTACCAAATAATCCTATTGGTAATGTATAAATCGAAACACCCGTCGCGCTCGTATACGCTAATACTGAAGTACCGACCTGAAGCAAACGAAAACGATGTAGAGAACATGACGTGATGTAATTATACGAAATAATCTATTTACTTGATAGTTGGTGAGACTAGTCGAGATCGTTGGCTGTGCGGTGACACTATATTGTGTGTCGAGTGTTCGGATGAAATCAGCTGCATTCAATGTTTGAATATTCGGTTGTTGATAGTATTGACTTCCGCTATCTAAGGTGAATTTCTCAAGATTTACGTCAGATTATGATATAACACTTACAACGAGCGTAGTCTATACACACGAGTTCACCCATCTTCTGAATGACATATGGTGTATTTGTGTAAAATATTGACAAATTTTTGAAACATGTTGATTGAACGGTTGAGTAGATGGGAGTAGTACTAAATATGCGAAATTCTCATGAATTACTCCTTAAAACAGAAACAAGCATAGGAGAAAATCATAGATTGTATGATGAACTATTCGATCAGCTGCATGTACTAACGAATACTTGACATTTTTCTATGTGCAATCGTACTGACTACAAAAATTAAAATAACTAAGCGGCAAAATGAAACATCGTCAAATAAAAATAGTGAATATTTCACAGATCGCTTATGACATTCAACCCAAGTCAAGCTATTCTTACTTCGTATACTGATTTTCTTGTGAATCACATCCGAATGCTAACAAATCATTCGATGTACAATCAGGATCGCAACAACACGATGCATCACAGGCATTTCCTGTTAAATCACATGTACATGATCCAATATCTTGATGAAATATATACGAATGAAAGAAAGAATCGTTATGAATAACAATTATCTACCGGTATTGGCAGGAAATGTTGGAAAGGTAACTGAAACATCTTGAGATTTCACGATTGTGAATAGTAGTAGTAGCACAGAGAAGAAAATCATCTGAAAAGAAGATTCTATTGATTAAATAAGAACGTAATATTGACTTTTATTTTATTGCACGCGAGGAAAACTGAGTCAATGTGCTTTTCTCGTTCAGAATGTCGAAAAAACGCCGGTTTGAGATTATTGCATTTGTTCATTTTGACTATGGTTGATTTTTTGCAGTGATTCATATTCAACTCGAAGTCTAACAAATAAGAATAATTGTAATGAATATATAAAGAAGTCTTTTCTCGAACAAACCGGTCAAGTTCGATCATTTTCTCTTTTATCAAAGATTGTAATTGTTGCTTTTCAAATTTACGATGTTTAGCAGTGGATTTCATAAGATTCTTTGCACCTATTGTCTATGAGATAAAATACGCATTCTATGTCATGCAAATTATCTCATGAAGAAATGACCAACTTTAAGTCGAACAGCTTCTACTTGTTTCGAATATTCTTCTGTTCTTTCGATCAACGTGTCCACCAACTTTTTGAATTCGAACACGTCTATATAGATGAATGTATGATCTATGGATGGTCAACCACTCTCGTATACATACTCTCGGTAAAATCTTTGCAATCATCTCGTAGTTGATTGGAATCAGTGATGCGTTCGGGATCGATCAAACGGATTCGATTTTCACTATCGATAAACAAACCAAAATTAGCGAGAGCTTCTTCGGCCATGAAACTACTTTTCACAACAATATTGGAATGAACAGAAGCAGAATCCATTAGTAATCGAATTTAGTCAGAATGTTGCCTAGCGACTTGTACTCAACTATGAAATTGTACTCAGATGATTTTTTCCGGGTAATTAACCGAAGTAAGATGATTTATTTCAGAAATTCGATAATATTTCATTTGGAGTAGAAGAAATTCCATACAGATGTCGCTAAAGTCCTATTTGCCTTTTATATAGCTCATACAACTATATCCAAATGCAAAAGGATGTTAATGAAAATATGAAATTCTATTTATTTTCTTAATCTACTATATTGTATAGCAATCATGGTGAAAATTTTAGTCTTTCGCTGACACCGTTGGATTATCATAGGCACCGTCTATTGTTCTGTTTATCACAATGTCTGATGAAACTATAGTTTGTGAGTCGGCACCCATTGTTTGCGAACTTCCGCTAGTATGAAGTGTATTATAGCCGTCTGATTCTGCTAGCTCGACGTCATTTTCAATCTGAAAATAGATCAAATTAATTTAATTCTACGAAGAATTCTTTTTGAGTGAAAGGCAAACTTTAGTTTCAATATTGTCTTCTTCTTTCACACCGCATCGAAGCCAATCGCGTATTGGTTTAGGCAAACAGCAGCAAAATACATCACTAACAGGTATAAGCAGTTTCGGATCGACTTCACCGGGCTTAAGTGGACGAGTTATGTATGAAACGATAATACCAACAATGAGAACAGTAGCGACAGCAATGGGTGTGTACCACATATAACTGATTGAATAGAAGTCGAGTAATGGATCGCGTCTAAAATATGAAAAGAGAAATTCTTCGAATGAGATACATCGCAAAGTTCATTAGTTGACTTTATTGGAACTGATATAGGCTTGGTGACATTCACTGGTGTGGGACAAAGAGCAACTGATAATGGAAGACGTTCACTTCTCATTTGCTTCTTTGTAAATTGTGCACCCAAGAAAATCCATAACTGCAAGAAAAGACTGGCTAAGAATCCGATAAAACCACCTCGACTGTTTGCTTGTGGAATAAAGAAACCAAGAAAAAACACACCCATAATTGGACCCGATAACACTCCGAATAACGATAATGCAGCGTTCAGAATTGATCCAAGATAACTCACAATGTACGTCAACAACACCACTACAGCACCTAATATAATGGAGAAGATCTTCGATACGAAACCTTGCCGTTCGTCAGTCAAACTTCGTCCTAGCAATCCTTTGTATACGTCCTCGATAACAACGGCAGCAAGACTGTTCAAACCCGACGAAATCGTCGATAATGAACCGGAAAAAACACAAGCAAGAAAGATTCCTGGAAGACCTTTCTTATCACTTAGCACATCCATCACAAAGTAGGGAAAGATCTGATCGATGTCGGTTACATATTTTGCTGTATAAGGATCGCAATCTGCATAATATGCATACAGAATGATTCCAATAATACAGCATAAAATAATGACCAGTGCTGCACCAGCAGCGTTGATGAATAATGCTTGTTTAGCGCCGCGTGTTGTTCGAACACACATATAACGTTGAACCTGTGTTTGATTAAAACCATAGGTCGATAAAGAATTGAATCCACCACCGATCAGTAAAGACCAAATCGTATGACGAACACGAGGATCAGGACTTACACTTAAAACAAGAAAATAGAATAGAATCTTTTTATCGTATATGTATCAATGCCTGTCAAATTGAATTCTTCCACCTCTTGACGCTATGGAAAAGGTTCGTCTCACGCCACCAAGCGCTATGAAGCCTACATACAAACATTTGTAGGAGAAATTCCTTTTCAATTTTCACTCAACCTTGTATAATAGCGGCAAGTAAACCAATAAGAATGACTAACGCTTGTAAAACATCTGTCCAGATCACAGCTTTCATGCCACCCTATTTGGCAAATCACAAATTCATTCTTTGTTTTCTTACTTTTGACACGTACCACCGATGAATAAAATGTACAAATGACACCAATCGAAACAACAGACAGCCAAATATTCAAACCAGTTGCTAGAGTATTCGTCGAGCTAGTCCTGTACGCAATCGGGTCAACTACTTACTTTGACTCAATGCCAATGCAGGTGCATATAAAACAATGGCCATGTAGATCAACTATTTTATAGATAATGTTCGAATTGCGTGTCATGAAATGATTATTTACCATGAAGAACGAGAATGCGAAAGAAGCACACATACGCACGGATCGATCAAATCGTTTTTCTAAATACTAAACAATTTCTGTTAAGATAGATTTTCTACATTAACGACGACAATGGTTACTTCATAAGCACTCGTGCAATTCATTTCACGAAATTTTGGCATGAATACCAATGCCGTAATCGTTGAAGCAAATGTCCAAGAAATAGCTTAAAGAAAAACCAATAACATTTCCTTGCTGTCAGTTAAAAAGCGAAAGATTTAAATGGATTCCATATTTACCCTGATAACAATACATAGTTCCAAACACATAAACCTCACTCGGTGTTCCTAATAGAGTAATAGCTGAGAGAAATGAAACCATTATACTCAATGCTGTTGGAAACACCTGAACATCGAAAAATTCTTTAGTTTATTCGAAGAATAACATCGAAATACTCACTCCCATGCCACCATCAGCTAGAACATAGAAAACAGATTCATCAAAGTTCTCTCTAAGTATTCTCATTGATTATCTTACCGAGAAGAAATTCTTTCGCTGAGCTTTTCTTCGATTTAAAGAATCCGAATATCGCCCCAATCACTGCCGATGATAGAAGAAGTATTATAAGGAGTATATAATCCACTACGCTCAATGTACGTAGAGCCATTGTACGTATAAAGTTCGTTCGTTGATTTCTAGATCAGAGAAATCAAAATACAATAATAAAAAATAACATTGATTTTTATAAGTTTACGCAAAATACAGAGATAAGGAAACGACACCGGGTAAAAATACCTTTTTCTTTTCTATCGAACGACAGGCAAATGAATAGATTATAAGAAAGACCTTATATTAAGATAATATGTCAGAATGATAATGATGAACTTTACATTTTTATGCAAAACATTTGCATAGATGAGTGAAAATTTCATGTAGACAATAACAGATGAAAAGAAACGATTATTTCTTTCTTTTCGGTATTCGTGATAATTCCTTCGACGTTACCGTACTTTTTCGATACTCAAATACAAACACAGAAATCATTTCATCTTTGAGTTTGTCCGTAAATATCAGTGTATTCATGTCCCAGGTAAGACTATAATCCGCATTCGTATTATTTCAATGTATTCTCTGGCATGCAGATCACCTTCAATCGATTGATCTATCCAAATTACGTCCTACTTGTTCGTTTTTTTTACTGGATTCGTGTTTTAACATAAGAGTAGTTAATATCTCCTCCATCCTTACGACACCTGTTCTTTAGTTTTTTTTTAAATTCAAAAATGACATAGAGGCCTGTTTCTATGTCAACAACACACCTTTATGGTCACAATTCTGATCTTTCAACACACGTTTTATTCACTGAAATCCCCTTCGTGTTATATCTAATCGATGGCTGATTCACAGCAGACCCCTCGACATGACGATGGTCACGGAATGGAACTTCATGATCCATCTGTATCATCTGTAAATACAACTGCAAGCACTGCACCACGATTACCGCCTCATTTGCTACAAATCATCGAACATGAATTGACCTCACCCAATGCTCCATCCTTAGCCGATATTCAAGCGTACCCAACAACGGCTTATTTTAATAAGACAGTTATTCCAATTATTATTGAAGGACTAGCTATCGTGGCAAAGGAACGACCGAACAAACCGATCGAATTCCTTGCCGCTTTTTTTATTAAAAACAGAGAACGATTCGGTGAAAGTATCTAATCAAATAAATGATCATTTGTATTCCATTAATTTCCAAAACTATTAGATCACACTGAAAATAAATGTTAAATCCTTTCGTTGCGAACATATTCGATACGATAAATTAAGTTCTGTCTTACACCTTCCGATCCGAGTGGATTTGAAAGAACGTAAGTTAAGAAATACTACGAAAGCAGCACATTCGCCGCCCGCCAACTCATTTTTTCATTGCAGTGTATCTTTTCGATTGAATGTTACGCTTGCCATCATGCTAAAAATAGCTTCATTTTCATTCCTAACTTCAATACTCATCAATAGATACGAAATCGAGATGAAATAATCGAATCTGATCGTACTCGAGTTTTCTCGATTCTATCGTAATTTAAAGATATAGAATACAAATAAACAATCAACAACATAACATAGAATTAGTTGTTTCGATTAGTAATCATCAAGTTATCAAATGATGTCTACAGTGATATGAATCAATGATAAAGAGAAAATGTTTAACTGAATTGTTTATTTTAATCAAAGCATAAATGACTGGACGGGCATTTGATTTCGATAACGTTTTCTTAGACTATCAAATTTCTTACGCCATTTTTCTCGCCGAATTGGTTGCGGTAATGAAAAAAAGCATCACAAATGGTAAAAATAAAACATCAAAAATAGAAAATATCTGTAATCGAGAACTTCATCTAAAGTCTTTCATGTATTCATAAGAAACAAACGCGTACAATCCTCTCGTATTGCACTATCAATGAATGAACAGTTACATCAAGTCTTTCAATTCTCGAACGCCAATACACGAACAAGACGAATATTAATTTAATGAATAAGCGTATCGATAGATTGAATAAGAAAGACGAACGATAATTGTATGCTTATGTAAGGTTTGTTGAAATAATGAAAGATCGGAGATTCTCAATGAAAGTCAATATATAATAGTCTTATTAAATATAAATAATGTTTCTCGAGGTATTTAATTGAAAATCAGGACTTTGTTTTTAGATGATAGTTCACTGAATCTATTGTGTACGATCTCAATGATTATTATTCATATTCAAAGAAAGTCATACTTAAATACTAACCTTGCTGAGTGTGATATAAAATTAACTTGATAGAGTTCAAAAACTCGAGATTAAAATACAATTTATTTTCTAAAAATAATCTTTGATGAAAAGCAACTGCGCAGAACATCATCATTTAACAAGCATCATTAATTGTTTAAAGTAAATCTTCGCCTAGTCATCATCGACAAAAACATGCAGTCAATGACTTCTAACAAAATGTTCGTGCTCTTGTATCACTTTCCGAATGATAAAATTTAGGTAGTTTTTACCGATACAATAATTTGATAAATAAGTAGTTGGGAATAGTAAAGGTTACAGAAAGAATCTTTCGTAAGTTCTTAATATCAATGCTAAGCAAGAACATTAATACCGGAGAGAAGGAATGTTTGAAGTTCCTCCAGGCTTTCTTCTCTGAGTACGAAGAAAAGTTTCTAGGCGTAAATGAAGGCGGGAAACGACCTTATTAGTATGTCTACTTAGTAATATAAAGAAAATTTCACAGTTGCACTTTTTTCAAATCATACACCGGTAAAGTTCAATGACATTTCATCAACACAACAGACTATATACATCAAATTTAGATTACTAATGCATAATACCTACGAATTTAATGATAGGAAAGTACATATATTACTTATATTGATATTCCCAAATGATATTCAGTTCCTGACATGAAGCAGATGTTATTCGGTCTAGTCTTTTTTAATCTTAGACAACAAAGGCGAATTGTAGTAGATTACATATTATTACGAATAACGTGCACTTTCTTTTGAATAAGTATAACATGATAATTATCAGGACTTTTATCAGCTAAGAATAGAAATTATCATAGGAACTCATGAGAGAATAGTATAAAAAGAAGAGAGAGAGAGAGAAGGATTAATTTGTTTAGAAAACGAAAAGGCAAAACGCTATCCACTACACAATGCAGTTAGATGCCACCCGATACTTTTTCTTATTAGAGTATTCGAACTTGTCACAGATAAAGTCATTTTGACTCGAGCAGTACGAGTGTATGTTTAATATGGAACGTCATGTTCAACAGTACACGAAATGGATCGTATGCTTTTTTTTTTATATCGTAAATAATTGATAGCAAAGTTTGTCTATTTTCAGAAACTAGGTAGGAGAAAACGTTCCCTGTAAAATGATTCACTGATAAAAATAGCATGAAAATCCTGTTTAAAAGTCTCATTTGTCATATGAGTATCATTCATGAGTGATTCCGGTGAAGACCTTGATAATGAATAATAACGATGATATCACAGCATAAACATCATTTCATTTTCTGCAGAAAATAACATCATCAAACCTATCGTTATCCCTCGATAGAATCAAACTAGAAACAATTTTTTGACATTAATCTTTCATCCTATATATAGAGAAACTGCATTATTATTCAGACACGAAAAGTTCCTTTTTATCCTTTTTTCTTTATTTCACGATCGTAACATTTGATGTCGATGATAATGCTAGTTGTGTTCGATGTGAAGTTCAGTTGTGAACTATGTGTGCGTGAACTTGAACCGAAAGAGTGAGGAGGCGGGGGGAGGGGGGGGGCAGAGAGAGAAAGAAAGAAATAGACATCAGTCGTTTTCCTGTAGCTTATGAAACACATTGGTGATATTCGCGCAAAAATATGACCTTGCTAGTGACCGATGGATGATGACCGTTCATGTATACATTATGTCGAAACTTATCGAACAAGCAAGAGAAAAAAGAATGAATCTACTCGTTCTGATCAAATTGCGTTCGATTGACCTTGGCCGTAAGGGTAATTTATGAAATAAGCGAAACAGAGAGAAAGCGAACGAAGAAGAAAGGAGAGAGACAGAGACAGAGACAGAGACAGAGAAAAAGACTCATATTGTACCATCGGTCAGTATTCAAGGTCATCCAACTTGAGAGAATTAGTTATTTGCATTTGCACATGCTTTTCAACTGATATTAGTTATAACAGACAAGTTTTTTCAAGACTATACAAGCCGAAACCTTTATATCTTCGTGCAATGAATATGTTTGGTGAAGTAAGTTATAGAAAAAGAGAAACGATAATATTTTGCGTCACATAAAGGAAACCAGGGAGAAAGAAACGAAGGAGAAAAAAGTAATTCATTGAGAGCTACTAGAGTTGTTGTTGTCGTATTATTTCCGTCACCAAGAATCTTGCGCACATCTATATTTATGATGCTTGCATGAGATGAAGAGAGAGGGCTGGAGGAGAACAGAGAAGGCCAAAAAAACGACTCCGCAGAAATACGATTATAATAACGTAATATTACATAAAGTTGGAATAGAAACAAAGCGAGATGACTAGGGAAAGGAGAGAAGAAAAGAAAAAACCTGAAAAATATTTAAGAAAAAAGAGTGCGATAGAAAAGGAAAAATAGAATTACATAATTCGTTTCGATAAAAAAAAAACGAGTCTAATGTCAAGAACAGAACGCAAGCTTTTTTCAACCGCGATATGAAGAACGAAAGAGCTCAGTAACAGCGGCAGATCGGTTGCCTCGTTCTTCCCTTGACAATGATAGGAACGCTGTCGAACGTGTTCTTTTCCTTTCTCGATATTTCGTCCTTAACTTACGCAAGAGAAAAAACAACAAAACAAAAAAACGACTGCTGTCTGTAGCGGCAAGAAATAGTAATCTAATGCAATCATGCCCATATAGAAGTAAGAAAAGCGACACAAAAAAAAAGCGCGTCGAAGAAAAAAAACCTAGGAGAAACAGAGAAGCAGAGAGCGACAGGACAAAAAAAACAGAAGGAAAGAAAGACGAATCAAATCACGCAATCGCCTTTTTCCGTCATCGGGCGCCACCAAAAACATATTATTCGCGTTCTTTCATACTTCGTGCTCACAAGGACACTTGCGTAGATTGATAGTGTTGTTGTTGCTCTGATATTGACTGAACAACAACAACAACAACACAACTATTTCTGTATATATATACATATATATACACACGTACACGCACACATATATCTTGTTGTATCGATTCCCGGTGAAATACGCTAATAAAAACTAACACATCGATAATTAGAGAATGGTAAGTTTTTTTCCATATGTCAACAATCGAATAGTTATCTGTTTGTTACATCATTTTCTTGGAGAGCTTTGAGATAACCTAGTCTAAAATAAAACATCTTTGATTAACGTCAATAATTAGGTTTTTCCTACCTTTCTCACTCTTTTTGTACATTAATTAATCATAGACGACTTCTAAATTTAACATATATGCGTGAAACAGGAATTTTTTTAAATCAGGGAAATCTTTCTACAGTATGCATTTAATAAACGGCTAAGAATAAAGCGAGAGATAGGTCAAAAGGAAGATGATAAAAGAACTTCGGTGAATGGCGCAATAACCTATAAACGCAGCGAAGGGATATGTCAGGAATACTGAGAAGAACGGGAGGAGGAAAAGAAAGAAAAGGAGTTAAAGTTTGTCTAATCAACGTTTCCTTTTTCTTTTCTCGCGTATCAGGTTGGTCCGGTGACAGACGACGATTCATCTGTAAGTCCTAATACCGATAATATTCAACAACAACATTATCGTCTCCAGTTACTTGCTCAAGCGATTGAAAAAGTCGAAAGTGAAAATTCGAAAAAGAAACTTCCAATTCCATCACCACCATCGAGTACTTCCAAGAACGATGAACAAGATTTAATTATGAAGATTCTTTCTCAACAGAATATGGCCGCAGCCATGGCTGCTGCCGCGGCTGCTGCTGCTCAGTTGCAGGCTCAACAACAACAACAGCAGAGAAAACTTGAACCTATTTCACCACCATCAACATCATCTGCTTCCTCGACAGCAGAAAGTCCAATTGATTTTTCTTCGCGTCGTTCGACTGATGACAATAATGAATGTTCAACACCTTCATCGCCATTACCAAATCAACAATTAATTACGAGCATGTTACAAAACTTTCAATCGGCATTGCAACCAACTGCAACATTTCCATTTTCATTAACAAACAAAAACGGCAAACCTACACGACCATTCAAAGCTTATCCGCGTGAACCTTTAATGTTACCATTGGGCTTCTACTCCGGTAGTACGGCCGATCAAAGTAATATTCTAGCTGAGGCGGCCAGTCGCACGACACCAAATCGTAAGCGACTTGCTCAAACTCAAGAACGTCTGAGACAACGCCTGCAACAGCAACAACAGCAGCAACCGTATTTTATCTCGTCATCGGGTACACAGATATTGCAACCACCCAAAAAACGACATCGAACAATTGAAAGTAGTATTAGTACTGAAGAGAATACCGCAACGGAAACGGCAAATATCAATGCAAGTGAATCATCAACACCGAACAATCTTGATGATGGGAATAATTTAATCAAAGATGATGCTTATTGGGAAAGAAGAAGAAAAAACAATGAAGCTGCGAAACGTAGTCGTGATGCTCGACGTGCCAAAGAAGACGAAATTGCCATAAGGTAAATCTCTTTCCCCAGTCCAGCTCAATTTCACTGTATTGACTTTACTATTATTTAGAGCAACTATATTAGAACAAGAAAATATCAAATTACGTCTTGAAGTTTCACAATTAAAACAAGAAACTGCCAAATTACGATGTATGGTCTATGCGACATCATAGTCACATGATATGATCCCCCCCGTGTACGTTTCTCGGTGATGCTTTGGTCGATCATGAATTCCTTTGTGTAATGTCAAAAAGTATTCATTCGTTTGGTTTTTCTTCTTCTTTTTCTTTTCATCGAGTTCACATTTCTTATCTCCTGCAAAGCAGTTCTTATAACAACATATGACGAAGCCGAGCTTCGAATATGTATTTCTTTCCTTTATTTCTACTGCTTTTCCAAGAGAGAACATATTCGCTTTTCGTTTCTTTGTTTTTTTGCTGGATATCAGTGGCCATGGTTTTGTTTCTGTTTTTCTTTTTCGTCTCTTTAGTTAACGATACTACTTACTTGATTCGCTTCATTTCATGACATTATCGATGTTTTGTGTTTTAGTTCTTCCCTCATTTGATTTCACGTGCTTCATATTTAGTTTTTCGTTTTCTTTTCCTTTGTTTCACGCAATATCCGCTGTTGTCGCTGCCGCTGCTTTTCTTTTTCTTGGTGTAGAATTGATTAGAATCAACTGATGTACATGTGTTTGTGTCATAATTCTTATCTTTGTGTGCGTGTTTGTTCGGTTTATCGTCTTTTTAAGTGTATACAAAATCTCATTGAATGTGTTTAAGTATCGATACTGATTGTTTTCTTTTTGTCATATTCTAATAGACAAAGTTTTTGAAAACAAAAAAAAAGCGCATCCAGCGATTTTTGATTTATTATTGATGTTTTTGTCATTGTTCGGCAAACAAAAGTCATTTGACTGTTTTTGCTTGGTAATAACATCTGATGTCGGATGTTGTTTCTCTCTCTCTCTTCTATGAATGAAAGAAAATTTCAATGCCAGAACATGTGCAGACGATTTTTCAGGCAAAAAAAACATTAAGACTAAGAGTAAAACTCGATAATGGAAGTGCTTCGAAACTGAGTAGCATATAGGCGGATGTCAATACAAAAAAAGTTTCATACATCATCACCGAGAATCCCTTCACATGCACAATGATGTGAAAAACGAGTTGACTTTATCATCAATGCAAGAAATGACAATCAAGCAGAAACTATCTCACTCGAATACTACTCGTTGCAGTACTTCGATGTTGAATAGGATACAGTTACAGAAGAAAGAAGATCGTTTTTAATATGCGCTATTTTAAAGTGCAAATCTCGAGTTCGTCTTACATGTATTTACTGTGATCGGATGCATTTGTCTTTCACATGAAGAAACAAGTGGATAATCTGACAATTTACATCACGTATTTCACGTCAGAGCTAGCAGCTGTGCAGATTCCTTTGTAATTAGAATAAAAATTCTACTTGAGAACGACGAAGTCGTTCTGAGCTAATCTTTTTTAATTCAAAGATCACTTGAATATACATCAAACAATTGATTGATGATGCAAAAACAAGTATCGAATTTACTTTTTTGATCATGGTTGAATAATTCTCTGAATACATTCCGAAGACACAATTGAGATGATGTTTTCACTTTCGAAATCAATTCTCGTCGATTCTATTCCAAATCAGTTCAAAGATAACATCAAAGAGCAGAACTTTCGTTTATGATCTGTTTGTCCAATCATCCAAACTGACCTTTTCTATCATTATGTTCATTTATCATTTCTTTGAGATTTCAATCGACGTTTACATCTGTTCGAAAATTCATTTATTATCGATAATGATGACGATGATGTAAAAGATTATATTCATCGAGATAAACATCCGCTGTATCTGAACTTTGGGCCATTGAATAACGAACGTTTTCGAAAGAAACAAATCTGTTCGTTACAATTCAATCAATCGATTGCGATCACTTCACACCTATGTGTGACAAGATCACTCAATGTTACTCAATGATTATTTCATCGGATCATATAACACATGATAATGATTGAAAATTGAAAGAGAAGCCGCAAGATTTAGAAGTATACTTTGCTTTTTTTTACATATGTTAAATATTTGACAAGATCAAAGAAGATAAAAAAACGAATGAATTTCACAGGAACAGAAAATCACGAGTAGATTATAAGTAAATTATCTCGCATTTTTTCTTTCTCGAAAACAACAGTAATCAGATATAGTTCAGTATCGAATGAGCAGTGACCTATGAAGATTCAATATCGTTTCTCTCATTCACATCGATCACCAAAGAGCTCAAGCTGTATTATTTAATCCGATCATTTTCGTTCACACACGCATAACATGACCTTGAACATGCTAATGGTCAAATATTCTCTAATGCGAGAGAACGTGAAAAAACAGAGAATGCTGACCTTCCTTTTCTTCATCGACATAATCAACAGGGGTCAGCAATCGTTTGCTCTATCGCTCATATGGAAAGAGCCGTTTGAATGATTTGACGTAATCAATTTTTCGTTTCGAAGAAGAGAGAAAGAAAACTAACATTCTATCGCTACATGTCTCGCATTTCTCATAGGCGCCGCAGGTGATGATTCAATATCTTATGCAATCATATGTGAGTAAATTAGAACGATAGTGAGAAAAGAAAGATTAATTCATTGAACTAATAGCGAACGAAAAGAAAATGGAGAAAGAGAGACGAAGAAAAAAGAGCGAAAGGGAGAGAGAGAATTATATATATAGAGAGAGAACAATATCAGAATATCAACACATTCTCATCGAGGGTGATCAATGATCGAATCGATTTGATCATGGTAAGTTCATAGTTGTTGTTCAAATAATCAATTGATCATTCTTGTGTTTTCAAAGATTTCATCGATCGCATCTCGGCTGGAGATCTTAGCCGATATCGCCGATCAAGTGGAACATAATGGAGAAAATACTCAACAATTGTTTTTCAAATACCTTCTTCAATCAATTGAAAAAAAGCAAAACAAACCCGTTGAGATCGCGAGAAAATTAACTGATCAATCGCCATCATCGATACAAAACAAATTCAATCAGATTTCACAGTTACGTGCCAGGCATTCACCATCCAATATTGATCTTTGTAAACATTCGAAATCGAATATCAGTCAAACAGATGTTTATTTTGACAGAAGAAAAAAAAATAATGAGGCTGCTAAACGCAGCCGTGATGCACGCCGAGTTAAAGAAGATCAAATAGCAATGAGGTAGATAACGTTTTCTTGTAGAAAAACACGATGTTCACTGAATATTTCGTTTCGTTTAGAGCTACTTGGTTAGAACAAGAAAATCTTCAACTTCGACTGGAGAATGCGCATTTAAAACAAGAGAATCTTCGACTTCGTTCTCAAATTCATCACTCAACTGATTCTTAATCTTCTCTTTCCGTTGCATATAGTTTTCATTTCTGTTTCGTTGTTTTCGTTCGCCGTGAATTCAAATTGAGTATGCCATAATGAGACACCATCTGTCTCGTGTACCTAAATAAATTTGAAATAAATCTCATAAAGAAAAACAAAAAAAGCTGTTTGATGTTTTGTCAAGCAAAACAGTTCTTTTATCAATCGGCAAAGAATATAAACCATATCTGACATTGATGACTAAAGATCATCAGGTCGGATATTTTTCTTCTGTTCATTAACGAATGTAATTGAATAGTTGAGTATCAAGAAAAATATACATCAGCGTACGCTTTTATGACGACAATTATCAAAAGATGCGGTATTGAATTCGAATGGAAACAAATCAGAATGCATAATATGATACTTGGAGGTTTCTCATTGAAATCGAATGAAATTTTTACTAGGAAGCCATTTGATGATGTTTACTGTTCAGATAAACGAATTCGTCGAGTAGAAAAAAGAAAAATATTTATTTTTAGAATCAATCCAGTCACATCTATTAATAAAACGGGTACATCGAACGATAAAGTCATTCTTCTTCCGACTGCGAGCTTTAAATATTAATCATGCGACTACAAATAGATCTTTTTGTTGCACGGCTAAGGATCGAATCCAGAAAAATGCTAGAAGAACTTAAATACTATGAATTGATTGCTCGTGTTATCAATTCTACACGTCTTAATGCTTCAGAATCTGTCGCAGATGGTAATTGGCGCCATCTATGTTTATTTCGACGTAAAACTTGAGTTTTTCCGTTTGATATCTGGAGAAAATTCGTGTAAAAATTGAAAAATGACTTTTCACCCATCCAATTATCTCTCTCGTAAATGAAATTTCAAAGCAACAACAATCGTATTGTATTGTCGATAAGCACTTTGCGGACAAAACTTTTTTGTACCTAAGTGTTATATTTGTCTCATTTGCCATTGAAGAACTCAACAATAACATTTACTTCAGCTTAGTGCCAGAGTCATCTCTTTCTTTCGTCTTCACTTATCACAATGACGAATTTCGAAATAAAAATCGCATTACGAATTAAATATTCAAGAAAATTTGCATTTCGTCTTCAGAGGGGCGTGATTACCTTTGTATGTTTTGTTTCAGGACTTATATAATCGACACCTCGCCAAACCGATAAGCATAGATATCGTTAATTGAATATAATTAGAAATAGTAACAATTCACATGTGCATTTTGTGTCATACGCAGAACAGAAGTCGATCGGTTAGTTTGACCTTATTCACAGGCGTAGAGACACACATAAGCTTATTGTACGAAGAGATGAAACGTGAAAAGAACTTGTAATTTTGTATTTGTACTGATAGTGTAAAGCAGTGAAGAGAAAGGTCATCTGTTCTTTTCTCTTTTATTGCATACTTATTTATTATTGTATCGCTTCAAATATAAATGCACTCGAATAGAATTATATGTCTAGTCTGCTTTTCTTCTTTTCAGATGCGTACCATTGCTAATCTGGAAAGTTTGCCAGATGAACTGCTGCTTGAAATTTGTAAATATCTTCTCTGCGTCGATGTTTTACTTTGTTTTGACAATCTCAATCACCGTTTTACATGTTTAGTCCATGATTATCGTCGTCATGTGTCGTTGCACAAAGCATCCTATGCTCAATCCTTTAAATTATGTACAGAAATCCTTCCTCAAATCGGTGCTCAAATTCAAACCTTAGTAATCGATAACTGTTATTCAGCGTTGCAAGCAATCGCATTTCCGAAATATTTCCAACATAGCATGTCAACATGTTTTCCCGATTTGAAAAAGATCATTCTCGTCTCATTTCGTCCCGATCCATTGTTTGTTTTCCTGAAAACGTTGAACCATTTGGACAAACTACAAACGATAGACATGCGAAGTTTATTTCGTGTACCAACAAGTCAACAAACAGAAGTCTTATTAGCTTTATTGCAAGCAAATAATAGTCGTCTAACATCGGTGCTTATTGATGATCAATCAAGTCATTTGAATCCTATAAAAAAATATCTACCAACTCATGCTATTTGTTCGAACATTCTTCATTTAAAAATCGAGATCTTAACTATCTGTGATTTAGCTGTTCTGTTCACAATCATTCCAAATGTTCATACGTTATTTGTATCAATACATAAAAATGATAATTTAGATCGAACGAACCGAAAATTCAAATCAGAAACTTTATATCATCTAACACACTTTCAATTGAAATCAATCGAACATTCGTGGTATTTAAATGAACTACGAAGTTTACTAGACAAACTACCTGCAATCGAATATCTATCACTAAATCTACGTACATCAGATGTCGAATTGACGAATGGTCAAATTTTACAAAACTACCTCCCAAACAAAATCAAACAATTTCATTACGCTATTCATTATTTACCAGAACACACTATCAAATGTTCAAATATTTTGGAGACATGGAAATCAGTGTATCCAATCAGATGTTTATACGACATTGAACAGAATGATTACATGTTTTTACATACGATTCCGTACTTATCATTTGATTACCTGGAAATATCGTCGTCAGTTGCGAGTGCGGTTTCAAAGTATTCGAATTCGTTTGAAAATGTCCTACGAGTACATGTAGATTGCGATTTTACATTAACGGAAGCATTTCCAATCATAAGCTGTTGTCGAAAAGCAAAGTATAGTATGATTTGGTTACATGGTACCAATCGACAATGTAATAATCACGAACAATCAAGTAAGCATAAACTTTCCATTTGCCAAAAGTTGACAATTGATGAACTTTGATTGTAGTTCAAGGGCAAACTGATCAAAAGCAAACCGCTACTCTGCCAACACTGCCACACCTTCGCCGATTGACTCTTGTTGGCCTACCACCGAAGGATCTCCACCATATGTCGACGATTCTCCTTGCTGCTCCAAATCTTTTCCGTTTGGATTTAAATTACAATACTTTGTTACTTATGTTAGTTGATGACAAAGTATGTTCAATTCTTCGGCAACGTATCACTGCGTTGACTATCAATCACATGCAAGCATCATCAAGATATGTCGAAGAGAACATTGCTCGAATTGCACTGACATTTCTACATCTTCGACATTTGTATGTCGATATGAGATCGTTGGAAATGACCATTGACATGATGGTTTTGTATTATTTCGATGAATTTGTCAAACAAAAGGCGCCGTTGGTTTCACTCTGTGCGGATGGAAAGCCATCTAACGAAATGAAGCTTGATGCTAAGAAATGGTTACTATCGCATCGTCAATATCTTAACGAAAAACAATTATCTGTGTATTTTAATGAAAAAGCCGGTAGATTGCTTATTTGGATGTAAATAATCGTTAGGTATTTACGCCATTGGCGGGGTTTTATGTAAAATATCATTCTGCTTAGCTTTTAATTATTTATCGCTAGAAAAGAAATAACGGACAAAGTACTCAATTTTTCTCTTAATAAAAAAAATCATGTCTATGATTACGATCTGAAGTTAAATATTTTCACGTTGATGACGGCTCTCGTCGTACGGGAAGGATGAAAATCTTTCAGCGAGGAGGTGATAGAAAAGAACTGTTGATTAGCTTTTGCGTTGTTAAGCTATTCATAATCTTTGATTTCGGATTTCTAGGTTCGTCGAGATTTATGGTAAAAGTGTAATTAAATTCTCTCAATCCGATTATTAATATTAGGAAACATCATCCGACGAGATTAATGTACATCTCTTCTGGTTTGTTCGCCGTCTGCCATCGTGCAGTTCGATGATAAAAGATGGTTTTTTCATCAAAGTGTTTTGATTAATAAGAATAATTACTTGAGATAGAACAGATTTATATCGATTAACTCGCAAGCATTAATCAAATAGATTTGCAAAAAACGTGTCTTATCGGTAGTAGACCATTAATTGCAAGTCCAAGACATTGTTGTCGTTTAGTTATTCTCTGACAAAAATAGATGAGAGATTCTGCCTGTAGCTAAAAAACGCAAATCAACGAGATTCCCAAAATTGAAGTCGACTGAATATCTTCAGCTTTTTGCTTATCATGATCTGTAACAAAATCACAGCACTCAATCCGATTAGAATAATTCCTAACGTACTTATTAGGTCATTTTTCTTTCGTTATTGAGTGTTTGTACTACTTCGGAAAAAGCAGATTTTAACCCGAGAAGAACAAGTTCAGTCGATCTTAGATGTCCGTTTGAAGAGTATTTTTGAATAATCTTTTCTCATTTGTCATCGGATCAAATTTGACAGGCATTTACTTGATCTGTTAAGAAAAGTTTTTTTTTTCGCAAAATACTTTTCCCATTTGTCAACATAAGTCAATCTATTCATCCATATATACGTATCTTGTCAGTATCGATTTGTCAAATGGATGGAAATTTACGAATAAGTAAAAATCTCTAGTTGAATGACTTCGTGCGTTGTTCTCTGGAGATCGTGTCATTCTTTTTCTTCTAAACATTAGCCATTCATGTAAATGAACACAAGAACACTTTATTCTTTTATCTCGGCTCATTAACAAAAGAAATGAAATTTAGTCCAAACGCGTCAGCGACCGATTTTCTTTCCGTTTGCTTTTATGCACGATTACCAATCTTAATGACAATGATCAATCAACAATTCTTATTACATTTGTGCGTGTTTTGGCCTGTGCAGATCTCTTCAAGTATATATACATGATAGTTTCCTCATCAATATCTGTATTAAATAGCTTTCTTATTTTGCATATTCGTTTGACATAATCAGTTGGTATTAGGTTTACATGAAATGATAGAAAACCCACCGTATAATCCTGAATTCATTGATCATATGAAAATCCAGTACCAAATGATAAGTATTAAGCTTCAATTCGCCTTTCTTTTCAGATTTTCTCAAGACGTTCTGTCGTTTTGGTACGGAACTAGATGAGAGCGTAATTTAGCGAGGATTTACATGATAGATTCTATCCTATCGTGATTGATTTGTTCTTCTTCTCCAGAAACGATAGACTCGGAAATCTTCTCACTATTCGCTTTGTTTCGATGTCCTTGTTTGATAGTTTTCTTAATTAATTTTTTCTTGAACTTTAATGTTCATGTCTTCTAGAAGCGTGTAAATAGTCTATCTTTACATAAAGAAGACACTAATTTCATTTGTTCCTTTCCAATAATACTTACCGATGATGCGTCTGAATGTGATGAGAGTTCTCATTCAGTGTCACATGTACTCAACTAAATATGATGGACATGTGTTTTGTCTTAATCACTGTTCTGACATGAAAAGTAATAGTCATGAGAAGAGAAAAGAATGAATAGGTCAAATTTCTACTTTCACGACAATTCGATGGAAGAAATTAATTTTCTTCTTTTCCGCCATCGTGATTTTTACTTAAACAAACGAACAGGATCTTTCTTAATTCAAACTAAACTTCATTCATTAAATACTCTTCTGTAAACAAAAACAAGATACGACTGATTTAGTGAGAAGAATGGGAGAGAGAGAGAAAAAAATCTCTGCTTTCAAATAAAAAAGCTTATTAAATCCGTCTTTTCTCAATCCAATCGTTAACATTCATTTTCTGGCCCTTAATAATTGTCATTCGCCTGCTTCCGTTTTCTTTTGTCTGTTTTTCATCTCGATTGAACGAGAAAATCTTTTTCTTTTTTTTTTCTTTTCAAATGTGATTTACAATTATGAGCTTCGCGATCTGCTTAGATCAAATCTCGAATGTGATGATCATTATTATTGTTGTCACGAGTATGTATCAAAGATCGACATGGTTTGATCTTGTTCCTAATTGAATACAATAAATCAACGTGCTTCGTAGGAATTGACCTTCGCTTCTTCCTTCGATTAGAACAAAAAATAGAATGATTTCCTAGCGAATCTATTATTCACACTCCCCCTCGGTCAGTCTGATTTGATCCGAATCACACATTAGAATCTTTCGCAGATCAGTTCAATATCGAAGAAGTTCTTGTTAGTGAATTCTAAAGAGATTATTGTCCTTCTAATAGGCAATGTTCGAGAAATCTATCATCGTAGCACGTCGATGATTTATGATTGCTTCATTGAGAATAATCAGGCAATACAAAGCAGTTCTCACGACAATAAATTAGGTTTATTCCAAAGAAGTGTCAGCGAAGTTTCATTGCAGTTCGAATGTGACTTATTGGCTTCGTGAAAATCTTGTTCATTAGTATTTGTACTTATCCGATCTGTCTCATCCCGTCATCCGTAAAATCTTAATCGGTTTCCGTTTCCTATCTATGTCATTCGTTCGGTAGCATTTTTTTTTTCTCACTTGATTATCGAGTGTATGAATTTCTTTCTCCGAGCCAGAAAAATATAAAATAGATTAAGATGTTGCAGACGAAAGAAAGGAGAAGAACAAGAAGTTGTGAAGATAATTGGACTTAGGAGATCTGCCGTTTATTCTAACAAGATCTTAGGCAGAGAAAATCGACCAATGTATGATAATAAAATTATGTATGTATGAAATTCGATCTTTTCTTCTCTCTTCCTTCTTTCTTCTTTTTCTGAGTTGTTTGATAGGAAATGTTTCCGAAAAGGAAATAAAAAAATAACAACGTTACTCAAACTATCGTACAGTAGTACTGAAGAGATGCTTTTCAAATGTAAATGACTAATTACGAAGTCCTACGCTAGTTTTTCATCTCAAGAACCTGTTTTATACGATTTGATGAGATAAAGTAATCGACCTTAATAAATACATCCCAGCTTCGGAAAGTCAATGCGACATTAGAGTGTCTTCTATTCTGAGGAAATGAATCCGACTGGGTGCGTTTCACTACTTAAATATCTACTTGAGATCGATCCAGTTAGATAATAGGAAAAAAACCCATGACGTCTAGTAAAGCCATGCAACAATTACACGTATAAGTTGCCCTTTTTGTTTCAATTTTGTTGATATTACTGATGTTCGCTAGACTTGGAAGTATTATATATTTTTTTATGTCGAGAATATAATAACAAAAACAAGATATATATCTAACTAAGAAAGAACAGAAGTAAATACGAAAGAGGAAGGAACGAGATAAATGAAAGAGAAATATATACTCATTACTTGTCCTAATGATATTACCATTGTCGATTTACTGTTTTGTTTGGTACATCATGCAACTCTATCGACACTTAACTAATAAACCAACTAAATGGAAACGTTTTGCCTCCCACATTCTAATTTTATACGAGTAATAGACGACTTTTTTCCTTCTTCTTCTTCTTCTTCTTATGCATTTTCTTGAGGACTATGCCAACGTTTCCGAACAATTTTCTATGGAATCAATGACCTGTATGCAACTATTGACGACCTACTGTCTCCGAATGACAGATAAAGGTTGTTACTATCATCACCAAGTATTCTTATAATATATATATATACGTATATCGTATAAATGGGATAAGGTATCTGTCGCAATAGATTGTTTTTTTGTGTCGGAATGGCATTTTTCTTGTTAAAGATATCTTCTTTTCCTTTTTCTCCGTCTCCTTCGGAGTTTCTCTTCGGCGATGGTCATACTAGCAGTGCGAACTGACAGTGGTTGGATCCACAATATTCTTATGCGAAAAGCTCTCCTGATATGCACATGTGAATAAATATGCAGATTAATGTTTTTTTTTTATATAAGTATACGAAACTAAATTATTGAAATCTTCGTCTGAGTTAAGTGATATACTAGAAATGACAGCTAGATGCATCACTAGATTTCTTGATTAGAAAGAGTGAATATAATAAGTACTTCAGAAGGCACGAAATAAGTGTCAATTTAAAGTTTCCAATAGATTTTTCTTCTGATTTTCATTCCGATTGATCCTAGCTACGTATCGACGCGTCGTTTCATTTGTGATCACGGCTTTTTTGTTAGATTTTACTGGAAATGACCGGTGAATATCACACTGTATGTATGTATCTATCTTTGATTAGCAATACTTCATGTTTTTTCTTTTTCTTTTTCATGACAACGGGGTGAAGATTATTTTCGTACCAAAGAGCTTAGTAAATATTTTTAATTTTTGTAAAGGGAGGGGGCAGGAATTACAAATAGATGAGTCTCGATCAATATTCGATAGGAATAGAATCTCAAAATTTGACTAAACTACAACGGGTTCATTTATATTTTAACACATAGATGATCTGCACATTTTTGCCAAACAAACACATCTATATATATATATATATATGTGTGTGTGTGTATATGACGAACTCTCCAGAGATTTGTTCGATCGCTCGGCGCAATTGTTGATGAGATTTTCGAGTTGCTTTTTCTCATTCTAATGTCTGTTGATCGATCAACTGATAGATCGCTAGATCAAACTAACCATTACATGCTTGAATGACTAAGTTGTATGAAGAACGAAGAAAAGAAATCGCGAATGAATATCTCAATTAAACAAAGGAATATTTCAGCATGTCGATTATTTATGAAACATATGGTAAGATGCGAATAAGTAGATGAAGAAACAAGTTAGCCCTCAAACGTCTTTTGTGCTATGCAACTGACAAGCATAAATGAGACAGGAAACAGTTGCCACTACTAATTATGTCAAGTTTCTCGGTTTTTTTTTTGATTTTCATCAACAATTATTAGCTACAAGAGAGCATCAGATCTTCGAACACTATAATATTTGAGTAAAAGGACTCCTCTCTCTCTTTTTCATCAATTAGCCGAATTCTTCTCCTACTCATTGGCAGGTTGCTCAAACGAAGGAAGAAGGAAAAGGACTGTTTTTCTTTTCCTAATCCCATATTTGTCCTATGCTATAAACGAGTTAGTTCATTTCTGGTTTATCTTCAATGAAAGAAAAACAAGCAGATCTTAATATGAACTAATTGAAATTATTGTTATGATTTTTCTTCTCTCGTGCTTGTCATTAGTCAACATGTTTCTTTTCAGTTTCTCTTTTCTCGATATTCTCGGCCACTCTCCATTTGATTCCCTCCTTGTTTTTTCCCTTATTCAATAGATTCTCCTTTAGACACTCACGCTGAATAAGAATGTCCTAGACTTCTGTTTGTTTCAATTCCCGAGAAGAAGAAGAGGCAGGAGATGAAGAGCAACGTAGGCTTTTGTTCGGATACGACCGAACAAAGCTATGGTCGTGCGCCTTTTCCCCTCTTCTATGTTCAATGCAATTGCTTTATACTTACACTAAAGAGTGCGAACACGCACTCATCACTATCCTTCATGATAAAAGATGACGATGACAACGAAAACAATTAATTTTGTTAATGTTCCGCATTCTAATCACATTAGCAGGCAACAACGACCTAGGAGACAACTTCGGTTTTTCGCCCTTTTCCTATTCTATTTTCTCTGCGTGCATCTTCTTTTTACTCCTGAAAGCAAAAACTTGTAACCCTATTTTCTTAAAACAACAAGTTTTCGACTACGTATTATTCTTGTGTGGATTATTTTTGATAACTTCACCATGTCGTCGTTAGTTTAGTACGATGTATGTAACGTCGTTCTATCAATCGAAGATGATGACAGATGAGAGAAGCTCAACTCATTCCTTCGTTTTCATGTTCTATTACTTTTGATTTGATTTCATATCCGGTAAGATAATAATTTCTCGATGTCATCAAATCACGTTTACATCCGGTGAAGTATCAGAATATACATCCTTGAATGGCATTTTCATTCATATTGAGTATATAATTAATATTTTTAGTAGGGAACAAAAGACGTCTTTTTTTTCTTCGAATGAGAAAATGTGAAGATAAACAAGAAGAAAAGAAATGTCGTCCGAATTTACATAATTGAGTAGGAAATAAACTGGATTAAGGGTTAGTCGTATCCTTTGAGAAGATACTATTCATTTCCGAAAGAACTAACAAAACAAAACAAAATATTCTCAATTGAATTAGACGAATTATGAAAAACAAGTCTTAGTTGCCTTTTGTTTTTCATCTGTAAACGAAGAATGAAAGTATTGGGCCATTCTGTTTGAGTGCATCGAAGCAAAATGTAAGACGAGATGTATCGAAACAATTTCATGAAGGCAGATAATTTCATTACGCGAACTTCTATAGATTGACAGTTGAGTTAATTTGACTTCGAGCAGAACGACTTGTCAGAATCAGCTTGGAATTCAATAATAGGCCACTTTTATGAACTTTTATTTGAGTTCAGATAGCTGAACGGTATGACATCAGCGTTCCTTTTGCTAATAAAGACACTTAACGTACATTTTTTTCCTGATGAGAGATATAGATTCCTCAATTTCTGTTTTCTTCATCATTTCGTTGAGAGTGTGGGAAAGGTTAAGAACATTGGCAAGTAAAAGAATCATTCTCGATCGAACGCCTATTTAGATTTCTCATCAGATCAACACAATACGTAACTGTTATATTCTCCTCTAGTACTATATTGAAAAACATAAATGGAAACGGAAATATATCGTAATAGTTCTCGGAACAGGAAACTTCTTGGATCGAATCTATTTAGTCAATGCTATGTTTCATACATAAAATAGCACGGTGAATAGTTTTTCGAACAATTCCGACGGTTTGCGCTTACTATTTGATGAAGAATTTGTTTTTTTTTCTTTCTTTGATTGACGATCTATGTGTATGTCAACATAAATTTCCTTATGAATTCCTTTTCAGATGGATCTTTTCAATTAATCCGATCGAATCTGATTTTCCATGAATGATCAGACAGGTTTACCGTCGACAGCTTTGACTGTCGATCATAACTTAACATTAACACTTCTCAGTAATCCGGCATTTGATTCAATCGAATTAATCAACAATTGTAGTGTGGCACTACAATACACATTCGTTGAACCTATTTTCTACTTATATCTCATGTCTCCATTATGTATTATTGGTCTTGTCTTAAATGTTATTAATCTCATCGTTTTCTCGGATCGTTCATTTAAGAATTTAACATTTAAATACTTACGTTTGATCGCCTTTGTTGATTGTATTACATGCATATTAGTATTCATTTACTGTATTACGAACTATACACAGCCACGAACATTCAATGATAAATACTTTCGTATATGGTATTTGGTCAATGTATACTTTCCTATGGCGAACATAACAGCAGCTTGTAATGTTCTATTAACTATAACGGTGACAATCGAACGACTTGTCAGTGTACGTTGGCCAATGTCAAAACATCGATTATTCAATCCAAATCGTGTGTTGTTAACCTTAATCATTTGTTTTCTATTTCCAATTCTTGCAAATTCGGTTAACTTTCTTGTATATAAAGTTGACGGATGCAATAATCTCGATGTAACGATGATTGCAAAAACCAAAGCTTATAAATATTTCAGCATATGTAAAGAAGTTATTCTTCGTTTTATTCCAATCTGCATACTGATATTTTCGAACTGTTTGTTACTGTCAACTGTACATGCTGCGAACAAAAAATTCAAGCCGACGAAGAAATCTCATAACTCGTTAACTGTGACCACAACATCAATTTCACTTCAGCCATCGTCAAATGGTTGCGATACAAAATCTATTAATAAATACATTTCGGAATCACAATCTCAAACCGATAGTCTTCTACCGATCTCACCTGAAGAAAATACCAACGGGCAACAACGTGCATCATTTGTGTCGACAAATTCGAAAAGTCGAATGCATATTCGAAAACAGCAACAAGAAAAACAGCTGACAATTATGCTCGTTTGGTTATCAACGCTTTATCTATGTGGACAAATTCCAATGTTATTCGCTTATCCAAATTTTGTTTTCAAAGATACAAGCAAAGCTGCATATAAATATTATGCATTAGTTGTTAATCTTTTGGAATTAGTCACATATTTGGCTAATTTTTTTATCTATGTGAAATTCACCACACAATACCAACAAGTTTTTCGTACAAAAATCAAAAAATTATTTTTCTGTTTCGTTAAAACGTCTTAACGAAAAGAAAAACATACACACATCACAGCAACAATTATACATTGATAGTTCTTTATTTTTCTTCTATACGTCTTTAACCTCTTGTTTGACTCTTCATCTCTATATATTTTTCTTTAATTTGTTATAATGTATCGCTTTTGAAGAGTAAATATAAGATGCACGGAAGAATACATTCATTTTTCTGTGAAATTTTCATTTGACATAACCAAATCTTCTAGCATGATCGATTATTTCTCTCGGAAAGTTCATTTGTACTTGATTTGTTTGTCTCTATTTATAAGTAGGACAGCTTTCAATGTCTCATCCCAATTGTTTGAATATAACTCGACAGAAGTCAAAACAGGGTAATCTACTTTCAATTGGATTACATCCGCTTACAATTTGAGAAGATTCTTCTCTTTGAAACTGAATCCACCATTCACGTGAGAGATCAACTGTGCAAGACAAATATGCACTGAACAGCTTATTTCGCCTATTCAATGCTTAGAAACAAGACAGATTATAGTGGCACATCGTTTTATTTGTTGAACTTTTTTTCTTGAGCATAATAAAAAAAAACACATTGATTTTGAAAAATGAGAAAGAGGACTCTCTCTCCTTCATTTTGTCTTATCTGCCAATGACTGAAATATTTACAAGAAGATGAAGTCTTGTTTCGCTTCTAGTCTTCATTGTTAGAAGAAAGAAAAAAAAAAGAAGGTTTGCTCATGCATTTGTTAAGAAGAAAACGTCAAGTTAGGCCATTGCCAATAAAGAAAGATGCGAATGTTCTTGATTAACAATCGAGAAAATCAGATGCAACAAGTAATTCCAATACCACATGAGTATCAATTGGAAATTCAGGAATATCGATCGAAGAACTAACAACACATATATTGAAATGATTGCATGAAAGAAAACAACTAGCACAACTTACTTGGTATATTTGGCTTTGTAAGCAAAATACCGACAAACATTTATTAGAACATGGGAAGGAATATCTTTGAGATAGATTTCGTTAGGTTGTGTATCTGAGTATTGGCCAGGACCGCTAAGCATGTTTTTTATTGTCGGAGATGCACTCGTAGCAAAATCACGACGAACAACGAACTCATGACCGTCTGATGAGATCAATTTCAAGTACATAGATTCAGGTCCTTCCAGACCGCCATAAACATTTGATGTTGCGCCTGGAGTCGGCGTCGCACCTGCTGTTTCTGTCGGCATGGCGTCTTGGTTTCTAATAAGACAAAAATATCTAAAAACATAGAGATAAAACTAGCCATATTCTCAAACGAAATCTTCGTCTTCGTTCCCGTTAGTCAAATGGAAAAAAAGCAAGATGTTAAATGTATGATATTTATTTGAATTGTCGAGAGAAGAAAGAAAAGAGAGAGAGAGATGATCTCCAATAGAAGAAAAAGAGCGCGTACAGAACAGTTATAAGAGAAATACACACACACACTTGACAAAAAAGTTTTTTTTCTGCGGTTATACACGAATAAAACCAAAAGAAAAAGGATAGATAGCATTTAGTGGCAAAGAAAAGAAAGAAATGACAACCGCACGAGTATCTAGAAGGTAAATACGAACGAGAATCACTGTTCTATTAATTAATTTATGAATATGTAATTTCGAATATACGAGAAAAAGAAAAGAACAAACGAAATCGAAAGTAAAAGGACTAAACACAAACACGAACACACTATTCAGTCGCGAGAAAAAAAAACCGAGAGATTTGCGAGAGAGAAAAAAGAAATTTTGCCTAAAAAACAAGTCAAACGTGCATACAGCATCAGCAGCGACTAGATATTGAAGAGAGAGAAAAAAAAACGGTACAATGTGATCGAATTGTTGCTTGTCTGCTTATTCATCTGTGTCAGTATTATTATGCACGCGCATAGTTTTTCAATCATGATCATAGGAATCTCTCCTCTTCTTCCTCTTCTTGATATGTGTACATTAAAAAAAGAAAGAAAAAGAATATGAGACGAGACGCGTGCGTCACCGATGTGTTCTATGCAACAGAAAACAAAACGAAGAAAAAGAGAAAGAGAGAATGAAAATGAAAATCAAATGACTAGAATTCTTTCAGGGAGAAATATATGATTCATATACATATGTATATAATATATGCTGATCTCAGGCCAGCTGAGATGTGACAGAAGAAAGAGAAAGAAGAAAAGATCTCAACATTTAGAGTCATCATCCGCATCAGGAATATAGACACTTGGTTCTGTATTTCGACGTTTGATTTTAGATTTACTTTTACGAAGCATTGTTGCCTAGAAAAGATTTGACAGGTGAAATATCGAACGAATGTTTCGCATAGAAACTTACTTTAAGTGCGGATCGAATGATTGTTATGTCACAGGGAGGTTGAAGCCATGGTTCACCATCAACTTGTACTGGAATTGGATAATCATTGTTCATTCGTATATGAACCTGACAATGCAAACATGTCAATAGAAGAGATGATCGAATGATTTCGATACTTACATGTCCACCCTGAGCGAGTCGAACAGCCGAACGTATACCCGATTGAATTTGTCCGAGATGAACGATACCAGTAACACCGACGACTTCTAGCATACCATCGTAATGCGTTGGTCGACTAAATCGATCTTCTTTCTCGTGTCCCCATAGATTCGCTCCACTTGCCCAGCTGAGAATATTCATGATAATAATTCCTTCTAGTTGAGGTAAATCGATACGTCTTCCATCGACTTCAAGCACAATATCTCGATTGAAATCTTTTAATCCACCTTTTTTTATCATTTTTCTTATGCCAGTTTTGAGATAGTAGCCCTTCGCTTGAATTCTTAAACGACAAAGAAAGACGATAGGTCAAGTGTCCTTTTATTCGTTCTAATTCGAATACGAACCGGCTATTGAATTTATTTGGATTCTCTTCTCTGGCCATATGAAAATCCAGGCAGATATCAGCATCAAGACCGAGTCCAAAATAGTTATTCATTACGAACATTTCTGTTTTATCTTCATTTGTTGTACCTTCTTGAATTGCGATCTAAATGAGGGAAATATATCGATCAGTAAATATTCACTACACCATCTCTCCAAAATATTTCATCGAATGAGAAGAGAACTCAGACGTACCGGTAGTGCAACTGATGGCGGTGGTTGATTAAGAATGGGTTTGATCGCTTTTTTCTGAGTCAATTTGGTTGATGAGCCCGATCCTGTCGTTGACTTGACTGTATTCGTTTCTGTTGCTGCTGGTATACGTTTATCTTGATCTTGATGAAAAACAACTGTCCAACGATCTAATTTGATTTCTTCAGCTTCAACCATATCCCTGAGCAGTGCTAATGGTTCTTCGCCACCTGTATAACCTGAACCCCAGCGAAGAACACGCGCCAAATCATTCCCTGTGCCCAATGGTACAATGCCTACAGGCGGAGATTGACATAGTGCATCTTGACCGACATTATCCAAGCAGCTTAGTACCCAGCCGACTGTTCCATCTCCTCCACATGCTAAGATACGATAGTGTGGAATATTTCGAAAGACGTAGAGGCCTGGTAAAGGTCCGCCATTCTGCAAATCGAAAACTTGGTGTGGATTGAGTAAATGACGAAAATTAGTGATTAGTTCTGCACCCTGCTGTCCACCTGATTTGACATTAACAAAGACAAGTAATGGAGTAACATGTGATGGAATAAATTGAGATTGAATATTCGGTAACATCAACACTAATAACTGTTTTTGATCATGTTTTGCTTGTCGTAGGATACTAAATGCACGCGTTGCACGATCACTATCACTGTAAACTAAAACCATTGCTCCGTGTTCATAATAAATAACGTCCATATTATCCCATTTTAAATCTTTATCCGATTTAAAAATATCTTGAAAGAGTATTTTCTCATATTGCTTTTCTGTGCGGGGACCGGGAGGTAAATTGCCGACAAATAGAGAGACAGATGGGCCATGTGGATCTTCTTTGTGTTGTAGATAAAATCGTGTTACACGATGACTACGAACAGATTCCTACAGACAAACATAAAAACAAAATGTATAGAATTTCTCAAGATTTTGTACTTTTCTCTGTTGTCGTAGAACATGTATAGGACATTCATCTGGTTCTAAAATACGATCGGTGTAGTTAACATTGGATATGAGTAGGACTTCGACCAGCGAATATTTTTCGGCATTGACATTTTGTATACCGAAATCAGCTAGAGCTCTAGCAATCACTTCGGATGTTGTACTCGATGACGTTACTTTAATCACTTTAAAACCATCATGAGTTCTAGAGAAAAGCGTAACATTGAATGTTTTATTCTCTTTTTTTTCGAGTCAATTTACTTAAGAATGCCAGGATAAACTCGAATGTAGTCAATATCCATATCACCACGTTCTTTATAACGAATGTATATGTTCAATATACGGCCACTTAATTGTCTAAGAGATTTTAATGGCATTGTTTCATCAAGTGGTTGATCACCTCCCACTAAAGCAAAGAAAGATCACCAATATATATGAAAACCGTCTCGGATAAATATGACGTACCATCATCAATAGGTACAGTGATGCAATATTTAGTACAATCGTCATTGATATGGAATGTACGGAGTGCAGCCTCCTGAAAAAAAAGCATATTTTGTGAATTTTAAAGATAAGAAGAAAAAAGATTTTAGAATATACCAGAATTTGGTTATAACTCGCTTGTCGAGGAACGGAAATTGAACGGGGAGTGCCGTTACGATATGTTGCATTACCATCGTATACTTTGATGATTTCTAAAGCAAACGAAAACAATAAAGTTCATGTAATCGATTATTGCAGTGATTGTCAAAGATTTTCAATTACCTCGTTCTTCTTCTTCGTCTTGTTGACCTTTATTTGGTGTTTTTGATGGTTTTGTTTTACTTGCTGCTGTTGATACACTGTCAGCTTGTATCATCGGACTGGGATATGTATCGCCACCACCACGACTGTGAGGATCTTTTTCAATGTAACTAGGTCCACTATCAGCATCACCGCCTGATGGATGTTCGGCCGATGGACTTCGTACTAAGAGAAACAAAATAGATTGAAATTAAAAATCCGTTGAAGTTCGATTGTTAGCAATGAAAAAGGAGAAGAAAGAAAAAGAAATAAAAAAAAAACGAACTCTAAATTCATGCAGGCATCATAATAAACAATAAAAGAAAAGAGAAAAACGTGCTAAATAGTTTTTATTTCATCTAATTTTTATTGGTACCCCTCTGACTGGCAAATTGTGTTGTTAAATGATTCGATGTGGTTATCGTTGAAAAATTTTTTCGTTGCAAAACACATGATGTTTGTCGTTCTAAGCGTTGAATAACAAATAGTTTTCAGCGAAAGGGATGTGCGAGGCAAACACGTATTCAGTTATGCATATGTATATATATATGTATGTGTGTTTTATACAAAGCGATTGAAGAAGACTGAAAAATAACTGACGTTTGTGAACTTACTCATTGATCCTGGACTTTTAGGACCCATATTCGTAGGTGTACCGACAAGATTCAAATCGGCTGCTTGCGTAGAGGAGCTATTCGCTGTGGAGATTTGTAATCGTTTGGACATACTATTACCAATGCCAAGGATGAGATCTTTGTTGAGATCAGCGACACGTGGAATTGATATAGCATAAGGTGGGATAATGATATCTTTTAATGTACCAAAACCACAATCTTCTNAAGGAGATGTCGACGAACTCATCATCGATTGTTCTCGGTGTGTCGAAGTACATACAGATGGTATTTTATTAATCAATACAGGTGAATTATTGTAATGAAAATACAAATATTTTATTTGTTGTTGACTGTGGCCAGTACCGGCCATTAAAATAGACGACGTCGTCGACGCATTGTCGATCTGAAAGAATTCAGAAAAGAAAATTCATCATTAAAGATAAAAACAAACTAATATGACAAAAAAGATTGGCAGTTTTCTGTTATGTATTCGATGTGTTTATTTGTTTGTTCTAAAATCGCCTCCGGATCGGCATATCATCGGCCATGATGAATCTTAAGAGAATGTGAAACTCCATTCAACATGTTACTCGAGAATGTTATGTTTGTTTGTTTGTTTGTTGAAAGTGAGCAAGAAAATATTTCAACAAAGTAAAAATCAAGAAAAATACATTTTGATTTTATTCATCGAGTTTTTTTCCAGATTTTTTATATAGTTCTAGTTTGTTTATAGATGGCGTTAGTAGTGATAAGCTTTCAATCTGATCTAGGGTACCTTTATTCAAAGGATTTGCAACGTTAAAAAATCTTCACTTCATATTCTGTGCACTATCGGGACTAAATCAACAACGTATTCATCGTACAAAGTAATAGACTGAACGTGTAGAGAGATACACAGGCGACATCTACTGACATTGATATGACAGCACATGAAAATCAAATTTTGACCGATTCGAGACAAGTGGAGCAATTATTAGTAAATAACATCTATGCATCTATTCATTCATTTATTTATTGATAAGATTATAAATTCATTATAGTTTGGTTAATGAAACGTTGCTGAATGATGTAGATTTATACACAGATAACACGACAGAAGATACCGTGACTTTAGACTATATTCTTGAACTGTCTGTATTCATTTCAAAATGGAAGACCTTTCTATTTTCTTTTCATGTACTTTCTCAGTATATCGGAAGTAAATTGTTCATATTTATTGAACACAATATTTATTCCAATCGTGATAGACATAATCGAAAACTAGGAAACTATTTCATCTATTTCGGTAAGTTTCAAGTAAATAAACACGTTTCCTCATCCGAACTGCATAAGTGACTATAGTTCGATAGTGAATCATCAGAACTTCTCCAAGATTATTTCAATTGGTCGAACGAGTTTCTAGATTTCTCCTTCATTTCTTCCTATTAATTATTTGAATCAAATAAACTATCAAAGATGATCATCCGAAATGCCACCGTAAGCCAAAAAACAGGATTTGGTCGCGCAAATCAATCACGAATCTTTTCTTCTAGCCAGAAGACCTTATCAACATGCAAAATTGTAATCTACTATGTTTACCAGAAAATTATCAATTGAAATATTATTTCTACCATGGCTTGTCATGGCCACAATTGTCCTACGTTGCCGAAGATGATAGTGGAAAGATTGTTGGCTATGTTCTAGCAAAAATGTACAGAAAAGCCGATAAGGAGTTTCTTTATCTCAATTAATTTTGTGCATTTTAGGGAAGATGATGGTGAAGACAGCATACCGCATGGTCACATCACTTCACTTGTAAGTCTAACAAAGATACAGAATGTGAAAATGACGAGATTTTATAGGCTGTACGACGAACTCATCGTCGTCTTGGTTTAGCTCAAAAATTAATGGAACAAGCAAGTCGTGCGATGGTGGAAAACTTCAATGCGAAATACGTTTCTCTACATGTTCGTGTCAGCAATCGAGCTGCGTTACATCTTTATCAAAACGCGCTTGGCTTTACGTAAGAGATTTATTTTCAAATTTGTTCTTGTCACTAATAACGGCGTACTTTGAATAGAATTCATGATCGTGATCCGCGTTATTATGCCGATGGTGAAGATGCTTTTTCCATGAGACGTGAACTTATACCAGCGGCAAAAGTATGTGAAAGGAATCCATGCATCTGCATCTGATTGTTCGGAATTTTCTTTTAGGCATAATGAACATCGATCAGCATTGTTGTTTAGGACAATTTCTTTTTCATCTTCATATTCCGTCTGATTATTTAACTAAGAAATAACAAACTTCGTTTTTTTTCATTGTCAACAACCGAAGAAAACAGTATAACATAGATTGATTCATGTCCGAGGAAAGCCTTTGCATCTTCCATATGCTTCAAAGATGGGAAACTAATTGCTGACTGTGGCATTTTTGCAAAAAATCTTTTACATGATTAATACCTTGCTTACATACTCAGATCGACGAACGTGCATATGAAACTAGGCTTTGGACAATCAAATTATTTCGATTGTTGTTTGATTCTGTTTTCTCCACATTTACATTGATGTTATTGACATTAGTCGAAAGAAGTTCTTTTGAGTTTTTTTGACGTCATTCAATTGTTGTGCGAGTTTTCCGTTTTGTCTCGCGTATGTGACGTACGTTGTGAATGTATGCGAACCGGAAGAATGTGGATTAGTCTTTCCGCATCGCTTTGCGATCGTTTCGAAAGAAAGGAAGAAAATGTTCCATCTTGTTTGATCATGTTGTCTATGACACTAACTGATTGATTGTTGCCTAAAAGATGTCTTATCATTATTTTCGACAATAGTCATGATTAATCTTTGTTTAGCAATATTTTCGCTACAACGAAAAACAAAACTTCGCATTTTAAAGATTTGGTCGATAGTGGCAGTGTATTTGGAGAAAAATGTAGGAATGATGTAGAAAAAGAACAGTTCAGAACGCATTGGAAAGAGAAATTGAATCATCATTGCTATCATCCTCACAAATTGAACCATCCATTTCAATGAAATCTAACTTTTTGGCATCTTGACGCTTCCTCACATAGAATAAAACGCCACTAACAGTAAGTAACACTACAGGAATGCCGACGCCTAACGAAAGGCTAAGAATGAGTCCTAAGTTTGGCTTATCTATGAATGAATCGAGAAAGTTTCAATTCTAATAGAAGTAATCGAGTGATTAGTGTTTCTTACCATGGATGGGAAGCGGAGGAGTTGCTTCTTGCCTTGTTGTTGTAACAGGCAGCAAAGTGGTCGTTTGTGGAAGTTGATCGTTGACAACTAGACAGTTTCAGTTTTCAATGTCTTCTTCTCCGTTCAATGGATGTACTTACATGAACAATTGTAGTCATACAGTTCAATGTTATCTAATGCAAAATATATTGTTCTATTCGTCAGAATATTGTTTGCTTGACTGTTATTCGCAACTGCGAAATCAAATTGTAACTGAAAATGTATTACAGTACAATGCTACTGTTTTGAGTTTTTTTTCTATTAAGGATGTTACCGTATCACCGGATGATTGTCTTTTGAATGTTATATAATGAAAATGCCAACCATTGTATTTCATATCATTCACTGTCAGATTTCCAATGGAATATCGAATATCACTGTGATTGTTAGGTCTAATCCATAACTGAATATGTTGATCCCAGTTGTAATCATCATATACAGTGAAATAATAATAAAATCGGAGACATTGATCACCAGATGCATCACGCATTGTCACATCGGGTACAAGTGGATCGATTACTGTTTTCGATTTTTCCGATGGATCAAGAGAAATAAGACCGTAGAAGCCTACAGATGCATAAACTCATTGCATCTCTTATTTTACTAAGTTATTATAATGAAATATCTACCCGATGTACACACTGCAGTTTGTCCATTCGGTAAAGGGCACTGATTTTTATAACAGAACCACATATTCCAAGAAGTAGTTGCGTTGCTGTCGTCCAGTTGAGGTCGATAAGGTATAGCACATAGTTGATTGTTACTTGTTGGTCTAGCTGAAATATATTTTCGAATATGTATATCTCCAACACAGAACGAATAGCAAGAACAATGAATACTTACTAATGGACGTTATATCTGAAGTGGGCACTCGAGGCGGTTCAGAGTTCGACGATAGACTTGTCGGATTGAATTCACTACCATTCGTAAGTGTTATCATGTTCTTTCCAAAACATGTTGTGGTGAAGTCACATTGAAATAATGGACGAAAAGGAATTTTAGATGTAGTACTAGAAACTGTGATTGTTGAATTAGTTAAATCTAATGATGTTTCAGATGATAATTGTGTCGTTGTGACTGTTGACCTGATGTAAACATATAATTCAATATAGATAAAAATACAATTATTATTAGATTTCAGCTAGATCTGACACTGACATTGTGAGATAATATTTGAATTTGTATCTTACGTAGTCACTGTACTGAATGTTTGTGTCCATGGTACAGATGATTCTTTGGTTGTACTCGTGACTTTCTGTGAAGTCATTTGTGTTGTTTGATCCATTGTCTAAATTTCCGGTAAACATCACAATAATCTGGAGTTCAGAAATAGTTTTACTCACAGTGGTAGAAGTAACGACAGTGTCTGACTCTAAATAAGTGCAAAAGTTATGGATCAACTAAGATATAACAAACATTATCTGATGATTATCTACCACAATAGCCGTCGATGATTTTTATTTCATCCAGAGCAATAAAAACCGACTTATTCGTATTTTCTGATGTTTGCAAATTGAAGTAGATCTATGCATAGATAGTCTTTTATTCTTATACTAAATTGTTCCATCTTACGTGATAGTCGTTTATTTGTGGTTGAAAACTAAAATTTGTCAAATGCCAACCATTGAATAACACCTTGGATGCTTTTCCAATCTGTTCTGTACTACTTCCAGTAATGTCAGAATATTGAACAAGGATTTGGGCAACATTGGAATTTGTTATATAATAGTAGAAACTCAAACAAGATGGACCTCTTGTGCTTCGTACTTCAATGAAGTAAGCCAGAGTTTCTCCGGGAACTAGTTGAGCCAGAACATACTGTCCTATGTACATCATAATGGTATTGATTAACCAACACCAGTGTGGGCTTTACTATAAAATCTTACCAAGCAAACATTCTTGATCAGTGGAATCCGTTGTGATACAACTAGCTGGTTTCGAGGAGTCCTTCAATCGAGAACAAAAGTAGATCTGTTCAGTAGTACTCTCAAGTTGATATGGTATTTGACATGTTAAATTATTCCCAATAGTCGGTGCAGCTAAACAGTATTAAATCATACATTTTCCAACACTAGATTCTCTATTTACTAATAGATGTCACATCCGACAATGGCATTGATAGTTTCACTGATGGATCGTCCACGGTGATATAACTTATGGTTTGCAATGGAGGATTCATTCCAACTGGAATAAGTTTACAAGGCAAATCACCTCGATCAAAAGTGCATTCTAGGTACTTCTGACTTTGAATCATAGAGACCAAACATAATTTCAAAAGACAGACCAACTCTATGAACACAAATCAATCGAAGTAATAAATGCTCACGAAATCATCAGGTTTTGTCATACCAAATTTCAACATCATATGTCCAGGTAATGCACTTTGTTATATAATTTCTCTTGCAACAATAAATATGACACGTTAGTGAAAAAGTATAACTATGAGATAGATATATATGCATATCACCATAACTTCTTCAGTTCTGTTAAAGATAAGAGTACGAAAACACTTTGCAGTGTCTTTTCTTTCTCGTTGTTTCTTGAAAAATGACAAAGATTCTGTTTGCTTGTTACGTTGTCACTGATATCACGTTTACATACCATCTAACAATGGATGGAAACATATCTCTCAATTATGACTTGTTGACAGACTTTTGATTGCTTTTCTTATGAATTAACGAAATCTACAAGTCATTTTTCGTGCTGTCATCCGAACATAGAGCAACTAAAAATGGATATTTAATCGACATTTATATTATTCCGACTTCTATCGTCTGTCGGCGTATTCTCATAATCTATTATGCTGTTGAATATCAACACATAAATCATAGCATAAGCAGGTACATTGTAAGTCTTTGTCACATGCCCGTTGACTGTTGTAACTTCGAATTCTGATGATTCATCGATTGTGCATCTCAATTTTCAGCAACGAGACGTCTATTGGTATTCAATTATGTTTTATTAAATTCGTATGGAAATCTTTGAATACGTGCAAATCAAACAGAAGCAGTTAAGATATTTTATTTTATTGAATGTTGATTTACGCACGTCAATATTTTAATTAACATGCCTATTTTTGTCAACACCTTGAATATCACTTCTCATCTTCTCGTTCGTCATACTCAAACTGTTAAGTTTAATTTAACACTAACGTCAAGTTCTTTTTTTTAAAATTTTCTTTGAAGGATTTTAATCATAATTAATTTTACTTCCGTTGAAAACAATCTTGTGAAAAGTTGTGTTTCAATAATGACGTCAATATCAACACTTGTCATTATGTTTTAGACATTCTATTTGGAATCGCTTCATATCATTGTCAGACCACGCTACAACATCGAATATAATCAAACGGAGACTATCGAGTAGATTAAGAGCTCTCGAAGATCATCTTACATTCAATATGATCGGAGAACTAACATGTTTATCTTGTGTCTGGATGTATTTTCTATTTGAATCCACAATGTTGTCTGGAAATATCGTTTTATCTGTGAACTGACTAAACTTTCCAGTCATCTGTATCGACAAGCGAGTCATATCGGTCTCAATATCCAGGAATGGTTTGATATGAATGTATTACAATGATACAAGACAAGGAAAACATGAGCGAGTATTGTCGCCGATAGGATGGGAATAATACGAACGATTGCAACTGGAAGGAATTTGTAGCCTTGATCATGCCGATATGATTTCATTAGAAAATATTCATTTGATTTACTCAAGAGCTTCTCAAATATTGAATTTAGCCGATTTCTTCCTTCTTGTTCTGTTAATTTATACGAAAACTTGCGCTCAATAGTTATTTTCGAAGTAAATAACAAGATAAGTAAATAATATCTCTGATCATCACCTTTGATGCTCTTCTGTCATCAACATTTTTGTTAATACAAGAGAAAAAGAATATGCGTGTCTTTCTTTCTTTCTCTGTCAATGAATTGACTGGATAGTAACTCGGAAGATAACTGGAAGTAAAGAAGCATTTCAGCAGATATTAACTGACTTAGTGAATTCATGGTGACGCATTTTGCAAATTTGATACTTGTTTCTCTATGAAAATGAGAGAATAAGAGAAAGCGCGCGCGCGCAATGGAGAGAGACAGAGAGAGAGAGAGGAGAGAGAAAAACAGAAAAGAAAATAGGTGGGTAACTCTTGCTTTTCATTTCAAACCACTGAAGACCTCGACAGAAATGGATCTTTTCTTCCTCTTGCTCGTCTCAACAAGTTCCTTGAAAACTCAATTCCAATCACCAATGTATTCGTTCATGTGATCCGAACTACTTTAGATCATCGAAGCAATGGCATCGAATCACTTCACACTTTTCCAACTCTTAGTCATTTTAACCTTTGCCCAATTACCTCTATGTAAGTTAAAACAAATAACAAAAAACGAAACAATCATGTCATCAGGTGTCTTCAACCACCTTCGCCGCCTTTTTTTTTCTTATCAAATTGATTCCTTCGGAGAACGTATCATATGTCATCAGTGCAACTGTTTCTTTGAATATTTCAATCGACATAGACTAATGAGTACATTCATTAGTTTGCTTTGTATCTGAGGAGAAAACACGGTGAGAAATTCGTTGAGTTATCTGCTGTGCAGTAGACAGATCGCTGTAGTTTTTAAGAAGCGAAAATCATCTCAAGAGAATGTCGAGTATCTTCAATGTAATATTAATAAAAATAGAGACGTGTTCGCCTTCTCGTATATATACATTTGTGAGCCAAATAATATTTCTTATGTAAACTGTCGCCAGAAAATTGATACTGCTTTTAAGAAACAGATGTGTTTTTGGTCATTGATAAAGTTATATGAAATTTCGATAATGATGATAAGAATCTAATTGAGATTTATTTTCCTACTTTATTCGAATACACAGGGGAAAGATAAAGAAGTAATAATGATACTTCAAATCATAAAGATCGATTCGATACGAAACCAATGATAGACGACATTTGAAATATCTACTTTGCTAGTGCCTGATTTTCTTTAGCCAGTTCACCGTCTGTACCAATCTATAATCCGTCGACCGGTTGTCATGACTTGCCGAGTGAAAATGGCAAGTTCACTTTCGCCATATGCTTACAACGGGCAATAAATAAGCAACATACGCACAATCTCTACACAGCACCATCATTTTGTTCACAAAATTATCCACCTCATGGTCAATTGCTTGATTTTTCTTCCTTATCTTCGCCGAACATCGATGCACTTTTGCAAAGTTTAACGAATCTTTTCAAAGCGAAAGATCCACACTTATCTCTACCCCCACCAAACTTTCTCTGGATCAGTTCGAGTAAGTTGAGATCTGCAGTATCTTCGCTAAATTAGTTTGTAGATTCCACGCAGAATGAAACCATAAACAACTTCTGGTGTCCAAGACAATGTCAAGGAAATAACCAATCAGGAAAATTTCTCATTCTGAAGTTGGGATGTCAACTTCTAAATGCGAGTAAATCGTGTATATCAACGAAGCAAACTCATTGGAATCGCGCACCATTCATCTGTCAAAGCAATCGAACGATAAGAGTAAAAAGTGAAATAACACCTGAGGCAATTCGTATTCCACCAAGTTATCCAAGTAAAACTTTCTTTTCCAAATGGAAAATTTTCAGTGCTTTCACATTCATTTAGACGAAACGATCGTATTTCATGATTCCGATTCTTGTGTCATTGTTCGTACACGCACACATCAATATACATTCTGTTTTCGTCGTCAATTATGTCTGCAAACATTGACAAGTGCATTCTGTTCTACAAAACCACTGGCATCTCGAATATGTAACGATGACAAGAATGCTTCCAGTTTATTAACTATCGAGAATGATGATGAATATGAATTAGTCAGTCGGGTCATATCGGAATATTCCGGTGAAACTTTATTAGATGTTAATGGTACAACTAAAAGCAAATATGTCACTCGAGCTCAATGGATGTGGGTCGATGGAGTTAAAGGTAGGGTATTTCTCTATGTATGCTTTATTTTGAACGCATCGAATAGGTTTTAACAATGAATATCAATGGAATACAAGCGAAAATGTTTTGACCTCAATTCCAGATAAATATTGGTGTAATCAGATGAGAAATTGTTCGGGTGGGAAAGGACGTGAACATGTTGTATTGAATATTATTTGTCAGTTGAACAAAAATACTGCTCAGCCATGTTTGGCATCACGACGAGAATCAGAACCCGGGCCATTTATTTGCAAACGCCTGCTAACAGTGAATGAAGGTAAAGAAAACTCCGCAGAAGTCCTCAGGAGAAAATTGAAACCAAAATTTTCATCGTAGAACCTGTGTCGAATTACACATTCTTGAAGAATTCAACTAAAACACCGCTTCCTGTGGTGCCTGTTTACGAGAAAAGTAGGTTTGAATATTCATTGAGATTCTCTTCTCGATTCCAAGTTATTCACTAGATTCAACACATTTGTATTACGATGAACATCATTGTCTAAGCGTACAGACTCGTTCGCATCTCTATTCATTCTGTTTACGTCGACAAAATTGTACGGAAAAGCAAGCGTTTTGTACGAAATGGAGTGAAGCACGAAAACAGTGTCAATTGGTTAAAAATCAAGCACAATTATTAACAATCGAGAATGAATCAGAACAAATTTTAGTTAAAGATACCATCAACAGTTATCATAACGAGACACGTTTAGTTTATGATGGAAGTACTTATCGTTATTACGATTTAGCTGACTTTGTTTGGATCGATGGAGTTCAACAACGTAATTTAACATTAAAATTTCTTTTGTTAAAATTTCTTTCTCTTCTTTTCTAGCTGATAAACAAACTTATCTGTGGGGGAATAAACTTGAAACGATTCCAGAGCATTTATGGTGTCCGAAAGATGAATGTACTTCACTCGATCGTGATCGGGTGATGTTGAGTTTAATATGTAATAAGACAAAATCATCGATTTGCCTGGCCACACGTCTGGAATGGACACCTGCGCCATACATTTGTAAACGAACACGTCCAATCGATCGTAATGATGATTTTTCTTTCGAAATCTCTGCTTATATCTGATTGATTTCTGTATAAATAGAATGTCCGATAAAGTTCGATCAATATGAATATGATCAACAATTCGAAATGTTAATTGTCGCAGTCAATCGAACAGTTATTTTCATTAAATGTAAACATCCGGATTACAACACCGAAATCAAAGTTGAATACCATTGCAATACTACGAGTAAACAATGGCAATTAGACTATACAAACGAGAATTTCACTTGTCGTAAGTTAGACTTATTTCATAAATAGATAATAAAAACGCTTTCATTTAGCGGGATACGAAATACCTCCAATAGCTATGATGATAGACAATACAACTCAATCAACAAGTACAACGACAAGCACAAGTTCTAGTAAACAACTATCTCATTTTTTTATCCAAATACTATATATCTGTTAATATAGCATTAGCTCAATCGATAAATACAATTCCAACGGTGGCCGTTGTTACAACTTCGTTACAAAGTATGAAAATTTCTCGACCTTTTCTTTTCTACTAAACAGAACCGTCCCGTTTAGTTGCTGACTGTTCACAAGCAGAGCTCTCGATCTTAGTGGCAAATTTACCAGCAGAATCTCGTTATGTTATCCCACAACGATTACCATCTTATTCATCTCTGTATTATAACATCAAACTAACATGTCAGTTTAACAATTCAATTCAGATTATTTATCGATGTGATCTACTTAATAAACGTTGGTTGTATATTTATGGTAATACCAATCATTTTCGAATGTGTTCTCGACCGTGTAATAATACCGAACGCATGGAATTACTCAATAAATATTTCACACGACATGAGCAGAGCAAAATCCAGACGATTTACTTGAGACGACGTAATCAGTTACGTTTACGATGTTTAAGCAACCATGAAAATCAATGGAAGACAGTCTTTTATTCATGTGGAACAATGGCAATAACACCACAGCAATGGTACGAATTACATTCATGTTTTCAAGCCTTCGTACCAGTCACAGAACCGCCAGGTAAGTCTACGAGATGACATTTGTTCACAGTTATCGATCGACTTTATATCTTAGCGGTCATGGTCTCAATGTCTGTCACTGAACTACCGCGCGCATGTCCGCCAGCTGTCCAGCGTGGCAGTCCATGTGAACATGCGTCTGGTCAATATATATTTGATGTTAATGGTTGTGCGCGCAAAGTGTGTCCGTCATTGAGTAGTTTGTGTAATGTAAGTTAAAACGAATGTTTTTATGCTGAGAACACGTCTTTTTTTTCGTAGACAATACGTTGCCCATCGGATCGAATATGCCGTGTTATTTCTTGCAAATCTTGTGTTTACACGGATTATCTCCAAGCAGTTTGTGAATATCCACCAGGTATGTATAACTTATTTGTAAATATTTGTTTCACATGCTTTTCTATTGTCTATATTGATTCATATGCTTAATTAGATGATCACTATAACACAAATGCTAACGATGAATTTGTTGTTGTCGATATGACATTGAATGTGTAGCTTAACTTTGAAGAAAATTTGCTTGAACTGCTTCCATAGCTAGCTGTCGTGTGATTGTTTATTTTTTCGTTTTTTTTTCTATCATTTTCTTCCCTCTCTAGTACCATCATTGTGTGACCTTGAAAAACGATTGATTTCCTTGAATTCTACGGAATCGATTAATCGTTGGGTCCAACAAACAATTATTCTTGTTCAACAATATGCCAATGAACAACGACAACGATTATCATCACCATGGCCGGTTTTGACTATTGAATAAACATTCATGTGTATCTTTTAGAATGATTTATTTTTCTTAACTATTGTCATTTGTAAACGTTATATTTAGTTAGTAAAACAAAACAGAGTTAAGTCGTGTAAGAATTAAAATAGATGAGATTCATAATCGTTAAACGAAAATTTCTCTCTGAATTCCATTGATGAAGAATATTTCCTACGACACAAGCGCATACTTATAATCGAACGAAAACGATGTTGTTATTCGAAAAAAAAACGAAGGAAACATGCATATTGACCTTGAACAGACAGCTTAATGATAGAAAATTACTTTTACAGCTGTTACACCATGTAAAAAACACAATGAATTTAACCTTTTTTGGGATGGGTGATACGCCATTTCTACCAAGAACTGTTCCCTTTACCGATATGCACTATCTGTTGAATACATGAAATAGATGTGCGCACATTAGATTACACGTATATCTACGAGGCATATCGATATATCTAACATGACTTGCTAAAGTGTGCTCTATACTTATGATTTTCTTTTTCATTAATCGAGCAAGCTGTGTCTCTCGGATTCATTATTTCAGATACACACATAAGCAAGGTATTGCTACGTGAATTTTTACTGTCGAAGGTAAAATCTCGTCCTTTTTTTCAATAGAAATAAACCTGTCACGAAAGGGTTAGTTTCATTTCTTCTTTCAACGAAATGCTTTATCTAAAATGGCTCCTCCGGAAATACGTTCTTACATTGTGCGTACTATTCTTTCTTGCAATTCTAATTCTCGCTTATTACAATCCTGAGCATAGTCTACCGTATATCATATCCAATGACTATTACGATATCGAAGAAGCTCTTAGACACCTGCCTATATGTAATTCCCGAGATCGTCCAAATCAACGTGCTCTACTTTCTACTTTTCACGAATGGACTAAGTTCGCAAGGAAACATCAAATTCAATATTGGATTTCTTATGGAACACTAGTTGGATATGTTCAACGCGGTGGTCTACTGCCACACGATGGAGACATTGATTTAAGTATAATGGCACAAGCAACACCGTATTTGTTTGAACTATCTCGTTTAAACTTTTCATCAATCTATGAACTTGTCATTCATCCACAATGGTATATTATTGACGACACAAAACGATCTTACTTTCGATCTGAGAAAGTCGAATTTGTTTCGTTGAATGGACGATTTCTCAATCTCAAAGATAATTTGCATGTTGATCTTTGGACTGCTTATGATTACCATCCGAATAAAACAAGAGTCTACAAGAAGGATCCACCGACGATAACTTCGTTTGACAATGATTACCAATGGAGATCAATGCCGAGGGAGTGGATATTTCCTTTAAAGGAATGCATGTTCAGTGGCATCAAAGTCTGGTGTCCAGCACAACCAGAAAAATTAGTCAGTGATATTTACGGTGACATATCTGTGAATACATCGGAAGTGAAATGTGTGAATCAGACTTGGGTGCAATCCGAAGAATACAAAAATGCTAAGAAATTGATGGAAATGAGAATGAAACACATGACTGCAAGTACTAAAGAAACTTTGGTCACGTAAGTGTAGTGAATGTCGAGAACTAAAAAAGATATGAGATTTTGTTCATCGTTCGTTCTAGAACTTCAACACCTAGGCATCAAAGCAGTCATAGTCCCATTGATTTAGCCGTTGAGCAAATTCCTACATGCAATTCGAATGATCGTCCTCGGCACCGAACTCTTCTATTGCTTCTTCAAGCGTGGTCTCGTCTTGCAGACCAACACAATCTTCAATATTGGTTAACATTCGGATCACTCATCGGTTATGTTCAACGTCGAGGTTTATTACCACATGATTCTGATCTTCATATAACAATGGCAGTCAATGATACTCAGCAACTTCTGAACATTTCTCGTACTAACTTTTCATCAAATTATCAGCTTAAAGTTCACCCTCAATGGAATATCATGGGAGCAGGAAATCGTTCAAGTTTTCCCGATCAAGGTATCAATTTCGTTACACCGAACGCACGATTTATCAATCTGGAAAGTAAATATTCGATCGATATACTACCATCATACGATGCCAACAAGCAGAACCTCACAGTCTACGATCCAGATTACAATTGGATGTCACATCCAAAAAATTGGACATATCCACTACAAACATGTTATTTCAGTCAGATAAAAATGTTGTGCCCAGCTGATCCCAAGATGTTGGTGGAAACAATGTTTGGTGTTAAAGCACTAACGAAATCAGATACTCAATGTCGGAACGGTACTTGGGTTGAAATTACTCCTGGGAAAAAGTAACCATGAAATGAAAAACAAACAAGAGAATTTCTATTGATTTTCTGTGAATGTACGTTATGAGAACGATTAAGTTTTTTGTTTTTCGAATAATATCTAATATTTAAACCTGATGAGCTATCAATGTATGAGTTGTTTTTCTGATAAATCCATATCTGAATAATATTGTTTACCGGTTCAATTCTTATGAAAGAAATGAAAAATGATGGAAAATATTCACATATTCTACACCGTTCTATTCGACTAAGGAAACAAGTTACGTCTCTTGCAATTCGAGATCGTATTTGAGCAATTTATCTTTTAAAATGTCTTTCTCTTGAGTATCGAATTATTTTGTCAATCAAGCCGCGTATTTTACCACATAATCGAATAACACAATATGTAAAACTTTTAATATACGTCAATCAACATTTATTTCTACTAGCAATATACAAAAGCTCTCGAAACATTTACAAACACGTACGGAGTATCGCTGAATCATCATCGGTATTTGAAAAATCTCTTGAAAGATCTACAATAGAATTAGTTCGATTCAAAACATCCGTTCGTATTGATTGAGAAACATTGTCGACCTGATGAATATCGTCTAAAGAATTCGAAACCATTTTTTATTGAATCTTCTCTTTAACCTTCGAATCTCAAGAACATAAACGATGTTGATACATACTAAGTGATTTGGTTTTTGATCGTAATGTTGGTCTCTTTCTAATCGCTCTACTACTAATCGACGATGTTGGTGATGAAGCTATGAGCTGATAAGAGTCACGTCTTATTGACGGTAAATGATCAAAAGTGATTTGCCATGCGGCTAAATACAATCGTTCGAAAAATACTCAGCAACAATTGAACTGTTAGTTCTTACCAACATCGATCACATGTTGTTGTAACGCTCGTGTCCAATTATTCAGCATAAATATATCGTCAACAAAAAATTCTTCGACGTCAAAACCTCGATTGTATATCGAAAACGACAATTGTTCAGTTCGAGCTAAAATCAACGTTTCCTATGAAACCAAAATTCTATTAAAACATTTGAAATGAATCTAAAAATATTCGTACAGGTGTAATAGCAATTGAGAATCGATGTTGATCGGAGTAATCATCTCGCATAATTTCTTCTCCATTGAGAAATCCCGCTGCTAATACACATGAATATGAAATGTTATAAACTCGAACTTTGCCTGTGTACGTAGCTAAACGTATATAACACAGCGGTTGGGCAAAGAATAACGCAACGTAGGTTTCTGTGATTGGCAATTGCATGAGTGGATTTTCTTGGGGAATATCCATTCTTAAATAACGAGGTTTTGCGGATTTCGAAACGGATCCTTTTGTTAGAATTGCATGAGCGATTCGAACAAATTTCGATTGCGACTGTTCCAATGATTGATTCTAAATGAGAAGGTTTCCCACGCGTCTAATAACTGAAATCATGCGGCTTACTCCTGTTTCGAGTAGTTTCCGTGTTACCTTCGGCGACCCATGTACAGAAAAATAACTATAACGATTCGCAAAGTCTTTTGCTGATGATGAGAGTGCTAGATGTTTATTTAACGCATAGATTTCTAAGTGCAATTCGAAATCATGCGGAACATTGTTACTAAAATGAAACATCGCATGTCTTTTTTTGAATATATACAGATAAATTATACTTACAAGATGAGTTTATCAGTAAATAGAACGTCCGAGGAACGTCTATCGATGAATTTCATACCTGTATCGATAATCTCATATCCAACACGTGCCAAACAGAAGACAGCGAATGTTTTTTGTTCTTGAATAGCTACGAACATTTGAGAATGTTTCGTGAAGAAAATTTTTACCTGATTTTGCTTTCATTTTCGTCCATGCTAATGGTAAACGAATATCCGATAGAACGATGGTTGCTTTCGTTGGTTCAATACTTGAATTTCAAAGAAAAACAAAGTAATAGATCGTGCTTATGTTCACTACTCTACTCGTCTGTGTCTTGCTCAAGTAAATTTTGTTGTTTTCGTTGTATTTCACACATAAATGCTAACATACGCTGTTGAGAAAGAACAAGAGCTTTATGACATTCAATTGTTTGTTCAAGAGATGTAACTACATTGAGTAGTTTACTAATTCCATCAATCATTTTCACTTCACAGTCAATTTTACGTTCCAATTCAGGATCCTAGGATATACAAACGAATATTCTCAATCGAATTCGCTCATCGACATACCCAANAGAAGAGAAACGAAGCATTAGTAACAGCAAAAGCAACAGTTCTATTGTCGTTGATGAGAAAAAATAGCGAGAATAACAACATACATACACATAGCTACATCCGATATATCGACAAGAGATAGCAAAAAGATTTAGAAAGAACAAACAAGAAAAATCCTTCTCTTTTCTCTTTATTCAACCATTTATTCTTGTCAAGAGATCAGGATATTATTAAATCTTCTGCATAAATATCAATTTTCTAGATACATATACACACTGAAGATAAAAAATAACAACTTTTCGAAAATGATCTAGGAACTCAATAACATTAACTTAATGGACGTACTCGAATTACCTCGACCTGTTATCAATTTCCTTCGAACAATGGCGAAAGAAAGCTGTCGTTATGCTCTATCATGGGATATTTTTGGTGGACCTGATTCCGTAACATTGACATTGACATGGAAACTGATCGATGAAGAATCGCAATCATCAATGATCAACGAAGCAGCAGCATCCTTGAAACAACAGCAACAACAAAATTACGATGATACTTTTAATCGTATACGCTCGACAACTAAAACGAATACGTCAACATCTTCACCACGTCGTTCACGTCGTGATGATCACACTTCTTCAAATGAAAATGCTTCCGTGCCAGCTATATTTCGTTCATCTCGAGGCAAAAGTCTTGAAGATCCTCCGATACATTCAAGTAAACAAATGACATCTCATCAGCATCATCCTCAACATCAACTACAACATACGAAAGAACATTCACATGTATCTAGTTTAGAACGAACAACAGTACCTAATCACTATCAACATCATCATCGGACAAAGAAAGAACAACAACAACAACAACAACAACAGCAACAAAAGCAAGTGCCAATACTGTCAGATCAGACCTACGGTAAACTTTACGATACACGTTCATCGCCAGTTGTTAAGTGTGCTACTGTATCTTCACTATCGAGTTCTTCGCCATCTCCTCAACCGAATAATAATAATATTAATAATAACCCATCTTTATCTGCTACATTTACTCATAATCAGCGAGCTAAGCCACAGCAATTACAATCAACAACTCCGCCAACTTCACGCAAAACGATACGTCCATTGACTAATATATCTCGCACACCAACTTTACCGCTCACTAGTCCTACAGCGACAAATTATACGAAGCTAAAACGAAACGATAATATTGCACTTCGTAACGACTTTGACGATGACGATGATGACGATAATACGCTGGACCCGTGGGTAAAACGTTTCGAATGTTCACTTGGAGACCATGACGAGGAAAGTACGGAACATTCAGAAGAAAAAGAAGCTATGCCGAGCTCAGCTACACTTCTCCCTAACCTAGATGATGCTGCAAATACATCTGGCAAAGTAAAATTTAAGACTAAACCTGATTATTTCTAAGATTTATCTCTCTTTATTTTTATGTTTTTTTTTCTTACTGTTCTCAGGAGGAGAAAGAAAAAGCTGAATATTATGCGATTGAGTCTTTATAGAAAAAGAAACTCGTTCAATAAATTTGCCATTTCTTTTTTTTTTTTATAAAATTTTCCTCTTTAGCTTCCGCATCCATCTGATACGATAAGCAAACAGGCTTGTTTACAAAGAAACATCACTAACGCCATATTTTTTTCGTTAGGATTGTTGATCGTTTGTCAATGTGTCATTTCTCCTGCCTGAAAAGCTCATTGTCGTCATTTCAGATTATTCTACGATACAGCCATGTATTGCATAAACTGTTGATTTTCATAATTTTCTTCTTCTACTACACGATGTCTTTTGCATATCATACTGTTTCCGCTTGCCTTTTAACTCAACCAACAAGCCAATTAACACGCATTCATAGATTGACTTTTTTCTTCTCCTCCGCTTTGTTTTTCTAGACATTGAAGGAGAGAGAGAACGAGAAAATGAAGGCAAACATCTGTAGAATCTCGAAACTATACTATTGAAAAGATCAGATGATGATCGACACCATATGGTGTCAATGAAAATTATCCGAATGAACGTTCGAAGTTCTGCTTTCTCACTCGAACTACTTCAATGTCGATGAATAATATTAATTGAGTCAGAACATATTTAATTGTTTCATTCATTCGATAGCGTAGTAAACTTACTCAATCAATAATTGATACTCGGATCTTTAATAGCACAAAATCGTAACTATTCGCATAATAATTTCTTTTCTATTTGGTATATAATTAGCAATATTTCTCCAACAAGAAAACGAAGGCAAACTTCTAACAAATTGTCTGAATATTACTCGAGGGAGATCGATGAAATCGATCATTGTATTTGCTCTTTCTAACATCTCGAACAGTTTCTTCAAGTCATTGATCATTATCGAAAGTCTGCCGTCTAACAAATTCCCTGAAGAATTCTCTCTAGCGAAATCGAATGAGATCTATTTTCTTTGACCAATTATTACTTCTAATTCTTCAGCGACAAACTCACGAGAGATGATCTAGTCCTTGTCATAATACGTTGTAAGTTGAAAACTCCGCGGACTAATATATGATAGTACCAGAACAAATGTCACAGCTAACAGCAATATACGTCTATCTAAATAAATGTGTTAGTTTATGATAATTGGGATGAATAATTCGGATAAATAAAGATATGTCAATCAGCCAGTGTTGGATTTGTTAAATGAAATTGCAAGGAAGAAGAGAAAGAACGAAAGTAAAACTTGATTCAAACGAACAAGTTCATTTAGTTTCAACTTAAATATGAACATTTACATAAAATCTTTTCATTAAACATAGACATTTATCTACTCTGGCGAATAAAATTGAAATATTTTAACGAATTATATCAATAAACTGCATCACTAGACATATACAATCTTACTTCTCATTAACAAGCGAAGAAGGAATAATCCCATAAGCTACTTTAGGAAACAATACGCTCTACAGACATTGAACATCAATCTGAACCATATGCGTTAAATTTAAGCTTTCGGATTTATTCCAGCGTACCGTCTATCGACATTGCTGGAATCGTTTTTTTTTCTTTTGACCGAAGTCGATCAAATTCTTCTTTCACTTTTCGCCGAAAGGATACATTCTAGCATACACTTCACTGCATATCTCTCATGATTTACATATGCACGAAGCTTAATACTGTCAACAAGTTTGCGATCAGATAAGAAGGCAAACGACAAATTTGTGATTTCTTAATTCTTTAACATGTTGGACATGTCTATCCATACGATGCGTATCTCTGTTGATCATTAAAGAGTCTCTTGCATAACTACTGACATCATTTACTTTTCAATTGCAAATTCTCATCATACGAACACGAAGTCATCGATCAAACATATAGGTCACTCATGGTTGCTACTAGTTTGTATTCCACCATCACTCGACTAACTTTCATATCAATCAGTAGTTTACATATTTTATCCGCAGATTGATAAGCACAACGAAATATTAATTGCTAGTTTGTCATCGAACTGAGAGTTTATGGAAGAGAAAGGTAACATTTATTTGCATTAACGATGGAAGATTGCTTGATGAAAGAGTAGAAGAGCGTATGAGAGAATGAATATTATTTTTTTGTTCTTCTTTGATCGATTTTCTCATCAATTCGGGATGTAATGAGAAACTTTATGAACAGTTTACGAGACAAAGACAAACACTAGCGTCATTATCATTGATAACAACAACAACAACATCAATAGTCAAGTAAAAGCAATTAATGAACAAAAATTACATCATTATTATCATTTACTTATTCTCCCATCCGCAATCGTTCGTCATTTTTTTTTTATTCTTTGGATTCAATCAATCGAACGATATGAAAGAAAGACTATGTATATGATAGCAAAACTTATCGACGATATACACCTGTTCTAGACAATGATATACATTGATAATGATCGATATATTCTTGCCGGAAGCAGTTTGAAGTAAGTAAATGAATGAATGATATACATCTTAACATGAATATTAACTTCGAACAGTTTTGTTGATCTACTTTGATTAGGAGGAGAAAGAAATTATCTTGAACAACTTTATTATAGAAAAAGAAACGACACATTGATTTAATCTACGACGGTTGAAGATCATTATTATTCTAATCTCAATAAGGACAGTTTCCTTCCGGACATGTGCTAAGCATGTATGTACATGTTGATAAAGTATTAATGGACAGCTACTATCCACACGTAGACTCTTTCCTATCCGATATTTCAAAGAAAAAGATGTTCTGTTTTATGATTAGGAGATGATATGTCAGAAGTTGCTACTTTCTTTCGTTTTCGATGACATACACTTGTAGAATCAGTCAGAAGCTGATTTATATTCATGTATCACGACACTTACTCAACCATCATCACTTGTCTGTCTCATGTTTCACTATTAGTATTCGTTGTGCTCGCTCTCCTTCTCTTTCTCTCCCGTTCATTCATTCTCACTTTACTTTTTTTGATTTAAATGTCATTGATTTCTTCGCTTCTTTTTCTCTTTATTCAATCTTTCTTTCTTTCTTTCTCTCTACTGTTTGTAAGTTTACTGCAATATGACCATTGCTGTCGGCGGACCAACTACACCTCCCTCTCTTCTTCATTCATTCTCGAATAACAATAATCACCCATGCACGCATACCTCATGCTAACACGATTATCCATGATAGGTGCTCTAACCATTGATCTTATTTCTATACCTTTTTCGTTCGTTCTAGATTTCGTTGTTGTGTATTTTGTTTTGTCTCTATTGTTATTCGAAGTTTTATAGTGAAACTACTATGAAAACGAATTTATGAAAATGATTAATTGAACAGTTATCGTTTTTCTGTGTCGTTATTCTTTGACCTATACTTATCTCTTTTTTTTATAAACAACTACCAAACGAGAAGATATGGAGCATCGCAAAGCGATGATTTCTACTATAACTATGATCGAATCAAGTAACAATAACCATTCGCTTCATCGACGTAAGAAAAGAACAGCTAAACGACAACAACTACTACCACCCTCATTATCATCAATACCAAATGATGATCAACACAGTCCATTAGTATCACATACGGGAATGAATTCTAATCACATCAAAACACATCTAAGTGGACAACAGAAAGAAAACATTTCCATGAAACGACCGTTAGCATGGACTAAAAAATGGACGAAATGGTTTTCACCATGTGGCTCACAACGCGTATCCCGCAGCGATTCCAATACGATATCAACACTAACGCCAACAGTAGCAACAGTACCAGTTGATGTAAGTGAAGATTTCATCTTTTCATCTTCAATATCTACACCTGTTACGAGATAGATCAGTGTGAGACATCGTTGTCGTTCACTCATCCGTTGATTGATGATCGTCAAAATACGAGCTCTTTCTCTCATTTGTCTACAGTTCTCATATATACAATCCATTGTCTGAAGGACGTGATTGAGTATCAGTGAAAGAATAACAAGATATCTAAGTCATCATTGGTATGTGTGTAAAACAATCTAACAATGTCTGTTTAATAGAAAGAAAAGAGTTCTGTTCAACATGAATCGAGAGAAGATAAAATTCCATTTTGCATGTTCAACTTGCGATTGAATGACATAGGAATTAATTGTTAGGAATGAAGTGAATGCGATTGTCTTTTTTTTCTGTACGTATAGATTGGCCTTTTTAACGCCATTTACATTGATGTGATGACAAGAAAGGATAAGAAGAGAGAGAGAGAAATGTATGAAATACCGACAGAAAAAACGTCTTATGTTTAAAAGAGAGTGACGAATGCATCGAAAAGACATTCACTAAATGGTGATCGATGCGAATCATATTCAATTTTACATTGATGGATATGATAAAATCTAACCCATTATGAATATTTGCGTGAAAAACTAATCAAGAAGTTAGATCGAAGATTAATGATCGACGATTGGCAAAATTCTTCTTGTCAATCGAACTGAGAAATATATTCACAACTCGTCTATTGTCTCTCTTTTAGTATATTCAATGAACTAGACACAAAACGTATGCTTTGTTTTTTCTTCTCATACAGACTTAGTCGTACGGTTTCATACAAGAATGTCCGAATCTCTTTTGATATATTAAACTGTTTTTTTTTTGCAAGACATTGTTCGACTCGAACTATACCTCTCATTAAGAAGAATAACATCTCTTTATTGACTATGAAATCGCTGATCGGTATCGAGTATATTTTTTCTCTTACTACTCACTGTACTAATGATACTTCCATTGATTTTCTAATCGAAGATTGTTTGACTTTATCTCGATCAGCTCCAAAACATATCACATCTCAAATTTGCTGATAATTGTTTGACTAGCATTAATATGTTCTATTGCAAAACATCAATAACATCTTGAAGTCATTTTCTTTCCTCTAATCGATGCGTACACTGATTCAGAGACTTACATGGAAAGTGATACATGCGTTTATCTTTTCTTTTGGGCAAGCGAAATAACAATGTTAAATAATCCGAAGCTTAAACTAGACACAACAGATTCATTGAATATTAATCGAACGACATTGGCGTCTAGTAAATAGTTTAATAGAGCTATTTCAAAGAATGTCGAATCTATTTTGACGATTTCTCCGTTACATCATCGAGGAAAATAGAATCATTAAAAAGAAAAAGAAACTTCATTTTACAACTCGTTTCTTATACTTGTTTAAACCACAATCCGATTAGAGTTAGTAGTATATTTTCTTGTGTAATCGAATATCTCTTCAAGATTCATCTGATCACTTGATGTATTATGTAGATTGAATCGTATTTTATACAGATGTGTAGTTGACTCAAGTGTATATGATACATGTAGAAGAGTAACAGCTTGAATTCTCTTTTATCTCGTCTTATTTTGAACTTGAGAATACAATTATCAAAAGATATATAGACGTATGTTTGTGTGTGACAGCATGTATGTATTATGCAAAGGCAGACAAAACTAATTTATTGCAAAACGGAAGAAATCTAGGCAATGTTAAAAAGTGAATGATGTGAAGAGAAAGTCTATTGGAATTTTTTTTCTCCGAGTGACTTATTGATAAGTGATCGTATGCAATCTATCAATCATTTACTTGCAAGTGCACGAAGAAACTAGAAATTTGCCGTTATTAACACATGTGCATGTTCTTCGAAGAACGAGAATGGAATGTGATGCATTATTATGTTTTGAAGAAAATCATCGATGTGTTTAATGTAGTTCATTTACAGGTCTAAGAAAACAACAACCGTGAGCTACTATTCCGCGCAGAGTAGTACTCGCCCGTTTTTTCCTTTCTGTCTATCATCTTCTACTTTTTTCTTTTGTTGTGCCGTAACAGGAGTGAGTGTGTATTTGATGGCTCATTGAACGTTTTGTATAGGTGTGTGCGTGTCAAGCTTGTTGAAAAAAAAATGTGAAAAGGGAGAGAGAAACAAGGGGGAAGAAGAAGACGAACAGGAAATCAGCGTCTCTCTCTCCTGACTATATTTAATAGAAGAATGATGTGGAGATGCCGTTGCTGCTACTATTACTACTGCTGAGACTACTTTAGTAGCCGGCACTTCATCTTCATCAGCTTTAGTTATTACTTTGCTCGTGTTGTTATCATTACTATGCGAAGAACAAATAGTAGCTGAACAACGCTAGTTACAGAGCCGGTGTTTTCTTCTCGTTTGTTGATTACGAATGAAACTCTTCAGTGTTCTAGTACGTATTCTTCATAACGATCTAGTTGATCACTTGGGACGTATTCAGATAAAATAGAGATGTTTACTTAATAAAGACGACGAATTCGATTTGTATTGAATGCTATTATGATGTTTTTTCTTATTTTCTATTGCAGAAACGTGCTCGAACCAAGTCCGAAAATGATCTATCGAAGCGCGGCAGCATCGATCAGAATGAAAAAGTATGTATCGAAGGAAATTTTGTTATTTTTATATGTTTTTTCCTACTCTTTCTTAACCTTGAATGTATTTTTAACTCGAGCAATGTATTATTTTTTTTAAATCCGCCTCTCTTAACCAAATCGAGATCGATATGCAAATGAATATTTATCTGATTTGTTTTTCTACTTTCATTTGATTTCGTTCTCTACTACTATCGATTCCATTTAATTTAACTAGGAATCGCATTGCTGACAGCGAAAATTCTCTTCTCATCGGCGATAATTTACGCGAATTCATGACGTTCATCATCTTCTCTCTTTCTATTTTGTTCAAGTATCTTCATTTTCTTATTCGCAACTATCTTTTACAGCACGATACACAAAGACATCGACATCGGAATGTAAATGCTCATCTGTAGACGTCAGAGGTTCTTTTTCATCTTGGACCACGAGTTTTTTCTTTCGTATAATCTATGAGTTTCTGGTTTATATTGTGTATCAGTTTGACTTATGATAGTTATAATAATCAGATGCCTTTTTTCCCCTTCATTTAATGATAGAGATAAATGGATCAACATACACGCATAGATTAGATCTTTTCATTAATGACTATTCAGCATAAATAGATAAGTACGTGTACATTTTTTTGGTTTTCTCTATTTTTATTAAAACGAGACATCTATCGAAGCAATTCAGAGGAGATGTTTCTTTTTTTCCCTGATATTTTATTGAAATATGTAACCGAATCACAGGTGAAGGTCGCGCAAATACATATATGTATACAATATAAAAGTAATCCTATGTATGTTGATAGTTACTGATAAATTGACTTGACTCGACCATCGAAAGAAAAAAAAAGAGTATGCAAACACATATTCACCTTTCGAACAAGACGAGACGCAAGGGAAACGCAAATAACTGAGACCATAAAAAGTCGATTTCATTTGCTTTCCGTCACTCACTCTCTCTCTCTCTTTTCATCTGTTAATATCAGATGAGAATGACGCTTGTATGCACGTGCCATGTGTGCTTATCTAATTTTACAACATGAAATAGTGCTTGCGTTTTTTTTATCAAATAGAAAGCGAAGAAGAGAGAACTTGCTAGTCGATGGTGATTCTATTATGTATCGGTATTATTGAGGACTAAGAGAAGAAGGCGAAGAGAGGAGGGGGGAGAATCGAAAGCTGTTCTGTGTTCCTTCTTGTGCGACAGAACAAACCGATCGAAATAAGACAGAGAACGACGAATAAAACTGCAATAATAGTAATAGCAGCAAAATACGATGTCGACAAGGAAAAGAAAAAGAAGAAGGACATGGTGGCGTCGGCGACGTTGTCGACATAGTTGTGCCTTTTTTCTTCTTTCTTCTTGCGGTTTTTCTTCTACCAACACAAACTCGTCCGACTATTATATAAGTAACCTTCTAGCTATTATATATATATATATTTCGATGAGTATAGGTGACAACTAAGGAGAAAAACAACATCCATCTTTTTGGTACGTGTTTTGTCAGGAAATATAGCGACATTTCAAATCGAGATTGTGCTAATTATACTCATTTTTTTATTTTCATCTGATCTATTCGACTTGTTTTTTTAGCATTTCTTTTTTTTTTCATTCATCCATTCATTCTCTGTTTCTATTATCATTAGTCAAATAAGTGTGTTGAAGAGTAGATACCAGTGTAACAGTTAGTGCGACTAACTTCNGTATTTTGTTTTGTCTCTATTGTTATTCGAAGTTTTATAGTGAAACTACTATGAAAACGAATTTATGAAAATGATTAATTGAACAGTTATCGTTTTTCTGTGTCGTTATTCTTTGACCTATACTTATCTCTTTTTTTTAATAATGTACTTCAAGTGTCGCCAGTAACTCAGGAAAAGTAGAATCCACTGTATAGAATACACAGCATGGAGCTCTAAATCCTGCTGTGTCATGTTATTTTTTCACCACTCATGCTTGTTATTCTCTTACTATTTACACTTTATACACTCAGTTTTTTTTTCTAGAGTTCTCATCACTAGAGGTCGATCGCATCTCATTTCCAAGCTAGGGATAGACATACATAGAATTTCTATTTTTCTATTAACCATTTTGATAGGATTTACCACTATTGTTGGCATATCGAGCGCATGGAGGAAATGACATCACCGGGAAGTATTATTGTTGCACACACGCGCACATTCAGGCAAGTCTATTCATCCATTGGCACGAGTAGGAAACAGATAGATTTTGAGCCGCCCAAGACGAATAGAGAGGGGGGAGAGTGCGAGCGAAAGGAAAAGTTTTGTGTTTACTCAGAATGCGCAAGTCCTCACGGGAGAAAAGAGACGAAGAAGACGAAGAGAAGAGAAACGAAGCATTAGTAACAGCAAAAGCAACAGTTCTATTGTCGTTGATGAGAAAAAATAGCGAGAATAACAACATACATACACATAGCTACATCCGATATATCGACAAGAGATAGCAAAAAGATTTAGAAAGAACAAACAAGAAAAATCCTTCTCTTTTCTCTTTATTTAACCATTTATTCTTGTCAAGAGATCAGGATATTATTAAATCTTCTGCATAAATATCAATTTTCTAGATATATATATATATATATACACCGAAGACAAAAAATAACAACTTTTCGAAAATGATCTAGGAACTCAATAGCATTAACTTAATGGACGTACTCGAATTACCTCGACCTGTTATCAATTTCCTTCGAACAATGGCGAAAGAAAGCTGTCGTTATGCTCTGTCATGGGATATATTTGGTGGGCCCGATTCCGTAACATTGACATTGACATGGAAACTGATCGATGAAGAATCGCAATCATCAATGATCAACGAAGCAGCAGCATCCTTGAAACAACAGCAACAACAAAATTACGATGATACTTCTAATCGTATACGCTCGACAACTAAGACGAACACGTCAGCATCTTCACCACGTCGTTCACGTCGTGATGATCACACTTCTTCAAATGAAAATGCTTCCGTGCCAGCTATATTTCGTTCATCTCGAGGCAAAAGTCTTGAAGATCCTCCGATACATTCAAGTAAACAAATGACATCTCATCAGCATCATCTTCAACATCAATTACAACACACGAAAGAACATTCACATGTATCTAGTCTAGAGCGAACAACAGTACCTAATCATTATCAGCATCATCATCGGACAAAGAAAGAACAACAGCAACAACAACAAAAGCAAGCGCCGATACCGTCAGATCAGAGCTACGGTAAACTTTACGATGCACGTTCATCGCCAGTTGTTAAGTGTGCTACTGTATCTTCACTATCGAGTTCTTCGCCATCTCCTCAACCAAATAATAATAATATTAATAATAACCCATCGTTATCTGCTACATTTATTCATAATCAGCGAGCTAAACCACAGCAATTACAATCAACGACTCCGCCAACTTCACGCAAAACGATACGTCCATTGACTAATATATCTCGCACACCAACCTTACCGCTCACTAGTCCTACAGCAACAAATTATACGAAGCTAAAGCGAAACGATAATATTGCATTTCATAACGATTTCGACGATGACGATGATGACGATAACGCGCTGGACCCATGGGTAAAACGTTTCGAATGTTCACTTGGAGACCATGACGAGGAAAGTACGGAACATTCAGAAGAAAAAGAAACCATGCCGAGCTCAGCTACACTTCTTCCTAACCTAGATGATGCTGCAAATACATCCGGCAAAGTAAAATTTAAGACTAAACCTGATTATTTCTAAGATCTATCTCTCTTTATTTTTATGTTTTTTTTTCTTACTGTTCTCAGGAGGAGAAAGAAAAAGCTGAATATTATGCGATTGAATCTTTATAGAAAAAGAAACTCGTTCAATAAATTTGCCATTTCTTTTTTTTATACAATTTTCCTCTTTAGCATCCGTATTTATTTGATACGATAAGCAGACAGGTTTGTTTACAAAGAAACTTTACTAACGCCATATTTTTTTCGTTAGAATTGATGATCGTTTGTCAATATGTAATTTCTCCTGCCTGAAAAGCTCATTACCGTCATTTCAGATTATCCGACGATACAGCCATGTATTGCGTAAATTGTTGATTTTCATAATTCTCTTCTTCTACTACACGATGTCTTTTGCATATCATACTGTTTCCGCTTGCCTTTCAACTCAACCAACAAGCTAATTAACAGGCATTCATAAATTGACTTTTTTCTTCTCCCTCGCTTTGTTTTTCTAGACATTGAAGGAGAGGGAGAACGAGAAATGAAGGCAAACATCTGTAGAATCTCGAATCTATACTATTGAAAAGATCAGATGATGATCGACACCAGATGGTGTCAATGAAAATTATCCGAATGAACGTGTGAAGTTCTGCTTTCTCACTAGAACTACTTCAATGTCGATGAATAATACTAATCGAGTCAGAACATATTTAATTGTTTCATTCATTTGATAACGTAGTAAATTTACTCAATCAATAATTGATACTCGGATCTTTTATAGCACAAAATCTTAATTATTAGCACAATAATTTCTTTTATATTTGCTACATAATTAGCAATATTTCTCCAACAAGAAAACGAAGGCAAATTTCTAACAAATTGTCTGAATATTACTCGAGGGAGATCGATGAAATTGATCATTGTATTTGCTCTTTCTAACATCTCGAACAGTTTCTTCAAGTCATTGATCATTATCGAAAGTCTGCCGTCTAACAAATTCCCTGAAGAATTCTCTGAAGCGAAATCGAATGAGATCTATTTTCCTTTAACCAATTATTACTTCTAATTCTTCAGCGAGCAACTCACGAGAGATGATCTAGTCCTTGTCATAATACGTTGTAAGTTGAAAACTCCGCGGACTAATATATGATAGTACCAGAACAAATGTCATAGCTAACAGCAATATATGTCTATCTAAATAAATGTGTTAGTTGATGATAATTGGGACGAATAAATCGGATAACTGAAGATATGTCAATCGGCCGGTGTTGGATTTGTTAAATGGAATTACGAGAAGGAAGAGAAAAGGACGAAAATAAAACTTGATTCAAACGAACAAGTTCATTTAGTTTCAGCTTAAATATGAACATTTACATAAAATCTTTTCGTTAAACATAGACATTTATCTACTCTGACGAACCAAATTGAAATATTTTAACGAATTATATCAATAAACTGCATCACTAGACATATACAATCTTACTTCTCATCAACAAGTGAATAAGGAATAATCCCATAAGCTACTTTAGGAAACAATACACTCTACAGACATTGAACATCAATCTGAACTATATGCGTTAAATTTAAGCTTTCGGATTTATTCCAGCGTAGCGTCTATCGACATTGCTGGAATCGTTTTTTTTTCTTTTGACCGAAGTCGATCATATTCTTCTTTCACTTTTCGCCGAAAGGATACATTCTAGCATACACTTCACTGCATATCTCTCATGATTTACATATGCACGAAGCTTAATACTGTCAACAAGTTTGCGATCAGATACGAAGGCAAACGACAAATTTGTGATTTCTTAATTCTTTAACATGTTGGACATGTCTATCCATACGATGCGTATCTATGTTGATCATTAAAGAGTCTCTTGCATAACTACTGACATCATTTACTTTTCAATTGCAAATTCTCATCATACGAACACGAAGTCATCGATCAAACACGTAGGTTACTCATGGTTGCTACTAGTTTGTATTCCACCATCACTCGACTAACTTTCATATCAATCACTAGTTTACATATTTCATCCGCAGATTGATAAGCACAACGAAATATTAATTGCTTGTTTGTCATCGAACTGAGAGTTTATGGAAGAGAAAGGTAACATTTATTTGCATTAGCGATGGAAGATTGCTTGATGAAAGAGTAAAAGAGCGTATGAGAGAATGAATATTGTTTTTTTGTTCTTCTTTGATCGATTTTCTCATCAATTCGGGATGTAATGAGAAACTTTATGAACAGTTTACGAGACAAAGACAAACACTAGCGTCATTATCATTGATAACAACAACAACATCAATAGTCAAGTAAAAGCAATTAATGAACAGAAATTACATCATTATTATCATTTACTTGTTCTCCCATCCGCAATCGTTCATCATTTTTTTTATTCTTTGGATTCAATCGATCGAACGATATGAAAGAAAGACTATGTATATGATAGCAAAACTTATCGACGATATACACCTGTTCTAGACAATGATATACATTGATAATGATCGATATATCTTTGCCGGAAGCAGTTTGAAGTAAGTAAGTAAATGAATGATATACATCTTAACATGATTATTAACTTCGAACAGTCTAGTTGATCTGTTTTGATTAGGAGGAGACAGAAATTATCTTGAACAACTTTATTATAAAAAAGAAACGACACGTTGATTTAATCTTCGACGGTTGAATATCATTATTATTCTAATCTCAATAAGGACAGTTCCCTTCCGGACATGTGCTAAGCATGCATGTACATGCTGATAAAGTATTAATGGACAGCTACTATCCACACGTAGACTCTTTCCAATCCGATATTTCGAACAAAAGATGTTCTGTTTTATGATCAAGAGATGATATGTAAGAAGTTGCTACTTTCTTTCGTTTTCGATGACATACACTTGTAGAATCAGTCAGAAGCTGATTTATATTCATGTATCACAACACTTACTCAACCATCATCACTTGTCTGTCTCATGTCTCACTATTAGTATTCGTTGTGCTCGCTCTCCTTCTCTTTCTCTCCCGTTCATTCATTCTCACTTTACTTTTTTGATTTAAATGTCATTGATTTCTTCGCTTCTTTTTCTCTTTATTCAATCTTTCTTTCTTTCTTTCTTTCTCTCTACTGTTTGTAAGTATACTGCGATATGACCATTGGTATCGGCGGACCAACTACACCTCCCTCTCTTCTTCATTCATTCTCGAATAACAATAATCACGCATGCACGCATACCTCACGCTAATACGATTATCCACGATAGGTGCTCTAACCATTGGTCTTATTTCTATACCTTTTCCGTTCATTCTAGATTTCGTTGTTGCCTATTTTGTTTTGTCTGTGTTGTTATTCGAAATCTCATAGTGAAACTACTATGAGAACGAATTTATGAAAATGATTAATTGAACAGTTATCGTTTTACTCTGTCGTTATTGTTTGACCTATACTTATCTCTTTTTTTTTATAAACAACTACCAAACGAGAAGATATGGAGCATCGCAAAGCGATGATTTCTACTATAAGTATGATCGAATCGAGTAACAATAACCATTCGCTTCATCGACGTAAGAAAAGAACAGCTAAACGACAACAACTACTACCACCCTCATTATCATCAATACCAAATAATGATCAACACAGTCCATTAGTATCACATACTGGAATGAATTCTAATCACGTCAAAACACATCTAAATGGACTGCAGAAAGAAAACACTTCCATGAAACGACCGTTAGCATGGACTAAAAAGTGGACGAAATGGTTTTCACCATGTGGATCACAACGCGTATCTCGCAGCGATTCCAATACGATAACAACACTAACGCCAACAGTAGCAACAGTACCAGTCGATGTAAGTGAAGATTTCATCTTTTCATCTTCAACATCTACACCTGTTACGAGATAGATCAGTGTGAGACATCGTTGTCGTTCATTCATCCGTTGATTGATGATCGTCAAAATACGAGCTCTTTCTTTCATTTGTCTACAGTTCTCATATATACAATCCATTGTCTGAAGGACATGATTGAGTATCAGTAAAAGAATAACAAGATATCTAAGTCATCATTGGTATGTGTATAAAACAATCTAACGATGTCTGTTTAATAGAAAGAAAAGAATTCTGTTCAGCATGAATCGAGAGAAGATAAAATTCCATTTTGCATGTTCAACTTGCGATTGAATGACATAGAAATTAATTGTTAGGAATGAAGTGAATGCGATTGTCTTTTTTTTTTTGTACGTATAGATTGGCCTTTTTAACACCATTTACATTGATGTGATGACAAGAAAGGATAAGAAGAGAGAGAGAAAATGTATGAAATACCGACAGAAAAAACGTCTTATGTTTAAAAGAGAGTGACGAATGCGTTGAAAAGACATTCACTAAATGGTGATCGATGCGAATCATATTCAATTTTACATTGATGGATATGATAAAATCTAACCCATTATGAATATTTGTGCGAAAAACTAATCAAGAAGTTAGATCGAAGATTAATGATCGACGATCAGCAAAGTTCTTCTTGTCAATCGAACTGAGAAATATATTCACAACTCGTCTATTGTCTTTCTTTTAGTATATTCAATGAACTAGACACAAAATGAATCCTTTGTTTTTTCTTCTCATACAGACTTAGTCGTACGGTTTCATACAAGAATGTCCGAGTCTTTTTTTTATATATTAAACTGTTTCTTTTACAAGACATTGTTCGACTCGAACTATGCCTCTCGTTAAGAAGAATAACATCTTTTTATTGACTATGAAATCGCTGATCGGGGCATCGAGTATCTTTTTTCCTCTTACTACACACTGTACTAACGATACATCCATTGATTTTGTGATCAAAGATTGTTTGACTTTATCTCGATCAACTCCAAAACATATCACATCTCAAATTTGCTGCTAATTATTTGACTGAGCATTGATTTGTTCTATTGCAAAACATCAATAACATCTTGAAGTCATTTTCTTTCCTCTAATCGATACGTACACTGATCCACAGACTTACATGGAAGGTGATACATACGTTTCTCTTTTCTTTTGGGCAAGCGAAATAACGATGTTAAATAATCCGAAGCTTAAACTAGACACGACAAATTCATTGAATATTAATCAAACGACATTGGGGTCTAGTAAATAGTTTAATAGAGCTATTTAAAAGAATGTCGAATCTATTTTGACGATTTCTCCGTTACATCATCGAGGAAAATAGAATCATTAAAAAGAAAAAGAAACTTCATTTTACGACTCGTTTCTTATACTTGTTTAAACCACAATCCGATTAGAGTTAGTAGTATATTTTCTTGTGTAATCGAATATCTCTTCACGATTCATCTGATAACTTGATGTATTATGTAGATTGAATCGTATTTTATACAGATGTGTAGTTGACTCAAGTGTATATAATACACGTAGGAGAGTAACAGCTTGAATTCTCTTTTATCTCATCTTATTTTGAACTTGAGAATACAATTATCAAAAGATATATAGACGTATGTTTGTGTGTGACAGCATGTACGTATTATGCAAAGGCAGACAAAACTAATTTATTGCAAAACGGAAAGAATCTAGGTGATGTTAAAGAGTGAATGACGCGAAGAGAAAGTCTGCTGGAATTTCTTTTTTCTCCGAGTTACTTATTGATAAGTGATCGTATGCAATCTATCAATCATTTACTTGCAAGTGCAGGAAGAAACTAGAAATTTGCCGTTATTAGCACATGCGCATGTTCTCCGAAGAACGAGAATGGAGTGTGATGCATTATTATGTTTTGAAGAAAATCATCGATGTGTTTAATGTAGTTCATTTACAGGTCTAAGAAAACAACAACCGTGAGCTACTATTCCGTGCAGAGTAGTACTCGGCCGTTTTTTCCTCTCTATCTACCATCTTCTACTTTTTTTTCTTTTGTTGTGCCGTAACAGGAGTGAGTGTGTATTTGATGGCTCATTGAACGTTTTGTATAGGTGTGTGCGTGTCAAGCTTGTTGAAAAAAAAATGTGAAAAGGGAGAGAGAAACAAGAGGGAAGAAGAAGACGAACAGGAAATCAGCGTCTCTCTCTCCTGACTATATTTAATAGAAGAATGATGGGGAGATGCCGTTCCTGCTACTGTTACTACTACTACTACTGCTGAGACTACTTTAGTAGCCGGCACTTCATCTTCATCAACTGCAGTTATTACTTTGCTCATGTTGTTATCATTACTATGCGCAGAACAGATAGTAGCTGAACAACGCTAGTTACAGAGCCGGTGTTTCCTTCTCGTTTATTGATTACGAATGAAACTCTTCAGTGTTATAGTACGTATTCTTGATAACAATCTAGTTGATCACTTGGGACGTATTCAGATGAAATAGATGTGTTTACTTAATAAAGATGACGAATTCGATTTGTATTGAATGCTATTATGATGTTTTTCTTATTTTCTATTGCAGAAACGTGCTCGAACCAAGTCCGAAAATGATCTATCGAAGCGTGGCAGCATCGATCAGAATGAAAAAGTATGTATCGAAGGAAATTTTGTTATTTTTATATGTTTTTTCCTACTCTTTCTTAACCTTGAATCTATTTTTAACTCGAGCAATGTATTATTTTTTAAAATCCACCCCTCTTAACCAAATCGAGACCGAAATGCAAATGAATATTTATCCGATTTGTTTTTCTACTTGCATTTGATTTCGTTCTCTACTAGTATCGATTCCATTTAATTTAACTAGGAATCGCATTGCTGCCAGCGAAATCCTCTTCTCATCGGCGATAATTTACGCGAATTCATGACGTTCATCCTCTTCTCTCTTTCTATTTTGTTCAAGTATCTTTATTTTCTTATTCACAACTATCTTCTACAGAACGATACACAAAGACATAGGCATCGGAATGTAAACGCTCATCCGTAGACGTCAGAGGTTCTTTTTCATCTTGGAACACGAGTTTTTTCTTTCGTATAATCTATGAGTTTCTGGTTTATATTGTGTATCAGTTTGACTTATGAGAGTTATAATAATCAGATGCCTTTTTTCCCCTTCATTTAATGATAGAGATAAATGGATCAACATACACGCATAGATTAGATCTTTTCATTAATGACTATTCAGCATAAATAGATAAGTACGTGTACATTTTTTTTCGGTTTTCTCTATTTTTATTAGAACGAGACATCTATCGAAGTAATTCAGAGGAGATGTTTCGTTTTTTTCCCTGATATTTTATTGAAATATGTAACCGAATCACAGGTGAAGGTCACGCAAATACATATATGTATACAATATAAAAAATAATCCTATGTGTGTTGATAGTTACTGATAAATTGACTTGACTCGGCCATCGAAAGAAAAAAAAGAGTATGCAAACACATATTCACCTTTCGAACAAGACGAGACGCAAGGGAAACGCAAATAATTGAGACCATAAAAGTCGATTTTCATTTGCTTTCTGTCACTCTCTCTCTCTCTTTCATCTGTTAATATCAGATGAGAATGACGCCTGTATGCACGTGCCATGTGTGCTTATCTAATTTTACAACATGAAATAGTGCTTGCGTTTTTTTTTTATCAAATAGAAAGCGAAGAAGAGAGAACTTGCCGGTCGATGGTGATTCTATTATGTATCGGTATTATTGAGGACTAAGAGCAGAAGGCGAAGAGAGAGGAGGGAGGGGGAGAATCGAAAGCTATTCTGTGTTCCTTCTTGTGCGACAAAACAAACCGATCGAAATAAGACAGAACGACGAATAAAACTGCAATAATAGTAATAGCAGCAAAATACGATGTCGACAAGGAAAAGAAAAAGAAGAAGGACATGGTGGCGTCGACGACGTTGTCGACATAGTTGTGCCTTTTTTCTTCTTTCTTCTTGCGGTTTTTCTTCTACCAACACAAACTCGTCCGACTATTATATAAGTAACCTTCTAGCTATTATATATATATATATATATTTCGATGAGTATAGGTGACAACTAAGGAAAAAAAACAACATCGATCTTCTTCGTACGTGTTTTGTCAATAGATATAGCGACATTTCAAATCGAGATTGTGCTAATTATACTCCTTTTTTTATTTTCATCTGATCTATTCGACTTGTTTTTTTAGCATTTCTTTTTTTCATTCATCCATTCATTCTCTGTTTCTATTATCATTAGTCAAATAAGTATGTTGAAGAGTAGATACCAGCGTAACAGTTAGTGCGACTAACTTCAAACGAAAATCACTACTCGATGTGTGCGCACTCATCAGTGTACAACGATGAATAGTAAATACGAAAATGTGTGTCTCTCTATGCTTCGAGCGACGAGTTCATTCCTTCCTTCCCTCCCTTCGTCTTCTCTCTACCTCTCTCCCTCTCTTCTACATTACATGTGTAAGGGTGAGTGAGAAAAAAAGAAGAGAGTAAAATGAGGAGAATTTTTGACGCTACACCTTGGCGTCGTGTTGTGTGAGAAATGATTTAGATCAACTAAACCAACATCGACAGACGAGACGAGGAAAAAGTAGAGTGTGTACATGCGTATGCATATAAAAGAGCAAAGAGAGAGAGAGAGAGAGTAAGAAACAGGTAATTGATACGCATTGCTGCAACAGCAGTACTCAGTACATTGTATGTGTGTATATATATATACGCGTTTACACCAATATGTCACCACTAATGTCGGGTTCGTAACTGCTGGCTGATTACAATTTGTTATTGTTGTAAGTGAGTGAGAAAATATCAACACGAATATGAACAGGTCGACACACATCGTCTTTTCGCTAAAGGGGCGGATTGCAAAAGACGCCCACAAAAAGGTTATCGATTATCGATAGACTAGGCTGAGACTTCAATCTTCAGTCCTATGGGAGTAACCAAAAGAAAAAGCGAAGGAAAAGAGCAACAATAATATAAATCGAAGGAAAAAAAGGATAGATGCTCTTTTCCAATCCTATTGTTCTCCTCGTCATATCTATATGTGAGTAAATAGATGCACATGTTTTGTCTCTAGTTTCGTACGCGATTGAGATGTTGATTATCATAAAAAACACTCAGCAGAAGAAGAACAAATAGTTTGCAAATTTTCTTTTTCATTGGTCTCGCATAGCCTATTTACTTTTTTTTTTGGTTGATGTTTCTTTTTTTCGTTCTTTCTATACGCAGGAAAAAATGAAATGAAAAGAAACTGACTACATATATATGTGCATGCATATCTATGAAATTTACACCTAATACATTATTTTTCTCTTCGATTTCGACCGGCACAGAAGGTAAACGTTAGAGACGAAGGAAGAAAAACATTCTATATTTTATTCATTGTTTTTGCTTTTAAAAATTACCGATGTGCATAAATAGATTTTTTGACTGCAGTACGTCTTGGAAAACTTTCATTCAATAGGAGGACAACGAGAAAAAAATGAAGAATATTTTCCCTTTCTCTTGATCTAAAAGAAACCGTAGAAAACCCCTTTTTTGATTCTCTCTCATCAGTCCCTTTCTTTGTTTGTTTCATTCAGAAAAATTTACCAACAACTAATTCAAGTTTTACTGTCAGTCAACCTTCAAACGAAAATCCATCAACCACATCTTATCATCATCAATCGAACGAAAAAGTTAATCACACTAATACTGTTGTCTATCGGCGTACTTCTCGTCGCTATTCGAACAGCTTTTTCACATCTGCACGCTACGGCGGACCTCGCACCTCGATAGCCGTTATACCATCAACAACTCTTCAGAATCTACAATTGAAACAGCCACTTACTGATCACACATCTAGTAGTTTAAGTCGTTCAGTTGATCGTATCCACAACAATAAAGCTTCTCGTCGAGAATTACGCTATGAAGAACATGATGATTACATTCCACCACTTCATTCAATTCAATGTCATCCATCAATAGATCATTATGTAAAAAATCTAAATCAATCAACTCAGTTTTCTTCAAATCAGCGTCCAAGTCCGATAGAAACCGATCAATTATCATCAACAGCTAATCGTACAGTGTCATCAAGACCATATTCATCGAATATTCCTCTTTCGTACAGTCTTCAAATGATGCCGAAGTCTTCATCGGATAACACTAATAAGAAGGGTCATAATGATACTTATGGTAAACTATCTGACTGTCATTCTCCATTATCTCCGTTGGAAAATTCGGTAGTCAAAGCTCCACGCCGTATCGAGTCTGCCTACAGTCAATTTCCAATCCCCGAACCTGTCTATGCAAACACTCAATCGCTCTATGATAATATTCTTTATCCACAATCTGCAACGAGAGTATTGAGTACAGTGGGCGAACAGGACAAACGATCATGTGCGTCACAAACACAACTAACATGGACAATGGCAACGTTTTCTTCATTTGTCGATCTCGAAAATCAATCAGTGATTATTCCACAACCCGATCCGAACACGTTGTATTCTATCGTACAACATTTTCAACCACAACCACCACCATCAGCGTCTTCGGACACGATTGAACACTTGCGACGTAGATCGCCTGATGTAAGTTTTTTATCACAAGCGTCCAAAACAGTCAAGTGACACTTCTCATCTCACTAAAGATCAATTTGATATTATACTACTTTTCTTATCTTTAGTTACGATACGCCGATGACACAAATCCTTCCATACATTATCAACGTCCACGTAGTCCAGCTTCAATGAATTTAGTAATGATAGAGAAACGCGATGGTTCAAATCAAACTCATTTGACTATAGCACCAACACAAGATATCGAAGCCAATAGCCACTTATTCATCCATGATCCAAGTCCATCGCCAAACTCGTCATCATCGATGGCGACAGGTCAACAGAAACAACATCATCACCATCACCATCATCATCACCGTAAACATAAGTCACGTAGTAACGGACATATATCCACGCGTGATGTTGGTCTTCAAGTAAATATTCAAACAGTGAAAAAAATCACGATTGTTCCACAGAAAAGTGATGATTCATCGTTAACAACCACAACTGCATCATCACCGTCGCTTCTGAAAACTCCTCGTGAATTGAGAGATGTGGAAACAAATACGGAACCAACATCAACAACAAAACGTGATACGAGTACATCCTATGAATCGAATGTTCGTCTAGTAACGTCATCGTCTCAGACAGTTGATTCACCTACATTGAGTAGTACGAGTCTTCATACAAAAGCTGCTCAAACGCCAAATAAAACACTACGTGATCAATCAATTGAAACAAACAATCGCGGTCTATTCGTATGTGATCTTAGTTCATTATTAAAAAACAGTCCAGATGATGAATCACCATCCACATCAACATCGTTGAATACGAAACGAAAATCTTAGAGAAAATTGTTCCCTTTATAAGCTATTCTATTATCAAACGCTTGTGTGTATCTCTTTTTTATTTTGTACTTTGTTTTTCGTTTTTTTTTCAACAAAGAGAAGGAAAGAATTTATATAAATCAGAATTCTTCTCTCATATAAACAGAATGCAATCGAACTTACTCGAATTTCGAACATGATTTCGAATGATTGGGTAGTCAGCGAGAAGAGCACACTGCCAGGTGACTTAGGTCGCATACGCCATGATTGAAATGGCATATGAGCATGCCGATCAGTAAGTAATGCAAATGTACCGAAATCATATGTTTTAAACGAAATCATACGAGTATCTAGATGAAGTGGAAATAGATCATGACGAGATATGTCTGGTGAAACTACCCGACGTATATTCGTAGTCGACATAACCTTCCTGTTTCCAATGATTTCGATCTTTAATCCATCGAGCCAGTAGTGGTTTGTCAGTGATAAATATTTCGGATGGAATTCTAAATCAAAATATTCTCTATTAATTTTGTATTGAAGTGAAAAAAAACCACTGACTTGTATTTGAAAATCAGTGCTGATTCTTGTTTTATCGCGTTGGCTAAAAACATTCTTTTTATTTCAGGATTATTTGCAATAATCGTTGCGTCGAATGTCATCGATGGATCCATGGCATCATCCGTCTGAAAATGTTTAGGAATGAATCAATGGTGAACAGCATTGATGTCCGTTTACTTTTTCATCCGCTTTTGTTTTTGCTGCTTCCATTTTACTTAATGACACATATTCTTCGTAAAATCGTTTTGGCAACCCTGGATCCGATGGGTATATATAGGGAACAAGAACATCCGTGTCATCCACTGCAGAGAATCAAATAAGACGATGCTCTGTAAATGAAAACGAAGATTGTTTCGAAATTTACCTTGGACTATATTCCACTCTTGAACTTTTTTCGGTTGCGGTGGAATATTGAATAGATTGATTTCAAGCAATGGTAAAATAGGCCAATGTGAACGAAGATCAATCACTGATTCATCAGCTAATTCTTCTAGAATTAGATCGGCAGTTACTGAAAATAAACACGAATGGAATTAGGCAGGTGGATTTTCAATCGTTGTCAAGTTACCATCTCGTACGGATTTTTTTCTGTTCAATGCTGTTGGTGATACAGTTCCATCTTGACTTTCATCGGCATTTTCCTGAGAGGCTTGTGCAGCCGCAGCTTCTTGTAAAGCTTGTGCTTCCGCTGCAGCTGCTGCTGCCGCTGCTGCAGCAGCAGCTTCCTTTTCACGACGTCTTGATTGTTCCATAAGTTTTCTGATTTCAGCTGGTAATGTCGGATCAATAGGTTCATGATCATCATCGTCATTCGTCACTTGCTTCGCCGGTTCGTCCACCAAAGGTTCAGGTATTGGATCTAAAATAGCCTCTATAATTATCGAAATTCCTGCAAAACGTCATGTACCATATGTATATTCCATTGATCGGATACGACATTTTGCTAATAACGAACGTTCAGAATAATAATCGTATTTAAGAAAAAAGCCAAGTATAGCAATATGTGCTAATGTTAATGGTTTTGGTAAATCAAAGCCAAAGCCATTTTGTTCGAATAGATAACCTTTGATTCTAAGAAGGAAACGGATAAACTTTAGCGAGTCAAATCAAATATTTCAATTAAACCTTGGATTATGACTGAGATTTGCCCATATACAAATAGCAGCGTTTTCGTTTTCAGAAAAATATTGAAAATTACTAGTTTCGAAATCTTGTAAATCAGTCGCTTTCAACATAGTATCATGTTCTGCTTGACGCCATTTATAGTTCAATAGATCTTCAAGTTCATGAATCGTCTAAATTATTCAAGAGATTGTTTTCTATTCGAATGAATCGTTTTCTTTTGTATACAAACTTTTTTATACGTTGGAATCGATTCAAGTTCAGATGAATCCTTCGGGATCGAACTAATCACAGTATTCAATTCTTTGATTAATGATAAAACAAGATTCGTTTGTTTCATTGTATACTCCAAATTAGTTCGTTGATGTTCATCGTGCCATAACGACATAAATGTATTGATTTCAAGTAGACTTGTTGGATCAGGTGTACCATCGCATTGCATAACACGTTTCCACTTTAAGAAACGAAAAAGCAATAGCCGTGTAGAAAAATAATACTTGGAATAGTTTACTTTGAACTCGTCACGTTGTTTGTGACGTGTTGCATTCGCTTGATCAATTCGTGGTTGAATAAATTCATAAAATTCAGCTAATTCTCGACGGCGTAATTCATTAATCTAGATAATTTTCGATACTTTGTTTTGAGAAAATATAACAAACAATCCGAAAATGTACTTCTTTCGCTAAAATAGCTTTTTCTTCAGCAAGTCGTTTTTCTGTTTCGATGCGTTCTTTTTCAGCAAGTTCAGCACGTACACGAGCTTCCTCTATAAATTAAATATAAATTACGAAATAAGAATGGCAGTGTGGCCGAGTGGTCTAAGGCGCTGGTTTTAGGCACCAGTCGTAAAAGGCGTGGGTTCGAATCCCACCGCTGTCAGTTTATTCTTATTTCTTTTTTTCTTCTTTCCTTCCATTCGTTCTTTTTCTCTATGTAACTGACTTTACAAATGCAGATAACCGACATATATGAAAGATCAAATCGAATTTTTCTCGTTTTTGCAGAAGTTTAGCATCTTGATTAAGATAAAAGTGTCTCTCCACGGATGATTACTTCTCTACTTCTCAGACAAATGTCTGCTTTGTTATAGTTAAAACGAAGGCTAGAAACGGACGAGTGATGGCGTGTTAAGGTCACTTGGAAGATGGTACAAGTCTATCATTTTATATACGTAGAAACGAGCATTCTACCCCTCAAATGCCTTGTCAATTAATAAGCAGTTGTGCTATCACGAGACACCTATCACGAACTATTCGCAATAATTGGTAACTATTAGTAGTCTCGTAGAGCAGAGAAGACGGATTTAATTATATTAAATAAATCAGATCATTTTTCCGGTCATAGAACTAGAAAAAATCTCGTTTTCCGAGTGTTTTATTCTAATAGTTATAGCTTTTGTCGCAGTAGAAATCATCAGAATGGTTAGCGACGAGAATATTTCGAACAAAGAAAAGTTAATGATATTTTTTTTCTTTAATAAAACTGTCTATATCTTTTGTTCGGTGGAATCGATATAATAGTAAGTCATTCAGATAAAAGTACATACCTTCTTCGCGTCGCTTTCGTTCTTCTTCTTCTCTCTTCCTCTTCGCCTTCGCAGTTTTGTTGTTCGTTGATGCCGATTTCTAAATAAATTAGATAAATCAATGCATAAGTGTTAACCTTTTTTTTTTTTCGTGAAACAAAATGATGAGCAAAACTGTGCAATTTACGATCGCATACACTCGATTTTTTCTTTTGTTTTCGACCTTTTGTGCTATATTTTTTACGCGATTTCGTTTTCGTGTTTTTACTGATTGGCTTTTGAGATCCGCCAGATGTTAATGATCGGTCATGTACACCTTCGTTCGATTTTATCATCTTATTCTAGTTACTGATTTACTGTCTATATTTTTCTTTTGTTTCGATTTCTTCGATCGAGCATTCTCATTTACGACGAGTTTATCATCTGCATTTCTACTCGGAGAATCCAATGATTTCCATTTTGAGATGATTTCATAGATGGATGACGATGACATGTATCTATTTGATTCTAAAACGAATAGATTTACTTACTGCAGCAGCAGAAGACATCGATAAGACCTTTCAAGAATGGAAATGAAATTTCACATGTGTTAATCTTCATTATATAGTCTGTTGTCATATCAACCACCTTTAACAGTGACCTCTGTATTATTCTAATTGGCTATGAATCCCATAAATTGATTGCAGTCGATCAGTCCCTGTGTGGTCGAGATAAGTTACATACACACGCTATATACAAAACAGTATGTATCTTATTCTTGCGTTTATGAGTCAATCAAAATGCATTTCACGCTTTACCTACCGTTATTTGACTATATATCCTCGTTTTGCATAGAACATGAACAAGTCGCGCTTTGGCTTGCATTAAACTTCTATCTCTGTCATTTCGTCAGATTATTAATCGAATAAATCGTCACTAATCAAACTGTTTTTTTGAACGATGGTTCACATGATGTATTTATTGATTTATTAATGAAAATTTTGTACATGATTTGAGAATTTTTTGCTGGTACTTGACGAAGCAAATGGTTTGACATTCAACTTTTATCTTATGCAACTTTTGCTGTTAGATACGACGGACATAACTTCATTTGAACTCTGGTTTGATTTGAAATCTTCTTCTTTGATGAGGAAGTGGATGAAACATATCAACCTCATTGATTCACTGTTAAAGATCATATTCATATGCATTGCTTTCTTACTGCTCCACCTTTTTAATGACAAAGTAAGATATTGGTAACTTTGACAACTAATGTGTTGATGAAAGTAATAGATAGAGTTATGCGAAACAATAAATGTTCTTGGCTCTCTTTCTACTGAGTCCAATAAATTACAGATAATATGAAATTATAAAAAAACTCATAAGAAATCGCTTTTTTAATTTAAAGGCTTTTGTACATCAACGCGAGACAACAGTTACGCTCAGTATAATTGATGAGTGAATTTCAACTGTTTTTTTCAAAACTTTGTAAAACGTATTTTCTATGAAAACTGTGCATGATACAATGAAATGAATGAGCAGTTTGATCGTTATATATTTACAAACACCGTGGTGTAATGAGCACTCTATGCGGTACTAAATCTCTCCATCTCAACATACATTGTGATAAAAAGATACGGAAGGTATTATTGACCACAAATATGATGGGTTTCCGACGATTGATCCTCGTGAATCAAATTTGCTGAAAAGCCTAGCATTTGTCTGTGTAATACTAAATGATATTGAATATTACTAATGGTGTATCAATTTTTAGGATGCTTAGAGAAGCTATGACTAATTTCATCAACAGACTTTTAATTTCATGCAAAAATGGCAACTCGATAACAAATTATGAAGTTTTTCCCTCTCTTCAAACCAGAAATCTGCGGATCCAATTGTTTTTGATTCCGATCCCGGCTCTCGTAAAGTTTTTTTTCACGGTCCTAATTTTGCACATGTCTACGAGAGAGAAAGAGAGAGATCAATGCAGCGCATGCGAAAGAAAAACTTCAAGAGCAACAAGATATTGATATAAAATAGCATGCGTTACATATGAAGAAACACATATTCTATCTTTCAGAAGCGGCTGTAGAAAACGAAATACCGGGTGTACCAATAGCTTTGCGACATATGTTATTTGGCTGATATCCTGAGTTGAGAAAATGATAAAATTCGGATTTTTCTTTTAAATGATAGAGCAAGGAGAGTTGTACAAAAAACTCATAAGAGAACCTTTATTCTCTGATTTGAACAATTTTTTCGTGGAAGTTTTTAAGTGCCTATGCGAAACTCCGATGTCCCATCATAATCGGATGAATATAAATATATTGCAGCCACTTTTGGTTCTTTTTTCTGAGTTTGTACACACAGTTAGTGTAGAGCTTGTGATGGCGTATCCTTAAAAAAAAATTATCTTTTATTATTCGTTTGAGTCGATAGAAATAGAAAACTAACAAACTCATAATAAATGAGACTATATAGGTCAATTGTCCATCTTGTGTTTAAAAAAACACAGATGTATAAACTTCGATCAGTTTGTTTTGACTTATTTTGTAGTTCTTTACATGGCGCATCCTATACAAATAAAATGTATATCATATCGTTTTTAGAAACTATGATAGATTGAAAATAAAAGTAAAATATCGCAAAAAACAGGACCACGAATTGTAGACTTTCTGGTTTTGAGAATGGATAGACCAGTGAAAGCTGTTATTTGCAATTTCTTGCTATAGATCTGAGAAAGCTTTGCATGGCGCAACTCGTAAAAGACGAATTAGGTACATATCATTTTTCAATATTAAAATACATACAAAACTTTAAAAAATGTACTAGCATTTTTATCGTGCGGGGACATCAGAGTTCCGCATAGGCACTTAAAAACTTCCACGAGAAAATTGTTCGAATCAGAGAATAAATGTTCCTTTATGAGTTTTTTGTACAACTCTCCTTGCTCTATCATTTAAAAGAAAAATCCAGATTTTATCATTTTCCCAACTCAGGAAATCAACGAAATAAAAAATGTCGCAAAACTATTGGTACACCCGGTATCATTCTCGATTACACGTGTTTGCTTGTGTTCATGATTCAAAAACACATTTCAATCACAATCATCGTAAGATTCAAATATGTTTATCAAATGCTTGATGTCTATTCAATATTTCTTCCATGTGACATGCGATCGAAAGTCAGAAATAAAACAAAACGTATATACATATGTATACATGATCAACAGTCACATTTTATCGTACAGACTACTGAAGGAGAGACCAAATTGAACTATTTTGAATATTGCCTTGCATACAGTGTCTAAAGTATGCATGTGTATGACTAGCCTCGGTCTCGATCCCGATAACCAGGAGTCAGATCATAAAATATAGCTCTTCTGAGATCGGAGCCAGAAACAGTAATAGTTGGTCCCTCACATGTCCGTTCTCTCTAAACTATTGATTTCATAATTTGAATGGATTAAGACGTGTTTTAATAAAAAAATTTCTACTAAGTTGAAAATATCGTCATTGTAATTTAATATAAAATCAAACAGAAGTAAAAATTTCTGATTTTATCTGTACTGTTCTCTCTTTTTTGAACGTGCATTCAAGCTAATTCACTTCAAGTATTTATAGTTGTTTTCGTTATATTCCAGATGTGAATGAGCATGTCTGCCACTGGATCTGATAATTCATCTCCATCAGACGATAGCAATGACAGTCTGAACGAGTTGAATGAATTATTCAAATTTCGTTCACCAAAACCACCACCAACTGCACAGGAACGTCGTGTTTTGGAAGCTGCAACTTCCATTTTACGATATTCATGCGGTGTTATGTGTATAACGGGGCGGACACAAATAGAAATGGATGCTGCAGAACTCCTCGTAGACGAACTTATTCTGGTCTGTGTGGAAAATCTATTGAAAGATGTTGATGATATTGATGTAGATGGCTATGTAAAAATGGTGCCTGATGGAATGGATTTAACGTTCATCGGCCGTCTTCTTGGATACAATGTGACATGGGAGAGTTATTTGAAAAATATTACTGTTCTGGATATATGGAGAGAGAGATTATCTCCTAAAGGTATTAGCTATTTAAGCGAAATGGCTTTTTATCGAGAACTTCTCAACATACCATCCGTTGAACCATCGAATGATATGCATGCTGCTGATCATGATCATGGTGAAGCAGAGAAACAATTTTCATCAAATATACATAACACAACCTTCAACGAAAAGTCATTCAATCGTATGTTTTCAATTATCCATACAGTACTTTCTTCTGAGAGAGCAAGAAAATGATATAATCTGTGAGACATTTTGTTGCCTAATGTTTCTTTGTTTTAGTGAATGCATGTTCGGGAGAAATTCTATTCGACAATGTGTGTACATCAACTCCGAAAAGATCTGTTGCTTGTGGAAGTAAGTCTAATTGATATACTTTTATTTAGCTTGACAAATACGAATTATTTCTTTACTATTGTACTATTCTAGACAGTTCAACCAAAACTCATGTCACAACTACTCAGGAGTCAATTTCCATCGATAATGACAAGACAAGTAGTATCACATACATAAGTATTACAAGAAAACTTGAGTTTTCTATTCAAATTAATTTGACTACTTTGCAGGACCATTGATGGATTGGAATGAACTACGCAGAAAAGTAGTTGGTTTGAATAATTCAGATGGAACGTCGTGTTTTATTAATGCATCTTTACAGTGTTTTGCTAGTACACCTCCACTAATCGAGTGGATATTCAAGCAAAAACATCACTTAACTACATGTACGTAAATCATACGCCGTATTATTAATACGGAAATTTATAATTGAATATAATTTTTAGGTCAATTATCAAATCAAGGTAGTTTCTGCTCTATCTGTCAAATGTCAAGTGTGATTTACAGCGTGTCTTCATCATCAAAACAAAATATTACTGACCAAGATATATCTGTTGCTGCGTCGGCTGATTGCATTAGCAAAAATCTCAAAGAAATCTCACCTGCATTTATTACTCAAGAACAGGAAGATGCCAATCTTTTTATCACGAGTTTTTTGGATCATTGTGTTGCTTGTTATGCTTTGCACATGTCAATATTATCTCCAATAAAATCAGTGTTCAATTTTATCGATCGAATATTTCGTATTACGCTTCTAAATACTGTCAAATGTTCGTCATGTTTGAATGCCAGCATAAAAGAAGAATATACGTATACTCTCTCGGTCGAAATTAATAACATGAATAGTTTACCTGATGCACTTCAACATTTTTTTGAGCCAGAAATTTTGACAGGTGATAACTCATATCATTATGGTGTTTGTAATACATTTGTCCACGCTACTAAACGCTTTACCATTCAAGATTTACCACCAGCATTGATTATTAATTTGAAAAGAAGCGTTGGATTTGGCTCTTCAATACGAAAACACACGCAACAGGTGGCTTTTGATGAATTGCTAACCGTTCATCCATATGTAACTGATAAGCTACTCGATTCGAACAAAGAAAACCAAAACCATGGTGAATCTAATGAGTACTTATATCGATTATATGCAGTTATTAATCATATTAGTAAAAACAATGATAACGGGCATTACCATGCATATCTTCGAACATATAATGACATTTGGTTCTTTGTTAATGATTCTCAATGTCAACAAGTATCATTAGAACAAGTATTATATAACAAATATGCTTCGATATTTTTTTACGGCAAGACACCTCGTGCGCCCACAAATACGAAGCATGTACCAACACCAATACCACTACAATGTTCTTCCATCGATAATTCTCTCGTCGCTACTCCAAACATTTCAAATACTCCAGTACGAGCACGATTGTTATGACAATAAGCAACTATTTTATATATTTTGTCTTATAGATTTTAGGAAGTGCACGACGTACTAATGTTTGTTCAATGATGTCTCCTACAAGTAAACAATTGAAAGATTGTGAGTATAATTTCAACGAGAGAACAGGCATTCCAAACTTTTGATGTAGTCATGCGCATTGATCTGATATTTTGTTTAGGTACTTTGGCTTTATGTACTGACAAACCGAGCATTGGAATTACGTTGGGTACCATTGACAAGAGTCCTCATCAACAATTAAATATTACTTCAAATCTCGATATACCTGCCGGTTCCACTGAAAGCAGTATCACAATTGGTGATCAATGTCCAAAAAAAAGTACGAAAAAAGCAAACATCGAAAGACAATCATGTTTCAAATAAACGTACGAATCATTATAGATATCTTTATTTCATTTGATTTATCTTTTCTAATTTGGTGCCTTTCAGGACCGATAGCTGATGTGCCATCATCTTCAGTCCAAACTTCTGCTTCAAGCAAAAGAACCCATATGTCGTTTACTGATGAATGGGAATCGATGAATTCAGGTAAGCGTGACTGTGATCGAATCTAGTATTGACTAGCGAATTCTATTTTGACTTACAGACACCAGTCGTATAGTAGCTTCCGTAGCTGCAGGCGTACCATTACAGGTAGTATTTGAATGTACGCTTCCTCGCACATTTCAAGCTAAGTTGAGTTCGACAGCGCTGGTGAATTTACTTCAATATCGACAACAGATACTTAATCAAGAACATGATGCAAAAATGAGAAAAATGGGTTTACTACCTGTGACATCGATTTCATTATCTCAAAAAAAGCAATCAAATAATGGATCAAACTCACCTTCGAATAAAAGAACGAAACGTGTTCCGTCAACAGAAGGATCCGATCAACCACTAGCAAGAAAAGTTAATATTGAATACCTGGATATAATTTTACCATATTTAAAACGCTATAATCCGTATTGTGGTTTATGTGTCTGCACACGTAGATTTGGAAACGATCTTTCAAATCCAACGCACTATATTATCAAATGTGTTCTTAAATGTAATGATACAGATTGCAAATTTTCATGCCGCGTATTTGTTTTGAATAATGGTGATCTTCATGTTAGTACATCTCACAATACGGTTTGTCATGACGTAAAGAGACGAGTAGCTCGTCCTATTCGTGGCTTAAAACGAAAAGAACTGGCCGAAAAATTCAGAAGTGGTGCTTTGGTTTATCAGGTTCATGGACAGTATAGTGAAAAACGAACAACGCTTGAAAAGATGGGATTTAATTATGACAGTACTGGCAAATCGAAGTTAATTTTCAAGAAGATCAAAGCCGAAGTAGTTGCCGAATCTCTACTCTCTCCAAATGTTACATCAAGTATTTTACAGTTACACGATGAGTTTATTCTAAAAGTCAATCCCGATGGTACACTTCGCGGTGCTCTTCAAGTTGTTTAACTGAGACCGTTTTGTACAACTGTATTTACTGAAGCATCCATTCGTTTGTACGACGCAATTGTTGCTCACAAAGATTCTGTTCTTTCATGGGATGCAACTGGAGGAGTCGTGAAGAACACCGGATCCAAAGAAATTTTATATTATGAGTTGGCAATTACTCATTCCAATATTGTTGACGAAGACTCATTAATACCTTTGACATTCATGTTGTCGGAATCTCAGTCATTATTCACAGTTACTCAATGGCTATTGTCCTTCAAAGATAATCATAAACAGGTAAGTACACTTTGTTTATAAACTGTTTATGACTACATGAATATCATATTTCTTGTACATTTTGCTAGATATTTCCACATAAAAAAGATTCATTTCCAAGACCTGCAATAATCTTGTCAGACCGTGCACAAGTCTTTTTACAAGCTGCATTACGTGTATTTAACGATGAGAATTATCAACAGTTTCTTTCGCGAGCTTATCGTATCGTTACGAAAAAAGGTATTCAGAGTGACTTCTTCAAAACAAACATTCATGCGTGTTTGGCACATTTCATGTTGGTAAGGCTACATTTCATTTGAATATGTAAATATTTCTATGTTTATTCGTTTTGCATTGAACAGGACATGCGTAAACGAATTAACAAGTATTTACCGGACATGATACGTGAATTTGCCATGTGGTCAATCGCGCTTCTTGTTAACAGCAATACCTACGAACAATTGAAAAATAATTGGCGTTTAATTTGTCGAGTTTTTCTTAATTATACAACCAATACTACCCCCTATTTTGCCAAACATTATACGATGCTTCTTTCGCGTATTTCCGAAATAACTAATGAACCCAATGCGTCGAAAGCGATTACTCAATCGAAAGAAGTTGTTACCGCTACCGATGATCCGTATGAATTTGACGAAGAGGATTTCTTCAATGACGACGATGAAGGAGATGAACTTCAATCCGACGAGCACATTAGAAAACGTCGAAAAATTAAACAATCGAGCACGTCACAGGTATTTGTTTTGATATTTGTTAGAGTAGCATACTTTTTTATTCATATATATTTTCACACAAGTTGAAATTTGGTCAATTTATCTGCTATTGCTTTGTAGATTATTAACGTCGAAAAAGAATTAAATGAAATCGACAGTCCATTTAAACGTGATCTAAGTGTCATTTATTATGAATGCTGTGAAGAAAGTATCAAAATGATTGGTAAGCCGTCGTCTACCGATAAGGTATCAAAGGGATCTCGCATATGGCTATTGTTTATTAATCAACGATGCATGCCAACGGTTCCGATTTGGTCCAACTTGTTGCTAGGTATGATATTTCACAGCTTAAATTAGATAAAATCGATAGTTAAAATATATCTGTAGGAAATTTATCACGACATGGTCGAGAATCTGTTCATGCATTTGATGCTTTACTTGTTTCTACACATGACCAACGAACAAATGCTATTTCCGAACGACGTATGGGGATTGTGAAGAGAACTCAGCTCGGTAGGATATTTTATATAATGAAACCTGTGAAAAGTACACACAAGTTTATTTGTACTCTTTTTCAGGCGTTGAAACTCGTATCAGAGCAGATGTTGTTCTTCAGATTCTTATCAAAGATATGTTGAGATTAGTAGAAAATTTTTCTGTGTCTTTCATGGCAAGTATGTCTCAAACTACGAATTCTCAAAACCGTACTCGATTGCAACTGCGTGATGTTCAAGAAAATTGGAGGCAATCTAGTCATCGTGGTCATGGCCATTATTGTAAAGCTCCAAATGAATCTGTCACGAATAGTTTGAAAAATGCCTTGATAGTGCGTCCGGCGAATGTTAATGTCGGCCTCATCATACCTACTCTTGCTGTCGCCAGTTGGTTTAACGTAGGTATTGCACTTCTACTATCAATCAAAGTATTTCGTGAAACGCTTCCTGATCCAGCGTCAATAGTGTCACCACATCTCATCGAAATCATTGATTTTGTTAAAAATTGGATGCGTTGTCTAAGACTGATTAAGCCGCCGAAGAAAACAAGTCCAGAACAACAACAGCTATTACGTACTCAATTCGACTTACCTTATAATATGCCAGATGATATTGACCGACAATTAGTTTATATTGTTGATCAAATTCTTGTTTCATTGCTCATTCCATCAATTCGAGTTAGAATGATTTACACTTGTACATCTTGCAAATTCGCAATCGAGAAGAAAAACATCATTCGTTATATTTTGATTCACACAATGGACAATCAAATCGATCTTCATAATCATTTATCAAATTTTTTTGTCGGTGGTACTTCAGATCGTAAATGTGATAAATGTGGCTCAACGATCTCACGACACATGAAAATCATTGATTGTAAGTTTTACAAATCTGATAGTTCAGTTCAAAAGGGCTCCTCTGTTTGTACAGTTTTTGTCAGAATATCTGATACTTTCGGCTAGTGAGTGTTGGTGTTCTGTTGTGGGAAGAGTTCTTGAGGAAAGATTTGTTTTGAGGTAGCAGTTCTTAGGATTTGAATTGCCTGACTTCTTATAAGCTCATTTTGCCCTAGCACTGCCTATTAAAGTATTGATAAGTAGCTGCACGTATTCTTAGGTCCATCTGTCATAGTTGTCAAAATTGATCATGGCAATGGATCAAAGGAAACATCCTGCAAAGTACCGGAAACAATTTGTTTTAATCGATTTTTGGACAAATCTAGCATCGGTTGTACATCAGCGACGGTTTTCGACGTAGTCGGTTTTGCAACTGTTGATTCAAGTACAGAGAACAAACTGATATCCTTGACGAAAATCAAAGAACGATGGTGTGTGAGCCCTCAACAAAAGCTTATAGGCAATGGGCCAATGTTTCTCAAGTTACTTGCTGCTAGTCGAATCGTTATACTTGAACGCATCCGTACATGTACTTCTAACTTTTTATATGCCGTTGCCCAATGTTGTTCAATCACGGTGAATGTGAACGATCGTACCATCAAACCGTTTAAAACCTTACGTGACGCTATCGAAATTATCGAGCATGATGAACAATTCACCGAACTTCGTCATCTTTTACTTTCATCATGTGTGACGTATTATGCTTGTAACAAATATCATTCCTCATCTAACCTGTTATCATCGACATCTGAAGGCATCTGCATTTACGAACAAGATTCTGACAGCAGTGAAATTTATGGTACACCACTATTAACTTCATATGATGAAAGTCTTCAGTGATCGAATTGCAACGAGAAATCAAAAAACTTGATTCTGCCTGTTTTCAAACAAATACATCTAAAATGCCCACCGATTTTAATGTGTCGTCTATCAAATGCAACACTGAATACTCTAACAAACTTTCGTGTGGAGTTAACTGATTATTTACAGAACCGATATATGTATACGTCAATATCTGCGATATTAATTGATGAATACAATGCTTTGTCCGTTGTCAAATTGAAAGATAATTCGATTTTCACATCCACTCCATATGAAAAAGCTGCTTCGATTTCAAAATCCGAAACCAATGATATATTTCATACGGCACGAATAGTAATCGTCTTTTTAAAACAGGTAAATGCAGCTATATACGCACGATCAGTTGCACTGAGTTTTTCCTTATGCTTCATTTAGGAATTGTGTTCCAACAACGATGATAGAAGTTCTCCACCACGACCAGTTTCACCGGTACATCAAGTAAACGATTTAAGTCATGAATATGATTAGATTTCTTTGTTCTTTTTAGTCAACAACAGTAACACCTGACAAATTCGTACTCAATCAGCCGGTGACAATTCAATTAATAGACAAAAACACACATGTGAGATTTTATTGTCACATTCAAAATAAACAATTAGGTACTTATGTTGATTCAGAAACTGGTCAATGGAACTATTCGTTCATTGACTTTTCATTGAAAATGATTCGATGTTTTCATTTTGCAAAGATACTGTGTTCATTTTTCGTTCTTCGTTTTTTATTCATAATTGTAAATTTTCATTGATTATAAAGAGTGCTTTTTCTTTGCCTTTACTTGATTCTTTACATAATTGATGTACAGCGTTATCAACACCATTTATATTAATACAATGACTTTTCTTCTTATCACAATATTTCAACTTTGATCTCACTCACCTACATATATGGTATTATGATAATACTCTAAATGTCAGAAAACTGAAACAGAAAAGATTTCAATATATTCCGAGAAAGTAGTTTCGACTCTCAATTTTCTAATCATGTTCATATATGTATCATATTAAGTTGAAAACCAACGCCATCTTTCACTTTTTCTCTACATAGAGAAGGTCGAATGCATTTAGATGTAATGGCGATTTAGTGTATGTAGCGTCGAGTGAATGTATCTTATCGCGACCTCCCTGTGTGATTATTGTACTCTTGTTCGATAGTGGCATGTAATCGTAGACATATATTGATCGATAATACAATACAATGTTCTCTAGATAACGGCAAAACAATTCAATTTCGTACTTTTATCAAAAGTGGCATCGATTATATAAATAAGTCAATTATTTATTACAAAAGAGAAGTGAGAACGATGGGGAATATGTTTGGTACAATTTTTGGTAAGAAGCATTATCGTATATTAATGCTCGGTCTTGGTAAGATCTTTGATGAAATTCGTCGAACATCGATCGGATCGTTATTTCGTTTAGATAATGCTGGAAAAACATCGATACTCTATCGTCTTCGTCATAAAGAAGCAATCACAACTATACCTACAGTTGGATTTAATGTCGAAACTGTTCTACTAGGTCATGTGAAATTCAATGTTTGGGATGTTGGTGGACAAGTAAGTCACGGAATAGGAAGAAATTCCTTTTCAAAGTTTTGATTACGTCATGCATTTCGTACTTTGTACCTGCATTCAAAACCTCCGACGTCCCAAACTCATAACGTACCGTACTTCAGGTATACGATAGTGACCTTATTCAATTAATTGTGCAGTGAAGTAAAAAAAATAAGTATGGAAATGTCATTTCAAAGCTCGAGTCAAATAACAAGATAAAAGACACGCGTCCAGCTGTTTGTAATTGCTCTAGAATGCAAAAGATTAATTTTGATAATTCTATAAAGAAAAGCTAGTCTCTAATTTAATCAAAAAAAATGATTGATGAGTTTTTAGGACAAAATTCGACCATTATGGCGGCATTACTATACCGGATCTCAAGGACTTATCTTCGTTGTTGACTCATGTGACCGTGAACGTATCGAAGAAGCAAGTCATGAATTAGACAAAATCATCAATGATCGTGAAATGCGAAACACTGTTCTTTTAATATTTTGTAACAAACAAGATATGCCAGATTGTATGCAGCCTGCTGAAATACGCCAACTATTACATCTAGATAAACTCACACGTCCGTATGCAATTATGTCATGCTCCGCATTGCAAGGAACTGGTTTACCGGAAGGTCTCAAATGGCTGTCTGAACATTGTAAATAGAAATAATAACAGAATGTCTGTATTTTGTGTGCAGTGATGGTGATTTGACGACATTTGCTATTGTTGATTTTTCTCTTCTTCTCTCCTCTTTTTTTTATACATCTTCTACTGATGCGTTGTTAGTCCCACTGTGTGTGTATGTTAAAAAGTCAGTGTTTTTTTGGTACAACTGCAGTTTAGTCACACCGTTGTGTTCAACAATAACAGAACAGGAAAAAAAAATCTATTCGCTTATCGTTCTGACCTATGACTAGGAGGTAGATATATATTACAAATAGATTTCATAGAAGAACAAAACAGATTTATTGAAGAAATTACATATGTAACAATCAAAGTACAGGATAATTTTCTGTTATTTGCGTTACTATATTTTGAAATGGCTTATCGCCGAAGTCCTGCCTCCAAACAAATTCCTCGAGATATGTAGGTAACAGAGTTCTCGCAAGTCCACATTGTCTTTTTTGTTTCATTTTGATACGCATCCACGTATTTTCGATCAACTGCGTATGTACGTGTGTCGCTGGGTCCACAAAGTGAACTGAGTGATTAACTGTTCGATGTCCGTAGAAGTTTGTATTATTTCGATGATTGTTGATAATGATAAGTGTGAGTCGGAGAAAAAACTTCCTTGCCGGATCGACTTCGTTGCTTTACATTTTTTGCAACGGAACACGTATCCTAAAATAGGTCGTATGTAAAGGATCTTGATAAGTATTAGTGCACGTACCATCTATTTCTCTTGAAAATTTACCGGTGTACCATTGATTGCAACCTGCAGGACACGAATCGTTGTCACCAAGTCTGCTTGGTAATAATTGAATAGTGCTTTCATTTGATGATGTCAACATGTGAAGTTTTCTACTATTTAATGATTCAAGATCGTCGAGAGTTATATGAGTGTTGATAGGAGTATTCATTCTCAAGTTGTATGGTGAAAAATGCAAGGAACATGTTAGCTTTTTATATTTATCTCAGTCATTTATTCAATAATTAGCTTTATTCCCAAAAGATTAGATTATTATTTGTCTATTTTTATCTTTACATCAAAAGAGTTAACTTTTTCAAATTTCAGAACACGGTTATGAATAGAGCGGATTATCTTTTAATTAATTAATTGATCTTGTTCTTCTATGACATCTATTTGTAATATATATCTACCTCCTAGTCATAGGTCAGAACGATAAGCGAATAGATTTTTTTCCTGTTCTGTTATTGTTGAACACAACGGTGTGACTAAACTGCAGTTGTAGCCAGTGAATGATTTCTTTAGAAGAAAAAATGTTGAAATCTCTACTTTTACTTCGTCCATCACCTGCTCAAGCCGCACGGTATTTACATCTTTCGAAACCGTACTTGACTGCTGGACAAACTCAATACCATGGCCAAAAAGATTCAACCTGGTGGGAAAAATACGGTTCACATGTAGATCCTGTTCAATCCCGTTCTGAATTGTTAAACATGGACGATTTGGACGAACGGCATTTTCGACCTGTGAAGCCTGTTATACCTACTTACCAATCTTTTTCTTGTTTTCACGATCCGATTGTTTCACGAGTTATGGGAATTCTGTTACGTGATGGCAATCGTGAGTTAGTAGAAGAATTAATGCATAAAACATTTCGAACGATCAAATTAATACAAGTTGGAAAATGGCATCGAGCAAAAACAGATGAAGAACGTGCTCAAATCGAATGTAATCCCGTAATTCTACTGACAAGAGCTGTTAAAAATGCCACACCCATTGTTCGTGAGTAACTGAGACGTGAAAAGAAAGTTTTTGTAGAAAGTTTTTCGTTAGGTCTCACTCGTATCGCAAAAGGTGGAACTTTATATTCAGTGCCGATTCCAATGTCGCCAGATCGTGGTGTTTTTACAGCAATTCGTATGTTGATTGATAGTACACATGATGCTCGACCACATGATCAACGGTTTTGGACATTATTCGCGAAGGAAATAATGGATGCAGCACAGAATCAAGGACGAACAATCAAGAAAAAACAAGAAATTCATCGAAATGCTGAACTCAATCGCGCTTATGCACATTTCAAATGGCAAAAATAAAACATACCATATGATATGTTGTTATTTTTTTCACTTTCTTTGTCTTGTTTTGTGTATGGTGATTTAATAAACATAAACTGAAAAATACCCTAGCTCTTTACTCATTCATCTCACAATCATCCGAAAAAGCACTGTAAACGTGATCCATGACGCTACTATTGTCTATTTTTGTCCAAAATATTTTGCTTTATCCAATCATAAAAAACACGTATTACGTGTTTTGATTCTCTTACGTTCTGGTTGACGTCTTCCATGGTATAAAAGCAGCTTGACTTTCAATGCAATAATCACAATTATTACACACTATTCTTCTAACGTCTATACAAATACAAAGCAAGTAAGTAGTGCGATATCTATACAGATTACACTCAAATAATTGCCCGATTTGATTTCATATAGATATGACCAGTATTATCAACAAGCTTTTGGGTAAAGATCATGAACATGATCATGCTCAAAGTCACAAAACCGAAATCAAATGTGAAGATGGATTATGCACAAAAACAGTCTCTGGTGTACACAATAAGGAATGCAAAACTTCATGCACTAGCGGTGAGAAATGTGATCAAAAAATCGAATGCAAAACTAAAGGTGCTGGTGGTGAAACCTGTGAAACTCGTACAGTTCAACGTGATGGTGTCAATATCAAATCAACTATCTCATCTGATGGTTCTTCCTCAGTCTCACTTGCCAATAAACAAAAACTCACTGATTTAGTTACTAAATTAGGTATGTTCAACAGTAACAAGTCTGTCATGTGAAACGTTTTTTCTTCTTAAGGTTCAACACATTCACAAATTGATGAATATGCTCGAAATCAGACCGAACAAATCAATGAACAAATTCAACGGGAAATCGATGAAGTTGTTGGTCGCACACGTCGTGAACAAGAAGAACTTCTCCGCAAAGCCAACGAACACACCGGCGAAATCGATAAAGAATATCAAGCCCGTTTACAATTGATGGTTGAAGAAATCGATGCTGCCAAAGCGAAACGAATTGCCGAAATCGAAGCTGACTTAAACAATCAACAAGCTGCCATTTTACAAGCCGCTCGAAATGACATTGATGCTTTGAACAAGAAAGCTGCTCGACTCAAAATCGGTGTCTTGGAAGCTGCTGAAGCTCAAGTCGAAGCTGAAGCTCGTAATATCGCTGCAAATGCCACTTTAGACAAAGCCACAACTATTCACCAAGCAACCGGTACAACAACAATTAAAACCGAAGTATCAGCAGCAGCTACGACCACTGCTGAAAGCAAATCAGCTGCACCAGCTCGTGACGCAGCTGGTAGCGCTACGCACGTCACAGAAACCAAAACGGTTGAAACAACCAAACACCAATCAAAATAGAAGACATCGTAAATACAGAAGAACATATATGATTGATAAATTATATTTATTGTTCTCACTTGTTTTTATTGTATAAATTAGTCAAGCTTTTCAAAAAATTTCATATGCCTTTTTTCTTTTTAATATAAATAAATATCTCGAAAACAATTGTATTTTCGACATGATCAAAGCAGACATTTGTCCGGGTCACATAGTACATGTTTCAGATCTATTTAAAATATAAATAATATCGCTGGAATTTCTTGTTTTATTTTCGAAGTTTTGATCTCAAATAGAAAATGCAATACACATTTGGTTTGATTGTTCCTGGAGCGATAATTACTTCAATTCTAAATTCCACTCCAATCATTCGACTCTGTGGTAGTTTGCCTGAATTAGGTTCATGGAGTGCAGACAAAGCCCCCCAACTTAATCTTCTGACCAAAGAATTGTATCGTTCTAAACGATTGCTCAACGAACCACGATTTTATCGAATAGACATAAACATTTCTAAAGATGTAAAAGAATTCGATTACAAATATGTGATTAATGATGTCTGGGAAGGGAAACCGGGTGAAAATCGAGTGTGGCTACGAGATGATTGTAAAAATTTGGTGGATGGAGTTTATTACACACCGATTGACTATTGGATTGATGTGAAGACGGGAGGTACGAGAAGTATATTCGATTTTTACGGATCACTTCTTGCTCTTTTCTAGCTACCAACGAAAAATCTCATACATCAAACTTTTATAACGAGGTCGTTTCGAATGGAATCATGCATTATGGTCGTGTCAATGAACAATTACATGTTGGCAGTTGTCCTCGCACATTAGAACACATTAATAACGTCTTAGGTCAAGAATTAGGTGTCACAGCTGTTCTTAATTTGCAAGTAATCAAAGATATCGAAAAAAATTGTAAAAAGATTCTCGGTGATGATCATGTTCCCGAGCCAAACAACGAATATGACTTAGCCAGCGTCGATATCTTACGCAAAGCGTACGAACAAGCGGGGATTCTATTTTTATGGGTACCTATCACTGATCTGTCATCAACTGGAAGAGAACTGATGTCTCCACAGTCGGCCTTAGTATTGAAAACATTGTTAGCAAAAGGACATAAAGTTTACGTACATTGTAATGCTGGTAAGTATACATCGAAAGTATAAAGAAGTTCGTTTGACTAATGTATGTTTTTCAATTGACCTTTGTGTCGAGGTTAAATAAGCGATCACTTCTCTTCGCTTCTTTTATATTTACATTTGGCAGATCAAAAAAAAAATCAATTAATCTTTTAGGTGTTGGCCGAGCGTTTGGTACTGTTTGTGCTTATTATCACTTTGTGCTGAACATACCGTTAGCGAAAGTCCATTATGAATTAGCTCCGGTACGGTCGTGTGGCTTTTTCGATCGTGTATTTTTGGAGAATGCGGAAAAAATATACAGAAAAGCATATGCATAAAATGAGCGATGAATAAAATTTCCTTTTACTTTTCTAATCAAGCAATCAATAAAAACTTAACTCTTTTTCATATAATTTCCTCGACTTTTTTCTTGTTTTTCAATTGGTTGGAATTGAAAATCAAAATCAGGTTGATATGGTACTGACAACGACGTTGACGTTAAATCTTGCAGAGATTGAGAACGATATTGCTGAAATGGAGAGTTTTGACTATGTTTCAATTCGACGCCATGTTTAAGACACATTTCGTCAACTAATTGGTTGAATTCATGTGTTTGAGGAGTTGTCGAAGTTTTATAAACAACGATTTTTTTATTCGGATGAGAATGTTTGACGTGCGCAAAGACGGATGATAATTCATTTGGATTCATCAAACATTCCTTTGTACCTTCAACACGATAGACAACCGCAGGTTGTTGGTCTGAATTAGGCTTCATTCGATGTATCCGACGAGATAGTTTCGATTCACCTTGAGGAATGTCGCGATTACTAGATCGAGATTGACTTGAAGGTTTTTTACTCGGTGAATTACCATTATGCGATATTTTACCATTCGGAGTGGTGATAAATGTTCGATAAGATGTTGGAGGAAGAAGATCAGCTGGATAATTGTTTGTACTAGAACAAAAAGATGATTATAAATAAGAGAAAGATGAGTGATGAAGTTTTCGACCTACAATTCGTCTGAAGAAGAATTGGGATATTGTGATGGGTCAGGTTTATCATGACGATTGCTTGTTAGGTTAAGTAATAGTTTCAATAGTGAGTCTCGTTCTTTTCTCATCTCGTTGATTGTTTCCATCAAGATAGGTTCATTTAATTTCGCTTTTAAATATTCATTCTCACGCCAGAGAACATCACGTTCGTCCATTAGACCGTGAATCATAGAAATAAGTTGATCATTGTCATACTGTTGTTCATGACCATTTTCGCTTGTCTTTATTGGCACACTTTTGAACATAATTTTGTTGTTGTTTGCTTTCTTTGACCGAACCGTACTTCAATTTATCTGTTTTGCAGTTGATCGTACTCGACAGAGGGATTGATTGACAAGACGAAGAATAAGAGCGAATGAGACTATACAATTACTATCGTGTTCTTAGCCTCTCTACGTGATCTAAAGAGCAAAGTAATTTCAATAGCTCGCTCCGCCTTTTCTCTTGCCTCATTTTGCATCACTTGAATTATATTACGCGAAAGAGTTGAGAGAACAAGAACAAGAAGAAGAAGAAGAAGAAGCACACTTCTCTCTTCGTTTTTTGTTATTGACTCTTATTCGTTTTCTCTTCCCTTACTTTGCAATACTTGTCCGTTGTCGTTTAGTGTTTGTAAATATCAACGATTGGACTGCTAATGTTACCTTGGGCAAATGATGCCACACGAAAGACTAACGTCAAAAGAAGAAAAAAAACTGTCAAGAAAAAAAAAGAAATTGGAAAGAAATATTTGTTTTCGACCGTTATGAAAAGATGAAAGTGGAGATTTATTAGATTTTGTATGAGAGAAAAAGAAAAGAAATCCACATACAAAAAAAAAACATTTTATTGCGATTAAGATTATTTTTCAAAATAAACTCGAATATATTATCATAATTTGTTAATTTTAGTCAAAAAATCATTGACATGGAATAGTCAAGTAGTGTTCAATATCACAGGGTGATGTAACATCAGATACAGATTGTTTGTCTTAACTGAAATTGAATCACATGAATTGTTTTCTTTCAATTTGTAGTGTCTGTTTGACATATGAAACCTTAGAGAAAATAAACTCCGCCGAGATTTTTTTTGTCGACTTAAATCTCGATTGTTTATTGAAAGTCTATTAATCCCTGTTGTATTTCTTAGCTTTTCTACAACATGTCTGTCCTCAATGAACAATTCTATACTCAAAAGATTGACAGTGCAAAGTGAAAAAAAAACCTTTTTTTATTATTCAAAGAATTGATTGCGAGGAAAGTTTTAATCGAGGGTATTGTTTTATTCAAATTCATGCTTGTGTGGTTTGATGTTATTCATGTGTATCAAACAATGAATAGGAAAATGTAACATACGGTAGTAACACATTGTGACGTAGTCTTCTGTCAGATTTACAAGAAAGATTTCTTTGTCCGAGCATTGAAAGAATGAGGAAAGTTAAAAATAGTATGTAGTTCGAACCAAATACGCTGTTTCAAGATTCTATCTCTGCTAACAGAAGAGAAGTCGTCCCATTCATACTTTAAAATATATTTTACTGATAGAGATTGTTAAGAAATGCAATATTTGTTCGGATTGCATATTCTGTATAAGCATGTGCGATTTTATTCGATATTTCACGATTGAATTTTACAAAATAACTTATTGTAATAAAGCTCTAGCGTAAACAGCTAAGACTCCACTCGCCAGACCACTCTTGTGCGATAAACATCCATTGTTCATCTCCTGTTCGATCAATAAATGTCGCTTCATTTTGATATTGCTTTCCATTACATCCGATGCGCTGCTGAAACATCCGGATTCTGCATCTTGCCATGTTAGAATGGTCTTCAACCAATCTAAGCGAATAAATTCTTCATAACCAATCATCGAGCATAGCAGAATCTGCTCGAGAAAGAGATCTTGGTTATCATTATTGTTGAAATTGGTTTGAGCATCGTAATAAATGTTTGCACAGTAACGATCTTCGAGATATTTGAGATTTTTATTCGCAAGATTTGATGTAGAACGATGATCGATACATCCGATAGTTTTTGCGACTAAAAACCAGAGCAATTGATGTGTTAATCGGTAATTGGTACTTTTCGACGAAGTCATCAAGTTCCAACACGACTGAGAAACAAGACATGGTGATGAGTTCGAACGGTCATTGGAGCCGAGGATTTCGGAAAAACAAACATCGGATTTATCTTCATCGAATTCGCTGATTCGTTCACCGGTTTCAATAAGATTTTCTTTGATATTCCTAACCTCATAATCAATGAGAAATGCTTTCGACGCAATCAAAGCAAATCGTTTTAAATACGATGTATCTTTCCGAGCGATTTCTTCCAAACTTTTATTAGCGATACGTTCGATTTGATTCGATAATGATTGAACATGATTGTTTGCATCTGTTACACCAATATTCTTCTTCAACGGATTAATCAATTTATCATGAAGAGCATCCAATTGGCCTTGTGCAATGCGTAAACCGTATACGCCATCAAGATTTAGATCTTTCACATCGGATTCGAAAAATTTCAGCAAACGTTCTAAAGATTTCAATGCTTCTCCACCATATTTGATATGTAATTCCGATGATGGAAGAGCTGAGCTTGTTTTCACGTATACCGTCGAACAAATACAAAAAAGTAAAAAGATTTGAATCGACATCTAGAAGAAGCAAATCAACACATAAGTTATACCCAACCTGCTGACAAGTTGGTCAAAAAGAGAACTGAGACATGTAAGAATAAGTCATAGTTGTTCGTGGGAAAGATGGTATATGTTCTACTGATACTACAGATATATATAGATATATAACCACGTGTACTAGCATCAGTTGTCCGCTTCCTTTGGTGTTGGATGCGAAAAATGTATAAAACGCAAGAGAAAAAAAAGAAAAGAAAAGGGCTTGTTTAGAGCGAGTAACGTGATACGATAGACTGATGACTCATTGCAATCGTATTATTATTATTATTCGAAAGTTACTAGAGCAACGAAACGGCAGAAGCGACTCGGTATGCGAATATTTCTTTGTCTTACCGATGAAATAATTTCGTATTGAAGGAAAAATATTATTGACGTGGCTGTTCATCAACAGAATATCATTGTCTACTCAATCGAGCGCGAAAATGATTCCACTGTCTTGACAAGCGATCTGTTATTTACTTTTCGTAATACATTTAGTCTTCTCTAAATAAAAAAAAAACAAACTTTATCATAGGTCATGAGTTAACCTACGTCTTTCACTGACATTCATCAATCATGTTCTTTTGTTCAACAAAAACAACCTGAAGTACAATAAGTTCGTTGATCCTCATCTTGAATTCAACACACATGTTTTTTTGTTATTTATTTCGCATTATGTAATCGCTTTAATACGACTATTGTATACGTGAGAATTTTGCTTCGAAGATCCTTTTGAGATATGGACAGAATCTGCACAAACAATGAGGAATGATTTGATAAGAATTCCATTTATTGTAAAATCTCAGCAATTATCAATCATTTAGTGACTTTGATTACTCAAATTCGACTGTTCGTTTGAATTCTCGTCTAATTAAATGTTGTCATCGATTGTGAATTTAACAAACAGGTAAGAGAATACAATGAAAGGAATATTGAACGTGTGAAAGAAATGTAAATCGATCCTTGAACGCGATAAATACAGCCATAAGCTCAATGAGGTCAAAAAACGTTAATCCTTCTTTCTTAAGTTTTTTTTCTTCTTCTTCTTCTTTCTCTGCTGAACAAACAATACAATTACATCCTCCTTTTTATTTCGTTTCTTCTCCGCAACTATTCACATCATCATTTTATTCATCAACATGCAATACAACGTATTTCAAGTGTTCGTCTTCTTCGCTGTACTTTTATCATTTGTATCTACAGGTAAATAACAAATAAATCTTCTCAATTCTATCGAATTATACCTTGCTAGACATGAGAATCGTCTGTTATTATGCAAATTGGTCACTTTATCGTCTTCCACATACTCCGATCTTATATCCTGATTATATTGATCCATCACTTTGTACACATATTCATGCTGCCTTTGCATTGATTAACCCAACAACACTCAAAATAGAGCCAAGTGAAAAACACGACACGAATTTTAGCGACAAATTCGGAACGGTAATATCAAAGGTTTTGCGCTCTGATCTAATCGCATTTTGTTAAATATTTTCTAGTCATTGTACCTAAGATTGAATAAGTTGAAACGATATAGACCATCATTGAAATTGTTGCTAGCTGTTGGAGGATGGAATGCTCGTAGCGAAGCATTCAATAATATATTGACGAATTCATCAACTCGAGCAACGTTTATCCGACAAACAAAACAGTTTTTAAAAGGATGGAATTTTGATGGGATCGACTTAGTATGGTTTATATCTTTAGAATTAAACCCATGTTCGTGCATTCATTTCTCGTAGGATTGGGAATTTCCAGGTGATATTGAACGTGGTGCGATGAATAATTCTCGAGAAGAATTCAATATTCTTATTAAAGTAATGCCACATTAATCGCAATCGAACAACATTATGTTCATTTAGGAAATGCATGAATCGTTTCATAATCATTCCAATCCGTTTCTTCTAACAGCAGCAGTCACAGCCGATCCAATCAAAGTCGATAATGGCTACGTTGTGCCTGACTTCTGCCAGTAAGTGTTCAATCTCCAAACTGTCTTTAGCATCTTTCTTTTCCTCTCTATCAGTCATCTTGATTATGTCAGCGTGATGACATATGATTATCACGGATCTTGGGACAACGTAACTGGTGTAAATGCGCCACTTTATGGAAAGTATGCCGCTGAAAACGACACTGATGATGACGGACAATGGAAGAATGTCGTAAGTTTCTATAGTTCATTTGGAACTTGATATGTAATGTTTATTTCAGAATAATTCGATTCACTATTGGTTATCGAATGGATGCCCGGCTGAGAAACTCAATTTAGGACTAGCATTGTATGGTCGAAGTTTTACATTGGCGAATAATTCAGATTCAGTTTCTATTGGTACAGAAACTATTGGTAGTGGAATTGGTATTAACAAGCGATTTGAATACTGAAATTTGTTATCCTATTCTCCTTTTCTAGCTGGGCCATTTACAAAAGAAAATGGAACGTTGGCATATTTCGAAGTAAGACTTCTTCTACTAAATTATTGACCGAAATAGTCGTTAAATGTATTCTGGATAGATTTGTCAAAAACTACGGCTGTATAACTGGACACGTGTATTTGATACTGATGTTCAAGCACCTTATGCGTATAGTTCGGGATCAAGCACATTAGAAAAGCAATGGGTCGGATACGATGATCTCAAAAGTGTTACTGTCAAAGTAATGATCTCGTTCTTTGAATTACCTCAATGAAGAATCTTATATTTCTCTTAAGGTTTTATACGCGAAGACGATGAATCTTGGTGGCGCAATGTTATGGTCTCTCGATCAGGATGATTTCACCGGACTCTATTGTCAACAAGGAGCTTTTCCATTTACCCGTCGTGTGCGCGATATTCTTGTGTCATCGAATAAAACTATCGAAGAAGAATCTTCATATTCAACCAAACCACGATCGAAACAAACAAGTAAATTTATACCAATTCACCGACGTACATCACAAAAGTACCGATCATCGCTAACATCGACCTTACGCTCGAATGCTGCTAGTGTCTGTGTTAGAAGCAATGTAATTCTTTACTTATTTTCTATCATATCCTTCAAAATATTGACTAGATGAGAAATAAAATGTAGATATACATCATATATATCCATTAGATTAATAAACATGAAAATAGTTTATTCAATCATCAAAATTGCAAAGAGAGACAAGTTCAATAATGTCGTCTTTTCTTCGGTAAATGTAAATGTTCGTATACATTTTCGCGATCATTTTCACTGGCATTACTTCGATGATCATCCGATGGCGACACTTGACTATATGGGTACGTACTATACATAGATCTGTAGTAAACAATGTAAACTGAGTTAGAACAGATTAGGTCGAACAACTTACTGATTATCAGCATTCTCACGAAAGCCTTTTGCGAATGGATTATTATCGATTTTCAGCTGTGTAATCTAAAACAAAAGATTTGATTGAAAGAATCGCGACGTGAAAAGAACATTTACATCAGTATTTTGATAAGCTGTTACAGCAATAAACTGTGTTTCCGGAAAGGTGAATGTATATTTAGGTAGTGACGATAATGTATCATTCGGTTCAGTGCTCGTCTGAATAATACTCAAACGAGGAATGTATTTATGCATCGAATTGAGGAGCAATGGCATCTAATAGAAGATATCAATGAAATTTTGCGTTCAAAGATATTGATGAATAATCTTACTTGATTTTGCGAATGACCTGTAGATAACTTTTTATTGTTTGTTAGTTTTAATTTCGAAAAAGAAATTCGAGAACTTTTCATCCATTGTTCTCCACTACTCGGTGAATCAGGATGTAGATAACGATGACCTACAATTATACTTAAATAACAAATTGAGTACGATAAAGCTTCATACGAACTGTTTTTCGGGCCTGGTTCACTCTGTTCAGATGCAATCCATTTACCGGAATTGAATTTCCAATGATTCAAGTCGAGTAAAACCATTTCTATGCAGATCTCGTATGTTGCTTCGGGTTTTAAACCAGAAACCTTAAACTCAAGGATCGGAAACATACGACGGCCGGCTAAAGATGAACAGTAATCGCTAGGAAATACAATCAATTTAAATTGATGACTTACGTTTAGTCACGACGTTTTCATGGGTATGTGCAGCGAATTTTAACCATAATGGCCGATTGAGAAGTTCAACGAATACAGAATCTGATCGACAAATGCCATCCGATGATGTCTAAACAAAGCAATAATGGGTGTAAATATAGCAAGCATCTTAGTTGTTCACATACGTAGGGTGTGGAATAATTTGTACTCTCGTCTGTATTACAATTCACGGATTCCACGGCTAAAGGTGCATAGGATAGATGTTGATTGAATCCAGAATTCAATGGAAGAACACAGTTCGAAGATGGCGGAGTATAATCATATGTTGACATCGAATGATAACCAGAAACTTTCGATGGATATGCTGAATCATTGGCGTGTTCTTCTGGAGAATAGTGTTGATAGTAAGTTGATCTATAGTTAGTTAGATCTTTATCATTGAAATAATGATTGCATTCTTGATTCGATAGTGAATAGTACTGATTTGTTTCATAGATTGATGGACGATAATGATGAGGATTATTCGAATCATCGTTAAACGGTACAGAATAGTAGTATGGATGAGATTGTGACGAAAGGTAGTGATATTCTGTGGATGTTTGTTGGACTTCTTCTTTAGTGCCAAGTGAAGCTATCATCGTACAAATTTCAATGTGTATCGCTGTTCACACTTTCTCTGCGACAGATGCAAATGATAATGAGGAAGAACAAATTATATCGTTTTATGTAGGAAGGGGAATGACCAATAGAAAATGATGACCAATGAGAAAAGAGAAAAGGCAGAGATGATGATTTTTCGTTCTCTCTTTGATAATTAATCGTTTATTGTCATCATTGAGAGACAAGTTCCCGTGAATTTCGCTTCTGACACTCAACTTTACGTTTTTTAGCATCGAAAAGACTTCGATTTCCACAAGTCACAAATGCAAAAGCAAAATCAGTGAACAGATGCTAAATGGTCTCTTGGATGTGAAATTTATCCGTTATCAGCTTTCCACATTGATGTTCGACTTTCATGTAGATCGGAGAAAATCGGCTTGCTCTCACTCCTTAGTGGCTTGAAGATTTATCCACACCCACATCTATGGAATAATCTGATATTTTGTCATTAGTATTTCTCGTCATTCTGGGAAATCCATCTGATGGTCACGGTCATGATGACGTCGAACTAATTGATACGATGGTCAGTTAGATAAGCTTGTTTGATATCGTTGATTAAGATTTAGCTTGGAGAAGAGAATTCACATGAAGAATGAGATTAATTTCACTTTGCGAAGAAATTGTAATTAGTTCATGATCGAGAGCAAAAATCTTCGTGTTTATCGAGGATTTTGACACATGTTGTACTATTCAAGTGTAGAATTTTTTCGCGAAGAATGCCGTTCGATATCTGATCTGTACAATATATCACACATTTTGATTTTTATCACATCGTTCATAAGAGATTGTGTCGCTATTAAAGTGACATGTAGTGTGATAATGAAATCATGAACATAGCAATTCTTTCTCTTCTGATAATTTCCTCACTTGTATATGTTCATTAGAACTCTTCGAAATCTGTAACAATTTACAATCGTATCCGTGTGATTGCGATGAACTTCAGAGAGTTTTTGTCATCACTTCGAATTGGGTGATATTACTGACAGTCTGCATGTTTGCGAATAAGATAAAATGACAAAAATAAATGACGAAGGGATCACTTCGATTTGTAAATGTATATATACAATGATAGGATAAGAAACGAACAAAACTATCGAGTTCAATTTTAATAATAATCCCGACGTGGATTGTTCTAAAATGAGAAGTTTCAGTTGAGTTTGGTTTTTGAGAAAAGCTATCAAATTACTAATGGATTTGGTCGAAATCGATAGGCAAGCATCATCCGTTTCCGATACATTTGAAACTCATCATCATTACGATCTAACTCAGATGGACGTTCTTGTCCGAAACCACTATGATTGATTGGCGTCGTTCCCCTGCAAATGAACAGTCACTTGTAATCGTCATAGTTTTATTTTGATCAATAGTTTACTTATTGATAGGATTAACAATTCCTTGTGAAGTTTTTCCTAGGCCTTGTCCTTCCTTCCATCCGAATTTTTCTAAAAGGCGATAACCAATGTTTTCCGCTTGAAGTTTAAAATCTCGATAATCGGATACGTCAGGTGTTTCACCATGTTTCAATGTCTTAACAGATAAAATCGGTTCAAATCATGTTCTGTTAATTGTTTATTTTCTTTTACCGAATAAGTTTTCATGAATTTTTCTAATTCTTCGGGTGGAATGAAATCACCTATATGATGTTTTCCATCTGCCATTTCCGTCAATTTTACTGCCCATTCTGAAGAAAAAAAAACTCACATTGAAACTTTAGATAAACCAGTTCGATCTTTACCGCGTGTGATATCCATTTCTGCTGTACGTAAACGATGCTCCCATGTTCCTGTTTCACTATCCGTTTCTTCATCGGAATCATATTCACGTTTACGTTGCTGCTGTCGAGCAAGTTGCTCTAATTCTCGTCGTTTCACCATCATGGTTTGGTAAATCGATTGTAACTAAACAGATATTCATCTTTCACTACACAACGACGATAGTTTTTCTATCTATACTTCTCTCTGTTCAACATATTGTCCATCGTTCATTTTCTTGCCATCGTACCCTTGAGGATACAATTTCATCTGCTCATTCAGTTGTGCCACAAATGATTTGGCTTTCTCTGTGGCTAAATCAGCGAATATTTGGATGATGAAAACATCATCAATTAACACAAACCTTCATGAATTTGCTGAACAAATTTATTATCAATAGGTTCTTGCTTAACATTTGAAGCTAGAGGATAAAATAAACGAGATTCCGCAAAAACAAAGAATCTAATTAAACACTTACAATTCCAACGTGATTTACGTTTTCGATCATTTTCTTCAGCAGTTTCTATAACAGAAACATATTTAACAACAATAATGCTTCTAACTAAGATACTCACGCCCAGTATATTCTGATCTCTTCACTATGTCTGATTTTTGGTCAGTGGTATCGTCATCTTCATCATCATTCCACCTAAATATGGCGAAAAGAAAAGAAAATGAATTAATAATCATATCAGTAGACACGAAAAAAATATATGATAGCTCAACACGAGAATAAATAGATCCAGAATGTGTATGTATGTATGTGTATATACCACAACTTCGACGAGGACGAGAGATTCGTCGATGTGGTGGTGGCGCTTTGATGTCGACGAATTCCGCCAGTATCATGTTTCTGATGTTCATGTTCTAAGGAAGAAACTGGACAAAGACGGCATTAATAATGAACAGTTTTTCAAAAAAAAAAAATGAATCGGGAAAAAAAGAAAAATAGTTTATTTTTTTCTACCACTTAGCCGAAATTGTCAGATGAGTTATTCGAGATAAGAATTATACTTACGATCGGAGTTTGTGGATGGAAATTGATCTAAATTAAACCAAATGATAGTTTTCTTTGCTGAATATTATGATGAGAGAGATATACTTGGTTCGATTTTTATTGTAATTTCTTTCTTGACGTTAAATACTCGGGAGACTGGTTTCTCCATAGATTTGTTCGTTTGTTCAGTCTCTTCTTCTGGATCGTCTTCAGCGTTTAAAGGATCATAGAGATCTTCACTTTTGATCTGAGAATTGCTTGCAGTCGTTGTTATCGAAGTGTTTACAAGAACTGGAACTGGCAAAGGTGGGGGAGGTGTTTGAAGCATTTTCGAAAAGAGTTCTTGCGGTGGAGGTAGTGGTGGTGGTGGTAATGGAAACGATGAAGGTAAAAATGGTGGTGGAACGAAGCTAGTCGAATTATTAGTAATTGCTGGCGGAAAAAAGGATGATGGTGCACTAAACGAAGGCGAAGGAGGTAGTGGTGGTAGTGGAAATGGTGGTAATTGAGCTGAAATGTTTAGGACAAATGAATTGAATTAGTTGGTGAGACGAGAAAGAATGTGTTTACATGGATTAAATGGCGCTGGAAATGATGATGGAGGTTGAGATACCGAAGGAAACCATGGTGGTGCAAATTGTGGTAGGGAGTTCATTGATGAATAATCTGTTCCTTTCGATAGAGATGACTAGAAAATTGAACGGAGAAACACATAATTAATTATTCAAAATGTGTCTTAATGTACTTGTTGTGTGTCATTATTGATGATGGTTGAGGATAATTGTCCTTGAGATTTTTGAAATTGCTCAAGAAACGATCCATCGTTCTTGAATATGTTGCCTCTAGCTAGTTGATGTTGCATTGAACTACACGAAAACCATAAAGAATGTACACAAAATTTCATTGATCATCTTACTCGTTATTTACTTGCTGCTGACTATCATCTAAATAGAATTGATTGTAAATCTTCTATTCGCGTAATCATCAACTTACTATCAACATGAATTTTCTTCGCACCATCTACACGCAGTTTCTCTTCAATTTTCCGTTTTTTTTCTTGAATTAACATCTCCTGTGCCGACATGGCCTGTAATTTTCGCTGTGTACGGGACATGGTAGAAAATAAGAAATCTAGAGAATAGAAGGTGGAATCAATTATCGTCGGTATCGTTAATACTTTTCAATGATTGTAATCTAAACAAATAGAGAGAAAAAAATTACTGTGCTGTGTCTGAGATGACATACTATACGTTTGAGTCAATCAATTGTTAATTTCAATATTGATTAGTGGATCTATTCAAACCAACACATCAACAATTGCAAAAGATGTCGCAATTTTACAGTGATTCATTGAAATTAGTATGGTTTATGAGTGGTAATCTACGATTACTTTGCTGTAGATGTGAAAATAAAAATAGTTCTTTTCAGTCTATTTTATCTTTTACAATAGTCATTGAACGAGAAATTTCGTGAACAAAATTAATAAGAACAAAGATGAATACCAGTTATCTTTATTCAACAATTAAATCTAATAAACTTACAAACAAGATTACATCTTTTACAAGAACAACCAACATCAATTGTTTGATAATCGACATTCTGATGATCATTATCAAGTAATTGTTGAAGAGTTTTTCCATCTTGTCTATATTGAGCACGTGTTAGATGAGCATCTGATTTACTTAATGAAACAATCTTATTTAAAGCATCAGATGGTAATTGTAACATAAATAATGATGTTCCACGAATATTTGGATCCACTCCTTTTGAAAATGAAAAAAAAATCAGAAATGAGGGAGAGAAGAGAATGAACTTACCGAGTGGCATGAGATGCATCAAACTTAAATAAGACCGAAGTTGATTTTGTTCATCTTTTGTTGATTTGTCTAATACTGATGTTGGTGAATTATCTAAATCTAATTTCACATTGATACTGCTCTTTTTATAATTTTGATCATCTTTTGTCGTTGCAACATTAGATGAAATCTGTTTGGATAGAATACAACGAATATTTTCAATATGTTTTGTAGTAAATAAATGATCCTTTGAAAAGAAAAAAGAAATGAAAAAGAAAAGAAAAGGACAACGAAACAAACTCTTTGAGGATTTTGTAAAGTATATTTGCATTGACATAATTTACATTGTTCATTCGTTGGTTGATATTCATCTGAAAGATCTGATTTGACGTTGGTGAAGTTAGCACCATATTCGAGTAAAAGCTTCCCATATTCGTTCAGGAATGCGTTCCACGTAGAACTCAATGAGCTCTAACTAGTGGTATGCTCAGTTTTCCCATAACTCGAGTTTTTATTTTTAGGCTTCTAATAACGGCAGTACTGATCCGAAAAACCAAAGTTGGGACTAGGTCGCAACTGAGCATACCACTAGATAGAGCTCTACTTGGAACGCTGATTGGAACGGTTGGAATGCATTCCTAGACGAATATGGAAAGCTTTTACTCGAATATGGTGCTAACTTCACCAACGTGTAATGTACAACCATTCCAAGGAATATGATATGAGAAATAGTGAGATAGCAATAGTCCAGTGAGTCTCCATTTCGAATTCAAATAATGTAGAAAAGATTCAATATTAGGGAAAGTACGATCAATTAGGTCCTTTTGTGCACGTTCTATACATGAAATATGTAGTCATACAAAATTTGGATAATAACAATCTACGCATGTGAAGATGAAACCACTTTCGTTTGCCTTATTTTATAATAAGAAACTGATCAAACGAAAAACTATATCCGTATACATATTTCAATCAATTTGAGTCTTTTACATATTGACAGATGATGAAAGCAATAACTAATAGGTGTTGACTTATATTCTTTTGTTGAAAAACTTTCAAAAATTGGGGTCTGATTTTAAGGAAATTATTTCTTTTGAACAAGTTAAATTTTTATGTCATATCAGATGTCGCTAGTGTAACATGTACGCGGAGTAATTAGACCTATGGCCCTACAGAATTTGGTTTCCAACGTTTGATTGATACAATGCAAGTTGAGGAAAGAGAGAGAAAGAATAGAGATCTTATCATGTACGGTTAAATTGACTCATACGGTCTTGACATAATGTTACTGACTCAAAAGAAAATGCAGTTAGTACTGTGAATACTTTAAAATAATTTCTGCGATCCTACTTATCAATACGGCTGTCATTTTCGGTCCCATTGAAATGAGCATGAACCGTGTATGATCATTTCATTTCATAGAACGAGAAAATGACAACAGTATCGGTGCCACTTGTTTCACTTATTGAACAGTTTTGCCGTGGCAACCTCCAATCATATTGACAATCATCTTCAAAAAAGACAAATAAAAACGAGATATCTCTTCTGTTAAGCATTGACAAGCGATCGCGAAGCAACATTCACTTATTAGTTCATCTCGTCATCTAACCAATGTCAATAGACGATTGTACGTCCCTCTATGAAAAAATGTTCTGAAACTAGGTAACCATTCTACAGAGTAAACTTCAATGGCACATGAATCATACATTGTAAGCAGTCAGTTGTGATAAATCTCGATTAGAAAAATGGATCCAAATGATGAAACCGATCTTGATAGGCTTATTCAAGAAGAACTTGATGCACTTACATTGGACGGCTCGTTGGAAGACGATGAAGATCAGACCGAACAGCAAACTGATACAAAACCAGTTGAATTCAAGCAAGATTTGAACGAAACTCGACGAAATTTAGAAAAAGAAATGCACGAACGTTTAGCAGCGTTTCAGAAAGAAAGTGAAGCGAATGTGGATCGATATGACATCGATTTTACAGAGATCGATGAATTAATCAAGAGACCAGTTGGACAAAGTGAAAAAGAAATTCAGAACAATGTCGCACATCAATGTGGAATCGAACGAGAAGAATTAGATCGAGTATGCTTATACTACCGCCATTGATTGAAATTTGAATGAATTGTCTTCAGATTCTCGAAAGTATCAATACAGAAGAATTACCGTCTGATTCAATGATCCAGTCCAATTCTGATGATGACGATGATGATAAGTATGATGCGCGTCAGAAGATCGAAGCGCTTAAACGAAGTCTTCAACCAGTCGAGACCGTTGAAGTAAAAGCGACTTTTTGTGCATTATTCAATAAAACAATCGATATTATTTTAGACTGCTGAGCCAACTCCTCGTGAACAAGAAGATCCGAATAAAAAGTTGTATGATGAGCGTCTAATTGAATCCCATCAACGAATGCTAGACGAATTAGCACTACTTGAACAACGACGAAAAGTAATCTTTCGTTGAAATTCATCAATTTCCTATGAGAATGTTTAGGAAGAAGAAGAGCGTTATGCCGTCGTACTTCAAGAGCAACAAATTCGTTTAACAGAAGAATACCGTCGCTTACAAGTTAGATCCTGTTTGATTTCCTCATAAACTCTTCGATTATATATATATATATATATATATTTCTAGGAGACACTTGATGAAAATACTCGTCAAGCTCAAAATGAGAAACTTCAATTCGAAAACCTTTGTCGTGAACAAGAACGTGTCACAAATGAACGACACAATAAAATGGCCACTATCATTCAAGCGTGGTATCGAGGACGACGGTCAGTTTTCTTATTTCTATGAGTATGAATGTACTTCAAGAAGGAAATTCTCTTTTCTCTAGAGTTTATCGTCAGTATCACAAAGAGATAGAGAAACGAGTCGAACCAACATTGAAATCCATTGCGAAAAAACGTAAGAAAAGAGAACAAATTGAGATGGCTAATGTTCCTAAAGCGACGAAAACTCAACGAATTGATCCAACTGAAAAGGAGAATCAACGAGAAACTACTGATATGACAACAATACTTTTACCGACCAGTAATCGAATCTCATCGCCATTGATAGATGTAGCGATTAAACCAATAAATCAAGGACAAAAGTTGCAACCATTAATACCTACAGGTGTAGCAAAAGTCAGACCATTCAATGAGTACGAGCGGTTTTTGTTCTAGAACAACCTATTGCGCAAAAAGAGGAATCAGCCAAGAAGAAGAAAGTCAATACAAAACAAACGTCGAAGTTAGTTAAGAGTGACGAATCTTCTTCTTCTACTTCTATCTTTATTTTCTACAGTACTCCTCCGCCGTCAACTCAGATTCTTCAACTGGAAAACCCAATCGATTTCATTCCGACTGTTTTTCCTGACGAAACAAACATTGTTCTGCCCAATCATCGAGTATCTTCACCCATCCAATCAAAACAACAACGAGTTAGATCACCACACAGACGCATACCTGCATCAAAAGTAGAGCCAGCACAAGTATCGGTCAACGCTAAGTAAATTCAAATCAAACGACAGAATGCTCATTATCAAACAATTTCATGTTTCTTTCAGGGACACAACTTCAAATCAGAAGACTGTACCAACAAGTAAACAGCTGACAATGATTCCTATTAAAGCATCTAATACTCACATGCCGACTCATGTGAAGGATTCATTGACAACATTGGCACGGTCGAATACATTCGATAAAAACATCGAAAGCCCGATAACACCATCGATCGAAAACATATCCTTGTCGAATTCATTGATTCGCTCGAAAACGTTTGACAAAGAAATGGAGAATTTTCAACGGCCAACTATCGAACGGATTTCGACCGCAAGATCAGTCGATTCAACTTCGTCTGCAACATTGAAACGATCGAATACATTTGTAAATAAATCTTCCACAACACTGTTGCGAATTGGGAGTATTTCGCCACGAAAAGCTGCGAATATCGTTCCGCCAGTAGCTGAAATTAAACCTGATCCAATTGTTAGCAAACCGACAAGAATTCCATCGCCAACTGAGCATAGAACACAAATTGAAACATTACCAGCTAAAGAAGAGAAGAAATCTGAAGTATCCATCAACAATTCTCAACTTGTTTTCTCATTCCATGATCCACATCCGATCGGCAAGTCTGCTGATCCATTACCTGTCGATCCTATCATTTCCTCGAAACCTATCGAAACAGTGCCAGTCACACGTGACCGTCCAATCACACCAAAAGTATCCACTCCACGCAAGACAGTACCTGTGCAAGAAAGACCAACTACTCAAGTGACCTACCCATTCTTGAACGATGCTCGTCGCTGGGCAGAACATACTCGTGATATGACTTACGCGAATCTCATTCAGTTGACTGAAGAATTGAGTCATCAAATACCATCACGCAAAACAGGTGTCTCTATTCGGAAACTACCAGACATTGATTCTCAATTGTTAACAAAAGCAGCCAAAAGTCAATCACCAAGCGAGGTATGTCAATCATTGAAAAACTTTCTCGAATTTCTTCCTCTCGTTTAGCTTCGTTATCTGCTGTTGGATAAACTTATCACTCCGTGCTCATTGTCATTAGTTGGAAATACGTACTCCAACTTAACTCACCTTACACTTCGTCAGTGTAAACTCGTTCAATTGACTGGTTTAGAATCCTGCTCGTCATTGACTATTCTTGACGTTGAGGTAAATAGAACGAAGTTCGATCTGCAAGAGTTCATTTTTTTAATGTAGAATAACTGGCTTGAACAAATGCATATTCAATTGAATCATTTACAGTATCTAAACATATCTCGTAACCGTCTGACTTCACTTCTTTCTCTACAAAGTCCATCTCTCAAATATCTCGATGTTTCAAAAAATCGTCTCACACGTTTGAATGGCATTGAGACTCTATCAAACTTGAATATTCTCCTTGCAACAGGCAATCAACTATTGACTACGATTGGTTTACAAGGTTGTACACATCTGTTACATATGGATCTATCCGATAATCACCTTGTCGAAATGGAACAACTCGAGCAATGTCCGTTATTGATAACACTAAAAGCAACTTCAAATGCTTTGATTCAATGTCCCAATCTTTTGAATTCGATTCTATTGAATGAACTGGATCTTTCATCGAATAGTTTAACTTCATTTGATGAACTATCCACTGGATCGTGGTTACCATTTCTAACACATCTGCGTTTAGCAAGTAATAGTTTGCAAGAGCTATCACCAATTAAATTACCAGTATTGAATGAATTGGATTTGGGTTTCAATCAACTTTCTGGTAGAGAAACTCACGTTCAACAAAATCATTCACAGTATTATACATTGTTTCTTTTAGATGAATCGATTGTAAAACGCTTCGTCAAAACTTGTCCATCATTGTGTCGACTGAATTTAGAACAAAATCCTGTACTGTGCGATATTAATGAAACACTTGTCTCAGAAAAGAAGTCTCCAACAAATCCCATCACATTATTACCTAATTTTTCTACGAACAAATCAACTGAATCGATTCAATTATATTTAACATTTCTGTCAAATATTACATCAGTGTTAATTAAATTACGTCAAACAGTTGAGCAATGCCAAACAGAACCGTTTCATCTACTTAAATTAATTCAAAATCAATGTCAACAGTATTACGAACAGAAAAAAGTCGAGCCTGTCGAACTGTCAGAAATAATCAAGTTGTCTAGTGAGCCTAAAGGTATGTAAAACTCGTGTATTGCTTAAATAATCACATACAATTATTTAGAACTGTCTCCGAAAGAACAAAGCATCATTCGATTGCAAGCACATTGGCGTCGGCGATTGATGGAACAAAATTTAGATAAATGTCAACAAGCTGCACAGAAGATTCAGGCTCGTTGGCGCGGTTATGTAGTTCGACAGCGAATGTACAATGTGCGACATTTTCATAGTTCACAACAACAAACCTTCGACGAAATTGATTTGACTCAATTTGAATTCGATGAAGTAAATTACTTTCTTTTATCCGTTGGAGACAAAGACTGTTCATTGATTATTCATAGGCTGCGTTTGATGCGAAATTTCAACGACCACAGACACCAGTGGCTCGTGTTCGACAAGTCTGGCAATCTCAACATGGAATCTTACCGAGTCCAATTCAAATAACTGAGCTGTCTCGTCCAAACTCCGGTCGTGCATCATCTACAGCTTCTTCACGTGCAAAACCAATTGTTGAGCCCCTCGACATGTCCGCACGACCTATTATGATGACGAATGAATGGGGTTTTACTCCATCGAGTACTACAGCAGCTTTAATGTTAAAACGTGCACAAAAAATGAAATGGAATGCCGAACGTAGGCAAAAACGACAGCATATGGGTTAATTTCTTTACATTTTCAATGAAATGTTCACTTTGATTTTCTTTTAGATGCGTTTCAACGTTTACAAATGGCTCGAAATAATGAACAACCACCTGGTACACTTCGATTAGCTCGACGTAAACCATCAGTAACAAATACGACAAAGCCACTTGCACATACTCAAAGTTTGACAAGGATTCAAATTGAAAACACGAACTCGTTCGTTCTATTTTCATTCTTTAGCTGCTAATCCGCCTGTAGTCACACAACCACGTGCCAATCGTGTTTATGAATGGGTACATACTCAAGTCGCGCGTATTGATGAGTAGGAATTTCTCTAAGTCGTATAAAAAGCGTCTAATTTCAATATATTAGCTCGGGACTACCAAATGCAAATAGTCCAAGATATGATCGTAAACGTTTACCGAGTCTTGAGAGTTCAACAGATTCCCTAAATGTAAGTATCCGAATGGAATTCTGTCTAGGGAGTTCAATCTCCAACTTTTCTAGCGTTTGCGTTCGAACGAACTTCTACACCAACAACAGAATCGATGGAATACATCGTCGGGTAATAAGATAATGTCTCACTTAAAAGACGGATTGTAAAACTTGTTTGTCTTATTTAGTATCCATTCGTCAACCACCATCGCTACTGCCACCTATTAATGGACAAAATCCACGTCTTTAGCTATATCATATATAATACAGTGTCAGATCCGAAACATTTATGGTTTGTTTCATAAATAAAAAATATTTTTGCACGTATGCAAATTTCTTACATAAATTGACTCTCTCTCTCTTGTGTGTCAAACATAAAAATATTGACTGACGCATCATGTAATTGTACCTTTTCAGCACATTCTGCTGCTTAAAAGCAAAGAATGTAAAAAAGCCTTTCTACATTAGAAAATTGTTTGCCTCGCGAAAACTCCTGTATTCATCACTACGTGTTTCAATGGGTTCAGGTTCCAGCATCCGATGTTTGGAGTGTACCAAACCATCTTACGGACGATGTGATTTTTGTAATTACCGTTACTGTTTATCGCACTTTCGGAAACACGGATGCGCTGCTAATGTTGGTTATAAAGCAATGGTTGTTCGATGTACACCAAAATGCAGTTCGTGTTATAAAGATGCTGTTGGAGACTGTCAAGGATGCGGCGTCAACATTTGTCCTCCATGCTTCTATTCGCGACATGAGCGAAGATGCTTTTGAACATCGTTTCTAGTGCATATTTATCTTCTTTTCTGTATCTTTTTAATCTTTTTGATAGTACATAGATATACACTCGACACTACATCAAACATTAAAGTTTCTTTTGATCAAGTTTTTCATGCGCTCTGGCTGGTAAAAAGCTGAATTCATTGAAGTTGTTGACTCATATACGACTAAATATTAAAAATAGCAAACACATGTCTCCGAAAGTGATTCTTACTTGATTGAGTACGTCCAACAGTTCATCTATTTTACTCGGGAAGATGTGGTTTCCATTCGAATAGTTTGATCGCATCATCTCTTGATCAGTACTTCTCATGAAAAACGCGAATAGTACGGCTAAACCAATAACCTAGTAGAAACGAATTCCTTCGAATCGATCTTTTCTCAGTGAATTGATTTACTTTAACGGGCTGAACTACAAACATCGAAAAAAAGAATCCGCTAAGTAATGATGTTAACCACTTTTGAGTTTTCAAATCACCAAATTCAATTCCGCGTGCAATAATGAAAAATGTAGATATGTGAAGCATTATAAATGATAGTGTATACACAATAAATAGACACCACCAAGGCAATATGAGTTTCGATCGTTTTGTTTTGTCCGTAGTTATTACCATCTCTTCACTTAATAAACAAAAGAAAAAAACTTTCTATATAATTAATAATGCGCGATCTTACGGTACAGGTTTTTGTATTATTTTATACATCGCTTCTCGTAGTGAAGATATCGACGGATGAGAAGAGCGAATGCATCGAAAGAATTCCACCAGTAATATACTTAGAAGAAACGTAAGTGCTCCGACAATAAATTCAATGGTAATCTGAAATATTCTTCTTCAATAAATATTTTGAAGCAAACAGAACACAAACCTGTTCTGGAGTGATATAAAATGGTCTGATGATTAAACTTCCGGTGTTTTGTTTCACCTTAGTATCATTTGCTTGATTATAGTAAAGGATATTCAACAACATTGCAGTAACCAGTAAAACGAAATAGCAGGTGCATCGTTGCACACGTGTGAATTTACTTGTTGGTAGACGCGAAAAGATCGAATGCCATAAATGACCCGCTGACACACTATGATAGACATGTTTCGATAAAACATCAGAAAACTGTTGTCTCTGCCATTTATCTGCGTATGTCAGAGCCCATTCGATCTAAAAAAGAAAGACTAGACAGATACAAATATATGAACAATACTGACTGCGCCATCGTCGTTTTCAAAAGCTAACCAATCTTGACATATAAAAGAGAATTTCTCCATCATTTGCGAATCACACACAATGATGTATTTGAGAAACCAAGATGCTGATGGTACTTTACCAGAATTGTCACACCGAATACGAATGTAACTCAACAGTCCAATTGATCTGAAAAGTAAAGGGACATTATGATTTTAGTTCGAAGAAGTACTATGAATATTTACTTTGGAACATCCATGACAAATGCATCAATACCACCACGTTGCAAAATCGATCGGTGTGGAGTAGATAATGTTCGCGTGAAGAACAGAACTTCGTAAAAATATTGATCTAGTTTATAATTATCCAGTAATGGTGTTACTCCACATGTCGCCAAATCTCTTCTATCTTTGTATTGAACATAGATCACCAGTATGATGAAGTATAGCATAGAAATGCATATGACAGTGACGTAAATCGTCTTGATTTTAACAAAATCAACATTTGAGAAGACATAGTTCCAGCTGGTAGGTGCCGGTAAAACTAGAAAACCGCCAGCAAATGTTGTTAAATGAGTCGAAAAACATTGCGTTTGATAATGATTTGTTGCAGAGCCAACCTATTCGTTGCGAAAAAGAAAGATACTCTCTTTTGACGTAAGAAAAAAAAGGCAACGACTTACTACTAATCCGTCGGATTGCCAATTGTTGTTCGAATCTAAGTAATAGCAACCCGATGTGTAGATACGTAATTCATAGTTGGTTGAAAACTTGAATGGTTCATTTAATATGGGTGGATTCGAAAGTGATTGATTCAAACAGTAGTCTGTAGAATTTAATTCTCGTATACCGAATATCACGGACTGATGACCAACGGTGAGTTGATTATCAATGAAGTATGTGTAGATATCGTCAACATTCAAATCTAAACGTCAAGAATGATATAGATGTATCCAATGTAAAGTTGATCTATACTCGAAGGACAAAGGAGAGACCAGCCATCAATTTGTCGAATGGATGTATTCAATTGTGGCGAACTATCAAATTTATAAATTAATAAATACGATCGAGTTTTGTTTAGTGGACGCATTTCGAAATGAACAGATACTGGAAGAGTTGATATTATATCAACAAAATGTAGATTGAATAGTAGCTGATGAGGAGCGTAATTCATTGCTGTGACATTCTGTAAAACCATTGATGGTATAACTATATTTGGATCCCGAGGAATTAATAATTCGATCGGATGATCTTTTAACGCTTGTACAGAAATCTCTTTTCCAGACCGGTCGAGAATCGAAAGTGAAAGACTGGTGGAAAGATTTGTTATTTGAAAATTACTAGCTGATGCCAACGGTTGTAAGATTGACTGAAAGACAAATGCAAGATTTACATGATTCATAGAAAAAGGATGTCTAACTCGAAGTGAAACAGCTGAATTTGCCGAGAGATTCACTTGTAAATTCGACGGAATATGGATGTATGCATTTTCTGCTTGTCGAGTGGATTTATTTGCCAGTGATTCAAGTTGTAAAGTTTCTAAGGACATGAAAACTGCTGAGGTATTCATAGTTAGGTTTTGACCGATATTCAAATGTAAGTTTAATGCGTTTGTCAATAAAGACATGGTTTCTTTCGCTTGATTGCTTATCGTATTAGCTGTTTGTTTTTGATAATAAATAATTCGACTCTTTTGGATAGTTTCCCAGGAAAAATCATCGCCATTGGCAAATAAATCTTGAACGATGAATGATTGAAAGATGGAAATCAAAACGATTTCTTACTTGGATTAGCCCATTCTAACTCAAGATTAGTTTCATAATCTTGTGGAAATGTATTAGCACGAAATGAGTCTAAATCAAGAACAATTGTTCGTTGTTGTAAAGGGCCATTGATCGCCTAGAAAAGAAACATGATGATTGCTCTTTTTCCGATTGAAGGAAAATTATCGAACAGTTAAAACATTCGAAGTGCATTCAGCGAGATGAACAGCAGCACGTTGCACATCTTGAAAGAAAACTTGCGATGACTTCGAATGCAGAGCAGACGCTAGTTGATAGCATTTGTCAGAAGCAATAGCCTGTTCAAAACAATAGTAGAATATTTGAACAGAATGTTTATAACATACGGAAGATGTTCGTGTCAATTGGTTCGTGGCTTGGGTGAGTTGCGCTAGTGCCGATGCTTGTAACGAAATACTGCTCAAAGAAGTAATTGGAAGTTTGGACAGATACATCATGAGATAATCACGAGTATTGATATAATTATTTAGTTGTTTCAGGTATTCTTGAAGAATGGGTGTGTTCAGTGAAATATTAGCCTGAAGGAATAAAATAGAGAAGAGATTTTTGTATTAGTACAACTGACGTTTAGTAATCTTTGACTGTTTAATGGAGAGACAGTGAAAGTATTTAGAGAAATACCATCTAGAAAAGAAAGACGAAGTTATTCTCGATTATCTTTAAGTTACCAATTAGAAGATATACTAGAGAATGCATAATGAGCGTTTTGCGTATTGATTCTATTGAATTCCTTTGCAAGTGATGTGATTATTTGTGCAATCATATTCTGATTTCCACTGACGAGTAATTGAATAATTGGATTGACAGCCGACGAACTCGATGCGTTCTGTAAATTATGGACAAAATCAGCCACAATAGCCGAGTCTACTGTGACAATAACAGCGGTCAAATTGAATTCTACCACAGCATCAAAACTATCACGGATATAAACTGTAAGTTGCAGCAATGAAGTTTTGCTGTCTCCGGATGGTAAATAAACTTGAAAGTCGGATACTGCGCTAAAAGCAATGATTGTTTGTTCGGGATTCTCTGATGTATAACCTAAAATACAGAATGAGTGTTTGACAATTAGTTGCAAGAAGAGTGTATACCATAGATAGAATAGCCTTTAATTTCGTCTTCATCAATCCAGTTCAAACAGGAAATGTTAAATACAGTACTTGTGGTGCCGTTGAGAGGACTAATCGAACAAGAACCATTTCGAGGAGGTTGATTTAGGATAAAATCTAATGCACTGGAACTATTTTCTGAAGCAGAAGTGTATACAACTTCAAATCGCCAGTGAGTAGTTTGAGCATTATTAAGAAACAGATCCTTTGTCGCAGTAAAATTACTAGTATGTGAACCTATACAGATTTATATTTCATTAGTGAGAAGGGCAAAATCTCGATGAACGTCTACCAAAAAACCAAACATTTTCATATAATTTGCTTTCGTTGAATAGTGTCCATTGAATGCTCGACGATACGTAGGTACCTTTGTACACATTCCATGTTATATTTAATACTGTTGAACAATCCTCCGAACAAGCAGAAAACAATTCCACTTGTGTTGTTGGATTGATTATTTGAAATTCCGTAATCGAAACACATAGTTCAGCGATGACACATCTACAAAAACCATCATCATTGTCAAATATAAACAAGGTATAAAACAACAGACGCTACGGTAATCATTTGAGATTTCCTATCTTCGATGCGAGCGAGTAGATAACCAGTTGTTTGAATTGCAGGATTCTGACGATTTGTCATAATTACTTGGAATTCATACGTTTGATTGGATGCAAGTGAATAGGAACGAATCGTTAATGATGAATTTGGTGAAATTGAACCTCCACCAAATTGTAATGGTGCTTGATTTCCTTCAGAAAAAAAATTTGGAAATGAAAAAGGAAATCTACTGATAAACGTACGTGAAGTGTTTGATAAACAAGACGAGTTGAATTGAGTAATTCGCGGATCATCAATTGTCAACAGTGATCCGAGAATATTGGGAAAATCGTAGAAACCATAAATACGACAATAATATTCATATTTCCAATGCTAAATTACAGTAGATTATTCGGATAGATACGGAAAATTCGATTTCGAAGATCGCTTACACTTGCATTGAACACATTTCCATCAGGATCAATGGAGAAACTACCTGGATCGAGTGTGAAATCTTGTGATCGACCACGTGTAATCATTGAAGTTCCATATTGAACAAGATTCGCTGTAATATTCGATGCTATTACTGTGACAAAAGCTGAGTTTGTGGATGTTAAATTTAAAGAGGTATTCATGGTCACTCTCAGTTCAAATTGATATAAACCATAGGATAAAGTTCTTGCAGGCAGATAAAGTTCACTGAATGTTGTTATAATGGATGAGTCAAGTTGAACGGGAGTTAAACAATTGGTGCTACTGCAACTACGAATAGTCCATTGAATGTTCGTTGAAAGAGAAGTATTGCACTTCAATTGAATGTATGAACTAATGTAAAGATCTTGATTTCGTCGGTTTTGAATCGGTAATGACAAGGATGATGTACCAGGAATTAAGACAACTGCTGGTGCAAAACAGTCTGAAGAAGAAGAGGAGAAGGTGATGATCCAAATGTTCTCTTATAACTCTACAGAAAATCGGAATACTTTGATTTCCCAAAGTTGTCATTGATCCCGTTGTCACTGTTGATATATCTGTAGTTATGTGATTGGTCTGAAGCGATGTCCAACTTCCACTAGTAGTTATTTCAGTAGATGTTACAGTAGTTTGCGCTAAAACAGAATGACACACATATTGTAATAGCTCGGGCAGAGTCATTCAAAGAGAACTTACCACACGAATCTTCGATGAAACGAAATTTCACGATACGGTCATTCCCATAGTCAGTAACAAAGATATTACCATCACGATCAAATGTAAACATTAATGGAGCATTTAATATCGATGACGATGCCATATTAATACTTGTGCATCCTATAAGGCATTTAGTGCCCATTGACCCAACGACTACAATACGATTATTGTGACTATCCATGATAAATAAATTATTTCCTTTATCGAGGATCACTGCAGTTGGAGATGAAAGTGAGATTCCATATAATGAACTATTTGCTGTGACAGTTGTAGCAGTTACTTGTCCTGATGGAAAGCGCTGTACACGATTGTTGCCACAATCTGCTACATACAAATTGAGAGCTATATCGACGAAGATTCCGTAGGGTTGGTTCAGTAGATTTGAATCCGTTCCATTCGTTCCATTTCCTGCAATGAGTTGAGACGCGTTTGTCGGGGTATAGATCGACTTTTTGATAATTTTATGCAATGCTCCTAAAGAGCAATACAGATTGTCGTAAATATCAATGAATAAACTGTAGCAAGAACCAGTGACCAACATAACGGTACTACTTCTGTTCTCGGACAATGACCACTTGTCAACTCGACCCTTTAGAAAACCGTTATCAATGTAAAGATCACCATTGTTTGTTATGAAAAGGCCATATGGATACCGTATATCGTAGGAAATGTTTTGCATTGAACTCGAGCTTTGATTAAACCATATCAAAACACTGTTGGTTTCTTGAAGTGATGTATAAACATTATTCTTCCGATCAACCCAAATACTGTTGGGCTTGTTACCAATAGTTGTATTATCTGCAAATATTGTGCCGTTAAGATCCCACTCAGCGGACGGACAGAACATTGGTTGATTCAGAGAAAGTCCTAAAAAACAACTTTGATTATGTTTGAAGGAGACTATAGTTTATGAACACTTACCACAAGAGTTTGTTGCCAAAGTAAATTTTTGAATTCTACTATTTGCTTTATCAACAACATACATATTGCCATAACTATCAAAACTTAAACCTTGCGGACTCAATAGTTGATTAGCAGCCGAGCCGCCTGTCTTTGAACATCCAATGATACACTGAGAACCACTATTTCCTGAACGAACAATGCGATTGTATTTACTATCAGCAATGAACAAGTTGCCATCTACATCCGTTATGAGACCACAAGGACAATTAAGTGAAATTGTTCCTGCTGTTCCGTTTCCTACTATCGTGTTCGCGGTCAAGCTATTAGGCTGGAATAATTGTACTCGATCGTTTCCACAATCAGCAACATACAAGCGCCTAAAAGCGTCGACAAATATTCCTCTGGGTTCACTCAATGTATTTGATGCTGGTGCTGCAGTTCCATTACCAGCAACGACTGTTATAGTATTCGCACTATCATTCCATGATCTCCTAACCACTCGATGGAAATCACCAATAGAACAGTAAATGTTGTTATTCAGATCAATAAAAATATCACGACAGAAACTAAAATTGGTGTACATGACTGGCGTACCCCATGAAACATTTAATGACCATCTGTCCACACGGTTTTTCCCTTCACCACTATCAAGATATATGCTACCATCATTCCCAACAAAAATACTATACGAAGCGTTGTAATCTCCGGACAGATTTCTATCGGGAAACGTACTTCCTTGAAACCACACAAACGCATTACTTGATGTTTTGCCAGACACATAGACAGTGTTATTAATATCCACAAACACGTCCATAGGATTTGAACCAATAGTACTAGCGTCAGCGAAAGTAATCGCGCTTGGCTCCCATGTTGCACAAGCCGATAGTTTTGGTTGATTATATGAAACACCTGTGAAAAACACCAACTCGAATATCGCTTTTTCGTAGGCTTAGGCATCGATTGATGGTGAAATATAAGCAACATAGAAACTTATTGACAATCTGAACAACGTGATCTATTTGTCTGTGTATAACTCTTCCGATCGAATACGTCTCTGTTGACTTACGAAAAAAGATATATAAATGTGAGAGCTGATTAAAACATGGCTCCTAATAATTTAAAATTCAGAATTCAATCACTCAGATATACGCTGTTTGCAATGTTTACATCCAGTAGAAAGTAACTATTATCGTTGAGCTTTCATACAGTACTCAGACACCTCGGAAAAGAAAACGCAACAACTAGATTAATTTTGACTCTATCCTTTACTTATAATACACATTGATACATACTGGGACTTCGTATGGAAAGCTCTTAAGACGTAACATACAATACTCTCAAACATATTCAAAGCCATTAGAAAAAGCTGCAATAGTGAGGAGTACTACTCACTAGTTTTAGAACCTATCAAGTAACATAATTCTCACTCCCTGTACTATGCAAGTCGTCTTGTCATCCTTCAAATCTGATTAGGAAGAGTTATTACTTGTTGTGTGCTTGGTGTTCAACAGGATTGTTAACCATATGACCAACGAATGACGCGTCAGAGCCGTTCTCATGCTACAGTAGACTTTCAATAACGAAGAATAACCTGTCAAAATTCTACTGAAACGCCAATACCAAATGAAAAGTATATATCAAGTTGACGAAGGTTTTTGAAACTCTTGTTCCTCTCCTTGTTTTTTGTATTTGTATTTCATTTTCTTACGTGAATTAATAATACTCTCGCTCCAGAGACAAGTTTATTAAGAAATACAAACAACACAATTTCGACTATTCATGAAAAATAAACATGCCGTTTCTCTATTTATACAAGTGGACTTCGGACCATCTGATGCAAGCCATCGTATACGACTCTTTACAGCAGATATTTCAGAATATCAAGTAGCAAAACATAAGATTTGGACAATTTTTCGAAATTCGCTATGAAACTAAAGTAGTCTTTAGTTCGATAACGTATGATAGGTTATACATTGAAGTAAGCGCTGAAAAAACACTGAACATAATTCGAGAGATATCGAGAGGCCGATGTTCTTTTTCAGTGATTCTTCTGTTTTGAGAACTATTGCATACATAATGAATCTACTCCACTTCTTGAACAGTTTCTTGCATATGTACTTTTGGTAAATACGTAAGATTATTTACCATGCTAGAGTATATTTACAGTACACAGAGAACGCCGATTTCACTTAGAGTTGGACGGTACTCAAATATGAGCCGCTTAGTTAGGGCAGTTCTCGGTATATTAAAAAAAACAGGCGGCAGTTAACTGGAAGAGATTGATGTATGTTGATGAAAATATTGTTTGTACCTTCCGAAAACCTCATAATTCAACGACACCTATTGAGTAGCATGTCAAATGGTTTCTAAAAATCGTCTCTTTTCTGTCTGAGTGCATGCATATATTTACTATTATGTAATCGCATTTTATTCTATCTTCATTAAAGGTCTAAACATGACGAAGAAAGCTATCTGGAACGGACAAGTCCTTGCCGAAAGTGACAAAACAATCGTGGTCGAAAACAACCACTATTTTCCACCAGATTCTATTAAAAAAGAATTTTTCAAGGATTCCGATACGCATACAACTTGTGGTTGGAAAGGTGTAGCTTCGTATTACACACTCGTCGTCGATGGTAAAGAAAACAAAGACGCCGCTTGGTATTATCCAAACGTGAAAGAAGCTGCCGATGAAATCAAAGGTTATGTCGCGTTTTGGAAAGGTGTGAAAGTTGAATAGACTGTTTTCTGGATTTATTTATTTATCTGATTGAACTCTGTCATTTGACATTACCGAAATAAAATAATTATAGTACAAAAGAAAAGGAAACGCAAACAAAGAAATTCATTCTGATTGACCCTTTTTCTTGATCTCTTTCCATTGGAAATGATCACAACGTGCTTGAGGGTTGTTAGAAGCACCATTGGCACGCGAACATACATAAAAATATCGTCCCCAATTGACTGAAGATGTATCTTTCACTTGACGTATCACGCAATGTTCTTTGTGACCATTACACAACGGTGGTGGAGTTGGGGGACGGAAAATATGATTCCATGTTGTTGTCTTCTTCGGTTTCTCGTCCACTACAGAGGACGGAGTTATATCTACGACTTCAGGTTCCTTGAAGAATAGATGAAAGGAACTATGTCATGAGAATCTCTTAAATAATCGATCCTACTTTGGGCTTTGACTCAGCAGTAGAGGAAGGACTTGTTTGAGAACTTCGTATAAAATGTTGGAAGAGTGATGATTGTCCTGATTTAATCTTTTTCAATGCTGGTTTTACCAGTGTTTTCGATTGTGTAATACTTGTCTTTTCATTAGATTTACCATTCTAATTAAACACTGTAGAGTTAGTTTGACAAGTAACTATTGATTGACTTACCTGTATAACTTTTTCGTTAGTTATCATAATTATTTCTTCTATTTGTTCTTTCCTAAAATTTAAAATTCATTTACCGCAAGTCTTCTATCGTGACTCATTCTTACTTCTCAGTATCTGTCTCAATCTCGTCTTCTCGCGTTCGTTTCGTTTTCATCATAAATTGACTCAGTTTCATTTGTGTACCCTTAAATTCTGACCAAAACTTTGTACAGATCGAAGGTGGTTTCGACAATGTACGATCCTTGAGAACGAAATTGAATTCTGCAACGATTGGACAATGATCACTCGATTCAACCTCTATTCGATGCTGACAATCGACTAAATGTGATTTGGATACCATTCCGTCGCAGATAATATAATCTATACGCACACCATAATTATTCACACGAGCGCTTGATAATGTTTCCCAACAGGTATACGCTTCCCGTTGATCTGGATGCAAATAACGGAATGTATCGATGAAAATATTATCAGAAATCAATTTCGAAAACCAAAGACGTGAAGGGCTGGAATTGAAATACTAAAATACGGAAATTTCACTTGATTTAACCAATCTATCTATCCAAGACTCACATCGAGATCTTCTCCAGGATCGCAGGTATCGATTGGTTTGTGGGAGACATTGAAATCGCCAACAATAATCACCCGACTAGTTAAATATGAATCTTTATAGCTCAATCAAGTGTACAAAAATAGCTTTGAGCATACCATCCACGTTCTAGAAAGTATCGAGCACGTTGCTCGAGTGCAGCATAGAAATTAAGTTTATAAGTTAATCGTTCAGGCTTATCAGGGTCAACCCGAGGACAATAAACATTGATGATGACCAGACTTGTTCCATCTCTAGTTTTCAAACCCTGATAAAAATTCTCGAAAACTAAGGAAAAACTTACTCAAGTTCATGCTCCGTCATGATTGCACGACCCTCGCGATCAATAGCTAACAGATCATTTTCGTCCATTGTTGAGTATTCTCCACCTAAACCATCCTCAAGATTCGTGTGTAATTTTCCAGCAAGACCTAAAAACTAACGAAAGATTTCGATCTTCATCGCCGCTACAAATATTTTCATCTTCAAACAAACCTTCTTCTGCATGAATCGGTGTCAATGATGTTTTACAAAATATTGCAACACCCGAATAACCCGATCGAAGTCGTGACCAGCTGTAAAATGTATGATAACCATCGATTCGAGCATAGGCCTCAGCAAGTGCTTGACCTAACCACAGAGAAAGATTTAATCAACGCTGGTTTTGCAAACCTTACGTGTCACTTTCGTTTCTTGAAAGCATATGATGTCACAATTGAGTTGTTCAAGTACTGCTTGTAATGGTTGTCGCAATGAGCGAAGGCCATTGATATTCCACGAGCAAATTCTCATCTAGATATCAAAGATTATGATTAGTGGAAAGGAAATGGGAATTTTTCAATTTCAACAGCAGCTGAGTGTCAATCCATAGTTTACCTTGATCACGCTAGATCATTCAGGGTTTTTTCCCAATTGAAATACAAATTTCATGACAGATTTACACTTCGTTGTACTTTTGATTATCTTTGAAAAATAAAACTTTCTATGATAGATGTCGCTTTTCCGTTTCGTAATTTCACGGTAAAATAACAATAAACAACCAACAACAATAATTGTCTTCTTATCTCATCCAGTTCTCTTTTTTCCTAATTAGCAAGTAGGGATAAATCTATCGATTTATATGCCTAGCTTTTTCTCTTACCACATTAGATTTTTTTTTGAACTACTCATCTCCTACATTCCTGTCAAAATAGTATGGCCGACAGTGGTGCATTAACTAAACGTATTGTTAAGGTTAGTTAGCGAATAAAAATTCTTCTCTTTCAACTGAATGTCTCTTCATACTCAAGGAGAGTGCTCGTCTGCAGCAAGAACCAGTGCCAGGTATTGACGCCATCGTTGATGAACACAATCCTCGTTACTTCAAAGTTGTTATTGATGGACCAAGTGAAGTAAAAGAACGATTACGTCAATCAATAGTTACAATCCCCCTGCAATCTGCTTTAGAGTCCATACGAAGGTGGCAAATTCAAGGTCGAATTATTCTTACCTGATGAATATCCAATGGCACCACCTAAAGTTCGCTTTATGACAAAATTGTATCATCCTAACATTGATAAGCTAGGCCGAGTTTGTCTAGACATTCTCAAAGGTACTTTATTTCATAGGATTCATCCTACATGCATAAATGTTTCTTTCACTTAGAGAAATGGAGTCCTGCTTTGCAAATTCGTACCGTTCTTTTGTCCATTCAAGCTTTATTAAGTGCACCTAATCCCGATGATTTCTTAGATGCCGATGTAGCAGAAAAATGGAAAGCTGATGAGCACGGTGCCAAGGCTATAGGTAAATACATCGGATCAGTATTTTCTCCATTCATATTCTTCCATTTCAGCTCGTGATTGGACTCAAAAATATGCTCGTGAATCTTGAAACTAAATCATATATACATATAATTATTTATTTACATAAACTATCCGGATCGAAGTGCTTAACAGACACTCAAAACAACTGCTGGTGAAATTTGTCCTTTTGTATGCTTTTTCGCATGTTCATAGTTTCTTTTTTTTCTTCGTTCTCTTGTCTTTTTTTGTAATTCAGAGCAAAATGCATATGTAACACTCGTTACTAACAACTGTCTATATGACTTGATCGTCTATTTTCAAGAAAAAGTACTTATCTGCCTCGTTTCTTCTTTCGCCTCTTTTTTCAATTATGATGATCGTGAATGATTGAATGAATCGATGTGCATGTTATGTGTAGAAACAAAAAAAGAAGAGGAGCGGAAGAAGAAGAACAGAAAAGTTATATCATCTATGCTTCCATCCTTTCAGCAGATGTGTTAAAGATATGTATATGTATATCAGATCATTTTACATGTAATGAACTTTTGTACTCGAAGTGTAAGATGATTACTGCATGCTGAAAATACTCAGTGATAGACGAAAAGATGATTTGCATTCCATAGGTCGTCCATCTGTCGTGTTTTATAGGATTTCTTCGCAGATAAAATTTCTTATTTGCTTCATTAGGATGTCGCATGTAGTAACCGATATTTTCTGACTATTTTTTCGAGATAGAACAGATAACAAGGATCGGAACGACGTGAACTTACTTAACAAAAATGGATTAATTATGCGTTCACTCACCAATCGTTCTATCCTTTTCAAAATGCGTCGTTTATTTGAATTCTTCATAGTAACTTTATTTATTGTCATGATGTTAACTATCGCTTCCAAATGGTCACCCTCGAAGTCAAAATTTCAACCAAAACTAGTCAATGACAATGATCAACATCTAAATATGAAAGTCAATCCAATACTTGTGAATCCGTCGGTACCGCAAGCGCAATCTCTGAATATTAATGACGATAATTTAATGATAAAACAGCCGTTGTTGAAAGGAGATGAATTGGTGAAATACATTCATCTGGATTTAAAAGGTGCTCCACCTCAAGCTGATAAATTCTATGAAAATTTTTTCGATTTCGTCGATAAATTACAAATGGGTGTAAAAGGAGTTGTCATCGAATATGAAGATATTCTTCCACTGGAAGGTCGATTCGCTAACGTAAGATTGAAACAAGTTTTTTTTTAATTTTCGAATTGAAATTGAATATGTTTTTTAGGCAACTCATCGTTTTCATTATACAAAATCTGATATGGAATTGATTCAAACAGCAGCGAAATCACATCAATTGGATGTTATACCATTGATTCAAACATTCGGTCATCTAGAATGGTTGCTTAAACTCCAGCAATTTGAATTGTTTCGCGATGATCTAAATTCACCTATGGTTATTACACCATGTCTTAACGAAACTTATCTTCTTCTTGAAGGTGAATAGGAATGCCTCTCATGGACTTTCATTGTCAGAAAAAAACTTCATTTAGATCTTCTGAAACAAACGCTTGATATGCATCCATATAGTAATATAATTCACATCGGATGTGATGAAGTTATCTTAACCAATTCTCATCCTCAATGCCGAGAAGCATGGATGGATGTACCAGAACGATATGTCGAGTAAATAATAGATGATTATTCAGGAGAAGAAAAGAGAAAATCGATTTGTTTGTAGTCATGTGAAACGCGTTGCAAATATAGTACGCAGAATCCGACCAGCAATACGAATACTTATTTGGGATGATGTTATACGTGGTGATCAATTTCTAGTTAACGAAAAACTAGTAAGCATCATTATCACACAAAGATTTTGTCATTTGTATAAACTCTAATCTTTTCTGTGTAGCTCAATGAGCTGAAAGGCCTAGTAGAACCTGTCGCTTGGAATTATCATCCGACATTCGATGATTCTTATGTATTTTCACCTGTATGGAAAATCTATTCGAACTTATTTTCCACAGTCTGGGCAGCGAGTGCCTTCAAAGGTGGTCTCAATCGTTATTCTATGCAGACAAATGCAACCCATCATGTCCAAAATAATCGCGCATGGCTTCAATTCTTGCGAACACTCTCAACTGATAAACGAAATGCCTTTTCCGGTATTATTTTAACTGGTTGGTCACGCTTCGACCATTTCATGCCTTTATGCGACTTATTACCAACAGCGTACCAATCGCTTGTAGGTAGTTTATACACAATAAATACAGGCAAAATCATTCCTGTTGAATACATCAATGATTGCGATAGTCTGATGAATTTGATTGGAAGAGATGCTCAACTATGTCAGTCATTACCAGGTGAGATCAGTCGATTTCGGTTTGTTAAGATGTGTGCATCGATGATGATACTTTGGTTTTGTAGGTCTTTCAATTTGGTCAGGTATAACTAGTTTAGCATCATCTCTTGCACAAATTGATGATCGTCTGACATTTTTACATACCGTCGCACCATCGTACAATCGAAAACATCGATTTGTACGACGTTACGAACTAGATTCCCGTTTAACTGAATTACAAGCGCTCCATACGGACCTATTAACTCTTACACAGTCATTACATCAACAGTTCAGTGAACTCTATTCGATCGATATTATCGACGAATGGTTTGACCTTTACATCTCACCGGCATTGGAGCGTATCAATACAACTCTTGTTGAGTTTTCTCCCGTTCGAAATCAAACATTTTGGCCAAGACGGCCGTTAATCTAGTCGAATCATTACATCTAATCATCAACACAGTTTCACCGAATGCTTTAGTTTTGTTTTAAAGAATAATCATCATTTTTGTAGCTATTACAAATACATCTAATTTTTACTTTATTTAACTAATATGTTTCTCTCATTTTTATATGAAATTTGTTTTGACTCGTCTTTGCATATGACTACTGAAATATAGAATGACTTTTTTGTTTAATCTAAATTGAATATGAATAAAGAACAAAGTTTAATATTGCTTTCTTATTAATAAATAAGCCAATGAAAATTGTTTCAATCGTACTTGACAAATCGGAATAATAACGGGTAGATTTATTGCCTTATTAAATTAGTCGGATGCGATGAACTACTGCTAGCCTTCAATTCTCTCGCAGAGATTCACTGTCATCAAGATGAAATATGATATGGAGGAGAAGAACAAATCGTCAAGAGACTTTCTTTCCGTCGAACTATGATTATTCTAATTACAATGTTAAATTAATATAAACGACTTTGTAATTGAGCAGAAAACTTCTCTCAATGAGGGATCATGAGTGAGGAGAACGATGTGCGGATTATTTATTATATCTTTATTTATCTTTCTTATTCTTAGATTTTATTTGCTTATGCCGATCCGAAATCATTCTGTTTCCGACGAGCAATTTTCAACGAAGAATTGGTATGCCATATCTCGAGTCATCCTAATCTATTTCAACAAATATTTACTACTTCGTATAGCCATCAGCATTCTCTTGGAATACTTATCGAATTTCGGATGACGCTCCTAGTCATCTCCGAGCAATAAGAAAACAATAACTGTGCGTCTAATGAAATAATAACAAGAAGAGTTATTCGATATCGAGTGATAAACTGATACAACGATTTTGCCTTGAAAAAAATATATCCATAAGCTTAAGTTCATTTCCATGTTCCATCACGTTTCTCTCGACTTTAACGAGTCAGATTAAGTATCTACTTTGAAACATTCGGTTTAATGAATAATTAAGTCATGTATAGCGCGCCTGATGATTTGAGTCAATTCAGATGAGTATCAATATTGCGTATCAATATGCCGTTCAAGTAGCGATTGAGCACGATTGTAATTTAGAAATGTGCAGAAGATAGAAAGCCTTGAGCATAGACATGCACTGAGGATTGAAAAGCTTATTACTGATCGGCAAAAACTAGTGATATGCAAATAAATCCGTTTGTTTGCAGTGTTGCCGCTGATATAAATCCATTTCTGTCGATTTGTTCAAATACGATTAGCAATGCTCGCAGATCGTTCTCCAGGACTTTGCCAGTTCATTGGCTTGCTCAAAGTTTGCTCAAGCATAAGCATCCGATTAGAATATTTTTCTTGAAAACTTTATAGAGCATATAGATGTGCTAATGAAGTGTAAAACAGATTGACACTTGGCTTGTCCAACAAAGAAAACAAGCACGGTATTATGTCAAATGAATGATCTATTTTTAGCCGAATCGTTTGAAACATTAAGAAAGAGCCTAATTTTGAATCATATGCATTCTATTCTTCTGAGATAATCGAAAATATGAATGCGTGACAATCTATCATCATCGAAAATGTCTGATGACTAAATAAACTGAATTGAAGTAATTTTGTCAGAGAAGATTTTATTGGTCATAGATATGAACTCGAGCAAATGGAAGACAACTGTCAAAATAATAAGTAACTTCCTTATCGAAATCTCTTCCTCTTCTCTCTCTCTCTCTCTCTCTCGAGTTTTTCTTAATAGCCACCCTATTGCTATTCTATTAGTCGACGCATACAGAGTTCTTTTGTTGGAAATCCGAAATCATGATGAACAACGCTACATTTTCTACGTCACCTTTTGCATGAATTGAGTGTAAGATGATGATAGTTCGCATCTAGTAATCTTAGTTCTTTACATCAGCAGTAGACGAACATAAATACGTGTCATAAAAAGACGCAGCAGTGACGTACGCTCGGATCTCGATACTGGTAAAATCATGTCCTGAAAATCTGAGTGACTTATTAATATGTCAATGTTCATTAATTGATATAACAAAAGATGAACAAACGAGAAGTAAATCTATCCGATGTTTTCTATATTGTCTTGTCATATCCAATAAAACTTTCAGGGAAACAAAAACACAGAATTCCTCTTTCGCTTCTCTTTCTTCTTGCTTAAGAGATTTTTGCGCACAATCCTTTTACTCTTCAATCATTGAATTGTCCTACTGCAATCTTAATGTGTCGAAATGACTCGCACACATCATCTTCTATCAAAGACGGCATTACTTCAAACAACGTCGTTGATGGAAATCGTTTCTCCAGAATAGTCAAAATTTCATTAGACAAAACATACGCGAACGACCGAGCGAACCAAGTGAGTGAATCAACTAGTCGATGTCTCAGCGTCAGCACAACGACTAGGACTTTTCTTTTGATCGCACGTTGCATTTACATTCATTTCGTCGTATTGTCAATATTTTTTCGCATCAATGCTCATTGTTAGAGCAGCCGAGTCAAGTTTATTCAGATCTCTTCTTCATTTCAGATGCGTCTATTCGTACTCAATGAAAATCTAATGCGTCTTGTATGCGATCATAATCGCATTTCGAAGTTTGTTTTTCACTAGGAAATGATTTCTATCCTAATTATCTTTTATTTAAAACAAACTGCTTTTCACGTGTCTGATATCATTTATTTCAACAAACAAAACAAATCTTAATCTGTAAAGGCACGACAGAATTTCCTTCTTCTTTTCATTCAAGGTCAATGAGAAGAAAAAAAAACAAAGAATTGAGCGACATTATATGTATATGTCGAGATATGATTACTTCCTCTTCTATTAAGTCAAAACTGTCGTATGTGTGCGAACCTTTTGTGTTTTCGTTGTTATTCACCGATCGGAATGAGAATGTGCTGACAAGATGAACTCATCGAATGTCTCTCAGTTAACATAGACGGTTAATCTGCTCATAGGAAACATCAGAGATTGTCAACTAAAACGTAGCTAATTTAAGATGACTTCTTTTCCCTTTCAATTTATTGTTTGATTAATATACGTTTTGCGTTTTTCTTCTCCTTGCAATCTAAGCTTGTTCAGTCATACATTTTCAACACATGTCATGTTGTTTAATGCTCTTAATATTCATCTACTCCTCCTATTCGTCTTATCTCGCTTATTTGTGTGCACTAGTTCCATTAATCAAAATCTTTCGTTGTCGTCGTTGCCGTTGTTCTCGTCTTTATTTATTAGAAGAGACTCTTACTCATTCTTTTCAGTGGTTATCATAAAAGAAAAAAACGAAGAAAATCTTAAAAGAAAAGATAAATGATAAATATTAGACTATCGTCAAATCGTGCATGAATACACCTAATTAACAAGTAGAAGATACCGAAGAGGAATACTTTGTCTATGAACTATAGAATAGAGCATCATTCAATTAGTAGCTTGCTTCTTTTCTACTGAAATTTAATGGATGCTTGCAAGCGATAAGAAACGACAGTGTCGCTGTCAGTTTTTCAAATAATAACTGTGTAACAAATAAAGACGCTTCTTTCGATTCCTCTCATGTCTTTTTTACTCGGTTTCTTCTTCTCTCTCTCTCTCTCTTCCTCTCTATTTCTCATCATCTATAAATGCATGTTCTCGGTGTGATCGAGGTTTGGATGTAGAAAAACCTCGAGAGATCATGAGATACATTTATATTTAGAATTCCGGAACTAGACGAGAAAATTTCTTTTGTAGGTTTTGACTTTGTCCATATATCATTTGTCAATATTAATGATCTATACACACTGAATGTAAAGTCGCTGTTGCCATTGTCGCCAACGCTACTGCCGCCTTTGGTTTCCGACCTCACCAACTACTGCTTTGATTATCCTCGATGCCGCCGTCTTTGCCAGATCCAATAATTTGTTCATCGATTCTTCGACGACGATTATGTTCCATTATGTTTGTCAACGGTCATTATCGGCCCGTTCATTACCATCGTTTTCAGTATCTATTATAATGTTTCTCAATCTATTTTCCTTGTGCCTACATGGCATTGAAAGTCAATCGATTATTGAACCTTCGTTGAAAACAATCTTTCAGCTCCGAAGCGCACAGTTCACAAATGTTCCACAGAGAAAATCACTTCGCATTATTTATTTTCGCGAATTTAGTCGACCTATCAACGAGAGTTTCTTAACATCTGATATACAGAATTTCACGAGAACATTTGCAATTGATTTCAAATTGAATATATTCGATCAAAACAAAGCATTTTCTATGACGAAATTATGTTCATTAATATCACAAGAACGACGTGATACAATACTTGTCGCAGATTCATATACGAAAGAAATTGATCTATTATCTCGCTCACTGAAACTACCGACCATCGCTTTGATCAATCGTTACCAACTTGTTCAAGGAAAACTAGTAAATCTTTCTCTTCTTCATAGTTTTCATTTACAAATATGTTCTTCTAGCACAATCCATATCTATTCAAATTAATGCCAGATGTCATCGAGGAAGCCAAAGCAATGGTCGATGCCATGGATAATCGCGCAGTCTACACTCGCATTGGTAAGATATTGCTTTGACATAACGACCGATTCTACGTGTCTTCTTAGCTTTAATCTACGATACATCACTTGACATGGTCGAGTATCGTTTGTCATATCTTCGTCTTGCCAAACAATACATTATCTATCGTGCACATCTACCACGCATATCATTATCATATGAACTACATCGTGCAGCACGTGTAATTATATATGACTTAACTCAAATTGATACTGATCTTATCCTATGCTTGATGTCAACAGAACGTCAATTACAATTTCTTCGTTTAATCAAAGACTATGGTTCAGTATCGACCGTACAATTACTGTTGAACCGAACCAGTTGGTGGTTTGCTTCGCGAATGAATGAGCCGTTTGCTTTACATTATTTCCCGAAAGTTCATACTGCCAGTGCAGATCGTTCACGGACATTATCCCATTTTCCAAGTACAAGCATTAAACTTGTACTCAATGCTGTTGTTAAAACTTATGTTCGTGTAACAAATATTTCCTACCTATCGTCGTTATTTATCGGTCCGTCCACCTGTGATAGTCCGTTGGAGGGATCACAATTGAAGAAAACACAGATATATATCAAGTGAGTGTCCATTTCTGACAAGAAATAATCGAGAGCTCGACTAGAAAAATGATTAAATCCGAAATGAAAAAGAAATACTCGTAGGAAAAGATATTGTGAGTACATAAACTAATATAACTTCAACGAGAGTATTCATAAGGTTGTCAGTTTGACATAGATGGTACATTTGAAGGTAAAAAGAATGCTTGTCAATTGCAAAGAAGTGTACTACTTGCACTACACCGCTTTTTAGGTTATTTACCAATTATACTGAGTGGAATTGTGAATTTCGTTTTGGATCTGGTGTCGATCCATTATTATTTGAACCGAACACTTTGACTTGGCGTGTTCCAACTATATTTATGGTAATCGATAAAATCTCTCGAAAGTTTTTCCACAAATGACGTTCTTTTCGTCTTTAAGGCACATACAGAACACTCATGTCAAGGTTTACTGACCCGGACATTCTATACTGGAACGAACAATGCCGATTATTTCTTTCGTTCATGCCGACCGATGACATCTCCACTGCGAAAAGGTTCGTTATCACAAGAAAACGCAACGACACGATCGTCATCGAACGCTCTCGCTGATATCACACAGTTTCATTCCATGTTTGGAACATTATGGAATGATTTAACCACTGAATGTCGTTTCATATCGATGGAAAAGTTATTGCAAACCTTGATTATTGTCGGTGTTGTTGAACCACCCTATATATTCGTATCTGATGCACAAATCTCATCAGATTTCCATTGTAACTATGGAATACCTTGCTATCAAATCGATCCTCCATTGACAAATCAAACAATCGATGCACTTTTCTTCCATTCCAATAATCATTCGCCACCACATTGCTGCTACGGAATATCGATCAATCTTTTACTACGCATGGAAGACTTGAATGTGATATCAGCGTTGAAAATGACGAAGTTATTCGTTTTTGCCGATAAACCGAACAAATGGTTAGCACTGATTCAAACTTTACATAATCGTCGAGCACATCTATCAATATCAGCTATTCCATACGAATCATTTCTGGCGCGTTCATTGGAATTAACTCCACCGTTTTATCACTCGTCATATGTTATTTTGTCTGCACCAGCTATCAAACGACCATCTTTAGGAGCTTTTCTGCAGCCGTTTTCGTGGACAACATGGTGTATGATATTTCTAGTACTAAATGCCACAGCTTTGTTTGAAATCTTTTTTGAATGGCATAGTCCTTATGGGTAAGGAAATCAACCGAAAGACTAAACAGAGATTTGAACGCATTTCTTTCTATTTGTAGTTTAACACCGAAAGGTCGGCGTCGACATAAGGTGTTTAGTTTAGCATCCGCATTAACATTAAGTTGGTCCATAGTCTTTTCACATACATTTAAAACAAAATCGCCCAAATGTTGGTCTAATCGATTCCTCGGAAATGTATGTTTTCTTTTTCCAGACAATAGAAGAGTATTAGCAGACATTTGTAGGTTTGGGGTGGCTTTGGTATTGTTTTTATTGCTATCTATACGGCTAAATTGGCTTCTTTTATGGTTGAAATCGATGAAGCACAGTCAGAAACGAAAGTCCAGGATGTAGTTGTAAGTTATCGGTACGATAGTTCTCCTTGAAATGTATATGTGAAACTTTCTCCTAGAAATACTGTGTTACAACACGGAAATGTATTGTTGGTGTTGTTGCGAATACAAGCGATGAAGAATACATGCGAAACTTCTTTGCTAATACACTTTATCCTTATTTAAATTATGTTCCTTCGTATGCACAAGGTATTGAATCATTACGAAATCGCTCGATTACGCATCTATTTATGGATCATTCAATGGCACGATACTATTTGACTCGTGAAGTTTTCAAAGCTATTCGAAGCAGTGAGGATAATTTCGGCACATTTGGTTTGTCGTTAGGATTTTCTAAAGTCGATACAGATTTCAAAACGAATATCACAAATATCCTACTGTCTTACGTTGATAAAGGTTAGTTACCAACGATCTATTTGGAGACGTACATGATTATTGTGGAATAGGTATCATTCAGCGTTTGCATGATGATTGGTATGTTTATGAGAACTGTGAAACGAAACGATTGACCGAAGTGAGTTTTCATGAATGGCAAGATTCTAAGTTGGACTTCGTTTATTCAGAACCGCATGTTACCAGTTGAACGATTGATGGGTGTATTTATTCTATTAGCTGCTGGAATGGTAGTCGGAGTGATCATACTCGGATTGGAATGGCTTACTTTCAAATATGGTGTGCCATATTGGCGAAAGCGACAGTCATCCGGCTGGATGTTTTGTTCACAAGTAGAGAATTCTTATTTGCATAAGGTTCACAATTTTGTGTCTATGTTCCTTCTAGCGTTTATATGCTGCTGTCAACGCATCGAATGAAATATACAGTGAAGCGTATCGCACGTCAAAAACTCAGTCATTTCGACATATTGGAGAGCGGTTTGTTTTGATTTGAAAGAATGTCTCATTTCACTTCCTGTTCTGTTTAGTCTTCATAATCATGCTAGCCGAAGCGGCAGTCTGAATTTACGCGTTGTCGATGTTCCAAAGTTATTATGTACAACTTATCAATTGAAAGAGCAGATGAACAAATACCATGAACAACAAGAACAAGAACAACTTGATTCATCAATTTTACCACCGAATGGTGATATATGCTGTTTATCAGAGTCGAATGGCGGTGAAGAAGAGCAAAAATTGATTCAAACACGTATTGACGAACTCGAGAAAGAATTAGATCAACTAAAATCTCAACTAATCAAATTCGATAATGATTAAATTGATCTGTTTGCTGTTTTGTTGTCATCTTTCTCTAGGTGCTATTGATGTGTGTATGAACGCATTGTGTAGCTGTGTAGATCATTGCTTTCTAATTTCTTTTCTCGTTGAACACCTGACCATCTGTACACAGTTGTCATTCTCTTTGATTTATAGGAGTTGCATTTGCCTATCAAAAGACTTCTCTTTTTGCTTGTTTAAAATAAAACCAAAACTTAGATTTACACTGTTTCACTTTCGAATACAATCCAACAAAAGTAATTAAACTTTTGCCAATGATTTCCAAGTCAAACACAAGTAGAAGTAAATCGCGTGAGAAATTTTCTCTTTTTACTTAGCAATACTCTTTCTAATCGACGACATGTGATCAAAGAAGAACAAACAGAAATTTAAATATCTTTCCAAAAGCATGTTGAGAACAAAGGAAAAGCAAATATCTAACGTTTGATTTCTTTCTTTTTCTTCTTCTTGGCACACTTCGTAACTCAAGGCAACTTGCAACAACATCAACAAGCAAGAAAAAACGCATCGCCAGAATAAAACAAAATCTCGTTCGTTATTTCTTCATTTAGTCACAAGTAACTTGAGACAAACAATCAGCATGAGTTCGCAAGCACAGTTCTACGAAGCATTACGTCGACAACATGTCGTCGACCATCGACAATCACTCGCTGTTTCCAGACAAGTTCAACAATCCAAATATCAATCACGATACATCCCTGTCGGTGTACTCCGCGAAGATGATATGTATTTACCATGGTCATTTAATCCATTACGGCGAACAAAAGTAGCGCATAGTGAGGAAAATTTCTTTCAAAAAGATCAACAATATCGACCGTAAGTGAACACTGATAATTATTCATAATGAAAAGAAATGAATTACTTTATAGACAACCAGTACCTTCGAAGGAACATCATGTTCATTATGGAAAACTTCCACATCGTTTCACTGTAAGAATATTTTCTTTTCGATCTATGATATTCGAACTTTGATTTGTTTCTAGTCAACTGACTATATTCAACAACGATAAAGCATGCGATTATTATTTTCTGACGAGTATATTCATAGACTCTTGAAATCATTTTGAAATAAAACTGAATTATGATCGAATCATTTCCTGCATACATAATTTCTTTCTTTTGGTCATATGAAATACTGTCATAATCAACTCACAATGCATAACCCGCTAAAGAAAGAATGTAATAATGAAAGTGACATTTAACTATATGATGTAGAGCTCTACATGTCGAAGCTCTTGAAAAAAAAAGTTTGAATATTACTTCTTCTTTTCATCTCAAACTCGTTCCAACAGACTATTTGTATCCGAAGTGTTGCTTTCGCACGTATCTACCAGTTACACTCAAGGTCGAAAACAATCTGACTAATTATTTCTGTACTAATCAATAAATATCTCATCGTGTTAAACATATTCTCTTGCCAATATCAGTCTATAAGAGAAAAAACTCAACAACAAACATATTCCTTTCGACCGTTTATAACAATGTCATGTATTTTATCATCTAGACTGTTTCAACATAAACACGTCGTTTCCATTAAACGGATATCTGTTTAGGAACACAACCCGATGCCTGACATATCATCACATTTCCTATCTTCCAACCCCATAAGTTCCCTGTCATCAATCAAGCGAAGTATAACATTTGAGACTCTGTTTCTCCATCCCAAAACAAAAACAGCCTCGTATAACTTTCCAATACTTATTTTTTTTATTATAAAAATATTAAGAAAACACACGCACACCAACACACACACACACACAAATATATATTCATAGCTATCTCTATTGTCAACAAAGGAAAGAAGAAGAATCAAAACATCACCTTCATGCATTTTCCTTATTGTTATACATTGTGGAATGAATAGATACATATTTATACATAATAGGACGAAAGATTCTGCTTTTTTACACATGCGCTAAGGGCACTTGCTTGGTTGATGGAAGTGAATATTTACTTCCATTGATTTTCGTATGTCTATACGAATAATTGATACCGAAATCATCACGTGTTCGTTGAGTTCCATACCGTTGACGATGTTTTTTCGTTTGACGATGTTCATTCGAATTGTTCGTCGGCTGACAGCATAAAAATCTTTTCCATGTGAAGAACGTTTTTCGATTGAAGTTTATCCATATACCAGTAACAATACCAACAATCAACGAGAAAAAGTATTTTAACATATAAATCGTGAAGCTTGGTTGAACTGTCCAAGACGAGTACGATTCCGAGAGTAAACGAGGACATTTGCCACAATGAAGGTTATCCTCCCATAGTGAACGATAACGTAATTCATAGAAATATATGCCGATAACCTTGAAAAGAAAAAAAGAGAGAGAATAGCGATTTCAGTTCGAGGAAATGAAAGTAATAACTTACAAACGTTGCTGGAACTGTATAAAGAATGGAGAAAAGACCGATGCGTACCATCAATTTCTCCAATTTACTTGTTTTACTTCGATCTTGAACTTTAATGACATTTCGAATACGCATAAGACTAATCAATCCAGCTAACAAGAATATGGTTCCAATAGTTAAGAATGATATCAACGGCAAAAGAACAAATCCACGTAACATCGAAGAATCAGTATGTCCAACATAACAAATGCCGCTTATTGGATCACCATCAATACCTTTCAATATTAGAATCGCCACTGTTTGTAAACACGGCAATAACCAAGCGATCAAATGGTAGTAATGTGAATAATGTGCTATTGCTTCTGACGACCATTTGAAACCAGCGGCAAGAAACCATGTTAAAGTTAATATGACCCACCAAATCGAGGATGCCATACCGAAAAAGTAAGTTAAAACAAATACGAACGCGCAACTTGATGGACCAGACACTCGTACAAGTTGAGTATAGGATATTTCAATCTAACGAACACAATACCAAAAGAAACGTGAGGAAATCAACACTTCGTTTCGACTCAACTTACTTTATTATCTGATCGGCATGCGACATTTTCATGTCCTAGTATCAAACGTATTAAATAACCACAGGAAATAAAGAAATAACATAGAGATAAAAATATAACTGGTCGTTGTGGATATTTGAATCGTGTCATATCGAGGAAAAATGTTAATAGAACAAATGTACATGAAATCGCACACATTATACTCAGTATAATTAACCAAATATTCATAATGGAAATCGATTGCGAATCAGAGAAATATGCCGAACGACATGGTGGTAAACATTTCTTCACTGTAGAATATTCATCTTCGTCGACAAGACGATAACCGACTGATGTATTACATTGACAGCAAGATTTTGACGGGCGTGATGGAAGTCGTAATGATGACGATGATTTCATTTCGTCCTTTTTCGGATCCATACAAATGGCATTTTCTGTACTCGATGGATATTGTTCACACTTCAAGGCGTCTGGCCAGATGAAACCGTATCGCGTATAGAAGGACTCGCATGGTCGACGAACGCGTTCACAGACCTAAATGAGTCTAGAGAAGATGTTTCAATCCATTTCGATAATTACTTCACGACATGGTGGAATTGAATCTGAGTAATTAGCTAAACATAACGGCATATAGATTGAGCAAAGAAGAAAACGAAGTTCCGGTGAACATCCAACAGCAATTAACGCTGTGAATTGATTGATCTAAATATTTGACAAAAAAAAACAAATGATAACTTCATTAGACATCGATGAAACCTTTAACTGAACAATAGGAATGATAACATATGTTTTATTGACATTGTTCTAATGATATCATAATAGACATTGTTTATTTGGACGATCTGTCATAAGGTTAACAGAATGTCAGAATACGATAGACAAGAAAAATAGTTTCTTTCTACTCTCTAACTGCGTTTACTCCCCACCTGTTTATGTAACATCGAAGTGTTAAATCATCGAAACTTACCACAAGTGCTACGTCTTTTTGATCTTGATGATTGAACTTATTTGGCAGATACGTTTGATTATAACCAATATTTTTACATTCATAATAAGTGATCGCTTGACACTGCCGTTGTTCACTTTTGATTCGAGGTATCAACATGAATAAGAATAGAAATAATTCAACAAAAGCAACCATTATATTATGATCACTTGTGATTTGACGAACAATCAACGACTATATATATGTATACGAGACANGTGATCAAAGTTCTTCGTTTCTCGCATTTTGTCAATGTCTTGTCCGTCGAACTCATTTATACATATACGCATATGCGTATGAGTTGAATGTGTGAGTGTGTATATACACATGTAGATTGGACTCATCATTTACCTCAGCAATTAGGCGTGAAAGTGAAGTAAGAAAAAAAAAAGAATGAAAGAAAGAAGGGTTTGATAATGGTCAAGTTTTTCTTAGTTGCTTTCTTTCATGTGTGCGTGTGTGTATATGTATATATCTAAAGCGTAGATTGTCATTTAATAGACGTTGTGTATAAGAATAGAAAAAGAGAAAGAAAGTGAATGAATAGATGATCTTTACATTGGTTGTTTCGATTAACATAAGACGACTGTATTCTTTTTCTCTTCATGTAATTCGATCGTATTCTCACTTGATGAAGTTTCTAGGCAAACCTGAGGTGACGATTAAGATGATTGAAAAAGAAAATGGAGCGAAGAAATAATTGATAGCAACAAATGATCTTAGTTTGTAAAAATATGAGAAGTGATAACGCTTAGACTTAAAACGATCGAAGAGAAAAGAGAGTAGTGATCATAGTGGTACTTACTTCGATGACCGCAAGAGCTATTCATCCTAATGGACAACCACCTACCATTCATCAAGATATACATCTAATGTTTCCTGTGCGTTCGTGTAGCACGAGAGCGAGTCCACTTAATGGCCAGAGAATGAAAGAAAATCGTATGTTCTGTCTTTCACCTGAGCATCGATGCATAGGCAAATATACGGCAAGCAAGAAAAGGAGAAGAGGATTAGCGAGTCGAGTGATGTTGTTGTTGTTGTTGTTGCGATCTAAATCTTTTACATGTCGATGTGAAAAGAATTAGTGATTGATTAAGACGAGATAGATTTCTTCATTATTCGACTAATTCGTCGCTTTCGTTTCACGATTGAGTACTTCAAAAACAGAAGCATTCACCGTTTTTCTTACAACGTAGAGAATCTCAACAAATCGTCTTACTAGAAATGATGAAGAAATGAGGATCACTTGATGTTCAAGTGGAAGAATTAGATTCGACGTGAAATGAATCGTTTGATTCATCAATATTGTCATCGGCGGCGTCTCCGCATCAAACTGAAATCAAGAAAAAAAAATCAATCTATTCCCTTTGAAAATAAACGAAATCAACTAGACGATGAATGAAAAGAATTCATAACTTTCAAGTATTCCTCTGGCACACGAACCTCCTCATGTGTAGCCTACGAAAAAGAAAACGAAGAGAGAAAAGTCAACTTCTATCAATACATATGATTTCCACTCGCTACACATGAAGAGTGTAAGAAACTGGTCTTCTTGCAGTTTATATAATGGTATGAAAAAGACCCGAATCATTCTATGATAGCATCTTCTAATTAGTATATTACTTAGAGCTGAACGAATAGAGACGTTGACGAGTATAAGCACTATTACTTTCAAACATATGTCGAGGTTGGCGAAGTGATCAGTATCGAATACGTATCGTTGTTTATTGAATAATTATATCTACTTGTCTCATCTTCGAAGGACGAAAGTGGCTAGTAGTTCTTGAATACAAAGAAGGCAGATTTTATCGAATACTTCGAGCGATCAAATCGGCGACTCCATTTATTCATTTCGAATTGTTTTACTACGTGTTTTGTTTTTTTTACTGAGTGATTGATTTACCTGTATTATACATATATGGTTTCGATCAAGGATATCCTTTCTCTCTTTCTCTAGCAGTCTATCAATGACTCTGATTTTATGTATATCAAATCATCAATGGTAAACGTTCGTCTCTTCTTCTCACATTGTTTATCGAAAAATTCAAATTCTATTCGACATGTTACGAAATCGACAATAATTAAGTATGAATTCGTTCTTCGATTTCACTCATTGCCTGGATCGAGATCGATTTCGTGTATAGATATATAAATATCGATGTCTGTGTAGAACGAGGAAAAGTTTGAATTATAACTTCATTTTCTCGATGAATTCTGATCGTTCGTCTACGGTTTCATCTTCATTGTCTGTAACATTAGCCCGAGAAAACCTTGGAATTACAAATCAATTAAACTCATCTCAAACAAAATCGTTCAAATCACCAATTAATCAATTCTATTGCAATATCTGTTTTTGTCCATTGATGACAGTACAAAATATGAACTGTGCAAGTTTCGTTACCAGTTGCGGCCATTTCTATTGTGAACTATGTGCGCAAACAAGTAAACTAGACTCATTCTCGACAGATGATGTTCTCGTTGAATTGAAGCTTTTCAAGGTTTAATGCCAACGTGTAAAATCTGTCAATGTTCGTCGACAAATTTAACTTGTATGGATTTACGAAAGGTTAGCATTGAATGTGTAGGCTGTGTTACTGATTCATCTGATTAGAAACAAAATGATGATGTTGATGTGATGATTTCATCGAATAGTCGGGCTCGAAAATGGTTTGAAGATCAAGCACGACAGCGAACTATTGAACAAATGGTTGCAACATTGAATCAGGTACTTTGTGTTGTTCTGATTTGTGATAGACAAATTCGTCTTGTAGAGAAATGCATTCCTTCAGAAACAAAATGATCTCTGCAGTAAAACAATTCTTCGACAAGTAATTCATATGACAAACCAGGATCATTGGACATCAAACTCTGTTGTTTGTGTGTGCCTAGGCTGATTCTGTTCGACAGCAAGTACCATTTGATAAACTGCCGACATTGGGAAATAAGATGCTTCAGTTAGGACATTTTGAAAAGCAATGAAATGATTTACCTCTTCGATCATTGTAGAGAAACAAAACAAGCATCGGAATTGTTATTCAAATTATTGACTGGACTTAGTCAATCGAAAATTCGATTAACATCTCAACAGCAACTGTTTTGTCAACAAGTAGTCGAACGGGTTCGTTGAATGTCGTTGACACAATACTTTATGAAACCGAATTTTGACTTTTAGTTTAAATCGAATAGAAAATGATCATCGTCGTATCGATAGACTCTATTTATTCATTAGATCTATACTTTGTTTTTAAATTGTTGATAGAAAAATAAACTAATAATTCGCTTTTTTGATTAGCGGATTATTGTACCATATAGAAAATCGATGATGTCTTCAAATCTTCTGATATGTGAAGAAATATGCGTTTCTGTAGATGAATTAGTTGAAATTGTTTTCATTTAATCTCTCTGTCTGTCCGGGATTTGTTTTTTTTTTCTTTGATAATAATAGAAATAAGGAATAGGAGGAGAAAACCAACAACATCACACAACAAGAAGAAAGAAAAAACTGAACAAATGTATATGTATGTATGCGTTATACAGACGACCATCAATGTTATTTCTCGCGACGCGCATTCGAACAGGACAACAAGAAAAGAAACTGCATACACACATGGATACTTTTTAAAAGCTGTAAGAGACAAAGAGAATGGTACGCGTGCATGATGTCAACGATGGATAGTTGGAGTGGTAATAGCAATAATAATAATAATAATAATAGTAAAAACGTACGTTAGGAAGAGACAAGAAAGAAAAAAGATATATAATATATACACATGGCCCAAACGAGAGATGAACTTCTTTAATAAATTGAAGTTTTACATTAGGACTCGATCAATATCGTCTCGTTGTTCTGGTCGATTATTAACCATAAAACCAAGTTGTTTCACATCGATTTTCTGACCTTTCATTTTCTTCGCTTTTTTCTTCTGTCCATTGCTTGATGCTAATTGAAAGCCTTCATCAGCGCCATGGCCGGAATTGCCACTCGATGATGTTGGCGCCATGGCTAATTCATTCAAATGATCATTATCAACATCCGGCTAAAAAAACACACAATCGAACAGATGAGTTTAGAGACTTTCTCAACAAACTATATCACGTACTCCGGCATTGGCTAATTGTTTACGTTTGAGTATAAAATCCTTGGCGAATTCTTTTGATTTGACAACTGAACCGATGTAAGGTTGAACGTATTCAAAAATTTCTTCAGCACTATCGATATCTTTCAATAATGTGACAAGGGTTGGAACTGAAAGAAACAGAAATTAGTCGAGAAAAGTTCGCATGTATGCTTCACTTACCATCAATAGCTTGTAAATTATCTTTGAATTGTGTTTGCGCCCATTTAGAAAGTGCATCCTGAGTACGAGTTGCTGAAAATAAGCATTTAACTTCACGTTCACTTTTTGTTAATTCGACAGTTGATGAGTTCGATTTGGTAGACAAAGGAGCTGCAGCAGATTTCAATTCGGTCCATGGTGTTCTAAATCAATGAAAATTGCTTTTAGTTTTCTGTAAATTTAAATTAGTCTTTCATATGTACGAGGGTTTATTGCCACTAGTTGCAGTTGGTTGTTTGGTTTTTGATGAAGTCGGTTGATTATCACCCCAGAGGATCGATGATGAGGATTGTGGTGATGGTGTCGTGTGTTGGAAGGCTCCACCCCATGCTGGCGTTGAATGAGCAGGCGATGCTTGTTGTGCTTGTGCTTGTACTTGTACTTGCGATTGTTGTGCTGATGCTTTTGACTCATTCTAAAATAGAATGCAATTCCTCAAATCGGATGAGAAAAGTATCTCTCCAAATACTTGAGATTGTTGTTGTTGTTGTCGTTGAATATCTTGAAGAGATGTATTTGGTATATTCGTTGATGAATTCCAAGGAGTTGATGATTGACTTGTTGATGAACGAGATTTAGGCTAAATAAAAAGAAAATAATTGACATTGGTTGATTTCTCTACGAAATCTGTTCTTCCATAGATTAGTTCAACATGAAACCAGCGATATAGACTAATAAAAGCATGCAAAAGACAAAGCACCGCACAACATACATGAATATTTAAAAGAGAAAGTACCGCATTTGTTGCCTGTTGGTTATAAGATGTAATAGGTGATTCAGGTACTGGATTATCGTTTGTATCGTGATCTGATGACGTATGGGTTGATATTGATGCTAGAGAACTATTATTCGTATTATTGCTACCAGTAGCACCCGCAAATAGTGTTCGCGCCCATGAGCCAGGTTTATTGTTATTGGATGATGATCCATTCGGATTACTCGATGCTTCTGCTTTAGCCTAAGCAAACCAAAAGATCACTATAAGTCATGTTCATTCTTCGATCGTATGACTATGTTAACTGTGCTTTCTCTGAACTACTTGCATTACAATATTCTTAGCTGCTGACGATTTCAATGAGGGATCTACTCAGCCTAGAAGATTCTGTTTGATAGTTGATCAAATATAAAGTAGAAACTATGTAGTTTGGAGTGAGATGACGTACGAGCTGTTGGGCAGCCAAAGCTGCTTCTCGAACGCGTCGTTCTTGTTCTTGTTCTTGTTTTTGTATTTCAGCAAAATTCAATGGTTGGTTTTGCTCACTGCCTTGTGATGAATGACGAGCCCAATTTGCTGTTTCTGGCAATTTAAATACTTGCGCTTGTTGTGGAGATGGTTGAGATGGTTCTCGAAGCTGTTGTTGTTGCTGTTGATATCGACGAACGTTTTCCGCTCTTTAAAAAAAAAGTCAATCGGAAAGGAATAGTTTTTTGCTTATGAACAGTTTTTCCTTACTTTTGAGCTTCAATTTTTGCCTGTTGTTCTTTTTGATATTGAAGTGATTGTTGGAAAGCGATGAATGGGTCAACTTCAACTTCAGCTTTTGGCTGTGGTTTAACCGGTTGCTGTTGTTTTCTCTGATCCATTGCTTTCGCCATTTCTTTCATTTGTTCTAATAGTTGTTTATTTGCAGCAGCTGCTTCAGTTTTCTTACGCATTTCCTCTTCATACTTATGCTGCTGTTCGATTTGACGGCGTTCATCTTCTTCACGTTGTATTCGCAATTGTTCAGCTTGTTGCGCTAGTTTCAAACGTTCAACTTCTAAATCACGTCGTTGTTGTTCGAGACGCCGTTGTTCTTCGATCTTTTCCTGTTGTTGTTGTCCGTGGCTTTGCATGGCCTGAGTAAGACGTGTCATAATATCATCTGGTTGTTGTGAGAGTGCACCAGCGATATTGGCACCAAAAAATGACGATGTACTCGGCTGAGATGGACCATGACGAAATGATCGTTGAACATCGTCATGGAATAAGGATTGTTGTTCTTGTTGTTGTTGATTAGTTGCAGAAATACTTCGTTGTAATTGTGGTTGTTGTGAATAGGCTACGACAGGATCATTAACAAGATTAGGTGAGAAGAGAGATGTTGAAGATTGTGAATGTTGTTGGTGAGAACCGAAATATGTTTGTAATTGAGGATTGACCATCGATGGAGATGTAACTGGTTTACGATCAGGTGGTGCTATTGGCACTGATGTTTGTCTATACAAATGAATAGTTAGAGATTTGCTTCGAAAAAAGGTTCGATGAAAATTCGAACTCCTACGCGCTTTCTGCGAAGTATGATGGAAGTGAAATGGGTAATGGACAGACAAAAGAATAACGCAAAGCTTATTTTGCTTAAATCATTGACGATAATGTGAGGAAGTATTCGCTTGTAAAATTCATCAAAGTATACCTGTTAAACAACATTGATTGTTGTAGATTTTGTCTTGGTTGATGTTGTAATAAGTAATCGTCGACGAAAGTGTTGCTAGTTGCCGATGGCGTTGCATATGTCATTGGATTGAACTTTTGTGGTTCGGGTACCACAGGCTGTTGCACGGGTGGTGGTAGTGTTGGAGCATCAGCACGAAATGGCACACGACCTAGTTCATCTCTTAATTGTTGGATTGTCGAAAATTTGGTTTCACCAAAACGTTTCACAGGCAAAGCCATGGTGAAGTATCCTGCGTTAAACCAGCGTTCCATATCGGCTGCAGAAAATGGACCTTGAATTGTATTTTGCGGGTCTTTATAATACCATTGCTTATCATCGATAATTACAGGTGGTGGCGGTTGAGGTGCTCGTTGTGATGGAATAATTGGCCCAGCTGATGGAGTCGGCTGACTAGATATTGGTGGAGAATAATCATGATCCTAGTAGAAAATAAATTCATCGGTAAAAAGTTGTTTTCATTGTGCAAAATCTTATACGTCAGCAAGGGTTGCTTCCACGACAGTTTTGGCTACATCACTGGGTTCAAATTCATCATCCCAACTCGGTATAGGTTGTTGCACGGGTGGTGTTGGTTTAGGTACTAAGATAATTCAGATAGAATACAGTAGAAAAAGAGAACGATTTCTTACTATTATTTGAGGGTGCACTTGGTATATTGACAGCAGCGGTATCTGATTGTGGCGGTGTTACTTTGCCAGATTTTTTCTCTTCTTGCTGTCTCGAGGAAGTCTTAGAAGAACAAAAAACGTGTAAGATCTACAAGACAACTATCCTTGTGGAACCTACAACATTATTCCCATATCCAGTTGATGATTCCTCGTTGGAAGATTGCGTTTGCAATTTATGCTGTTCGTTACTGTTCTCTTTATTATGTCGCGCCGATGATGCTCCAGTAAATGTTCCATCTTTTTCGAACGTTGCATTACTCAATGGATTATCACCATCATTGCCATCATCCATCCATTCAGGTATGCCTAAATGGAAATTGATATTTGTAGAAACGATGTTCGAGCTGAGTAGAATGCAAATGCTCAACGTACGCTCTCGCTTTGGCTGTGGACGACGCGAATTTAGATCACGATCTGACAGAGTTGCATTCGAACGCCATCCACCACGTTGCTGATTGGACTCGAAGCTACTTGATGGACCTATAAATATATTTTAATTGAAGAAGATGAGAACAACTCCTTTGAAATGAAGTTACCAGGTCGATCATCACTATGACTCCATTTTTCATTCGATTTAGTTCGATGTTCCATAGAACCACTACCACCTCCTCGTCTCGTTTGTCCACCACCACGGGACGTCCACGATGTTGAGCCGTTACCAGATCCTGTTGGTGGATCTTCATTTTGATCGTTATTTCGATCATCATCCTCGTCACCGCGTGATCGACGCCATCCATCCGATGTTTGACGCGTAGCACTGCCCCGACGAAATGATTGATCACTAAAATATCAACGACATTGGATTCTCACATTTTCTGTCTGTTTTCGAAGCATACCGATCATCATAAGATCGCACTCGATTTCCAAAAGATCCTCCACCACGTGAATGATAACCGCCCCGAGAAGACCATGATGACGATGGCGCAGACGAATCATCACCACCGCCACCATTACTATTTCCTCCGTTTTCTCCAGTATCATCTGCAGTTGTATTTCCACGATTCGATCCAAAAGCATTATCACGTCCGCCTAGCAATCGACTACAATTCAAATTCTCTCGAATCAATTTCAGTACCTCTGCCTCTCGATCCTCCACCACGTCCATTTGACATTGAACCGCCCCGATTACTTCGTGAATCATGCTGCTGCTGCTGTTGTTGTGATTGTTGAGAGTTACTTCCACCACGACCACCGCCACCAGGTGTCCGACCAGAAATATAGCTTGACAATGAATTCATCTTAGCCTAGATTCCATAATGAACGTGTTTGTATGAGAAAAAACTGAATACTATAGTTTTTTTAATGTTTGTTTACCGTTTCCTCTGCTGTTGGAGATATTAGAGTCAATGGTTCAATAATATTCGGTCGAAAAACACTCTCTACATCTTTCAGATTTTCCAAAATTTCGTTTCGAACATCTTCAGCTAAGCGTTCCGTTACATTGGCACGTAGTGCTATAATTTCGTCTTTTGAGTATCGATATTTCGTTCCAGCAAACTTAAAAACATTTCCACCACCACTACCACCTGATGAAGGCATCGGTGTTGTTGATTCAGGTGTCGACAATGCTCGAAGCCTATGCAATGAGAAAGAGAGAGAGAGAGAGAGATGACAAAAATGATAGATGAATTTCAGCAAACATAACACAAACCATTCTGGTCCAAAATTCAAAGGCTGTGTTGCATGTTGAGCGACAGTAGTTGAACTCATTTTTGGTTTGATTTTCAAAACTGAAATCGACAGACGTCAGAAAAAATAAAAGCGAAGCAAAATCTTAAACAATTTTTAAATAAATAAACAAAATATCAGTAGAAAAAAAAGTGCAATCAGCATTGCACCATCTCAGATGACTAACTTTTCAAAAAAACAACGCGTTGATTTCAATCAAATAATGGAAATGACGAAAGTTATTCGTTATGTTTTGTCTTTCTTTTCGATTTTTGTTGTGCTTGTCATGTAGTTTATTTACCACTTTTACGTTACGTGAGGATTCCACAGTTTACTTCAACAACGGCTTCTCTATTTCTCTATGGTCGAATAGAAATGTAAGAACAAAGAACAAACACATGCGTAGTGGAGAGATAGTGAAGGTGACTGAACGAAAGGGGTCGCCTTCAACCAGTAATTGATTCTGTTACTAGTATGTGTACCATGTGAGACAATTTTTCTTTTTCATGTGGAAATTGATTTGTTTTCGTCGTTGATTTTGGACGATGATATCGTTTCTTGAGAATTCGCGTTAGATGTCAATTTCACAAAAGGCAAATCTTTTATTTTATTTTTTTCTTTCATGATCAAACAGAGAAGAAAACAAGAGTTATACTGATTACTAAGCGGGAGGTGAAGAATAATAACTAAGGAGAAGATAGAAAATAGGAATAGAAATAAGATAGTTTATCTATTATACACGAAAGTAATTAACCATCCCAATTATAGACTTGACCAGGTGTACGAATAGGAGTTGATGTTTTCTTTGCAGTTGCTAGAAGAGCAGCAGTTTGTTTTTCTGCTTCGGTAATAGATAAAAATGGCGAAGTAGTAGCAGCTGAAGCTTGTTGCGGTGCTGCTTGACCTGGTGTACCAGCAGTCAGTTGTCTAAATGACGGACTGATTCGAGATGAAATACGAGAAGTAAGTCTTCTTACGGTTGAGCAGCACTAGTGAGAAACTGATTATTTGTTGCAGTTGAAAAAACCACTTGTGGTTGTCCAACTGCACGACGAGCATCTCGATCTAAGTAATAATTTTTGCTTAATTTATGCGCAAAACCACCGGGCAAGATTGGAGCTGGTTGCGTACTAAAATGAATGATTAATAGAACCTATTTGAAATATTTATCATCATCTACCGTTTAGCCATTTCGAATTCATGACGTTGATTGTGAGTGAATTTTCTCTAGAAGCAAAAGATATTTTTCTTTGAAAGTTTTCAATGAAAACAATCATACGAGCATCAAAAATTCACGGACGCGAGCTAACCATTTGTTAACATCCCGTTTTACCACTGGAGCTGCTGATGTAGCGGCGTTTTTAATGCCTGAACTCATTAGCAATAGTCAAAATCTAGAAAAGAGATTACATCATTTTCATTATGTTCAATAAACATTGAACGGAATATTTTTATTGGTTGAAAAATTAAGACGGAAGAAAATGATCATGGATACTGGTATTCTGCTTGATATCATCCTAAAATACAAAGGATTGAAAGCGAAGTCTCAGAGGAATGAATAAAATCTACTTTGTATTCGGATCGAATAGTCGAAACTTTGTCATACAATAAATATCGATCAAGTTGATCATAAATTTTTGAAAAGTGACGTTGAATGATCTCGTTTACAGCAGTACATGGTAGTTCCATCATTCCTGGAAACTTTTTCAATTAAACTTTATATGAACAATTGCGTTTGACTCACGTGTTTCAAACGATTTTTCGTCGTCATCGATTTCCAATCGTGGATCAGTTGGTGATCGATGAAGAAGTAATAAACGTTCCAGTTGCCGATTTATATCAATTACACATTGGCGTAGTTGTTCGTTTTCAATCATCAATAAGCGATGCTTCTGATCATAATCATAGCAGATCTTCTTCAGCAGCATTCTAAACACAATCCTGTCAGCAATCATCAAATCAAGTCGATAATAAACATACTCAGAAGACGATACAGGCGTTACTATTGATTCGTTTAACAATAGCGGCCATGAATAAGCCATCTCTGACGTCGCAAATCTGAAATAATGCGAGCTATTAATCCTAAACCTCATCACTGGTTTCCTAACCGAGTTTTTTCACAAGTTAAAACTCTTTCTTTCAACTTCACCATTTGTTTTTCTAAAGTTCGATACTGATGCTTCGCCAGGGCATTTTGCTGTGCAAACAATTGATTCAATCGACGGATCTATCATGACAACGAATGAAACATTTCGTATGGAAAATCTTCGTCAATCTACTTCTTTGTCTTTTGATTGGATTGTTTGCGTTAACTGACTAATTTTTGTCACATATCCATGAATATCATCTGACAGACGGTCTTTGCTTATCTGAAGTCGACCGAGATCGTGCTTTATTGTATCTTCTTGTTTATCGTATTTGACTTGTTCACATTCATATTTTTTCAATTTTTCATAGAGAAGATGTTTCTCATGCGAAAGTTTGTTGTAATTCTTGACTAGTTGGCGACATGTGGAAACTGTTTGATCGATATTCAGAGTTTTCGGAACAAAGTCGTACAGGCCAAGTAGACAAAGATCCTGGAAAGAGATTTCTACGTGAAAAATGAACAACAATGCCATTGAACAAACTTCGTTTAGTTTAGTTAACTGTTCGTTGTTTTGAGTATTTTCTGTTAGTGGAAGAAAGAAACTTGACGATGTTGATGAAGGAGCAGGAGGTAATGGCTTATCGGCAAGTACTAACGGTGTTGAACTGAATATTGGTGGTTCAGGTTGATGATCAGTAAGATTAAGTAGAGGAGAATTCGAAAAAAACTCCAAATTGTTCATAATCTTACACGAAAATGCTTTTTTTCTCTTCTAGTAAATAACACTTCGATAGAATCGTATTGAATCATTTCCAACCAATGATGTGACATTGACAAGGGCAGGCATTGTCGCTATTAGACAGTGTGAGGTCGCTTATGTGTCCTTCCGTAGATCGAGAAATCTTTCTCATAGATCTATATTCGAATGATAGTCGTAACTAAGATCGATCAGATCGAAACCATGTTGAAAATGAAACGAAGGACGATGAGAGCATGCGATAAGACTGTGATTATTGATCTAGAAATCAAACTTAGTCGACACATTTAGTCATGCTGTTCGGTAGATCAAAAACAAATATTTTGATCATTTTAACTTATCGTTGATTCTTATCAAGTTAGTCAAGCTTTGTTAAATCAAACATGAAGAATCGTTTCGTTCGTTCGAAAATTCGATAGAATATGAAATAACCTTCATTTTCTTCCTGATTACCGTATAGTTAATTGAAAACAACAAACATTCACTCTCGTATGAAAAGATTTTATTTGACATACGAAATAGAAACTGCTATATTAGACATCATACGATATATTTAACTTTAGGTTCTTGCATATCCAAGATAACTCTTCATATTAATCCGTAAAACATGACATTTTGAATTGTTAATCCATAATAACAATGTTCTTTCAACCACCATTAAAGTCAGCTTTTGCTGCTATAATTATTAATGATAATATCTTTGGAGACTTGTTCACTTTTCTTTCTTTGTATTGCCTTAAGCTGAATGGTGATGATGATGGTGTGACAAAAAAGTGTCTATTGAATATTCATTTGGAAATATTTGTCTTGATAACGAATCAATTGTATAGTCGAAATCAATTATCATCTGTGTATGGTGTGATGATGATGAAGTAATCAACACACAATTGATCGATCAAAAATATTTTATCTCGTCAGTTCATTCGAGCAGAAAATTGATCACATTTTCTCTATAGAAACTAAAAGAAAACAGGTGAATCCTCGTCGACATAGACAATTGACATAGCGTGTCGTTAATTGAAGTAATAATATTTGAGTTTTTGTTCAACCGTTTGCCTTCCTATTAATCTCGTCGCGTGCATCTAACTGCTTTGCAACACACACACACACACATAAAATTGATCGTCATTATATTCACAATGAATTAGAAAGAAAAAGAAATGATGACGACGTCTGTCAGTAATTATATTACTACGTCGACTTACCTTCTTCCATAAATTTTCTCTTTCTTTTTACTATACACAAATTAATGTTAAGAACATTCATAGTTAATTCATTTAATCATTTATATATATATATATGTATATATGAAAAGAAAACAAATCTTAGCAGTACAGAAGAAAATTCTCTGCTTACACGCATGAAAAACATGAAAACTAGTGTTGTTTTATACACCTTGAGACCATAGAAGGTGGTTTTTCGTATTATTGCCTGTTCCTATAATGGCACTCATATACTCCTTGGCTTTAATACGCAAATGTGTAATTGAATTAGGATTCGTTGAATGATTCGAGTTTAAGTTGGTTATTTCATTGGTAATATCATTCGGATCGGAGGAAAATGATCCATAAGGATGGTGTAGGGATGGTGGTGGTGGAGTCGGATAAGGTGATGAGGAATACAGGGACGAAACATTACAATTTGTTGGATAAAATGGTACACTGTTGGTATTGTGCGACGAATTTGTGTTGTTTGAAAAGGGTATAGTTGTATTCGCGAATGGCGAGATAAGCCAAGGATCGATTGGTATTGCGGATGAAACAGGTGATGAGGAAGAGTTGGTTGTGGGCCGAGATGTGGGAGGAAAACTTGACATTGGAAAGTCAGGATTAATTTTTAATGTACTAGCTTCAGCTTTTTCCTGTCGACGCCACTTCGCACGGCGATTTTGAAACCTTTGATTAAAAAAAAATGATGAAAACATATTATTATCAAATCAAATTATAGACTTTCTCATCTTATTGGAGAAAATTGAATTAGCGCAACGAAAGAAATTCTTCGATTCGAATAACTTACCAAACTTGAACTCGCACTTCTGGTAAACTTATTTTGGTTGCCAATTCTTCTCGATTGTATACATCAGGATAATCTAAAAGTATGTAACCAAAATTTAGATTTCAGAGACTATTTCAGCGTCGAGTCATACGGGATTTTTCAAAAGCGCGTTCGAGTTCGTGTAATTGAAATGTTGTAAAAGTCGTTCGATTTCGACGATGTTTCTTTTTTGAACCATGATGATGATTTGACAATGCGCGATCATTACTGTCATTATCTTCGTCATCAAAATCTTCGATATCTTCTTCAGAATTGCCAATGCTTTTACTTGTATTCAATGGATCAGTCTCATCACTGCTCCGACGCATCACTTTACCTACAAGAATACGAATAAACACAAGACTTTCCTCTCTAAGGTAACATACTTTCGGGATAGAGTTCATTCGAACTTCTTTTTTTACTTGCTGCTGACTTTGGCGGGTAGAACTTTGTCGGTGGTAGGAAATGATTGGGGAAGAAGTGCTGTTGCTGCTGTTGAGAATGTAGTGGGTGATTGTCGAGATTTTTTATACCTAAAATTGCTTCAATGGAATGAATAGCTTTCAAATCGTCATTGTTCGCTGGAATCATTGCCACTGGATTGCTTGCCGATGTCTTGCTTGAACCACTTTTCATTCTATCTATATTGATGTGTTCGTATGTCGATAGTAATAGTAATAATGATGGGTCTTCTCTCTTTTCCTTTCTCTGTCTCTCCTTTCTTTGCTACTCCGTTGTTTTTTTAATTTATTTAATGAATAATCTAATAATGACCGTGATGAATGGAGGATGGTGGTGATGTTGGTGGTAGTAGAACAGCAACGACGACGAGCGACGAACAAGAAGAAGAAGAAAAAAGAACGCAAAATGAGCAGAAAGAGAAGAGGCAAAACATTAATCAACAACGTCACCCTTTCTCTCTGATTGCTCTTTCTCTTCTCCTCGTTTTTCTATTCGTCAAAAAATTCACATGACGACGAATGGCAAAAGCGGATGTAATTATAGACTAGTACAGCCAATGATCAACGTCATGAACTGAACAGTTCTGTTCGATGAAATTTCAATCACATAAATGAACTTCTCGCAGAATAGTTTTTTCTTTCTCTCTCTCTCTCCTTTTTCAAGTCAATCAGACAACAAGTGTTATGATTTCATGGAAATCAACAATCATGCACGAGACCAAATGAGAAAACTGATACCCATTTAATTGATTTCAAACTTTGTAGGCAAGTCGATCAAAAATATTTGAGCAAGTATTTGTCATGCTTGTTACCGATCTCAAGAGAAAGCAAATCATGGATATTTAAATATCTTATTAACTATGATTTCTTCTTCCTTTGTTTCATCAACTAGTCTCCTGATGATCACTTAAGTAAACTGGCCAGATAATACATCATTATGATTTGATTGTCTGTATTTAATGTTGATGAAATTAGTCTGTAAATTCGATTTACTTGTACAGACAAAAAAAGCCAAGTATCTCCTCTTCCTTTAAACACCGGTACATCTGCTGACATACATTGTATTGAAGTGTATGACGTCGTTGCTTTTCTCTCGCTCTCTTTTTTTTTATATCGTTTTTTGATGTGATTGAGTCTACTTGATTTTAATTAGCAGTTTCTGTAACGACAAATTTGTTTCTCAATCCTGCTGTGAAAAGTCAATTAGCTTTAATGAGCCGTAGAGCAGCAGTTGCGCATAGCTCAATTCTTTCATCGTCAAATAAAACTGACATGATGATGAAAGTCTAAAAGAACAAAAAAGGAAAGATTGTTGTCATTGACAATTAACGTCATCATTATATTTCGATCTCTAAACCTTTTCTCACCTGATTGTCTTATCTTTGACATGACACATCGAATAACATGCAAGATCCAGTCTCGTTCATTTGAAATTGATCATTTAATAATCATATTCTCTATCTTCCGGAAATTTGTCTTTCTTCTTTTTCTCATTTCAAAGAAATTCTTTTTTAATCAAATGAAAAAGAAGCGTGAACTCGATTTGCTCATTCATTAATTAGCTAGTTCGTTTCATTCTACTCCTGTCAAGAATAATTTCCTGAATCAATGTGTGATTTTCTATCCTCGTTAATAATCAAACGCAGATTAAATTCTCTGTTCTAATTGAATATACACTTTCTCTTGTCTAACGAATCGCTAACAGAATTAACGGGCAGAGCTTTTTCCTCTTCAGCGCATACAGCCATATACGACCTTTCGATAATGTTAGTTTCAATTATTATCAAATTGACATGTTGTCGTTTTCGTATAGGTTATTTTCTTTTAATTATTGTCAAAAGATAACCATTTTCATCAGTGAGTAGAAAGAGAGAGGGAAAACGATTGAAGATTTTTCTTGTCGATTAGTAATATTAGAAGGTAATTGATGGTGGGTTAATTGCAACGAAGAAATGAGCTATTAAATCATGATTTTCATTTGTCAATTATGTTCGGCTGCAAAAAGAAAGCGAATATATCTTTATAAAAGTGTTTTTCTTGTTCAAATGGATATTAAGCGAAATACATAAATAACCTAACATCAGATAATAAGACAATTTCCATTTGGACTAATATTGAATTGACAAAAAAACACGCGGTAATTGCTTTTTCACAAATCTGAGTATTTCGAACGCACCGACGAAAAGCAGCTGTATACTTGTACTTATAAAATGCAAGCAAAACATTCTTAAATGTTCCGAGAAGTAACGAAAATACTTTGACATCGAGTTATTTCGCTTTGGCATTAATTACCTTCAATATACAAGTTGTACTTGATGAAATAACAAAAAGCTCTTTTTTTTATACCTGTTCCATTAACAAAAGTGCTGTTATTCTGTTGAGAGTATTAATCATCATCTTGAGAAAAAGTACGACCTTTGCGATTAATTGATCGATTTTTTTTGTCGCTTACATTGCTTCTTAGTTAAGTAATTTCTAGCGCAAGAGTACAGTTGGCATAAAAGAAATGACAACATAAACAATGAAACCATCAAGTACTTTCTCTTTTTTTAGAAAACAAACTACTGCACTTTCTGTTTGATATGTCTTGTGATTTCTCATTGAAGATTTACTGCTAGTGAATAAACAGAGTGACTCAATGATAATGTTTTTTTCAAATTTTACTGATTTAGATTAAAAAGAACTGAGAAAGACAGGTACAAAAAACGAACATTCATCGGTCAAAACTAATTCTGAGCAGTGATTAATTGTTTGGAACGAATCTTGGACATACCGACACTGTCGGCTAGGCGTACCGGAGCGATCGATTGTTTGCGTTGTTTGGTAATCGGTGGCAGAGATGAACGGGGTTGTCCATTGTGTAACATTGTGCCATTGACATGACTAGCGTTCGAACCCCGTTTTCGATGATTGGTCAGCGATGCTAAACGATGTGTGGATGTTGTCGACATCCTGCGTTGGACGTTCGGTGGTGGGTGATGACTGGCTGGTGAACTTGTTTGATGATATTCAGGTACAAACGATTGCCGATAGGATGGACAGATTTGTGGCTGCATGAGATTTAACATGTGAACGGGCTCACCACCTGATGTGGACGATGTTGGAAGTTGAATAGGAGACAATTTTGGAAGCATGGTTGTTGATCTTGTAGGTGGATGACTAATTTGAATAATTGGAGTTGCTAAAAATAAATCCGAATGAAGACAAACTAAATATGTAAGAAGTCTTACAAGATAATGACAAACTTACTTAATTGATTGGAATTTTTCTCGATGGATTTCTTTCGTGGTGACCTTAGAGCTGCCACTGTTTTCCAATCGTTGGAATTCTTTGCTGATTCGATTTTTGCTTCAATCAAATTCTGAATGTCCGATGAATTCAATGATGATGATGTTGACGAAGACGATGACGATGATGCTATACTACTTTTTCTGGCCATCGTTCTTTTCGATTTGTTCGTCATTGGACGTTGCGATGCAACTTGTATTTCTCTCGACAGAAAAACAGTCGAACGAGATGTTTCAGCCAAATAATCCGCCAGATCTTCATAGCCTAGCTTTCTCGCTAATTCTTCAGGCGTGTTATTATGATTATCTTTGATATCAAACCGAAGACGATATTGCAAAAGGTAATTCACAATTGCTTGAACAAGAATTTCATTACCATGTTCGATGGCATAATGCAACGAACATAAACCGGATTGATCTCGATTGAGTATATTAATGTCACCTGGATAGGTACGGAGTAAAAATAAAGCTTCCTGCGTACAGTTCAGATTTGCTGCCCAATTGAAAACGTTCTTACCATGATGATCGATAATGTGAGGATCGAGATTGCACGCTGTAATTAGAAATTGAAAGACTTGGAAACGTTTTTTTTCAAAAAACTGGTCTTGGGAATTGTGCTGTTTAAGAACGTGAATTAACAAATTCTGGCCGCGACTGTTTTGGATCGAGATATTATGACCGTGCTTGATGTAATTCATAATTTTGAAGAGGTGACATTGTTCGACCGCTTCGATAAGAAAACGCTCGGTGGTGAATGACATTAGATTCAGTTTGACAAAAAATAATGTCTACAGAATGAAATGAATGATTTGTTTAATAAAGAAATACGGTGGTTTCTTTATTTGTCGATTCTATGAATGGAGTAAGAAGAAAGAGATGTGTAGAATTGATTCATGACGCTGCGATCATGATGATGATTGTTATTACGAAGAAATTTTCTTCTTCTTCGTCTTATATTTGCGAAAAAATACAGTAGAAAAATAAATCTTTTCTAATCGGTCTTGCAATCATAACAAGATTTGACGGTTTTATTCTTTGCATGCATATACCCGTATGTGGATGTTTTCGGTCGTTCAGGGACAAAGAAAAGCGAGTATGCGCGCGAGAGAGAAGAAAAAACTTCGTCAGAAATCTTAATCGTCGTCTGATTGAGTGTCACACACTCCACTCTTTCACATTAATAATCACAATATTCTTCCTACACATATCTACGTTGGTTAGTAAGAAAAAGAAAATGTATCTGCAATTGGTGAAAAGTGTATTGATTGTTGTCAAGGTTATAATGACAATGCACAGATGTCGAATTCCGAAATAGAACTGATGAGTAACTTCGCGAAGTTGCTGGTTGACGATGAGAAGCGTTGCTGCATCAAACTCGACTAGTCTGTTTCAGAGTAGTGTACGATGTTCATAAAGAAAAAAAAGTTCCTAATGAATTGAAAAACAATCAAAAGATTGCATCCGACTATTTCTAAAATAAAAACTTGGCAGTGTCGCAAAGTGCTTATACCTGGCTGGTAGGAACTTGTCAATGTCCTAACCAAAAAGAAAAGACTTTCAACTTTGACATTTTCTTAATGAAATCTTCTCAGACATGTATACTTATATATTTATCAACCAAAATAGAAAGAGAGAAGCCATATAACTCGTTAAAATAGTTTTATTAATTAAATATTCGAAAAAACACGGGTACGATAAGCCATAGATTGATTGAAAATTCATATAGAAAAAGATTGACGTCGACGTTTTTTTTTAAATAAAACTACTTCGTCTTGCCTTTCACTCACGCCTTCGAGAAATAGTTACAATCTATTCATGAATTGGTTGTTTTTCTTGGTTTTGACACCTTGTAATCTTTTATTAAATATGTCCGTGAGCTTTGAAGTGAAAATTGCAGAAATACCTTGTACAAGTCACCATCTCTCAAATCAATTATTCACAAGTTCATGTAAATCACGATTAACTATGATATTTATCGAATATCTGATATAAACATGCGAGATGGCTTTGCCTGTCATGATCAACTTAAGACAAATATAATATCAGAATATGTAATCATTGATTTCGTGTGTTTTCAACAAGAAAAAGGATTTCATCATTGATCCTATTATTCAAGTAGTAAACGAACTATCGGCTGAATAGAACGAAAAATAACACGTCGACTGTGATTACATTATCTATGTTTTAACTTTTCACGCACGTGTTTGTTGATGGATGCTAACTTTCTTGAATAAGAATATGTCTAGACACTGATTTGGTCCAGTTCTCACCGTTTTGTTTTTTGAAAAAAGTGTGTGTACATCCAGTTTTTCCCATTTCTACTATTATTTATGGTTGAATTTCGGAACGGAAGTTGTTGTTCGATGTCATTTGTACACCTCTGAAGATTGTTTACCCACGCGTCAACTATGCGATGATCGAGATTCATCTACAATAGTAAATGTCTATTTGTGTTCGTTTTTTCTTTCTTCTTCTCTCTCTCTTTGAACGGATTAATCTGCACAGTAAAAGTGATTTTTGTAATGACATGTTCACTCTTACTTGTTCTACTGTATTGTTAAACATGTCGACGTCACTCGCATCTCTGTCGCGTCATTTCTCTCCAAAGAAATTCTTGAAAGAGTCGATGCAAATATTCGATGTGCTTAACCAAAGAGATAAGTCAATTCATTAATTGTGACCTAATTACCGTCGACGACCTAGAAATCATATCAAATAGAGACAGTCAAGAGAGATTAATTTGACATTTTGTCTGTCTTTAGAGCAGATTCACTGCGCAATGAATTACTATTTGACATGACAAGACAAAAAACATTGTTACGAATGGAAATTATTGATGACTCGAATGAGATTCCTTCCTGCCAATTATTTCAATTTTTCATGCATGGGCTTTGATTGATACACATCCAGTTGTACGCAAGTGACAGTATTGATCAAAATTAATCATGGTTTTCGATATCACATTTCTTATTTTCGTTATGTTTTCTATTCAACAAACATTGACACAAATTCCACCTGTTGTACCATTGACAAGTAAACAATTTTCCTCGTAAAATCTTTTTCTTTTGTCTTTCCATTTTCATTAATAGATTCACTGACGGCTGTGTATTGTCACAACTTAAACGAGGCTGGTACGATGACGATTCGTTGTGGAAACAATGAGAAAATTCGTATGTTAGACGCATTTGACGTTGTTGTGAAAAATCGTTCACATTTACCGTTACAATGCATACAACGCAAACCGTTTTCCATGGTTTATGGAGATATTTCTACTTATACGGATTGTAAAGTTCGCACTAGTTTTGCCTCAGCTTGTTCCGGACGAGAAAATTGTACATTACACATGCAACGTACTCGAGTAAATACAGCTTCGAGCAATTGTCATAATAAATTGGTTGATTATACCATGGCATTCTTTGAATGTATATCAGGTACGATATACTGGGAAAAAGAAATCGTTTTGTTTGTTATTTCGAATGTAGATGTGTTTATTCATGATATCTGTTCAATGCAAGCAATAACATCGCCTTGGGGTACATTGAAAACACCGAATTTTCCTAATCCTTATACGTCGAGTGATGACTGTTGGTGTAAATTATCAACTCAGTTGCAACATCGTCTTTTACTTTCTGTTATTATCTTTCAATTGATTCCTTATGATAGTTCGTATTGTATTCGAAATTGAACACGCGAAGTTATCCTTTGTTTGTCTCCGTAGGAGAATGTGCAGGTGCTGGACTTTATTTACAAAGTAGCGATGAGCAACGAAGTACGCAGTGTACATATTTACAACCGGGACATAATTATTTAAGCGATACAAATACCTTGTATATCAATTTCTACAGCCGAACATCAACTGTTCGTGGAGGATTTTGGATTATTTATGAAGGTTGGAATGTTTATTATTTTTCATCTTTAACATATCTCTTTTGACTGCGCCTTTTTTCAGCGAGTCATTCGAAAGCGGAAGTGCATTTACAGTGTGGTTCACGAGAGAAGATCGGTGTACCATCGATTCGGACCTCTATGCCATCGCCACCACCTGTCTCATCATCCTATAACTACGGTTGGAGTCGGTTATCATACAATGATCCACCAAATCCGACAGCGATACCAAACAGTCAGGATCGTATGGAGAATATACGATTGCTCCTTACAACACCTCCACCATCGTTCGTTAACAGAAACTTTAGTAAATATTCGATTCTAATCGATAACATGAACGCTTTGTCAATAATTCTGTTTAGAAAGAAGAACTTTGACTACAGCAGCCAGTGCATTTACTTATCCACATGGAAGTTTAGCAACGTTCGAGCTAGATTTTGGGCCACGAGGTTGGTTTGTAAAATATCCCTATGGCTCACCAAACATGACAGCAACGAAATTTGTACAAACAACAACTCCAACGCCTATTGTCAAATGGAATTCGACATGGCTCTATATTCGACATCTACGAACAAGAGTTTCGCCGAGAATCTTTATAACAACGGCAGCTACTATCAAAACAACGACTATTCGTTCCGCATCATCAACAACTGTACCAGTACCCACAAGTACATTTGTCATGACGACTACAGAGCAAATACCCATGACTACCACTACAGCTTCTATTTCCTCCACGATAATTCTTACCACTACGCCGCAAGTTATAACGTCGGACATCTATTTTGCCACTACTACACAACCGCGAACACAAACAGTACAATCAACGACACAATCAGCATCTGCATCGACGTTGAAAACAGCTGTACCTTTTCCTACTCCTTGGTATTCGCCAGCAGGACCATTTGACTGGTGGCAATGGCAAGGTTATTCAACGAAACTGTACAAACCGTCTCTAAACAGTAACACTACAACTGGAAAATCCACTTTTTCCACTAAAACAACAACGACCACGACGACGACTACAACTACGACAACAACTACATCAACGACAACCAAACATCTCATTCATCTGAGTAATACAACCACGAAAACATCTCTTTCTGCTCCAAAAGAAGTCACTGCCGATTGGTTTCGATGGCCATACGCTGAACCAACGAAATCAAAACCTGATTATTACGACGATGAGTATAAGGACTGGCTCGATTATCTTCCGAGAAACAAATTGCGAAGTACACTGAAAGCTACAACATTGAGAAACCCAATTCTCACTATTTTACCTGAACCGCAACGCAAACAATATCAACAAATGAGTCTTCTACCTACCAAATCCAATTGGAACATGGTCAATATAAATCCCACATTGACCACATCACCTTCAACTACATCAAATTTTGTCTACATCGATCGAAATACTGGTAACGAAAATATTGAGTTGAAAACTCATCGTATTCGCTAAAATCTTTTTATTCAAGATTCAGAAAAAGTAACACATACCAATGCGCAGAATAACATTCAAGATCCTCATAAGAAGGAATCGGAAGACTATGGTTGGCTAAGTAAAACAGGTATGAGAGACAAGCTCTTCCAATAATACCAAAATTCGACAAAATTAACTTATTTATTTAGACATGACCATCGTTGCTGTATCAATTTTATTTGTTATATTATTAGTTTTTATAAATTTAATTCTCTTTGCTGTTCGAAGGTAAAATCGAATAATAGAAACGTAAGATTTGTCTACGATCAAAAGGAAACCTTTTCTAGACATCGTCATCGAATTCAAAATCAACATTTGCTTTGCGCATCGCTACCTTCCTCGTTCAATGATCGAAGTATCTCAAATAATCAATTACAAAGCTCAAAACTAGGCGATTCGACTAACAGTTTGATTAATATAACGAACAACAATAACAATGATATATTACCAGCCGTTGGTAAGTGCAGGCAAAGTCTGAATTGAAAAGAAACTGTATGGATTCTCTAGGTGAGATTGTATTATGGGACGAAAGAGATCAAGGTGGTTATATGATTGACAATCATGGCGAATGGGCAAAGATTGAAGGACGTCAATGGATTGGTAGTGATTTGACTAAAAATCAAAACAAATCATCATTCACTAAAAGGTGCGTGTTTGTTCTTGTCATAGTTTTCCATGATGTTGTTTTCAAAGAGAAATATTATACAGTAATCTTTTCTTTGTCGACAGTTTTCGATCGCGATTTCAATTCATTCGACAATCGCCTAAAAAGTCGAATCAACAACGTCCAAATACTACGTTCATGCCCAGATCTCCTCAACAACAATTACTCCAACAACCACAAACCTACAAATTTCCACCCCTTACTGACAGTTCGTATTTGGCCTGAATTCAAAAGGATTCTTACTTATCGAATCTCATTTTAGCTACTGCCCTTACTCCAGTTCCCGAAGCCGATGATTATCAAACATCCGATTTAAGTGCTACTGATGTCATCAATCATAATTCCGATACGAAATTGAGAAATTCAAATATAAAACATCAAGAAGTAGATATTTCCCTCAATCGTTTAATCTCAGCCGTTTTCTCATCATTCTAGACAACAAAAACGATTCAAGCACTGATTCACACCGAACAAGATCATAGTGACGATTACTACAAACAAATTGAAAGTGGCGGCGAGGAGTCAAATTATACCGCCGTGCTTGACAATCGTCAAGGCGAATATTATGTAACTGATCAGCAAATGGATCGATGCTTAGGGAGTGAAATCGATGCTGGTGAATCAGTAATTATCAGTGTACCAACTATGCTACGACAAGAAGACGATATTGACATCACAACTGACGGTGCTGAATCAATCTACAATCGAAACTATTCGACGCGATCACAAAATGAGGTAAAAAGTCCAATTCTAAAAAGTCACAATGCATTCTTTTTATCTGTAGTCGAAGAGAACAAATCTAACAATGAAACCAGTAAGACATCCGAAACCGATGATCAACACTTCCATTACTGTTGGCCATTGTCAAATCGATTTTCAACCATTAAACCCGAAATTATTAGAAAAATCTCTCTTAGCTGAACATCAACAGCTATATACTTGTTCTCAATCTTTACAATTCTCAGCCTACGATTCAGGTTTCTTCGATGATCAGACAACCGACAGTTTAATACTAACACCAAGTCAAGAACCACCTGGTAGTGATGAAATCTCTTCCAATCAAAGTAGAGCTAGCTTATCAAGACAAAATTCGCCATTAGCTAAAACATATTGTTAAACATTGGTCTCACATCTTCTCTTTTTATATTGTAATTGAACATTCATCTATGAAATAAATTTCACGACAAAAAAAACTCCGGCTCGAATCACTCTTTTCCTGGTCAGTACTGAAACATAAACGTCGAAGATTCCTTCCCTTGAACTATTCCTTCTGTACAATAGTTTATCTTAAACTAAACAAATACTAATTCTTCACTTGAATTGCATCAAAGTCGAATGTCAATATACTTTCGATCGATTATTTCTCTTCAATGAATTTAAGCAAATATTTTTCTAGTACTAATGACTTTATTTCTCTTTTTTTATACCAATATAAACACATACAAATGCTAATATGCTCAAGCACACGACCAAGCTAAGCGTCCTGATGATACTGGAATGTTTTTCATCACTTGATGCAATTCCTTGTCAAGTATGGTTTGTTTCAAACCAACTTTAAGGCGATGTTCACAAAGATAAAGAACAGTATCTGATGGACCCCAAACCGGCTGGCCAATGGAGAAATCATGTATTTTCAATCTTGCTAACATTGATAGCAAGGTTCGATCGTCGAATGTATGCGAACCATCTAGTTCCACACGGATTTGACAAACAGATACGGTTGTTTCTTCATCACCAGGATCTAGAAGATCAGCTGAAATTGATAAAAAGAAATAATATAAGGAGAAGATACTCTTCAGTCTATATGTCACTACTGCACACACAAATAGAATAGAAGAGTGGTATGTCGCCGAACGATTAGTAGAATGTTAATCCGACTTACTGCTTCGTAATGAATAGGATATCAGTAGAAGTATGAAAACAATACTAGTGATGATGACTTTGTTTGGCAATTGAACAGTTTTTTGTAGTTCCATTTATGTTTCTTGTCGAACAATTGTCGCTATATGATATGATGTATATTTTCGTTGTTATTTGTTGAGAAAAAAGAGGCTCTTACATACGTCGATTCTTATGCAAAAATAATAATGAGGTGCATAAACAATTTTCTTTTTTTCGTTACTTGTTTTTTTTCTACTTCTCTCTTCTTCACAAACATTCTTTTTCATAAGTAACATTCTCCATTCAATGCCCATTTGATTGTCTATGCACATTAACTTTTTAATTATGTGTGTGTGTGCATGTCATCATTAGGATGAGTGAAAACATTTACGAATCGTTATTATCAAGATGAACTGTATTCGGAATGTATGTGACGCGAACATATCGCAAGCGAATTGAATTCATCATTCATAACGAGCTGTTGTCATGTTTTTCTGTTAAGACAATCTTTTCGGATTGAATATGTCATGATGCTTTGTGCCAGACAGGGCATCCGTACCGATGACTTGTGAACTACATTTTGCCTGAATTTTCAATGAAAACTAAGTCACGAATGGTTTTCATAGTGTGAAGTCCAGTTTGGAGGAGAATAGCTACAAGTCTGAGTAAGCCAGAAGACCAACAATGGTCTGGAAGTGTTTGTTTGATTAAATATTTATTTTGATTAAAAGGAAATATTGAATACTTGTATTGAAAAAGGAGAAAAACAAAAAGATTCACTACACGAAACGACAAAAAAACCAAGATAATTATGATAATAAGAGACAAAATGTTTTTTTATTTGGATGTGGGAATGGGGATTTGTAGAACGTCAACAAACAGTTGTTTGAATTGTTCTAGACGAAATGTTAGATTATCTAGCTGAAATTTTAATTCTTGATTTTGACTTTTTAGGCCAGCATGTCGCGAGACTAAGTCGTCTCGTTCAGATTTTTTCTTGAGACGATATTTCTCCGCTGCGGCTTTGTTTTGATCCTTCTTCCGTAGCTTGCGTTCAGTTGCTGAAAACGCTCGTTTCTTTACCACCCGTTTCTCAGTCACTGAAGAACAACCACTTGTGGTTGAAAATACCGGTGATGGTGGAACCGCCATATCCTCCACAGTGCTCTCCGATCCAACTGTGCATTCACCACCGAGCCATGGCGATGTGTCGTCATCAACTGCATAAAATGTTGATTCATCGGAATTGGACAGAGGCTGTACATCCATTGTATTTGTTGCATAAGATGAGCGACTAAGGTATTTTTCGAATTGTAGATCCTCAAGTTCAGTTAAAACAGGGAAATCAAATGAGGATAAGAGGTCGTAATTGTTTTGATTATTATCATTATTTTCAGTTGTATTGTCTGTCGTTACTAAATTATATTCGTTGGTTTCGGATGTTATCAAAGGGAATTGGGCATCATTGTCTTCAACAGGAAGAACTCCGTTGGACGTGAACAGAGGATTGACTTTGACCATACCATTGGGAACGATGGTAGGAGTCATTAAGTCCGTGGGTTGATTCATCTCGAAAAGCATTTTGTTCGTTTACGTTTGAGACCGACGATGCGGAAGTTTGGGTGGCGAAAGCCGTTGTAAAAGTCATGTTGCAGCTAAAACAAAATGCGAAATTTATGAATTTATCCTCTACACATATCGTGGTGATTTCCAAAGGTCAATGTTCAGTACTTAGGTAGAAGAAATAGGTCAGTCTACTGTGGGTGTACCCTAACACGCCTCTCAAATCTGGTGCACTTACTTTAAAAGGCACGCGAAAATCGTGCTAAGCCGGAGCTGGTGCGCCTAAACGGTCGCGACGGTGTCAGGTAGAACGCATGATGAAAATGATGTATGATTATGAATGCTGATGAAATATATAGGATGATGAAATGGGATTCTTCTTCCTTTAGTTGAGAACATGCACATACATGATGCAATGTTCCTGATTCATCATGACGCATGAGTTGAGAAAGAGTGATTTTTTCAAGAATATTCTCCAAAGAAAATATATGCTTTAGACATGACAGCAAGCAAAATAAATACCAAAAATAGAATTTATCGAAAATATCAGAAATTCCTGGAATAGATGTCGCTAGTCATTGTATTTCCGGGTAACATGACATAGCTTTTGATCGTATTAATAATCTCTACTGTATAGAAAAAATTCGAACAGTCAACGAAATTACCAAATCATATCTCTAACCGAACGATACGTAGAGAGGCCATCGGCCTAGTATCACATTAATCTAATTAAGACTGATACCAAGTTTTAAAACTTAGTAAGGCAGGATACTCATTGATCAACAATGTCATTGGTAATTTCGACTGCATTGCTACTAAAATGTCATTTTTAAACTTTGCATAGTTTAATTACTTTCAAGATTCCATCCGACTACCAGGACTAACGAATGCCATGTGGACAGATGATCTGAAGCATAATCTAGAGACCTATCTTTCCTGTAATGAATCGAAGCTTTTGATCATGTACATTGATCGAGATACCTCTTCTCTACAACTTCTTCATGCCATTCCACTAGCGATAACCTTGAATCATTCCTCTCTTGATTTGTGTTATTTTATTCGTCGGAATAATTCGCCGGACTTGATTACCACCATCGAAGATTTTCTAAAATACATCCAATATGGATATATCATCGGACGATCGATTGAATGTTTAACAGCACTTGTATCCACGCTTTTCGAACCATTGTTCATGAACAACATAGCCGTACAAGATAGTATGTCACGATAATTTTCGATTTGTTTGAATTCTTAAATTTCAGTGGTCAAAAACGACTTTATCTGCGAATCAAATCACTTTCTAGCCACATTTTACGAAAAGCAATATCACGATACGTCGTCGATGACATATCTATACATTCCCAAAGATGGCTTAGATAGACCTGTTGAAGTGCTTGTAAAAGATAGAATGTTAGTAACACGATTCGAAGGTAGAATTTCTGTACTAACGGATGTCTATATTGAAATCCAGATGTGTTCTTTAGCTGTTATGCTAAAATGGCATCATCAATTGAAAAATATTTTACTTATACAAAATCGTTTGATGAGCGTTGAAGATCAGTCAACGGGCATCAATGAAGAAATTCATTTTTGGCAAAACTGTCTTCTTAATCTTCATAATATTCGTCGACAAATCCAACGAAGTGAATTACAGACTATAATTCAGGTGTTGACTCTCTCGAAATCTCCGTACATTGAACAATTTTTACAAGCAGAAAACGAGATTCAAGTATAACCGTTCTTTGCTTTTCTGATTCATTCGAATGTGATATAAAAATTAGATTTTCACTGGATATGTCGAAGATTGTTTGAAATTTCTCAAGCTTCTTGCTGAACCTTCGCTCCAATTGAACGATATTCCTTATGAACAACTCGCTACTCTCATAACTGAGATTTTCTATCGAATCCTAATCGTCTGGCATCATTCGATATTTTTCTCGATATCCACAAGAATTAAATTAGTGATAAATAAAGTAAATAATCAATCCTTTACTTACATTTCAATATTACGTATTTCATATCTTATAGATTAACAATCAAATCATCGCCCGATGTTCTCGTTTACTGAGTATACAACGCTTATTTCAAAACTATGTTTTATCAACTCAAAACCGTCTCGAAGAATGTTTTCAGACTATCAACATATATATTGAAACATCTTTACATGTGAATAATCCTTTTCTCTACTTGGAATAGCCAACTCTGTTCTTTTAGGTTTTAAACATGCACGATAAACATTCCGCTAAACCATTGATGGTCAACAACTTCGAAAAAGATGATCTTTTTCACTCTGTGCACTTGTATCAACAACGTTTAGCTGAAATCAATGAAGTACAGAGATATTCTCTTCTATCTAGATACATTTTCATACTCTGCAGATTTGTGAATGCATGAAACTTTTTGGATCGTATCGAGATGGAAGCAAAGACCCTTTGCCTATTTTCGGTGGGATTCAGGGTAATGAATTTCAACATATCCTTGAACAAAGTCAACAAAATTTCGACCGAGTATTGCATTTGTTATGGCGAAAATCTATGCACATACTTGATATTTCCACGAATTCATCTTCGATATGGTCAGAGGAATTGAAACGGTAATTTGATTGATCGATGGTAATTGATGTGATGATGTATTTCGTAGCTTTTTAAAATCGGTACGTGAAATCGAATTAGCTATTGTTAAATTAATCAACGAAGCGATGAAAAAGACAATTACGGTCGAACAAACAATGGACATTCTCGAAATATTTTTCGATTTTCAATCGCGACCCGTAAATTTCATCTCAATGGTAAACCTTTCACTCGATTTGTTTCTCTTCAGACTATCAATCATGTTCTTCTCGAAAAAACTCGACATGTTTATCGTTTATTTCTCTCTCAAATCGAAGATGTTCGCACACAGATCGCTTCGCATCAGACATTTGATGAATCAAAAGCGACGTTCAATCAATTCGATCGATTCCTTCCCTATTACTCCGCACGAGCTATGTGGATTCGCGATCGAATTGAGTGGGTTACCAGAACTTATAATCTTTTGCAACAAGCAGCCAACTTGCCGTATCTTGTCCAACAAAATGAAGTGAAATTCGCCTATGAGAAGTTCGTCGTCTTTGCTGAGAGTAGCACGAAGCGAATTTACCAAGAATGGTGGAGTATGGCGAACGAATTACAGCCGAAGAAATTGTTACAAAAGCCGTTTTTGAAGGAAAATCAGGAAAGGAAATATTTCATTGATGTTTTCTTCGATCCGCAAATCATTTTCGCTTTGAACGAAAGTTTATGGTGGATTCGATTACATTATGAAATACCGTATTCATTAACCGATGTTTACAATATCAGAAAATCATTTCGACAAATGACAGAAGAAACCTACGAATTCATTCGTAAATTCAACAAGTATAACATCCGAGCAGAACGAAATATCTATAATTATTTTCATTTTAAGGATACTCAGTTCTCTTCGTGGACAAGAGTCTTGTCTATTTGAAGAACATATTCGATCGGTTTTGAAAAAACTTCAACCGGCTTTGCTTGGCAAAGTCAATTACATTGATGAAAACGCGTTTCATTCTTTTTCTCTCGAAGCGAATCGCATTATTAATCAAGTTCGTTCCATTGTTCAAAACTATCGTGCTATTGATAAACATTTGGTTTCTTTCGAAATAGTTAACTGATCTAGTCACAGCATTTAAGGAAAATTACATCAAATGTTGCACTAAATGTGTGAATATCAGTTCACAATTGTTTGTCCAAATTGATACTGGCGTTATTTTCAGTTATTCAACATTTACTGATCTCTTAGTAGGTGTTTCCTGGTGTATGAAAGACGCATGATTTCTCCTTTGATGTAGAGATCTGTGAATGATAAGAGTCTATCAGCAGTACATGAAATGTACGACGAAATGACAGTTGGAATACGTGAACAACAAATGTTATTCAAAGATAAATCAGAAAAAGTACTCTTCGTCTAATCAAGATTCTGATTTGCAGCGAATACTTGTCTCTGTAGATTCAGCAGTGTTGGGATCATTGGTTAAGTTCAATCGATTGTATGTTGGAAAAAGCCTTGTTACTCAATGTTACCAATTCGCTCGAACAATTATCGTATATAATCAATGGTGATGTGGAAATTGTCTCAACTCCATTTATGAATATTGAACTTTGCTTGAATCGTACAGAAACTTTGGCTGGAAATATCAGATATACCGTAAAGCTTCTCTTGTTTGATTAATGAACGCTTCTGTTGATGTATTTTAGTTAAACTTTCGTCCAACACTCGAAGAATTGCAGACTACGTTGAATTCCGTTGGTAAAATTCAATTGAATCGATCGGTTCAAAGTTTTACACGTCTGTGCGATTTGTTTGCCTGCGAGTCATTTCAACGAGAAGTATTGGAAAGAACTAGTGTTATAGATCGTAATGATTTTTCTCTATAGTCTTACTTTCTTGTGATTGATAATCATTCAAACAAACAAAAACTGCAGAGTAAAATCACTTCCGGAGTTACAAATTGTATTGCCGATATCGACAAATATATTGAAACAAATTGGTTTCGTTTTCGGCAACTATGGGAAGTTGATCAAGACAGCTTCATTGCTATGTATCAATCGGAAAATACTGATTTGCAAGCTTTGGAAGCAGATATCGCTCGGTAGGGAGATCATTCACTCCATTTTCATTTGAATTTCTCGATTGTACCTTCTAGATACACTGAAGTAGCAAATAATATCAATAATCAGGAAACAATTGTCAATGTCCGAATGATACAAATCGATTGTACTTCATTTAAAGTTTCTTTAGTACAAATCTGTCATCATTGGCAACAGAGTTTGATACGTATTGTATTAGTTCGATTCGAAAACGATCTGCAAAGTACGTTAACTTTGATTAAAAACAATACAGAGAGGTAAGTGATGAATTATGACTTTAGTTAGTGTTCATGAAGGTGATATTTGAGTTTTTTTTTTTAAATAGAATACATATAGTTCCTAAAACGTATGCTGAAATACCTGCTTATCAACAATTTATCGATGAACTTAAAGTGAATGTACCAGAGATTGAAAAGAAGTTACCATTGATTAACGAACAAATGGCGTTATTAGTTCGATATGAAATCGAAATCGATTCGAAGCTTTTGGAACAACATCGCTCGCTGTTGCGCGCTTGGGAAGCTTATAAAATTGTGCTTGATGAATCGATCACATCATTCAAACGAGTTAAAGTGGGTTCAAAAGATTTTCAACGATATAAATCGAATTGTTCGATTCATAGGAAGCTTTTAAAGTCCAATTACAAAAAGAACACGATAAGAGTCAGAATGAGATTTTTGAACTGCTTAAAGTGTTTCAACTGGTCGGTCCACATCGAGCAGATATGTCAATAACGATTGCTTTAGCTGACTGCGACAAGATCGAAGAGCAAATCGATGAAATCGAAAATGAAGAGAAAAGATTGAAAACAGCGTATCGAATATTTAATCTGGATATGATTGTTTCGAAAGATTTACCAAGCATCCGGAAAGTTTGTTGTGAAAATTTTTGTGAAATCTTTCGCATGAATCAAAGTCTTTTGTTAGGATGTAGAGATTTTAAAATCAATTTGGTTAGTAGCGAAAGAGTATGATGAAATGTTAATCAAATGGAAAACTACTGAATTTCGTCAATTGAATATCAATGAGTTGAATGACTTTGCTCAGAATCAGTATAAAAAATTGGTGAAAATGTCACGAGAATATAAAGTAAGACGAATAGAAGGGATTCCATTTCTAGAGATCGATGTTTAGGATAAATCCTGGGGTATTCTTACGTCACTTCGTGATCGAATCGATACATTTCGTCGTATATTACCCTTAATTGAATCATTGTATAATCCTCATATGCGTTCCCGTCATTGGGAACAGATCAAACGTGAAACAGATAAAAATTTTGAACAGGAATCGAGTCACTTCACACTCGAACAAATTCTCAACTTGCATTTGTAGACCATTTGACGAAATCGCCCGAAATCTCATTCATTGTACGCTTTCTAGTGAGGAAAACATCGAATTAATCACAGAAATATCAGAAAATGCTACAAAAGAATACGCTATTGAACGTATCATTGAGAAATTTAATCAAACATGGAGTACATTAAAATTTGAAACAACAGCGCACAAACCCAACATTTTCAAAATAACGTATGTCAAGTCGCCCTTATTACATTCCTATGCGATGACTGAAATCTGCTTCTAGATCACCGGAGGAAATTATTCAATGTATTGAAGAACACATCGCTCAAATTTCCACTGTCAAAAGTACGCGTCATGTGAAACCATTTCAGACTGATATAGATTATTGGGAGACGTCTATTGCGCAAATATCGGAACTATGTGACGGGCTGTTTGACGTTCAACGCCAGTGGTTATACATGGAAGGAATATTTACTTCTGATGATGTTCAACGGCAGTTACCACGTGAAACTGCGGATTTTAAACATGTAAATATGATATGGCAAGATGAAATTATAAGGAAAATTCGAGAGAATCCCAATGCTTTATACGTTGCAACGAAATTTAGTTCGTTGATTGTTACTTTGTGAATAATAATCATTGATGTTCTAATGTAGATTTCTTCGATAAGATACAAAAACTGCTGAAATATTTAGAAAATATACAGAAGAAAATGGAGGATTATCTAGAAACGAAACGTTCCATTTTTCCACGTTTTTATTTCATATCGAATGAAGAATTAGTAGAAATTCTCAGTCTCTCTCGTCAACCTGATCTGATTCAAGTTCACCTAAAGAAACTCTTTGATAATATCAAATGTCTACATTTATTGGTAAAGAAAACCATTCTCGCCAATGGAATTATCTCGAATGAAAACGAAGAAATCAGTTTGCTATCAACTCTTTCGCTCGAAGGTAACGTCGAACAATGGCTGAAAGATTTGGAGATCAAAATGCAAATAACTGTACGTGAATATTTGAAAAATTGTCTATCTGCTCTGAAATTACAAAGCAGCAGACGTGATAAATGGGCTAAAAGTTGGCCAAGTCAATGCTGTGTGACTGCAAGTGAAATCGAATGGACATCTGCGACAACTAAAGCACTAGTCACCTGTCAATCAGATGGAAATTCGAAACCATTGAAAAAACTCATTCGCAAACAAGTATAAGGGACACAACTGAATCCATTTGTTTATCTATGAGTTATTCGTAGATAAAAATTCTTGATCGATACTCAGCTATGATTCGTTTGTCACTGGAGACAATTCTCCGTCTTCGTGTTATTGGTATAATTACAAAAGAGATTCATGGACGCGATATTCTCGAACGATTAATTCGAACTCAAACTATGGATATTCAAGCATTTGAATGGCAAATGCAGCTGAGATTCTACTGGGAGAAACACGAACAAAGTGAAGATTGTATCATTCGACAAACAATTACCAAATTTCATTATAACTACGTATGAATTAATTAAATTGAGTAGCAAATGATTCATGATTTCGGAAATAGGAATATTTGGGTTGTACAAGTCGTCTGGTGATTTCACCACTGACTGATCGATGTTACATTACTTTAACTACGGCATTGTATTTATTTCGTGGTGGAAGTTCGAGAGGACCAGCTGGTAGTTTTAAAGAAATCTGAGTTTCTGTATTATGAAGTAGAATTCGTTTTCGGTCCATTTTACTTGTAGGAACGGGCAAAACGGAAACCATAAAAGATCTGGGAAAGAATTTTGGGATGTATGTTATCATACAGAACTGCTCGGAAGCACTCGATTATAAGTCTATGGGGAAAATGTTCTCCGGCTTTGCTCAAGTCTACTAAAAAACTTTATTATTCATATCGATAAGTCTTAACTAACTCTTTTAGAGTGGCACATGGGGATGCTTTGATGAGTACTATCATATCACTGAATATTCAAACAAAATTTCTGCTTTGTTTGTTCACAGATTCAATCGTATCAACATTGAAGTATTATCTGTTATTGCTCAACAAATTCACTCGATCTTAACAGCTTTGTCACTGAAACAGAAACTATTTGTCTTCGAAGGAAGAGAAATTCCGCTCCAGTCACAAGTTGGAATCTTCATTACAATGAATCCAGGTTTATATTCACTTTTCATCTCTATATAAATGCAAGTGAATATTACGTTAGGCTACGCTGGTCGAACGGAATTACCGGATAATTTAAAGTCGATGTTCCGGCCTGTCTCAATGGTCGTTCCAGATTCGATTTATATTGCAGAAAATTTTCTTTTTAGTGAAGGCTTTCAAAATACTAGAGTAAGCACCACCGCACAGCTTGGCGTTTATATCTCGATTTCTATTTGTAGAGTTTAGCCAGAAAAGTGTATACATTATATCACTTGTGTGCACAACAACTATCAAAACAAGATCATTATGATTTTGGTTTACGATCTCTGACAGTAAAAGCGTTCTTTGCGGAATTTTGAGAAATGAGCAAACTCGATTCTTTGAAGGCAGTGTTACGCTATGCTGGTGAAAAGAAACGAGTAAATCAAAAAATGGCCGATGACGAAGTAAAGTTTATGTTTGCTTCTGAACCTGCAAAGAAAAATGATCTTAGGTTTTTCTTTTATCAATGCTCGATATGAACGTACCGAAGATGACTGCCGAAGATTTGCCACTCTTTCGAAACATTGTCAATGACTTATTTCCAAGCATAAACATACCACAAATAGATTACTCAAAAGTTTGATTGATTTCTCGTTCGAAATTGTTGTTCATTCGTTTTGGATTAGCTAATCGAAACTATCGAACAAGAAATGACAAGAAACCATCTACAAATATCGACAGCTAACATTGAAAAAGTGATTCAACTGTATGAAACGCATCATTCGCGCCATTCCGTAGTTCTCGTGGGCAAAACCCTGTCAGGAAAAACAACAACATGGAAACTGTTCAAACATGCATTGACAGCATTGAACAAACAGGGACATACTGAATTCAACAGAGTGATTGTAAGACGTTTTTGATATTTTGATGAAATCTATTCTTTTAGTTGTAGGAGTATCCGATAAATCCAAAAGCGATTGATCTAGGTGAACTCTATGGGCAGTTCAATCTTGCTACTAATGAGTGGAAGGATGGAATTCTGAGTAGTATCATGCGACAAGTTTGTAATGGTTCGTTTCGTCGCAAAACTCTTGATAAGTCTTTAACTTAGTATTAAAATGTTCATGTAGACGAGAAATCGGATCGAAAATTGATTCTATTCGATGCGCCAATTGATACATCATGGATTGAATCAATGAACTCATTGATGGATGATAATAAACTCTTAACATTAGCAAATGGAGAACGGATACCTTTGTCGGTACATGTAACACTGCTATTCGAAACCGAAGACTTGTTCACAGCTTCACCAGCGACTGTTTCTCGCGTCGGTATTGTATATTGTGATTACACTAAGTTAGGATGGAGACCTTATGTTGAGTCGTGGATAAAGCAGAAAACAACGGACTTGCAAACTGAACTGTCCAATTGCGTCATAAAATATTTCGAGCCAGTTTTAAAATATAAGTCGATCAATTGCAAAGAACTAGTAGTTATTCATGAACTGAACGGAATTATCTCATTAACCAAATTATTTGACTCATTTTGGTATGAGAATGATATACAATTACAAATGAGCGAGAATGAAATGACCACAGGACGGTTGATCGAAATGTGGTTTGTCTTCTGTTTGATTTGGTCGGTGGGAGCGAGTGTTGATGATGAAGGAAGAAAGAAAATCGATATTATTTTTCGCGAAACCGAAGGTATGTTTAACGAACGCTTGACATCAATCAACGGCAATGGATGGTTTCAGGTACCTTTCCGAATAAGGATACAGTATTTGAGTTTTATATTGACATACACAATCGAACGTGGTTACACTGGGAAGAACAATTGAAAGAAGAATGGATATATGATGCCGAGTGAGTTTCACGAACGATTTACGTTGAATTTGCCGACACGAATTCCATTTTAGAATGCCATTTTATAAAATGATTGTGCCGACAATTGACACTGTCCGTTATGAATATTTAATACGTCGACTACTACTTAACAAACACCAAGTTCTGTTGGTCGGAACTGTCGGAACGGGAAAAACAACAATAGCAGAGAGTGTTCTGAGAAAATTAGATACAGATGTATTCAATAGGCTTACTGTTCATATGTCAGCTCGGGTAAAATAGCAGACAAATGAATCTCTTGCGAAAATATTTGTTCTCATCTTTTAGACAACATCAAGAATGCTACAAGATATTTTAGAATCAAATTTGGAAAAACGAGCGAAAAATCTTTTTGTACCAATCAATGGAAGGAAGATAATCACATTTATTGACGACATGAATATGCCGCTAAAGGTAAGACTTGAGCATAAATTCAGATTGTTGTTCGATAGATGGATATGAATACTATTTGGCTCACAAAAGAGACTCCTAGTGAAGTGATTACCGTGGTTTATTTTAGGATATGTATGGATTCCAACCGGCACTCGAATTAATGTGAGTTGTGCCTATGATCATGAATTGAAGAACTTTTGTTTTATGATTAGTCGAACATGGATCGATTATGAATTTTGGTACGATCGAAAAACGCAAGGAACGAAATTCGTTAAAGTTAGTCGAAAAAATGAACTTAAATTTTCTACGGTTTGAAAATTATTTCAGGATATGTATCTACTTACTGCTATGGGTCCACCAGGCGGTGGTCGCCATCAAATCTCTCGTCGATTACAAAGTCGATTTAATCTAATCAACATGGCATTTCCATTCGTATGAAAAGACAAACAAATAGATTTCCGATGATTTTCGGATGTTATCATTTAGGAACATGAAATCTGTCGAATCTTTGGTACAATGATGAGTCAAAAATTACGTGATTTTGATGATGATATCAAACACCTCGACCAGACTCTGACAAAAGCAACCGTTGATCTATACCGAACAATCGAAATGAAATATTTACCCACGCCAGCAAAAATTCATTACGTAACTATGCATTTTTCATTTACCTCGCAGGAGAAATAAAGAAGGAAACACTCACATAGCTATTTATTTAGACGTTCAATATGCGCGATATATCACGAATGTTCGAAGGTCTTCTCTTGTGCCACAAAACTGTCATAACTAATAAAATAGATTTACTACGATTGTGGATACATGAAGCACATCGAGTATTTTCTGATCGATTCATTACGATCGATGATCACGAGTTGTTTGTAAAAATTCTAAACGAAAAACTTGCTTTATATTTCGATCAAGTTTATCACAATGTTTGCTACAATCGAGAAGCTCCAATCTATTCTGATATTATTAGAACTGATGGAATATATGAGGTTGTATCGAGAACTTAGTGATTAAAATATTTATTTTCGCAACTTCTTCACCATAGGGAATTCGTGATTATGAAAAGTTAAAATTGTTTCTTGAACAAACGCTACAACAGTATAATAAAACGCCATTAATGTTACCCATGGATTTAGTTATGTTTCGCGATGCAGTACTTCATGTTTGTCGAATTGTTCGTGTCCTTCGACAACCACGTGGCAATTTACTACTACTAGGTGTGGGTGGAAGTGGACGACAATCCTTAGTGCATCTAGCAGCGTTTATCTGTGATATTATTTTGTTTCAAATTAGAATTGGCCGACGATATGGCCATGCTGAATTCAAAGAAGGTCAGTAGATTTTATTATAACTCACGGCGAAAACCTTCATGTATAAAACTATGTGACGAAATTATTCGTATTTTTAGACTTACGTCGTTTAGTAAAACTATGCGGTGTGTCCAATCGTGAAGTTGTTTTCCTATTCATCGATACTCAGATTATTGATACATTCTTTCTCGAAGATCTGAACGCTTTGTTACACACTGGTGAAGTGCCCAATCTCTTTCGTAATGAAGATATTCAAGAGGTTTGTGTCATTTGGTCTCAATTACTTACCTTCAAGCTCTACATAGATTCGAAACCAACTTTCATCAACACTCAATCGACAAGGTATACAAGAGACTAATTCAAACATCATGCATTTCTTCCACAATCGAGTTAAAGCTAATTTACATCTGGCTATTTGTATGAGTCCATTTGGCGAAACATTCAGGTGAATTAAATAGTTTTGATCCACGAATTCTATGAAATGCCTTTCTGTAGAAATTACATTCGCATGTATCCAGCATTGATTGGTTGCACAACAATAATTTACTTCTCGGAATGGCCACATGAAGCTTTGCTCAACGTTGCTCACCATTTTCTAGTTAAATTCGATTTTACACCGTCAAACAACGACAATCTGATTCACTCGTTGGCCAATCTCTGTGCTTTTATTCATCTTTCGTCAAAAAGCTTAGCAAATCGAATGAAAGATGAACTCCGCCGTGAGATTTATATCACGCCGACAAACTACCTTCAATTTGTCAGTAATTATGGCCGGTATTGATATACAACGAGTATGAACATTGTTGCCAATCGTTTTCTCTATTTTGAAAGTTTATATGAATCTGAAAAAGCGAAAATTCAACGTGAACATACTCGTCTTCGAATGGGTATTGTTAAAGTGGCTGAAACCCGAGAAAAAGTTGCGGAGATTTCATTGGAGTTGGAGAAGAAGAAGGTATTGGTTGCGCAATTACAACGAGAATGTGAAGAGTTTCTAGGCAAAATTGTCGAACAAAAAAATAGTGCAAGTGAACGAGAACGGGTAAGTCAGTTTCTTTACTACTTGGACAATCGAAGATGGAGAAATATCAATCGATTAGCAAGTTCAAGCATTTGGAGCGCGTATTGCTGACGAAGAGATTCGTTGTCAATCAATCGCTGCCGCTGCACATGAAGAATTAACAGAAGCTGAACCATTACTGATCAGAGCAAATGAAGCTTTAGAACAATTAACTAAACGTGACATTGGCGAAGTTAAAGCTTATATCCATCCTCCGAGCCAAGTCGAGAAAGTGATGAAGGCATTGATGATTTTGAGTAGGTACAACAGTTTACTCACGCCAACTGAACACATCATTTGCGAATCATATCTTACCGCTTGCTTATTACTTAGAGAACAAAGAAGACACATGGGAAGAAGCGAAGAAAGACTTAGCTAATGTTGATTTTATCAAAACATTGATTGTTCGTACTACATGATTTATTTTTTGAAATAGAAGTTCTCTACAGGAAACTGTTGATTTAGAAATTCCCAAAAGATGAGATCACTGATCGAACACTTCGTCGTATGCAACCATTCATCAATGACAGTGAATTGATACCTGAAAAGTTGAAAGGTGTGTCAAGTGCTGCGAGTGCTCTGTGTACTTGGATTCGTGCCGTTGAATCGTACGCACGTGTTTATCGCATTGTTCAACCGAAGAAAGAACGTTATCAAAAAGCACTATTGGAATTGAATGAGAAGCAGAGTTTGTTACAACAATCAAAAAATGAATTGTTGACTATTCAAAATCGAATTGAAACTTTACGACTTGATTATGAATTGAAAATGAAAGAAAAAGATCAGTTGCAGAGAAATGCCGAAGAAACAGCGATGTTTCTCGATCGGGCAACGAAATTATTGGATGGTGTTGCTGAAAAACGAACCATTTGGGACACGACATCGACGCATCTGAGCGAAAATCTAGATAATCTTCTAGGAGATTCTCTTCTTGCTTGCGCGTTTCTATCTTACTTGGGCTCGTTTGTATCGAATTACCGAGATGATATTGTACATCAAGTAAGTTATCGTTTGAAATGATCTTTCGAATCTAATTTGATACTTCTCTTTGATAGATTTGGAAAAAAGAATTGATTCGTAGTGGAATTCGTTTTACACCTGATTTTAATCTTATCAAATTCATGACAACACCAACGATCATCCGTGAATGGAATATTCAAGGCTTACCACGTGATAATTTCTCCACAGAAAATGCGATTTTAGCAACACGAACTCTATCTTCTCCACTATGTAAGATCAACTCTCTCTTTCTCTCTCTCAACTCCTAATTGAATTTATTTTCAGTTATCGATCCACAAAGTCAAGCGACCAAATGGATAAAACACATGGAGAAATCACGTGGTCTAAAAGTAATCGACTTACAAATGCGTGATTACATGAAAACCATCGAAGAGTGTATTAAAATGGGTCGACCATGTCTATGTCAAAATCTTCATGAAGATCTGCCACAAACATTGAATCTCATTCTAACAAAATCAATTAAAACAAGTTCCGATGATTCGTCACATTTGGTTCTTCAAATAGGCGATCGAGAAATTGATTATAATCCATCATTTCGCTTCTATCTTTCAACGCGTTTATCAAATCCACGATACAAACCAGAATTATTTTCGAAAGTCAATTTGATCAATTTCGCATTGAAAGAACAAGGCTTAGAAGAACAACTGCTTGGTAAATAGCGATAGAAACTGTGTTCTTTCTAAATGCCGGTATCTCGTTGCTAGGTATTGTCGTGCGAAAAGAAAAGCCCGAGTTGGAAAATGCGAAAGATAATTGTATTGTAACTATTTCCAACAAACACAAAGAAAAAGAAATGCTAGAAGAAGAATTTCTTCGTCTGCTCTCAGAAACACAAGGAAGTTTATTAGAAAACATTCAAGTCTTCCAAGCACTAGATTTATCAAAACAATCTCAGAAGGATATCGATGAGACATTGAAAATCAACGAAGATTTGGAATTGAAAATCGATCAAACTCGAGATAGTTATCGATTGGTCGCTCAACGTGCTGCCATTCTATTCTTTGCTTTACAAGATCTAACTGCCATTGATTCGATGTACCAGTTCTCGCTCGATGCTTACATTCAATTGTTTCTTTTCTCCATCGATAAAAGCACGCGATCGTTGAAATTAAACGAACGATTGGATAAATTGAATGATTACCATACATACGCAGTTTATAAATATGGATGCCGAGTGAGAAATCAGATTTGTGGTTAAGTATGTGAATCGATAGCGAGGATTTTTGTAGAGTCTCTTCGAACGACATAAACTTATGTTTTCGTTTCATACTTGTACGAAAATTATGGATGCTGATAATCGATTGAATCAGGATGAGTATCAGTTTTTCATTCGAGTGAATACTTTAACTATCGATCGAGAAACGCAGTTTCCAAATCCGTTTCCAACATGGTTAAACGATACTCGATGGGATCAAATGAGTGAATTGATTCGTTTACCCGACTATCGATTCCTACGCGATTCGTTCGATCAGTATCCTAAAGATTGGAAAGAATGGTAAGACTTATTGCATCGAAATTCCTATTTGTCAGCACCATTATCTTAGGTATATGTCCGAAGAGGCAGAAAAAACATCACTGCCAGGTACAATCGATTCATTGATTACGGAATTCGGTCGAATATTGATTGTTCGATGTTTACGCCCCGATCGAATTGCCCATTGTGTGTTGAATTTTGTAATACATAACATCGGCTCGAAATATGTCGAACCACCGATTCTTCAGTTGAATACAATTCTCGAAGATTCGGATAAACGCTCGCCGATTATATTTATTCTCTCGTCAGGTGTCGATCCAGCTGCGAAATTACAACAACTAGCCGAGGATAAAATGATGGCACGTTCTCGATATTTCACACTCTCACTGGGACAAGGACAAGCAAATACAGCGAGAAAACTATTAGAAACTGGTATGAAGAAAGTAATGAGACACAATGATCGATAGGCGAAAAAGTGAAGACTTATGTTTCTGTTTTACAAGGGTCATTGGATATTTCTAGCGAATTGCCATCTCTCGATAAGCTGGTTACCGGAATTAGAAAAGATTGTTGAACAATTACAAACTGCAGCTGTTCACAATGACTTTCGTTTATGGTTAAGTTCATCACCAATCGCTGATTTCCCCATATCTATTCTTCAAATCAGCTTGAAGATTACCAATGAACCACAAAAGGTTTCGAGATGAATACGTTTCGCTGATAAGAATATCTTACCTATGATTCATCACAGGGTATAAAAGCGAACATGAAACGTTTGTATGAACTGATCCCTTCAGAGCAAACTCAACGAGTGAAACATGCTGAAAAATATCGTAAACTAACATTTGCACTAGCATTCTTTCATTCGATTATTATCGAACGAAAAAAATTCTTACAGTTCGGATGGAATACTGATTATACATTCAATGATTCCGATTTTCAAATATCCGAAAATCTTCTAGCAGTTTACTTAGACATGTATGAAAAAACACCATTCGATGCACTGAAGTATCTCATTGCCAATGTCATCTACGGTGGCCATTGTACCGACGAATGGGACATGCGATTGTTACAAGTAAGTTAGCTATACTCAAAAGTGTTCTGCAAAGATCTTGTTTCAAGACGTACATCAATTCGTATATTCGAGAAGAAGTTCTCGACGTTATGTATCATAAATTATCTTCATTGCCATATTATTATATGCCACGCGATGGTGCATTCAAATCATACAAAGACTTCGTTAGTTCGATGCCAGCGACTGACCATCCGGAAGCTTTTGGGCAACATTCCAACGCAGATGTAGCGTCGCAAGTACAAGAATCGAAGATGCTATTTGAAAACTTACTGATGATTTTGCCGCAAAAGTCATCGGCTATTGCAGAGAAAGAAATTGAAAACGAAGTAAACATGTGACTTCGGATGTTTCTGTACCCTGTGTCAAACATTAACCATTTTAGGTAGTGAAAATCACTCGTGAAATGATTAAATCAATGCCACATCTGATTGACATAGAAGCCGTCAAAAAATATATGTCTATCGACGTATCACCTCTATCAGTAGTACTTTGCCAAGAAGTATAGTGTTGCATTACCTTCTATATACAATGAATCATGTCATTCTAGGCCGAAAGATATAACGCATTACTTTCTAGTATCACGAATGCTTTGAATGATTTACTGAGTAGTATTGAGGGCTTCGTTATTATGTCAATTGAGCTTGAAGAACTTTTCAAATGTATTTACGAAGGACGACTTCCATACGTCTGGCAACGAGTATAAGAATTATGAGTATCATCAAAAGTTTTATTCAAAAATTTGTATAGACTTATGTTTCCTTAAAATCTCTTCCGGCTTGGTTTCAAGATTTACGTCAACGTTTAAATTTTTTTAATTCATGGGTAGAAAATCAACGGCAGCCAACTGTATACTGGATATCGGCATTCTCCTATCCAACTTCGTTTCTTACCGCTGTACTACAACGAGCAGCACGAAAAGATCAAGTAAACGAGAGATTACCTTTCTGCTACAACAGTAAACTTCTCATAGATTGCTGTCGATCAACTTTCATGGGAATTCGAAGTGAATAAAATCGAAGATAAATATCTGTCCGATACAGACAATGGAATCTATGTCACAGGTTTATATCTCGAAGGTGCTGGTTGGGATCGTCAGCAGGGAATATTATGCGAAGCACATTTGATGGAGCTTGCTACCGTCATGCCCACTATGTATTTCAAACCTGTAGAACATAAGAAAAAGTCGAATCGAGGTAAGTGAAACAAATATGAGAGATTTATTTTTCTCATATTTTGTAGGTGTCTATGTTGCTCCTTGTTATTATTCGTCGATGCGAAGTAGTTCGTTCATTGTTGCCGTTGAATTGAAAACAGGTTCTATGCCAGCAGAACATTGGATCAAACGAGCTACTGCTTTACTTATGAACCTTGACAATTGATTCGTTCAATCGCTGAGATAATCACAGAACTACTTGCAAATACATAGCTTAACGAGTAGAAATAAATGTGAAAAAGTTAGATATATATTTATGTTCATTTTAAACACACATAACTTTGAATTGTTAGTCAGATAAAAAGGAACCTCGGCTTATTTCGTTGAATACAGAGTTGAAAAGAGAACTTTCCGGACTGTAGGTACATCAAACCAAACACACATTAAAAAGAAGTGTCTTATATAAAAGAACCAAGGTAGACTAAAAGAGAAATCAACGATCGATCCCTCTCGCTCTCTCTCTCTTGGTATCAAAATAGGAGATGAATTCAGTTCATTCTTGACGGTGCACTGTGAGAGACGATGGAGAAAACATATGCGTAGTTGGATTAGCAGCTGCTGCTTTAGCTTCACTCAAAAGTGCTGAACCGAACGGACCAATAGCGTTGGCTAGATCTCCTGGCGGCCGATAAGCGGCAGCAGCGGCAGCTAGTAAATGTGGTTGTCGTTGAATCCAACGTTGCAATGTGGCACCAGCAAATAACTCCAAACCCAAGCAGGCTTGTCGTTTCCATTTCGTTCTAAAGACATGCAGACCAAATACAGAAGAAGAAAAACAAATTCACTACTCACCTTCGATTTTGATACCATGTTTTAACTTGTGTATCTGAAAGATGAAGTCGATTAGCTAATTCTAATCGTTCTTGTACACTAAGATATTTTTGTCGTTCAAAACTTTTCTCTAGCGCATTCAATTGAGCATCGGTGAACGCTGTTCGTGGTTTACGTTGTTTCTTATTCTTACGAAGATTAATTGCTGCTAAACATGAACTCGATGCACATAAATCACCATCTAAAGAAAATAATAAATTAGTACCATACAATTAAAAGTAAATGATCTTATCGAATTACTCAAAGCATTAGCATTCGCACTATTCTTTCACTTACCACTATTATTCCCCACGCTATTGCTATCGTCACTATTGGATGATTCTTCTCCCGTTGCTCCATCGCCGAGCACATCGACGATTCGTGAATGCTTCGATTCGTCATTATCATCGTCGTCGTCGTCATCATCATCATTCGCCTCTTCTTCATGAGCATATGATCGAAACTTTTTATTGGATATATTTTCTTCGGTACTCTCATCTTCTTCTTCCCGATTGTCATCTTCCGATGTAACCGATTGTTTACGTTTACGATCATGATTATCTTTGGAACAATTGTTCGATTTTGTCATTGGCATGACCATATGTAAAATATCATCGACAAAAAACGTACGTCGTTGTTTAACCATTGTCATTTTCGTCGTTTTTTTGTTTTCTTCCTATCAAAAACGAGTCGGTCAATCAAGAGCAATAAATTTGCGAGAATAGCGAATGCAATACAATAATTTCTTTCTCTCTCTCTCTCGCACTTCTATTGTTATTCTTTTTTCTCTTTCGCTTTGCCCCTCTTTTTTATATTCTATCCGATGACAAGTAAGATGTCTTTCATTTGCAGCGACATATCAGAGAAACAACGACGAAAGAGAGCAGATAATTGACATTTTACACACATTCTCTTTCGCCTTTTCTCCTTCAACAAACGCGTCGAGAAATTCGATTGGTGTAAAAATCTCTCACCCACTGATTGGCAGTTTAAAAAAAAAGAAATCGTGCAACTATTTTCTTTTTGATTAAGTAGGAAAAGTTCTCTCAGTCATTGGTCATGTAACAAATTTGTACATGTCTAGTTTATTTGAAAATCGAAATAGATCGATCGATCAGTTAATCAATACTTGTGCTTCTTCTTTCATTCTCTTCATTACATATGTTTATGATATGCAAATCACAAAAATCAACGTTGTATCTTTCTCAGTTCTTTTTTTTGTTCTTGTTCAAGTTCAAATGAAAATCATTTTCTCATCATCACATCCTTTGTACACGAGAGAGTGTCAATAAAGATCGGATTGACACTTTGAAGGTGGAAGTTATTCGATTAATAATAATCGATCGAATAGATCGTGCTCTCACAAATGCTCCATGGATGATGATTAGAAGCAGATAGACATACATTACATTCCATTTTTCTCTTTGATTATCCTCATAAACATATTGGCATTGATCATCAAGCAGGTGAATTCAATCAAGGACATAAGTCACCTGTATATTCTCCTTTATTTTGTTCATTCTTTTAATGTTTA